ATAACCCTACTGTGTATACTGTGAACATCTATACATAGTGAAAACTAATATTGGATGAAGTGACAAACCATAATATACGATATAGAATAAACATATTAGCATAGATCGAGAATCTTGATATTAAAATATCGGCAGGCTGAGGAAAAGCAGCCGCATTGTATTATTCGAGGTCTGTTTTCTACATCCTCGGTATTGTCGCTGACATTCTCGTCAAAACGGTGTGAAAGTGAGTGATAGATAAAAGACTGAGCGGAATCGAGAGACGCAGTCAGATTATGGCTGGGTGAACATGAAGACAGTGATGGTCGCTGACACCCGCTGAATTCAGAATTATTAATGTGACAATTCGCAAATTGTATACAAATTCCAGTCGTACTTTTTTTAAATGTTTATATTTGATTATTCTGCACAACGCGAATCAAATTTGATTTGGATTTGGAATATCAAGCGCATTACCTAAATTTCAAAGCTCAAAAAACCAAACGGAGCATAGCAATTATTTTTCGCGAGTGCAAAGGCAAACTTGTTTGAGTATTTATTGAAGCTTCGTTTTGTGCAAAAATGATGACGAAGGATGAATGTCTTTCAAATGTGATATTTTGTGTAAAGAAATTTATGTTTGTAACATTCCTTACTTTTTTTCGTATAAAATAGTTGTAAATAAAAAAAAAACAATTGAAAAGCAAATCGAAATAAATACACACATGAGAAGTTTCAAAAGTCGGAAAGTATTTGATGACGGGTGCAATCTTTTCACGGCTTCATAAACCATGGGAAACTAGGCGAAGAATGAGTACATATACATTCATATAATATACAGTAAGAAGACACGAATGTTGGCGGAGAGGAAGCGAAAACGAAAATTCAAATATGTCTCGAAAATGAATAGGTGGGATTAGAAGTTTTGGAGTGTGAAAAAAACTGACTAGAAGAAGAATTTGAAAGCTTTGCAATATGCTCATTTTAAGGGACCCTTTGATAAAATCACAATTTTTTTGTTTTGAGTATTCATGCAGCTCAATGTTGTTTGTTATGTGAATATAACACGAAAAGTAATTATGACAAAAAATTGGAATTAGTCACATTCTACCGTAATCTTGATAAAAGCTCAGAAACCAAATATATACAGGGTGTCATTTAAATTCCCGCACAAAAGTTTGACGTCATGAAGAGCTTCGCTGACGCACTTTTCGTGCACCAATACAATTTATTTCTGTTAAATAAGGTATATTTTACTTACTTTCCAAGTTTCACCTCATTTGGATGGGTTTCAGAGAAATGGCGAAGGCTAACATCCATCGCGCTTCCATTATCGAACTTCATAAGCAAAATGTGAGCCTGAGAGACATCATTCAACGCCTCGGTGTGCCTCTTAGAACGGTTTACGACATCATCTAACGTTTCAAGGAACTAAATACGACCAGTGACCGTCCCAGACAAGGAAGACCCGTCTCGGTAACCACTCCTCAGAAGATCAACGCCGTCAAATCGAGGATCAGGCGAAACCCCCACAGGAGCATGAGAAAGATGGCGTCAGACATGGGAATGAGCATCTTCGCTATGGAACAAATCGTCAAAACGAAGCTTGGACTGACCCCATAACGTGTCCAAAAAGCGGCAATTCTATCGGCCGTCAACAAGCAGAGACGCTACGAAAAAGCAAAACGACTTCTTGCTCGCACGCGGTCTGGAGAACACCTCGTCACTGTCTTCTCCGACGAGAAGCTGTTCACTGTGGAGGCGGCATTCAATCCACAAAATCATCGAGTACTTGCCCAGACATCCCAGCAAGCTTCTGAGAAAGGCAGAACAATTCATCGAGCCTCACATCCTGCCAGTGTGATGGTTTTCGGTGCCATCTGCTCAACCGGGAAGTGCCCCCTGGTTTTCGTGGATCAGGGGGTGAAAGTGAACAAAGAAGTCTACGTTCGGGACATTTTGGAGAAGCATGTGATGCCCTGGACCCAAACGCATTTCGGTGGGCAGAAATGGGTCTTTCAACAGGACGGAGCACCCGCGCACACTGCCAAAACTACTCAGGAGTGGTGCCAGACCCATTTTCCCGACTTCATCAAGTCATCTGAATGGCCTGCTTGCTCCCCAGACCTGAACCCGCTTGACTTCTCCGTGTGGGGAGTCTTGCAGGAGAAGGTCAACGCAAAACCCCACTCAAGTGTCGATGCTCTGAAGAAGACATTACTGGCGGAATGGGACAATCTTTCCATCGAATACCTGCGTACCACCGTCGCCTCCTACCCGAAGCGTCTCCGTGAAGTCATAGCGGCGAAAGGAGGCCGAATCGAAAAGAGTTACTAGATAATTATTTGTTATACTATAGATAAAAAATATTTCAAGTCTCGTTTGATTTGGACTTTTAGTTTCAGAAATATACGTTTTCAAAGTTGTGCGGGAACTTAAATGACACCCTGTAGACATAATATATTTGATTAGCACACCACTGTATTGCAATTCGATGAAAAATTCACCTTGTTGTGTGGAGAAACAAATGTATACATACAAGCAATTCCCAAAAAAGGGACTAACTAACAAGTTAAACTCATTTCGACTAGAAGAAAAAAAAACAGAAGCGAGTGCGGAGGAGGGAAAAGAATTCCGCATTTGTTGCGAAATTGAGGCCATTTTTTGTTGGCAGTGAGTCATGAATACTCGAAAATAAGCACTTCCGATGTTGGTTATTCCTATCGACTATAAAATCGATTAAAATGAGAACTATTGCGCGTCAATAACCAAAAAATACTTGATGAGGCGACAAATTCGAAAAAAAAAAATAAATTGGGTTTAGCCATTCTGGGTAACCTGTTCGATGTGTCATTCAGAATTAGAAAAAGGGCGGAAGTGAGAAATTCGAGTAAAATTCGTCTTACAATTCCAGCCATGCGAAAAAAATGAGCAAATATTCGTCATAAATTATAACTAAAGTATTTACAATATTGAACCTGCAATTAAAAAAAAATCTTCCATGTAGATTCATTGTCTAAATTATTATAAGATTCCGTAAGACTGAATATACTAAGTCTTGCCTTGTATTGGTATTCAAGATTATATGTATAAGAAGATTATAATAGTCACGTTCTTAGAAAAACTGAAAAAAAATAACAATTGAGAAATTCACGTTGAAAAGATTTTTGTGATTAAGAAAATAGTGAAAGTGCTATAATCATCTAACAAATTTGGTCAAAATTCATTTGCGGTGCAAAAACCAAACGAAAATAATGTCTATTTCCTCGTTTTAAGAACAAAACTATTGAAGACTTCATCAAATTCTGCTTGGAATAGAGAACCGCTCGGCTAAAAGAGGAAATTGAACTGCGACCCGTAGCAGCAGATGTGAATGTCCTTCACGGCCGGTTCGTATGGTGCATTTCGTCCGTTTTTGGATTGGAGATTTTAATTGACGATGGACATATGCATAATCCACCACAATTCTATTCACACTTCATAAATCAAATTGGATTCACTTGTAAGAAGTAGAAATTCAAAAAATCGTTTTTAAGGAATGAAAATTATGACTGGTGTTTATATATAACACAATTGCTTTTTAAATAAAAATAATAGTTGACATTTTTATAGTTTTAAATTTGCTAACCTTTCTGAAACTGACAAGAACATATAAACATTTGAAATGGATGAAGAAAAGTAAAAAGTCAAGAGCCATTGGGAAATTTTCGAATGAACACGTGCAGAAAATGAATCCGAGCAATAAATTGACAGCTATTGAGTCGACTTAGACGACAAATTGAATTAGCTATTAGATAACGAAAAAAACTTCGTTGAAATGTTTGAAAATCTTGTATGAGAAGAACATGAATTTTTCTTAAAAACAACAGAAGAAAAGAGTAAACTTTCTGGGTTGTCCATTTTTGGAACGTGGATGCAATAAATAGTGAGAGGAGAAAAGCAAGACAGAGCTGGCATGATCGATACGTTGTCGTGCGTTTCTGGGAAATAGCGGACAGCTCGGCGAGCCTCCTCACGACGCCATGAGGTATTGATTATGCCGCAAGTGGGCAATTCATTCATCTTTCGCCACAAAAAAAGAGAACGGCAAAAAAAAACGTGGACACTAATCGAAAAAAAAACGCCGCAATTTTTTTTTCTGATTTCTTAGTGAGTTGCGCGATGCACACTTCGAGAAACGAATCGAGAACCTCGAGACATCTCGATTTAACGTGCGCAATCTGTGTTAACTCAAGTGCGTTGGTTGTGCAAATAAATACGAACTTTATAATTCGAGTTCGATTTGAATTCCAAACATGCGAGTTTAAATCTCCACAATAAAAAGCAAAAAAAAAAAACATTAATGTTTCTGTTCATGAAATGTAATTTTGTGCATTTTTTTTACAGCACTGCTTTGAAAATATCAGTTTCATAAAAACATTTTTATACCAACAATTTTTTGCTCAACCCCGATTTTTTGGCCCACTTTTGTTGCTTCCAGGTTAACAATTTTTTTGCAAAAAATTATTGGCCGTCAAAATCCGACAAAATTTGCCTTGCAATCAACCCGATCCGACTGAATATTGCAAAATTTTCGAGTTAATGAAAATTTAAATTTCATAAAAGAAAGAAAAAAGGTGGAGAAATTTTCAATGCAGAAAAAATATATACAAAATAATCATTTTTTCGTTTTTTGCCATGAAGTTTCGTTTTTTTATTCTCTGCATTGACCTTTTGATCAATTATGTTATCCTTGAATTTTAAATACGAAATATGTTAATGCCCGCGTGCATTTGAACCGATAACGGAAACTGCGCATTTGGCCTCCTGACTAACGTGGCCTCCTGGCCGCGGACTGGTTCCATCGCAACACACAGCCGCGACCGAAAACCACTCGTTCGTCGATAATTCTCTCCAATTTTTCATTTTTGGTTACAATTTACTGTTTCCACTGCACTTCCTCGAGTTTTTTTAAAATCTTCGTTGTTGATACCCGCGTTTCTATTAGATTTTTCTATTTCTATTGTGTATTCCTGCAGGTAATGGCAGCCGGAGCTATTTTAAAAACCACTGGGGCGATTGCCGCCATCACCACGCTCGTTCTTATCGGAACAGGTAATAAATAACAAGAATTATATGAAAAAATCAATAATGACTTTATTTTGAACATTTATTCAATTGAAAATAATAATGAATTTTAAGGATTGTTCTACATGCTCAGTGGTCAAGGCCATCGATTCGACATTGCCTGGTTCTTGACTTCCACTTCCCCACATATGTGGGCCGGACTTGGAATTGCTTCCTCACTTTCTTTGTCAGTTTTGGGTGCTGGATGGTTCGTTTTTCGAATTGTGTAAACCTGAAAGCGGTTTTAACCTGCAGGGGAATTTTCACAACCGGATCCTCGATTCTCGGCGGAGGAGTCAAAGCTCCAAGAATCCGCACGAAAAATCTTGTTTCAATTATTTTCTGTGAGGCTGTGGCTATCTTCGGAATTATCATGGCGTTCGTTTTCGTCGGAAAGTTCGCTGTTCGTTAGAAAAAACTTGAATCGTAGGCTATATTTCATCGTTCAGGAGTTTCAACGTGAGAAACTTGACCTTTCCGGTCCTGGTGGACTTGCCATTCTTTCCCGCAACTTGGCAGCTGGATACATGATTTTCGGAGGAGGGCTTACCGTCGGACTTAGCAATCTTGTTTGTGGACTTGCTGTTGGTTAGTACTTTAAAATAATAAATAAATGTATATTTTTTGTTTTAAGGAATCGTCGGATCAGGAGCGGCCATCGCTGATGCTGCCAATCCCGCTTTGTTTGTGAAAATCCTCATCATCGAAATTTTCGCTTCTGCTATCGGATTATTCGGCATGATTATTGGAATTGTTCAGGTATTGCAATCTTCAGATTTTTGCTGGACCGTTTTATATATTTCAGACCAACAAAGCTTCGATGGGAGACAAGTAAACCGTGTTTCTTTTTTGTTCTAAACATTTCATCTAGCTTCAAACGTTTTCATTTCGTTCAAGCTGTCCTAAATTAGTTGTTCATTATTTTCTACACATTAGTTTTTTTTAAATATATTAGCTAGAGTTAAACTATGTATATAGTTAATGTGAAAATTTTTAACGATACGTTACAATAATTTCGCATTAACAGTACAGAACTATCGCGCAATGACGCAATTAAAAAAATTTATCTGCAAAAAACTTAGTGAACAACATCGTGACATTCCTTTTTTGCTCTCCTGTGTTCTTTTATTTTCTTTCGTATTCCGCCAATCTCTAGTTTTCATTTTATATGTATGTGTTCCTGTAATATTGTGAATTTGTCTCTCGTGACAAATTGTTTCCTTGTGGTATACTATTCGTTTTCTTCCGTATTTGCCCAATACCGAGTTGTGACAATAAAAGAATCAGAATATTGAGACTTAAACGTCAGTGGGAAATTACGTCAACGCTCAATCAATATTTTGCATCATATCTATGGTGTTAAAATGGTTTCAGGTTCAGGATGTATGATGAAAACATCTGGTTAGTATCAACAGATGGAGTTCCTTATCGAATTCCTGTGATCGATAATCCCAGTATGTTGGAAAAATGTTGTATTATTCTAGAAAATTTTAAAACATATTTCAAACTTTTAAATGTGAAAGAATTGGTAGTTAGTGACCCCCGACAAATATTTGGTGCAAGATTTACGGTCACTCGTCTTTCGATATGAGCTCTCAGCGAACAACTGCGTATTTTATAACAAATTTTCAAGTAAAATGTTTCTTTTTTAACTTGGTCATTTTTTTGCATTTCTAACCAATTTAAAATTAGTGAAATCAACTATAGAATGCGAAATAAACATTGAATCTGCGCGAGACCATCGTAAAATTGTAGTTTCGGTGATTTTCGATAATTGAATTTTAGAAGCGTCTAAAAATGTTACATAATTCAGCATGTACTAATCAAGTTGAGTGGCAACCTACAACATCGAATACAATATTCAAATCGGTTGTCTCGTCAACCAATTGTGCATTTGGCCTCGATGATCAGGGAAAAATACTTATCTACGTGTATTCATCCGATCTTGCAATTCGCGATTGTGTGACGGTTTATTGCAACGAGGCACTATCGAACATTTATATATGAAATAATCGTACCAATTTGAAGAGGTGGTATCCAATACTTGGGTGGAGAACCACTCTTCCATCTGAACGCCCATCATATTCCGATATTACCGGACGAATTTCGCACAATCTTAACTCGTTTACTACCGAAAAAGGATGGAGTTGGGAAGAACCCTTTAGAGAGGTGAAAAGTCGAGATTGTGACAAGCAGGTTTTATCGAATATATCCCAAATAATGTTTCAAAACCAATATTGTAGGGGTGGCAATATGCTATTTTATTTTCATCGAATACTTGGAGCAAAGTGTGTAAGGCGCAACATTTAGTTAGAAGGAAGCTTCTCAAAAGGAATAAAATATACACAAGCACTGACACCTGGATTGATTTATCCGATGATGACTCAATCATTTTTACTGAAATTGCGACTGGAGGATTCGAAACTCTGACAGAGGGCACGACCATGTTGATGGGTTTATCAACAGAAGGAAATATTTATGCGTAATAAATAGAAAAAGTGTGAACAGAACTAATATCAATTGCACAGGAGGGTCGGAATAACAAAAATTCGGCCGAATGGAGTTTCGTGGAAGCAGCTTCCAAATATTTTAAGCAATGGTGTGTAAACATGTTTTTGAAAAATTGATGTCTGATTTTAGATAGATCAAACGAACAAATTATTTCTATAAGCGGCTCAGCGTGCTCAGGACTATTATTATGTACAACGAAGGATGGAAGAGTGTTTTATAGAAAAGGAATAAGTGAATGTAAGATAATTAGCTGAATTCTCGTAACTATTCTCGAAATTCAGATGTTCCAGCTGGAAACACGTGGCACATTCTGGAAACTCCTGGAAATAGACCAGTAACAGAAATTTCGCTGGGAACCTATTCCTTGTGGTGTACTACTTCTGATGAAACCGTAAGTTTCAGAACATCGTGATTATCATCATAAAATTTTCAGTTGTGGTTTTCGCGAGTTACATTTGATGATCCAAATTACGATCAAATTTTGTACGAGATTTCCGCAGATGGATACATGGACGTCGGAAAATTAGAGTTTACCAAACTATCGGTGAACCGAAAAGATCAGGTTTGAATGTTTCATCCTCCAATCACCTCATACAGTTCAGTTGTTCACTATATCGGCAAGTGAAGAAAAACTTCAAGTTCGAACAGGAATCACGAAGGATGAGCCATCGGGAAAACGATTTGTGAAAGTTGTCGAGCGAGCGACGAACAAAAAATGGATATCGGTATTTTAAGAAAATTATTGAACAACATTCTGCACATGTTTAGGTTAACGTTGCTACGACAAGTTTTTCAATTATTCCGGATTATTATATATTAGAGAACACAATTCAAACAAACTTACAAGTTGCGATGTTTTCAAGATCATTGTGGAGACAGAAAGTGAGAATGGTCGATTTTCAAAATTTATGTTTGAAATTTTAGATTCTTGCGCGATTACAGGATGTTAATGATTTATCGTATGCTTTGATGAACAGCGTTGAATCGAAATATTCAAAATTACAATTGACTAGTTCACATCTTCGTTTTGAAGTCGATGCTATTCCTTGTTATTTTTATATTGATAGGGCTGGAGGAAAGTTTATATTTCAACCAGCAAGCGTGGTCATAAGTTCCACATTTATTATTGTAAATGTAACCGAATTGAATGTTATTCTTGTTTCCTCGAGCGATGTGAGTTTTTTCTTCGTTTTTTGTTATATTGACGTTGTATTTTTTTTCAGTTACAAACAGCATATCCCTCGTTCACACGTGAGCCACAACGATATTTGATTTATATTAAGAGAAGAACAATGGCAGATGGTATTTATCTTTCATTTACTGATGATTCCATTCGCCAAAAATGCCTGAAGCGTTTAAATGACGTGAGTTGAAATGAGACACTTGTTGTTATTTAACTTTGAAATTGTAATTATTAGATTATTCGTGAATATCTTAGCCAAGCTATTATTACCGATGATAATCGTTGCTACTGGAGCATAACAGATTGGAATGAAGTTCGATGGCATTGTTTGTCAGAACTTAAAAAAGATCGAACTGTAATTATTTTAAATGTTTGATAATAATATATTGACTAAATATGTGTTCAGCCAATCGAGCTTAAAACCGCGAAGAGTATATACGTAGAAGGACATTTTCAAGAAATCGATGTTGGTGCAGGCCGCCATGTTTGGGCTTTGAATACTGTATTTTCGCAATTTTTGTCTTGTTTAAAAAGTTATTTTAGATGGGACATGTATACGCACTTACTCCCGATTTTAATCCATTACTAACCGAAGAGCACGAATTAGAACATCGGTTTTTCGACGAAGTGACACTTACGGTGATTTTTGAAAGTTACAATAATTATAAAACGCTAATTTAGATGTATGAATACCAACATAAAACTTATTTCAAGACCGTAGAAGGTTGGATGTCAGACGGTCAAAAATGCCCGAAATTCTTTTCTAGGTTGGTGCAAATTGCGTATAACAAAAAATAACTTAATTTTTTTTACCGAAAAAAGCGTTGTAAAATTAGCACTATTTTTACAATGAATTTTAGTCTTCCATCGAAAAATTGGCGTTGGATTGATACAGAATGGCATACACAACCTGAGAATTGGGAATATGCTAAAGAAGCGGACGGAGAATATTCTGCTCCATCAACAAGAAGAGACTGGCCGGATGATAAGGTACCACTTTCAAATATTTTAATTTTTAGGATTTTAGTACTAAGCCCGACTTCTAAAAAAATACGAAAAAATGCTATAAAAAGGCTCGAAAAACCTTATGTAGATTGCGTAACAACTACGTTTTTGAGTTTGTCGAGTTCTCTTCCCAAATTCTGCCCACGCCGTTACTCTGGAAACACGATTTCGAATAATTGTTTGAATTTTGTGAACCCTTTAACAAAAAAATTTTCGTTAGTATCGGTTCTTAGCTAACAAAGGCTTATTTTGCTGGGATAAGGTGAAATCGTCAGGTCCCATCTCTGGGCTGTTGCGTCGTCAATAGGCGGAGTCTATCGGCCCAATTTTTTGGCTTTTCTCAAGTTTAACGAATGTGTGTGAACTGAGAATATCGAATTTCTGTTCCAAGGCTATTTGCGAATTGATATCGATAACAATGCAATCGTCTCTGCTCGAGAATATTAGGCAAATTATTATAGTTAATATTTTATCTGTGAAAATAACCATAAGAACGAATACTGTGTTAGCTTTACGAAGCCAAATAAAGACAACATCCAGCAAAACATAATTTTGTAGTTTTTCGTTCTTCATCTGAATTTTATTTTATTTTCAGAAAAAATATCGGCGTAGACTCTATACGAGAAAAGCGATATTTGAACTCAAAAGTTCGCCTTGGATGGCCGTACGTTCGCCTAAAATGAAGTGTATCCGAGTTGCAAAATATTCGAACCCAGATGTACAGCCTATGGAAAAACTAAAAATAAATGAAATACTGGTTAAGGGAACTGTAGCCGTTGTTGGTCTTACAGTCGATGGACACCTACTACTTCGGAAAGGAGTTAGAAGTGATAATGCTATTGGTACGAAATGGATAGAGGTTCGTGATTCTTAACTGAAATTCATCGAGATGCATTTGAATATAGATTCGTAATGATTTCTCGCCAATTTCATCTTTTTGTATTCAAAAATCAGAAATGATTTGGTATATAACAGAAAAAATGGAAGCAATTGGTATTATGATGTGCAATATTGAAGATCCAATTTTAGGTAATAATTAATACTTATTTTAAATTTTTTGATTTTAATAATATTAAGAATGGAGGCAGCTGGAATTTAAATCTGAGTTGTTTTCTCGTCATTTTTCAAGTAAACAAATCAATATGATCAGTAGCTCACAATCAATATACTTTTATTTGGAAGGAGCTATTTACAGGCTCGACACCGATACTGGTTTGTGAATTTTAATTTTTGCCATTCACGTTTCTATTACAGAATACTTTTCCGATCCCTGTCCAATAATAAACTTGAAAACAATTTCGAGTGATTCTGAGGGTTACTTCAAATCCAAAAAGTTTATCTCAAAGTTTGTTCAGGTCGCGTAGTTCTGCTCGGTGAAAAAATTTCAATTGTAACTAATTGGAAAGTTATCGTCTACGAAAATGAGAAAAGGTTTATTATTAAAGTCGAAGATGTTGATGTATCCACGATACATAAGGACTTTAAGTTTATATCAATGTACTGAAGAATCGCACGAAATTTATGTATTGTTATGTTTCTAATTTGGTGGCTTATAATTTTGAACAAATCACTTTTTAAATGTATATCTGGTCGAACTAAACGAATAATGTGTATTTCTTGCTTAAATACAAACGTGTGCTATGAGTGTATTTATATTTGTTATTTACATAAGCAATACATGGGATACATTGTCAATTTTAGAAGTAAATAAATGCATATCCACATTACAGCATTTTTATTATTGCAAAACGATATTAATTATATTTACGAAAATGTTTTATCCAACTGTGACGTCAGCGGCCGGGAAAAACTCGGCCACATCTTTCCGCATGCATGACTTTGTTTTCGCAACACCAATATCTTTGCAATTTCGAATTATTTTATCCAAACATTTAATAATGTTTTTGAATTACTAGCTATTTAGATCCATGAAATGGCTCAGGGAAGAACATCCGCTGGGTGTTGTTGCTTCGCGAACAATGTCAGATTTTTAATATTAATTTTGACGGTGTGGGCCATATCTGCGCTATTTGCCAGTTTGATATTATTCAATCTGACCGCTTTGCTGCACACAAATCTGCCACCAGATCAGAAGCCAGTTAGTGGTTTAGATTCATTGCATGAATACACTATTTGGCATGGTAAGGAATTACTGCTATATTACAATAGAAGATTTTGGGTTTTTTCAGATCGTCGAAAACGAGATCTTCCTAATTCTGACTCATCTCTTACGATCAAAGAGGCGAATACAGATGTGAAATATGATGGGTATCCTATTTTGCCGTCAACAACAACAACTACTTCTACTACTACATCAAAACCAACGACAAAAAAGAAAACCGAAAAACCGAAACCAATTTTTATTACAAATTCTCCCACTGTTCCACCAGAACCTACAACAACACAAAATGTTGTTTTAAGTGGTAATCTTTTTAAATGTTTGCCTAAATTTTACTTTTCAATATGTCAGAAGTCGAAAGAACGCTCCAAAAATTGAAAGAAGCCGAAGAACGTGAAAAAGCGGGTCTGCCCCCCGCAAAAGATTCTCCGAGAAAAGAAGAAAAAGAAGCGAAATAGTAAATTTTCACTCTAAAATATGTTAGATAAACGCAAGAAATTTTTCAGTGTTCCAGGCGAATCAATTCCTTCAAAAATAAAGAAAGCATTGTACTCGGCTCCTGGAATTGGTAAAAATTAATTAAAAAGGAGATTTAAAAAACAACTTTCAGGAGTTCTTCTTGGGATCTGGCCGACAATCGCTTTTTCGAATAGTATTGGAATCAGAAAACTTTTCGCTTTATATTTAGCTGTTTCGGCATTACTCACCGTATTTCTTCCATTGGCAGTGCCCTCAAGTAACTAGTTTTTTATTGCATATTCGAGTTTATAATATTTAAGATTTCGTGACTTTCTTCGCTGTTCGTTTGCTGCAAGGAGTCCTGTTTTCGGTCGTTTTTCCAGTTATCGGAAATGTACTGGTTTATTGGGGAACTCTCAACGATCAGCTTCTTTTCCTCACATCAACATTCCTCTTTATCGCTGTAAGTCGTCAATAAACACAAAATCTCATTAATTTTCTTTCGTTTGCCCCAATCATCTCATGGCCGTTGTCGATGCATTTCCATTCAAATGATGTTCCATTATATGCGATTTACATGATGCATTCAATTTTGTTATTGGTTTTGGCATTGATGTGAGCTTTAGAAAATCAATTTTTCTTAATTAGCCTGTTTTAGTTGGATGATATTCTATCGCGACCAGCCTCAATACCATCCCTGGGTTAGTGGAATTGAACTCAATAAACTAGTTGCCGGAAAAGTTCAGGTTTCCTATATATATTTGTGGTTTTATTCTTACAATATCCTATATTCGTTTTCTTTTTAGGAATGGAAATCAAATTCACGAACTCCCACAAAAACTCTTCCAACATTGTTCCGTTCTCTGTCTGCGTGGTCAATTTGGCTCAGTACATTCATTTTGTTCCTTTGCACCGCCTTTTTCGTTACTTACACACCATCACTCCTGAGCGCTCATGAGTTGTTCTTTGTCGATTACCTTGGAATCTATTCAATGTTGCCGTTCATTCTTCTGGCAAGTTAAAACGCAATTCATTATTTCTAAAATGTTGTTTTTTAGCCCGCTTCATGTCTCATTTCTGCAATTATCTCTCACTTCTTTGCCCAATCGACTAAATGTGTTCGAATTTTCAATTCGATCGGATTTGCATTTGTTGCAGTTTTCATTCTCGTTTTCCCAATTATGGCGTATTTGGGAACTGAAAATGCGTACGTATTATTTCTCAAAAACACGAATTATATGTTTTGAGTTGAAATTGTTTCAGACCACTTTATATTCTTTCGCTAACAATGATGCCGTTTGGTTTGTCAATGGTCGGCGGATTTTTACGTAGTTTAACTATTGTTGGAAGAGCCTACGCAAAAGAGATCGTGTCGTTTTCGGCAGTATCGTTTGGAGCTGCATTCATTATCATACCGATTATTGTCACATTCGTTGTGAACGAAAAGTATAATTTTTGCTTTAATCAAATAATATTTCTTTTTTTTTTCAGTAAATTGGCAGACTGGATGCGAATTTTCTTCTTTCTCGCTTTTGCATTACTCATTGCCACTGTTGAATTTGCTGTTTTTGGAAGAGGAAGATCACCGTCATGGGCTGAATCGTCTTGGGATCCATTGGTTGCTTCGACTAAAATGCAATCATTGGCACTTATTGATTTTAATCACGACGAATGCGGGCTTTACGAGTTGAGACGTATCGAACCGTCAAAATAGTATATATATCGATATAAGGACTCCATTCTTATGACCAAATCTTCTTACGGTTTGTCATCCTAATAATGTACTTGCTCAAAAGCATAAAACGTACCAAATTAATTAATAAACATTCGGTTGTTAAAAAAAAAACAAACAAATTTTAAAAATCTTGTTTAAATAATTGCTTTTATCTTGTGCTTTCATTTAATCGTGTTTTCATTGCAAATAAATATACCATTTATTAATTATGGCAAACCCAACCTTTCCAGACAACTACGGTATCTATGAAAATAGTGCAATGCGGACTAATGCACTCGAATTGACGGAATGTTTGTTTGTTTGTTTATCTCCACGGTGGTAGTTTTTGAAATAATATGGGGAATTTACAGCGGTTTCCACTGTGATTCAGTATACTTTCTCGAAGGTAGAAATATAGAAATTGGGATAGGCTAAGCGTAAAAATTCCACTTAATTATGTGAAGCTGCAAGTATTTCTCCCAGCGAGCACTCGCACAAACAGCTGCTATTTATCTATGATATTTCTAAGAAGTTTTCTCATCTTCCATTATCTTTTCATTGTAAATAGGTTAGAATGTGTTGTTCGAAGAAACATGCCTGCGTCAGAATGAAAATTAAATAGATTTTCATTTGTCATTTTAGGTAATTTAATGCTGCGTTACCAAGCATCCATATATGGCGATTCTTTTGAAAACAGCGAAGTTGATAATTATCATTCAATGGCACAGGTAAGTAGTTCATATTTTAATTTAAAAAATAAACAATGCACAATATTTTAGCCGTCAACTATCGCTTCGTCAAATGGACTGCGAGGGCAGCAGGGTAGGGTTATAAGGAGACAACCTGTAACTACATATAAGGTAAACAAACGAAAGAAGTAACAATAATGAAAATTTGTTTCAGAGCTTAACAACATGCAGGTTGGCACCTCGTCGACGCTATTTTGTTATGGATGCTCAAAAACCGGCACCCATGCAATCATCGGTAGCATTTCCCGGTCCGGATTATCTGAAGCGAATAAGAGAAAACTATGAGAATGGAAAAGTGGTAAGTAATAGAAAAATCTAAATTCATTTCTCAAATTGCACTTTTTTCGATCTATATTCGTCGAAACGTACCCGGCTTGAAAAATTCATCGTATGCTGGTAGAACGTCAACAATCACAAATTCCATACGTTCAGCGACGTCTAATTTATGAATGAAAAATGATTTTGTGATAATGAGAAATTTCAGATACCACACCACAACAGCTTCTTCCTCAAAAATATGCGGAGATTCGAATTCTAGCGGTCCGAAATACGTCCTTCGGATGCCAAAAACCGAAACGAACAAATACGACGAGTAAGTAAACGATAATTAGTGTATGGGACAATGCAGAAAAAGAAAAAAAAACGTCTTATTTTGTAATGATTTTTTTTAAAGATTAATTTTGTCTATTTTTTCTTTTTGTCACTTTCGTTTTCTCTGCATTGACGCTTTAGTTTGCGAACAGAAAGTAAATCATTAGAGATCAGAATAAGTGAGAATAATGAGAAGATAAAACAAAAAAAAGGAATTTTTTGATATTTTATTCTTTTTCAGAAACAGACCAAATGTGTATGTTCCAGCATTTGAACCTCTGAAACCCCAATACACCACGGTACGTTTTCCTAATTTTTCTTTGTTTTTTTTTGTAGTAACTATTCGTAAACTCAAAAACGAAACATTTTCGTTGTGAGTGAATAAAAGTTTTTCCGTTGTTTATTTTTTTTATAATGCGACCAAAAAGAATCTTAGTTTTGAGAAAAGTTTTTTAATCCGAATTCCATGACACTTACAGTGTTCATATTCTTTCCAAATGTAGTAAATCACACTTCTTCGAAGAAGACGTAGTAATAATTGAAAAATTGGACAAAACTTCGGAGAGTGATATGCATATTGTGGAATTGAAATGTTTTTCCTAAAGTGCAAGGGAATTTCCAACCAAAAATATTTTTTAATACAACCAAAAATGTTTTTTTAATAATAATAAGTGTTAACCTCGTCATAAAAAAATGACGTCTTATGAGGTGTTTGTGAACATTTATGATTTCAACTTGTGCTCTTCCATCTCTATATGATTTCCGTAGCTCGGAATCCTCTCCTAAAAAAAAATATAGTGAAAAATTAGAATACTTTAAAAATCAAATAGTTCCGAAGTTCTGAAACGATTTCAAGTTTTTAAGCGAGTTTTATCTGGGCAAATGAGATCGAATTTCTTAGCAAAATTGTGATATTTTCTTATCAAACCTTCTGCAACTTTTTAGCTGAAGTCAATTAGAAATTGTAAAAACTTACGCAATCTCTTTTCTTGTCAGTCGAGATTATTGTTCTTTATGTTGCCTCAAAATTTCATGATGATTCAAATAATTTGAAGAAATTTATGCTTAAAAACAATTTTTCATTTCTTTTTGCCAGGCACTGTACATGAACAATGACACGGAATTAAACAACAGTATTCTCTAGTTTTTTTTATTATTTTAATTTTTTGTTCTCCTGTGGGTGACGGGGAAATTTGACAAGAGTTGTTCCCCTAAACCTTCGAACGAGCCTCTAAATTCACTGAATTAAAAAAATTACCTTAATTATCATGTCAATATTGATTTGTATAATATTCAGGTGCCTGCATGCATGTCCATGGGAGGTGAATACGTTTACGAAGAAGAAGTTGAAGTTGAAGAAGATTCAAACGAATCAACTTGCGGCCTCTCTCTAAACGATAGGGAGAATTTATCCAACAATGAAGGATTCAATTCTTCGCCAATTGCTTCAGATCTGGTAGTTCCCAAAGACGAAGACGACAGTGCGTATCTGAAATCATCGGGACCTCTGATTCTGTCTACGCCTACATCCAGTTCTTCATCGACATCGACGCCTGTAACTCTGAGCAACACAAGTAAATTGATGTCGATGCGGAATCGATTACAGCCAACACGATTTTCGTAAGAATTAATCGGAACTTTTGCATGTCCTCGAAAATGTTTTCAGATGTCCGCAAGCGGATTGTTTTTGGCGTGGTCCTACCGATCTAGCCCTTCGGAAACACATGCAAATGCACGGAAAACAGCCGTTGATGTATCAGGGAGCAAAAAGTGGCGGGGACCCGATGAAAGTTCAACTCGTGCAACCAAAACCTAAAGGTGTCAAATGCAGTGAATGCGACACTTTCGCGTATTCACGTCCACTGCTTCTTCGCCATATGCATGATGCTCATGGAATCGAGGCTCCACTTATTCGCCGAACATTCCCTAACAGAGAGATGCTTCAGGTTTTTCATCTCCATTTAAAGTAAAATTATACAGTTTTATAGTCGTGGCTGGATTCACTTCGAGAAACTCATGCTGTCGAATTTGTTGTATCTTCAGGGTCTAAAAAATGGGGAAGAGGTCTTCAGGTATATATAGAGTTGCTAGCAGATTACAGTTTTTTCCTAGGTTCACTACTTGACGTGTTCTAGAAGTGGAGATCAGAAAGAAAGACCAAATAAGAAGTATGTGAGACCACCGAGACCATCTATCAAATGTGGAAGAAATTGTATGGCTTATTTAAAGGTCGGAATAAAAAAAACATAATTATGTTTATTAGAAAATTTGCAGATCAAACAGAATCCAACAGTTTCAGAATTGCAAATTGAGGGTTGTCTTCATCATAGTGGACATGAAATTGATCACACTCGAATGATACTGGAACCAAATGAGGTTATAATATCAATAAAAAATAATAAGCCGGTTTTTTCAGCTTTCAAGTATTGGATGTATTGTTGAAATGATGAACGAGGGCAGCGATATTCTCAGAAATGCGGAACTTATGAGAAGTATCCATTCCATTTTGTTCCAAATAGTTTTAAAATATATTTTGCAGGTTTTTTGGGTTCTTCTGGTAGATTCCGTTTAGTCACCGATAGAGGTTTGATTGACCAAATGCCTATTTGGGTCGACCAGGTGTTTCATTTGCTATCACTTCTTAATAAGAACCTATTTTCTAGTATCATCGTGCGATGTCCGATTTTATCAATGATGGCAATACAATGAATCGCTCAGGCGTTTTGCTCTCACAGACTTTTCACGGTTTCACAAATTTTATCAATGAAATTGGTGCTAATTATTAATATTCAGTGGGAAATTCGTTTTGCACATCGGGTCCTTTAACACAGGCGTCATTGATGAAGTCTCCAGCATCGAGTGCACGCCGTCTCAAATTCTCGAACAATTGTCTATCACGTGATATCAAACGTGAAACAGATTATGAGTACAAGTCGGTTTCTCTTCGATATTCTAGTGATATACCGGAACGTCATCAGAATAGTCTACACGTCTTTGATGAATCTGTTAGTTGGTTTGACCAATTTTACTTAATAATATAGACACTCATCCGCTTCGAACCAATTTTATACGAAATCTCAACAAAATTGTTTTGAAATTTCAGAAAGTGAAACGAGAGATCGAAGATGAAGATGCATTGGCGGCTGAAAACTTACTTAAAGACGACATTGATGAAACGAAAAATAGTGATATTTTCGAAAATCCGATGATAGGTTTTATCGATTCAATCGAATTTTTGTTTAGAAATAAAAGCGGTTATAGGCGGTGAAGAAAATCGGCTAAATGAAGATGATAACATTCTTTGCGACGGTGAAGATTTTTCTGGAATATCTTCTGTTGACGGCCTCCTATCTGCAAATCTGGAAGAATATTTTGCCGAGGACTTCAGCAATTTTGATTTCAATGCAGATTTTCTAAACTCAATGGATGACGCAGATTTCAGCAAAGTAATTTATGATCGATTTTTACTTTTAAAGTTTTCAATTTCAGCTTCTTGATTTCGACACAAACAATTGAACACAGTTGTAGTTTTTAGAATTCAGAGAGATTAGTAATAACTTGTATTCTGTTTTTTTCTACATTTCCTTTTTACCACCAGTTGTTAAAACAATTGCATTTTTATCCATTTAGGCAAATAGATGAACAGGGGTTTCAAAAATATTAGTTTCAAAACTTTTAATTCGATGTTAATATTCTTGTGTATATTAGACTTGTTCCATATTTTAGTTTAGTCATTGATACACATTGCATCCCCGAGTTACAAACATTGTTATTTGTTTCTTGTCATTTCTTTTTCTCTTTTGAATACTCTATATATTCATCCGGACTGGATCCGAAATTTTAGCGAATTAGGTGTCTTTAGGAAAACTTTAGTGTTGGGATAATGGTTTAGGTTGTTTCCTTTTTTGTTATAAAAATAAAAAAAATAATAATAATAATAGCTCTGAAACCATTAAAGTATTCAATGAATCACTCGTTGATAAGAAAATACAAATTCCTATGTAAATTGATCCTGCCTGATATGGCTGTGACTGGTGAAAACGGGGAAGTGTGATGGCCAGAAATAATAACAAAAACTACTGTAACTTCGAATGATAGTCCGGTCATCTCTCGTCGTATTTGTAAGTCTACGAATAATTTGCAAATCGTATATTTTTTATAATATTCGATAGGTAGAATTATCCGACATCGAGATCTCTCAAGCAGTGCACACCGTATAGATGTTCTCGAAATCCTTGAGTGCAGTCAAGCAGTCCGCATTTTTCAACTTCCTTAAAACTTCACATATATCGTGCTGTTCATTTGACTAGTGTGTTTTACGATTTCGATTTCTTTATGAAATACGGGGCATCCTTCATATAACATGCTTCGACATTTCTCCACTGCTGTAAAATGGCTTCCAAAGTTCGACACAATGCGATGAATAAGACGGCATTGTTACTATTCACAAGCATTAAATGAAGAAGTTTTGGCGACAAAAACTCAAGATGCAGTTTAAGTTTGGCGTGCGTGTTTTTTATCGAAGTCTAGAAAAATGTTTCATCATTTAAATTGCATGGTTCACGATATTTACCAAAACCACAATTCGTTCAAGTATCAAAATAAGCGCTGCCGAAATGTGAGTATACGATAATCCGCGATCAGCATTTTCGAGAATGTTACAAATCTTCGAAATACCATCCAATTCATTAACAAAAGTTTCGACAAGTTCTGGCAGTAAAGAAATAATTCGAACTGAAAAAATAAACTATTAAGGGGATATTTCAGATTCTTACGAATTGCTGTCGCAGAGATATTAACGAGAGACAGATTGCAATGCGTTAATCCGTGAAGAGTGTAGTTTCGCAATCTGAATCAATTTGACAATTAGTTTTCAAGTGTTAAATTACCTGTCAACGGCGGTAACATCCTTGTGTGAAACCGTAGACGACTTTTGGGCCGCCTTGATTTCGATGCGATTCAATTCAGCAATTCTGTTATAATTATCAACGCGGGTTTGCATGTCTCGAAGTTCAGTCTCCATTCTTTTACGCAAAAAATATCCTCGAATGCATTTTTGAATAACAATCGCCGCTTTTTCTCGTGTCTCTTCATCGCATTTTTGTAAATCCGTGATTATCGGATCAAAATTGGCTGTCGGTGTGCACGCAAATGCATGATTCAAATCGTCCGTCAGACTCGACACTTCCATTCCAGCATTCGTGCGATGCAATGAGGATGCCGACTCGCCTTTCGATACATCCATCGGTTTAGAAACTTTTGCACATTGCTTGAAAGTTTTGATGAGACTCAATTTATCCAGTTTATTTGCCTTAAAATTTAATGAGGTTTTCATTTTTTTCAGCCGTTTATTATAATTACCATTTTTTTTTGTTCGTTAGCCAATTTTAATTTTCTTTTAAGAATCTCACGAAGTTGATCTGAGTTGAGTAATTTCTGAACAATGAGACATTGAAAAAAGTCTGAAATCCAAAAATAACCAAGTCCACATTATCTTCCACTTCGGCGCCAGATTCAGAATCCCGACTAGCCGTCGATTCTCGAATATTTTCATTTTCCATTGCAATCTCCTTGTTTTCAACGATTTCCTCATTTTTCGATTCATCTTGAAATGTATTTTCTTTAGAAAAAACGCACAAACGACGTGGAGACTCGGAAGCCAAAGATGATCCATCTTCGAAAACTGTCGATTCATCACGATATCTACAAAAAAAAAAACAATTAGCTACAAAATATTGATTGAACATACTCGTAATTGGATATATCGTTAATTTTCTCTTTTACCACTGATTCCTCATCAATTTCCATTTGTTCGGGCTCAAGGAAATCCTTATCATCGCAATTAATTTCAACAAAATTCGAATATTCTTTTGCATGAACACTTTCAAACTTTTCTGCGACTGCATCGAAATTTGTAGCAACCGGAGATCGTTCTTGCACTACTTCGTCAGCACCATCGTTTTTGTTTTTTTCGCAAATGTTCTGTGATTCTGAGTCACATATGTTCTTTGCATTCGCGTCATTTGTCTCATTGACTTCACGTTCTTGGAATGATTCTTCTGTTGAGAAAACACTCATTTGGCCTATTCGATTTTTTTCAATCTGTTTGTAGTTATCCGCAGTGATTGTCACATTGTCATAAAATGATTCGGTTCTAATTGTTCTTTAAAAAATTATTGTTTATTTTATTTTCTACAATGTTTTCTTACTCAGAATTCGATATCGCTAATTGCTCGTCAACATCGAGAACGTCCAATTTACGGCATAATTCTTCAGCAACTAGAAATTGAAAGAAATTAGAAGATCACGAACAAAATTAATAAAACATACTTGAGCTTTCAAAATCCGTTTCATCAGCGTCAGGGTGTTTGTTCTCATCGTTCTCGTTTATCTCCTCATCTTCTTCGCCGTCTTCTTCGATCACCTTTTCGAACAAACGAATTGATTCTCTTGGAGCTTCTCCAGTTCTTGCTGGAGTTTTGGGAATCTTGAACGTTCTATCCAATTCACAATTCGACGATGTTGATTCGCGAGAAATTGTGAAAGTTGCATTGCAAAGTGAGACACAAGAAAGACGAGACGAAATCTCGCAAGGTGAAGCGTTTCGTATCATCGGAAGACTATCAACGACTTGTTGAACGATTTTGTATAATTTAGGAATACTCTATATATCGTTCAAAAAATATATATGATATGATGAATGCGTCAATTACTTGATTATATTTAAATGCCCTCCAAGTTTTTTGAATTTTTCGCGCGGCCCTATTTATTACTTCAATTCGCTGAACTCCTTCCATAAAAAGTCGAATGAATAGTGGCAGATGTTGGTCGATTCCTTTAGCAATCCGCATTTCCGATTCCGCCTAGACTTTTTTGAAAATTGAATTCGATTTCAGCGTATTCTTATACCAGATTCGTGACTTTCTCCCAAAGCGTATCACCAGGATAATGTTCAACGCGAGATCCAGACGGGTTCCAAGTATTCCATGCTTTCGCTAGCAGTTCTCCACTGTATACACTCTCAAGATCCTTCACTTCGATTCCTAAAGTCGAGCCAACTTCTCGGCATAATATTAACGCTGCATTTGAAATGTCCTCATCAGGGTTTTTATTTGAAATATTTTCATGATTAAATCGATCACGAATAAGGTTAATTTTGCTTTTGTCAGCTGTCTAAAAATAATTTAAAATGTTCTTTTAATTTGATAATTGAAAATACCACTCGAACTCCAATAATTGACCACAGGATACTGAGAACGGCCTCCTTCTTGCTGCCGACAATTTGAGCAGCACTGATATTTTCAGTTACAATTCCGAGTTTCGACATTTCATCCAATACTATCTCAACATTCTTCAATTTTCTAATACGATCCCCAGCTGGGTCTCGAAGTCTATTTAATATTGATCCCGGCTTCAAATTTCCAATAGTTTCGACGAGTTTTCTGAAAAATTCTACTTGAATATTAATCAGAAATTACTCTACATATTGTGAAGAACATTACCCAAGAATGACTCCATTCGAGAAATCTTCAAAACCTCTCGCAAAATAATCATAATCATCGATAAAAGTCTGAAAAATAAAATGCTTGGTTTTTTATTGAATCCAAACCTGATTATAAGAAGAGATGAATCCAATTCTTGCAAAGGCTTTTTTCAGAGGAATTGAAGTACCAGAAAGAATTTCTTTGCTGAATTCGACGAAGATTGAATCAAAACTCTGAATGTTACATTAAAAAAAAAGCGATATTAGCTTTCTCGATACTTTAAACTGCGATGATTTGTTGAAAACTCTTGTGACATTTGGGATGATTCTGTTTATTCGCGCTGTTTCGACCAGGAAAAATATTTTCATGGCACACGAAAGGAAGTGATTGTGAAGAGCTTCTTTTCCAGCGGCAGTAACAATCGGCCTTTATAATATAAATACAATTTTTCGACGTTCGATTGCTTACTTTCCACATCCTTGAGCGTATTTTTTGTTTTTCAACAATTTCGCATCCGAGAAAACGTTACTAATAATAAATTTGGAGAGAATGCTAAGCAGCGTTTTTGCACTAGTTTCAATGTTTCGGTTGAAAACTGTAAAATGTGCTTAAAAATAAAACAAACGTATATACCAGCTTCAAGAGCAGCTTTAAGATATGCAGGGTGAAATGACAAAAAAATGCGAAGAAGCGAAGTTTGAAGGGCTGAAATAATAAGGAAAATCTATTAAAAATTAAATGGCTACCCAAATCTGAATAAACTGCGCATTCAGGTCTAATCGAGAGAATTCTTTTGCTCAAAAGAGTTTCAATACTCTTTCCAATATCTGAGTCAATCAAAATTTTGCGGCATCTGAAATATTTCTATTATACGAAAAAATTTAACTTCGTTTCCTTACGCATCTCGAATTTTTGCCGAATTGTTTTTATCAAAAATCTTCGGGTAACGATTGATGGGTTCTGGCTGAACTTCTAAGTTTTCAGTTTTTTTAGTCTTCAAAATTTCTTGAATTTTTCGACACGCCTCTATAAATACATTTATACGGTTTAAAAATCAAACCCTATTTCTGTATACCCATTTTTGTTGAACCCATATCAATTTCTTCAGAATCATCAATATCCAAAATAGTATTACACCAAGCGGCTAAGGCAACAATTTGCTTATTGGCTTTTTCATCGAATGAAACAATCGGGGAAAACGTATGGACTGGGGGCGCCTTGTTTCTGACTGGTGTTTTCATGTCGAGTTGCGACGGATCAGTGGCAAGAAACGCTTTTTCTGTTGCTGATATATCAATGTTAGAGTTATTTTTTACTGTAGAGTTGAGTTTTTGTAAAACACGTTTCTCTGAAAAACAACATGTATAAAAAATGTGTTTTTGAAATACCGTGACGTTCAGAGAGTTTTTTCAGCACAGCTTCTCGTTTTTTATCCATTCTAACTGCAATTACGGATAAATTTAAAAGCTGAATAAATTATATAAAAGCAGAATAAGTTTAAATGGTTGAAAATAATGTCATTATTAAAAGGCGAAATTTCAAAAAATTTGAACTAGCGCGTTAGCAATGGAGCGAATTTGCTGTGAGCTAAAAACATAGTGTATTTTTAAATCTTGAACTATGGGAAGATTTATTATAATTTAAAAAAATTGATCTAGAAGAATCGAAATTAAGTGCTTTCGGTGTTGAAAGTGTAATGATAAAAACTATGCAGCTTTTGGAGGAAACCTATTTAAATCTTTTGCTCAAACTCCTTACAATGTTAGTTTTTGGAATTTTCTGCGTTAAATCCCCTTATAGCGCGCTTCATTTATGATTTCGTTATCAGGTTATGATAAAGACCAAAAATTCGCCCATGTTTGCTTTTGGATCTTTTCAACACTTCTAAAAAATGGTGAGCATTGTAAAATTTTTTCACATTGATGTTTTCAAAAATCGTAAAGATTTGAAAGTATGGAAACAAATAATTTATTACGTTATAAAGGAAAAAGTCATTCAAATAAACAAAACAACTAACAAAAAATTAATTTTTTTTCTTTTCATATTCGGCAACCTTGGAAGTATCCTCTTTGTGGTAAAGATAAACAATCGAGAACAGAACAAGTCCGATCATCATCGAGAAACTCGACGCATAATACGGATAGGCGGAACGAATGAACCTCTCATACTGTGTGTGCCACAGCGGACGAACTGACATCTATAATACATTTTGAAAAAAACCTTGATTGTATCACAAATGTGTCAAACCTGCTGAACATCATACAAATGGGTATATCCGACGCGTCTATAATCGACCAGGAATTTGAAGACTCCATAAACATCTGGTAATTTGAAGTGAGCAGTAAAGATTCCATTCTAAAATATAATTCTGTTAAAATCGAATTTAGTAACTCGATGTTATTTACATTTTAAATGAACAAATACCTAATGAAATAAAATTATAAAATTTGATGTTGAAATTCACGAACCTTGTTTTTGAGTGTAGTTCTGACAAATGGATCGATCCTAACAAGCTCGAGTTGAACATCTTTTCCATTGAATGGAACCCAGGCGCCATTTTTCAATTCTTCGATTTCGATGGTATAAACGACGTCATCCGTAATGGTATATTCCTGGGCTGGCGGTTTCGACTCCCCTTGTTTATGATGATTAACACTTTTCACCCGAAGAACGCCGTTCTCTTTCAGCACCCACTTGGTGATCGCGTCGATAAGTTGGGCATTTCCAGAAACAACATTCCTGAATCACTTGAATAATCTCGAAAATTATAAAGCTTTTACTTTTCTGTAACTGCTGGGTTCACAGAATTAACTTTAGCTGAGAAGAAAGCGTTTGAGAACATATCAACACTTCCAGTAAATACGATTCGAGCATTGTTACGAGCTTGAAGTCCGCCAATAAGAAGACCACGAGATCCAGCGATCGCCGGATTCTTAATAAAAAATATATATAATGAGACAGTGTTTTCTATATTTCCTACCACAACTTTGGTTGCACTTGGATTGTAGGAGTATGATGTTGGAGTAGCCTTCACGATACCAAGAGCAAGACGATTCGATCGAGAAGCAACAAGTCCAACCCCCTATATAGTTTATTGCATTTGATTTAATCATTTCAAGTACCTTAAACAACACAGGTTTCAGCTTGTCGACATCTCCCGTAACAAGTTGAGCATTAAGCAGTTGATTTTTCGAAATGACAAGAGTAGTGTGATCTCCAGAATCCTGCAATATCATTCATCCAAAATGTTTCGTTATTTAAAGTTTGAATTGCTAACCAAAGAAGTGTCATAGTTGTGGTGATCAATAACAGAATTTCCAGCGACATCAAATTCAAATCCATTGAGCACAGCTAGTTCTCTGATTGAGTCTCCGATGTTTGATGAGGCGGCAACAAGAACGTTTCCGCCAGCATCAACAAACTTCGAAATTTCATTTGGTGACAATGAACCACCAAAAACTGAAAAGAATAAAATATATTCTAAATAAAAATTTAAACAGGCCTTGCACTCCAGGAGCAAAAATAATCAGGTGATCAAAGATACGCTCTCCATGCTTGAAAATCGCCAAATTTTGTTCATCAGCAGCACGAACGGAAACAGTATATCCCCGAGCTGCAAAATCAAGTTTATTTCAACTTTAATTTCTCATCACATTTCAAAGATAATAGTATAAAATTGAATAGATTTTATTATTTTCATTTGAATGTTCAAAAAATCCGAGAGTTGCCGTTTTCAGAACTAACCTTTCAATGATTCAATATAGGTCGAGTGCGAGTCCTTAATCCCTACTGTTTCCCCAAGAAGTAGAATTCGGCCTACTGCAGTGCATCCTTGTATCACGGCAATTGCGATCAGCAATATTTGCCACTTCATTCCTAAAATTTCGAAACATAAGCATATCTTGGAAACAAATGTGCAAAGCCAAACAACTCTTGCCACGTTAGTTCGTCGCCTAAACTCAATTATGGTGCAAACACCGTACGCACAATCGCACTGCGAGTACGGTAGGTATATTTGAAAATGGAAATCATGAGGTCAAAAACCGAACAAACTGAAATCAATTAATCAGAAGATATAAATAGAAGGCAAAAATATTTATTACACAGAAAATTATAGTTAAAACTAAAAATCAGAATAAAAAATAGAATTTACATTTAGCACAGAAAAAATCTTCAGCTTTGGAGATTGCAACCGTTTTCCAAATAAGCATCGCATAAGTAAATATTTACAAATTCAATGAGCACAAAGATTGGCATCAAGCTGCTTAATTTGTTTCAATGCAAGCATGACTTTTCTTCGATAACTAGTTCGATCACTAGTGTAAATCGGATTTCTTTCCAGATAAACGGTATCAAGTTTCGACAAGTTAGCCAACTTATCAACTTCCTTCCATGATTCGATTCTGTTATCATTCGCCTAAAATTGAATATAAATATTTTTTATTCATATATGCTTGCCCAAAAGTCTTCGAGATTTTCCAGTAGGCTTACTGAAGAGAAAGATGTGATCTCATTGTTAGCAACGTCTAACACACGAAGATTTTTCTAAAAAAATTTAATTGAAAAATTTATATTAAAATTGAACCATTGTCTCAATTCCTTCCAAGTTCTGCAATCCTTGATCACTGATGTAAAGCTCTTCTAAATCAGCTAAAGAAGAAAGATTGTCAATAGAGACAAGACGATTTCCCTATAACATTAATTTTAAAAACTTATTTTAATGATTTATCTTACGGGAATGCTGAACAAACGCAAATTTTGTAATTTTTCGATGCCTTCAATATGACGAATCTTGTTTTTGCCCAAATATAGCTCCTTCAAATTAACAAGATGAGAGATATTCTCAATCTTTTTAATTCGGTTATCCCCAAGCTCTAATAATTTGAGCTCTTTGAGATTGTCAAGGTTTTCTATAACGGAAATCTTATTGTGGACGAAATAAATAACTTCAAGCTTTTTCAGGTTTTCAAGGCCTTTAATTTCGCGAATTCTGCAATTATATTTTAAATTAAAGATTAAAAAAAATATTTCCAACCTGTTGTAGCTCAAATCGAGTTTTACTAGATTAACGAGATTGTCAAGATTTTTAATTTCGGTAATTTGATTTTCATACAAATCAAGTTCGACCAGATTGTTCAATGAAAGCATTCTCTCGTTGATTTCGGTGAGCAAATTAGTTCGAATACACAACTCCTGCAACATAGTGGTTTTTTTTCTTATTTTTTCAAGTGAAGAATACCTGCAAATTTTTGAAGCGAGTCATGTCAGGAACTGCATCTGCACGTGTGTGGGTAATATCAATTTCCTTTGTATCATCCGACAATGTTGAAAGATCAAACTGATTTCGCACGACACCTCCCAATTCTTCTTTTTCGTCACCGCTTTTTTCACCATCGGTATCCGCGTCAGAAATCGCCGGAGTTTGTTTCTCTTCGGTCGTCATGCCTGAAATATTTATTGAAAACAAGCAAATATACAAGTCATAATCGATAAATATAATGCAAACACGGCGCAAGAAAATCCTAAAACTAAACGATACGATTTTCACAAAAAAAAAATCAATTATTTGCGCTCAAATGGATCCTTCCACACATTCTGACTTCCAGCCAATTCTTCGCGTGTTGCTCGGAGAAGAGCCCTTTCTTCTTTCTGTGCGCGTTTGTAGTAATCATTGTAAATTTTTGGATAAAGGGTAATCGAAAATACAGCGGCGCCAGTAATTAAAACTGTTGCAGCAACCGCAACAGTTCCCAGGGAAGGACTTGATCCAGCGAATTTTGGAAGTCGGTTTTTGACAGATAGCCAAAACGGGACTGGTGCTCCAGCAGGTACTCTCATCTGAATACCTTTTTTTTAATTTGCAACAAATGTTTCATTAAAAAATAATTAAAATATTAGCACTTTTTAAATAAATTAGGATAATTTTAAAACGTTTTCACCCAGGTAGTTTCAAGAAATTTTTGACTCATGAAAATGGAAATTAAATGGATTCGAAGAAAAATGAAATCGGAAAATTTATCGGACGAAACAGTGGCAAAAAGAAGAATAATATCGCTGGTTTCTTCTTCTTTTTTTTTTACTTTAATTGTTACATTCGATAACGAAATTTTTAAATGTATAATAAAAGGCAAAACATGAACATTTAAAGGGAAAAACAAAAATTACGCCACAATTTTTTGAGTGATCAAAAAGGGTATAAATACTCACATGATAAATAAATGAATTGTTATAGAAACAAGATAAAATAAAAATTAATGTTAAAAGTTACTCGGCAAATCGTTCCGTGGAAATGAAAAAGAAAACCCTTCGTCTCTCCAAACCACTCAAACACTTTTTTCAGTTTCACCCTTTCAATACTCTATTCACGCACCACGAACCGATTTACCGGTACTTAAGACAGTGGCCGAGAAAATGTTATTAAACGATGCTCCGTGTTTACGGCCGTGCTGAAACGTCTAATATACAAAAACTCTTCAATCGTCTTCATCTTTTTTTGGCTTAAATTTATTGTTCACTTAATTTGTTTATTACTACTTAATGTATACACTTATCAAATGAATGTATTTTTTTTTACAAAAAATAGTAAAATACAATTAATGTGAATTTCTTAAACACTTTTATTACATGAACGAGTCCATAAAAATTAAAATTTTCGAGAAAGAAATATTAATTATTATTTTGCAGAATTGGGGCAGAAACTTGTTAAGATGTCATCCATAGAAGGTGAGAATTGTTTTTGAAAACGTTAAAAAATTATTTTTTAGCAACGCCTACTGAAGGCGCTGAAAATAATGAAGAACAAGAAATTAAAATTCCGACGGCTGGCGAAGGAAAATCCGAAGAAGTTTATGAAATAAAAGAGATCGTGGAATACATGCTATCACGTAAAGGTTTTTTCCTAAAGGTTTGCTTTTAAAATTCTGCAAATAGTATTACAATTTCTGCAGGTGCGTTGGGAAGGATATGGTCCTGAAGAAGATAGCTGGGAACCGGAAGAAGATCTCAGAGAATGTGCCAGCGATATTGTCGATGAATTTATTAGGGGTCGCAGCGCAAAAGAAAGAAAGGCTATTGAGGATTTCAAGAAAAAAGCAGCTGAGAAGAAGAAAGAAGGCGTTTCGAGACGTGGAAGAAAGAGCAAATCATCGGAAGCAAAGACACCAAGTAAAGTCGAATATCGCGATGACGATGATGATGAAGACGAAAGTGACGAGGAAAAGGTGCCGAAAAAGAAAACGAGGTAATGCCTTGACTTTCGTAATAGCACTATAAATTAGTCTATAAACAGTTCGCGATATGATTATTTATAACTAATTGTTCAGGAAATCTCGTGCTCAGGAAGAGAGCGACTACTCGGATTCTAATGAAACAACTCCAATGAGGCCAAGAAGAAAAGCTACTGGAGGGTATATCGACTAATAAAATTGCCTAATGTATTTGAAATTTCAGCCCATCGTCATCGACAAGAAGGAAGAAGCAAGAAGAAAAAAGCTCAGTTTTAACAAAAGCCGCTGTCAAATCGTATTGTACTCCTTCGACAGCCAAAAAAGTACGTTAAATTTTTTGTTTTAAACAGTTTAATATATATATTTTTTCTATTTAAAGGCTGCCCTAAGGCATCGACACACATTTTTGGGAGATCTTTCTGATTCTTCTGATGACGAAAAAGAATATGCTGCAATGTCTTTTGATGATGAAATTCGCGCCAAAGTCAAATCAGTAAAGAAAAAAGTAAAAGAAAAAACCCTTTTTTTTTAAATATTTTAATGTCAATTTGAAGGATGACGAAGCTGAATCATCACCTGCTTCAAGAACTTTAATAAAGGCATCAAAAAATTTTATTTACGATAAATAAATAAACTTTTCAGATGGGTAACGAAATTTCTGCAACTGACGAAACTCCTATCACTAAATCGGCTTCAAGGCAACCAATGAATGGTAAAATTCTAAATTCTAAATTACTGCATTATATTCAATAAAAGCTTCAGGAGAATCGTCCTCGTGGATTGTTGAGGGAATAGCCCAGAAAAAATCGGCAAATGATAACTCGAAAATTGTTTTACTGAAGAATAATGCAACCGGCGAGAAAAAAGTACTTTCTGATAAAGGTTTGTCTATTCTGATATGAATCTTCAAATATTTCATTTTCAGAAGCTTATGCTCTTGCTGGGTGGAACTTTTGCGAATATCTTTTGGATCGTTGCTTCTTTTAAATATGCTTGTTAAAGACAATTTGTTTTTCAAAAATTTGTATAACCATAATATTTGCTGTGTTAAAAATCCAAGCGGTGTTTGTTCCAATATCATTCCGCGTTTTTTTTGTTTTCAGTTGAAATTACCCAAATGTACTTTCCACAAAATGCTTCTGAGAGCATTAACTGGTTCTTACGAATCTCACAACAACATTTTTGAATACCTGAAATTATCTCGTAACACGTACCTGTTATTATTATTATTTTTTTTCCTTTTAAAATAAAAATTCGCTCGCATGATTTTTTCTTCGTTTTTTTTCCATGGTTTAATTCCATATTTACTTTTGCAATTTTCAGTCGGTTTTCTCATTTATCTATTTACAGTAATGATAAGATGACTGACCGACATATGTCCAGTATTTTCCCGGAATGTGATCAATTAAAACAAGTAATACTTTAAATATTTTTGTTCAAAAAGTTCCTTAATACGTTTCCACTTCAGATATACGACAAATGTTTCACTGAGTTTTTTCAAAAGTTCATAACTCCCAATTATCGTCACCAATATGCTATTAATCCGTGCGAACGCCTACACGAAGTATACAAAACATGTGTGGAAGAGGTTTTACTTAATTTTTTTTTTATTAAATGAAAAATTGTTTTAAATTACGTCATATTTTCCAGAGATTGGAATCGAAAAAACCATTCGATATTGATCTGAATGAGATTCGGAAAGAATATTTAAACACTGAAGAAGACAATTTGAAAGATCGACCAAATCAACAATAACTTTTATTTAGTCTTTCCTCAGCTTTGGACGTGATTCTGGTCTCATCTGAATACTTGACTCAAACATCTCGTGGCTTTAATTGAGCAACGTATTTATTCTTTATGGACTGTAATTAATTTTGTTGTTGTGAATATCACGTTGTTGTGTTATAATTGTTTTCGTCCTATGTTTCGTGAAAATAGACGTTTAATAGATATTTTTATTAGATAGAATTCTTTCAAAAAATAAATCTGATCAATTTGTTGGTCCTTATTTGTATTGTATTGGTTAGAAACCGTTTCTATCTCGCTAAGTTAATTAAATCCCGTTATAAAATCAACTAGTTCTTCAGGAAATGGACTCGAATTACATTCCGGGAAACATGGGGCTTTTCCCAAATCAAGCAGGAACCAGCATCGTAGGTTTTTTTTAATCATTTTTATCGAGTATATTTTCGGTGTCGCGCGTCTGCGGAAAATTTGTTAAATTCCATTAAAAAAATTAGAGAAATAGTTGGTCCGCCTTTGGAATATCCTTATAATTAGGCTCTTAAAATACGCTTAGTTATGCACGATGACCGCTTCCGGGGACTTATTAACAAACAATCCTTTGAAAAACCGCATATTGGTTTTCACTTGGCATATTTAATTGTTGCATTCAAAATGACAAAATAGTCGAACCGTCGAATTTCAAATAATTAAAAGCGCTCAAAAACGTGTGTATTATTGAAGGATTCGATACCATAATAATTTCCCACAAGAAAATTAATATACATTGATAATTTTTTGTATCAACATTTATGCATTAAGCCTCATCATAATGGTACGGATAGCCCTCAGCAACGAGGGAATTCGCATTCTGTTCCAGAAACACCCAACCAAACTGATCACCAAGAGGATCGATTTGTGACTCTTGAAAGAAAACTAGACAACTTCCAGGTATTTAAATTTTATTAACTGAAGAAAATCAATTTTCGTGTTTTTAGGAACTCGCACGACACATTGGAGTGATTGCTAGTGATTTCAATCAGCGGAATCAAGATGCATTGAATGGAAAAATTTATTCTCTCATTCATAATATGCAGGTTCGATTTAGTACTGTGCAGAATGCAATTTAAAATAAATTTCAGGAATTGGATAATATGAAGAACTCATTTAATGATGTTAAAGTTCCAATTGAATTGCTTGACATATTGGATCGCGGCGAGAATCCCCAAATTTTTTCGAAATTGGTCTTAGAACGAACTCTCGAGAAAAACAAAGAAGTGAATGGAAAAATTGAGATTTACAAGAAATTCAAAGCTCATTTATTGAGAGCTTTTGGAGAAGAGATGCCGGATATGGTTCTTACGTACAGGAATATGCGAGAAACACCTAAAGAATTGGAGAATTTGTAAATTATTTTTTTTTTCTCAATTTTTATTTGTTTTACAATGTTGCAAGAATGTATAAACAATTTTATCACACTATTATTTTTATTATTAGATTATATTCATATATATTTGGGTGCATCATACCCTTTGATTAATTAAAATAATAAACACATTTCAGCTTCTAATTAGAATTTTCCAGATGTCAATTGGGGCTAATGCCGTTATGAGAGTGCAAAACGCCGGTTCGGCTAAACTTATCAAGTATGTTTTAAAAAAAACCAGTTTTTTTGAAACATCGTAATGGTAATATGCAGATTTTGGGAAGGAAACTTTCAAAGTAAAAAAAGGATTTTTTTTAAGTTTTTTTGCGAATTATAAGATTATAAGATAAGATTTATTCAAAAATTCATTAATTTTATTTATTTTTTTCTTATTTAATTTCATTTTGAAAAAAATACACGAAAAAAATGTGACAATTAGGATAAAACAGATTAACAAAAAATTCTGTAACTTCAAAAAAAGGCGTAAAATAAATTGTCCCATGTGCATCACATCTTTTTACGTAATTAATTTCCATATTATCTATGTACTGCATATAAAAAACACATTTTTTCCGTCCATAAAGTGTTTATAACTTTTAAAGGTTTGTGCCGCACTTTGTGTCATTGCGATTAAGTTGGGCTCATAATGATTTGAAAGCAGAAGGCCTGGAGAAGTTCATGGAAGAATATCTACCAGTTATCAGGTTTATTTCTTACAATGGTTTAAAAACAATTTTTTTATTTCAGAGAAAATAATCCACAAATCAAGTATTTCCTTCATCGAACATATACAGTTTGTGATCCATTTGTTGTCGGCGAGTATGTATATCATTACAATTTCACATTCACAATTAAATGCCTAGGTATGCTTGGCTTCGACACCGAAAGAAGCGCGTCAATTGGAAGTCGAAAGAGCAGATTCTGTCGATTGTTGAGGAAATGTCGATTGGCGGCGATTATCGTGAAGGTGTGTTCCGTTTCAATTATTCTTTTATTACATTACTCGTTTCGAGGTTATAAACGCGGAGTGAATCGAAGACTTCCGCGTGGTCAAGAACTTTGGGATACGGAAACAATGGGACATGATATTTTCCAGGTTTGAATTGAAAAAAAATCTCCCTGAATCAGTATACCATGGAAACGTTTAAAAATACGAAATTAATTATATGTCCAATATCTTCTTCATTACAAAGAAAACGATCAACATGGACCAGCAGATGTTTTCCGCGCGTTAATTCAAATTTCAATTTAAACCGTGGGATTTCGTGCAAAGTACTACAGATAATATGCACGCGATTGTCGTCACCATAATTTACGCTTTGAGTGCGTGTCAAACATATTCAAGACGACTTTTCGACTAATTGAATCTTTCTCTTGTTTGTCTCCAAATGATTCGAAGGTTATTTCAAGACAAAACGTATCCGCTGTTTTTCAAACGACTTTTCCATTTTATTTATTCAAATTTCAAATTATGTTTTTAAAAATGAATTAATCATTTACAGGTGTACAGCAAATGGAAAGCAGATCCATTAGACGACGACGAATTGCCGGTTACATCGAAGACGCATCCTCATTTTACGTTTAGGAAATATTAACTTAATTTCTGTAATCATGTTTCTGAATAATTTAGAATTAGATTTTGTTGATAAATACATTGTTATCATGTGGTGATCTTCACAGTCACCTTGTAGTCAAGCTTGTGGACATTTTTCGTGTTGTACACACAGCTCGGTACTACAGGGTAGCTGATCCGACCTCATGGTGTTGGTGGTTGGCAGTAGTCATAGAATAGTAGATGAATACTAGTGTGGCGTGAAGGAAGGCGGAAAAAATAGAGGAGACGAGCGCGGACTGGACAACTATCTACTGGGTCATAAATTTAACGACCGTGTTCGGCAGACGCGAAATACTCGTCTTGTTTAACAAGCCGGTGGTTCGAACTTTTCTTTTGATCGCCAATATAGTTGGTAAATAATGAAAAGCCGCTGGCTGAAAATGCGACTAACGTCAGAATGATGTGATTGGGAGCGCACCAATGGGCGGCGTCAGACTCCTCCCATACAACCACGCCCACTTATTCTATGGGTCGTTTTTTTGTGAAATGGAACTGCGTCATTATTGAGAAAGCTAGAATTAAGAGGATTAGAAAAATACCATTAGTTCGGATTTCGAATGGATTAGAGAATCGGCAGGCGAAGGCCGAAGATAAGCAGCAAATGTCCCGTTTCGTAAGCTACTACGAACTAAGAAGGGAACAAAAAACCGACAGAATTTCTGAAAATTTGATTTGATTTAAAAAAATCACTATTTTAAAAAGTTTGCAACTTTCGTGATAAATAATTCAGTATTAAAGACTCTGAGAGTTTTGTACCTGATTTTATTGTTATCGTTTGAATTGTGCGAAACAAAAATAAATCTAGGACCCATTTTCGCAGCTGAATAGCGCACGATTCTTGGAGGGACTTGATGTTTTATGGGTTCAGACGATGGCCGTCAACCGACCTTGTGGCACACACACACATGCGCTCGCATACTACCGATTTACGAGCCATCAAGCGAGGAAAATGTATTCCAATCTGCATTTTGTGACATTTGAGACCAACATCACAAACACATGTGAATTGAGTGTTCAAGATTTGAATGCGCTTAACAACTTATACGATGATAGAATTTAAATATTCTTTTGAGAATTGCGCATAACAATTATAATTTATCAAATGAGCGCCAGCTGATGAGATTTTCAACAATTTCGTGGGATTTGTTTGTCGTTCCCAACCATTACGGGAGGAAAGATGACGCCGAAAAGACAGACGAATATTTGAAAACATATAATTCTCAGTTGGTTGCGCGACACTGCGCGTAATAATTCAAAACCGACTTCAAAGCAAAATCGCCGCCATCGCCGTCGCATTCGTCGTCTCGGCTCGATACAACGATGCGATTTATGTATTCGAAGTACGGTGGTGGTGGCGGCGGCACTTCTCTCCGGGTTGCTCACATTATTTCCAGGAACGCATACGTTTTTTTTTGGCTGCGGACCGCTTCATCCCCCCGATGCCCGTTTTTTTTAACCATATTTCTCGTTCCACTTTGTGTGCTCAATTTTCGAGCCGCCAACGAATTCGAAATGACGGATAATCGAAGAAATATGTGCCGAGGCGAGGGTTGGTTTTTGTTGCGAAAAATATGCGGCGGGACCTCGTCAGATAATTGATGATTTATTGGTTTTGAGAGAAAAAGAGAGATACGGTAGTTTGTTGAGGTCTCACTGGGTCGAATGGATTTACGATGTCTCAAGAATCATAAAAATAAAACTAGTAACGATATCCCGATCCAATGTGGATTAAAAATATATTAATAGAGGATTGACAGTTGGAAACCAATTTTCTTAATTCAATTATTCGCTTGAAAAAATTATTTATAGCTATATAATCAAATCAGTCATCAATCAAAAATTATCGATATTTATATGTTGTGTGAATATTCAAAATAAAAGAGTCTGGTTTTTTGTTAGATCATATGAATCTTCTTATCAACGTGTTCTCATAATAAACTATTCACAAAGACTCTTTTCTGTTGCCATAGCGTGCATAATTTTTGTTTATGATCATCCATAATTATAACGATATATCGTGGGAAACCGTACCTTCTTTCTTTTATTCCATGCGCACCTCAAAAAATGAATCAAATGTGCGCCATCTCCACATTTGGTATTGTGTTTCGTCGCCGTCCACCAAAATTTATGCGTTTTTTTTTGTTGGACGCGTAGGACCCTTTTGCATGATGCGTTTTATGGCTCATTCGCTATCAAAAAAGAACTGAAGACAGCGTCGACGACAATGCGGCGAATTTGATTGAGAAACATGACAGAAACGAAAAAAATGAATAGGGCAATCGTACCAAAGTGGCCGGCATTAAGAGATTGAATGGAGAATGAAGAGAGCTGCAGAATTCCGATTAATGAAGAGAATTGGAAATATCGAGGAGAACGGGTGAAAATGTTAAAAAAAAACATTAGTTCAAAAAAAGAAATGGAAATTCAATTACTGATAAATGGGATATAATTGCAACAATTTCGAGCATATTGTATATGTAGAACGATGTGTAAATTGTCGCGAATTATTTGCACAATTTCGCTCGGTGCACTTGACAGCTTAGCCACAAAATACTACAATGAGGCAAAAAAGACGATTCGTTATGAATTTACCACATCTCATTTTATTCTATTTCTATTTTTTCGAACACGCAGAAGCAAGCAAAGCCGAAGCGAAATTGTACAGGTTTGCTGCTGTATTGAAGGATATTCGGCAATACATTAGGGCCTTTCAGGGATTTACTCGCCGACTATAATTATTTAGTGCGACCTGTTCGCAATCCGACTAAAGCTTTAACAGTAACCATGAACGTGTTCATACAGGTTTTCCGAATTATTTAACTTTTAAAGCGAATTGTTTTGCAGCAAGTTCTTACCGTCGATGCGAAACATCAAATGATTGAAATTAATGCTTGGCTAAAATATGTAAGAATATCAATGAATTCTATTGAAAGTTGGTTATTAATAGAAATTTTGCGTTTCTGATATCAGTTTGAGATTGAATCCAATTTAGGTATGGACGGATTATCGTTTAAGATGGCGACCGGCAGATTACGACAACATTACATCAGTGAGGTTTTCTGGAGAAGAACAAATTTGGCAGCCCGATATTCTTTTATACAACAGATATATTGAAAAGTATTTTTTTTTAATATAATTCATCACTGATTGTTGTTTCAGTGAGCAAGAAAGCTTTGATAGCACATTTAAAACAAACGCTCTGGTTTACCACGATGGTGTAATTAATTGGATTCCACCCGGAATTTTCAAGGTTTAAAAAATAATGTTTAATAGTAAGTCCTTGAAAAATCGTTTAAGATTAGTTGCAAAATGGACATTACATTTTTTCCATTCGATGAGCAAATTTGTTTCATGAAATTTGGCTCATGGACGTATCACGGCTTTGCGTTAGATTTGAGAATCGCCCAAAATGGAACACAAGGTGTGCTCATTTTATTTTTTTTTGAACATTCCTTATTAATATTTTTATTGTTAATTTATTCAGAACCATCGGCAGATCTCTCAACCTATATTCTCAACGGAGAATGGCATCTGATTTCTGCTCCAGCTCATCGTGAAGAGAAGTTTTACAAATGTTGCAAAGAACCGTATCCGACAGTGAAGTAAGCGTTTATGAATCGATGAATAGAAATGAAAAATAGCATTTTTGAAGATTTTATCTTCATCTTCGTCGACGAACATTCTTCTACGTCTTCAATGTGCTCCTTCCAACATTATTGGTCACGTTTATGACACTTTTAACCTTTTGCCTTCCAGCTACCGATTTGAGCGAAAAGATTGGCTTGCGTAGGCCATCAATGGAATATAGATATGAAACGATATAGTTGAATATTACAGAAACCACAATTCTGCTGTCAGTTTGCTTCTTTTTGACGATTCTCTCCGAAATGACTCCAACTACATCGGAAGCCGTTCCCTTATTGGGTGTCTTGTTCTCTGCGCTGACTATGATCGTTGCAATTTCAACAACATTCACAATTTTCGTTCTGAACGTAAGATATCGCCAAATATCGAACCATTCGATGGGACCATTGGTAATAATTTTCAGAGATTTTTTGCACTACTAATATTGATTCAGTTTCGCTCAGTTTTCGTCGAGTTTCTTCCGTGGTTGATGATGATCAAAAGGCCGGATTACAAATTTCGACGAGGTTCTTCTTATAAAGACGATCATTCGCAACAATGTGTGCAATGCGCAAGAAGCGGCGAATTGAAAGGAATTCTGAGAGGGTCTGATGGAGAGTCTGATGTCGAATTGAGCCATCGGTTCCCTTCAGAAACGTTGTCTCTGGAAAGAAAAGTTGGAGATGTATCGATTGATTGTTGAATTCTCTGAACCAAATCACCAATTTAGGGGCTTTTTATGCAAAAACGATGCGAGATTCATGAACAAAGACGATTCGAACACTTTGAAAAAGCGATGAAAGCCTGCGAACAAGAAGTTAAAGAAGAAGGTTTTTTAAAGATTATTGCTCAAATGTTTTCCAAAAAAATCTAAAATTTTCAGCTTCTGAACTCACCAATATTCTATTAAGTACATTTAAAATGTATGAATCCGTCGTTCAAGAAGTATACAAAATTAAAAAGCGATTCGACCAGCGGAATAAGTATCGTCAAATCGAAGAAGAATGGAAATTTGCCGCCATGGCAATCGATCGATTCTGTCTTTTCTTGTTTTTGATTGTTTTGATCATTTGCTGCTCAATGTTTGCTTTCATTCCTCCAATCAAAATTCTCGATTAAAAATAAAATACTTATTATGTATAGATTGACATTATTAGCATTTGAAAATACATATTATTAACGAGTAATAATTTTAATGATAATGCATATCGCAGATACTGAATAAATATTGAAGCCGAAAGACACGTATTGGTCCAAAATTGATTTGAATGAGCATGACTAGACTTGATTTTCGAAGTATTTTTTCATTTTCTTGGTGAAGCAGTAATTTCTCTTCTGAATCATCGATTGTGATCAATTTTGAAATCGAAAAATTACCGGGCGCCGCTCGAAACTCCAGTTAGACTCCTTCTTGTTCCATCCCTTTTTATCGTTCCGCTTTTCGTGAAAACTTGCCCGATTTTTTCGGCAAAGATTACACTGCTTATCGATTCGTTGAGGCTTTTTGCATCTGGTGACAAGTGCACAATAACAAGAGTTTTACTATCTCCATCTGAACAATCGTTTTTAGTATGCAAATACAACGCAATAAAATGCCATCCATACTCAAGCTGTCCTCCAGAATTCGAGTCAGCTGACAATTGCGGAATGGAATGTGTTTTTGGTTTTGACGAAGCGCGAGCACAACGTTTCCGAGCTCCGAAAGGGACCTGAGCCCATATTAAAAATAAATATTTCGAACACGCTCAATTGCAAACTTATTAATTGATTGAGCCTCCTTCAACAATTGCCCTGTTGCATTGGTTTGTGAGACTCGTTCCGATCCGGCCAAATCCACAAGATTTAGTCTTCCTGAAAGGCGATTCCGTCAAAAATCATTAGCGGACTTATACCAGTCGTGGTATTGTTGGTGATGAGATTGGTTGCGGTGACAAGAACACGAACGATCACGTGCGATCTACTCGACTCAATGTTTGCCTCCGTCGCTGCAACGGCTTTATTTTTGCGGCCACGCGTCAACGTGTCCGTCACTTCTTGCGCAGAGTTTACTGTAATTTCCTCAAGACCCGGAATCGCGCATTTGCCGTTTTCCGTCTGACGAATCGCCAAATTCGTGTTGCTTGTGTTCAACAAGTCTCTTAAGCCAAACGAATGAGCAAAATGAGACAGCGACTGTTTGAATACCTAATTTTTTCATTGTAGATCTCCATCATTGACACTTTGATAGTGTATTTGATGTCATCATTTCGTTCATTGGCTGTTTCGAACAATTGCATGATCGCTCTTTGATTAATTCCAGGATTCTCGATCGGCCCTTCCATCGTATAAGTTTTTCCACTTCCGGTATGTCCATAGGCGAAAATGCAAACATTGTAGCCGTCAATGCAACTTGTTATAATTGGAGAAACTTCATCAAAAATCTGAAAGTGATAATGGTTGAATATGAAATCGACAAATACAATTGAAACTTGTTGCTGCGTGAAATCCATTGGGATAACTTTATCGGCACTGGCACTCGTCTTTTTGGCTCCCTGAGCATTGCAGACATGCACAACTCCGTTATCCATTTCATCAATATACACTAATGGTTTTTGCTCATTGTGCTCCAATTGCGGGCGAACGCGGTAAAACACACGAATGTTACCTGAATGAGAACATTTTGATTGGCGATTCGATCGCCATCATCGACGCACCATTCATTTCAACCAATTGATTGTGCAATTGCTTCCTCTTTTCCATTTCAGCCTTGTAGCGTTCGATGAGGACCCGGAAGAAGTCCGTCGTTTTCGAAGTGAGCATCATCTTCATTTCGGTCATGCACACATTGAACGCGTCCTTCGTGTCCAGAGCTAATTGTCGCAGCTCATCCTGAAGCAAACTGCGTTTTCATGCGACGACAAGACAAACAATTTTGGAAATTTGATATTTCTACGGAGAACGCAAACAAGAGACAAAAAAATCGGGAATGTATTAAATATTCTACCCACTTTTAGATATTTTCGTTGGAAATTGTGTGACTTCGAAAATAGAGCCAGAATCTCACCTTCTCATGCTTCAACTCTTCAGCACATCTTTGCAACTTTTTGATTTGCGATTCTTCTCTCATCGATTGGGCCATCAAATTGTACGGTTTCACATCTCCTTTTGGCACCGGACTCATCGATCTGGAAAAATGAGGGGGGCGGGGCATAATTGGTGAAACTGTTTCGTAGATTACCGGACTGAAAATCTTGATTCGCCGCTAGTCATATCACTTTCATAATCCTCATCGGTCTCCAACAAATCAGTCATTCTTTGCGATTTTTGAATTTGTGTCAACGCATTTTTAAGGCGCAGATTTTCTTCCGAAAGCGTTCCAAAGTCCAACGACAATACTGAAATTCCTTTGAGCATTTCATTCCTTTTTGTGTACGTCGTCGCTCGACCTGCAATTCAATACCGTAACCAGTTTGTATTTCTTCTTTTTTTTCTTCCGACAGGAAAATAAATGTAATGTTAGAGCGATTTGAATTGAAATTTTTCGATGATAATTAGAAGAAAATTTCGAATTTTACTCGTGACTGGCCATGATATCGAATTGCACCAAAAAGAACAATAATCACACCAATCACAATCACACCAAATGCACAACGAAAATAAAACTGAAAATGTGAATTATTATTATATTATGATTTTTTGTTTTTTATTTCATAGATTGTCTCCAAAATAAACTAGGAAAATTCAAAAATGTCGCAAAATACTCTCGAGAATTCAGAATGGCTTTGGCGAGATTGCAGCCAGCCAATTTGTCAAAATGCAACATTTTCGAAACTCAAAAAAAAAACGAAGAAGCATGCTTCACTTTCATGCATTTTTAATTGGAAAATAACACAAAAAATAAAAGAAAACTCAAAATATTTAAAAAAAAATGATTTAAAAAACCTTGAATGAAGTCTTCCATATTGGCAATTCTTGCTTCCTGTTCGTCAATAATATCTTCCAAATTTCGAAGCAATCGATCTTTCGTCTAAAAATGGCACAAAAATAATTCTGAAGTGGGTAAAAATTGCAAAGACTATTCGTGAATATTCACTCATTTCATCAATACCTCAATATGCGTTTCAAGAATCCTCATTTGCAATTTCATATTCACCAATTCGACCTCGTGAATATATTTGCATTGTTGAAATATGTCAACTTCCCCAATTTGGGAATCCATTATTTATATGCTTCGAACAGCAGTTTCGATCGTCTGAAATTCACATTAAAATCGATGATTTATGAATTCGGGAAATAAATAAACACAACGACGACGACGAATAGGATGATGATGATGACGGTGGTGGTGGTGGTGATGATGATGAAGTGAGCGAAAGACACAGAGAGTACGGGTTCGCATAATTGGCGAAATATCAACAAAATTCCGAAGGATTAAAAACCATTGGCGAGATTCGATTTTTCGCCTCTAATCCGCCAACTAAAAAAAACGAACGAAAATTGTATAATTGGCAGGCGTAAGACGGGCAAGGCAGTCAGTCGGCCCGACGGGTATTATTGTGCGCGATTCTCAGGTAGAAGACACTCATTTTGGGTCGACAAACTAGTCGCCAACTGCGAATAAACATACAAAACGGCAGTCGGGCAGAAAGATGAGTATAAAATTGCACAATGCAACTTTATTTATTCGCCTCCGGCTTTTCTATTTTTCGAATTTAGTTGTTTGTTGACAAGCACGATGATAAGATGATGCTAGTAGGTAAATAAATAAATGTTGTGAATGAAAAGACGAGCGAATTACGCAGCCAATTTTGGGAAAGGCGTGGTCGAGCCTAGTCGAAGTACCATCATCAATCAAAAGAAGACCCAACAACTCGGTCGCACACATATTGAACTTTCGTCTTAAATATTTGAATTTTTTTTGTGATGTGAGAAAAGAATATTTTCGGCAAAAGCGTTTTCCAAATATGGTGATAAGATTGATAGTTTGTGCATTCTATTTGGGTCATTTCAAATTCGATACAGGATTGCAGCAAAATTAGGTGGGCATCAAAAAAACAAAATAACATAATGGAAAAACAGTCTACCAACTTATTAAATGCATTCTTTGAATGAAAATGATTATAAATAAAACGACTGAAATGTTAGTTCAAGTATCTGTCAGCTATTATATAACATTCTGGTCATCCCAAAAAAGGTGTGATCGGCAGGTGGAACGTTGTTGAACAAACTATAATTAACGTGTATAATATGCGATATATAATAATTGGATGAGATGAAAACCAAAACAAATTGAAGGTGGAGCCCGCTGAACAAACATTGAATCAAATGAATGAATTCCACTACTACTACAACAACTATTACTGGCATCGTATCAAACAGAGAAAAAAAATGAGTGGTTGTCAAATAGGACAAATGGCAGCCAAACATTCATGAAATCATCGAGGTTATTGCTGGAATATGAGAAGGACGGGACAAACAAGACAGGAGGGATAGAAGAAGGGGATGACGCGAGTTGTAACAAATGATACTTGAAAATATGACGAAGAATATACACATTCACATACACACTTTGGGTTCGACGTCCCGTTCCAAATAATAAATAATAATTGGTTTTGATTCGACAGCCCAATTTTTGTTTTGTTGTTGTTTTTCGCAAAAACTTATACTGCTATCTGAATCGACAACGAAACTTTAAACCAATTCTAATTATAGAAAATGCTATTTTAGAGTTTCGTTTCTGACGAGTAAGGTTTAATGAGTAAGTATTCAGTATAAGAAAATTCAAGAAATTTGAATGCGATTAGCGATTACATTTTCTGAGATTATCGAATTCTTCGAGAAAAAAACATGTTAAAATGTACAAAAAAAAATATCAAACTAAAAATGGTTTCGTCATGATGATGTGAAAACTTTTGCAATTTTGACGATATAATTAAGCTAAATTGCTCTTGAACAACATTTCGTATGTGAAAATTTATGTAAGAACTGAACCATAATCATTAACAATTATAGTAACCACCTTGTTTTTTAATGATCGAATCCAAATCTGTGGGGCTCTCTGAGAACAAGAAATATTAACAGATAACTGTTGTAATCAATTGGCGGATGGGAACAGTAAAATAAAGGAATGTGGTGATGAATGCGAGCAACGCATGAGCAACGTTTTATTGACGCAAAAGATTTGAGTTGATGGGCACAATTCGGAGAGGCGAATGGAACAGGTATGAACACCCGAATGGCGGACTTTACGTGAATGTTTCACAACCAAACAATCATTATCAACGAATCGACACACCCAAAAATTCGCTGATTATGTGTCATGCACTTATTTGGATATGTCTAGTATGTTGAGGAGAATCTCGCCAGAATATGTAGTTGGCATTTGTGAGAAACGCAGACAACTCGTAATAATAATAATAATAATAATAATAATAATGAGAATATGTACATGAATATGGATAGAGAGAAGAGTATTATAATAGTGACGAGGTTTTGCTGGACAGTGGCCTTGGAAAATTGCTGGAGAGGAGGTAAATGAGGTGCGTAAAAAGCGAAATTTCGATTGATTTATATTGTTTACTAGTACGTTATGTATACCCTAATTAGGTTTCTCTTCAAGTTTCGCACATTGATTGGTTCCTTTTGTAATAATGGAATTGAAACAACCGAATCAAATCAGAATCGAACGAATTCCCTCAAAAGTATGTCAAATTGGATGGTTGAATGTGTATGCAAAAATTGGTTATCCGATTAGAAATCTCATTTCGTATATTGCATTTTTTTAGGGGAATAGGAGATGAGCTAGCCAAAAACATTCGCATTTTTCAGAAATGAGAGATTTTTGATAAGATAAGCACGTTTTATTGATGATTTTGTAGAAAATGAAATAGTAAAAAAAATCGAGTTTGATCAAAAAGGTAACAACTTTTTTGAATACTCTGCAACTTGCGTTATTTTGATTTTCATCGATGATTTGTTGCCGACTAGTAGGCTTGAAAAAAACCGGAAAATACGAAACAAACTTTTCAATTTTTTTTTAACAGAAAAAATTTGGGCGGCAGTTGAAACTATTCATAAATTTTTCAAAAAAAAAACGGGGGAGAAAGAGACGTTTTGAAATGAAGCGGATGCCAAAAATTGAGCGTTGAAGAATCGCCTCAATTTTTGGCGAATTATTCATCGAAAGGGTAAATGAGACTATACGACATGAACGAAAAACAAAGAACTCGAGACGCTTGGCCAACGAATGACATTGCAAATTGCGAATGTGAATTTTAATATGTTGTGGTGTGAAAAAAAGACGAATGAGAATGAGCTGAGTGAGAGAGCAGCAAGCTAGCGAGCTCGACGAACCTCACCCCCCACTTTCGAAGTCGGTGTTCTCGAGAAAATTGCACGAACCGCAATTTTTGGAAATGAAACGAATCACATTTTCGAAAAAAAAATCACCGTGAAAATGATCGATAGCGAATTTATATACATCTCTTATCAAAACACACGGAAACCGCTTTGATAAATGTGTGAAAAACCGAGATAAGTCGTTTGAGAAGTTCAATTTTCTAAGAAAAAAAAACGGAATGTGTTGTAAGGGGGGGAGAGGGAATAAACAATCAACAATTGCGAACATCTTGGCCTCCTCTAGATGATACTTTTTTTGTTTTAAAATGACACTTGAGAGACCGTTTTGATGCAATTCAAGAGGTCACTCGCCCAGGTTTTACGATGTTCGAAGTTTTCGCCGAAAAACAAATATTCTAGAAATGCAGGATTTCAGTTTTTTTTAAATATTTCATTCAAAAACGGAATATTTGAGCGATATATTTGATGTGAACAAGCCATGAATAAAATATTATTTATACGATAAAAAGAAATTGCGCATTTTTCTTTGAATAACAGCATTGTGTGAAGGTCGAACAAAAAAAAATAAAGAATGGAAGGCAGTGTTTCGTCCAATTTGGAGTATCGCGACTGATTAGAGAGCAAGAGAGCTCTGAGAAGAAGAGCACATGCTCACCACCAACCGCAATGGTGTGAGTTGGGTGCACCCGTTTGGGTTGTTATGGCAATGTGACGAATATAGATTTCAATGCGTCGCAAAGTTCATGAAGCGGAAGCAATCCAAAGAGGTCAACAATTGCAAAAAAGGCCCTTGAACAACTTTGTCTTCTCGATTCGTTTAATGCATTTCGCATACGAATCCAATCTCTATTGCATTCTGAATGAATGACTCGACAATATTGCGATATGGGAATGTATCTTTATTTAATGAAGTGCATTTGAAACAAAACTCCTTATGGGTTGTACTCAATTGGCAAGTTCTTTCTGCGGACCATTCCGTCTCCTTGGAACCATTCGCGACGGAACTGTTTGGCAGCACCATCAGGGGTATTCGTCCATTCGACGGTGATACGATCATTGTTGGTGTCCTGCAATCAATTCCATCAGTTGGATCAACGATTCCTGAATCCGATTTACCTCCTGTCCGAAAGCGAACGCGTCGCAGGAAACAGCGAGAAGGACGGCTTCCTTGGGGTCGAGAACTCCGCATGGCGGGTCAACTCCAAGTCTCTTCAAGTTGGTCGTCTTGATTCCGAATCCGATACGACGGGCCGACGAGTTGATCACCTTGATGTGGTAGGTGTGCTTGTCATCGTACGGAGCGTTGAAGACAATCTTCGCGTTTGGTTGGGTTTGGATATCTCCTGGTGGGACGGATTGAGCCATGTCTGAGAGCTGTCAGAGACCGATGCTCATCCGGAGTTTATTCCACCTTTTATACTCATTTCTTATCAAGATTGAACTCATATCTCTTATGATGATTCGAATCCAAATCACACGTTAATAAGATAATAATTTCTTTTAAAAATATAAAGAGAAATCGGTTCTACATATCTGCAAATTGTACTCTGAAAATCATTGAATATTGTAGGAGCTAGAAAGAATATAATTTAAACAATCTACTGAGTAATGCTTTATTGCAACTCAATGGTTAACTTTTTCTGACATATTCCACCGACTATTTGGGTTAATCCGGTCAGCACGATTCGAACTTTTCGGTATAAATCATAACCATTTTTTTCAACGTGAAACTGCAAATTCTCGAGAATCCACAATGAAGGTTCAAGAATTCGAATACACCATAAATGGTTATATTCTGAAATGCACAACGTCGTTTCCAATGCATATAGACGACAATGAGGTATGAATCTTTTTGTATGTCGCTCTCAAAAAATTCGTTTCTTTTTTATAGCGTAAAATGTTTCAAAAAGTGAAATGTATTTATTTTTTAATAGATTGACGGTAAGCCCTTTCACTCAGCCATTTCTCAAATTGTGACATTGCACCAAAAGACAATCACCAATGAGTTCACCCAATATTGTTTTTCAACAATTATTGTTCTCAAAGTGTAAATAATCAAAATAATAAAAATCCAGAATTCGGGAATTTTTATGAGGGAATTTTATATACGAGTCATATGTATTTTGCGCGACACTCATCTCTTTTTTTCTTATAAAACAAAACCAAATAAATGAAATTCAATGAGAACCAAGTCGAATTAAATTGGAACTCGTCAAATAAACACAGAAATCAAAAATTTCAGAAAAAATCTCAATGTTGCTTTGTAATATAGAATAATATGTAGTTATCTGGATAATAATCAACGATATCTTCTCCGTTGTCCATTATTTGCCAAGCTTTGAATCCTTACATCAATTCGTGTTATTTTCCAAATTAAGAAAATATTCAACTGAATCTGAAAAACGACATGTCTCAACTTATGAGAGGGTCTTTCAGTGCGAAGTCACATTTTACCAAAATCGCTGGAAAATAGTGCTAATATTGAATATAATATTCCTAATTAATATTTTGAATAAATGACTGAAATGTAAAATTTTGAGAAATTTGTTGAAAAAGAAGAAGAAAGTGTTTTGCTAGAATCAACAATTCGAATACTACTAATTTTTGTACGCAAATAAAAGAATCGCAACGATCGTGCGAACTTCCAACTAGCCGAAATATCGATTTATTCAATTTTTGTTTCGCAAGCCAGCCATCTTTGGACGTCACCCGGCTTTCATTCATTCATCTGCGTTTCGTCGACTCACGCACTATTTCGCCCATTACGTGCTTTTCCTTTTTATCAGATTTATGTGCCGCCAACCCCGGCGAATCGAAACAATGTGTCTTCTCCGTGGCACCCATCTCATTTTCCCATTTTCTTCTCTCTTTTTTCCTCCATTTTTTTTGGAACCAACCCGTCGCTTCCTAATATTTCCTATCACACTTTCATACATTTTGTGTTGTTTGACGGCTGACGACGACGATTGCACATCGCAACGAAGGTGTCGGATTTCGCGCGCCAAATTCTCGCATTTTCAGCATGAACAATCAACCGGCCGCGATCTCGGCGGCTCGTAAAAAGGTATGCTTTTTCGATTGGAAAAATATGTATATTTTATCGTGTTATCGGCAAACATTCGAAATCAATTTTTTTATCGGCCCACACATGCCATTTTTCTCGAATTCATTAATAAAATGCGTGTGGTGTGCAATAGATTTCAGCAACATCTCAAAATCCTATTTCATTGACAATGACGGCGTCGAATTTTTGCTTTCATGAAACTAAAAATGCATTTTTTGTCTTTTCTATTTCACTAGTATCAATATTGTTGAATTAGGGAGGTTTAAGCGTTTTTGAGTGAAATTCAACTTCGTTTTAATTTATTCGAAGACCGCTTTTTTAATACGCTGGCGCTTTCTGAGAATTTGAATTTGAATTGCCAAATTTGGTGCCAGAGTCTTAATTGAACGTATTAAAAACGTGATGTTTTCACTCAACCCCCGAAATTTGATTTCATTTCAAATTTGCTTTTTTCTCTCTCTTCAAATTTGCTTTTTTCTCACTTTGCTAAATAGCAATGGAAAGAATGACTTCTGGAAAAAAAACGGTGGCTCAATTTTGTTGAATATTTCAAGATATTTTCTGAAATATCACTTCCGCATTGTTCGCATTTATGATAATGCGTTTTATTTCAAATCCATAAAAATACAGTACGCTTTTATCGATAAAAACATGCATTTCAATTGTTTTTTTTTTCTAAAAATTTTTACTTAAAAATGTGTAATTTGTCCAGAATGGCTTTAATTTTTTGTTTTTTTTTTTTTCAATTCCATGTTCTCGCGGAAACATTATTGCCAACCTCTTTTCATCGACAGTCGATTATTTTTCCGCGGAAATGCCAACCGCAAACGCGTAGGTGGTTTATTCGCCGACGACGGGGAGCCTCCGCCACCAAATTTTTCTCGACGGTGTTAATGCGCACATTATGATGGTTTTATGGTCGCTTCTTCGCGACACACAACGACAGTCACATGCAATCATTTGTTGTCGATTCGAGCGTCTCGAACACTCGCATCGATTTATTCATTGCCGATGCCATCCGACGACGGTATCAAATCGAAGGGCTCGATCTCAAAGATGAAGTCGAAGCTCAAGAAGAGCAAGCCGGAGTGCAATTGTTTCCAATGTGTCAAGGTATTATATTCTGCGTCCCATCGAGTCGTGCACTTTCAGATTTGTGATGGATTATGCGATATTAATTATTTTTTCGGGGATTAGTTTTAACGTTGCTGGCTTCTGCTCTTCACAGATCATTCATTTTGAGTAGCGTCTTGTTTGTTCTCGCCATTTTCTGAGGCTTTTATTCTGATTTAACGCAAAGTTAGTGCAAGATTCATTTGAATTCGAGATAAATTCTTCAGTCTCTTGATTCATTCTCTTTTTTTTCCGAAAAAAATGCCACGAGTACTGTAAGAAACATTTTCATCTGTATCATGATTTTCAAACACATGATATTCCCTGCGTTCACTCTATTTATGTCTCAGACATTGTTTATATATATATATGCAACTTTGTTAGCATATTTTGTTCAAAATATCTGCGAAAGTTGCTAAGAGATATTTATGTGAATAATATATAGTTTTTATTGTTTTCGGTGACATCATATTTTGCCAGTAAACAAGCAAAATTCATTTTGAATGCAAAATTCGGCGTGATTTTTTTCTGCCGTTTTTAAATGCACCTCGAACGACATTATTAGGAGATTTTCATAATATGACATCATCCCTTATTTGGCTGCTTCGCAACATTTCTAGCCGAATTTTTGAACCTTTTCTTCTTCATTTTTCCTATTTCGCCTTTTTTCTTTTCATCGGTTGAAAAGGCTTCGAACCTCGAACCAATAAAAGCCCGATGCTGTGCGCAAAGCAGTCAGCGAAAAAAAGAAGAAGAAGAAGAAGCGCAGTTAGGGCTCGACGCGTCGGCACGGCTTCTCGCCATCGATTTTTCTCGTTGCACACATACAAACATGGACAAACGCAGACAACCGCGGTGGCGGCGGCGACGGCGGCGGCAGCACACAACTAGCTTCAGCTTTTCCTCGATTTTTCGTCGCGGGCTGCCTTCTCAACTACGACTACATTTTCTTCGCATTTTACGATTATCTTTTCTTCAAACGTGTTTATGATTATATGAAACGAAATATGCGTTCCCTTTAACAGAGAAGTAATCCAATCTGATTAGATAATTTCTCGAAAATGATTTATATAATCACTTAATTGGCAATTAACGTTATTATTTTCTATTTGATTATAATAGTTACAGATGGCCGCAGGAGGAGCAGCAGCGCAACAGGCCGGAGGCCAACAACCCGATCAGAACTTCGACTACATGTTCAAGGTTTGCAATTTACAGTAGTCCTCGAAACCATGATCTAATAAAAGATAATCTAGTTATTTGTTAGTTAAACTCATGGGATAGAGTATATGCTTTGTGTTTTGCGATTCGGTGAATCCGATTAAAGACGACAGTGGACTTTGAGAACATGTGACTAATCTATTGCGTCGATTGCTAATAATAATTAGTACGACATAATTATAATTCTCTAATTATCAATATCATGTAATATCAATTGGGTTTGCATAGATTTTAACTTGATTGTTTGAAATGGTTTTCTCTTTTCGAAATTATTTTCAGAGAGTTTCTAGAAACAAATAACTGCCAAATGTTATTCATAATTGTTAACATTTGCATAGTAAAAAAATGAAGATTAGTGTCAGTTGCATTATTCATAAGATCGGCAATAAATCCAACGATTTTGCTTCTTTTTTTCTTTTCTTTGAGCTGTTTCATCGCCGCGTTTTCAATAGTAACTTGTGCACCCTAAAAAGGGGAATTCTCTCGGACCTCTTCTCCCTCTTCTACAACCGCCCCATCAATCTTTTGTGGAAAAACGAGAGCATATATTTATATGAAACCAGAGCTGCGCGAGAGTTTTTCCTTTTTTCTTTCTGGTTTCTCGCTGCTCAAAAATTGCTTGGACGAATACGGAAAAGAAAGGAAAAAAAAACGACGCGAAAACACAAAAATAATATGTATTATTGGAATTTTTGAAGTTGGCGATGCCAAAAAAAAACAAGACAATAACGAACTGATGAGATACATACATACACAATACGTCAAGCATCGGCGAACAATGCATCAGAGGAGATGGAGCAAAAATATTTTTGGATGCAGAAATTTGAAAAACGAAAACTAAAAATTGTTTGAATTTCATTAATTCCAAACTTTTGCAGCTTCTGATTATCGGCAACTCGTCGGTTGGAAAAACATCGTTCCTGTTCCGCTACTGCGATGATTCGTTCACATCAGCCTTCGTTTCGACTGTCGGAATCGACTTCAAAGTCAAAACCGTATTTCGTGGAGACAAGAGAGTGAAACTCCAAATTTGGGTATGCATTTCTCGTGTTTCAATTGTAATCAATTACATTTTTTCAGGATACTGCTGGTCAGGAAAGGTATCGCACTATTACGACTGCCTATTATAGAGGAGCAATGGGATTTATTCTGATGTATGACATCACCAACGAGGACTCATTCAATAGCGTGCAAGATTGGTGAGTTTGATATTTGGGGCTGACGAAAGCGTCAAAGCTATTATCTGCCGGAAAACCATTCAAAAAAAATAGGAAATTTGAATTTTCCCTTCAATCACTCGAAAATTGTTTGCGAATCGTAATAGAAAATGTTCAATTTCCGCTACGCGCTCTTCCCACGCCATAAATTATTATTTTTTGTTCTGTATTTTTTTTTTTCAAATTTAATTTTTTTAGGTGCACGCAAATCAAAACCTATTCGTGGGAAAACGCTCAAGTGGTTCTCGTCGGCAACAAATGCGATATGGATGCCGAACGAGTGGTGTCCGTCGAGCGCGGACGTCAATTGGCCGATCAGCTTGGTAGCAAAAAAAAGAAGAAGAGAAGGTTTTGGGCAAAACGTCGAATGAATTATTTATAGGTTTGGAGTTTTTCGAGACATCCGCCAAAGAAAATATCAATGTGAAAGCTGTGTTTGAGAAATTAGTCGAAATTATTTGTGACAAAATGGCCGAGAGTTTGGACAAGGTAATAAAATAGTGGGCCAGCGTTCGATGTTCTCGCCATTTTTTTGCAGGATCCCCAACAACAACCGAAAGGACAACGTCTCGACGCCACGACAACCCAAAAGCCGGCTCAACAGCAATGCAACTGTTAATTTATTGTCGCCAACACACACACACACAAAAACTGAATGGTTTCATTTCGCAATATAATTAATGCGCGTAGCTCGGCACACATTTTATCAATTCCTCAATTTAGAAACATCCCAATTAGTATTATACTTCAATAGTTCATACAAATTTACAGTATTCCTCATCCTCAATTAGGTGAACAATTAATAATCCCAATCAACCAAGCAAAAAAATCGAGAAAATTCACAAAACCGAAAAAAAATTGTGGCCGTCACTTTAATAATAACCTCAAGTGAACGCTGCTTCGGCTAAAATTAATTTATTCTATCCTATATGTAATTATATTTCTAATTTATTTATTTGGCATAATATTCTGTACCATATAAATCACATTAACTTATAGTATATTAATAAAGTCACTGCGACCAGATGTTGTCACGAAAAAGGAATAAAAACACTGCGCGATTGGAGGTACAGCGGTTCGAATCCAATGCTAGTTGTATTTGGAAGAAGAGATCTCGCAAATAATTCCAAGGGCCTGAATACGCATGATTTGCATTTATGAATTCATGAAGCAATCTCGATGTGAATAAAAAGCAGTTATGAAAAAGATCGACTGGTCACGTTTTTGATACGGTCCTCCTGGATGCGCCTTTAATTACCGTATCCAAAAAATGTTATTGAAATTCTAAAACTCCGTACAAATAATTGATAATCCGGGATTTTTCTTTTCAATGTTCAATTATTTTTATTTTTTGATATTTGAATATCAAGAAATTTCCATGAAAATTGTGAGTAAACTTAATTAAATCGTAAAATTAAAATAAAATAATCGATTAAACGCTCATAATGCGATAAATTAATAGTGACGACTGATTTTGGTGGCCGCTGTTTTCGGAAACAGAGTTTATTCTCTCAGTGATTAGTCAAAAAGGTCGTACTCGTGATTCTCGTGGTGACTTATTACCATAGCAAAAAAGCGTGTTGTGGACCAACGATGCGGTAATTCAAATTCGAATTTAAACACATTCGGATACCGTACAGCTAAATCACTGTAAATCGGCGAATGGTGCTCGTTTTATTTTGCAAATGTAATATAAAATCATTTCGCGCTAAGGTACTGTAGCTTAGGACGCATACTGAAATTTTTTGACGAGAACGTTATCTCAGAAGTCGACTTTTTCTTTTAATTTTTTTCCTTTTCTTTTTTCTTTCAATTCACAACGGAATAGCTTCATTGATGGATACCTTTCAAATATAATATCAAAATGCTTCAAAAGTTGATATATTGGAGGTTTGTGAGAATGAACAGCCATTGGAACACTGAAAATGTATCAATTTTTCATTTGACTTATTCTTAATTTAATATTTTTTCAGAAAGTTTCAAATCACCTGGCAAAAATGAAATTTTTCGGAAGTTTTTCATACTTTTCCAGAGCAGATTCTTTCGACGCAAAAAGAATCGACTCATATGGTAATTTGTGGTCTTGTCGAAATTCACACACCGGCTCTCCTTCCACTGTCACCTGAACAATTTGTCTTTCAAAAATTGATGAAACATTATCTGAAAATTTTCTTATATGCACGTTTTTCCTCATTTTTTGATTTTCCTGTTATATGACCTTTCTATTGTTGGCACCTAACGACTGAAAGAAGGCGAGGCGTTCGAATTGGCGAAATCGTTGTAAATTTAAATTTATCGTTGGCTAAATATTAAATGCGCGTACACTATAATGCAATGTACGTAGTCTCGCGTACTTCTCACTGCCTCGAGGCGCGTTGACAATTAGCCAATAATTTTTTAATTTTCGTTCAATCCGACCCGACTCGTTGCGTGTATGATTTTTTAAGATAGGCACAAAAATTTAAAAATAAAATCAAAATATGAAAGTTCTTACAGAAAACGAATTAATTAATTACCTTTATCCAATGCCACTCTGCAATAAACTTCATATTCCACTTGGTAAATTTGGATATTAGCTCATTTCGAATTCCTTTTCGATTTGTTATCCAAAAAGCAACCAATCCATCTGAAATCGATTCAAGATCGATCTCTTCCAGAACATCTTCGCTCATTTGATACCTAATTTTTTTCTTATTAATATTTAAATGTCAATTATGTTACTTACGTATTTTTACGCTTTACCGATCGATTAAACCATGGTGGATCGGCAACTATCAAATCGAATGTTTTTTCTATGTACCGAATGAAGAAATCGACGGATTATTTTTTAATTTACCATTTATATTTGAATAATTGTTAATATCTGACACTTCTCCAATATGAAACGTTGAGCCTTCGGGAATCAGAAATTGTTTATCTCCTAAAATTATTTACAAATTAAGAATGAATCTAAAAACAAACAAACTATAGAACATTAATTTTGTGCCATCCTCATTATGAATCCAATTGCTTACAACATTTCCGCAAAAAACGGTTTCAAGGTGTTCAGAACTTTGCAGAAATTGATATTGAAAGAATAGACGCTTAAAAAAATGCTTACTTTCCGATATTTATTAATTGCTCCGCTGATACAGAAAATTTGAAACAAATTTTAGACCATTCATTTTGAATTCTGCAATGAATCTCTGGAATTTTCTCCAATAGAAGCTAATTACCTATTCGCCAGATCCCTAGCTTTTCTGTTATTATCTTTAACTTTTGTATTTACAAAATATTTACATTCCATTCCTTTTTGTTGAATAGATTTCGCAATTTCTTGAATCTGTTCCGAAATCTAGGAAATCATTAATTTTTGTCAAATATTCTATCAAATCTCACCTCATCTAAATGATTTATGTGTTTTCTTTTTCTATATCTACGATTTTCACATGCTTCTGCTTGAAATTGAGAATCTGGTTTAAATTTTCCATTGATATTGAATAAATCCTCGTTTATCTTTAATCTAAAGTCAATTTCAAGAATTTTAGAGGTCTGAAAATCTTTGTTCCTTTACCTGCATTTAGATAAAAAATGATTGTAAAATTTGCGCTCATCAATTATTGCGAATTTTTCATTTATCTCCATTATCGACATTCTATAAAGAGCGATTGATGATAAAGATTCAAAATAGTTTAATAAAAAAAATAAAAATCGGGAAAATCCAAAAAAATGCTTAAAAATCACACATCTTTTAAAAATTTATTGCTGAAGAATACATTATGCAATATAAAATTTTGGAGATCTCGAATCACAACAAAATCTTGTCATTGACATTATGTTTTGATACTATGCACATTTTGAAAAAAAAACTCAAAAAAGCATCGGTGAAAAAGCACAACCCCTTAATAATCATATACACAAATTGCATTTTTTGAGTTTTTTTTTCAAACTGCCATTAGTATAAATAATATGGCAAAATAAATATATTAATAAGAAAATTATATTTAATGTCCACCACCCATTATGGCTTTAATTGTGACGAATGTGCCGACTCCAGCAGCAACGAACAAGGATTTGATAAGAGAATTCCATTTGACATGTGATTGAGATGAGGGAGTGGATGAATCAGCGATAACACTCTGGAAAATCGGATTGCCTTTCAGGATTCGAAGTTTGAAAAGATTACGTGGCTATGACCATGCCCGCCATCTTCTGAATGCAATTCCATTGGCAACAATTCGACTAACGACACATGAACAAACGTTCCAGCAGCTAATCCTTCGAGCCAATATCTTCCGATCTTTTGCCAAGCTTCATTTCCAACACCATCAATCTAAAAAAGTATATCGATTTTCTCGCAATTTCGCATTATTCAAACGGTTGTCGCAAGAATCATTCCAAGTGGAATAGTGGCCGATAGGAAAATCGACGACGTCCATGCATACACTCTGCTCGCGTTGTGTTTGGCTAATTGAATTCCAAATGAAACACAACACAGTACTTCGTGGAACATTATTGCGAATATTATTTGATAGAATGCGCTGGCGTCATTCTGAATTCCAATCTTGTACAATAATTCAGAAAACACTTAATAGACACCTGAACACCAAGAGCGACACCTTCGAAGAATGAATGAACCGACATTCCTAATAACAAAAACCAAACACGTACATCCATTGACTGCAGATTCTGCGAAGAAGAGCTTCCGGATGAATCACGGTCAACGTGACTTGTGCTTGACTGAATTTGAACTAAGTTTAAACCAACCTATCAAACGTACCTGTCGGAAAATGATATCATCGTGCTCATCTTCAACAGTCGCATCAACTTCAACTAACGGTTCGGCATCGTCGCCACTTTCCTCCTGATTTTCGAACCAAGGATAATACTAATGATTATTAATATCCAACTTACATCTAAAAACTTTCTCATTTTTATGTTTGTTTGCTGATGTAAATGAGTATGTGATGAATGTGAATGACCAATCGAATGCCCGATCCCATGAATGATCTATATTATACTTATTCGGTTGAGAAATTTTAGATATTCGATGAACCTGCTCAGTAATCAGAATAACGAGGAATCCAATGACAACTAATTGATCTGTTGTAGGAAGAATTGGATAATTTTCAGTGATTGTGCTATTTGATCTTAAATTATACTATCAAAAAGTATATTAAAGATGTTTTCTACTTTAATTGCATCTCCTGGTGTCGTACATGCGGAATAAGACCAAGGAAACATGTAGCAATGAATAAACCGCATGATGCACAACCGAGAAGAGACACTGTGAATTTACTAGTTCCCCTGAATTTAAAACAATTGTAATTAATATATTTTTATGAAATTACACTTCTGCACATTTTAAGAAATTGTGTTTAAAAAAAACTTACAGGCAACAGTTTTTGAGGAAAGTGTACGGTATACACGTGGAAATGAGAAGAACGACAAATACAAAAACGGCCGAAAAGACCATAAAAAGGAACCAAACCATTTTATAACGAATGCATTGTGCTGGTTTATCGAATCCTGTAATCGCAATTCAGTTTTTGAAAAGCAAACTCAAAAGAATTGAAATATTTTCAATCGATCATATACGAATGCAACCAACGAATATATAATATTTTGATTTCGAAAAATTTTTTAACAAAAATCAACAAAAACAAGAAAACAATGTTTGAGGAAAAATAACAATTCAGATGATAAAAATAAACAACAAATTGAAGGAAACAGTTAAAGTTATAAAGTGTGACTGATCTACCGTCTTCCGCCTCTTCCGCGGCCACGACCACGTCCACCTCCAACACCTCCTTTTCTCCCGCCAAACAGATCATCGAAACTGAAAATGATTCAGTCGTATTATTTATTTCCTTTATTCCACATTTCAAGTAAACGCCCAACGATTCGATCGGGATGAACAACTTTTGGATTAGGATAAGTCGCGGAGCATTTTGGGACAAAAGTTCCAAAATGCAAAAATTGGTCGAAATGATTTAACGAAATTTTGTCGTCGTCGCGCGAAAATTGGCTATATGCCAAAAAAAACATGGCAGTGATCTTGGTATAAAGTGTATATTTTCGGCCCTATGTAAGGTTAAAAAAGAGGCAAAATTTAACAAATCGCGATTTCTAACGCTACGCTTCTCCGTCACGTAAAATCGCCAGACTCACTCTCAATGTTTTCCCCAATATCAACATAGACCCATTATAATTTGAAAAAGAAATATTAATGATGTGCCAAAGTCTCGAAAAAAGAGAAGAGTGCATGTGGTTTGCATTTCAACGTATTTAAGCGCATTTAATATTTAGAGTTTTGCGACGATCCCATATTCATTCTACGTAATAAATATTCGCTTCGTTGGAAGTCGAACTTTGAACTTTTTCTTATGTGATGTTCAAACCTTTCTTTATTGTTTCGCTTCATTCCCTTCTTCTTTCCACCGTATCCGAATTTGTCTTGTTTCAATTTTCGCTTTAAATCTCCGACATTTCGCAGAGATCCTTTGCTTCCACCGCGCATTCCTCCCCGGTGTCCACGAGCTCCTCTGCCAATATCATCGTCCTAAAAAAAAACAATAAAATACGCAACAATTTAAAAATTTACCTGATCAAGCCCATTTCGTTTCACATTGTTCAGCATGTCTTCCAATTGCTGTTTCATTCCTTTCTTGTGTTTTTTGACAGCTTCAGCAAGTTTCTTCTTTTCAGAATTCTTAGCAGCAATCGCCTCCTGAAAACAAGAATTGAATATTTGTCTTTTAAGCCTCCGAAAAAATGCAAACCTTCTGAACTTTTACTGCGAATTTCTTCTCTTCGCGAAGTCTTCTAAAAGCTTCCTGTCGCTCTTTCATCTCCTGAATCGACAACAAACGTTTTCGGACTTTCTGCATGTGCGAATCGCTTTTCGCCATTTCAGCGTAGTAATCTCCTGGGCGCAAAACCTAAACATTTATGCACATCGTTACGAAATGCGCACCAATTACCTTAATGTTCATGTTGAGGAGTCGAGGGAAAGCAATTTGAACAGCTTTTTCCGCTTGTTTATAACTAATAAAAAATCAGTGGAAGTAACATTTTATGCAGATACTTACAAATTTAATTCTCGCTTGAAATCGTCATTTTCAGCTTCCTTATCCATTTGAATGTGCGGTGTCACAACTTCAAGAGTCTCTACCCAGGGCAAATCCTTTTTGAATTCATTTAGTTTTTCTTTCATTTCGGCCGTTTTGTTGATAACTGGTCGCTTCTTTGGCACGATGACATTTAATCCGTCGGATTTCAAGATGCCTGCTGCGAATGCTGCTTGCAGCTTTAAAAACATTCAGAAATCAAAAAATATATTGGATGTAAAAAACCTCTTTCTCCTCGTCGGGATCACTTTCCTGACCGCTCTCGATTCCCTCCATAGGAACATGCTTATCTTCATTTTCTGGAATCGCATTGTCGAAATCGAAATCCGAACCTTCACTGTCGCTCTCCGGTTCTGGCCGTCTAGACTTCGACGTCGCCGCCAGCCGTTTTGCCAGCTTATTCATTTTTCTAACCATCTGAATGAACAATTTAGCAAACAATCAAATAAAATAAAATCAAGAATATGAAATATACGATTGTGAGTAACAACACAACAAACTACATGTTTTAAATTAAATTATTCTAAAAAGGTTTATTAACTGAATTTTTATTCATCAAACAATTACTAAAACATAAAATAAAATATTTGACAATTATACAGTAAACCACACAATAATTATTCCATAAGTGTGACCATGATGGTCTCGAAAGGATTACTTTGAACAATATCGATTAATCCTCGTTTTCTCAGCTCCAGAAGACACATAAAACACTTCGCAGCATGTTTTGAGATTACTTCGGTTGACTCCAAACTCATACGATTTATTATATCGTTTAGAGATGTCTGAAAAAGAAGAACAGATTTCAGAAAGACAATTTTGAAGGGATACCGATTTGACGTCTTTCAAATGATTTAAAACCATATCACAATAATTAAATACCTTCTAAATATAGAACTATTTAATAACACAATCTTAATATTTTACCTTTATCGGAGCCATTTCTGACAATTTCATATCTGTGTCGTCTTCGCACATTTTTGATCTCTTTCTGGATACTTTTTGAATGTTTCTCGATTGAGTGTCTTCGTCAAAATTTTCAATTTTCTCGGCCATAGGCGTTATCACGGATTCGTCAGGAAAACTATCGATCCATACATTTACGTCATTGCCATCTCCATCGTTAGCATGAGTGTTCTAAAAAATTTTTTAAAATTTTATTAGAAAATCAAATAAATGCAATCACTTGTTCAGTAGCTATCGATTCACTCAAATCGTCGTTTGAAATCCAATTTCTTTCGCAGCGATTTAGGAGAAATGCGTGTTTTGACATGTTTCTAATAAACTGAAAATAATGCAATAGAAAAAAAAAACGAATATTCGTTTTAACCATAGTTGCGATGGTATTCTCATAATTAAAATCATCAACGAACGAACTACTCATCAAATAGCTACATCGATCACATCTTTTGAGAGTCATGAGACGTTTAGTAGGAGGAGCTATTGGCGTGCTAGTTAGAACAGTATTTCTGAAATTTCAAATTAGGTTTTCACTTGAAATTACCAAAGCATACGCGAAATCGTTCACATTTTGTCGAAATTCGAATTGATTAATTTTGATTTTTTCGTCGATTAAAAGATTGCCACGTTTTCGATCCTTTTGTTTTTGAATAGGTTTAAAAAAATCTTTAAATCCATGTTTTTTTTAAGGTTTGAAGCAGCAACATTATTTTGTATTTACATATTAGAAAATATACCATCAAATATATCATCGTCGTCGTATAGCAGTGGTGTTTCTTCTATCGCATCTTCAATAGTAGCTGAACATGATACGGAGTTCCTGAAAAAGTAAAGAACGTTTAGAAATATTCATATTAAATAAAAAAATGCACATTTCAAAGTCATCACCGTCTCCGTTAATGGAGCAATCGTCAGGAAATAATTCATCGGCAATATCCGCAGCAATCGACATATCTGCAATTAATTTAATATTATTGAAACACTTCAAAATGACACCATTAAATCCAGAATCATTTAATACATCGTTATAGCTGGTATCATAATCGAGAACTCCTTCATTTCCAAAGTCTTCATAGTTCTGTAATCTGGAAAATATTTTAAATACTCATAATTTGATTTATACCGAAATGGTGAACTGCACCGTTGGGAGAACCTCACGAATTGTGATATCGCGAAGATTTGCTGTTGGAACAATCTTATCAGTCTGAAAACGCATATATTTTGTGTTAATGGAAAATCGAACAATTACTGAATTAACATAACAGCTTTCTTGAGAGAAATCCGCGTATTGAAAGTCTTCCTAAAATAAAACAACCCATTACTTTTCAAGAAATAAATAATTAACTTACAATCTGTGGAACTGTGTCCAAAGTATTTTCTTTGATTTCCGTAATTTCTTTGAATTTTTTCGACATTTCGTACGCCTAAGAGCCAGAATAACGCGTAGAATACAACCGAATATTTAGTAAGAGTACCCTGATGCAGTCTGACAAAAGTGCACTAGCTTTCGCATAATTAATTTTAACTATTCCTAGTGCACACATTCCGATTATTTGAAAGTGATATCCTTTCTTAAAGAAAATTCCGTTTAATTTAAGAATATGAACGAAAAGTGTACCATTTCTCGCAATTCGTTGATAAGTAAATCAACATTAATATCCAAATCATGTCGTTTTAATTGTTTTTGACTTATTCCGGCAAGCCAGGCTCTGTAAATGTAGCTGTTCTTCGAAATTATTCGTTCGGAACAAAACATTTTCGCTGAAAAAAAAATATTGTGGAAAGGTTTATCGTCTAAGCTAATAGTTATCAGCATGTATGGTTGAAGTCAAATATACGCATGACTTTTGATATGCATGAATCAGAACAGCGAATATGCAATCAACTCCAAGTAAACCTCGTGCTACTACTACTACCACTATATCAACTATCCTGAGTTTTGCAACGTTCGTTGAACTTTTATTTAAAATCATAAAATTTAAAGTTTAGAGATCTTCCTGAAGCACATTACAAAAAATATGTTGAAAGACGTATTTGTGGATTTCCAGCTGTTACTGTCATTATAATTGGAATAATTTTAATAATCGCGTCACTTTTATTAATTATTGCGTTAATTATTCATTACACTCTTGTGTAAAATCATTATCTATTCTTAGCGCAAAAACAAATAAATAAAAATTATTTCAAAATAATACATGGTTATTCTCGACTTCGAATGAAAACTTCGAGGAACTTCACCATGAAGGTTGGAAAATCGAAAATCGGTCCATTAATTTAATATCTATTTGAATCACCGCGTAGTTTTGATGTGCAGGTTATCCATTCTTTACACGCGCCGCGGTTGCGTTGCGCGCATGAGTTTGAATTTGTTGTTCGAAGGTGAGTAGCCTTTATCCGGGATGCACGATTTTGCATTTTTCCCGTTAATCTATTTTTATTATTTTTGTCATTATTATTATTATTATTTCTATTAATATTAGTATATATTTAATAAACTTCTATACGTATATTAACGCTTTAAGTGTTTTCTAAAAAGGTTCATTAATTATCATTATTAAATCGATATTGGGCCATGCAATTATAATGTAAAAAAATTACTCATTTTTCAATTCAGGGTTGTGACAAAATGACATATTTTATTTTCATGTTGATCTATAACAGGAAACGTTTCCGTTAATGTTGTGCTTGTAATGTTTGATAACTGAACGTTACTACAAAGAAATAAACGGCAATCGTCTAGTACAAATGTCGAATAGAACTTTTTATTCAAAAATTGTTATATAGCACTGAGAAACCTCGAGTTATCCTTCTTTTCAACACGTTATTGTGGTATATTTGATACAGGTTTTTTGCTCATTTATAATATTTGTCGTAATTCATATCTTGAACGTGCGCTTCATGTCGATTTGTTCTTAGGGAATTATTTTGTTTTAGGGTTCTATTCTCAAAATGTCGTATGGTTATGGTTATGGATCTGGCGGTGGTGCTGGTGAAGACGTCAACGCATACAATCCAAGAATGCATTCCAAAGTTGCCGAAAAGGAAGGATTTCATATGGGTGGGGTCAGCGACGAACCTAGAACATTGTAAGATATATTGAAAATTAAAACATTTATACACGTATTAAGATATGTTGGAAATTTGGATCCATCTGTAAATGAGGACTTCCTTGCTACACTTTTTAATCAAGTTGCAACTGTCACAAAGACAAAAATTATTTTTGATGTAAGTGATTTTTTACAATCATCTGGCATGATTCTGGTATTATATTAAAAGTCTGGCTAATCATTGCAGGAAAAAAATCGGTACGTGTATTTTGAATCTTTACTTTTTTCTTTTTTCATTTTTCCTTCCTTCACGAATTTAGAAATTTAACAGGACCTGTGAGGTTACCATGCTGCACGATGCAAGAGAGCATTTGGCGATATACATATACCATCTTCCAAACCAATCTTCCTTCCAGTGTATAATTTATTATTAGATTTTTTCTTTTTTTTATTAGAACTCCAACTAAGGGTCAGGTGTAAATAGGGGGTAAAATTCATCCAATTATTATTCGTATGCGAATGATGGTTCGCCTTGATGATTTTTGAAATATTAAATGTTTGTAGTTTCCCTAATGTTGAACCATCGTTGTATACAAATAATATCTTCATTCATTTTTTCTCTTCATAAGAAAGTACCGGCGTCAACTCATGTACGCGGCTAGATTTACGGGTACGTCTTTTGTCAGAGTCTCGTCACACGTCGATACTTATTTCGTTACTTTCACGTGAAATTTTGATTGTTTTTTGATGATTTCACCATTTCCTTTAATTTAAACCTCGTTGAAATTAGCAATTTTCAAAATGGATCTTAAAATACAAATTAACTTTTCACCGCGAGACAGTAGCAAAAGACACATTTTGTGAATCTACCTCCATACATTAGTCGCATGGCGCCAATTACAACTTTAAAAATATTCTATAGTAATTTAAGTTTTGAGATTGCGTGCTCAGAAAAAATTTCGAATAAGTTCATAGCTTCCCGTGATCTTCAAATTATTTCAAAACTTCTAGCAATATGAAACGGGTATATGTGAAAAGCAGCAGTAACCTCAAAATTGGCCCAATAATCGCGGGAAGCACCGTTTCTGTGCTTTGGCTATGCAGATTAGAGTTCAAAATCCATCATTTAAACTAACTTGAGTTTTTGACTAATATTTGGAGAGAATTTCCCCCTTCAAATTCTGAGAAATAAGATAAATTTATTGAGGCTGCAAAATAGAAGAATTGCAATTTTCAGGGAACAAGCGATCCGTATGCATTCGTAGAGTTTCTTGATCACGACCAAGCTGCTCAAGCTCTCCAAACTATGAACAAGAGGCTTTTGTTGAACAAGGTTTAAAACAAATATTTTTTTATATAAATTTGAAATTTAGGAAATGAAAGTTAACTGGGCTGTTGAACCAGGACAACAAACTGTCAAAGTCGACACTACTAGGCATTTTCATGTGTTCGTGGGCGACCTATCATCGGAGGTTGATAATAAAATCTTGAAAGATGCTTTCTCTCCATTCGGAGATATTTCGGATGCCAAAGTTATTCGTGATACTACAACGTCGAAGTCCAAAGGATATGGATTTGTTTCGTATCCAAAAAGAGAGGTTTTCAGTATTTAGCTTTTAATATGTTCATTATATTAATTACAGGAAGCCGAGCGTGCTATTGAACAGATGAATGGCCAGTGGCTCGGAAGACGTACTATCCGCACGAACTGGGCTACAAGAAAACCTGGCGACAGCCAACCGGTTACTCATAACGAAAAGTCGTACGATGAAGTGTATAATCAGACATCAGCTGATAATACTTCTGTATATGTTGGCAATATTGGTGGATCCGTAACTGGTTTGTTATTCATATATATATATATATATTTTACTAAAGCTTCTGAACCTTTTTAACTTTAGAAGAAGATATTCGATCTGCATTTGCCGATTATGGCCGCATTGTGGAGGTGCGTATTTTCAAAGTACAGGGCTATGCATTTGTCAAGTTCGAATCAAAAGAAAATGCCACGAAAGCTATTCTTCAAATGAACGGCCAAGATATCTGTGGAAATGCGATTCGGTGCAGTTGGGGAAAAACTAACGATGTAATTGTACTCTGGTATAATCGTTTCTTTCAACAATGGTTTTAGTCTTCCAAATCTACTTCAACTGGTGGTTATGGTTATGGTTATGGCGCCGGAGGGCAAGCTGGAGCTTCCGGCTACGGATATGGTGCTCAAGGCTATGCAGCTGCCGCAGGATCGACCGCCCAAGGGGCTGGAAACAATTCGCAGTATTGGCAGTATTATGCTCAATACTACAATAACCCACAATTGATGCAACAATGGAGCAACTACTGGCAGCAGCAAGGCGGTCAGGGAAGCGGAACTCACTGAGTGTTCCGTATTCAATCTTTAACGTATTTTTTTTTTTTTTTGAAAAAACAATTGGCTTCGAAATTCCTGAGATCATATTATAATATTGTTGTTTAATAACTTAAAGTTTTATACGCCTTCATTTGTTGTTCTCTGTGTTCATTTCGCTTTTAGTTCATTCTCATTTTTCCCTTTAATAAGGTTCTGTTTGGTCAAATATTCTGTCCCCTATTTATTTTCATAGATACGTGTTCAGTTTTCATTCTTAAATTGTCTCAACTTTCTTCTGTTTTTTCTTTTCATTCTTCTTCTTCTTGACCCTATCAAGTTTGGTCACTATTATTTTTCAGATTTTGATTTTTTACTGGTAGTATCTTATTTCCACTCCTGCACCTCTCAATTTAACACGAAAATCAATTCATCGCATATTATACATAATGCACGTTCTATCCTTTCTTTTCTCAATTGTTGCACTTTCAGATAAAAGGTTTTGGGAATTCGCTTTATTTGATATTTATCACTTGTACACGTTCGGGAATTCTCCCAAGAAATATATATACAAACAAATAAGGTAACATTGTCGATTTTATACGATGCGATAACAAAGGATTTTCTTCTGTGAAGAAACTGAAATTGAAAAGAAACTGAAACCTGTGACTGAAACTGCGGAAACACCTTGAGAGAATTATAAAGAATATTGACTAGTCAAATGCGGTAAAGAAATCAAATAATTAATAATGCAATCCAATTCGATGTGGCCCGATCGAAATTTTAGGCTGCGGATTCGTCAGTGTCGACTTCTGTGATCGTCGACCGAGCCGAAGACATGGAGCGACAGCTCGGATGCTTGTCGAAGATCGACGACTTCGATGGTTGGATGAGTACAGTGGAAACAAGAGAGACGAAGAATGCTTCGATGACGATGAATAAATTCTTCCAATCTGAATTCCGAAAGAAATTATTGATGGACAATGGAAAAGAACTCACAGAAAGATGTCTCGATTGCCGGCAAAATGGTTCCGCATCCGAATGCACCATATCTCGCCAAAAAGTCGAAAACCGGCTGCTGAAGTCCGAATACCATAAAGAAGAAATCAAGAAGGCGAAAAACAACGACATATCGGTACGAGACCAATTCGTCCTGAAAATCGAAACGAATCAAAAACCAATGAAGAATATTTTGGCACCAATCGGGAGACGGTTGTGACCAAAATATGAGTGCCGTAAATTCCAGCCAGCAATGATGGGAGAGTGATGAAATCGAGCACTTTCAAATGGCTGCAAACTGATTGGTTTTGAATTTCGAATTGAATTCGATTCATTTACACAAGGCCCTGGTCCTGATATTCGAAGTAGATGACAAGTGAGACGAATGTTGCGAACAGACGAACGAACGGCGCCTGATAGACCATCCATTCGCACCATCTGATCTTCTCGCCTTCGAGTCGCACATTCGGAAGGCAAGGGAACAGACAGCAGAACGGTGGAGTCGATATCTCGATGAACTGCAGTCGTTGACACATCTTCGAGACGAGAGCATGATGTCCGTCGAAGATGTGCAGAAGCAGGCAGATGATTACCCACAGTGCAAACGAGAAATAGAGGAAGGAGAGGAGATGCGAGAGGAACCATACACGGGGCATGTACATCGCGACCAGGGCCAGGACGGACACGAGCTGAATATCAACAAATGAATATGGAAGGCGGAGATTCGAACGAACCGGTGCTGTCGAGGCTAATATGAACATGTGTAATCTGCGAGTAGGGTCGGTTATATAATAATTAATATACATCATGTGCACAATCCAGAAAACCAGCGATGTTAGACTGAAGCCGGTGGCAAGACCAAGCGAGGAAATATACACCGTAGACATGGCTGAAATTTAATGCGATTTTGAATATTGTGCAGATGATTTTGGCGAAACAACGTCTACATAGTTGCGTGTTGTTTCAATGCACAAAATCTCACAATGCAGAAAATTCCTGGAATGCGGCACTTCCTCGTGTGTTCCAGTACAGTTCAATAATGAATCGGTGAGCAGTTTGACGAGAGTCTCCCATGGCGAAATGTCAAGCATTCTCGTCAGCTCATAAATTTGCGCCGATCTGAAATGAAATGGAAATTGTCAAGAAATGAGATGACAAACCGTCTAGACATAAAAGATACACGCGCGGATCAAATTTGTTTCGAACAAAAAATGAAATTGAAAGGAATGCGGAGGTTCAAAGGTGTCGAATTTGGAATTGAATGAGGCATTCGATTTGTGCACGTAGATTATTCAATTATTTCTGTCATAATTGGGCACGTTTTTGTTGCTTCAAAAATCTCGAAATTGTTTGTTTGACGAAATGATGGTCGGTTAACGGCTTCAAATATCATAAAAAGTTTTATACAATGAAATAAAAGAAGACCAACTCAAGCATTTCATGTTTCGTCTGAATGGAAGAATGCACATTCGCCGGGTCCCGCCCACCAACAGATCACGCCCTTTTTTTCAGTTATTCATAAGCAACGGATTGAAATTCACTTTTGAAAAGTCGCATATTATCCGGATAAATAGAAAATGGGGAAAAATGAAAAGATTTGAGTGATGGCTATGGCCAACATAAATTGAATCCTATTTGTTCAGCTGGGAGCACAATGGTTGTTTTTTGGCAACAAAACGAGTTGCTTGATGGAGCACCTAAGGGGGGAACTGGTTGACATTATTTGCGTTTCTTCATTTTACAACGACGCAAAAATGCGGTTTCGCTGATGATAAATCGTGTTTTTGCAGGGTCGAGGAGCTGCTCGCTTGCTTCTTTCATTCATCATTTTATTTCTTTTTTAAATATAAAGTATACTGAGGCTTTAAAACAAACTTTTCGACAAAATTTAAAAATTTTATTGGTGGTTTATTGAAAAGCTGAAAAATTGTAACACTATTTGATACAATAAAGTTTATTCGAACACAAATATTGTGTTTGGAACACTACGAAAATTTTGCGAAGCCGAGTAATGTATGTATAAGTGTATAAAAGGTCTTCGTACAAAAAAATCAGAAGAAACAAGAGGTAAAAGAAAACACAAAAGGGTATTTGGTCTCAATCTCAATGGTCAGTCGCGTAAATAGAAGAGGGCCGAGGCGACGGTCACGAAGACAATGAAATGTTTGCATTTCGATGTCAAAACATTACAAGTTGACTACTGACCATTAAGCCTCAAAAAAAAATCGATAATTGTATATTTCGAAAAAAAAGAGAAAAATCTCGAAATAGGTGTGTATTGTTATGGAAACATACATTTGTTTTTGAAAACGAATTTTGGAGTGGCTTTAGAGTCGACGAGCTAGCCTATTTTGAATGGAAATTGACCAAATTATTCCACTATTTTTCTGAAGACAACTTTAAAACTCGCAGGAATTCGATTCGAAAACCTCAAAAAACAGCTGTGCAGTGACCTTGAAACCCTCGATTAGAGAGGAGAAGAAAAAACAATGTTTGTTCGAAAATTTTAGATTATATCTCAAGGAATTTCAAGAATGTCGTCATGAAAATGGAGGTAAGAGCTCAGCATTTAAGAGACTCTGTAATTATTTAGAACGTCACTTTGTTTAAAGGCTATTTATGGACCAATTCTACGAATCGAAATAAATATGACTAGTTGAATACAAAAAAACCTTTTATTTTTTTTTTAACTCACAGAATTGGACCATAAAAAAAGAAATCTTCTGAATCACATATTTCCACCCAACAAAATATTCATAGAAAAGACTTACGAAAAAAGAAGAAGAAAATCAATGAAAAGAATAAGAAATGAGAGAAAAGAAAAGAGCAGAATACAGAATGAAGGATTTCATAGGTTTTCGAAAAGAATTTTTTGCTCCCAAATATGTTAGTGTATCTTGAAACGTTTTTCTTGTAAGTTGACGAAGAACGGCTCGCGCAGAACAAAGGTCAAGGAACATGCAAATTATGTGGTATTCGAGAGATAATTATAAGAAATGATGCGCAGAGATATTGTCGTCGTTCGATGAGGAAGAAGAAAAATGCAGAAATTGTCGATTGAAGGACACCGATGAATCGGTTGGAATTATGAATCTCGAGAGGTTCAACATTTGTTGAAATGAGAACCAATTCTGACAAATCAGAAGGCTTGTTGAATAATTCCAGCAAAGCTACAGTACTCATTCTTCTATTGTTCGAAGAATTTTCCAGACGCGCAAAACCAATAAAATGAGAATCCACCTTCGCACCACCCTCACACTCATCAGCATTCCCATAAAAATCTCAATAAAAATGAAGAATGAGGAAAACATTGAAAAAAGAGGACAAGGGTCCATAGAAGGTGGCAAAAAAAACGAATAGGAGAGAAAATTGTTGAAAACGGAGAGAAATATATCGAGTTGGGAAGCAGCAATTCGTCGAGGAAATCGAAACGAGGCAACTGGAAAGAGCATTTGGAGATGAGAGACGCAGACATGGACGAGCAATTGAGCAAAGCAGTAGAAGAAGAAGAAGTGGTAGGAAGAGGAAGAAGTTGAAAACAAAACGAATCGAACCCTTGAATTCTAATGAACACATCAAAGCCTTTTAAGGTCATCAAGTGAAAGAAGCCATGCTGCTCAATTTTTGATTTTTTGAAAATTTCTTAGCTGCCATAAACAAGTTCTTATGTGAATTGAACTGAAAATTTTAGAGAGTTTTTATGCTGAAAATGAGCATCTCGGCTGAGATTGACGCCGTTTTGAAGATTTGCGAAGTTTGACAAAGAAGAAAACAAGAAAGGGTTATTTTGCTGAAAACATATTGCAAAATGTTGTCAGGTTTCAATTATCTCTATTTGCCCGAATAGTTTTTTATTCGGCTTCATAATCGAATAAAATATGAATAATACAAGTGTGGAAAAACAGCGCAAATGTATATTGTTTGTTGTGCATTTGCGTTCATGTTTTTTTGTTATGCAGATGAAGCTGCATGAAACAAAAAAGTCGTTCGCCAATCGATGAATCTATTCGAATCAGAATAAAAAATAAGCAGGAAGCAGGTGTTTTGGTTTCATTAAAAAAAAATTAAAAGTGGCGAGTGTGAATCATTCTTTTTTAATACACTTTTTTTTAATTAGCCGCTCCCCCTTTAAAAATGAAAAATTTGCGAATCAGACAAATTTGTGCTCTGAACTCAGTGAACTGCTAAGAAATGATCAATTTAAAAATCGGTTTTAACCAATGCTTTATTTTTTTTTTTAGAAAAAATGCCCCATTCATTCAAATTGATATAAAAAAATGAATAGTAATCTCGAAAGATTTTTTTATCTACACAATCGTCTCACTTGTGAGTGAGGTTTACTATTCATGCTCTGATCCCATTGGATAAAATGAGATCTGGAACGACGGCCAAATTTGGCAGGTCCTATTTGGCAATAGCCATTTCTTTTAGAATTTTTACAAATATGCAGTCTGTCAGTTTGAAGATTATTCTTCGTTTGAAGATTATTGATTTCATGCTATCAAATTTTTTTTCAAGGACTTTTCTCTATTCAATTCGAAAATTCAATTTTTTAAAGGACACAACTTCAATTTTCCATTCGCAAGTGATTTATTTGTAAGGACGTTTCCAGTTTAGGAATAAATATAGAAATTGCGAAAAAATTTGACAATTTGAATAATGAATTTTCGTCTATTTATGGGACTATTTAGAGAACTCCAAAAAAAAATTTAATTAAATTATTTTTTTTTTGAGAAATTCGCAAAGCGTTTTAGAGTTTTCAGGCAGTTTATTGTCGGTTTTTATTTTGAGATTTTTACATAGAAAAAAGTGAATGTTTTTTGAGCGGCAACTCAACGGAAAACAACAATTTTCATCTCAATCATTAATGAGGACACAAAGTGCACGAAAATCATTGATATTTGTGGCATTGAACATCAGAAATCGAATTCGGAAAAAAAAGCGAAGAAGAAGAAAATGTTGAGGAATTCTCTGAGAACAATTATATTGTCAGCAATTAGCCGATAATTGAATTACACGTGGAATGAGAACGACAATTAAAACGAAAAAAACCGAATTGGCGAATATTTTTATTCAGAAAAAATTAGGAAAATTTTAGGAAAACAAATTCTCATCGAATGAAATGGAATTAAAATATTTCACATTTTATTGCGTTTCGATTTACAAATGAATGTTCTCTTCGTAAAATTTCGGAGATTCTTGCCAAATATCCGGTTTGTTGTTGAATTGAAAATAGATTAAATAAAAAAATTGCGCATGAAATTTTCGGCGAATTTGCCAAATTGGATAAGAATCAATATGAAACATTTGGTTGGTGAACACTTTAAACCACATAATCCAATTATTCGTGACTTCATTTAAAATATTTGAATGGGATCGCACGAGGCGAAGACGAATCGACAGGCAGCTGTGAAACGAAACAACGACGACACATGATATTCGAAGAATTCGCGGAATTTGTTGTTCGGATAAAAAAAATCGAATAGATTCGTTTAAAATCAGCAAGGATATATCTTTCGAAAAAAAAATATATATATAGGATAAATAAATAAAAAAACATACACACTCAAATGTTTTGGGTACACATACAGGGTGTCATTTAAGTTCCCGCACAAAAGTTTGACGTCATGAAGAGCTTGGCTGTCGCACTCTTCGTGCACCAATACAATTTATTTTTGTTAAATAAGGTATATTTTACTTATTTTCCAAGTTTCACTTCATTCGGATGTGTTTCCGAGAAATGGCGAAGGCTAACATCCATCGCGCTTCCATTATCGAACTTCATAAGCAAAATGTGAGCCCGAGAGCCATCATTCAACGCCTCGGTGTGCCTCGTAGAACGCTTTACGACACCTTCAAACGTTTCAAGGAGCTAAATACGACCAGTGACCGTCTCAGACAAGGAAGACCCGTCTCGGTAACCACTCCTCAGAAGATCAACGCCGTCAAATCGAGGATCAGGCGAAACCCCTACAGGAGCATGAGAAAGATGGCGTCAGACGTGGGAATGAGCATCTTCGCTTTGGAACAAATCGTCAAAACGAAGCTTGTACTGACCCCATATCGTGTCCAAAAAGCGGCAATTCTATCGGCCGTCAACAAGCAGAGACGCTTCGAAAAAGCAAAACGACTTCTTGCGCGCACGCGGTCTGGAGAACACCTCGTCACTGTCTTCTCCGACGAGAAGCTATTCACTATGGAGACGGCATTCTACTCACAAAACCATTGAGTACTTGCCCAGACATCCCAGCAAGCTTCTGAGAAAGGAAGAACAATTAATCGAGCCTCACATCCTGCCAGTGTGATGGTTTTCGGTGCCATCTGCTCAACCGGGAGGTGCCCCCTGGATTTCGTGGATCAGGGGGTGAAAATGAACAAAGAAGTCTACGTTTGGGACATTTTAAAGAAGCATGTGATGCCCTGGACTCAAACGCATTTCGGTGGGCAGAAATGGGTCATTCAACAGGACAGAGCACCCGCCCACAATGCCAAAACTACTCAGGAGTGGTGCCAGACCCATTTTCCCGACTTTATCAAGTCATCCGAATGGACTGATTGCTCCCCAGACCTGAATCAGCTTGACTTTTCCGTGATGGGGTCTTGCAGGAGAAGGTCAACGCAAAACCCCACTCAAGTATAGAGGCTCTGAAGAAGACATTACTGGCGGAATGGCACAATCTTTCCATCGAATACCTGCGTACCACAGTCGCATCCTACCCGAAGCGTCTCTGTGAAGTCATAGCTCCGAAAGAAGGCCGAATCGAAAAGAGTTAATATAAAATTATTTGTTATACTATAGATAAAAAATATTTCAAGTCTCGTTTGATTTGGACTTTTAGTCTCAGAAATATACGTCTTCAAAGTTGTGCGGGAACTTAAATGACACCCTGTATGTACTCGTTCATTGAGATAAAACCATATGATGTTGATAACATTCGATGATATCAATTGAAAAACTCAAAGAGAAAAAAAAGAGTAACAACAAAAACGAAACGAACAAAAAATCGAAGAGCGACGATTCAATTGATCCAATTAATAAAAAAATCTTCGGAAAAACGGCGGAAATTGGAGAAAAAAAGAAATCTACCAACCGGTGATCGAAAGATAAATTTCATTTGAAAAAAAAAAACATTTAAAACCTGAAATGGTATTTTGAGTTCAAAAATTGAAATGTATGAATCAAACTGAAACTGATAATGGGAATGAGATGCTACCGATATCCGTTCGAATTGGGTCCAGTAAAGAATAGGTAAATTTACAAAAAAAAAACAAGACATTCTACGGTAATCACGGTGTAAATTAGTCCTAATTTCTTTTAATTGGCACATTGCCAACTTTTTTTTCCAAAATACAAATCAGTCAGACCAAAAAGGACACATTTTTCGGTATTGGTTTAAAAAATGCAATCGTCTGTTTTGAAAAAAAACATTGCGAATAGATTCTAGGATTTGGCTGAATCTGAAGGGTTCACAGCGATCGATCGATTTTTAATCAAGAGTCGGCGATTTGGACAAAATTACACATTTCATTTTAAAGAAAAATTAGTGTATTTTCGAGAAATTGGTTCGATTTTGAATCCAATGTTGATAAATTTGAGTCAGAAAGAAAAAAGAGAAATAGCAAAAATAGAAACATTTCTAGAAACGATTATCATATAAACAACTGGTAATCCAATATACATACAAATAATGGCTGATGCTCACGTGCTTGATTTTTGGCCCAAAAAGAACACCGCGTTTGATCTATGGAACAATGGGGATTCGGTGTAAAAATGACCGCTGAAGTGAGAAAACGACAATGAAGAGAACAGTCTCGCAAACAGACTTGAAAGTTGAAAACGGACCGGTTCGCAAGCCGCGTGCGAAAATATGAAAGGGGAGAATGGGAGGCGAATCGACAGTAGCCAATTCGAAATTGCGTGCATTTTGAGTGGCAATTTTATTCGAAACAACACACATCCAATAATAATAATTATTATTATTATTATATGATAAAATAGGAATTATTGAATAGATTGCGAACACTTGCGATTTGGTAGAAGAAGCTTGGAACACACACTCACACATTCGAATACACAACCATCCCAGACGCATGAACAAATATTACAGACGGCGGCGATTGTGAATAAACACATACACATCGTACAATTTGGCAACAAAAAATGATTGAGGACATTTTGACGCGAAGCGAAAGAATGAGGAAGAAAAAAAGAAGCATCTTGTTGCCTTTTATTCATTCTAAACATCATAATGCTTGGGAAAATCATTTTTTTGTCGAATGGAAACATTTCATTCGATTGTCGGCGTTTTTACAAAAACATGTTTTTTTCGTTGAAACGACTGAACAGAAACAGAAGAGAAGAAAAATAGCTGAAATATTTCACTTTAACTGAATTCACTAGAAGAGAAAGCTTTTCGCAGAATTATTTGTGCGTTTTGTTTGTTTTTAATGTTTTCTAATGATTTGGGCATTCGCTAATCTCATTGGACCTTGATAGATGGGCCGAACAAAAAGGATCAATGGCGGTTTCTCTCGGACCATTCATACAAGATCCTCGCAAACTATTGAGCATATCCGGAATCGCTCAAAAAAATCAATTTCGTTCGTTCAGAGGCGGCCGATCATACCGATGATATATAAATATTTTTTTTCTTTTGAGAAGAATTTATAATTTTTATCTTTGAAATCACATATTTTGGCCAATATACGTAAAAATGACGATTTCCAGAAATGAAATTTTTTGGAAATTCATTTCGAATTGAAGTTGACTAAAATTTTTTGGGTGTGAAATGATTTTTTTTCGAATTTTCGAAATCAATTCAAATTTCGTATATTTAAAAAATAGACTTCAAAAGGACAGGTAGGGGGGATGCAAATCAAGAAATCTCCGATTGAACACAAACACATTGACTCATGCCAAGTGTATTGTTCGATTGTGTCGCGAAACGAATCGGAATCAATCGACGAATAACTAGACGGACGATGACGTTGCACAAATTGCGCAAATCTTGCGTTGTTCGACCCATCGCCGACGGTTTTCTCTCTCTCTGGCGCATAATTCGTATGAGAATTCAAATTCCTTCGAATTCGTCGGTTCTTGCCAAATCGGCTTCGAAATGCCGTCCGGTTCGGGTGTACCCATCCATTTGTGACGTCACATTCATGCTGCTAAATGTTCGAACGACAGTAAATGAATTTTAGATGGGTATCTAAATCGAAACAAAGGCGAAATAAAAACATTGCGTTTGCGTGCCAACCCGAATTTATAATGAACAAAAAGTTTAATAGAAAATTTGTGTAACACATAGTTTAAGAAGCACTCAAAGAATTACTTATGCAGTTTGCGAATATTTTAGAAGTGAAAAAGTCTTCGATAAGCTTGAAATGGCGCTTAGCATTCACCGGTACTTCCAAAACTTTTAAAAAACAATTTGTTAAAAAATGCATTCGGCTCAGACGATTCAAATCGTCAATCTCTTGTCAGAAACACGGATAAAATATCATCACTGCCTGTTCGCAGGAGCGCGCGCTGGGTGGCCATTTCGCAACGTTGCGGACACTTCACGGGTTTCGCCGCACTCCATGAAATGTGTGCGACAAGAGGCAATAATCGCATTGCACTCAAACGAACAAGAGAATTTCATAGTTGTTTGAGCTATTGTGTTTCGAACTCGATTCTCGACGTATTTCAATGAATTCAATCTGTTCATGCGTTTTGTCTTTCCAAACATAAAACTCATTGGAATTGGTTTCAGACTTCTATACAAATCGACAAAGAACGATATCGCTTTTCCGCAAACTTGCAAAAATAAAAAAAAAGTTGATATGGAAATGTTCGTTTATTTGTAATCATCTTTCACTTGTTTCAATGTTCCTAGCGCGGCACAGGACGATCGTCTTCATGAAGACCAACCGGAATCGACAGATGGTCCTTTTTGTTGAAATAATCCATTTTAAATTTGCCGAAATTATCGGTAACTTTAGCTTAAATCAAAAAATAAAATTTCAAAGCTTGAAAGAGCCAAAATTTTTACCGATAGTGCATTGGCCCGCGTATTTCCAGTGGCCGACAATAAACGCGTGAAGATTCGCAATCGGCGTGCCATGGGTAATAATCAAAAGATTTCCTGAAGGATTTGAGCGAAATGAAATAGGACATTCTAGAACCTGTCGGGAACTTCTTCAGCACTCCCTTGAATGTATTAATAACTCTTTCGGCACATCCAAGATCACCTGGAGTCTCTCCAGATACGGTTTTCATCACTGGTTCGTATGATTCATCAATTCTTGTCGTCAAATTTCTGAATTGCAAACATTTCCAATTTCACTACAATTTGCTATGTACTTGAGCGATTCCATTGTCGGAATCGATGGGGGATCCATGCAGCTGCTCAACGGCTCCATGAATCCCGGCTCAATGCAAATCGATGGCGGATTCTGCATCATCGTGACAATGACGGCAGCAGTTTCCACGCATCTCGTAAAAGGCGAGCAAATGATTTTCTCAATATTATAGTTAGCCAATGCTTTTCCCACTTCAGCGCTTTGAGTTTTCCCGCGAGTTCTTAATACATTCAGGCATTGCCAGCGGAATTGAGCTCAGACTTACGTTAGCTCAGGATCATCCCATTTCTTCGGATTGTTGTCCTTCCATTTTTTATCGACATTGTCGATTCGTTCTCCATGCCGAACCAACCAAATGGTCCGGCTCATTTTTCTCGAACTGTTTGATTAGCGACCGCACAAATAATATGAAAGATTTTATCTCACTATGGCACGTTGCGATTTAAAAAAAAAAACAAACAAAAACAAACAAGTAAGATAATAAGATTAACATTATTATTATTATTAATATTATTATTAATATTATTAAAACAAAGAATTTCGAATCTTCTTTTTTTAGATTTTCTGATCTTGATATATTTTTTGAATCTTCCTCTCCTTCCATCCGGGTTTCGTGTACTCAGCTGATTCAAGAGTTGCGAAAAATGGGAACGGCACATTCATGATGAAGACGAATATTCCGAGACAAACGTAGAATACCGCCCACTGAACATTAAATGAAGAAGTAAGGAAGAAAGAACGTGGCGACATACCTGAGCATGGGTGTGATCAGGACAAGCAAATCCGATAATGACAGGAAGGAGAAATATGGCAATCCAAGCACTCAGCGAAATGACAGCCATCACGAAATGAACGTGTTGTCGAGACCTCTGAATATCGATTTGTTCTCGACGGGAAACAATGCGCATTTTTTTAGTGCACTCATCAGTATGCGTGTGCATCAGGGCTGTGCGGCAATCGGAAATTTTGGCTATTAAATGTTTTCAACGATAATTCGAAATATAAATACCAAATTTTCACGGTATCCCAAATGATTCAATGCACATTGATTTTTGTTTCGCCGATTTTTTTTTTAATATCAAATTGCCGAAAATATAAATTTCGGCAATCGGCAATTCCATTGCGGCACAGCCCTGATGTGTATATACCATTTGTGCGCACTTGACAACCCCAACAATATTGATTCCAGCGAGAACAATTGCAATCGTATAGGCCAATTGGGCGACAACTCGATTGTTCGTCTGAATCATTTGATTTTCAAAAAAAAAATGATTGAATTCGACGTAATACCGCAGCCATGACGAAAAATCCGCAGCCCATTCCAGCCTGCGAAACGACGGCGAAGAAAATTACTCGCCACTGAAAATCTGCGGCGTTTTTCGCAAAATCCATGATTTACCAATTCTGGAATAAACGTCATGTGATCCGAGAGTGGTCCCGCAATGAATTTGACAATTGCAGCGAAAATGTAAGGAATTGCGTTGGAGAATCCGGTATCGCGAACGTCGAGCCCAAGGACCTTAAGGACCATCATGTCATTTTCAAAGAAACAAAACAAAACCATCAGAAATACCTTATTAAGATAAATTGGTCCATATTGCATAAGACACATCAATGACATATTTCCTCCAATTGCCTGAATATTCAAATCGATGCAAATATACTAATTGATTTCAATTACCGATGCCCATATTGAGAGAACTACTCGATCCTTGCACACTGCCAAATAAGGAACTGATTTGTCATTCGACGTTGGATTTTTTCCTACACTAATTTTTCGCAATTCCTTATGGCTCACATTTCTGGAAATTTAAGCGTCAATGAGTGAGTGTTGTTGAGAATATTGATGGACTTGTGAAGAGAGGCATCATCGCGGAAGAAATATAAGAATAAAATGAAGACGATCACACCAAATCCTCCAAAAATATAGTAAATCGATCTCCAGCCAAGTGAAGATTCACATAATATTCCCGAGGCGGGCATCATTATAATATTACTTATCTTGGGAATTTTGCTTGATTCATTTAATATCATCATTCAAATTGATACCTGAAATCCGGACGACAAGAAAGCAATGTATGTGCTGATTTCAGAGATCGGAGACCAGCCTTCTGATATCACGCCGATCGCAGAAAACAGAATTGAAGCACCGAAGCCCTTTATAAACATTTCGATTTGCTTTTGATGATATTCGAGTTACTTGTAGAATTCTCGCGATTACGACGGGAAGGAATCCGATCGAGACAGCGAATGGAACAATCAGCGTGCCGAATGCCGCTGTTAATCCATAAAACGATAAAACTGCCCTAAATTTTACAATGTGAAACGTCATTAAAAAAGGCAAGAAATGTACCGAATACCGAATTGTGTGGTCAAAGGCACAAACAGAATTAATCCGACGACTGCACCAATGGATCCCGACGCGAATACAGTGGACACATCGGCCGAGTTTTCCAGCCAATCTGAAATTGCTCTATGAAAATAATTCACTGCGAAACAAGTGCTTACGCGTCTGATTCTGCTCTTGCTGTTCTTCAATGACATCTTGCATACAAATTACAGTAAAATTTATAGTGTTCATGTTCGCATTTGTTATCAATATACATAATAAACTTAAATTTAAAAAAAAACGTATTAAAATTTCAACAGAAATGCAAAAATAGTTACCCCAATATTAATATGACATAGCGAGTTTTATTTGCGAACACAACGCGTCCCTTGACATGATGATCTATTTTACCCTCGTCTTCAATCATTCTGAAAATTTTGACTGGAAAATTTTAACAAAAAAAAAAATGCAGTGTTCCAATACTCATACACAGCGATTTAAAATCCGATATTTATATAGGAGGAAAATGTCTGGCCGTGAAAAAAAATCAACTCGGATTTGCATAGTGATGACCTCATAATGGTTACCGCGAACTTTGTTGCTGAAATTTTGTCGTCGAAATCGAAAAATCGACATATTGTGCAATTGTTGCCAATTGAAAACGTTTCAGTGCATTTATCAACAGCGAGGACCATCGTATCGAGACTTGGAAAACATGTATTTGAAGTGCACGTTTCGAGACATCTGGTTATATCCGAATAAGTCGCTTCGATTGTATTGAATCGCCAAAATTACAAAGTGTTGAAAAGCAGTGGGCAGTTGGGAAGATCTGACCCCCTGAGATCTGGGAAATTTTGAAGGTCCATATCTTGATAACTAGAAGAAGTAGGGACCTAGTTCATTCGATTGGAAATTTTCTAAAGAATCTGTTTGCAAAAAATAAAAAAATAAATAAAAAAATAAAAAAAATCTTTCTTGCAAAAAAATCTTTTAAGACGGACAGCAAAATGACCTCCTTTGTGAGTAAGACACACTACAAATCAAAGGTACAGCCGAAAATGCTTCTCATCGTGCTAGGACCCAGTAAGCTCACATAGAAAATCGTAATATAAACAGTGATTGTTAAAAAAGTATGGTTGTGTTGCTCTGAGAGCCGCAATTGTTGCTCAAATGTTTTTTTGATTGTGTGGGCGACAAGATTGCTATTGATTTGATGATATCATTTGATTTCTCTTTTCATTTTTTTGAACCAATTCGAAAATGAGAACCCCCGTATTCGAAAGCAAAACTCGTAATCCGAACCCTAAAAACAAACCGCCGAAAAAATTAGCATAAACTGTTATCGGCACTTCGAATTCACGTTGTTTTTGCGAACTTTTGGTCATTTTTTTGGTATTTATTGTTAAAGTAAACAAACTCATTCGAAATTATAATATGTACAACGATGGGCGGAATAGTGTGAACACCCTCATGTGAGATACTCGTAATTATTCGACCAATTTTCTCATGCCTCGCAGCAATCAACACGGAACTTCGAAATAATCGCAATCAGGCAGACGAGGAGGATAACGACGACTCGGAATCCTCCGATTGGGCGGCGGATTCGGCCAATTTGGACGGGAGGGGTGTGGCCGGAATCGATTCAATTCCATATTTGATCTGCTATTTCGATATTCTTATAACCGAGTAACTGAAAAGACTTACGGTCTTGCAATCGGGAATACCGGAGTTGGTTGGGGTCGTCGTTTATCTGATTTGGTTCCTATCAACGTCGGATGTCTAAAAAATTTTTTGATTTGATCTAACAAATGGCAAATGAAAAATTCTTACACATTTAATTTTTTCATTGGTTTTTTCATCGAGTTTTGCCCCTTTGGAGGCTCTTTTCGGTTTCGATAGCCATTAGTTATTGCGATTTCTTCGGGTATCGTGACTAATGGAAGCTGAAACAATGTTTTTCGTAAAAATTATTTCTCCAAAAGATTTATGAGAAATACCACAGGTTTTTCATTCACAACATCCGGGAGGATTCCATTTTGAGCCAATCGTTCAACATAATCATCGACTAATCGTTTCACATCGTACTTACTGGCGCCCATTTCACTCGCACGGAACACAGATTTCTAGATTTTCTTTGTTAGCTGATATATGAGGAAAGGATTCTAACCAAAAGTTGCTGGTATAATGGTTTAGGAAGAAGTTGAGAATAAAGCGAGCATTCATGTTTTTTTGCTTGGTATTCGGCTAGTTCGGGAACAATTGAATGCCATTCCTCCTCACTTATATGGCCGAATACATAGCGATTGACTTCTTCGAGAACCTTCAAACACATCTACTTTTTGCAATAATAGTTTTGAATTTTTAACGGACCAAAGAAATCTAAAAGATTCGTCTAAAGTTAGTAGGTTTAATGAGTCTAATGCACATTTATATTTGAAAAACGTGAGGATACCTTCTCGGCATTCGATCCATCAAACTTTGTGTGCACCAGTTTGCGCAGCTCCGACTTCTCCTTTTCATTCAAATATCGCTCCAAAACCGATTTCGGCCCAATGCACGGCCCGACAATAAACGAGGCGACATGAAAGGAAATGAAAAGAAATGCAAATGCGGTGAGCCAAATGTGCATGTGTGATCGAGAAATGGAAAGAATGAATGGCTGTGATTCCGGAAATGATGATGATGAAGTTGGTGATGATCAAGGAGCAGTTGGTGCGAGCAACTGGCACCGAACAGGCTTGACTAGGCACTGCGACCGACAACAATGAACACACACGAAAGGCGATCCGAGTGAGCCAACAATTAACGCCTCTTTCCGATCATATTTGTTCTTATTGTGGTGCTCCAAATTGACATGACACATTCGCACCAGATCATCTTCTTTCGTCATTTTGGACGCAGTTCCAATTTATGGTGCATCAATATTTGGTTTGAGAGAGAGAGAGAGAGAGAGAAAGAGAGAGAGTGACCGATCTCTCTGCAGAGATTTCTTTCCATTCGATGCTCTCATCGAACTTCGAATGTCGAATTTGCATAAACCGTTTTATAACAAAACAAAGAGATTACGAATATTCTAGATAAACCTTTTCATTGTTTTTTTCAGAAACCACATCGCGTACGAATTGTATAAATAGAGATTCCAAATAATACATAATATCAGTTTTTTTGTATGTTCTGCTGACTGCGCTTTGTTAGTTTTCAGCAAATTCGCAATCATATGAAGAATCGAAATAGATGCCGATTCAAACGCAGTTGGATTATTCTACACAATTTCGCATGTTTGAATTCATTGCTGCAATTAATAAATTTTTCAAGGTTCCCGTTCACGTAGTCTTGTAAAACAACACATTTTTTCTTATCAAGTTTATAATAATTCTAAAATTGATTCGGTTTTGTTTTTGCCGTCTTGCCTTCTTGAGTAGAACAGAATTGCAGGAATATGTGATTAGAGTCGAAAAAGTTATGTTCAATGTGATTTCCTCAACATGTTCCTAATCATCTCTTTATGTTTTGTTTTTCTATTATAGTCGGCGACTGCTGTACGCGGGTAGATTTACGGGAATGCTCCTTTCTCTTGGTCTCGCGCGGACTAACTGGTTATTTCGCATTTCATGGGACGGTTCGATAATTTTTAAATCGAACGATGTTAGAAATTCCAAGAAATGCCAAATACATCAAGAAAAAGTAAATCATTCACATGAAAACAGCAAAATAAGCTTTCACACGTGGCGAGAGCTTTTCAAGGCGCATGCGCATAAATCTACCAGCGGACAGAAGTCGGCGGACGCCGACTATATTATTTTTTAAAATATAACAATAAGTTTTTGTGTGCACGTTCGAACTTCCTTAATTCTTGAAACAATTTGAAAACGGCCAATCATTTTACTTTTTATTAAAGCTTCATTTCCTATAAAACCGAAAATATTTAAAATATTTATAAATGAATTTTAATAGCTCAAAAAAAAACGGCACAGGATGCTCGTTTTTTTGCGAAATATTGTCGGCGTCAAAAAACCAAACGGTGGCGAGAAATTCAATTTCGCAAAATCAGTGGAGATATTCGAAATTTGAAATTTACGTGCTGCTAATTACTTAAATGCGCGTAGGTTAAAATGCAGAGTACGCAGACACGCACACGCCTCGAGACACCTGGCAAATTGCCAATATTATTAAGATTTTGTTTAGTTTTGTAAATTGAAATAACCGGCCACAGTCTCTATTCGCAAAACATAATTCGAAACAATGAATCGGGAAATGCACAAAAATAAAAATGTAAGAAAAATATTGTCAAAGTCGGCTACGGAAATTGACAAAATGCCTAAAACCAATAGAACTGGTCTTAGCAAAAAACTCGCAGCGTAAATTTAAGGTCCTAATGATAGAGTCCACCGCACAAAATGATCTTTACTTTAGTTTTTTGGCATTTAGCCAATTTTCTGCGGTTTCAACAATTATATTTTTTTCAATTTTTTTACATTGAGATTTTCTAATTTTCGAAATCATTGCTGCACTAAAAGAAGATAAGTTTTTACCGGAAAATGAAAGTGAACACCTTCCAGCCAAGCCATTCTCGCGAAAAACCACGAGGACAACCACGTGGGGTAAAAAATGCCCACCCACTAGTACTGTAGTTCAAATCATACGATTTTATTTCCCGGCGAGGAATCCGCATTTGAATTCCCGGGAACACGTGCTATACTGACCATAATCTGGGAATTGATTTGAAATTGATCTGTTGTCAGTATCAAATCGAAGTTCAAAGTAAAAAAAAATCAATAATTGGCTATGTGCCGAAGCGTCTTGAGCAAAATAGATATCACGCCCAATTCGAATTGACGCCGTTAACTCGTGTCTCAATTTACAAATTTGAAAATTTGAGATAGGAAATCACGCCCTCAATCAGTAGTTTGAATCCGACAATAATCTGAAATGTATTGCATACTTTAATATTTCCACATGGGTGGCCATCAGCATCCGCCCGTGTTGAAAACTTCCGCAAATATCGAGGGAATGTTGATCACGCGAGAAGATTTTTAGAAGGAAGCGCTCATCATTTTAAATTTACCAAATTCGCCAGTCTTCGAGAATACATAAATATCTGTTGAATTTCACACGTCTCTTCGCAATGTTTTCTGGTTTTCTATACTTTATCTATCATCATCAATCGGTTTGACCTTTTAATTTCTATCATCGAGCGTATCACCGATTCGTTGATTTGACCAACGATTAAATCGTCTTGTTGTTTAATTGAACAAAGATGAAAAAATATTTCGAAACTACTCGATATTGCTTTAAGACAGACGAGTTCCGAAAAGCGGAAACTTCTTTTGACACAGAGCATCCCTTCCATTCGCCAGCCTCGGCCCTGAGAGATCGGGGTCCCACAGTTTCCTTGTTTGCATATTCGTCGGATTTTCACGAAACAATGGGCGAAAACTGAAAAAACGCGATTGTGAGATGTCTCCGGAAATGTCCGCAGATGTTTGCAATGAAATTTCTCTTGCTCGATTTAATGAATAGACCCACCCGCCTTCCTAATTGATGTGTCTTTTTCAAACCGAGCCTGCCTTTTTTTGGTATTCTTGATTTGACGGTCTTCGACAATATTTTCAGAATAAAAAAACATACAGATAAATATTATTGAAAATGCTGTGTAAAATAATGTGAGAAACACTAGTTCAAAATGGGTACACGTCTACACTTGATATTCCTTACAATCGACGTCTTATGTTTTTGTCTACTTCCTCTTTTCATATTGTGTATAATCATTACTGTAGTATACACATGACGAGATGCATTTTTAACATATGAACTTGAGACGATGACGTTTTCAAAAGTTACGGTAGTTTTGAAAAGATAGACAAATTGCATTGACACTTGTCTTTTCAATGTAATCTCTATGTTTATAAGGTGTTCAGTTTATCGACTAATCGATGTAGGCTGCTGTGGGCTAGACATTCGAAAGCGAAGAGACATGGAATCATCATCGAAACGGTATTAATCAGAGAAGAAAACTCAACAATTTTCTTCGTTTACACTCGAGAATTTTATTAATTCATATGTTATCGAGAATATGTGCACAGTGTTACTATATATTCGGTGATTACAAAGTTTTATTATTTTGCAATTTTAGCTTCGGATTTCGAGATTTTAAAAGGTGTTCGAATATTTCGATTTATGAGCATTCGTTTCAAAAAAGATTTTTTATTCTCTCAAAGTGCTAGACAGTTTCAATTTAGTTTTTATTTCCACGTATTCCTTGTTTGATTGAAAAATGCCAGAGTATACTGTAGTAGTCGGCAGTTTTATCAAAATGTAATTGTGTCCTCACACGATTTTTTTTTACATTTGCGAAGGCGGAACTATTCAACCAAGTGACTCTTATAAAATGCGCATTTTTTTCTAAAAATTCTGCGATGGACACAATATTTTCTTATAATTTTCCACCAAAATCCGTATGCTGATTCTTTTCAAATCTCTATATGAATCAATGATAAAAGGCTCGTGAGTTTGTGTAGATTTACGGGCATTTTTTTACAAATGTAAATTCATAATTCTTCAATTTTTAAATATTATTTTGTGCATTCGAAAGAATAAAATGTAAGAAATTTTTCAAAATTCCAATAAGCAAGGATTAAAAGGACACATTAAACAACAGAAATTCTCGTTTTTTTTTGAACGATTGTACAAATGAAACAGGCTCTCAATTCTTCCCAAGTCAACCATACACCTTCGACAAATTCCTGACAAATTTTTACTATAAAACCAACCACTCGTTTCTTTCACATTGTTTTTATTTTGTTACTAACCGATTATCAATTTATCTGTAATTAATATAAGGCTTTAATTAAATCTACAATCACATGAATCGAAAACAATAGAAAGTATGTTTTTTGATGAGTAATAAACATTTGATTTGTCGCTTGATAACTACCAATCGCAATAAAGTCAAAATTGTCATTTCGATTCTGTATTGTTTGCCAATCTACAAATGTTTTTTTTTCCTTTGAATCACAAAGTTTTGCGTGCATTTGTTCTCGGTGTAACAAGTCAAAGATTCAACTTTAATTTGCCATTCTCAGGTTCATCTCATCACATCGTTGACTAGAACATTCGGTCATTGATAACTACGCGTGACATTTGTCTACAGTAACCAGCCTATTCAAAATCTTTTCTTTACACCCCCAATTTTTTTTCGTTGTATGGAACGAAACCGGTAGATAGTTGAAGGAACTAGCAAATAATATCATTCATATTTTTCTCTATTTTTTTTCCAAGCCTCAATTATGTTCCTCCGTGATGCGCCTGTCAACTGTTGCTTTTCGTTTCCAGGTCGTTCGTTGATTGATCAAGAGCAAACAGAACCAATATGAGCTTTGATTACAAACAAACCGATTTTGAGGTGATTTTGGGATGACAAAGGGCTTTTCCTGAATAACATTTGTTGTAGATCAAAACTGAACATCAAAACGAGTCAAGATTCACTTTTTGTGGAAATACTCGATTCGTCATTCTCATTCTTGGGTCAGTTTTCAACTCTGACGAATAGTTGATACTATTCGTATAATTTTTTCAATAATTAGAAAAAATCCATAAAATTTTGATGTGACGTTTGCAAGATGTCGTCACAAAACATCAAAATCGTCTCATTTCAAGAAATCCCCGCGATGGGACCAAGAAATGTTGTCAACGCCTCGGAGTTTTTCAGATTATGCTGTATTCTGTGCACAAATGCCAATCTCATTCTTATGAATTTCACTGTGATCTGCATGCAGGATGTGATAGAAGAACAATCGGTTCATAATCATACACGTAATCAATCAATGATTTGAACAAATCAAAAACATCCTTGTGAATCTAGATTGGCTTCAAAGATCTTACGAGATTTCGCTGACATTTTCATCGGCGGCAATTGGTGCCATTTTTGGCATAATTCCAGCTGTTGCTTTAATAACTTCCTATGGAATCAGGTAAAATAAATAATTAACAATAATAGTTGAATATTTACAGGCGTACTTTAACATCATATGGATTGATTTCAGCAATTGCAACATTATTCATGCCATTGGCTGTTTCTTATGGATTATTCTTTGTTCTAGTTGTTCGATTACTTCAGGTTTTTGAAATCAAACTGACGCTTTTGAAATGTTCGTTCAGGGAATCGGTGCCTCAATTTTATATTCTTCAATCGGCACAATATCTAATAAATGGTCAGCGGCGGCTGGAATCGGCACTTATGTTGCGTTCTTATCCTCTGCTTTTCAAGTATTTTTTATCAGCCTATTCAACACATTTTTTTCAACACATTTTTTATTTAGATCAGTAATATTCTAACCATGCCAGTCTCCGGTCTTCTTTGCGAATCATCGTTGGGGTGGCGATCAATTTATTACATTTTTGGATCGGCTACAGTATCCGTTTATTTGGTGTTCTATGTTTTCTATGCAGACGAACCTTCAAATCACAAGTCGGGCTTAAATAAGTTATAGTATTTATCTCATTAATTAATTCAGATTTGTGAGCAAAATTGAATTGTCGAGAATTCAAGAAGGAAAACTCAACGTGAATAATAAAAAGAAAGGAGAATATTCGGCGATTTTCAAAAATCGCGAAGTATTTGCAATCACTATTGCGGTAAGCCTTTTTCGGCAAAAACCTCTTCTAGCTCGAAAAACCGAAACTCTTTTCTACAAGCACATTATACAGATAATTGGCGCAAGTGCTGCAGTGATTTGCCTCAATAACTATGGTCCAATTTACCTCAACAAAGTACTTGGTTTGAATATTCGCGAAACCGGATATTCCAATGCAATTCCCTACGTGTTCGCCGCAGTTGTCAAATTCGCGGCGGGACCCGTTACCGATAAACTCGCACACATTTCCGAACGAGTACACAAACAACTTGTTGGTCAAATTGGGGCAATTACTCATTTTTAGATGCGTCTCATCCTCTTTGCTTTACTTCCTCAATTAATAATGGCAATTGGTTTCCTAGTGATGTCCTTTGTGAGTTTGCATCAATTCATTTTAATTTCATTTTTTGATAGAAAATTGTGACTGTGACTCACCGAATCGATGAGCCTTTTAAGCGGAAAACACGAACGTCGTTTGTTTTTGAGCAAATGCTCGCGAGGAGATTGCGAAAAAAAACGAATGAGATTTTCAGACATCAAATGTGATAATTGCACAAGTTGCTTACACTGTTTCGATTGTTTTGGCGGGATTGAATGTCGTCGGAATGGTGAAATCCGCACAGATTGTAAATGAAGCGATCCTTACAAGGAATGATTTCGAAATTTGCAGGTTGCTGGAGAATTAATTGATTTGATTATGGCAGTAATCTCGATGAGTTCTTGGATTGCTGCCTTCATTCTGCCAATCGTCATCGGATTTGTTTGTCCGGATAATACGCACTCTCAGGTAAAATGTTAGCTGTCGAAATGCCATCAAAAACCGGACTTAACTTTTCGGTCAGTGGTGGCGACCAAGCGATTTTTCACAAATTCGGATGAAATAATCTAGTTAAATTCAATATTTAATGATTTCAATATGCAAACTATTCAATAGAATTCGTTTGAAGATATCGCAATCAACAAAATTTAATTGGCTTCGGCCCAGCGCGATTTTTCTTCAATTGAATTAGACAGAAAAAAATTATGGCAGACGTTTTGACGCAATAATAAATGTGTAGGGAGAGGCATAAGAATATGTAAAAGGTGTCCATGGCACGCCAAGACCTTTTCTAAATATTTTGGCATTTAGCCAATTTTTGACATCAGAATATTTTAAAAAAAAACTTATTATTTATGGGATTCTTAAATATTTGAATTCAAAATATTGCAAAAAAACTTTCCTCCATTAATTTCTCAAAAAAATTTTCAGTGGTCCATTTTCTACCTCGGAGTGTCACTCTTCGTCGTTCTCACAAACGCACCATTCCCATTTATGGCCCGTGTCAAATACACAAAACAGACAAACCGAGTATCAGCTATATCGGAAAAAGTTTGATTCAGTTCACCGTTTGGACAATGATACGTGTATTCCGGATGCCGGTATTGAGTGCAACGCATTGCAGTTGTAATAAGCTATTGACAATATTTTGTTTATCGTCATAAATATATTATTAAAATCAAAAAAATGGAAGGAAGACAAAAAATATATATGATATGAGAATGGTCAATAAAGTCACCCCAAAACGGACAGAAGTCAAGAAAAGACAATCTGTATTTTCTCTCAATTTTCGCGATGCTCGACAATGATGAGTGCGCTTGTTATCTGGAAACAAAACAACGCACTATGTTGGCAAAAATGACTAATCAATCAGAAACAACGGGAGAAATTATAAATTAAACCGGTTACAGGAAAATTGAATGGGCAGCGATCGATTCAAGAAACAACTATACCAAACTATCTAGGATATTCTCAACAAATCAGTGAAAAAAGAGAAGAAGCAACAAAGAAAACAAACATTTTGTGAAGAAGTTTCGCCAAAATTGAGAGAAGACAGAAAGAATCAACAAGATTTCGAACAAAACGAACGATTGGATGAATGAAAACACGAAAATGAATATAAATAGAGAAAAAAAATCAACAACAAATGGGTCGTCTGAAACAAAACAACACCGAATTATGCATTTAAAGCAACAAGAAATTCACCATCACGACATTGAAGTCGTGATTTATACATGAAAATTATAACGATTATTAATTAAAACATAAGCCCGAGGTGTGAAAACTGCCGAATTGTGCAAACACAAGACGACAAAGAGAAGATCAATTGAAAGGAAAGAATGATTGATGATTGCTTGTTGCCGTGGAAATGGAAAGAAAAAATATCTAAAGATAGTCTAGAGAGGTTTACAAAGTAGAACAAAACATTTGTGATGGTAATGCTGATTTGAATTTTGTTTCGAAGAGAATTGAGCCCACAATTTCACCCGTTTAACGACGAGATGGGTTAATTGGTGCGGTTGGAATCGCATCGATTTCTCCCTTGTTAAGACGATCCGACGCAGCGGTTCCGCGGAATCCGAGAATGGTTCCGTCGAGGACAGTCTTTTGGTTCTGCAAAATAACCACATTCATATCCGAATAAAATCGAAATCGATAGATAGTACAATTTCTCCACATTTTACCCATTAACTTACCTTCTTCTTTTTCTTTCCTTGACTTCCAGCTCCAGATGTAGACGAACTATTCGTATCAGGAGCCGCAGCAGTTCGGGCAGATGTCAAATCCTGAAAGCCAACTTTGAGACCTATAAATAAAATGATCCGTTACATCGCAAACCGGACGTCCAGAATTGCGCATTTCGATGCGTCGCTTCAAAAATTCGCGAACAAATTCTTTAACAGCCTTGGATTCATCCAAATAAGACATCACGATATCTTCAACCTGCAAGCAAAGACATTTCAGTCAACAGCTAGCTGCAAAACAAGAATAAGAATGTGTTTACAGAGCCGAATTCCGTTTATATTTAAAAGCGAAAATAGAGCCGGCGGCGGCAGTGGCCAACAGGAAAACTGCAAACTCGCTTAGTGAGAAGAAGGGGAGCTTAGTGGGCAAATTACCAACTATACGATTCACTCAACAAAATATTGCTATTTGAATAGAAAAATGCGTGAGTCAGACGAAAGAGGGCAACAAATGAGCGCTTGAAGTTGGATGAATGAGCCGACAGAAACGAATACGAAGGAGATGAAAGAGGGCAGAGCCTATTTGAGAAATAATGCTGCATGTGCTCCAAAAATGACTCACGAAGGCTTGGACAACAATAAACAAGCGTATCAAAGAAGCAAAACAAAAAGGGATTCACTAATAAATTTTTCAAAGTTGTATGATTAAAAAAAATGATAATTGGATCAATCGTAGAGACAGAATAACAGATAAAATTTTATTAACGATTTAATAAAAATAACAGAAAATGTCGAACAGATTCGAGATTAACTCAGGTTGAGGTGTGCTCCGGAGCGACCCCAAAAATAGAAGAGCAACCGAATTCGTCCCAAGTGATTTGGAGAAGAAAATAGACTTATTATTGTCAAATGTGACAAAAAAATGATTGCAATGAGTTATCAAATTCGCCTATTTCGCAATAAAGGAAATTCATAGTAGTGGTTCATTTTCATTTAAATTAAAATATGTTTTTAATTTGTTAGTCCTTCTGTGGTAAAAAAAACCATTGATCTATTGAATTAAACTTGTGAGAATTTAATTTAGGCTACATATAATATTGATATTAAAGAACAATTTGAGAAAATTATGAAAACCGTTCTCTTTTTTCTCAATAAACAAGGACGTTAACGAAATTCGCTAATCGAATTGCTCAGATAAATGCCAAATAAGAAAATCGCGGAGGGCTCCGTGCATACATGATTCAGCATTCACACGAATCTATTTTTATCATTAACTCGACACGTTGTTTTTGTTATTCATCGTGACACAAAAAACAAACGACAACTCGGTCCAACTTTACGAAAAACGGATCGAAGGAATTATGGAAAAAAATATGTCAGTTATTATGAGTCGAAAGCCGCCATCATATGGTTCTACTTTGTGCACACCTCAAGAATCCTACTGACAGCACGCGAAAGCGTATAGGTCAACAAATATAAAATTATGAGAGGACACAAAAACAAATTATTGAATTGGTTTTCTTCATGGACTCAAACTTGTTGTCATTGGTCATTTGACACTTATTAAAAATAATCAAAATAATTAAATTCACAAAAATATGCTCTTCCAAAATATAATGGTTAAATTATAAACAATTCTTTCCTAAGATTTTTTCCGTGCGAAACACAAGGCGGCAATTAAAAAAATCATACTTCAAATCCGTACATCTTTGACTATACTTTTTTTTAGCGCAATAAGCTCATTTAATGAAATTTACGGATGCAATTTACGACCCGATTCTAACAATACGCTGTTAATAGTATAATTTAAAAACTTGTTTGGTGCCTTTAAAAAGCGATATCTGATTTTGCATTAATGTTATTTATTTTTATGATTTCCAGCATTTACCTCGTTTGGATTTTCTAACTCCATGATATACTGATACAGCAAATTGATGTCGATTTCATCGTTGCTCGTACGCAATTGCTTGAAGCGCTTTTCGAACCAGGTGAGAAGTCCATCCGTCTTAGAAACAGGTTTGACCTTAAGAAATTATTCAATAAACTACTTAATTACACCAGAAAACCTCCACTTTCTTAATTGGAGACGGAGCGGCTTTCGCAGCTGGCTTCACAACGGCTTTCTTCGGTGGAGCAATCTGAACATGCATTGGATATCAAAATATGTGGATGAAAAACTAAATGATAGCGAAGCGAAAAGAAAAAAAAAACTAAAAAGGGAAGAATCGTGTCGCCTCGTCGTAGATATTAGTTTTACCTTGTTAGCAGCCTCAAGAGAAGGACCATCCAGAAGAGGAGAAACATAAGCACGAGCAGGTTCTTGAACACCAGACGAATTTCCCCATGGACTTACACCCTTTGGCTTTGAAGCCGGCGAGCCGTTAGCAGCCCACTGAAGGCGAGTTGAGGCGCCAGTCCATGTTCCAGAGCTAGCAATAGATGATTGTTGTGCAAGTTCCTAAATGGAATGATTCATCTCTGTTATATCTCAAATCATTTGTACATCTTTACGTAAAGCAGCAAGACGCTCTTGTTCAGCCTTGAATTGTCGTTCCTCCTCCAATTGGATTTCGCGAAGAGTTTTTTCAGCACTCGCTTGAGATACTTGCTCCGCCTTTTGACCGGATGCCCACGGAGCAACTGAATTTTTCAAAATCAATTTTGAAAAAAAATCATTCTTTTCAACTACAACCATATTCCAATAAAAATTAGAGAGAATTTTCACTTTATTTATGGTCGGCGTCCGGCGACTGCTGTATGCGGGTAGATTTACGGTGATACTTCTTTCTCTTGGTCTAGCGCGGACTAACTGGTTATTTCGCATTTCATGGGACGGTTCGATAATTTTTAAATCGAACGATATTAGAAATTCCAAGAAATGCCAAACTCATCAATAAGAATATAAATTACTCACGTGAGAATTTCAAAATAAGCGTCACACGTTGCGAGACTTTTTCAAGGCGCATGCGTCTAAATCTTCTCGCGTATAGCTGTCGCCGGACGCCGACAATAGAAGACAGTGAAAATAAAAATGGTTTACCTTTAGTGTGCTTTACTGGTTGATTCTTCGCAACTGGGGTCCATCCGCTGGAATCATCGCTCGCAGTTGGTGAGATCTGCTTAAGTTTCTGCTCAGCAGATATTCTAACTTCCGCTTCTTTCATTGTTTGTATTTCAGCGGCGTGACGCTGTTCGGCAGCAATTTCTTGCTCACGTTTTTTCTTCGCAGCTTCTTCCTCGGCCTTCTGCGGATTTTTTCGGTATTAAAATAATAAACCAAACGAATGTACTTTTTTTGACATCTGCTTGATTTTTTCGGCGGCAGATTCAGCTTCTGCTTTCAATCGTCTTCTTTCATTTTCCGCTGCATCTTCTGCTTTCCTAAAAAAAAAAAAAATGAAACCTTGCTTAGAAATTATTTATCGATCTGCTACTTTTGACGTTCAGCTTCTTCGCGTTTCTCTTTCAAAATTCGCTCTTCTTCTTTCTTTCTCTCCTCTTCCAAACGTTTCAGTCTCTGATTTTCCTAAAAAAAAGTAAATAGAATTTAAAATTCCTTATCAAAAAATTTAAACAATTATTTCACAAACCTTGAGCTTTTTCGCAGCTTCTTCTTCAATAAGTCTTTTGCTCTCTTCAAGAGTTCTCCTTTCCTCCTCGATTTTTCTTTGAATTTCCAACGCTTTCTCTTTCATTTCCATTTCTTTACGCATTAGCTCTTCCTAAAATACAACAGATCAATAGAAAGCAGAAAATCAAACACGAACTCGATGCCGCAAAAGGGCAGTTTCTTGCTCGCGAAGCTTCTGTTGGGTTTCTTCCTGCTGTCGCTGGAACTGTCGCAACATTTCCTCTTGCATTTCACGACACTTGTCGCTCTCTTCTTTAACGCGTCTAGCATGCTCTTCGATCTTCTGCAATATTTTCATTTTGATCGTTTTGAATTAAAAAAACAGGCAGACCATTCTCTCAGCGGTCATATGCTCAACAGCAGATGGATGAATTATACCATACATTCCCATCGAATCGAGACCAGCGGTTGGAGCCCATAGGTTTTGGTTTCTATAATTATTCAGTACATAAATAATTAATATTTAAAAAAAGTCAATTTACCCAAAAAGACTAGGAAAAGATGTGCTCGGTTGCAAAATATGTGACGGAAATTGGGCTAAGTGAGCACGTGCTGTTTCTGCTGCCTTATCTTCCGGATAATCAAATGGAGAATTTATGCCATTCATTGTCAATAACTCTCCTAAAATGTGATAAAAGTAATTTCTATTTAAAAAAATTAAATTTTTTAACCTATCGTTCGGAATTCACCGTTTTCCCCTCTCTGTACCCGCAAGTTAGCATCGCTGAAATAACCCGCTTTGAACCACGTAATCATTTGCTCCTAAAATCAGGAGAAAATTTATTTGATGAAAACCAAATAGATTGGACAAACCCTTTTGAAAGGACCGCGTCTTGTATCGGTTGGATCGAGATAATAGAACTCAACAGCTTCAGCCTTGGCTACAACTGCGGCTGCAGCAGCGGCAGCAGCTTGTTGAGCAAGTTGTTGTGCCATCTGTTGTTGCTGCTGTTGATATTGAGCGAGTCTCATCTGATCCATTCCCAACGTAACGTCCGCAAGTGGATTCAGAATCGAATTCGACCAACTCGCGTTGAACTGAGCACCAGAGGACGAGCTAAAATGAAAAATATTTTGAATGTGTGGTTTTAATAATTTTTACTTGTCGGACTGAAGTTGAGAAGAGCTAGATGTCGCGTTCATCGAATCCGAACCCTATCAATTGAATTATCGGCTGTTGATTTTGAATTCTGATACAGTTCGCGCCCGAACCCGCGGGATATTCAGGAATTCGTCTTTAAGTGTCAACGACAGAATTCGACATTTTTCTACTACTAACAACAATTTGTAAATGTTACAAAAATATCGTAAATTAAGACGCGTAATCTGTATTTATGCGGGGACCGAATCAAAACTCAAAATCATCCGTCGAATTTCATTCTACTTTTTTACTTTCTTTTTTTGCAGCGGAATTTTCCCATAAACCCCAGTAGCATATATGTAAAACCTGTGAAATCTCGTTCTTCGAATTGTTCGTGTCCGTGGATTCCGTTGAATTCGAAACAGATGTCTGCGGCATGTTTGAACTAAATATACGGAAAATGTTTCTTCTTTCTTCCTTTTCTGATTATTGTATTGTCAACAACTTAACGGGGGAGTATTCCTTTTTGAGAAATCAGAGTAGAGCGGGTATATTTACGCGTTGATAATTTAGAAATAAAAACATTTAATTTAAAAATTGTAACTCTAAAGATTTACTACGCCAAAAAAATTCTAAAGATTTACTAGCCGAGTCGACCGGACTTTTTTTCAGTCCAACCCGCCCCGTCGCAAGTATGATCCTAAGAAAATCTACCCGATTTCAATTTCTAATAAAACATTGAGAAAATGAAAAAAAAAAAACAGGTGAAATTGGAATATAATAAAAACAATTATTTTTATATATCGAAAACAGATGTATATTTATATTTTTTCGATACAAAAAGTTCTTGTGACCTACCCTCTTTCATCCTTATCTAACGAGTTCTGTTTGACCGAGCTAACCATCTCTTGGCGATCTTTCCACACATTTGACGGTCCATTCGAAGTGTTATCTCGTCCCCAGGCTTCGATGATAAAAATTAATGAATTGCGGTGATTATGAAAATGATACCATTCGATGCCTCCGTACGACTCGTCCAAGACTCCGCTCTCCCCCAGGCGGGACGCGACGGCGTATTATGTTGCTGTCCAACGGTAGTCCATCCAGCGTCATCATCATCACCATCGACGTTCTCGCTTTTAGATGAAGCGATTGTCCGTGGGCGATCTGAAATAGTTCAGAATAACAGAAAACATTGAAGTAAGACGTACCACCAGAGTAAAGTGCTTCTGCTCTCGCATTATATGGGGCAGCAGTAGTACTACCGCCTCGGCCAACAGAAGACATTCCACCACCTCGTCCGCGTCCTAAAATGAACAAGTTTAATCTGAATTTGTAAGGTGACATTTACCGCTAAACTTATTGAATGAGCCCACGCCAGTTCCGTCTGGGGTTCCAGGCAGAGAACCGTTCGTTCCGCCATACCCATTTTCCGATTGGGGTGTCATTCCGCCACGCGCAGTTCCTCGAGATGAGAAGCTTCCACGACCACCGCCACGGTGACCACGATCTGGAGTGGTTCCAGATTTAGCTGGAAACAAATTATTAGATTTCTTCTGAATATCCATGGAGCGTAAAGAAATTGTCTTCTCTTTCGCATGATTAAGTTTGGAACTAATTGCGATAGAAGAAAACACAGAAAGATTTGTATTGTCGGCAAATCGGTGAAACAACTTTCCGGCTTCCCGAAGAACCAACAAATGCCCGTTTTTTTTAACGTTTGCAAAGATTTTATCTTCGTCTATCGCGTTTTCACCAATACTTACACCAAGATGATGACTTGACGGGAGTCCATCCGCCACGGTTCGCACCACCCGATTGTCCATTTGAATATCCACCCCCATAAGCAGCGCCAGCGGCAATCGATTGTCTTTCGGCGTGCGTAAGCGACGACATCGCCTTCGATGAGTTGATGTTATGTTGAAGGCGCTAAAAAACCTCCATGTTACAATGTTATGTGTTAGAAAACAAAACATATTTTGAGAGGGGAGTTTGAAGAAATCGAATGGTTTTTTGTGACCCATAATAAATGTTGGGTTTCGTGACGGGAAACCTATAAATTGCGCACTCTCACGCTCTCTCTAATAATTGGTTGGCTTTGTCGTAAATGATATAGATGCAATATGCCTTCTAAGTTAAAAATAAAATTAGGTAAAATTTCAGTCCCCCAATTTCAAATTGAGAAATATGTAATTATTATGTTCATTAATTCCCTTGTTAATCGGAGTAGAGACGAAAGCTTCAATTTTGAAGCTGTTAACATCAATATCGGTCAAGGTTAGAGATAACGAACAAGAAATTTGATATTATATAGACATAGCGAAACCTGTTCCTGATCGGTGAGCGGATTGTTCGCAACTGGGTCTTGACTGATCTCGACAAAAAATGGACAATCGCGGAGGCCTTCGGGAGGACTCGATTCCTTCGGCACGAGGGCCAGAAGCTCTTCACGGTCGTAGCGAAAATTCGACAACACCGGCGCCGATAGTGGGTACTCCTATACAGCATTTTTTTTAATAGGTTTTCAATTTTGGCTATTTTTATCAAGAGAGTTACACCACCGTCACTTTCTTCATATTCACATTTTCATATTTAGGGTTCAAGTTTGAAATCAAAGTTCGAAGAAAAAACAAACTGTAAACACTCACTTCTTGATCATCACTGGCGGAAATACGCGGTGACGAGCCAACACCTCCGGAACCACCTCCTTGAAAAGTAGAGCGCATCCTTAAACCAACTAGAATTATTTAATATTTTCGACTATTGATCACTAAACACCCTATTTTTGCACCTAAGTGAAACTTTAATTGACCAAGGCACTTTAGTTTTTTACATTGCGATCATGGCTAAATCATGGCTGAAACGCCTCGAGAAAATTTGATCTCATATGGCTTATAACAAAACCGAATCAATATGAAATTTAATTAAAACAAAATATGAACAGGATCGAGAAAATAGATTAAAACCTATGTTGTGAAAAATAATTGTACGCCTAGCTTATATGACTCACACGTCGAGAATCACAACAATTAGCTCGAAGCCCCTCAAAATTCAGTTAAAAATCTTATGTTCGAGTTGTGACAGGGCGCAAAAAAAAAAAAAATAAAAGCCGTTATATTTAAAATTAATAAATTCTTAATCGTTTAACATCTGTCAGAAAAAATTGAGATATTTCACCCACCACGAAGGATTGAAATTTTGTTGAGCGTTATGCTCACCAGTTGCAGCGACTGAAGACGACATTCTCGAACGAGTTAAGTCTAAAAATATTTCCATAAAATCAATTCAATTAGAAACTTATGAAAAAAAACGGGAAAAGGAAAAAATTATCATATTGACAGCTATATTCTAAAAGAATTCATTAAAAAAAAAAGAAAAATTATAAGGAAAAATTCGCAGAACATTCACATCAATTATTTCTATCCAGATGTGTTATAATCATTTCTGGAAGTGACCTCTCAAGTGGGCGATCAGGGAAAGTATTTTAGGCGAAAGGAAACGTTTTTCTGGTGCCAGCGTGCGGTCAGCTGTCGTGTTCGGTTGAGGGCAAAGGAAGAGAGCATTCAGTAGGAAGAGAACAACGGGCGACGCGGTCGATTACTGCAACGCGTATACGCGATGGGGCAAACTTTCGTCATTCGTGTTTTTTTTAATTAAAAAAAATTTCAAAATTTTTTATATGACAAAGGAGGGCATTTTATAGCCTTGAATCAGAGCACATGAAAAAGTTAACGTATGAAATATAACTAGTGAACGCCGACTCCTTTATGGATCATTCAATTTACGTAATTTTTAAGTACACAAAGTGTTAAAATTTACACTTCATTAACTTTTTTTTATTCCTTCATTGTAAAATATGTGAATTTTTAATATTCTATCAATAGGTTCATTAATGTTTGATTAAGGAATAAAGAAAATGCTTGCGGTTAGTTGTATAGAACAATGCAATACATGATATATCCATTGAACCGTCAGTTTGAAAAAAAAACGTTGGGTAACTAATGGTTTCAAAAAAAAACTGAAATAAAATACTGAAAATGCTCATATTATTACGAAAATATGAAAAATGTAAAAAAAAAACTTTCCGATTAAATAATTTTGAACAGTAACGAAAATTTTCCGCACGAGAGTTATTGCAATTAATTATTATTGCTCCTTTAATGGTTACGATAATTGCATCGATGCTCACAGATATTTCATACATGTTGTCTTCCAGCTTTTTCTTGCAATATCACGTTATAATCGCCGCGCAATTTCAGAGTCTTAATTAGTACAAATAATGATAAATTGATATATACATATTTAGGTTGTCTTACTTCTTCCTTAATTGATTCGTAATCTGTTTCTTTCTGTTTCGCATTTATATCTTCGTTCAACGCAGCAACTCTTTGTCGCGCTTCATTCAGTAATCGTGTTAGACGCTTGATCTAAATCGAAAAGTATGGAATTCACAAATTGTTAATATAATTAATACATTAGAATTTGCTGGATTTCCCAATACTTGTTGCTTCACATTTTCTACGTTTATTTCTAGTTGATTTAGCTCTTCTTCAGATTGTGGTAGTTCTTGTTGAAGTCTTTCAAGCTTTTCTTCAAGTTCCTAAATTTCGAAGTAAAAATTGTTTACTGTGAGCTTAACTATACTTTTTTGTAATCTTCCTCGCCCAATTGAGCATCGCGCTGCAATTCGCTAACAATTTCAGAATCTTTCTCTGTCGTCATTTCTAATTGTTCGATTTCCATTTTTAAAGCAGTTTCCATTTCTTCCAAACTAATCATCTCCTCTTGCAAACGCACATGAACTAGAAAAGATTAAATCAATTTTTGATATAGCATTCCGACTCACGATCTTTCAACTCTCCTATATTTCCACTGCTACTAAGCTTATTAATCAATCCTTCTTCATCTAAGTCAGTTACTTGATCGCCAATGTTTAACTGGAAAATATTTATTTGGTTTATTGAACATTATTTGAATAACCTTTTTGATATTTGCCGAAATTTTCTTTAAATTTAGAACAATCGCACTGGAATATTCCTCGAGATCTTGTTGCAAAAGTAGAAGCTGACGGGGATATGTTTGCAATAAATCTTCTATTTGATGGTCTTTAGCTAGTAATTCCAAATATTGTGCATGATGTTTAACTAAAAATGGGAAATTCGATTGTTGCGAATACAAAAAAAAATGGTTTACTATGATGGGCTTCGCCTTGCGATTCATATTCGTGAAGCTCTTCTGATGCCATTGAAATCTGATCCTTCAATTGATCATGCCTAAACACGGTTGGTTCAAAAATATTTTTGGATCCTAAATCCGTGTGAACATTTCAAAAGCCTTACTGTTTTTCAATAATTGCGATATCTGCGTTGAGTTGTTTCATCGTTTCAACCATGTTTTCTTTTCGCTGTTCTGGTGTTTCTTTGCTTTCTTTTTCTTTCAATAAGACGTCTTCCTTTTTTCTCAAATTTGCAATTGAGTCTTGTAGGACGACTTAAAACCTTATAGTCTTTTGCAGAATCAATTATGGTTGAAACCTGCTTTCTTCTTTAATGGATTACTGTCAAGTTCCATTTGGTATCTCGCGATATTGTCGTCCATTTCGTCGATTCGATGCTCCATCTGGGAAACTCGTTCTCGAAGAGACTCACTTTCTGATTTTAAGCCTTCAAATCTTTCTTTTAGTGTTGGATCCTAAATTCAGAATTTTATGCTGATTTTCAATGCTTTTTTTGCCATTGCTGCTGTAATTGTTTCATTTAATCCCTTCTGCTCCTCAATTTCCGACTGTAATTGTTGAATTATTTCCTCTTTTTCTTGACGGGTTCGAAATATGTCTTCGACTTCGTGTTGCAATTCATCGGCTTCATCTTTCATTTTTGCAGATTCAATCTCTAAATCGCTAACGTCTCCATTCATATGCATTCGATCCACAATCTCAAAAGCTCTTTATCCAAAAAATTGTGAGAACATTATCGTACCACATTTAAGTCTACAAGTTTTCCTTGAAAATCTCTTATTTCTAAAGCAATCGCTTGAGCTCTAAAATATTTCTAATATTTTGAAACGCATTCAAATGTAAAATTACCTCGATTCATAAGCATGCAGTTCGTTTCGATCACGTTCGGCCTTTTCTTTTTTTTCCCGAAGACGACCTATTTCAACATTCAACAAATTGATTTTTGAGCGTAATAATCCAATGAAATAGGATTTGTCAAACACTTGTCGATTCCCTTCAATAATTCATAAGACCTGTTTAAAATGCTTCATGTATTACCAGCAGTTCCAAGTCGAGTTGGTGCACGAAGACCTTGTTGAGTTACTGGACGAAGTGCTGAAGTTGGCGGCCTTGCCATTCCTGTTTGCGGTCTTCCGCCCAACTTAATTTTTTTAACGGGTTTTTTTGGTGTGTGCAATTATTTTTTTTTATAATTTATAAAATTTTTAAACATGAACGTTATCACTATGACATGTTATAATCAATACTCACAGCAGTTGGCACACGAACTGATGAAGTCGGGGGTCTTCCAGAACTCGAGGGCGGTGCCATTTGAGGCGGTGAAATTGGTACCGGGCCTGATCTTGACATTGTAAGTCGAGAAGCGGGCCTTTGAATACCCGTATTAACAGCACCTGCAAGTTTTTATGTAAACGTGAACATTTATTTTTAAAATTTGTTAATTTAAGTGTAAAGGCTTACCATTACTATTTGTCGGAGGTTGTCGGTGTCTTGCGGATTGTGCTCGACCCGCTGACGTTTTCGGACGAGCCGAAGCAGTTGGAGGACGCTCCATTGTCGTCGATTTGTCGTATTTGTTAGTTTTGAGTCGTTTGCAGCGCGCGTTGTCATGGAAACCAAATGCGCATTACGACAAGCGGTGCAATTTCTTTTTTCATTTTCTGATACTTAAGTAATTAAACATTTATTCATAATGTATGATTGAAATTGTAAATATTGCACCATATAAAAATCAACAAGTTAAAAATCAACAATTATAACGAGGATATCATATCGGCTATTCGATTCGCAACAACTTGCATCTCTGATTTATCTTTTACTGTGAAATAGTTTTCGGGTGTTTCTAAATCAAAAAATAAATGAACAAATATATCCGTAACAATACTTGTAAGCGGTGAAAAATCGCCACCGGCAATAGAAACTGCTATAATTGTGTATTTATTTGCTAATTCCGCCGATTTTTTCTCTGCATCGTAAACCTTTGCTGCGCTAAAAGTATGTTTGAATTGATCGTTTTATAATAAGCTACTTACTTTTTTCCAACTACTACTATCACGGATTTTTCACCGTCTGGCGCCGGTTGATTGCTAATATAATTGAGTGCTCTGAATAATAAAAAAAGCTAAATTTATTAATGTTCGGATTGGATTACTCAATTATATCAGGCGATGTATTTATTTGAGCCATTTCAATCTCATTTTCCAAATTCTCAGTCAAATCCTCTTTCGATCTTCAATATTAATCATAAAACATTAAAAAAAATACTCTGTGTTACTTGAAATCATTGTAACTTCCGATATTGTAATTATCTGTTGATGGATATGGAACGTTTATTGCCTTTGTAATACTTCCGAATTGATATTTGTCGGAGTTATAAAAATGATTCTCTACGAAATCGTAAACATCCTAAACAAAACAATCGATATGGATTCGAACGAAAAAATTTAAAGTGGAGCGTTGTTCTTGAAACATTTATTTTTTCTTTCCAATTGATATTATTGTTTAATTCCAACCAGGGCTGTGCGGCAATGGAATTGCCGATTGCCGAAATTGCCGATTATTCAAATTGCCGAATTGCCGAATTGCCGAAATTTCCGATTGCCGCACAGCCCTGATTCCAACCTAGCCTATCGCTGTCAAAAACGATAACCCTCGATTTTGCGCGCGTAAAAAATCGTACCTGATTACCAATTAATTCATAAGCCAAAGCAATTGTTCCATTGAATGGTCCGCTAGTTTCTGCTGTCGTTTGAGCGGATGCCGACGATGTTGGTATTTCGGTTATAGTTGCAGCGAATTGGGTGGAAGACGGCGAAATTTTCGAGGGAGTCGTATTTACTGTGGAAGACATCGAAGATGTAGTTTCAGTTGGGAATGCTGTAGTAGATTCCGGTGTCCTCGAAGAATATGAAGTCGTCGACTGTACGAGTGGTGATGATTTAGTGGGAGCGCTGGTTGTCGGACAATGCGTTATGGGATTACGTGTGGAGCTTCCATCGCTAACACAAACAGGACTAATAGAAACTGAAATTGACATCACAAATTTGTTTAACAATCAAAGTTTAGTCAGAACTTTCTCAAAAAGAAGCGCATAAATAGAATTGAGTTTATTAAACAAATTTTTACTACATATTGTCATGGGCGGACAAATTAAAGAAATTTGAATTGCGCGGGCTGCCATTTAATTGGTCCCGTAAAACAAACTCGGCTCATATTCCGCCATTTGGCACACAAAAATTGTGCATTTTCATAATATAGTAGTTAGAACACAAAAATCGTTCCTAAAAGTTTTCCATACGAGACCCAAGGCGGCAATTCAAACAATACAACAATCGCACACCCAATTCGCTCGTCGTCGTTTATATTTATGACTTACCCAAATGATCTGCTATATTTTTTGGCGTATTATTATTATCATCGCTTGAAAAAGCATAGGTTGGATCTAAGTTTAAATGCTATACACAAATAATTGTTTTCGTCGAAAACCTGTGGCCAAACTAGAAAAATTAGCAGAAGAAGAACCGACGGAAACAGTGAAAACGATGAATCCTTGATTTTTCAAAGAATTCGCGGTGCTAACCGCCTTTTCCACATCGGAATCGCTGTAAAAGTTGATTTAGAAGGATTTTTCAAACAATCTCACCTATTTGCCACTAAAATGACTGCTTTGGTTGCAGATTTTGCAGTCAAATTTTGCGAAATATAACTCAGTCCACTAGAATTCGGAATATCAATTCAGAATTCTTTCATATAATTGAATCTTACTCATTAATCGACGGATCAGGATTTGAACTTCTGTGTAATGCAAATGAATCTATTTGAGTTTTGATCAAATCATTAGAACTGAAACTGGTTTTCTAATCGTCTCAAATATAAGATACCTTATAGATCCATATGATCCAATAATGTAATCGGACGAGTTTGGATACGGCACAATTGTAGCCATAGTTGGTTGATCTCCGGATGAATCCTTCGCAAGTTCGTATTCATTCGTATCCGCAATAAGATGATTTTCAATAAAATTAACGATTGCCTAAATATTATTATACATAGTGGGCATTTATTCTAATCGTTTTACTTGATTTTGGTCGTTATCAATATATTCAAACACAATCGCAAGATCTCCAGAATACACCCATCTTCCATCGCAGAAGCAAGGATTTATTGTTGTTGACGGTTTCGGAGTAGGTTTTGTCGAAACTTTAGTGCTCATTGATGTCGACGACATTGATGTTGTTGATGTTACAATCGAAATCGGGCAGAATAGCTTACTATTATCATCGGCTATAATGTACGTTTTAAGCATGTATTTTCAGAAAAACCGTTTTTAATTTTTTTTTCAGAATAATTTCTGTGCAAAGTTTATAAATATTTTTGGTAATTTTTCTAGAAATAAATTGATTTTAAAAGTGTTTACAAAAATTTTTAAAATTTCATTTAGTTTTTTTTTCACATAAAAATTTTTTAAGGCTATCCTTTTGATTTTCTTTTTTTTTTCAAACGTTTAATACATTACCTATTTTTTTCCCAATTTGATCTGCAACGCTTTGCTTATCATTTTTCGTAATGTCGAAATTGTAACCGTCTCCTAATTATCTATATTGCATTATTGCAATTAATCAAAAAGAAAACCTGATGAAATACTGCCGTACTTCGAACTTCCGACCGTGAATATTTTGACACCACTGTCTTTGAGATTTTGTGCGATTCCTTGGGAGAATCCATCAACCAACGTTTCACTATTTAAAATTTTAAATCATTTTCATCAAATAATGGCTTACTTCTCTCCAACAATCACTAATGAGAGCGGGGTAACCATCATTGAATTGCTGATGTATGAAAGTGTGCTGTAGCAAAAAATAATTTTGCTTATTTTTTAAATTCAAGTTTGTTACGCGGAAAGAAAATTGTTCGGTTGTGCAATGTTGGCTTTGAAGTTTTCGACTTGAGTACGAAGATCATCCTGATTCCTGTAATAGTACATCTTATGAAAAATAATTAAGAATTAACAAATAAAAAAGTAGTCGAAAATACATAAATCTTGAGTAAATAAGTAAGTGTGTGAATCTTACTGAATTTTTCCATAGCTATCAATCGTATAATTTGTGGTCGATGGGAACGGAATTGTCGTCGCAAGTGTTGCTCTCTCGGAACTGATAGCGTCTTTGCCGAGACCGTAATATTGAGAGTTCAGCGCGTAATTCTCCACAAAGTCGAGAATTTCCTTCAATTCGAATTTAAATATTTCAATCAATCAAATTGAAAGGATACTGGATTTGAAGTCGATTCTAGTTCAAAAACTACTGCAATATTTCCGTCGTAGACGAGTTCCTCATTTGGGCATCTTTTCGAAACATCCGTGACTGGAACTGTTGGTGATGTCGATGGTACCGTCGTACTTGTTGCAGAAGGCGAGCTTGTAGAAGATGCTGGTGAAGACGAGGACCTAGTAGCCGTTGTTGTTTCAGATGCCACTGACGTTCCAATTGTGGTCGTTGTATCAACTTTGGTGGGAGTAGATGATGATCCGAAGGGACTTGTTGATGTAATTGATTGGGTACTTTTGAGTGTTGAAGCAGTGATGGAGACTTGAGGAGTGTTGCTAACACACACCCATTCGCAGTTTGCGGTTGTGGTCGGAGTAGATGATGATCCGAAGGCACTTGTAGTTAATACTGTTGTTGAGACTGTAGAGGAAGCAGGTGGAGAGCTAGTCGTTGTTGCTTCAGAAGACAAATGTGTCGATGTTGTCTGAATTGTAGTCGTAGATGATGGGCTTGTTGTATCAGATGTCGATTTTGTTAGTAATGGTGACGTCGGTTCGGATGTCGGCACAGTAGTTGATACTGTAGTTGAGACTGTAGAAGAAGCAGATGGAGTGTTAGTCGTTGTTGCTTCAGAAGTCGTTGGTGTCTGAATTGTAGTCGTAGATGATGGGATAGTTGTGGTGGTTGTTGATGGCGTTGTAGTCGATGTATAAACAGAAGAACTTGCAGTGGTTGAAGAGCTGCCACCACTAGTAGTTGTCGTCGGTTGTTGGCTAGTTGAACTCAATTTTTGAGATGTCGTTGGAGTTGTGGTGTAGGCCACTGTTGTTGTTTTTTGTTCGCAATTTGGACAGAAATACTTGTTAGAATATCTTGCTGCAAAATACTATCGTTAATTTAAATAACCATTTTCGATGGCTACAAATTTTAAGCCCAATTTGATCTGCAACTGTTTGCTTGTTTACATCTTTGGTGATGACAAATTGATAGTCTTCTCCTGTAAACCTTTTAATTTTTTAGAAATTGTGTTATATTCTATTGCAAACCAGAAGAAACTTGTTTATACTTAGTCGCACCAAATGTAACCGTGTATATTTTTGCTCCCTTCATTTTCAACTCCGATGCCGTCGATATCGAGGTTTGGTCAACGAGAGAGTCGCTAAGAATTGGTATTAATTGAATTGTTTCGTATCAACCTGGTTTGGGTACGATCGACAATTTTACGGAACAAAATTTTCATTTTTCAGCCAAAATTTAATTAATTGTATTTTATATGGTATTGTCGACGTCGCGCGACTGCGGAAAATTGGCCAAATGCCAAAAAATTAAAAATAGGTCTCGGTGTGAACCAGGGCTGTGCGGAAATGGAATTGCCGATTGCCGAATTGCCGAAGAGAACATTCTATCGGCAAATTGCCGATTTGACGAAACTTGTATTTTCGACAATTTGATGTCAAAAAAATGAAACTTCGGTATTTATATATATATTATGACCTGGGCTGGACACGTTGCTAGAAGAACAGATGGAAGATGGACTACTCTTCTAACGGAGTGGCGGCCGTGGAATTGGACCCGGCCAAGAGGAAGGCCTCCCATGAGATGGTCGGACTCGCTTCGGAAGGAGATCACTACAAGAACAGCTGAAGGAGCCGTTATCACCCCCTGGTCCACCCAAGCCAAGGACCGAAAAGCTTGGAAAGCTGTGGTTCGCGCCTCAACAGGCGAAGGACGAACCGACTAAGTGACTAAGTAAGTAAGTGAAGTGTAGATTGCCGAAATTTCCGATTTCCGCACAGCCCTGGTGTGAACCTTTAACCTATAATTATGCATATGCTCGTAAATTTACACTCTTAGTTTTGCGCCAAGACCACTGCCATTGTTTTTTTTTTTGGCATTTAGCCAATTTTCCGAAATCGCGCGACGCCGACAAAAAACTATTGCATTTACATTCCTTTTACCGAATTTCCTAAAGAATAGTTTTGACAATTTCAGGAAAAGGAAGTTCTATTTCCACATGACCCCGATATAAATATATTTTTTATATGATACACTTTTAGGAACATACTTGTTTCCAACAATAATTAGCGAAAGAACTCCAGTCCATTTTTTGTCTTCAATATAAATTAGAGCGCTGTAATCAATTAATGAATAATATTGAATTTATGTTTTATTTCTAATTTACTTTTCAAGAGATCCAATCGGTTCAGAAATGTTTGACGCATATTTCTCAACATCTGATTTAACTTCATCTGTGTTTCTGGAATGAATATTACAATAATTTTTTAGGTTTTTATTCTTACTCAACACTTCCATATGGCGATGGCGAATAATATAACGTTGATGGGAACGGAATTGTCGTCGCAAGTGTTGCTCTCTCGGAACTGATCGCGTCTTTGCCGAGACCGTAATATTGAGAGTTCAGCGCGTAATTCTCCACAAAGTCGAGAATTTCCTTCAATTCGAATTTAAATATTTCAATCAATCAAATTGAAAAGATACTGGATTTGAAGTCGATTCTAGTTCAAAAACTACTGCAATATTTCCGTCGTAGACGAGTTCCTCATTTGGGCATCTTTTCGAAACATCCGTGACTGGAACTGTTGGTGATGTCGATGGTACCGTCGTACTTGTTGCAGAAGGCGAGCTTGTAGAGAATGCTGGGGAAGACGAGGACTTAGTAGTCGTTGTTGTTTCAGTTGCCACTGTCGTTCCAATTGTGGTCGTTGTATCAACTTTGGTGGGAGTAGATGATGATCCGAAGGGACTTGTAGTTGATGATGGGATTGTTGTATCAGATGTCGTCGGTTCGGATGTCGGCACAGTAGTTGATACTGTAGTTGAGACTGTAGAAGAAGCAGGTGGAGAGCTAGTCGTTGTTGCTTCAGAAGACAAATGTGTCGATGTTGTCTGAATTGTAGTCGTAGATGATGGGATAGTTGTGGTGGTTGTTGATGGCGTTGTAGTCGATGTATAAACAGAAGAACTTGCAGTGGTTGAAGAGCTGCCACCACTAGTAGTTGTCGTCGGTTGTTGGCTAGTTGAACTCAATTTTTGAGATGCCGTTGGAGTTGTGGTGTAGGCCACTGTTGTTGTTTTTGATTTCGTTGTGTTTTCAACGGTAGAAGTGGAAGAGGGTGGCAGAGAAGATGTTGGAATTATTATTGTTGTCGATTGGCAAGAATCATTATTGCAGAAATCATATGGATTATCTAAATAGAGAAATCATAAATAACCCAGTCGTATTAATTCAATTACTTGATGCTTTTGGATTATCAAACATTTTATCGCTTGCCATCGCATCAGTTACATTATTGACGGTTGGAAACTCGCTATTTGTCGAAATGATTCCACCTAATCCTGAGGCAATCACCTTACCATTTTCCGATTTTCTAAATTAAAATAATTATTAATTCAACTGCTAGTTTATTTTACGAAAATCGTGTGATGAAAATCACGTAATCCGTTTCAGTAAAAACGCTGGAATTTTTGTTGAATTTTGCGTTTAGATCATTTTGAATCTGAAAATTTTTATACAAGTTTTCAACAGTATACAGTCATACCTGTTGGGAAATATTTTTTGATTCAACTTGAAAATGTGTACTAGTTTGATTTGATAAATCATCATTCCATTTTAAACCATTCACAACCGTTGATATTCCGAATAAATTTGAATTCAGTTTCAATGTGCATTCCGATGGACCTTGAATATGTTTATTTCTCTATTAGTCTTCAAAGAAATAACTATTCTACCATTCACGATTGCATTTGATATTATATCATCTGTTTTGAGTGATTTATCTATGTCTGTCTGAGTCGGAAGATCATCTTCATTCTTTGGCGCTGATATTGATCCAGCACCATACGCCAAAACAAGCCCGTCATTATCTTGTCTGCCATCAAAGGTAAACGGTTTACTCAGACGACATATGCTTACCCAAATCTTGTTATCACTACCTGCGCGTTATTCTGATCAATAGAATTTGTAGCGTCGAACCTCGCGTATCTTCCAGAAGGTGAGTTTAGATTCGAATTCAGCGTATTTTGAAGCTGAAAATACGCGAATTCGAAAATCCCGCATCTTTAATATCAAAATGTAGATTTAAAAATACAATTTGATTTTAAAATAAATTGTTCAGATGATATTTTTCACATTAAAAGTGTACGTGAAAAATTGATATCATTCATAACGAACATTCGTGTAGATGAAAAGAAAAACGATCGTGTCGAATTTGGAATGCAGCTTACCGATGTCGCAACAATATTCGAGGCATTTTTAAAATAATCACTCGTTGGATCATTCAAACTATTTTGCCAAGTAACGGTCTCATTTTTGACTTTTGCCATCACAGAAAATAATCGAGAATTGCATTCGGTTGTTGGAACAGTTGGGCAAGTAGGACAAGAATTCGATGCTTAAATTCATTATTTTAAAGTGTTTCGAATTTTGAAGAATCGCAAACCTGTTCCATACACAATGGCTAAGATAATTCCAATAGTTCCGACTATTAATCCAACAATTCCTACAATGAAGGATGCGATGTGCACCCTTCCCAAGTCGTGGAACATCTGCGGCCACTGGTAATCTGAAATGACGCAAACTTGTTTAAATTGGCCTTCATTGATAAAATTCAAGTTTTGCACCCTTTATTATCGTGCATTATTATCTCCGTTTACGACCAAACCATTTTGAATTCCACTGGTCGTTCATCATCAGAGCAAAAACCGATAAAACAAAGAATTTTGAGTTGCTCATTTAAAGAGTCTTAGAGAAGGATTAAAACACGTTTAATAATGTCAAATACGCCATGCCATTTTCGCAGCCCAAAAATTATCTAAAATCAGTTATCAATTGTCCATGGATTTTAGGTTTTTCGTGCAGACCTTTTCTCAAAGTGGTTGAATCATCATGAATTTTAAACTCAACCTAAATAAATGAAAATTGAATTCGTTTACAAACTTAAACACTTTAAAATCTAAAATTGCTTTTTGTCTTATCCGCTTAACACTTCTTTTTTGATTCTACGAAGCACGAAGAAGCACACGGTACGTTCTTTCCCCGAAAAGCTTCGCAGCTTGACTTAGCTTCGATGGACACAAGTAAGTAAGTATTCTCACTTTCATTTTTTAAGTTGTGTCAAAATTTCATGATGTTTCAGCCAACCACTTTTAGGCAAATTAGATTTGTAAAAACCAAAAGTTAATCGACTTTCGAGCTACACGGTATTCCAGAATATAGCTGTTATTTTGAATATTTAAGCACTATTTGAAAATCAAATTAACTCTTGCTTTACTGCAAATAGCAAGAGGCGTTTTCGTGAGTTCGGCTTCAATAATACAAATTATGAATTTTAATTTCATATTAATTTATTTCCGCTGCCGCGAATGCACAAATCAAAGCTCCATCGTTATTCCATTTGTAATGCGGCCCTTCAAGCAATTATTCGAAAAACTGTCAGGATTTGAAGTTTTTTCAATCATTACAACATGATGCTCTTTTCATAAAATTTCTGGATTATTTAGGAAATGCTATGATCGTTTGTTGAATTAAATATAAATAATCATTTTAGAATATTCGACTTTTAGGAAGAATCGAGACAAAAAATGGTAAAATGTGAACATGGATTGAAATAAATTAAAACGATTCTTATCGATACAATTTCTACTCAAACTCTTCTTGTTTGAATACTTTATGGCGTCAACCCGATAAGAGTTTCCTCAGCGATCATTCTCATCTGCTGTACAATTCAGGTGAAGGGCGTTTTCCTCACATTATCATATGATTGATAATGCTTGAAATTTGCCGAAAATGGCCGGAAGAATTAATACAATTTACTGATCAGATTAGAAACAATCAGGTGGTCGGATTAAAGTGGGATTAAATGAAAAAGACTAGAACGCGAACATTGTGTTGCTGAATCGCATACATTTCATTTATTTGAATTATTGTTACAAACGCATATAATAGGAAATCAATTTCAATTATTAAGACCACCACTTCCTTCTTCGGTATTTTCATTTATCACCTCGGTGGGCAAATAACCCGATGATTCTCCGAATAATGTTGCCATTATTTGTTTTTTCGAGAGGCCGTGATAAATCAGCGAATGGGCTCCGTTGATGGACCTATAATTGGATTTTACATTTACATATTTTCCAAAATCTTTGCTCAACAACTTACGTAGTCAATCGTTCGATTATATATTTATCATGACATTCAGTGATGATAATCCCTTGGAATACTCCGTTTACAATAGTCCCATCGACTGTCGAATTCGCTTCGCCTTCAATGTATCCTTGGAAATAAATTGTGGATTTGTTGATCCCGTCGACTTGAACAAATTCGCCTCTTGAGAGAAACTCCTCTTCGTCTGAAGCCGCTTGACACACCTTTTGAAGGCGAAGTGAGAAATTTCTGAGTGAAAATAAAATTTGATTTCTTTTTCAAAATTTACCTTTCAAATGCTGGAAAATCAATTGAAGCAATGTCATCTTCCACACACTTGGGTGGTCCCACAAGAGGTTTTACCTCGTCAATTTCTTCAATTGGATCGACACTCATCGACGACTAAAATTAAAATGAGCAACGAATGAAATTGCCTTGATCTCACCATGATTGGAGTGTAGCTAAGCAACTCATAATCCTGAATTCCATCGGTTGGTCTGGCGTTAAAGCCTGAAGTGCAATTAAATGTGATAATTGAATAAAAGCAACTAACCTTTGGAAAGGAGCACAAACAAAAGAACACGGAGCATGACAACCAACTCAGTCGAACTAATGAACACTGAATGAGCGTCGTTGATGGATTTTGGGGTGCGACGATTAGATTGTCACCTTGATTTGGCACATCCCGCGTTGTGCGATAGTCACATTGTTATTTCTTGGGAAAATAATGGGGGGAAATCTGATAATTAGCTATGAATTATTAATGGGATTACACATAGCATGTCAGCTATTTCATATTTTCTCATCTTGATTCTTCGATTATCGAAATTGAGACTGTAAATAAAATACTCTTGGTAGAATGAAAATTTTATTCGCAAAATTATCAAATTAATAATATACTATTTTCAATATTTCAAAACTATGGGGTTTTATTAGATATAAAATTGAGTATCTCGGGTGAATTTGGTGAGAAAACGCAGGGGAACCATTACTTAATTTACGTATACATACATACACATCAGGGCTGTGCGGCAATCCGGCAATTCGGCAAATTGCCGAAAATCAAAATTTCGGCAATTCCATTGCCGCACAGCCCTGATACACATTAGTCGAAGTAGTCATTGTAGCGTCAAATTTGTCAAATTTTACGTTATTGCATTTGCAAAAACTTTAAAAGTCAAAAACAATTTTAGGATTTTAAATTTCTTTTTTTTTCATTCAATTTTTCTGACATGAAAGGTTTTGCATTTTTTTAAATTTTTTAACAATGCGAAAACATCGAAATTTCAGTTTTTTATTATTTTAAGACAGATCACTAAAGAAGTACTACATATATAAAAAACATGTAGAGTTTTCATAGACTTTTATCAGACTCTTATAAGAAATTAGGCAAAGTCTGTTGAAAGTATGCACAAACTTCATCGTGCATTAGCAGATTTCGAGACGTCTTCACGAGTAACTGCTAAAAAGCTTCTCGTCACAAAGAAGGATATGCGTCCACCATCGTTAGACTGTGTACGGAATGGTCCTTAGCCCAGGTCAAAAACCCCCGAAGAAAAAAACAAGGAAGAATTGTGTCCGGACGACGAACACTGGGATCTCTCCTCCCTTAAAAGACGTGGTCTACAATGGCTCGAGAACACAGAAACACTTGGATTAATTTTGTTCGCAGCTCCAACAGCTAAATAAAACCGATTTCAAAATATTCAAGATCGTATCAATTTTTTCTCTTAATTTATTAATTCCTTAATCGTTTTCTTGTTCTTCTGTTGTTTTATTCTCATTTCAATATTTTTGAGAAATTATAAAAATGAATAAATTTGATTAAAAATTGAGCTCGTGAACCGAATAGATGCCTATCATCACCTATCAATTGGTTCAATCATCTGATGTCTATAAAGCGCACGATTTTCAAACGAACGTTCTATTCTATCATTGTCAATTCATCGATTTTGGCAATAGAAGCAACACCTAGGTGTGGTTCAAGCTCTTGCCTGTGATAAAAATCAAGACGACAACGACCAACAACGATGACGGTCTTCAACTTGCTGCACATTGTGCTTCTCTTCATCGCGCCTCTATTTGCGTTGATTGCGTGTGGTGGTAAAAAGAAAGAAAAGTGAGTGAGTCTTCAATCGATTTCGTATCAAAACTTGTTTATTAGGCCAGGAGCTAAAAGTAGTGGTTCAAAAATGGCTCCTCCTTCAGCCGCACCTGGTGCACCTCCACCTCCTCCAGCAGCTCCAGACGCGGCGGCTGCGGCACCAGCAGCTGCCAAGGAGGGCGAGGATAAGAAGACGGAGGGTGATAAGAAGGACGAGGAGAAGAAGGACGGAGAGAAGAAGGATGAGGAAAAGAAGGATGGAGATAAGAAGGAGGACGAAAAGAAGGAGGAGAAGAAGGAAGGATCCAAGAAGAAGTCTAGCAAATCTGGAAAGAAGTCCAAGAAGTCTGGAAAGGTAAAACAAAACAATTGAATTGATGGAATTAAACAAATGTGTTTGGTATAGGATGAGAAGAAGGATGACGAAAAGAAGGACGGATCCAAGAAGGACGGATCCAAGAAGGAAGGATCTAAGAAGGAAGGATCCAAGAAGGACGATAAGAAGGATGACAAGAAGGATGACAAGAAGGATGACAAGAAGGAGGATAAGAAGGATGACAAGAAAGACGACAAGAAGGACGACAAGAAGGACGAGAAAAAAGATGACAAGAAGGATGACAAGAAAGATGACAAGAAGGAGGACAAGAAGGAGGATAAGAAAGATGAAAAGGAGGTATTTCGAACGGGTTCAAAAATTGTGAATCTAAAATTAAAATATCTAGGATGAAAAGAAAGACGATGACAAAAAGGACGATAAAAAGGAAGAGGAAGATAAGAAGGAGTAGGATATTTGAGAAACTAACTTTATATTTGGGACTGGTTTATAAAATAAATTGTCTCGTTTTTGTTGAATTACGTTTATTTATTCCATTTATTTTCTAGAAATGAACTAATCCATTTTGTTCTAGATAATTTTGCCGTGTTTCACATTAATTGCCATTAAATGGACAAGCGGAGAACAATTATATCGATATGAAGATAATCGGATGTGTTAATTAGATAACCAATTAAAACGAGTTGGTCTCGAGAAGAGAGGCACTCGATTACTGCGGATTACCGACGTTGGAATATATTTAATCAGCTATAAAAGCTTCTTACATCTACATATATGTATAATACAGTGCGCGTCATAATGATACGCCACCCCCAAATTTTGCAGTTTCGATAAAACCATAAAAATTGTTGACCAGACAATTGCATTTGCGAATTCAGGACCATTGAAAACCTATATGTGCGAATTTTCCGTTGGGTCCGTTGATCCATATCCGCACAGTCCAAAAAAGTTGGATTTTCAAGCGCGTTATAATGATACGCCACCCTTTATTTTTTGTCTTTTCGGCGTTTTTGCATGTCTCTTGCTTATTTTTTATATATTTTGTACAATTTTTCAACATTATTGTCTTAATATTCATCGAGTGATCGTCCCCTTTATTCTTGGTTTGAAATCGGGCCGAATTCGGGCCTTTGAACGACTTTTATTTAAGGACTAAAACGCAAGAAAAAGGTCTGAATAACTATACGACAACAAGTTTGAATGCAAGAACACAACAAATTCAATAATTAGGAGGGAAAATTGAAGCGGACAATCGCTCAATGGAAAAAAGACAATATTGTTGAAAAATTATACAAAAATGGATAAAAATCAGAGGGAGACATGCAAAAATGGCGAAAAAAAGACAAAAAATAAAGGGTGGCGTATCATTATGACGCGCTTGAAAATCCAACTTTTTTGGACTGTGCGGATAGGGATCAACGGACCCAACGGAAAATTCGCACATATAGGTTTCAATGGTCCTGAGCAGTGTGTGCTCTCGAGAAAAAATTCTCGAGAAAAATCGAGAAAATTAACCGGTACCGAGAGAATTTCTCTCGACAATGTCTTCGAGACTCCCGAGACTTTCCAAAAAGTACCGAGACTTGCGAGAATTTCTCGAGACTTTCTCGGGAGTCTCGAGACTTTCTCAAGAAAAATCTTCCGAGACTTGCGAGAATTTCTCGGGAGTCTCGAGACCTTCACGGGAATTTTTTTAGTGAACAAAAAAATTATTTTTTCTTCTTGAAGTTCGTTTCAATAGTAACAAATGCTAACAAGGGAGGTCTTTTTGCTGTCCGTCTTAAAAGTTGTCAATTTTTGCACACAGATTCTTTAGAAAATTTCCAATCGAATGAACTAAGTTCCTCCCTACCTGCGAAAACTTCTAGTACGCAAAATTCACGTGGGTGGGGCTAAAACATTGATGGTCCATAACTCGATAACTAGAAGTTTTCGCAGGTTTTTCGCAGGTACCTAGTTCATTCGATTGGAAATTTTTAAAAAAAAATCTGTATGCAAAAAATTGCCACCTTTTAAAACGGCCAGCAAAAAGACCTCCCTTGTAAGTTAAAAGTGATTGATATGCCACCCAAACTAAATACTCACATTACGCATCAGATAAAGAAAGAATTTAAACGAATGAAGATATTTCCTACATATTTGTGAATATTTTCGAAACTAAAAAAATAGCTGTTCCACTTTAACCGCGACGCATACGCGTCGCGTTTCGGTTGTTAATCGCGGTCGGCTAAACACGCCAACTTGAAATTTTGGTCTTGGTGAAACATATGGCTAAAAAAAAAAAACCTTATGGTACGAAAACCTTAGACATAACTTTAATCGCAAACAATCGTATGCAAAAAAAAACGATTTATTTATGTATTAATCCCCTTTTTATACGGGCGAACATTTTCAAAATATGTTAACTATGCTAGTTTTCAAAACCCTACTAGTTATCAATTTAACTACTGAATTTCATCAATAAAAAAATTCCCGTGAAGGTCTCGAGACTCCCGAGAAATTCTCGGGAGTCTCGGAAAAATTCCCGAGAAAGTCTCGAGACTCTCGGTTCCCGTACGCGCGACTACCCGTATAGTACCGAGACTAATAATTTCGAAAATTTCTCGGTGCTTCCGGGAGTCTCGAGAATTTTGTTTCTGGGTAGTTTAGGGAATTCTCGAGAAATTCTCTCCCGAGAGCACACACTAGTCCTGAGTTCGAAAATGAAATTGTCTTGTCACCAATTCATATGGTTTTCATATGGAAAAAACGAGCTAGTCAAGGAGATCTTCCGAAGGAGAAGAGCAGCTTGGGCAGCGTTTAATGGAATCAAGAACACCACCGATTTGATTTCCTGTAACAAAAACCGCGCACAGCTCTTCGATTCCATCGTTCTCCCAGCGCTGACTTACGGATCAGAGACTTGGACCTTCACCAAAGCTCTTGCCGAGAGAGTCCGAATTAGTCACGCTGCGCTTGAACGAAGATTGGTTGGCCTCACGTTATCACAACAACGTGAACAAGATCTTCATCGAGAGGACATCCGCATCATGTCTAAAGTTCGGGACCCCCTACACCACATCACGAAGAGGAAGATGACCTGGGCTGGACACGTTGCTAGAAGAACAGATGGAAGATGGACTACTCTTCTAACGGAGTGGCGGCCGTGGAATTGGACCCGGCCAAGAGGAAGGCCTCCCATGAGATGGTCGGACTCGCTTCGGAAGGAGATCACTACAAGAATAGCTGAAGGAGCCGTTATCACCCCCTGGTCCACCCAAGCCAAGGACCGAAAAGCTTGGAAAGCTGTGGTTCGCGCCTCAACAGGCGAAGGACGAACCGACTAAGTGACTAAGTAAGTAAGTAAGTAAGTAAGCTACGAAATTTGGGGGGTGGAGTATCATTATGACGCGCACTGTACAGTGTTTTTTTTTTTGTTCAAAAACTTTATCTTTTTTAATTACTAAAAGAGGACTACATATGTTTAGATTTACGTTGTGATTATTTCGTATAGATGCTAATAAAAAATTACACATTTTTAAAGGCAGCTTCAACACAGAAAATGCGCACTTAATGTAATGAATCTATTCAATTACAGTACCGCTCAAAAGGTTGGAAACTCTTGGTTTTTTGGGCATAACTTGATCGAAACCGTATGGATCGAGGTGAAACTTTCAGATATATTGATAAATATAATCAGAAGATTATTGGTACGGTTGTCTTATCATACGCAATTATGTGTGAAGTTTTTGTGGTCTTTTTCATTTTTTTCAAAAATCGCTTTTTTTCAATTTTTTTTCAAAAGTTTTTTTTTACTGTTTTTCTGTGCTTTTTTTTGCATGCCGTTATTATTTTTGTAATTTTAGACATCTCCACTATCGAAAAAAATCGGAACTTGGTTGTTGAACAATAACGGGCAATTTACGCAGGGCGTCAAACAGGAGCAACCCTGCAGATGTTGGCCGCCCAGTTGGATGTCACAAAAACTTGCATTTTCAAGTGTTTGAAAAAATGGGGAAACTCAAGGAGGGGTCCCAAAGAAGTGCCATATTGGTCGTCCACGCGTGACAGATTGTGCGACTGATAGAAGCATTGTACGAGCCTCCAAATTCAACCCGCGAATGACGGCACCGGCGATCCAGCGCGAAGTTTTTGCGAATTCTCCATCGCCTGTTTCGGGATCAACAATCAAACGCAGTTTATCAGTGGCAGGATGGTTCGGAAGAAGACCAGTGAAGAAACCGTTCATTTCGGAGAAGAATAGACGACGCCAGGTCGAGTGGGCTAAGCAACATCTGAATTGGACGCGATTTGACTGGAATGGTGCTCTTTGGTCGGATGAATGCTCGTTGCAAGTGACGGAATTCAATCGGTCTGCCGTCCTGTAGGTTCTCGATACAATCCCAAGTATCAAACTCCTACCGAAAAGCACGGGGGAGGCAGTTGCATGATTGGGGGTGCCTTTTCCGGAAAAGGCTTCACCATGTGAAAACAATCATGGATTGCTTCGTCTATAAGGAGATCCTGAAGAAGCAGATGTTGCCGCATTTTAAGGCAATGGGTCGTGGTTGTGTTTACCAACGGGACAACGACCCAAAGCACGCTTCCAAATCTGTGAAATTAAGAAAATTCGCTTTTTTTCTCAAATATTCATAAATCGAGGATTGGTTCGCAAGTCAGCACATCAAGGTTATGGACTGGCCAAGTCAATGCCCGGACTTGAATCCCATCGAGCACTTGTGGGAAGAGTTGGAGAGAAGAGTGGCTAGCAGAACCGCCACAAATTCGAACGAAAAGTTCCGACAATCGGAAGAAGAATGGAAAAAGATTCCACTCTCGATCATCGACAACTTGATCGACTCCATGTCTAGCGGGTGCCAGGCGGTTATTGACTCCCGAGTATTCACAATCAAGTACTAACCTTATAATTTTAGTTTCCAATGATTTTGTCTTGATAAACTATCATTCCGGTAAAAAAACCGACTTAAATTGCATATCCAAAAAAAATGTTTTTTTAAGGATTTCTGGAAAAAAGGCCTAAAATCCTTATTTGGTAAGCACGAATCATGTCTAATAGCTCATTATATCGGCAATTGCGTAAGAAACAATCGGAAAAAATGTTCGTGGAAAAAAGTTTGATTTCAAAAAAGTTATGCCCAAAAAACCAAAAGTTTCCAACCTTTTGAGCGGTACTGTATATTTATTTCATTGTTTTCAAGAGAACTGTTTATTTTTACCCGAACAATTAAATAGTGTATTAGGCAAAAATTGTAATTCCTTTTAAACTCTTCTGCCTATATTTGGTTTGAGGTTGATCGAAAATTCGGAGACCCCGTGTTGCAAGATCGCAGTTTCAACCGATCATTCGATTTACAGTTCGAGGTTCATTCAAACTATTGCGTCATATTACCCTGCAATAAAGTTTGTTTAACACCAAGTCGTTAAAATAACGAAAGATAACGAAACAAAGACGTGAAAAGAGTATATTTGGGCGGAGAGAACACTCGAAAAACGAACGAGAGGTGCCAAAAGAACGAGATAATCGGAACATGTGTCAATCACAATTGCTGCTCATCGACTACTTGTTTATAACCGTCGTCGATTGGATCCCACGATGCTCATTTCATCATATGCTCCATCTGCAATCTTCTGAAAATAATCCGACAATTTTCAGATAACACTGATCGGATTATTAATTCGTTTTTAAAGAATCCTAATCGCTCCTCGATTGACTGATTGTTATAAGAAAATGTGGAAGGTGTTGATTCTTCTTTGTGCTGCAGCTTCTCTGGTGTGCTGCGATCGCGACTACCGTTTAAAAACGAATCGAATCCAAGTTAGTTGTTCTTCATTTACAAATATTTTACTATTATATCGTAATCATATAATTAAGAGTACCAATAATTCATCGAAATGGCGACATTGTGTCAAAATTTTTAATTTAATCGAAAAACCCACCTATGTATATTCCAAAAATACATCTTTTTTCAAATTTTTACGGCCAATTAGTAGTGGCTCGTGAAAAGTGGGCCAATTTTTACATAGTCGATGAATTTTATTCAAAATAATTATATACATTTTCCAAAACGCCAAAGCTAAGAACTGAAACTTCCCAGTCTAAAATTTTATTAATCGTGAAAAAATTATAGTTTGGGGAAAACCGTTGAGGCGGTTTTCAGAATTTTGGCAGATGCTAATAAGAGGGGAGATATTCGAAACTGTCGAAGTTTTGGACAATACAAATGCATTTATAATTCTAATTCACAATAAGACCTCATTGTTGAGCTCGAAGCAATTTTTATTATCGTATCAGAGTCACTCAGAGTTATTATACAATACAGTATAGTTTCTTATCAATGATACAGTATCAGCGCGTTGAACCCGAACCAATATGTGTGTGTGTGTATTGAACCCGATATACCTTTTTTTCAAAATGGCGCAAAAAATCGAAATCAACGATTTGAATTACAGTTTGAAGATGATCAATTAAAATCCACGAGATGGCAAGATCTTGAAACAACTCCGTACGACAATATCATTCATTTTGATGGCGAGAAACACTTCAAAAATGTGAAACAGCTTACATTTGGAGGAATGAACGCCGAAGGGTATTTCAGGTTGGAATTTCAAAAAAAAAAAGATGACAGGTTTTATCGTATTATTTTCAGTTTTGACAACACGAAATTGACATTACAAGCGAGTGGATACGGCACAGACTGCGACCAAATCTATGAGCTCGATTTGAACATTGATCCGAGACAACAAACACTTCGCCGAATTAGTACAGGTGACAATGCGAAGTTGAAATTTCGCGCAGCAAACACAATTTATAGGATTGGGAGCAACAACATGCTCATACTTTTTTAAAGAGCCTGATAATAATCATCGTCTCTACGCAGGAACATTTTTGAGTTTCCAAAATCAGGTTTGTGATTCGATTTTATGAAATATCACAAATTAAACAATACAGAGTATCAGTGACGTAACAAAAACGTGTCCAAAGAAAAAATGCGAGAATCCAACGGACCCTGAATTGAAGAAACTCTGCAATACGAGTTATACTTGGGATATTTTTCCAGATTATGATATTTTCAAGGTTAGACTTTTTCAAAGTCTCCAGGTTCGTGTTTTTTCTCTAAATTTGAGGTGGATAAATACGGAAATTTTGTTCAAAGACTTACCGACACCCCCGGATATGATGCAGAAGGTGTTGTATCTCCCGATGGTACTAAAATCGCATTCACTTCGATGAGAACTGGAGATCTTGAGCTATTTACTATGAATTCGGATGGAACCAATGTTGTTCAAATCACCAGTGAATTGGGATATGATGGGGGATCATTCTTCTCGCCCGATGGAAAACGCTTGATTTTCCGCGCAAGTCGTCCAAAAACACCCGAAGATGTTGCGAAATACAAAGTATTTTTGGGTTCGATTTACGTGGGCATTTCGTTGACATTTCAAATTTAGGCTCTTTTGAGTTATGATTTGGTTGAGCCTATTGCAATGGAATTGTTCGTCGTCGACATTGACGGTAAAAACATGCGACAAATCACAAATCTAACACAGGCCAACTGGGCGCCATACTATCTAAGCGACAACAAAAGAGTCGTATTCAGGTAATTAATGATTATTCTGCTTCGATTTATGCATTACATCTAAGCTCTAATTATGATGCTGCTGCCAATGGATTCGGAGCATTCAGTCTGTTCGTGATTAATGACGATGGAACAGGGCTTGAGAAGGTAAAAAGCCCTAGCTGATTTGATTTTTGATCATTCAAATAATACAGATTACATTTGGCGAAAATCAATTCAATTCATTCCCAATGATGAGCTACGATGGAAAAAAACTTGTGTGGGGATCTAGCCGAAATGGAACCAAAATAGCTGAAGGGGTTTACGAGCTCAACTTGTTCATTGCTGACTGGACAGATGATACAGGTTTGATTTGAATTTCTTCTCGCATGTTGCATGTCCGCAGATCCACCACCGACCACGCCGGCTCCAGCTAAACCCAAAACAACAACGCATATTGAAGTGACAACCAAATCAGTGGCACTACTAACGACATCCTTAACATTTGTTTTGTCGCTTTTAAACTTTTAGCTAACATTTATATGAATAAACTAAACTACTAGATATTATAAAACGCGGCATTTCAGACCAAAGTGACGGAAAAACACACTCGATAACCAAACCGTAAATGGGAGACATTTTTGCGACCATGAAAGACGTTACTAAAATTCAATGCGTATATATACAACAATAAAATCGAGATTCAATAATTTGTTTGAAAGTTGTCGTTTTTTCGGTAGCGGAAAGGTTGTCGAGGTTTATCGGTACCCATCTGAAGTTTGTGTTCGTAACGTCTCTGTTCGGATATTAGTTTATCAGGAACACTCTAAATTGAAAAAAATTTTGGAATGATATTAAAGATCCTGCTTACTTGGCCACTTTTTTCTAAAATTGAGATAAGCGGTTTGAAATTGCTGCGATCGCTCCACCACAAGAAACTCAGAGCTTCACCGCGTTTGCTGAATATTTATTATTATAGGTGAATTATTTGAGATTTGTTCGTCTACCCAGCTCTGCCTGTTCTACCCACACGATGAACATATTCTTCAATGTCATTGGGGAAATCGTAGTTAATTACATGCCTGAAAATCGTATTTGTAAAAAAATTGTAGCAATCTTACGTAATATCGGGTACATCTATTCCGCGACTCGCGAGATCAGTCGCAACAAGGATCTGAACCGATCCATTGCGCAGATTTCGGAGAGAATTCTCTCGATCTGTTTGCGATCTGCCGCCGTGAAGACCTTGCGAACTGATACCTTTCATGCAAAATTCAGACGAAACATGATCAGCCCTGAACATAATCATGTATTAAAATATCCAACAAATCTTACATGACTTTAGCTTTTACAAAAATAATCAGTTTGAAGTTTTTGCCGAGAGTTTTATTTAAATGGGCAATTATTTCACAAAGTCTCTCAAATCGATCTTCCGGACGAATGAATTCGAAATATTGTGTGACAGATTTGCAGCTCTCAAAATTCAAAAACAATTTTAAAACGCTGAACATAAAATACCGTCAAATCTAATGATCCATTAACAGCCATCACACCATCTTTGGTGTAACGATCGGTTAAGGAACGAACACTTTCAGGCCAAGTTGCACTGCAATAAGATAATAATAGGTTTTGTGGAAACATTAAACCTGGTAAGAGCGACTAGACGATCAGGACGAATTTCGAATAAGATTCGACGAATAGAAACTTCGAACCCCATGTCGAGCATTCGATCTGCTTCATCTAATACAACATAGCTCACAGTTTTTAAACAAATGACTCCCTCTGCAGACAAATCAGCAAGTCTGCCTGGAGTGGCAATCACTGAAATATGTCCAGCTTGTTAATGTCTATGCGGTACAACGAACCAATTTCTACGCCATCTTTGCATCCATCAACTTGTTCTCTTCTACTCGAGCCACCATAAAGGCAAATACTGATAATTGAAATAGCTCACCAATTTTTTCTTTTAATTTCTACCTTTTGTATCCATTATACGAATATTTCTGCACTTCCCCTTCAATCTGTTGAGCGAGCTCTCTAGTTGGACTAAGGACAAGAACTGATGGACATGGCTTCTTTTCATTGGGTCCATATAACTTATATTGAGCATCAATATGAAGAAACGCAGGTAATAAGAATGCGAGGGTTTTGCCAGAACCGGTTTGTGATACTCCGATACAATCCTTATAACAACAATTATGTTAACAATGAATTTCAAAAAATATTACAATTCCAGAAAGCAAAATTGGCCACATTTGAGCTTGAATTGGCGTCGGCTTATCAAAACCTGCCTTATTTATAACTTTCATTAATTCATCTAAAATTTTTAGAATGATACGAATTTTTCTAAATTTCAGGAACCATTTTTTCCGAAAGCTTGCTCGAATGATTCTACCGGCGCAGGTACCCGCACTTTTGAATCTTCGTGAAATGGGTAGACCTAAATTAAGTTTTTTTTTTTTAATTTAATCCATATATAACCTTCATAATTCCTCCTGCAGACTGCAATACTCTTGTTTCTTCTTCGGAGAGCTCAAGATGTTCTCGCGGGATACTATACAAATTTCGAACAATCTCTTTGCAACCTAGTAATTTTTAAACAATTAAACACCCAACCACCTCTCATACCTTCAAACTGATCATCGCCTTTTCTCTTCTTAATTTCACTTTCTATAGATTTTCTCCCATCGACTTCTGAATTAGACTTAAAATCAATTTATAATGAACTTTTTTTTAAACCTGGGTCTGCTTCAATAAGACGCAAGCTCATTTTCTGCAATAAATTCGTTGAATTTTAACAGACAAAATGTAAACACGCATTCAAGTGTTCAGAGATTGATGCAATATTTCGATAAAATTTTGAACTAAGTAAACATCGGTAATTCATATTAATCCAAACTTCCAAAAATAAACTGACAAAAAATTTGCACGTGAACAGGAATGACAGAGAATTTCAGCAACTCATACCGAAGAAACGGCTGTGAAACGAGTTTCTTCGAAACTCCGACGAAAATAAATGCCTCCGTTTCTCATTATTACACACTATCTCAAATATTCCTTGCACCTTTTATAGAAAATAATTTATAAATGACAAATGCGAGCTTCGGTGAAACGGCGGTCAAAACAAATGTTTCGGTCTCTCATAATCACACACTCTCTCAATTTCCGTTTCATCTGCGATTCACCTGCGTTTCACCGAAATCTCATCACACCGTTGTTTCTACAAAACGATTTTCTGAGTAGAATTTTGAAAATCCGCACTGACATACATCTGACGACAATTTACACATTGCACTGTCTACAGTACTCTTTAAAACTGCTTTGTTATGAATTTCCGGGTTTCTATGAGTGTTTGACAAATCTAATCATTCGTTTTTAAACAGTCTCTGTTATTTGATCGAACATTGACCATATCACGTCACACACTCGTTTCTTCTTTGTTTTTACCGATTCGTCAATTTCAAGTGTCAAAACTACAAAATATATAATACACATATTCATTGCAAGTTTCATGCAGAGCTGACAACTCAAGTCGAAAAAATGGTTATATAGAGGAAAAAAGAGTCTATGTACAACGAAGAAATAAATTATTTCAGTGATAAGTGGTCGGTTCAAAAAAGGAACCCGTCGATATTAATTCGCTTGCGCTAACGAGTAATGCGCGGTGTCGAGTTTTATATAAAGTTTCGCCGATTAATGGAACCGAGAAGCTGAAAAAAAAACGACGATTAAAAATAAAACCACCGTTTTTATATTATTATGGTATTTTCTCAAGAAAATGCAGATGTATTTTAGATATTATTTGAAATAAAAGTTTTAAAAAAACGTACATCTGAAATTCGAATCCGTCTAAATTGTCTGAAAACCACGTGGCCGTTTCCATCACTCAAAAAATTGGCAGACTTGTCTGATTTGAATGTTTCATATTCTGCTTTCGCCGGCTCAGCTGGATCGATTCCATACGGCACTGCTCGATTTATATATCCGAATAACTGTCTTTGCTTCACCTCCTCGTGCTTCTTTTGAATGTTTGTGAATAAATCTTCAAGCGTTTCAAGCTTTTTCTCAGCATGAGAAAGTGTCACTAAAAACATAAAATTTAAAAAAAATCGAAAAAAGAAAGAAGAATTAGTACAATAAAACGTACCAAGTGCGGCAAGGAGAATCAAGTAAAACGCAACTTTCATCGTTCGAAGATTTCTGTCGGAAATTGCCGAATTCGCCTTATATATATACATGACTTGGCGACGAGGCGAACATAGAAATGAACAAAGAATCAGAGACGGCACAGAAGAACCGTATCAATCGACGGAATGTAAAAGAAAGAAAAAAGAACTCTAAAAATAGACCATGTGACTGATGGTTGTCGAAATTTCTTGATAATTCGCCAATTCATTTGTGCACATTTCAACGAAATGTATGTCGGACAGCATTGTTTATTAAATGCGCAACAAAAACAACAACAAATTATTTTGTACACAACAGTCTATATACAGAAAGAATCATTGGTCATGGTGAAATTGGTCCCGTCGGCGTATTATTTCAAGTTGGAGATTTGTTTCATTCGCTCAATTATGTACATATGTATGCATATTGCTCGTTTGATGTTATGTCATTTATTTAGATTCCATTGTGTAGGTGGATGTTGCTGAGAATCTGAAAAAATGAACTTGTTGATTTGTGCGGATATCATTCAGTTTGAATCGGTCGATCATTTGATTGATATGACAAAATTTGTGTGTAGGTTCAGTACCATTGAACATTTTTCGAAATTATTTTCGAATTTTTGCACTTTTTCAGAATTACATTGAATAATTCTTGAAAATTTGAATCCAAAGTAACTACGATAAAAGCAAATTGTTTTTTTTTAGTTCTAAGCTTATCACTTTTGAAATAATTTTGGAATTTTTAATTGACTTGGAATACCTTTTTTTAATTTGTTTTTCGATTAAATATAACTAATGAATTAAAATTTTTTAAATTTTAATTGAAAATTTTGCACCGAATACGTGATTTTTCGCAAAATTTCGGCCACGATTTATTTGATTCAACCGGTTTCAAAGTCGAATTTTAAATCAAACTTACATCTGAGAGTCGAGCTCTTCGGTATTGGCGAAAAACGACGTGTCCGTTTCCGTCGTTCAAGAAGTTGGCCGATTTGTCGGATCGGAATGTCTCATACTCGGCAAAGAACGGGACGGCAGCTTCGACACCGGCTGGCGAGGCACGATTGATGAGCTCCATGAGCGTGTGAAGACGGCTCGCTTCTTGCTTCTTCATCACTTTGGCGAACAGAAACTCGAGGGAGCTGTCGATTTTTGGCGCAGCTTCGATAGTCGAGACTGAAAACAAAAAATATTGAAAGCTCTTGTCCCGCCCGATCTCTTCTTTACCTGAATAGGTAAGAACCATGATTGCAACGAATTGAAAGCTTGGGTTCATCTAAGTGATTCGATTCGATCTGCTGAATCTTGTGGCTTGAACTCCTCGTATTTATCCATGCCGCTTCAGCAATTCGAAAAGGCGGAGCGACACTAGCGAGACATCACACGGTATCATGGTTTGTCTGATGAGAAAGGCCCGAATTTGGTATAGAAATCATGGCCCGCCCACATGGTTTTTGCGACCATTGAGATCATAAGCATGACGCGACGAATGGGAAAAGAACAACTGAAAGAACATTCGCATACACAGGCTACTGTAGAACGGCCCAGCAGAACTGCGCTTTGATACCCGATGAGACGCATTCGATATTTCAGAGAATTGTAACAAATGACAATGGAATTCTTTAAATAGATATTGACACCAGCATACACTTCTATTTATGAGTATTAAACCGATTCCGAGACATCACAAAATAAGGAAACTTCCTAGCAAAACGATTGTGGTTCATTTTGGTTACGTAGTTCACCATATACATAGGTGGTGTAGACATATGCATACTCTAAAAGCAATTATAATTGGAATATCAATCCTAAACGAATGGTCCGTTCCATAACACCGTCGCTCTGATCAGTTTCCAAATTATATATTTTAATTATTCCTTCGGAATACTGCATGTCTAGAAACCCTCAGAAGCCAGTCAACGTTCAAGCCCATTCTGCAAATCGCGCGGCTTTGTCTGACCGTTCATTCGGTTCATATCGTTTCGGTTCAACAAAACTACATTTGTAAACGTTCTTTAGTTCCAAACAATACACTCCATGTGATAACACATACTATTTGCTTGATTGATGAGTGATTCGTCGGTTCACAAGGTTCAAATCCAGCACGGAGAACACGTTGTCGCCACTTGGTCAACACACCAAACGCACATGTGATGCGACACAAAATACAACGAGAAAGCAGCGCACGATGTCTGCAAGTGGGTTATGCTGAATTCCTCCAATTCATTTCATTTATAGTCAATTCATTTGTTGCTTATCGTCATAGCCGCCAGCTACCGTAACCGTCGAACCTGTCATTATTGTTGATTTCTCAATTGCTAAAAGTGTAGAAGTTTGAATGTGAGCTACATAATTATTGAAAAAGTATAAAATATGGGTTTTCTGAACAAAATGAGATAATTGTTAGTTTTGTGAAAACCGAAAATTCAAACAATAGCCAATATTAGCACACTTTCACAGTCGTGACGTGCAAATTTTCTCATCACTGAATGTTTTCAAGGTTTTCTTTCAAATGTAGTGATGATGTGATGTGTGAAGTGAAGAAAGTACTCAGTTCTTACAAGTTCCCATGATAATTGCCGATATCCTCTATAATATACCGACTCATGCAATGAAGAAAATCTGTTTTTTTTTTTCATTTGAATTCTCTATGCACTTCGAAAATTACAAAAAACTGACGCGATATATCGTAAATCTCCGCTATTTATTTTCAAAGGCGCACCCGAAAAGTTGTGCGAGTCACGACGCGAAGTCGGTACTGTAATTTTTTATTCTATGTGCTATTTTTCCGTTTCGGATGCGCCTTTGAAAATAAATAAATGAGATTTACGATATATCGCGTCAATTTTTTTGTAATTTTCAAAGTGCATAGAGAATTCAAATTTAAAAAAAAACTGATTTTCTACATTGCATAATGTCTATGATTTTAATGTGCAGGTTAACACCCCGTATTAGGATACTCAATTTGGTATCTCAAACATAAAGGTGATCCAGAGAGCATTTTCTTATGCGAAACTCACTGTTGTGTTTAACAGATGTTATAATTTTGATATTTAAAAGTAATCAACTTGAGAGTTTAATGAAGTTAGCCAACGCTCATCATTCAGGAGGTTGGCTCGATTTTTACTATGAAAATGAAAATATTGAGTTAGATATTATTTTGTTTCAACAGTTCTGAAAATTGAAAAATAAAAATGAATAGCAGAAAACAAGAGATTTGGTGGTTCCAATAAAAATAAGAAATCTGAAAATAATAAAACAGATGGGAAATACTTATCTCGAACGAGACGGAAATGATGAAAAATTGATTAAAACATCCCAAACATCTATGCCAGATTCAATTTATTCATTATTTTCACGTCCATCGTGGATTCAGATATCATCCTTCAAGATAGTTTTAGCCGACCGAAAAAAGTAATGAAGGCTTCTTTCACCATAAGGGAACCTATACTATATACATTGCCCCTTGGAAATAGATGAAAACTGGATCAGTGTATGAAAAATGGATAAAAAGTGGATAAAACTGATCGCTGCATCAATTTTCCAATGTGCACACATAGGCCTTCATTGTGCACTGCCGAGTGGGGGTTGTCTCTCTGGCGAGCCACCGTAGTGATTATCTCATGGAACAGACTTCAGAAAAAATGTTTCTTTGATGAAACAGCAATGAAACATTTGATAGTTTTCGCTATGATCTTGTGCCTACTGACTGGCTATTTCAAATTCTACAGCTCATTTTAATAATACTTAATAGATATTAAATGAAGTGTCAAGCTTATCAAGAAAAATTCAAAAGAAAAATTGACCTTGAAAGTAACAAAATCATTCGTGGCGAGACGATTAGGAAAGATGTACTCGTAAATCTATAGTACTTGCCGGACTCCTACGACTAATCACTGGAATACGCATAATGTCAGAAGTATTATTTCAAATCCAGTTTTCTTTCAGATTTTTATTTTTGGAATTTATTTTTGTTTTCAGATTTAGATATCTATTTTTGTTTGAATTGTTATTATTTATTTGTCGAAATTAGCCAACGATTCGCTGGTCGCCTGCTAAACGTTCTTTATGCTGATCATCAGATTGGCGAGGATTACGGTAGACAGTGAACTGATTGGTCTCAAGTGGACGCAACCAAAACAGGACGTCGTCGATTTTTCTCGACTTTTCTTCAATGCGCCTATAATTAGAAATCAACAAGACAATGGTGAATGACGCTTCTGAAACTGTAAAATGTAGAAAAATTTTGTAATCGCAAAAAGAGTTTTCTGGAAACTTTGGAATTTTGTGTCGAAATCTCCATCATCCCGCCCCCAAAAAAATACATTAGGGACCATGACGACTAGAATGCGGATTTCCCGGGATTTCTCGGAATATTTTCTCAACACTATCATTAAACAAGGAAGTGCCTAGCGTTGATTGGCAATCAATTTCTGTTCAAGATCATTCGAACAGAATCTGGCAGACTTCAGTTTAGTGGCTGCTGTCGTCGTTGTTTTATGACTTGCAATAACTCTGCTCTCGATTTTGGTCGTTGTTGCCAAATGCATTTTGACGATGATTGAACCTTCTATGTATTACAATTCTTGCAGTCGACAAAGCTTGAAATAGCCTATTCGATTTTTGTTATCAATCTTCTTTTTAACGCGATACGGTTGTTTTTTGTCGATTTGATTCATGAAAATATCCATTTTTGTAATTTGACTATTTCAAAACAAATAATTTTTTTTCAAAAAATAATCACTTGTTCCGTTTTGGAATTTGTTAAATGAATTGTTTCGACGTGTGTACTTTTCGGAACAAAAAAGGGAAATGAATCAGCTGGAAATGCGACGAATCTGTTATCAATGACACGAAAAAAAATCTAGAGAAAATCACGTAGGCGAGATATTCGAAATTGGGAAAAATTATTGAAATATTTCTAGTTAAAGAACTCTTGAAGAGATGTGTCAGAAATCAAAAAAAGCAAATAAAAAATGAAGTTGAATATTAGCAAACACAAGTAAATAAATAAATATAGAAACTGTTTGCATATTCAACCGTTCTCAGCATCAATTTTTGCAAGCAGCCAACTCCGAAATAGGTACAAAATCAACAACGACGATATCGAAGAGGAAATATTTGCGAAACAGCTCTCCTCATTTTTTGGCATTCAAAAGCAGCGGTAAAAAGTTTGCTCAAATACCAGTTCGAATTTGTTGCCAGTAGACGGTGGCTCGTACCTATTTTGTTTCAAATTTCAACACCATCATGCTACTCGATTCATTTTTTATTTCTTTTACAATTATGGTATGTAGACAAATTCATGGTTTATCAAGACTATCAATGTTTTATCTCAGACAAATCAAATAAAATGTTTTAAGAATCAAATATTCAATAATAAACTCTAAAATATTATGAGAAATTCGAAATTTTCTTGATATTTTCTTAAACTTATTGTGAATCGCTAAACTTAAAAATATTTTTTAAAATCTTATAAGATTTAAAACAAATAAATTTATTGAGCAAATTCTAAATTATCTCAATAAATTCTAAATTCTTATAATTATTTCTAAAATTGATTGAGAAAAATCTAAATCATTATAGAGACACGTTAGTTTCTCAATGAGTCTCAATTTTTACTTGAGATTCTTTAATATAAACTATTGGCAATGCGATTGAAAATGTCAAGCAATATCAAAATCGAATATAGAAAATATGACCATTTTTAAATTAAGGAAAAAATACACCAAAATTTTATATATTTATATTTCGCATTATCGTTGAAAAAAATTAATAGACGAAATTTTTTTTATTTTCGGCAAATTGCCGAATTGCCGCACAGCCCTGATAGAAATAGATTGCCACGTTGCAGAGTTCCGCAGAAAAGAAGTTTCTCAGTTTCGTTATTAAATAGGCAAATTAATTATGTTCAGAAAAAGAATTCCTTTGTTATTTTGATTGCTGTGCTCGTTTATTAAACAAATTGGCTCATTCAAAATTTCAAATAATGGATTTTTTATTCGTTTTGAATATTTCTGTGTTAGGATGGACTTCAAATCGACCTTTTCCCAACTACGAAAAACGACTTTGTCTTATTTTGAGCCACTCTTACCAACAGTACGGAGAAAAACTGAGGAATGCGCATTTTTCGATGTTTTAATCGATGGTTTTCAATGGTTTTCTGGAAGATTGCCATCTCAGAAATTTTAATCTTTCCTTTTCAAAATTTTCGCATTAATTTCAGACGCAATGCTCGGCAATCATTCCATATTATCGGGTTGTTCATTCAAGGGGTTCATCGCAGGTATGTATCATTAAATAAATATTTCATCAATTTTTTAGTGTGGAAAAAACAAATATTTATACGTTTTTTTTTGGCAAAAACAGTTTGTTTACCTCCACATCACCCCGTTTATTTATTTCAGAGAAAGGTTAGACAGGTTCAAAAAGATCTTTCATATAGATGGCCCGATAACACACTGCCATATTTTATGGCAAAAAATCTGACAAGTGAGCAAATATTGGTTGAAAGAGCACACAAAATATTGTGATCACTATTAAAGGGGACGTTCGGAAATCTGTCGCAATGGCAATCGATACACTAGAAGAGCAAACTTGTATCCGATTCAAAGAAGTCGACGATGATCAGAGTGGTTTGACAAAAAAAATAATCAGAGGTTGTGAGACGGAATTAAAACATTTTAGGAGATGTCGTGAGAATCGTTGATTTGGGATCTTGTTCATCGCCAATTGGTCGACTCAATATTGGAGTTCAAGACGTTTCGCTCACAAAAAATTGCTGGGGTGTAAGTTGCCATCCAAACTCGATAATTTCCAAGAAATGAGTAAGACGTTTTGAATTGCCGCCAAAATTGCGGTGTTTGCGGACTTGCACCAATTTTTGAATTTTTTCGCAGACAACACTAAATTTTTTTCATTAACTGATAAATTTTAAAAGACTCAAAAAAATGTACATTTAAATGATAGCACGCGGAAAAGTTTGAAAAACCAAAAAAAACCAAAATTTCATTTGAATTTTTCGATCACTATTTTCGTGAAATTTTTAACAACTTTAAAAAAATCTAATTTCATTCTACTATTTTTAAAGCTGGTTCAACGGCAAATCGAATTTGGGGGTGGGGTTTTTTTTTTAAATTTTGGAAGTATCATTGAGAAATAATCGCTTTCAGATGGGAACTGCAATTCATGAGCTGATGCATGCAATTGGCATCGAGCACACGCAATCAAGAAGCGATAGAAACACTTATCTTGATATTAATTATCGGAATATTGATGTTTGTTGTAAAAAACAAAAAAAAACAAAAAAATTGAAAATTTTAGAGAGAAAATCTTCCAAATTTCGAATTACTTTCACCGAGATTATGGTCAAATTTGGTTCCATATGATTATGGAAGCGTAATGCATTATTCAGCAGATTCGTAAGAAAAATCGCATCAAACACGCAGACATTCAAACCAATGGCTTGCAGATTTTCAAACTCTGATGGCGAAATGACAATGCTTCCAAAGAATCGCGATTTTGTCGAAACAATGGGAAGTATGATCCCAAATTTTTATGACTTTGATCAGATTAACAAGTATTATGAGTGTTACGGTATATTTGGATCAATTCGAACTCGAGAACTCAAATGAAGCGTTTTCAGACAATTGTGAGAATAAGAAGAATGTAGCGAAATGTTCGCATGGCGGTGTGCCAAATCCCAATGACTGCTCAAAATGCAATTGTCCGATGGGATATGGTGGTGATCTCTGCGATAAAAGGGTTTGCAATTTGTCAAAATATTTGCCTAAAATTAAAATGTTCTGTTTTCAGCCTGACGGTTGTGGAAAGACATTGCGAGCTTCATCCTCATGGCAAACGGAGAAGTTAGGTGTGAAATTTAGTAAAAACGATGATCAATATTATACATTTTGCAATTATTGGATCGAAGTTTGACAATATAACCATTTTTGGATTCATCTTTTACAATTGTAGGCTCCGAAAAACTCGACGATTCTTATTAGGTATCAAATTTCTTCGGAACTGACTCGACGAAGGATATGCGAATTCGGGTGTTACGATGGAGGTATCGAAATCAAACATTTGGCAGATCCTCGAATAACCAGCGATAGGTTTCAAAACATTTCATTTTCAAATTTCGCTCAATCATCAATATATAGGGATTGCTGTATGGATACGGCATTGAATGTCACAACCACAATGAATCCTGTTCCTGTCATTTTGTACACTGCAAGTGCCACTATCGAATTCGACGTTTCCTATCGATTCGTTTAATTGTTTCGATTCTCATTCTCTTTCTACGGTTGCCATGATCTCTTGTATTCAAATTGTTATTGCTTGTTGTTTATGAGAAAAAAAAATACAATTATAATTGGACCCATATGAAGCTCACAAAATAAAAAACAAATAGAACAGAGAAGCTATTAGATATACGCCACATGAAATTGTTTGAGATTGGCTTGAAAGGAATCGAAAATGATATCCGGACATTACTTCGAGATATCTGAAAACGAAAACGGTAATAATCATCGGAAATATGAGAGGATTCTCATCAATTAAACCTTGGATCGATTGAAGCAATGACGGAATCAAAGTTGATGATTCCACGAAATAAACCTTCAGAATATGTGGCAAACGGAAGGCGAGAATGTATCGAATTGCATTTGTCTCTTCTGAAAATTCAAATGTTTTCGGGTTTCGTTTGCAATAGAAAGCACCTATTGCAAATACACGTGGTTTGATTGAAAGTGTCTTCGCATAGCAGAACCGCGCCAACTCTTCTCATTTTGAGTTCAGACGATCTTCGATTCAACTGGAATTAAGATTGCTTGCATTAAGATTCACCTACTCCTGAAAATACCTCGAGATCGGCAATTTGCCATGGCGAGAGATTCACACAACCTGACATGTACTGATAGACGGGACAATGCTTGCATTGGCCTACAAATGAGAATCCGAAAAATTATGAATAATTGGGCTGATTACGCATAAAACAGGCATTTCCGCGACACGTCGTTGCACCATTTGAGCACACTTTTGACTCTTTGATTGATGCCGATTTCCATAATTGGACGCATTGTACACATTCAACCTAATGAATGATATTAGCTGAAAACGATTAGAGCCAAATTGGATACCAGTGAATCGGTCGACTCGATTTCGAAGTCTTCGCTATTCACTAAACAGGAAGAGCACAAAACAATGATTGAGATTGTTGAGGCAGCTGAAAAAAAAACACGAAATGGTTAACAATTTACACATTTCCTACCATTTTTCCACCTCATGAGAACATTTAGCAATTGGAAATTTCGCTTACAAATTGTGGTAGTTCTTTAAAATCTGTAATGAATTTTCCATCAGTTTTGAACTTTGTTTTGTGCAAAAAATTGAAATCGAGGCTAAAAGAAAACGAATGAATATTTTGCCGAAAAGGAAAATGAGAAGTTGAAGGATGGAAATCTCAACGAAGCCAATCATTTTTCGTGCACGAATTCATGGATATTTATCGGGTTTTTATGCGCTCATAAAGTTCCATTTAAGGATGACAAATCAAACGTATCTCGAAATGGAAATATGAAATTCGAAACACGGTTCAAAAATCGAAATCTAATTAGAAACACGCGGCTAGTAATTCGATATTGTTTGCCGACAAGTGTAAAAGTACTCGAGTCGTGTCCTCGATATATTATTTGATCGATCATTAATTGTAATTTTCTCAAAAACAAAAAAGTTTGGAACAGCTGAATGCCTGAGCACGACAAATGCGAAAAAGAAAAAAACGAATGCGAAAAAGAAGAAGAAGAAGAAGAATGAAAATGCAAAATGGAATAAATTATTTCGATTCATTCATATACGTTTTCCGTTCGTCTGTTCATTTTTGTGTGCAACCTGAAATCGTATCTAGTAGTGTTCATCTAGCTATACATAAAACATGTGATCACGTTTCCAGCTGCCTGAGGTTGTGGTCCCATAAAAAATATGATGTGTATAACATGAAGAGAGGAGATGAAAAACACGGCGCTATTGGGGTTTTGATGATAAAACGGAACAGGTGTTTCAATGAGATCGTCAAGTAGAGGAGAACGAAACTGAACTAAGAATAGATTATCTCAAGATTAAAAATAAATGAAAGGCGGAAGTTTGAAAAATGAGATGATACGAACGGCTGATTCGCAGCGAAGTTGCTCAATTTGAAGATATTTTCTAATATTTTTTGAGCATTTTTTGGAACAAATAAAACGTCAGAAAATATTTTCTTCAATTTTTTAAAACCATATTTGTAGTTTGTAGATTGTGCACATAAATACCAAATAATTTTCATATGAAAAAAACTGAAAATGGGAAATAGGAAATAGAATGGTATTATTTTAAAATCCGTGACAAAACCGAGTTTCGGCATTTTATAACTTTTGCAGAGTTAAAAAAAAGAAAAAGGATGGAAGCGAGGGAAAGTTGTTCTCGAAATCCTCTTCAAAGAACTCCTATGATTTTAAGGAAAGATTTGCACTTGTAACAATGAACTCTGGAAAATTTTGGAATATCCTCACATAATTATATAGCAACACGAAAAAAGGTGGATAAGAATAATTATTAGGTGTGGCTGCGTAGGTTTTCTTAACGAAAAATACGTCTTGTTTATCTTATTTTTTTTTAAAGAAAGATGTGCGCTAACAAGGTGTCACAAATATGTAGTTGTACACCAAACAATAGAAGACGAAAGAAGGCGCGGGTGTGGGTTCGGTTTGAACACAAAAAATATAATAACGAATCCGTCGCATTTTGATTGAGTTTGCAATCTCGCCAAAACTATGAGCCCACCGCGGGGATTTTATTTCAAAATTCTAATTAAATCTCTCAGACGACACCAGACCTACTTATAGCGAATAAAAGAGGGGGGGGGGGCGTGGAGACGACAAAAACATAGATGAAGCTGTGGTGACACGAATGTGGATGTGATGGATAGCGGGACACAAACTGCACACGACAATTAAGATAATAATAGGCAAAGAAGAAGACGACGACGAAGAAGAAGAAGAAGAAGAAGATGGAGGTGGTGGTGGAAGACTAACAAATTGAACACATATCAATCTCTTCATCCAATGTTTCACAATTTTTCTGCTCTTCGAAATATTCGAATTTATTAGTTTACTCATTCATAGAGACTGCCTTCATTTTGAAAAATGTATCAATGACTTCATTCGAAATAAACTAGAGGGTTTCGAGTGGCGGATTGTGCCAACTTGAGCGAAGCCTGATTGAGAAATGAACAAATAAAATAAGTATTCCGTTGGGAAGACACCATCTTGAGATAATTGAGGTTGAAAATCGCTGTGTGGGAGAAGGGGGGGGGGCACGAACCCTCGAAACAAAAGTCTGCAATGTGAATAAAAGATCGGAAGTCGAGATAGAGAGGTGAGCTCATGAAAATGTGCGTTGCGAATCCGATTTCGACTAGACGAAACGACGACTTGAAATGTGAGATGTGTCTGGTTGGCTGGAGTTGCACAGGTATTCACTTATTATAACGAGTATGCATCGGGCCAAAACGCAAAGCACTCAGAAAATGCCGAGTTTGGATTGGCGGCACATCGGCGACATAAAAGTTAATTGATTCCGAGGAGGCCGACCCAATCCAACGCACGCCTTCTGCCAATTCCCTGAAGATTCGGCACGGACAAGAAGAATCACTGGAAATTTTTGGAAGAGCACATAAATGGATTGTTGCCAATTGCTCGACACCGCCCATATATATCCATCAAACGCGGGGCTTGAAACAAGCAAGACGCAACAAGAAATGCGACCAAAATTCGGGATTTTCACAAGTTTTTTTTTCTGAAGTTTTTTGCATATGATGGCATTGTGTACGAAAATATCAAAAAAAAGAAGTGCGTCTCATGAAGAAACATGAAACTTGTTCGGGGTTCAGGGATTAGTATCGTGCACGATTCGATGTCGAAAAAAGACTTGTCGCGATGATATCTGAAAAACGAGAAGATTCACCATTTTGGGTATGTGCGCTTGAGTGTGCTATTTCGGCGAATGAGCAAAACTTATCGTGTGAAAAAAAAACGCGAATATGAGCAAATGGGTTTCGAGTATGATGAAAACAGCCAGTCGCCGCCGTCTCTGAAGCGGCAACAACGATGAGGAATCGCTTAAGGAATGTATGAGACGAAAACTCTTCGACACATATATATCTATATGAGGAGTCGGCACCGCGAAATATGAATAAGTGATGAAGTATGGCGAGCACATAAGTTTTCTAACCACAACACGACAATTTATGAAGATTCGGGTTAATTAGCCAAGATGAACACGCGGGCTATTCGAGCAAATTCATTAGAATTCTCCAGATGATCTCGTCCACAACACAAGTTGAAACTCATCTTTGAAATGATCGCAAGCCGACTGACATAAAAGTCGAGTCGCAAAAATCGAATCAATTGAATATACAGAGTTACAGTGCAGAAATAAAAAAATAAATTTAAAAAAAGTCCACAGAATCACAAATTTCAAAATAATGTGTGAACATGTTTTTTTTTAAATTAATTTCTAAATTAATTTTTTTAATATTACTATTTTTAATATATCCTTCAAATACACTATTGAACGACGACTTTGAAAAAGAGGATATTGAAGCCGCTTGGATTTATTCTTAAAATATTCTGGCCTTTCCGGATCAACTATGTATGTCATTTTAAAAATGTTAAAATTAAAAAAGGAAAATTGTTTATTTCAATTTTAAAGAAATAATCAGTAAGTAACATAGGAACGCTTGTTGCAATGCGAATCTAAATCTTTGGGTGGACCAAGGTATCTCGATGGTCCTTGTTTGTTAGGTGTTAGGTCCTTCCGAAGACCGTCTCATGAGATGGTCTTCCACAAAATTTGAATTTGAATTTAGCATGTATCCCTTAACTAATAAACATGGCGTTCTTCACACTTCAAATAAATGAAAATTTCGATGTCAATTATTATATTGTTCAATATTTTCTTTTTTATTAATTCTGAAATTAGTTAATATTTCTTTTTGACGGCGGCAAAACACATCCGAAAAACCGCAATTGATAGTTCATTTTTGGTTCAAAATCCTGTTTGCCAAAATACAAAATTTTATCTCGATTTTACGCACAACCAAAATTCTCATAAACACAAGATAATCGTGAAATATTGCGCTACAAATTGGACGGAAAACTCTGTCATGATGACTCAAAAAATATTTGTTTACTATCGGCAAAATGTCTCAAATTGTCACTCAAATATCGCGATTGTTTTCAGACAATTACCAATTTTAGAATTTATTGATTTTCATAGAAAATATTTAATCATTCTACATATATTAATACAAATAATTTCAGATCTATATTATCATCCAAATGCAGTTAACATTCCAATAATTATTTATTCTGTATTATTTTGTTGGCATAATTGCTACCCTTTCTAAAAATCAACAAACCAACGAGTTTAGTCTTAATTGCTAAACCACTTGACGTTGCCAAATACGTACTGGGATTACAAATGATTTGTTCGTCGTTTTCTTATGTGCTTTTCGCAAAACGAGTAACATATGCGGTTTATTGGGACCACAAAATGCCCGTTAAATTGCATAATTCATGCTCTTCTGTGTTCTTTTTCTCAGCCGTTTTTGCTTTCATTCATTTTCTATTCTTTACTGTCTTTTGTCTTTTTTTAACGCACTTTTGCTCGTTTCGAGAACAAACGTTTCTATTATTTCGTAGGCATCGTTGTGCTTCTTTTCGATTAAAGGCACATGATTGATGCTTTGAATTAATGGAAAATCAATACGACATCTTTCGTGAATACATTCTGAATATCTGTCAAGGTTTTCCACACCAGCCAGTAATTTTTTAGTTCTTTAAAATAAAGCCAAGCAGGACATGTTTTTTTTTTCAGCTCAATTAGGAATTGCAGCAAAAATAACCTGAAATTCTTGTTTTTCACATAGCTTTTTCTTCGATTCTTCAAACCTTTCCGCTTTGTGCTCTTTTCAGCTTTTTTTTCTCGAATAGTGAATCACGATTCAAAAATTCATTTTGAAAACAATCCATGTCAAAATTAACATATTCATATAATCAAAATAAAAAACAAATCGGTTTGAATTTTCATTTTCAATTTTTGAAACTTTCGCCGAAGAAAAGGTGTAATTGTTCAAAACTGCGTGTAAAATGTGCGTGTGCGCGGCGTTTCCCCAAATTGGTTTATACAAGTCAATCAAGCCGCAACAAGGTTTGTTCTTTTCGCCTCGTTTTTCTTTGCTTCCCACAAAAACCGCTTGTGATTCGAAATTTTACCGCGAAATTGATATGCGCGTGTTTTTGTTTGCTTAATGAGTCGCCAAATGTCTCGAAAGTCGCCGTCAATGCACTCAATCAACGACGCGGTTGTGCTCATTTTTCGTCTTTCTTCCACCCATTCCGCCGCCCTTCTTCTTCTTCTTCTTCTCGTTTCAACGCATCCAATTTCCCCCCTTTGCCATGTCGAGTTTTCACAAATTTCTTACAGATTCTGCCTAGTTGCTCGATTCATCACATTTCTCCATACATGTATGAAAGGAAAGGGTAGGTTCTTCCAATTAGTGCCCGGAATTCGGCCATGTTTTCGCCGCTCCACGATTATTTTATTTATCTATTCCTGACAATATTCTTAGCATCATGACTCATTCAGATTTCAAATATCTGCTTTTTCTGGCGATTCTTGTCCAAATTCCTTCCGCTAAATGTCTTGCTTGCTACGCTTGTATGGCTATCAATTATAGGTAAATCGAAGTAATCAAACGAAAGCGATTGTAACTCGTTTCAGACAGAACGTTCTTTCTCGAAATGACGAGTTGCTGCCACCGCAGAGCAGAGAAAACCTTTCGCTCGTCATTGATTCGCTTATTGAGGTGGATTATTTTAATCAGTTATACCGATCAGATAATTAAACCCGTTGTTCTTCGATTTATAATTGTTATATTCAGCATGATTTCGGTCTAGTCGCTGTCTCTTCGAGCTGTGCTGATGTCGCTCTGACATCTCAGCCATCATTTCTCAATTCTCCCATTTCCATCTGCGCACCGGATGACAGATGCGCCAAAATGGATTTCGTCTTTAAAGGTTTTTTTTATCTTTTGGCTCTTTCAACTCTCCAACTTATCAATTTGATATTTTCAGGCGAGAAAATTGTATTGCGTAATTGCCTGTCAAGTCTTTTAGAATCCCCAACGTCCAACATTAAATTCGTGTGTCCAAAAGCCAATGTTGTAGAGGAACACATGTGAGTAGGCAAATTTACACCAAAACCAATTTCCCAACAATAAATTTGCATTCGATAATTGATGGTTATAGCGAAAAACTAACATCAGTTCTGTTGTTTTCAGTTATAATTGAAATAATGGAAAAAAGGTTCATCGAAAACACTTTTTCAGACATCTGGGGTCCCTCAACAATGTGACAGTTTGCACTTGCCAGAGCGACCTCTGCAACTCCGCGATCCAACTTTCCAATTATCTTCTTCCTTTCGCTATTCTTTTTATTTTATCATTTTTCTTTAGCTAATTTCACGTATTCATTTGAGACGGGTACGAATTTGTTGAATAAATATTAATTCAAAAAGAAAGAGTTCATTTCTAAAATGAGTGAACATCAAAACGAAGATTTATTGTCAAACATATTTTTAGCTTCGAGTAAGTCATATATTAATACTGGATTTGTTCCTACTATAAAGTTAAGAAATACGAATTCAGTGGATTTATCAGAGCGAGCTAATTTTCTCAATTATACTATTAGTCTGTGCTTTGAATGAGTTCTTCATCAATGCTCGATTACCGCTTTCATTGCTCATGTCAATTGGATGCGTATTGTTTTTCTTGTTATACATCGAATTTTATTTTGGATTTACTTATAATTGGTAACAACTCGGCCAAATATTAATTCATTTTTTAAGACATTTCAGTAAAGCACTTCTAAAATGCCACACGCTATCATGCGGAATTCTAGCCTTCTTTTGTTGGATGTATTGCCTCATCACTTTCTTATTTTCCCATGTTTTCTTCCTTACGACAGGAAAACCAAGGTTTGTGAGCAATTCGAAGCATATCAAAATCCCTATATTAATTTCCACAGAGAAGGCCTTTACAAGTTTTTTTCGACCGTTATTCTTATTGGAGTATTACTAGCGACTTTCGCGATATCCTCAAATCAACGAATCAAAGAAGTGTGGCATAGCATCCCAGATAAAATAAATCATTATTTTCAGATAAAAAGTGTGGAATATGGACAATTGGAATATATGCGAAAAATACTCGCACTATCCGAAAATCTCGTGAGCAAAGCTCAAAAACGTATGGAAGAAAATGAAATTCGCAGTTATTTCAACGGCGAAAAATTGACTAAATACCAAAATATTACCATCGCAAAAAATGAGCACCAATTGTGGACCATCGGATTTTTTTGGGGGACCGTGATTAAAAAATTAGATTTAGCCAGTTGGAATTACAGGGTGGCTGAAAATTACCCGGACTAAAATTTCGAGCCTTCGTGAGGCGCACTGATGCTTTTTCAGCGCAATGTTTTTTAATTTTTTTAATTAGCAATGTTTTTTTTACTATCCCTCAAATTTTCATGATAATTGGTTCGGTTTTAGCAAAATGGCGAAGCAAAATGCACACCGACCCGCAATTATCGCATTACACATGTCCGGAATGAGCACATATGCAATTTGGAAGCATCTGAGAATTCCGAAAAGCACCGTCTACGATGCGATTTCTCGTTTCAAGGATCTTGGCACAACCCAGGACCGTGCAGGCATAGGAAGAAAAACTACGGTGACGACTTCTTCGAACGTTAAGATCGTCCGAGACAGAATCAGACGAAATGCTCATCAGAGCATCAAAAAGATGGCTTCCGCCCTGAATATGTCACGAGCTTTGATGACAACCATTATCAAAAAGAAGCTTAAGTTGACTTCTTATCGTGTCAGAAAAGCGGCCATCCTTTCTCAATCCAACAAGCTCAAACGGCACCAAAAGGCAAAACTCCTTTTGGCGCGCGCGCGGGTTGAGGAACATCTGTCGATGGTCTTTTCGGACGGGAAGCTGTTCACCGTGGAGACCGAATTCAATTCGCAAAAACATCGAGTGCTTGCCCGAACGTCCGAGGAAGCTTCAGAACTCGGCTGGACGATTCATCGTACGTCGCACTCCGTCAGCGTCATGGTCTTCGGTGCCATCTGCTCCAATGGCAAATGTCCTCTGATTTTCGTGGAAAATGGTGACAAAATCGACAAGTACTACTATATCAATGAGATCCTGAAGAAGAACTTGCTTCGTTGGGCCCAAAAACACTTTGGTGGAGAACGATGGGTGTTCCAGAAGGACGGGACGCCAGCTCATACTGCAAAGTTTACGCAGGAGTGGTGCGCCAACAATTTCCCCTCCTTCATCAAGTCAACAGAAGGGACCGCCTCGTCTCCTGACCTTAATCTGTTGGACTATTCCGAATGGGGGTCTTACAGAGTAAGGTCCGTGCTAGGCCCCACCCGAATTTGGACTCTCTAAAGAAAGCGCTGGTCGAGGAATGGGACAAATTGTCGGTGGAATACCTGCGCGCCACGGTCGACGCATATCCGAAGCGTCTTCGCGCCGTCATCAGAAACCGCGGAGATCGAATCGGACAACGATAATCTATTTATGTTTGTTATTGTAAAAGTAAACTAAATATGAAATTTGAGTGTGTTTGAACAATTATTCACTGAAATACATTGGTTTTCATATAGTACGGGTAATTTTCAGCCACCCTGTAGTGTATAGTGGTTATCTACGAATGAAACTTGTCGTAAATCTACACAAAGTGCTCGTTTTTTTTTCGACTGTAATATTTAAAACATTTTTCGAATTCAAAAGACTGAAAAGAGGCGGAGCCTTCAATTTCGCGAAATCAGTGCATATATTTGAATTTCGCGTTGACTGAATATTAAATGCGCGTACGTTAAAATGCAAAGTACGCAGTCTCTCGCCTACTTTTCGTTGCCTCGAGACGCATTGGCACATAGCTAATTTTTTTAAATTAAGTTTAGTGGTTTTACGCCAACAATGTGAGTCGCTGTGTAAAAAACATGCTTACGATATATTGTTAGGATATTTTAGCTGCGACCGATAGCCTGAAATTATTGACTTATATTCAAAAAATTTTGGATATGTGCCATGGTTTCTTGAGCAGAGTTGGGCGGAATGAAAAATTAAAAAAAAAAAAAAAAAAGAATATGGAAGCAGAAAAATTTGCGGAATGCGAAATTTCTCTCAACTCTGTTCTCGATGTACCAGGAGTACGCGAGACACTTTGCATTATAACGTACGCGCATTTAATACTCAGTCAGCGCAAAATTTACCCAAAAAAATCTACACCGATTTCACGAGAGGGAAGACCCGCCGTAAATCGTTAGCTAATTTTACGCATTCGCGCCATCCCGCCAAGAAAACATTAATGTTTCAGAAGGGAAGAAAGTACGAGGTCTTCACAAGAACAATTCAAATTCATAGAAAAAATCATTTACCCGAATAATAATAAAACCTTCATAATTACATAAGATGTTGAGTTCTAAGATTCAAGATTTCTAACACGCAATGATACAAGCGATGGCTTTCGTTCAAATTTGGTCGATGTCTGAACATGAGAAAGTCCATAAGTCGGTCGACGAAGATTTGAGGTTGACCTTAGAAATATACATTTATTTTTTGCTTCTATCGGATATTTACCTAGTATGCATCAACGAATATGATGACGAGGAAACAGAAGAAACTCCACCAAACGTGTTGCTTGAAGTGGCGGATCTTAAAGAAAGATTTCAGTGCAGAAATTTGTTTCATTTACCTTCTAAGACCAAATCCAGTATTAGCCGGTGGAAGAGATGAAGTAGATTCAATAGAAGACGTTGATGACGTCATGGCATCGGATCGTCGATTTGGATTAACGGAAGATGATCGTGATGCCCGCACGGGCGGCGGTGGTGTTTCGGTGGCCGCTTTCCGTAACTTATCTCGTTCCATGGCAGCACAGCTTAGCGGTAGGCGACTTGGCCGGCTGGTGTCTTTCGGGGCAGGACTCGGACTACGGTATGACATTGGAGCAGGCGACTGTGATCGTACTGTAATAACAGGTTGTGGTCGGACAACAGCAATCGCTTTTCGTTCAGTTCTCCATGGCGCTGATTTGTAAGAAGTAGACGGCGTTCGAAGTCCTGACGGTCGCCATACTTCTTCCTCTTCTTCATCGTCACCGTTCTTTTCCATTGACTTTTTCGTTTTTATGCCTTTTCTTATCACCGTCACAGACGATTCCATATTCTTCGACCATCGCTCGTCTTCTTCTTTCACTTTAGCGATGTCTGACTTGTCCGATGTCGAACAGGTCTCACATCTCGATAGTTCAACGGCGGCTTGATTCACAAGGTTTCTAGTGCAATCGTTCAAATCTGATTTCAGCATGTCCTTAACAGCCTGTTCAATCTTCAGTAGAGTTTCGTTATCTTCTGGTAATTGCAATTTTGTCTTGATTTTTGGAAGGAACCGAATAGCACGAATTCTGAAATATGAAACTACAAATGCGAACTGTATTTATAGAGTACCTTATATTTGAAACAGGATCTGATGTAAGTCGAATAACATCATCCAGAAAATTTCCGATGAATATCCTCTTGCTGAAGATGTTCAAAACCATTTCAGCAACATCGAGGTAAACTATTCTACGGTAACAACATTTGTGAGTTGACAAATCTGAAAGAAAAGAAGAGAAAAACAATTAAAACGATAAAAAATATAACCTTTTTTAAAGAATCGAATAATCTCATCTCGAGATTCTTTACTAGAAATGGTTTTCATGAGAAGTAATAATGACTCGCTAGCGGTGATTCTACACGGAATCGCTCTCTGAAGTAAACATAGATTAGTAATTGATTTTCGAAAATATCGAAATAACTAACCACTTGGAGAATTTCGTTTTTGAGTAATGGTACAAATGTGTCCGTAATAACATCCTGCGAAACCAAATTTGGAAGGATTCGAATGCTTCTTAAAAGAGAATCATGACTCCTCCAAGTGCTTGTATTCCTCAAAATCGCATTGCATCCTAGAACCAGACGGTCCAAATGCTTCGTTGACGTTTTCTAAATTTGTTTAGTTTAAAAATTACACGAATCGATATCTACATTCGAGTTTTTCTTCACGTTTTCATATAGTGTTGGAAGAATTTGAGTCATATTATTGGCTACCTGAAAAATTATTTGCCTTTGATATATATTCAATTTATATATATAAACAAACAACAATTACCTTAGCAATGACATCTGGTGATCCACTATGCAACAATTCAGTAAATGGCGGGATTAATTCGCTCATATCAGGAAAAAGAGTAAGAATTTCATGATAAGAGGCGGCAATCGACATCCGAACATCCTCATCTGAACAATAATTCTTTCAATTCTCTTTATCTTAACGTTTTATACCAGGATCGGTGCAGAACATCTCAACGAATGGGGCCAAACGATCTACACGTTTTTTAAACATCATCATCATGCACTATAAAATAGAATCTTTAGATTTATATTGCCTTAGTGCATCGAAACTAACCGGCAAGTTGAAAACACATGCTCTTTTGAGAACCATCCGAATATTTCTATCGCCTCCTTCGCATTTTTCATTCGAGATATTTACAATTTTGCAATATGCGTTCAACATCCACGATTTGTCAAGTTGATCGAGAATATCATTCAATTCCCAGCACCATTTTCCAAAATTTCGCATAATTGCAATCAGCGATTCGTCTTTCTTCTCAAGACTCTGCTCGGTTAGTTTTTTAATGGTCGAAAACAATGCATGCTTCTTGGCATCTGGCAAGTAGTTATTGGTCATGAAACTCAGTGAAACCTTATGTAAAACCTTTAGTGAAAAGCGAAAGAGATTCGGTTAGACTGTTCATCGCAGCTTCTTTCACGTTAATCTCCTCATCGGGAAGCAACTGCATGTAGCAAGGCAGCAAGCACGATACAACATCGCGAGGATTTCTGGAAACTCGATTTTTAACTGTTTGCATTGAATTAAGCGAAACTTTAATGCTTTCGCTACCAGAGCGAGCTTTTGAGCAATCGCTACTCTCACATTCGAGTTCGCGTCTTTACATAGAGTTGCGACGATTGGGCATATTTCTTTGCGGATTCTAAACATTGATTTCTTTTAAAAATTAAATCCATTTTATATTTCGCATACTCATTTTCCGGCAAAATCGCGCCTAATTTGTTAATCATTTTTGTGGCGATAATCCTTCTCTGAACTCGTTGAACAGGATCTGCTTGGTGTTGAAGAACGGGTATCACCTAAATTAAGCATTTAAAAAATTAATTATTAAAATAGTGAATCTCACAAATTGTTTTATAGATGATACCGAAAGTCGATCAGCTATATCGACAATTGTCTCGAGCCAAGCAGTTGCGCTCACTGAAGAATTAGAGATTACAATTTGACAAAAAAAATCGGGCAAACCTTTGAATTTTACTCATTAGCTCATATTCACGCACACATGTTAATGTGGTTAAGAATTAACAAAATAGATCACACAAACGTACAATGATGCACTTGATGAGCTGTGGCGCGGATCACAACTTTATCCTTTTCTTGAGTTTCTGGAAATTTGTTAAAATGGACAAAATGTCAATATATACATGCATAGAGGATAGATAATATCAGATTACGAATTTTAAAAAACGCTTACGGTGTTCTTTCTGATTTTGAATATTTTGTAGAATATTGTCCAGTATGGTGTCAATGAGTCCACTAAACTTTTTGACAAGCTTCTCGTTTTGAATTACAGATTTATAAATAACAGCAGCCTCGCAATGTAAATCCAAGTTTGATTTATCATTTTTTAAACATTCCTGCAAAAAATTTTTGGCATTTATAAAATTATATATATATATATATATGTCGTCATACTTGAATAGCTGGTAGCATTTTCTGGAGGCATTCCTCACCATCAGATGAGTCAAGAATATCCGGAAATGAATGAATTGCAGAAATTTGCTTAATTTCTTTTCCAGTTCTTAAATAAGCAAAGTTTACAGCAATTTTATGGAATGTCCTTACTCTAAATTTATCAGTGCTTCATCTAATGGGCTTCTTAATAAGTCTTCAAGATCTGGATCTTCTGCCATTTTGAAGATTTTATCAAAATCGAGCCTGACAACAGGAGCCTCATTATTTTCTTGGCCGTCGATATTGTCCTTAAAACACTTTTTTTTAAATAAATGAATAATTTAAAAAAGTTTATTTAAAAAGTGAATTCACCTCGGTAAACTTATCGCGCGAAACAGTGGCGAAAAAATAGAAAACATTTTTTTCTTTTCGTGAAAGCGGTGAGACAGTGTAACCTAGCTGTTTTGCTAAAAACTGAAAAAAACTCTGGTAAATGATTCCCAGTCGTATACGAAAAAGCGAATTTCTTCATCGTATAAGATAAAATTAAAATCGCCATGTTTTGCACGATGAGTTTACTGACAACTTGTGATCTCACGTGAGTAGTAATCCCATTTGGCGTAAAATTGGGTCAACTCCGTAAGTTTAAGACCTGGTGTACTCACTAATTTGCAAATTCGAAATTTTTAATTTCAAAGAAATCCCACCCCCTGTGTTTCTAATTTTTTTGCATAAATATAATAAATACCATCGCGAATAAAGAGCACCATGAGCATTTGTGAAAGACCGCATTTTTTCCAAGTGGTAATTCAATATATTCGAATACAGTTAACCTGCACATCAAACATCTTAAATCGGCGAAGGGTGCTCTTTTTTGCAATTGAAATATATTTTTTCTCAATATAAATACGTATCGGTTTTTAATTAGGGTGTAAAGAAGATTTTTTTTACAGTACCTCTATATCGACGTTGTTATCACGATCCATATCTGCTGCCGCTACCATTGATACAATTTTTCTGGCTTCTGAAAAAATAGAGCTAGAAAAAGTTTGTCATGCATTAATAGATAACGGGTCAAATATGTACAAAAAAGAATTAAATATATTTCACGTTGTAAAAAAATGAGCAGATTGAAATGTATTCTTGGTTGCGTAGACTAATTTGTAAATAGAAACTGATATTGTGGTATGCGTTTGATCTTTTCTTTAATAGTTGTGATGCCAACGAGAAACAACATGAAAAAATTCAGGAGGCGATGGAACTTCTAAGATCGAATAGCGAGAAGAGAAGAGCAATAAGTCGGGAGCAGCTGGCAACGGGATTCCGTCGAGAGACACACACAAAATGCCAGACGCAGGTAGTTCAAAACTCTCGCGGGGGTGTAAAATAGACTGGAATTGGGATATTGAATTGGGGAAAAGAAAAAGATAATGGTCGAAAGGTGAGACCATCGGAGATGCATCAAAGAAATAAAGCATAACACGGTGGTGACTTTAAAATCTCAAGAATTCAAAGAGCACATCCACGATATCCCGTGTGTGCGTGCGTGTGTGTGTGCGTATTCGCGAACACCCAATCAAATAACCAGTTTGACACGATAAAACACGAGTTCAAATGGAAGGAGCCAAAACTTTGAAAATTATTCAAATAGTGCATTCATTTTTTTTAATTGGAACCAGGAAGTGATTTATCCAATTTCCGCTCTTATCAATAAATTAAAAACATGGTCATCTATGTTTTGGAATCATACTGATCAAACCATGATGATAAGTGTTATCAAGAAATTGTCTTGGTCACTCAATCGTAGGACAACACAACACTCAATTTCTGCCTCAAAATTGTGTAATTTGTTTCCGAAACTTGTGCCAATTCGCCTCGTGTCCATCGAGACGTCGTAATATATCTATTAAAAGTGTTCGCCAGCGATTGACCGCTGTCTTCGACCCGCGTCCTTGCGTTTTTTCTTCTCTCCTCGATTGTAACATCACCCATAAGATAGAAATGCTCAACATTTAACCTATTTAAATTGTTTCCAGTATGCTGTGTACAAAAATTCATCGAGTCGTTTGCAGTTCGACACAGAAATTTGCCGCGTTTCAGAAGGATTTTCAGCGAACCTACAAGGTATCATTTCTCTTAATTTTAATGTTTAATTATATTAATAAAATATTATCAAGTGTTCAATGATAGTTCGTCGAGTTAAAATTTTTTACTTTAATTAATTTGGGTGGACTAGTTTAATTGTGTGGCCTCCATTTTTGGAATCGACATTATCTCGGCCGCCAAGTGTTACCTTCTCTACATATTTATTAATACAAGAAATACTTAGGTAAATGAAAATCAATCATATTCGAAGAAAAATGAAATATAAATTAACCTGTTTTGATTGAAAAATAATTCAAATTCAATTATGAAAACGCTTAAATTCGATTTGAAATCTTGGTTTCGAATCAAAAATCTTCGAAATCGATTGATTTATTTCTCAATTTCAATTTTATAAATCGTATTCGATTGAAATTTTGGAATAATTCGAAACAGATTAATTTACATTCGATTTAGATTGAAAAGAAATTATTTTCGAATCCGATTGATTTTCATTTACCTGAGTAATTATATTTTTTATTACAATTAAACTTGTTAACGTCTAAATTTTATATAAATTTAAAAGTTTTTTTTTAATGTTTAAACTGTCCGAAAATATTGGGGACCAGAATCAGTCGCCACATGACCCAACTCATTTTCTGCATTATTATCATGATTATTTTATTCAGTTTAATTTCGCGAATGAATTTAGTTTAATCACAATTTTCATGGAAATATCTTGATTTTTTAAATCAATAAACTAAAATACAAAAATGAAAAGAAAACCCTCAATGTTTTTATTCGATAAAGAAAGGCGCACCCAGTATGTCTTGCAGCTACTGATTTTGGTGACCACTGTTTTTAGAAATAAGATAGGTTGTTTTCGAAAACCAAATTGTAATAGTATCAGTGTTGTCGCCTCCATTATCAGTATATAGGTTGTTTGCCCTAGTTCTATGTGACCATTGTTCATTTTCTTTCGAGATCTATTCAATATACCATTCTCAATTCATTGTTATTTAGCTATCTACCGTCACCATGTCGTCGATTCCACCACCACAGTCGCTTCTTAAAGAAATGAATGTTCCACCGCGTCAGCTTTTCGGACCCGGGCCATCAAATATGGCTGATTCGATTGCTGAATCTCAATCGAAATCGCTTCTTGGACATTTGCATCCCGAATTTGTTCAAGTAAATCATCTTTAAAGGCTTTAATAAGATATTATTTGATATAGATTATGGCTGATACACGCTTGGGAATTCAATACGTCTTCAAAACTAAAAATGCGTATACCTTCGCGGTCAGTGGAACTGGTAAATTATAAATTATTTCATGGGTAATTATATAAACTATTTAAGGGCATGCTGGAATGGAATGTGCTCTGGTGAATCTATTGGAAAAAGGAGATCGATTTTTGGTTGTTGATATTGGATTGTGGGGAAAACGTGCTGCTGATTTGGCGGATAGGTTTTTGATCAAATCTATTTTAAGTATAAATTACCTTTTTTGATTTCAGAATGGGAATTGATGTGCGGAAGATTTCTGCCGATAACGGCAAAGCAGTACCAACGAACGAGATTGTCAAAGCAATCAGCGAGTACAAGCCTCATCTGGTTTTTGTCTGCCATGGAGAAAGTTCGACCGGCGTCGCTCAACCATTGGATAAAATTGGAGATGCTTGTCGTGAGCATGACGCCTTGTTCCTTGTGGATACGGTACTGTGTTGCATATTGGTGGTTAATATTTAAATTATTTTTTAGGTTGCTTCCCTTGGTGGTGCCCCATTCGATGCCGATGAATTGAAGGTTGATTGTGTGTATTCAGCAACACAGAAAGTGCTGAATGCGCCGCCCGGACTAGCTCCTATCTCGTTTTCTGATCGAGCAATGTAATTTTGTTTTGCGTTTTTCAAATTACAAATAACAAGCGTTGCAGGACTAAAATTAGAAATCGTAAACAACGCGTTGCCTCGTTTTATTTTGATGCACTTGAATTGGGCAACTATTGGGGGTGTGATGGAGAATTGAAACGGTATATAAAAATTGATTATTTAAAAAATGAATAAAATAAGACGTTTGCTATTAGGTATCATCATACTGCACCAATTTCAACTGTTTATGCACTTCGCACTGCCTTACAAGTCGTCGCAAAGGAAGGAATTGACGAAACAATCAAGAGACACAAGGAGAATGCAAAAATTCTCTATGATTTGTTGAAAAAGCACAACTTGGAGCCATTCGTAGAAGACGAGGCATGTTTTTATGCACAATGCGGTCAACTTTTGCGTTTTTTCAGAGCATTCGTCTTCCCTGCCTAACTACTGTCAATGTTCCAGAAAATGTTGACTGGAAAGATGTTGCTGGAGAACTCATGCAAAACGGAGTTGAAGTATTCCAATAATTCTAACTTTGTTTACAATATTTGATTTACAGATTGCTGGTGGACTCGGTGCCACAGTCGGAAAGATTTGGAGAATCGGCACGTTCGGATTGAACTCAGATCGTTCTAAAATTGAAAATGTAGTTAAGCTTCTGGCGTCTGCCGTTGACAAAAGAAGAGCAAAAATTTAAATACAGTGATTTTCATTAATTTCAGCGCGTTGTTCTTTTAAGTTTTTTGTAGTTTTATATACTCACATATTTATTGCGTTTCCACTTAAAAATTAACAATGAATTGTTGTAATTGTATAGATAAGATCGTTAACAGAAATGTGAATATTTACAGTGGATTGAAAAGGGACCGGGAATTAACAAAAAATAATAGTGAAAGACATTTAGATGATTATTATTAGTATCACGTTGAAGGAATTCGAAACAAAGAATGTATGAGATGATAAAGCAAGTTCGTTTCATTAAAGTCACCCTTCATCTATTATTTAGAGGGGTTTTTGATAGTGTGAGAAAAAAATTCAAATTCCTACACCATGCTATATAAGGAAAACAATGAGGAATGGCGGACAATAAAAGTGTGTGATCTACTCGTATTGAAAACGAAAATAGAGGTTATGTCGACCTCACGGATTCCCGTGTTTTTGGCGTTTTCGAGGATTGTCGTCGTCTTCGATTTTTAGGATTTTTCGGCAGATTTCAATTGGAGTTCCGAGTCAACCGGCGGAATCGGTTTGAGTGTGGTCTTGGTTGGTGGCGACGAAAGGAAAAGCCGCTCGAGATTAAGAGCTGGCAATTCGCTAACCATACTACAAATCACCGCGAAAAAGTAGGTTATGATGAGCTGCACGAAACAATGAATGAAAAGTGGGATTTGAGTCGAGTAGTAGATTGGGAATGGAACCAACATGTATGTTAGCACAACCGGAATCATGTGGAACAGGTAGGCCTGCAAAATATTGAAAGTCGAATCATGCAGATTGACATTTTTGGTACAGAACTCACCGAATAGCTTAGGTTGGCCAATGGGAGCAAAACGTTTGCGGAAAGGATGGCGTTGATAATTCCACCGACTCCAGTATGGCAGGCATAGATCAACAAAGCGATTCCGATAGAGAAAATATCCCTTAAAAATAAAATATCAATTATAAGCAATTTTTAGTTTAGTTCGAATAGTGAATATCCGACTAGATCAACGCATTCCCTGCGATGTCGCGAAATAAATTTCACCTGCAAAATTACTATCAAAGTAATTTGCGAGAAAATTGATAATTTAATTGGCATCGAATGGTTACCTATAGAAAGCTCCGTAGAGTAAATGGTAGACTCTCCACGCCATCGTGTCCCATCCTTGAAGAGCTGGATATAATCCATAAAGCCCAAATCCAATAAAAGTGCAAGTGGCGATCCAAAGGGTCACTGTAAATATTGTAGATAAATAGTACTAACAAAATTATAACGATAATACCAATGTATTTCGAACTTGGTTGCGTCTTGACAGGAATTCTTTGATATCTAGCAAGTTGATAACCAAGAAGGATACCAATAATATATGGGCCAATGCGGTATTGCGGTTTAATGTAGAGTTCAAGATGATGCTGAAAATCAAATAAATTCAAGAATGTTTCGTTTTAAATAATACCTCGATAAAGTTTGGATTGAACATTTCAGGTTGTTTCCACAAAAATTGCGTAGGAGGGAAGTTGTTGCGAATAATTGATTCGATATTGAAACCAGCCGATGCAAGAATGGTCACGACGCACAAAATCTGAATATTATAAGTGAAAGTGTTTCTAATTGTGGTTTTATTCTTACAAATCCGAGCTTCGGGCTCTTGCGAAGAAAAAGTAGGAAAATTGGCGAAATTAAAAAGTAAATGAACTCAGTTCCAATATACCATGTCCAAGGCATACACTGGTTGTTAAGGATACTGTTAACAAAGAAAATATTCTGCCACCAATATTTTGGACATTGGACAGCTGGATCAGTTGGTGGCCACATTGGGTGGAAATGAGTGATCTGGAATACCTCGAATACCATATCAACAAATTGCTAGACGACATACGGAAATTCTAAGGGTTACAGCTGTCAGCGTATAGATATATGCTGGATAAAGACGAACAAGACGATGACGATAAAATTTGAGCCATGCTCTCCAAGAGGTCCAACTCGGCTCTTCTGTTGTATTTTTGAGCCATTTTCGGAACCAACTATATGATAAAACAGTTCCACCAAGAGTCAAAAACACATCGACAGAAAGGGTGAAGTTGGTGATCCATTGATTGAAGAAGTTGTTCACCATTGACTCTTTGAACTCTTCGACATTCTCCATATAAGCTTGCACAAAAATGAACGAATGTCCGATCAGAGTCCAAACCATTGAACCAAATCGAAGGCCGAGAAGACATGTGATACAACTCTGATTAAAGTTTTCAATATTTTCAATCGGATGTTTCGTTTTGATACCTGCGGATCTTTGGGCAACTCAATTAGTTTCTTGATATTGGTTTTTGCTGAGAAAGCAAGAAGACACTTTGCCGACCACGACCTAAACCAACGTCATTTCCAAAAAAACAGAAGTGACACCCTTACTTGACATCATTTCCCCTCATGTTATGGAAGATAGTGGCCATGACGACGATCATGGCAAGACACATGTTGAAGCCAAAATCGGCAATTGGGACGGGTAGTTCAAACCATTGTTTTTCGTGTCGAGACCGTGTGCATGCGGTAAAAGTGATCTCATCTTTCACTTCAGGATGCGTCATTTTTCTCCATTCAATTAGTAGCTGTAATTTCCTTTTTTCGTATTTTTTTTTTCAAAATTATTAAGTTGATTACCTTTTTGTTTTCGTCAGCACATGGCGTCGGAATGCACACTGAATATGCGGGAGTTTTTTTGTAATGATCGTCATCGTGTGTATAACAATAATGCATTGGATGTTCGCTTTTCGAGTAAACGGTTTCTCCGGCGGACAGGAGGCATTCGTAACCTAGAGTAATCTCAATTTCGTTTTTTTTTCTTAACTTGAATTTTACCTTTGTAAACCCATCGATCTTGATCCCTGGACAAAAACAAATGATTGGGTCCTGTAGCGAAAGACTCGAAGTAGCAAATCTTCTGATCGGTCAGAGTTTCAATATCGTTTAGATAATCATATACCTGCAAGTGAAAATTAATTATAAACCGGATCATAATGAATTAAAAATATTGCAAATGATTTTTATTTTGCCAAAACTCGAAAAAAAACCAACCAAAGCGAGGCTTTGCTTGCACTTTGGACTCAGATCCAATTGTTGTGATCGATTAATGAATTTCAAAATAAATGCTTCATCGTATTCCTCCAAACCGGCCGAAACGCTTGATATAAATAATATCAGGTATAACCCAAGTAATCGGATCATCTGAAATTATGAGAAACAATAATTATTATTATTACTATAGTAATTGAATGAAGAATGAGGTCGAAACATGAAAGTTGACTTCTTAATTGAGGAGGATTGGATCGGAGAGAAAGTAAGGGTTGAGCGATTTTCGGCGCGGGACCCACTCACACCATTCGCTTTCGTGATTTTATACATATTTGGTGGGCACGGTGACATGACACAGAATTATGGTGTGAGAACTGGATTTGAAAAAAAAATTAGTAGAACGAGAAAGAGAAGAAGACGAAGACAACTGATTGAGAATCAAGATAAACAGATCACGGTCGGCTGGGCCGACATGGCCTGCCAGACCGGCGGCAATGGTTCCTTGTGTTTTTCAGAAGAACATTTGTTTTCCACTGACCAGACATTTAAAGATCGAAGAAAAAAAAAGTGTGAGTGTAATTTTGGGGAAAACGTTGGAAGGGATGTTTGATTTTTGGGGAAAACAATAAATAACGATTAATAGTGCTAATGGAAAACGAAATTATCAATGAGGGTCACAGCGTGTAATCGGGTTCAATAGGAAATGAAATCAGAAGAAGGCCTTTGTTTAATAAATCTATATTTTATATATTACTGTCGACATCAAACTATTGAAAGGGGCGGGGCTAGGGGAGGAGGTGTGTTTTTTCCGGCGAAAGCAGTGTAGATTTACGAGACGCATGACAAATAAATTCATTCACAATGAAACGCACGATGCACTAAACACGGTGGAAGCGAGCTCATTTAATTTTAATTTTTAATCAGCTGGTTGGCATTCGGAAAGGTGTCAAAGTAGATCAAAACGGAATTCTATTGAAGATTTATTTTTTTTAGGGATCGAAATTTATAGGGATCGTAATGAATAAAAATCATCATCAAATTGAAAGAAATTGACGATTTTTCTTGAGAAAAACGTTTGTAACGTATAACCGTTATTTTTATTGAAACCAAACTCCAAATTTGATTTAAAGCGCTCGTATTAGTTTGGTTTTGTTGTTCCGATATTTTATAAAAATACCTACGGAATACAGAATATTTATATGTTGTTTCGAGCAGAGAACATTAGGGAAAAGTGGGTTTGATAGAAATCTCAAAATGAAAAAAATGGGCAGATCTTGTGGAACACAAGTCCGGAGGCCGCCGATTAGTTGAAATGACTTCTTATTTTATACGGCGCCTATCAATCCATCATTTCAACCAACTTAATCATATTCAACGTTTTTCGATTGGTATCACGTACGTGGACGAGATCGTCTGGTCGTTGCCCTTGCACTTTACTTTACATTTAAATTAGATAGATAGATAGAGATAGATTTTGCGATCAGAATCGTAGATATTTGCAATATTTCGAAATAGGTTCAATGTAAAAAACGAGCCAAATATGGAATGAGTGGAACGAACAATTGATTTGAATTCGGATTGATAAACATCAAAAAGATTGAAATCAGTCTCGGTGTCGACACCAAAAAACAACTGGAATTCACACCTGATGATCATAATCGACAAGTTCCACTTGTTGATTGCTTTTCGTTGTTCAATTGATAGACTGGTTTCAGAGTTTTCTCATCAAAACTACTCATGTCATAGTTCAAAGTTAATGTTTTACACAATGACTCATTTCAGAATCGGAAACTGGATACTTGTTGTAACTAACCTACGGTTAGAGATTCTCTAAAATCCAAACTGCAATCTGACTGACAGGATTGAAACAAAAGTGGAGCTAATGAAACAAAATTTTTATAAATTTATATTAGATTTCTCTGAAGTGCTTAAAGTGGATAAATACTGAGAGGCAGGATCAAACTCTTCTTATATAAACAGCTGAACCCAAGGCTGGATATTGTTCCACCATTGAATACAAGGTCGCCACAAGTAGACAAGGTCTCGAGGATTTTCAAGAAACAATGCTTTAAGCACTTCGATCAACACTCATTCAAAAGAATTCGAGTGTTGGAGATCGTCTTCTGGATAAAAAACTGGAAGTTTTCAACTGCTGAACTGACCATGAAAAACTTGATAACTTGCTAGAAGCAAATATTAAAAGAAATGGTTATTCGCGTGAGAATGATTTTCGGAAAAAAATGAAAAGACGAAGGCATTTTTAATAATGGTCAACACAAACGATATTCCGGAACTCTACATGTATCATCCAATATTTGTCCTTCGCTGAAGCCAATATTAAACTGTGTCGTCATAAAAATGAATTGGTGCTTTGAACCATCATTCGGAAGATGTTCATTTCATGAAATTAAACACAAAACAATTCAAATGACGGATAAAAACAAATTAATTTCAAAATGAAATTGATGTCATTTACACTTCGATTCGTAAAAAAACGAGCTATTGCAAAATGGTGAGATTGGCTTTTGGAAATGGATGACAAGCTGGAATTTTGTCGGCAAAATTTGAACTCGATATCGAATTAGGAAATCCAGATTTTTTTTTGAAGAACGTTAACTTCAGAATCAAACTTCTGGTGAACAGAACTTGTAATGTGGACAATCAAACACAACGATGATCTGGTAATTCAACAATAAATACATATCATTGGAGTTCCAGTTTGATCACTACGTCCAGCTAGTGTAACTTGCAACGCTGACCAGTTCATTAATCAATCTCCACTATCACAACTATCGATTATTCCAAACTCGTTTCCTCCACCAAATGTCCACTCAGCCCGGCAGTCAGTCAGGCATTGTTAGACAAACCGGATAAAACGCTCAAGTGCAACGAGAGAAATGGTTCGCGACGGCTATCAATGACGGTAGGAAATGGTTGAAACACTCATAATCGATACGAGAACCGAAATGAATTGAATAAATGCGAAATAGGCGATGAGGAGTAGAACGACGAATACGATGAAATCCTTCTTCTCTTTGTCGCCAATCTCTTGATCGACCCCTTCGAATCGACGAAGAAGGCAACGACGAAAGTGGTGAATGGAGAAAACGAGAGAGAGAGAGAGAGAGAAGGAGAGAACTGTGCGAAGATTTCCTCGAATTTGTCCTAAAAGCGAAAGTCTTCGAAGCGAGAATCCCGCGCGTGAATCCCCTGACGCGAAGCCAAATAAACAATAATGATCCAAGATTCGAGCCTACAATTCACGATAAGCTAGATTGTAGCCACAACTGGTCGAATCAAAAGCTTCGACAATTCAAAAATACACTTTTAATTGAGTCTACTATCTAAAATAACGCTGCTCAAGTTAACACATAAATATGTTTTTCTTTTCAAAGTTAAACGATTTTTCGTTTTTTTTTTTTTTAAATTTGCTGTTATATTTCTATGTATTGTCGGCGTCAAACGACTGAAAGAATAAAATGTGCGTACGCTATAATGCAATGTACGTAGTCTTGCGTACTTCTCGCCGATTTACGGTGATTTAGCTTCGCAGGTTATCCAGAGTACGATATCCGAATGTGTTTAAATACGAATTTGAATTACCGCCTCGAAAAAGTGTGATGGTCCACAATAATGCAAGGCGCGAGTTTTTTTTTTCCCGATGATAATATTTAATTTATCAACAAATATTTACCGGACACGACATATCGGAAAAGATTCCGAAAACATTTCGAAAGGAAATACAACAGAAAGCTGCTTTTGAACAACATGGTTTTTATTCGGTGAATTGATAAGTGTTAGTTGACAAATTGTAGAATAGTGTTTGCTGAATTCAGGTAACACATATTTAAACCAAAGTTCATCGGATGATAAAGGTTGGCGAAATTGGTTTCTCGACAAGAATCTGGCTAGCCTACAGCCGAAGCGGCTGAATCATCTACCGGCAATTTAAAGCCTAAATTGACCATAAAATGAAAACTGACGTTTGTTGCTGAAACCAGTCCGCCCTTAATAAAAGTTTCCATACACAAACAGTCTCAAGCAAAGATCCTCGTTGTAATTTACAATTAAATATCGATGTTTGGTGTTCGCTAGACAATATTTGATGGTGTGATAATCGCAACGATTTCAGGGTCATTCTCGTTTAATAAATAACAAAGATCGCCGCGATGAACTTGTCTCGAGACAATCGCCGTGCAAAAATACAAAAAGTCAAGCTATTTTGATGCGGCGTTAAGCAGGATAAGAGGACACAAGATAGTGAATAAATCGGCATTGGGTGGCTGCAACAGTCATGACAGCTAGACCCACTCGCAGCGCGGACATTCTCTAATCGCAATGGCCCCATTTTCTGCCGCGCATCCCGCGTACGGCGGTCATTGTCTGCGTCTGACCGTATGTTGCATTTACCCGAAACCCCCAGCCAGCCGTAGATGACACGAGCCTCTCTATTCCGGACAAAACCATTTATGCAAAAACGAAACGACAAGTGTAACAAATATGAGTTTGCACTCAATAACAAAACCCGAGATCGGAAAATGAAAGATTTACATTTTGTACATTATATGGAATTCAGACCTATATACAAAAAATTATGACGTTCGGCTAGTTGAATATATACAAAACAATATTCCAATTATCGAAGTTTCGTCATTCGTATACCAACGTGTGGACTCGGACACCTTGATTCGTCAATTGGAACATCCGAAATTAATGTGCGGTTTCGAGACCTTGATATCCGGGAGAAGACGCCTTTTCTGAAATGATCGAAACATTAATTCACACAAATGTGTCTCGCAATACGTCATGCTGCTCTTGCAAAAAATAACGGGACAGTTTTACTTTTATTTTGCTTATTCGAGTGAATTAAAAATTTAAATAATCAATCTTTTTTTTTCTCAAATTGCATAATTGAACTTATAAAAGATTGTGTTTAACCGCAGAGAATTGAATTAATTCGGAGAAGTCATAAATATTGGAAAGTGTATGAGAACCATTCAATTTTGAATTTCTCAAAACCTGATCAATTCTTCTGCTGTAATTGGATTGGGCCACAATGCAATTTCTCAATGGGGGTTTAATGGGTTTAATTCTGTCACATTCCTTCATTCAAGAAAAAATAATCGTCGACGTTCATGCAATCGAATGAACATGAGCGCGATGTGCAAGTGATTTCTCACACCACAGTCAGTGCAACACAACGTTACCCGTCTAAACGATTTCTTCGCGAAAAAATCGCCGAATTAGCGGAATGTAAATTTTCGTATTTTTCGATTTCATCTCGCTGGAATGCTATATTTGAAGAATGCGCTCGGCGAATTTCACTAGAGGCAACCAATCAAAATTACCTGCAATGCAGCACATCTGAAACCGCGGTTCTGAATCTCTTCGAAAGGAACGCATAGAGAATCGGATTGATCGCCGATGAGACAAATAAGCAAATGTAGGAAAATGGCTGAAGTAGACTACTCCAATGCGACATACAACTCACGCTTGTCGACCAACTCTGCATTTTTTTTAAATAAAAATTGATTTGAGGATAATTTGGAACCGAATAAATCAGGCGAGCATGATGAGGAAATGTGAAGAGTCCGAACGAGAGCACAACTGCGAACAAAAGCCGAACCACCTTGAATATTAATATTCGGATTCGAAACAAGACAATCATGATCATCAACCTTCCTCCTTCCCTCCACATCTTTCGGCTTCTTCGGCTCTCGCTTCCGCTCATTCGGTACTTGCAACAGACTCTCCGGTTTGTAGACAACAACTCGACCATTTGCCATTTGCCAACTATTTCCAGCACTTCCTTGAGAATCTCAAAACATTCACATTACCCAAGGTAATGCATGCATTAGAATTGTAACAATGTTTACACGACTCCCTTTCGATTCAGAAAATAGTTGGGCGAATTCGAAGGGAAAATAAATAGTTCAGAATTCGATGTTTTTCAAGTAAAAAATGAAATTTGAAACAGAAAATTTGCATTCTGAGATGCTAAAATGGAAAATTGAATCCATGTCGAAGCAATCTAATTTCATGATCGTGTTGGGATACCTACCGCTGCTCGGCCTTGTGCTCGTATGACTACTTCCCGTCGTCCATAACAACAATCCAATTTTCGAGTAAATGATCGTCAATATGATAAATGGTATGAAGTACCATACTACGAAAGATACCGTAATCCAATACGGCATACTGTAATGTGATTATAATCAATAATTTTGTTGTTGCTTTTCTATAAATAATTTTACGGTGTCCTCGTGCAGGCATTGTGTTCGCCGAACGTGTACATTTTTGCATAGTAGAAGAATGGGAAGTTGATGAGAACACTTCCGATCCAGATGCTGATTGTGACGATCAATCGAAGGCGATGCGTCAACACTTTCAAAGCTGTTAACGGATGTAAAACAGCTGAAAATTGTTGAGAATTGTTGAAAATTATCTCGAATTTCGTCAACTCGCCAATGTATTTCTCGAGCGAAACACACACGAGAATTCCAACGCTTGTGCACGGGACCATGTGCAAAATAGCGAGGTACATTCTGCACAAAAGCTCGCCCAATGGCCAGTTTCCATGATCGAATCCCACAATATGGATCATATTTTGAAGAATACAAAATACTGCGACGAGGAGATCGGCAGCCGCTAAATTGGCGAGAAAAAAGTTGGTCGCCGTCCTCATCAGAGGATGGGTTGTTATCACGAGTATCGTGAACATGTTTCCTGAAAAAGCAATGAATTAGACGAATGTCGAGAATCAGAATTTCTAGATTATTTCTATTTTCGCTCTATTTGACTAACCGAGAAGGCAAACCGTGAACACGGTGATGTAGATTGCCATGATTGGATACTTGATGGCCGGTTGATCGATGAGCGAAACTGCGCATTCTTCATCCTCCCAAAGATTAGCCGCCGTCGAGTTATTCCACATGATACACCGAGTTGTGGAAATAGTTGGGCGCTTTAGAAAAATTGAAATGAAATGCGATATAAGGTGTCGTTTGAAAAGAGCAAACAATCCGAATTGAACGCCGGAAAAGAGGCCAATTCGACCCATGTGACTGACACGACAGTCAGATGAACAACACTTAATGAAATTGTGCGGATGCGTTGAAAAAAAAGTGAAATTTGATTAATGAGAGATTTCAATCCAAAATTGCAAAGGGATTTAGTGAAATTAATGTTGGACTGGTCTCAGAATCACAAGGTTCAACCAATTTTGTGTTCAGAGAAAAATATTTCCAATAGAAAAAAAACTATTTGTTGGAATTGTTGCAAAATATTAAAATCAAAAATTTCAAATTTCCATGTAGTTTTCAATATTCAATACTTATTAACGTTGTTCGATAATCACAGAATTATGGGACTTCGGAGGTTCTTCAAATGATGAGGAAGCAAGCTCTTAACAAGAATGTTGGGCTCAGTGGAGTCAAAACAACGAATCGCTTTCGACCAGATATTCTCAGCTTCCGTCCTTATTTTAAAAAGAAAATATAAAAGAATAAATCATAAGAAAGACATGTTTTCGAGCGAATAAATTGGCTTTATTATCAGAATTGGTGGAATTTAGAACACGGACCAAACATTCTTGCATGAGCATAAAAATTGTGTGATCTGAGGTTAGTGTGTGATCATTGGCATTGAATGTTTTATCATAAATTGTGCAGTTTCTGAATATGTAATCAAACTCCGCCCATTTTGTTCTATATACTGTGCTATGTGATTGTGTTTTAGACATATAGCACCATTTGTGTGCTCATAAATGTCATTTCAATTAACTAAAAATGACGAAACCAAAGCACAGTCACAGCGAAAGTATTCGCCAATAAAGTGCAGCCCGCTTTTTTTTTGAATAGTCTGATTAGTGAATTTTTGAAGAAAAACTACCACAGGTTAGTGTGGAAACTTTGAAAATAAATGTCACATGAAGTGATACTCATAAAAGCTTTCCATATCGGGTCAAAAGATCATTTTAGCCAATCATTATACCTATTACTCATATTTAATAGTTGTATTTTTTTTTACTTATATTCGCGGATTTTCAACAATATTTTTGTTTAATATTAGAGCGTTTGCTGATGATGTTTTTAGTGTCATAACGAATACAGTAAAACGCAAAAATGAGTTGGTTTGAAACGAAAATACCGGCCTATCAACAAAAGTACAGAAAGGCACAAAAATAAATATAAAATTTGGGGGTGCAACACGTGGTTTTTATGGAAAAAACATGTTCAGCAATTAAGTCACATCAATATGAATGCACGTGAGATTTTTTAACGAGCAGAACGATTTTATTGATTTTAGAATTTGAAATGAACTGTTTGAAGAATGGATAATCTCAATGCCAACAAACCAATAAGCATCAAAATAGTGAGGCGGTCGTTTGAAGCAGCTGAATACTTGGGAAAAAATGAGTCGATTTGAAAATTGACTTCTGAACGAGAAAACCGCAGATTTAATCGAGAAACCAGGAAAAAGGCGGAAATCTAGAGTGTGTTAATTTTGTACTGATAAGAGCATAAGATAAGAAGTTGAAAATAATTGATGGGTTTCGTTTTTTTTTACTCTTAATCATCAGAATAGAGTATATTAATTCGAAAAAGGAATTTCTCAAATTTCAATAATTAAAGTAATTTAAATGAACATTTCAAATGAATTATTATTATTCACATTCATCTTTGGCTTTTTGATTCTTCAAATTTAATGAATATTTAAGAAGTGTGCCTTTAAGTCTGGTCTCGCAGAGAAGGAATGAGTTCCCAGTGGGGGCTTGCAATCATACCAAAAAAGGTAATTTTCAAAATTCTTCGTGAGTTTAAATTAAATTTTGAAATTAATTCGTTTTATGATTGAGTTGTCGAATGACAGTTACGATGTCCTAATAATTAGCAATTAAATCAAATCCTTATCACCCATTCAGTTTGAACTACAAGTTTTTCATATCGCTAGAATACGAAATAGTATGATGAATTGAACTCGAAATGAACTTCGAGAATGTCTTTAATAAAATCTGTTTGGTTTTTACTATATCAATTAGAAAAAACATAGAATTTGAATCAATTCGACATCAGAAAAGTGCATTGGAGGTTGTGCAATTCGAAACTTGAGAATGAGCACTTTAAATGGAAATGAGAGTAATTGAAGACAATCATAATTTATTCGAAAAACCAATTCGATATCTGATTTCTCAGTCGTCGTTCTTCTATTCCTGACTGACTGTGGCATGCATTCAACAGACATAATTTCGTATCGAATTTCAATGTTTGACAGCAAAAATGCGGGCGTCGGGTGGGTGAAACTGAAGTCTAGAAAACCATTGGAATGTTTTATTTCTTGCAACGAATACTTCTATTTACAATTGAACAAATATAGATCGAATGGGGAGATGACAGAAAAATAATCGAATGAGAGAATTTGAGATAAAATACCATTATTAGCATTATGGTTTACTTCTTCTTTTGGAAACGCTTCATGATCTTCTTCACATTCTGCAGGTAAAATTGTTTGGTGTGCGGATGAACAGGAATATCGAAAATAATCGGGGCATTCTGAAAGAGATGATCAATTTTTCAGCGATTCGTTGTGCTTCTGTTTGTTTGGAAACCTTCAAATCAAGATTTTCATTGCACAGGCAACAGTTAATGAACTTGGTGTATCCATCTGTAGTGCACCCATATCCTTAAATGGTATCACCGAAATTTGAATATTTCAATGCATTAAACGGAACCTTCATGAATATGAGAGAACACGTGATACTTGGGTTTGACTCTCTTGAACACCGTGTTCAACAATTCGACACATCCCATCCTCTGTCCATTCAACATTTGATCTCCATGACCTGTGAACCATTTCAGATAATGAATGTGTGTTTGGCTCAAATACCCAAAGGTGGTGTATGGGTGACGAGTACATCGACACCGGATGGTATCATGTTCCATTTATCAAGAAGTGCTTGTCCACGTGATAAATTGAATGCCCAATTGTCCACTTTTGGTTGCCTAATTAATTTCGACAAAAATGATCATTTTGAATCGAAAACGATTTTACCACGGAGTTCCATAAATCGTAATACCAAACAGTTCGATGACATTGTCTTCAAGATAAATCGCGTTGGTTAGAAGCAATTTCGAAGAGCAAGATCCTGATTTCGAATCGGAATGAAGTGCCGTCAAAAGTGATTGTTTCAATGCCATTTCTTTCGGATCGGTCTCTTTGTCTAAAATTCCTTTTTCTTTCTTCATCAAAATGTTTTCACTCACGTATTTTTAAAAACGATTCGTCAAATGTGCATTCATGGTTTCCTCCGATCACAATTTTGTAGGCGAACTTCGTCTTTCCTAAATAAGTCATTTTTCGCGCAATTTGTGCTCAGAACATACCAAGATGTTTATTAAAGCTATAAACTTCATTCGGAAGTCCGCAAGATGTAAAATCACCAGAAACTATGAGAACATCTCCAGGAGGTAATATCGACAAATCAAGGGGTTCGCCATGGGTGCAACCGATGCACACAAATCGTACATGATCTGGTTTAACTGGAGTATCAAGTCTCATCTGCAAAAATTCTATCCAAGAATATTGGGCCATTTTATATCATATTTTCAACAATTTTTATCACTCTACAGAATGATTTTCATTTATTTAATGTCATATGGCGAGTTTGATGAAATCGTGGACTTCAACTTTTTGTTCGATTTTACTAAATATTAATTTTTAAGCAAAGTTTTTCTTTTAGTTTAAATCATCATGAGCCAACGCTTAAAGGACCACACTCATAAATCTCATCAAACTCGCCTACCTCATGACTTTCATGACAACATAATAAATTTAGCAGTAATGATTTTTGTTGTCATATTGGATTCAGCGGATCTCAACGATCAAAAAATCGGTGTTCTCACCAGTCTGACAGGCTTCACCGGGCGTTTTTCTCTCAACATTTCCCATGCGACAGTCGGATCTTCGGTGTATTGATGAATGCCAACCTGAAACAATGGACTCGACACATGCTCTTTCTCTCATAATAATATTTTGACTGCTCATTTCGTTTCACAATCAAAACACACAGTTTGTCGCGATTGAAGACTTTGAACCGCTTGAATCGACGACTGTCGCCGTTGGCGCAATTTATATTCCTCTTTGAGCTGATCGCGGATTATCGACGAAGTGCCGAGGAGATTGCTCGATTTCGAGAACATCGCTGCGCGTAACACTAATTAGAGAGAGAGAGAGAGAGAGAGTCGGAATTAAAAAAAAAAACGAGAAATAGGAATGCATTGGCATAAGACATACACCTGGCACTGGTATATCACTTGATTTATCTGTCGATGAGAAGAGATGGGAAGGAAAACATTCAAAATGGCATGCAATAAGAGAATGAGCACTGAATTTTGATCAGTTTGAGAAAAAAATCAGAAGCGAATCCGGAAATTGTCATCGCAATCATTTAATTAGTTTTGTGATTCGTTTAAAGAGGCAGGTGGTCATCAGATCAAAAGCATTTTTCCGGGGAAAACAGTGAATTGACGATTGCTGGTGATAAAAATGTCGAGTTGTTTGAAAACATCCGCAACTATTTGTTATTCTTCCTGACGTTTAAACGAAAATTCAAGTTTTATTCAAAATTCGAATATTGTCAAAGACCGATAACAAATTTATATAATTTAGGCCAAATACAACTTTATTTCGTGGTGCGAAAATAACGGGACCATGTTTGGAAGTTCAAATTTGCCCACTCCGCCCCCGGAAGTCATCTGTCTTCGATAATATCTACGAATTATACTAAATGTTCAAATGAGAAGAATTATCCGTTGTACGATATTCGAATTCTCACTGAATAAATCGAATTTTGAATCCACTAAAAATACGATAATCCACAAATCTTCGAGGTGCTTGTTTTTTTTTGATGGTAATACAAAACATAGGGTTTTTGAGATGAGCGCTATTTGATGTTAAAGACTGTCTAGTAGAAGATTGGAAAGATTTAAGATAAAGAAGAACATTTCTGAAAATAATTTCTTAGGACAAAGTGATGTAATGCAAGTGATTCACCGGACCACAATGCGAGAACGATCGAAAATCTTGCGGTAGATTGATATGTCAGGCATTTGAGGGAAAAAGAAGAAAGAGAGAAAAGTAAGAAAAAAGCGATTTGAATCGTGTTTGGCGGCAATGTCAGTTGGTCGCGGCTAATTTACTCGCAATTGTTTCATCAACATTCGTCTTCAATTTATCACCTAATCATTCAATCCGACTCTTGCTCTTTTTAATTCGACAAAAAAAATCACGAGATATTTACCGATGAGTTTTTGCGAATTTTCTTCTCGAAAGTCGTATTGATTGGTGGTCCCATAAACGAACTTCGTCTTGAGACCGGAGCCGTCTCGAGTGGATGATCAATCACCAATATTGAGGTGGCACTTCCTCCTTCAATTACTGAATATATACAAATAAACATTTGATGTACAAATAATCTAAAATCAAGAGATCGTGTCACACATTATTGACAAAAAAATTTTAAAAATCACTATTATTTTAAGTAAACTAGCAATTTCAAACAGTTTTCTGGAAATAATTATTTAAATAGGACTAACCACCTCCCCAAATTCTTCATTTATCGGAAGTGCTAAAATTAGTCGTTGGATCTTGTGTCAGTCAAATATACCGTTTCAGATTAATATCCCTCATTTTTAACTTATTTCGATTGAAAATTTTCAAAAATTCACTTTTTCGAAAGGATTCATTCATTGCTCGAACTCAATTCTTTCGATCTCGCACTTCCGACATTCGGTTTGTTTACCTCTTGCTCTCCAATTTGATAAATTGATACAAGATAATATAAATGGCAAACGGGTTGTGTGACAACTGATGCTCTTCCCCCCAGCCAACTTTTTTTTTCCATCATAATTTATTAGGGTGGATACGTGAGGAAAATGCATGAAGCAGGAAAAGATGAACTTGAAGGGAACCCACTTCGATCCTTTTGAAAGTGCATTTCTTGATCCTCGTTCATTGTTTGCAGACAAGAAGGGGTCCTGTTTCGATTCTGATGAGTCGGCTTCTAAATTAAATAGTAAAAAATAATAGACAATTTTTTGATTTTCTTACATCGTCATTTGCAACAGGAGCCGATGACCTAAAATTTTTAAAATTGGTGGATTATGGATTTTGCATCTACTTTTTACACCAAACATTTTAATGATTCTACAGTTATCGCTTATTTCAATAGAATACAATTTTTTCAATTGAAATTAAAAGGTAACATTGAAGTAAAAATAATTTTAAAAAATTGAAAAATAATTACTTCTCTTTCTTTTTAATTCAAGCAAAATGTTCCGTTTTTAAGTTTTCTTAACATTTACTTCATCGTCTTCTTTAACAAACCTGCGATTCATGGAAACCTTGAGAAGTGCTGGGCTGAGCATTTTTGATCTGAATTAATGCAAATTTTGAATTGTTTTTGAAGTAAATTCGGAATACTGGGATATCTTAGATTGTGAATCTTGAGTATTAAAAAAAACAGAACGATTCGAAAACACGAAAATGAAAATAAATTGAGGGCGGAGGGATTTTAGCAATCGAGTTGGTAAAACAACTGACACCGTACTAATAACCAGGCGTTTTTAACACGTTTTTACTCAGACGCACAAACTCACAAAAATGAGAAAAAAAAAGTTGGAAAGAGATGCGGGTTGAGATCTTCGAGATTTACAAGATCCGATTAATCATGGAGAAATGAGGCAAGTCACACCGCGTTTATTGCTCACAATTGACACGAAATTGCTGTCAAATGTCAACTTTCGATATTGGACCTTGTCCCAAAACATTTCAATCAACGTTTGTTAGTTCGGAGGGGACTATGTACAAAGAGTTTGATCACTTTAATTTTCATAATTATGAGATATGCAAGTATCACGCAGAATTCATAAATTTGATAAAAGACGCAAAATTTGAATAATATTGGTTAACTAAAGGAAAAGCCTCGGGAAAAGCGTGTTATGGGTTTTCAGAATATTTTAATTGTTTTAAACCGGTTTTTAAGTTTGTTTTTAGTACCAAAAAGTGCGAGTTGGAGCAGACTTTAGTATCTAACGAGATCTGCACAAACTCTGCACGAATTTCTTGAGAGTTATTTAAATAATCAATAAAGGCGTTCTTCAAAAACTGAGTCGCATTGTCAAAATAACATGTCAATCAGACTCACCTGCAACGTTCGGACGTCTTTGCGATGTTTCACCGTTGCAGAAAACTCACCTTTTCGCATAAAATCACCCAATTAAAACACACTTTGTAAAATGAAAGAATTTCGCCTATGCGAACAAAATATATTTAAGTGTGTTTCAGCTATAACAGATGGAAATCGAAAAAAAAGATGAGGGTGTTTTTTTTTGGTTCCGAATCCGAACAAGATCACAAAGCTCGACCCTCCGAGGGAAATCAAAAAACAAAAAAAAGAAGATCAGCGAAAAGAGAGGGTGTAGAACGAATCAGACACTGATGGATAGCCATCAATCGAATATTGAACCCTTCACTTGTGCTCATTGCTTTCTTGTGTGGCGCAAAAAGTGAATAGTAAATGGGAATCAGGAATAATGAAACGATATCGAATTTTTAAATTTTTACGTTTTATCATTCTGAAATTGCTTATTTACAGGGTGTCATTTAAGTTCCCGCACAACTTTGAAGGCATATATTTCTGAAACTAAAAGTCCAAATCAAACGAGACTCGAAATATTTTTTATCTATAGTATAACAAATAATTATCTATTAACTCTTTTTGATTCGGTCTCCTTTCGCAGCTATGACTTCACGGAGACGCTTCGGGTAGGATGTGACTGTGGTACGCAGGTATTCGATGGAAAGATTGTCCCATTCCACCAGTAATGTCTTCTTCAGAGCCTCTATACTTGAGTGGGGTTTTGCGTTGACCTTCTCCTGCAAGAGCCCATCACGGAAAAGTCAAGCGGGTTCAGGTCTGGGGAGAAATCAGGCCATTCGGATGACTTGATGAAGTCGGGAAAATGGGTCTGGCACCACTCCTGAGTAGTTTTGGCAGTGTGGGCGGGTGCTCCGTCCTGTTAAAAAACCTATTTCTGCCCACCGAAATGCGTTTTGGCCCAGGGTATCACATGCTTCTCCAAAATGTCCCGAACGTAGACTTCTTTGTTCACTTTCACCCCCTGATCCGCGAAAACCAGGGAGCACTTCCCGGTTGAGCAGATGGCACCGAAAACCATCACACTGGCAGGATGTGAGGCTGGATGATATGTTCTTCCTTTCTCAGAAGCTTGCTGGGATGTCTGGGCAAGTACTCGATGGTTTTGTGAGTTGAATGCCGCCTCCACAGTGAACAGCTTCTCATCGGAGAAGACAGTGACGAGGTGTTCTCCAGACCGCGTGCGAGCAAGAAGTCGTTTTGCTTTTTCGAAGCGTCTCTACTTGTTGGCGGCCGATAGAATTGCCGCTTTTTGGACACGATATGGGGTCAGTACAAGCTTCGTTTTGACGATTTGTTCCAAAGCGAAAATGCTCATTCCCACGTCTGACGCCATCTTTCTCATGCTCCTGTGTGGGTTTCGCCTGATCTTCGATTTAACGGCGTTGAACTTCTGAGGAGTGGTTACCGAGACGAGTCTTCCTTATCTGGGACGGTCACTGGTCGTATTTAGTTCCTTGAAACGTTAGATGATGTCGTAAACCGTTCTAAGAGGCACACCGAGGCGTTGAATTATGTCTCTCAGGCTCACATTTTGCTTATGAAGTTCGATAATGGAAGCGCAATGGATGTTAGCCTTCGCCATTTCTCGGAAACACATCCGAATGAGGTAAAACTTGGAAAGTAAGTAAAATATACCTTATTTAACAAAAATAAATTGTATTGGTGCACGAAAAGTGCGACAGCCAAGCTCTTCATGGCGTCAAACTTTTGTGCGGGAACTTAAATGACACCCTGTAGTCAGAAAAAAACGTATATTCAAGAAGAATCAATTAAGATTTTCTGTATATATCTGTTTTTATGATTAAGATAGTTTTCAAAACATTTCTATTCTGATTTCTGGTAATAAAATGAACATCGTTTTTAATATTTTAAGCACTCTTCAAAAGTTTTACTTTTGAAATAATTTTTTTTATATTCAACTAGGATATTTTTCTTTTCCGACTGAAAAACGCCACCTATTTCCGGTCGACAACTATCTTCTGTCGGGCGGAATGAAAACAGATGTAAACTCAATTAGGACGTTTGCAAATAAATCAAAAGTCGGTTTATCTCATTCTACTCACAAATGAGCGTAGCGCAACGAGCACAGCTGTCAGGAGTTTGGACGAGTTGTATTTGTGACCCAAAATCTTGGAATCGCGAAAAAAATAATTATATTTTTATTATTAAACACGTTTCAATGAAAAAGAAAAAACTTAATCAAAAAGGCTTAGAATAGTGGGAACATGACAAAAAAAAACAGAATTGCATTTATGGAATGACAAAACTCATGTGGAGAAAATGAAAATTTGAGGATTCACCAATTCGAAACGGACCACCCTCGACCTCTTCCCCGACCTCCTCTGTATCCTCCACCGCGACCAAATGTACCATTATTATTATAACCACCTCGATATCCACCACGACCTCCTCTCGCATATCCGCCACCGCGTTGATTATTTCTATGCCAATCTCCAGATGAATTCGGCGGTCCCATGAAATTATCATTGCTCTGCGTCATGGATGGTCCTGGCGAGTTGTATGGATGATCCGGGCGAATCTGATTTCTTGGGCTTGGCATTTTGCCACCACCTGAAAAAAAAACTTGAATTGGATAATCAAATTCTAGATGAGAAAATAGTGCCCGTGACTAACACAAAACAACATCGACGTAAAAATGCTTTAATATTCAATTCGGATTATTTACCGTTTGTAAACATAAATTCAGTCGGCGGCGTTTGATTTCCATCATTCCTATTTTCACTTAGACTCATGGGTGCTAAAATATTAGTAAAGTGATAACAATGTTGAAAATCTCGCGGGTTTTTTTTTTAAAACAAACAACACACGCATGCAAATATAAACAAGATGTGCTCGAAAATTATGAAAAAAATAACGAATACCATCTGATAACCAATCGCTAGCATTAAATCCTCGAGTTGGTGGTGGAATGAGCTTAGCCGCGATCTAAGAAAAACGTCGATTATAAGAAGAACACTGCCGGTTCAAGTTACCTGGGCATTATCGGTGAGAAGGCTATCTTTCAATGGACCCGCGGATTGCATAAACTCTTCACTTGAAATATCTCTTAATAATTGGCGCAGTTCCGAATCTAAATTTCTCTATGGCCTTTAAATTTTAACGGATTTGAGATAACCTTGCGGGTTTGTATTAGAAAGGCTTTCCGGATTTTCGCAAGATCTCACTAAAAATGCCTCAATGCAAGGACGAAGAGCAACGAGTGCTGAAGCTGTCTCAACATCGATCCGAAGTGTAATCCTTAAAAAAAGGTTCAGAGTAAATCAGAATAAAAATGATTTTACATATTGTCAAGACGAACAAGATTTTCTCCGATGCATTCCACTTTCCTACAACCGAAAACGAGAAGTTGGAGAGCAGTAATTACGGAAAGTTCTTTGCATGAAATGCATCGTGAACGAACTTTCTCAGTAAACACTAGGAGAGGGGAAGGAAGACCAAAATCTTCCCTTGAGTTCATCGGGTTCAATATCGAATATTTATTGAGAAGCGCGGAAGCTTGTTCAATTGTCAAAACCTTAAAATCACATATAAACTCAAACAATAGACTATATTTGGTTACCTTTCGTTTACCAGTGAAATAACACACGTTTGGATAAAGGGCCATAACAAGAAGACTTCTCATCAAATCTAATTCTCTATCTTTCTGGTTTACATTACTTTTAATATCGTATAGAACATCATCAGGGAAACAACATTGATTACGAAGAACATCTACGAGCTGTCTGCGAGCTCCGCTGAAAATTGAAATTATAAATAACCATACTAAAATCAATTATTTCATAAAATAGGCACGTGCTTTGAGAAACATACTAGGTCATTTTTAAAATGGGATAACTTAATGAGTATCGTTCGCAGAATTCGTGTTCTGCTGCCATTGATCCAAGCTCATTGGTTTCACGATACGCTTGGGTTACAGCGACCTGTAAGAATAACACATTGAATGGATGGGAATTTATTTGGCTACAAACCAGAGCAACGTGGTCGGAGAACTTGTTTCCACCAAACTTTCGTTGTTGTCCATTTAATCTTGTATGATGCCTTTCGCGAGGAACGAATGGTGTCGAGAACGACATGGCAGCAGCAACGTCGCACATAACCGATGATAACCTTGAATGAACAAATAAATATTAATGAAATTCTTCCAAAAATTGTTACCCTAACGCAGTTCCAAGAATCATTACTTTCGCGATAACTGGCTCAATTGGCATTCGTGCAAGCATTTTTCCAAGACTTGTCAGTTCCAAATTGCGATCAAATGCACCCATATCTGAATGATCGGCTTTGAAATTTTACACATCATTCTAGAAAACTTTGTAAGACAGCTTCACTTTCCACCACCATATCATATGGTGGCGGTTCGAGAGCTTTTCCAAGAAAATCTCCCACCGATCCCAATCGTAAAAGTTTGATTGTCAGTGCAATTTGATGAAGTGGAATTCTCAACATTTCTGCGGTTCCGTGCTCATCAAGACTAAATGAAACAGATTTTTGTTTGACTGAATTAGTGTTCTCACGCTTCAAATCTTTTCGAGCTGCATAAATGGAATGCGTAACCAGCACGAACACGCCCAGCTCTTCCTCTTCGTTGAATAATGTTCGTCCTAGAAGCCCAAACAGTTGCGAAGTGCACCATATTGTTATTCGATGTGTACATTCTTTCTTTTGCTCTAAATATACCAATTTGATTTTTAATAAGTAAAATTGAAAGCGTATTCTACTTGCATGAGTCGATCACATACACCACATCATCGATTGTAATACTCGTTTCAGCAATATTAGTGGATAAAATGATCTAAGAATGGTTCATTTTTAGCAATAGATTCATTAAAAAAAAAAACCTTCCGTTTTCCTTCATAATGATTGAAAACTTTTCGCTGCTCGGAACTCGTTAATTGAGAATGAAGAGGAAGAATTTCATACTTCGAAGATTGAGCTGAAATACGTCAATCCGAGAAATATTCATAAACTTCTTACAAAATTCGGGGTGCTCAGTGAGACGATTGAAAAGAAGCATAATATCGGACCATCCCGGTAGAAAGATCAAAACTGCTCCATCAACTCCCCGTTTAGCAATATCCGACAAGATTGCCTAAATGAAATGCCACTACTTTTAAACAGGAATTTCCGATTTAGTTTATATACCTCAATAACTCCGTATGGAATTTCCTTTTCTGATAATCTCGACATGGCAATTCTCAATGATTGATTCACGTTCGGATCATCAATAATATTCATATTTTTTCCTTTATCGTCTACTTCTTCTTCGCCTTCGTCTTCATCTGGCTGATTTCGCTTCTTTTTACGATCAGGCTCATCGGGCATATATTGCAAATTATTTAGAATATCTTCGAGGAAAAACGCTTAAAACTTTCAAATATCTTAAATTGAATGAGAATATGTTTACATTGCACTGGAAACGTCCGTCCATGCATTTTAATGACTGGACAAGTTCCAATTGATGGATTTTGTCCGAAAAATTCGGTGAAGAGCGTGGTATCGATTGTAGCGGACATAAGAATAACGCGAAGATCCTTATATTCACTGATCATCTCACGAAGGACAATTAGCACAAAATCGGTCTATATTAAAAATTCAGTATATGTTAATTGACAAAAATTACGTCAACATCTCGCTCATGAATTTCGTCGATAACGATGTGTGATATGCCTCTCAAGCCGTTTTCCATCATTCGTAGTAAAACTCCAACTGTGCAGAACATAATTGAGCCGTATGGTCTTGGGGAAACACCGTCAAATCTAAAATGTGTATTGAAAAACGAGGACATAAAAATCATCTGACCTGACATTGAAACCGACAGTTTCCCCAAGCTCTTCGATTCTTTCATTAGCGACTCGCTCAGCTAGCGAAATTGCAGATATACGACGAGGCTGGGACACCACAATGTTGAATTCGCTACCGACGCCCCGGGAAATGTAGTCGTCAAGAAGAAATTGAGCAACCTATAATGACAAATATTTGAAATAATTTAATGTGTATAGTAAACTAGATATATTTCATTGTGAAAATTATCAAATTTAATACCTGTGTACTTTTTCCGCAACCTGTTTCTCCTTTGATTAAAGTCACTCGATTGTTCGCCACAGTTTTGATAATTTCTTCATGGTACTGCCATACGGGCAACACTTGTCGTGCTTGAATGCTTTTCTCTAACATATCCGATTGTTGCTTAGCATTTTCTTTCTCCGTAATTTTTTCGCTAATTTGTTGCATTGTCATCTAATTATTGATTAACTCATGTAAATGATGTTTCCTTACAAATGCTAGAGGCGGTTCGTCAATATTAGATGCTCTCCACGGATTCCAGTTTTGCATTGGTGGAGCCCAAGAAACATTGGACACTTGAGTGATCTGATCACAAATTTTGAGTTATTTGTATAGAAAAAAAATATACGTCTGAATCCGGGAATTGCAATAATTTTTGATCTGCAAGAATAGAAACTGGAGAATCTGCAGTAGCAATTCCTGGATTGGGATATTTAAGATCGATTCCACAATTGGTAACATAATCTTTTACGCGATTTGCAAGCTCATCCGGAATTTTCAGTTCGATTTCGGGCAACTAGAAATTGGGTGTTCAAAATAATAAAGTAAAAACGTGACTCATACCGTACTGACAGGATCCTTTCTTTGTGGACCTCCGTATGCTTGCATAATATTCAAATGGAACATTTGACGAACAAGATTCATTGCACAGGCAGCTTCTGACACTTTTTTATTCGACCCGCTTCCTTTACCGGTAAGATCTGGAAGAAAAGAACATCAACTAATGTAGAAATAAAAAGGTAATAACTTTTTCTAAGCTGCGGCACATAAACGACCGTAGTCGTTTCCATTGTTCTAAATTAATATTGAAATTATATTTTGCAATAAATTATTTAATACTTGACGAAATTCGATTCTCGAATAGTTGTATTGTAGACAACAGGTTGAAGCTTCATTTTCTGAACATATTCATGAAGCGCCTTTTTGCTATTATCCATAGTCCATCCTCCATGAATTTCAGATTTCAAATCAATTGTTTCAGAATGGGCAATTTCTTCAGCTTTTTGAGCCATATATTCTTGATGGGTAGTATTTTCGCGAGTATACGCATTATTCCAAGGAAGCTAAAAACCAGTAAAAGTTTCTAAAAATAAGTATAAATAAATTCCTACTCTTGGCTTCTGGTTTATTCGATTTTCTTGAAAAGAACTTGAATTCCCTACAGCTTCTACAGAACTATTATTTTCTGCGAAAAACGTAGAATCTTGATTGCCACTGTGATCATGCCATGAAGTGTTCGCTCCATCCAAACTCGCAGATGTTAAAGACGGAATTTGATTCTGTGTAATTTTTCCTTCTCTGACCAAATATTGGCAAAAATCCATCGCAGCGTTCGTCGCAGCGTCCTTTTTATTTGTTGAGTTTCCAAGCGCACAATACGGCATTCCTGGGACCCGAAGCTCACATTTGAATCTGACAAAAACCACTACATTTTTGATAGCTCAATATTAAATCATGTATACCGCATTCTTCCCCCTCTTGTTTCGCTTTTAATATCATAATTCGGAGCCGAGAATTTATTTCGGCCTAGCCACGCATACAAAAATTGTTTAATATCGTTATCTCCCATCTAAAACTTAAGACGTACGTGGCGTTTTACTGTAGAAAATAGTTCAACAAGGTTTTGAACCACATATCAATATTAAAGAGTACAAAAAGAAATTAACATTTATTGAATAAAAGATTTAAGAAAGTTTTCCATCGAGAATTACTGGTTTCAAATCGAAACCTCTTTCGTCAAGGGTTTTTTTGCCTTGTAATTTTAGCAATGTGTCAGTATCAACCTATAATAAATAGTTTAAATTGAAATATATGAAAAATTCGGCACTTTTATGACAGATTTGATTTTTTCAATTGTCTCATCAACCGTTTTGGCATCATGTTCTAGAATTTTCAATGTGTTTTCTTTTGTAGTTTTTAAAAATGTCGTCCCATTGAAAACCCACAAAGATTCTTCATTGGTCTTAATAATTTATTTTAATATATTATAAACTGTTCCATTTTCATCAAACCTTTTTCAAATTTCTCGCACATTCCCTATATTTTTGCCTCTGATTGTCTAAATCAATACTTACAGTTCGAGCATCACGTATCCTAAACTAGCGTATGATATATTGAAATTTGCGTTATGTTACTTTTCGGACAAAAATGTTGCTTCATTTAACTTTGACACAAGCGAACCACTCGGTTCATCAATCTTGTGCTCCATGGGCCTGAAAATTTGTCTCAACCTATTCATGAAATGTATTTTTTTTACATAAAATTAAAAAGAAATACATGAAATGTCAAATTCAAAAAAAATGCCGTTCCGTAGCATATAATGCATGAGTCGTACGGTGTTCGCAAACACCGATAGAACACAATGCACGCGTATTTTGTTTTCCATTTTTGAATTTCTATCCCAACCTTGTTTTTCGATCATTGCTATTTATGTATTTTGAGTTCTATTTTTTCTATTTAAGAGTTTGTTTTCTCTATTAACAAAAGCTCATCGTTTTTATTTCATATTTGACGGACTGTCGTAATTGAACAAATCGTCATTTATTAAATAACGAAACTTATCATGCTCAAAATCAATACTAACCGCTTTTATCAAATAATTTCTACATGAACTTCAACAGTTTCATTTTTAAAGAATTTATCATGAGCAGCTGGGCAGATTCTTTTGATGAACAACGCAAAGCGGAAGGACTCGAAATTGTTGAGGCTAAAGACGTACAGGTATATATTTGCTCATTTGTCGAAATGGTATGAAGACTGAATGAAAAGCACTCATAACCCTCAATTAATGGCGAACAAATAATGTTATAAGAACACCAATCGATTGAAATCTTGTTCAACTACTCAGATGTTTCTAATTCTGCATTGTCAGAAGAATTGATATCATTTTTAAAGGTGTGATTTCTGAAAATTTGAACTAGTTTTAAATTGAATTGAAATTAAAATCATCTTTTTTAATTTCGTCTATTATTGAACGTTATGAGCATTTCATCCCGATTAAAAATCTAGTTACCATTTTTACAAATGAGCGTCTGCGTATGTTTGTACATGTGAATGAATGTCATTGTCTTGTTGTTTGAATAATCTTACTTTATTGAATTTATGTTACCGAACGGTATAAAACTAACTGTTTTCGTCGTGTGTTTCTTATAACTGTCACTTTATTGAAAACAGAGATTTTGTGTTGCAGAAACAGTCAAAGAGCCTAGCAATGAACGTAGATAATAATGCGAAAGGTTTGAATTATATAGCCACTTTTTAATATCCTACTTTTTTATAGAAGTAAAATCTCTCGGTGGTGCTTTTGGTAGTTCTCGTGGGGTTGGTTCTAACAAGATGATAGCTGCGCCACCTCCGCAAACTTCATTTGGATCGACAGCAACAGGAAGAGTCGCGCCAGGTAGGCGGTGTTTAGTGTTTTTTGTGTTTATTGGAGATTTTTTTATTTCAATCTATGCTTATTTCCTGATTTTCCTTTGTTGTCTTTCTCTCATCAAAAACCTTTTCAGTTGCTGGCGGTACTTTTGGTTCGAATAATGCAAGTTCTACGAAACCATTAGGCATTGATGGACGTGGTGCACCAATTGGCTCCGCAGAATTTGATGATGCTGTGTCATCGACAGGAGGTAGATCAATCTCAATCGGAGTGCACAAACCGATAACTAAATCCATGTTTGCATGCAACCGCACAAATAACTCTTGCACAGACAATGATGGTGCTTCACTTAACACCGCTGGAGGCGCTTTTGGGTCATCTACAAATTCTTACAAACTCGTTGGATGTGTTCAAAGCAGGCCCGAAGAACAGCCAACGAAAGCTGGAAAGATTGTTTTTCAAAGCCGAATTCCAGTACCTAAAAATAGATTTGCTGCTACTACGACCACTGAAACGGAAACTAATACTTTGAAGCCTTGTATAGCATCAGCCGATCCACCACAATACACTGAAGGATCATCTGAAGAATCCGATCAAAGAAAGCCTCTTGGTGGTGCATTTTGTAGTTCAAATCAAGCTAAACATTTGGGAGGTTCTTTCGGAAGTATGAATAAGCCACTTGGAGGTGCATTTGGTAGCAAATCACAAGCCAGTATAGAGAATCCGAAACCAATAGGTGGAAGCTTTGGAATGTCTCATAAGGCGGGATTTACTGATGGAAATGAATGCACTAGTACTCACAAAATGTTGGGTGGCTCGATCGGAAGCAAATCTTCGAATGAGAATAAAGGAGGAATGTTTGAAAATGGTCGATTAGCCACGTCAACTTCGCACGAGTCAACTACTTTCTCCTGGAACAACAGATGTCTATTATCGACCGAAAATACAGAAAGGCAACAAAATTCCACTTTGCGTGGATGTGGCTATAGTATGAAAACAGAAGAAACTCAGACAAGTCCAATCGAGACAACGTCGCCACCATTTTATAAAAACAGTGAAACACGAATGAGTTTTGGATACGCAAATGACGAAAACATTCCAGGTAGATGTTTTCTGCTTTAACGAAGCTTTGTTGAATGCACCCTTTTGCAACCCTGTGTGCTGTTTGCATCCAACACTGTGTTCCTTCGTTTCGAAATAAATAGCACTACTTGTTACTATGATGGGATTTAAGGCAGTTTCGTTCCGACGGCAAGTGACCGAGGCGCCTTTCGAGGAGGGTACAGGTTGGATTTATAAGAATATTGACACCACATCAAATAAAACATTAATTACAGAGGAGGTCGTGGTGGTATGATGATGGATCATGGTCAAGGTCAGCCTGGTAATTTTACGACTTTTTCCTTTCATATTATTCTGATATGATTGTAGGCAGTTTCCGTGGACGTGGTGGAGTTTTTTCTGGTGGACTCGGTAGAGGAGCACAAACCGGATATGTGCCTCAAGTAATTTAATCCACAAGCGATTTTTTTTTTATTAAAGCCCTGTTTAGAATCCATTTGTTCTTCCAGCAGCACAGTCGTATATTGATCCAGCTACTAAACCTGTTTGTTCCAGTAGTTTCAGTTTATTTTATTATTATTTTTTATTTTTAGATTGTTCCCGTTCCTGTAGAAGCTCTTGATAAAGGTAATTTTTAATTTCTTATTCATGGAAAATATTTTATTTTTAGCAATGGTTCCCGAAGAAATTGCACTACTCAATAAGTATCTTCACAAAGAAGTTAATATGATGAAAGACGCAAAAATCGATATTCAACGAAATGATCCGACATCTCCACTTCATTCAATTGGCTCGTTTAGGGAGCTTAGATTGTATATATTTAACATTGTAACTTTTAGAAATAATATTTATATCATTTTAGAAAAGATGAAGTTTTAAAAGCCCTCGATTCTCTTGGATTTGAATTTCCAACAAGAATCCAAGAAACAGCTCTTCCATTGCTTCTTATGGAGCCGTAAGTGTAACTATTCGTATATTGCGTAAATATTGTCGATGTCGCGACTTCAAAAAATTGGATAAATGCCAAAAGTGGTCTTGATGTAAGACGAAGTGCAGAATTTTTACGGGTTTTGGCATAAGGATAGGTTAAAGGCGCACACAATTTTTTTTGGTATTTGGCCAATTTTTCACAGAAACGTCGGCAATTTGTTCAAATATTTATTGAAATCTTAAAATAATTTAGACCGCATAATTTAATTGCTCAAGCTCAGTCGGGAACTGGAAAAACTGCAGCCTTTGTACTTACAATGTTGTGTCGAATTGATGTGAACCTGACATATCCACAGTGTATCTGCTTAGCGCCAACAATCGAATTGGCAAAACAAATTGGTATTGTTATTTCGGATTTTTTGACGATTTCAATATTTAATTTTTTATAGGGGAAGTGGTCGAAAAGATGGGAAAATTCATGAACGGATTAAGAATCCACTATGCTCTTCGTGGATCAGGTAATTGTATTCATCGGCTAACTTCTGAACCTATTCATGCAATAAAAAATGAAAAAAATATACGTTCTTGAAATTCAGAAAAAAAAATACAATTCATGAATAGGTTCATTAAAATTTTGCTTCGTTGTAAGCTTCAACAAAATACTCTAAATGTTTTAAATTTGCATTCATTAACAAAAATGATTTCCACAAAAAAAATTTTTTTCCAGCTACTCGTGGTGCTAAATTGACGGAGCAAATTGTAATTGGAACTCCACGAATGGTAAGAATATATTTTATTTAAAAAATGTTAATGTTTTTAGATACAAGATTATATTATCAAATATCAATCGATTGATCCATCCAAAATTCGTTGTCTTGTTCTTGACGAAGCCGATGTCATGATTTACCAACAAGGCTTTACGGATATTAGCACTTCGATTTACAAGTTAGTTTTTCTTAGTTTTTTTGTCGGAAATTTTGAATTTTTAGTACAATCGAAGAAGCTTCGGATTGTGTACAATCAATGCTGTTCTCAGCAACATACGACGCTCCTGTTATTGAATTTGCCACGAAATTGGTTAAAAACGCAATTGTTGTTATGTAAGTTCATTTCAGAAAGTATCCCCACCTAAATTGGCTTTCCGGTACACTTAAGTCACCCGAGATTTGGTTGCGCAATAATGTGTCAATTAGGTGTTTAAAGGTCACGAAATGGCTCATGTTGACTAATTGTTACTAAAAACACCTGCACTGACAGCGGATTAAGGTTCATCCTGTAGTGTTGCGCGAGAAGATTAACCCGAAATTGCAAGTTTGCTCAAATTTCGAGAGAGAGGTCATCGAATTTTAATGTTTTAATATTTGAATCACAAAAAAACTCAAACATCTAAAATCAAAAGCCAATTCCAGTCCCTTATTGGCTTCTCGAATTCATCGTTTTGCCCCATGAAATGTAGAATTTCTTATTTACTCGTCGCAGCGGGAGATTTGTGCCAACTACTCTCAAGTGTCATTGTCCGAAATGACAAGCAATCCAATAAATTTTGAATGGCTTACAGGTTGAAACGAGAAGAACAGGCACTGCCAAACATTAAACAGTTCTATGTGTCATGTTCATGTAGGAATACAAAATTTGCGGTAGATTATTATATTTGAGGGACTAAGTAATATTGTCTGCTGATTTTAGGCTATTGTCGATTTATACAGTGGCTTGGCCGTTGCTTCTTCTGTAATATTTTGTCATACGAAATCGAGCGCTGACTGGATAGCACAACAATTGAGGTTGCGTGGTAATGTTGTAAGTGCATTTTATCTAAAACATCAAAACTCTATTTTCTGAAATGATATTCAAAATATTTAGGTGGGAGTGTTGCATGGTGGAATGAATGTTGAGGAACGAGCCAAATCAATTATCGATTTCAAACGTGGCGAATTTAATGTGTTGATCACTACGAATGTCCTTGCGAGAGGTAATATTTATATGGTAGTATATGCGAATTTTCAAAAATATTTCTCTTTGTAGGAATTGATGTTCCTCAAGTGTCAGTTGTGATTAATTACGATCTACCGATCAAGCATGACGCAAATGACAAGCCAGTTGTCGTAAATGGAGTTATACAACCCGACTGTGAAACATACCTTCATCGAATTGGAAGGTGCTCTAATAATTTTAGCCTAATTTCCTGTACTTTAATTAATTTCAGAACTGGAAGATTCGGAAAATCGGGAATTGCAATCAATTTGATTTCTGGCGAGAATGATATCAAAATGATCAAGATTCTCGAATCACACTTTGGTTTGTTCTTTTTTCTGATTCGTTTTCATTTACGTCTTTTTCAGAAATGAAAATCGAGAAATTGGAACCGTCAAAGTTATCAGACTTGGAGAATATTCAAGATGTGGACTATTAGGATTTTTAAAATGTATCCCTAGCTTTATTTTCTATCTAATCGCTTTGCCAACTTTATAATTTATTGCAATGTTTTACTCATTTTTATTTTTGTGATTGTGAGAACATTTTCGTTTTTTCACCTCAATAATCATGATTCGAATGGTCTTTAATTGTGCCAGCTTGATTTTCCGTCTTGGAAAAAATCTATGAATAATATTCACTTTTGTTACTTTTTGGTTGTTTCCATTTTTACGTACTAAAACTTCTTTTAAAAAATATTTTTGTGAAAATAAATGATCGATTTGAACTACGTGAAGTCATCATGTCAAGGTGGAGTTGCTGCATCGTCATTTCTGGTTTCAAATAAAATATCGTGACTTGAAAAGAAGGACAAACGCTTTCAATATGGACTTGCTTCGATCCATGGTTTGCGATATTCGGGAGAATTTTTGTACATTTCGCACAATTTAGCGGAAAACTAAGAAAAAGAAGGACAAAATTCATTCGGATCGAATGACTGGAGAAGACAAATCAAGAAGAACGGTTCGGTTTAAGAATTCCAATTTATTACATTTTGTAATTAAAACAGAAAAAGAAAAAAAGCTCAGCGCATCTGGAAAAACTGGATAATAGTAATGTTTCTGCAAGATCAAAAGTATAAAATTGAAATTAAACAAATAGTTTCAAATCGAATTATTCAGAAAAAGAAAAATTCAATAAACAAAAGCGAACGGCGGAAAAAGAAAAGTATTTTGATCTAGAGCGTTTATTAATTTTTTTTTTTTTGATATTCAGAAACCAATAGTAGTGGAGAACATAAAAATGAACTTAAGGACAAATTTGAATTGTTTGATCCTAACACTTTTACGTTTACTTTTGATCATATCCATGATCCAACAATGGTGAGTTGCAAATCAATTTTTTCTTCAATTTGGTTTTTTACGACAGAACATTTTTCGTTTTAGGGGCAACATGCAACAACTCAGAAAACGGCTTTTGAAAGTTTTGCAAAGGTATTTATTTATGTATAAATAAAATACATATATTCAAATGACCTGAAGCTGGCGAGAAATTCAATACCGCAAAATCAGTGTAGATCTGCGAAATTGTAAAATTACGCTCGGACTAAATATTGACTGTGCGTACGAAAACTGCAGAGTACGCAGACACGCACTCATCTCATCTTTTGAATTATGCAGACTTGCATTTTAATATACGCCTAAATATTTGAAGTCTGGTTGGCCTATTGTCATTTTTTGTACCAAATTTGCCAAATTTTTACGTAATTTCATCGAATAAAAACAAATTCGGCAATTGGTCTCTGTTGTTTTGCGGGAAACACAAAAGAAACTAATTTTGCCCGATTTGTTTAACGAGTTTGATTATCAAAAATTGAGAGCTTTTCGCGAGAAATTATCGATTAATTGCAGTTCGTTATTGGACAAGGCGTTGACGGATTATTGAAAGAATATAACGAACAGATTTTTTCATTCATACCAACTGGATCGTATAATCGAACTGTTTTTGATCAAAATACTCCACTAAAGAAAAACCGATATAAAGGTTTCTGGTTGTCCGCTAGAAAGAAAAAAATCGGTTTCAGATGTTGTTTGCAACGATTTATGTCGAGTAATTTTAAAAGATGGAAGAGGCGGCGACTATATTCATGCGAACTATGTAAGAGGTCTTCAACCTCTTTACATTCTGACACAGGTTTTAAAAAAATCTAAATTCTTCTAATACATATTATAACCGAAGGGTCCGTTGAAAGAAACCTTAATCGATTTTTGGAGAATGATTGTTCAGGAAAAAGTAACAACGATATGCATGCTGTCAGAGGTTCAAAAAATGAAAACAATTAGCGAAATATTAACTGAAATATTTAGTTTATCGAGAATGGGAGGCGAAAATGTGAGAACTATTTTCCTGAGGGTTCTGGCAACACGGCTACTTACGGCGGTTTGGCTGATTGGTGTGAATTAATTAAAGAACTTGTCTGAAATTTTAGACTTTACTGTTGTGTGTGATTCTGAAGGACCAATTGATGAACACTCGTTTCGGACAATGCTTGCTGTGACTGATAAAACGACTGAAAAAACGCTAAGATTGATGCATATCAAAATAACGACTTGGTAGAAATAGCGTCAGAATATTTCTTAAAATATTCAATTCAGGCCAGATAAAACAGTTGCCAAATGCCCACTATCGCTTATTAGAACGTTGAAGATTTTGCGGAACTCTCAAAATGCCGCTGTCATTCATTGCTCAGCTGGAATTGGCCGAACCGGAACATTAATGGCCGTTGAAGTCGGAGTTCAAGCGCTTTTGAACAACAAGAATTTCAAGCTCATGGATGTTGTGAAATGTTTGCGATACTGTCGACTGAACAGTGTTCAGATGGACACACAATATATGCAACTCGCTGAGACATTGCTAGAATGTGGAATATCCAATGGGTATATTGATGATCCGAAACTTATCGAGGTTAAAATATCCAAAAAAATATTCGTCTCAATGATATGTTTAGGGGATCGAAGTGGTCAAGAGAGGAATTGCTGATTACGTGTTGGCCCATCCTCCGCCGATCGAGCCGAAAGCATCTACGCCGCAAGCAGCGACACCTCCGCAAGACAAGAAACTCTCTCCTCCAAAAGAGGCGCCTGCTGGAGCACAGCCGGTCGAATTTAACATGCTTGAAGTCTTCACCCCTAAAGTGTGTAGCAACGAACCGATTACTGCTACACCGAATACATTCAAAGTAGCAAAACCGAGCGCCGAAAATGGAAACGCGCCGCTCATGCCGTATAATCCGACAGAAGCAATTTCAACACCACTAGCAACGGTTCCGATTGCGACGGTTCCAGCTTTAAGTATGGCGACGCAAATGCACACGGTAGCATTAGTGCCAGTGAATGTGAACCATGTTCCCCTTCATTCGCCGACATCGCCTCCGCCGCATCAGACGGTTTTCCAAACAGTGAAACCACTACCAGTAGCACCACAAACACAGCCGAGACCACTATCATCATCTCCAATTCCAACGGCATCACCACCGCCAAAAGCAGCAAGTCCGTCACAAGGTTTGTAGACTTATTTTCTGATACATAAAATCATTCTGCTGATAAATTCGCAAAAAATTGTTTGATAAAATAACAAATTCTTATTTTCAGGTGCCAGGAAGGGAGGAGTGCAACAAATAAACAGCATGTATCTTGGTTAATTCCATTTTTATTACTTGATTTTCAATAATATTTTTTCTTGGTTTAGTATATTTCGGTTTATTGCTCCATCGTCGCATTTTATTATCGGTTTCGTTTTACATCTCGCCGCCGTTCTCAGTCGTGTCCCTCTTTTCGCCCCCCCCCCCTTTTCGATTATTGAATATTTTCTCTTTTATTTTTGTGGCAGTCCGAATTTTTGCGTCTGTCGAAGTGAGTCATTCCACGAATGTCTTGTCTCGTTTTTGCTTCTGCCGATTAAATAATAGTTATTATTATTATTATATTTATTTGCGCGCACAAACAATGCGAAAGTTCGCATCATTGTCTTCACAAGTGACCATCACTTCCTTCCGCTCTGCCGGCGTTTTGTTTGGTGTTTTTTTCCGTGCCTCGGCGGTTTTTTTCATCCTTCGGTTGCTGCTGCTGCTTCTTTTTTATTTTCTTATTCACAAATCTCGCTGAGCCGTATGATTTGTGTCAAACAACCATAACTTTGGGGCAATCTTCGTGTTTTATTGCCATGAGTCATGTTTTAATTTTACACAAAAAAAAAATGTTTTAAATTAATTCTCTCTTTTTTGTGCAATCTTTCTGCAGAATTTTATTAGAAATTGCGCAAACTCTGAACGACTTTACCGAGAAAGAAATACATTTGATATTTCTAGCAAAATTTGAATCCCCAAAGTGAACCGTCAGCAGTCGAGCCGAATAATTTTTGGCGTTTATCGACGACAAATGTCAGTTTGCGCAAAGTTTGCCAGATCCCAATATTTGGCAGAAGCGCGCACAGCTGGAGACATGCCACACAGGTAGACAGACATACGAGGACAGGTCAATTTGCGCCCGCTTCTGCTCGCTATTGTTGCATAATTCGCGGCTCAAATTGGTGTCTTGTCACCATTGACAAACACTATTATCAATTGGTGTAATTCGAGTTGATGAGTCTGTCGTCAACGTCTATTTGAGCAGCGATTAGCGGTCATCAGTATGTTCGAGTTATTTGCACATTCCAACCATTTGCTGAATGCAATCTCGCTAAATGTATTTTCGTTTTTCAAGGTTTCAAAAAATAATGCATTAAAAGCAATCGAAAACACACGTTTTCATAGAATTTTGAATGTTAAATTTATTTTGTTATCGATTAAATTTGAATGTTATCATAAATATATTTCAAACTTAACTTATTCGACCAACCAAAAAACAACCACGGCGACATGTAAATTTAAAATCGAATCAAATTCAATCAAATTAATTTGGATGTTTTTTTTTGAATAATGAAAAACAGATCACAAAGCATTGAGAGAGATAATATAGTGTCATCTGATCCTTTGAATATGCTCAAATATGATCATAGGTCAGATGTTCTGTGCAAACAATATCATCATGCAAACCAAATTAATTATTATTACCCACATGCTTTATTCGTTTTTTATGATTATTATTGCTTCTTAATTGTCACCCACACGCGGTCGGGCCTAAATCTGATAATAGTCACCCGACTACAGGATTACGGTTGAATCGAACCTGCCTGCCGTCTCATCGAATTCCGAGATATTACATTGCGCGGAAACAGTAGTTATCGTTTCTACTAATCTAGAATAAATAAATATTATGGTATAATGATTGATGCTACTGGTCAGTGTCAAGGTGACGTCTGAGTCTCTTTGAGTCAAATGTTGTTCAATAGGGAAAATAGTGTGCAAGACGAGGAGCCGCAAACATAGTTCATGTTGCGATTTGTCACCAGCAACACTATCAAAATATCATTGCGCTGCCAACAATTTGACATCAATAACTATCATTTTATGTGATTATATATTTTATGTGTTTCTTCTGGTATCTGACATTGAATGTCCAAAGTTTGCGGCAAAAAGACGCGCCACAAAGGGCGAACGCAAAACAAGCAAAACTAAACATTCGAACATTTTAATTAAAACTGTCGGTAGCCTTAGAAGCGCTCTTGTCGCCTCCGTTTTCCACACTGTTTTTTTTTCTTTCTCACGAGAAACATTGCGCAATTTTTTGCGTTCGTTCAGTATTTGGTGTCTCCCTGTTTGACACGTTATTTTCCGGACCGCGTCTTCTTTTGTTTCGGCTTCACAAGGCTCCAAGTTTCTTTTCAGCTAACAGTAGCGTAAAAAATGAAGCATTGTTAAGTTTCATTGTAAATGCGGAACCATGTTGTTTCAATGTGTATTGAAATTTATTTTGCATTTGGTGTTCGTTTTTCACGTTTTAGGCTGTAATCAATAATTTCCCAGCAGTTACGGTAGTAATGTCTGCAAACACGTGACGCAAATTGCAACAGTTTCATACCATTTCGAAATTTTATAGTTTTTCGCATTTGTTTGAAAGTTTACCTAAATCCTATTTTTTCAACCTAAACCGTTATGTTTAGCAAGTATGGGTTTACGAATCCTGTTTTCAATGCCTCCCAAGATAAATTTGCAATAAATTATTGCTTTCTTTTCTTTTAATGCTGGTTTCCCAGCTGACGCGTACTTATCGGGAACACTATCACTTTATCATGCATCAAATATTGATTCCCTCTCCGAATTCCACAGTTTCTTTGTTTTTTCATGGCCTGTTTTTTTAATCAATCACAAAGCTTTATTTGTATTGATTTAATAGTTTTTTTTTTATTTTTCAATTTGCAAAAAAATTATTGAGTTTTTCGCGCGTGCCTCGAAAGTAGTACGCAGGTGGTGTAGTTCATAAAAAAACGCCAGAGTCAGGCTCTTTTCACAATTACTCCCGCATACGCTTGAATAAGTGAAACTCTTATTTTTATCCCTTTTCTTGTGTTGTAGCAACGGTTGTAAAAAAAAATTATTTTTTTCTGTAATGTCGTGTTTAGAATGTTTTATTTATCGGGACAAATCTTGTTTTGCGCCGGACATTCGTAATTATGCCTACTTTTCGAGAAAAACATTGGCTTATTTTGCTCAAGAATGCAATAGATTTCTAATAAATTATTCAAAAGTTTGAAGCGACGGATGCGGGACGCTTCAACGAGAAAAGATTCACGAATATTCATTTCTATAACGCGAATAATAATTTTCGCATTTACGTTTTTTCGCCAACTTCTTTATCGAATAGTTTGCAAATTAAACATGTCCAAACTGTCAAATAACGTTCGTTAGTCAGGCATTTTCTATTAAAAAAAATGTGGCATACATTGAGTAGAAAACAAGTTTCAACGTTCTCTTCAACTAATTCATTTAAAGAAAAAATGTTTTAAAAAATCTTTAAAAAATACTAGGTTGCGCATTTACAGCGCGTTTAACCTAAGTTAAAACGTACACATTATTTAAAATTTCAAAACAATTGTTATTTCTCTCTATTGTTCTCAATATTGCGCAATTATTAATCTTCATTGTTTGAAAACTTTTTTTGAAAATAGCATGGATTTTATCATGATGATCCCCGCAGACTAACACGATTATCCGTCGGATTGCTCGAGGCGCTTCGACATGTAGGAACCGATTAATAATATTGAAGCCGTCGAAGCCTTCTTCTTCTACTTTTGCATTCTTATTCATCGTCACTGACCAACCCCGAAGCCAATTTTTCATCAAAATGCCGCGTTTTTCTATTCGTTGCCTTGTATTTCTTGCTCGTTTCCTAATTTTGTTTCCTCCGAAGAACTCAGCGAACGAACGATTTCAGTTAGGTAGCTGACTGGTTCTTCGCGATTTTTTGCCATTCTATCCGTTTCCCATTCGATAACTTTAGTCATGTAGTGTTTTTTTGGATTTGACTTGGTAGCTGTAATCGCAAAAAAAAGCTCAAAATGCATTCACCTTTTTCCTTTTTAATCCGAAAAGAAAAGTATTCATGAAAATAAAATAGAGCTGAGAATATCCGCCATTTCTCGCTCCGCACAAAATCCTTTCGTTTTTTAATCAAGCCTGTCATGCGATGCGAGGAAATCGTAAAAGTGTAGTATTTTGGCGAATAAAGGCGCCGATTTGTGCTCAAAGAATGAACGTTGCCTATATACGGAAGAATTGTCTCGAATCGTGGGAACTTGCAACGAAATTCGCATACGGCTTGATTAATTCCGTGATTTTCTAATTTCTCAGTTTTTGCTTGATTTCCGTCTATTTCGTATATTTTCACAAACACATAGCTGAGGTGTTAAAAAGATGTTTGAAAATTTCTGAAAATTTTTGAACCAAAACTTTAACTTTAAGGAAAAATGAAAAGAAAACGTTCATTTTTTCATCGTGCATGCGAATTCACGTTTTTTATACTCTAGCTCATAATAAACTGAGCCTGGTGTAACAAAAACTTCGAGAGACTTCGATTTAGTATGGAAAATCAAAATGCGAAAAATTTTCACAGCTGGCCGCATATCATGCCGAGAAATAACGATGCAGCATTCATAAATTAGTAGTAGTTTCGAGTGTTTCAGATGATTCAAACCTCCTCCGCATCCCGTAAATTCATACAAAATGATATGGGTTTTAGAGGACGTGTGCGTGCGTGTGTGTGTGTGTGTGTGTGTGTGTCTGTGGTTTGCACCAAGATTGGCGCATAAAATCGCCATCGTTGCTTACACATAATTTTATGGTGGATTGAAAGTGAAACGAGTCGAAACCTTGCATTTGCTCAAATTGTGGCTCGTTAAATTTCGATTTTGTGCCAAAAAAATGATTTACAACCGATTGGCGTATTTAATGCACAAAAAAACTTGTCGTCATACCAGATTTGCATATTACTTGTTATAAATTTGAACAGTTTTTTTTTAAATTTTGTTTCTCAATGTAATAATATTTTAATGATTTATCATATTTTATACGATTTCGCTGTTATATCACCATATTTTTTTGAGTGCTAATTCAAAATGTGTCGAAAATATTCTCACGATGAAGTATGCCATAAAAGTATCGATCAGCAGTCGCTCGCAGCTCCGAGCTTTCTTCCTTCCTTTCTTTTGGTTTCTTCAATCATGCGTCGATCGATCACCCGTTGATGACATTATTATTCAAAGATACTGTTCGCACCTTTGTCTTGTAATTCGATACACACAGCCGCGCGATGCACGTAATCGGCTAATTATCCTGGACGATTAGACGATTATCTTGAGCAACGATCATCGTTATTTTTTGATCGATCACATTGATAGAGTGCGGTTGCCTTGTGGATTTCGAATCACGATTCGAACACGTGTTGATTGATGTCGAGAACTAAAAAACGGGGGGAACTGAATAATTTATGGCCTAGTGCGCAGTAATAATCGCAATATACGTTGACACTTTTACAATGTTTCTTCGTTAATACTTTTGCTCAACACATTTGAATAGCACTTACAGTCAATCGATCTCTAAAACGTCCCTCGGGGGTTGCAGATTTTTTTTAAACGAACAGGTGAAACTCTTATTACAACATCTGGTAACATGATAACCAGCATTTTTTTTTTAAACCAAATTCTCTTGAAAACGTTGAGAAATACTTTCCAGAAAATTTAATTTGATCTTATATGCTCCAAAAAATTTGGAAAAATTTTGTTTAAAGAAGACCTTTTATAATGCTCTCCTCTTTTAATTTTTAAATCGCAATACGATGAAAATTTTGATTTGCATTTTTTGCTGCAATATTCGCCACTATTAGTTGCTTGTTTCCGCAACAATAGTAAGTTTGAACCGAGACAATGCGCAGAAACTCTTCAGTGAGTCATCTTGACGCGAAAACAAAACAAACAAAATGCACTTGAACTGATACCACCGCACATTGTCACATCGATAATTTGTCGCCGCAAGCAGAGCACCATAACCGCTCGGGTGGTAGTTGCGTCTAATTCGAATTAATTCGCAATGTTTTGGGTTAATTGGAAATCTCGAATAGCATCTCTATTTCTGCAATTGACAGGCGAATTTACATGTGTCGCGAGCCTCCGACATTCACGATTTATCTTCCTTTCGCATTTACAGCGGTCAAGACCCTGATGGACATTTGTCAGCGGGATTTGGCTGCTGCTTCGGATTTTGTCTCCATAATTAATGTTTTTATTATTCAACATATCGATGATAAAAACCTTCACATCTCATTCATATTTCGTTGCGATTGTTATGAAATCGTTTCCAATTCCATTGATTTCTTTGCATTTTGTTCATATACTTTGAGCCGTTTCCCAATGAGTCATACGCGACTGTATCATCAATTTTTTTTGGTAACCGTTTTCCTTTGCGACGTGCCGTCTTGCCGCTCCCTGAGTCAGCTTTCATAAATGTAAAATCTCTAATATTGCGTAGGCTTTATCAAAATGTTTTATATATAGAAAGATATATATTAAATGGTGTGAATAGGATATTATTTAGTTCCTTGTAAATATTTCGCTTCCTCCAAAAAATTGTGAAACATTTTGCTATCATCGCACTTAAAAGGAATTATATTCCTTCTAATGAATGGCTTCTTCATACCACAATACATATATTTTTTCTTTTATGCAAATTCTTCAAACCACCTTTTTTAATGACAAATATAAATTATTAAAAATAATTTAAGAACCCTTCAAAGCGACTCATGCGAGAGAAAGCTTGTTACCAATGATCCAGAAATTTTCTCATTTTAATAACAACAAACTTTTTTGAAACCGAATTCATTTTTTCTATTGTTGGTATTTTTTTGATTTTTCCAAATCTGACGAACTCACCGCTACGGGTCCATCATCAGTTCCCACAAGCCCCGCCCATTTTGGGCCGCGCTCTCGCTGTTCCGCCCTTCGTCTTGTCTGCCCGGCAGCGCGCGCGCACACACACACATACACCCATACATTCTGTGTCTTCTCCGATGTTTCATTATGCGTTTATAATTTTTTTTTGCCCAGCGCGCGCCGATTAATCATTTTGAAACAGTTCATATTTTTTACAGAAGCGTGATTCTCGAAACGACGACGACCCCGACTATTTCACACACCTCGATGCATTTTTTGGTTTAATACCGTTTCAAGAAAAATGCGTGAAAAGTCATCTATTTTGTTCATTACTGTATTCTCGCAATTACTCATTATTTGTGGCGCCTCGCAGCCTATGAAGCCGACTGTCGATGAATTCGGTAAGCATTTTATATTTGGGAAATATAAACATAGTAGTGTGAGATCTTAATTCCTTACACCACGCAATGCAACGCGTTCTCGCCACAGCACCATTTCCGGATCGCAAAAGAAGCGATTTGGCCGAACGCACATTAATTGTGCTACTTATGAGCATAGGGAGAAGGTTTTTCATAGCCTAACGATGCGTATTCTTTGCTCTAATTGTCACTTGATAATTCGGCAGCCGAGTTGTCCTCTGGGAAACCGAAATTGACGGAGGGCGGCATCACGTCAAAGTCAACCGGTGAATAAACAGTAGTAACTAGGCGTCATAATCCATGCACTTCACCGACAGCGGGGAGCCATCGGTATCTTGCGTAACTTGTTTCCGGTACCGGTCGGCAATCACTCATAAGGTCCTCCTGATATCTCGAAATATTGTTTGCACACAGATTTCAAATTACAAATTGTTTTCGACACGCTAGCCTTGACGCCAATTTGTAGGAAAAAGTGTCTTATTTTCCTTCTTTTTTGTTTGCGACGTAGGATTAACCCGCTGAGCTTCAACCAATCCTAATTAGCCATGTTTTTGCACTGACATGAGTTATTTGTGGAAAAAATAAGGGAAAGGGGGTATAGGTTTTCTTGGCTTGCATAACAGTCAAATGCTATAGTGCGACGGGACAGATGTATCTTCACCTCGGGTGTACGTACGCGTGTTGTGAAAGGCTACTTCCAAAATTCAGTTTGCGTTTGAGAGTGTCGAGGTTTTTCTTTCCGCTTGACGGTTTTTGTTTGCATTAACGCACTTTTCTCGTTGGGTGGGATCTATTTGGTTGGCTTCTATTCATTAGGGCAATTTTTGCGAATAATGGGGGATTTGCCGCTGATCCGAGCCGGTCGCTGATGAGGTAAACAATATTTGTGGAATTCACAATACCACCTGTCGCACCTGTTGTAGACCTTTTGAATTTGAAAATATTTAGTTGACGGGTCCCACAATCAGGTCGTTGTGGCATCAAGCAAAACGATATGAATATGGCACAACGCATACGCGAATTAGGGTGAAACAATACGATGGCACATGGCCTTTTGTTGTTCGACTACTGCATGTTTTTATTCGGGCTGTATTCCTCAAATTAATTCGCATCAGAATGCGCCAATTTGTTGCTAATAATAGGATGCGGATAATGAGTTTTTCGTCGTTGGTTTTTCGCGCATTCAGCTAGCTGGTCTTTTTTTTCACTGTCAAAAGTTCCTTTTTTGAGGCGATTTGCAAATAATGTTAAGTGGATGGCCTTGTGATTGATGCTGTTGATGATCATCTTCATAATATGTTTTCTTAATCCCAATCGTACACACTGGAATGCTCACATCTTGCCGCTGCTACTCGTTGTAATATAGTCGAAAAGTTTCGCCGGTCGAATACTGTTGGCAAATAAAACGGCCCATCCGCGCTGCAGCTACGGCGTCGGTTAGCGGCTAATTGAATCAATTAGAGAAAAACTGATGGCAAAGCTCAATGTCGGAAGCGAAAGAGCAAAAAGAAGAAGCACCCTAATTATGCGTTATTGCGTAACTAACAATTACGGGCGGCTCCCAAAGCCTTATCCGTGCATTACATCTGAAAACTACTGGACAGCGCACCTCATTTTCACAGTTGGAGCTCAGTGAACCGTATGCTCACATGTGCGCTTGAGTTTGGCGGATTATCGCGCCTCATTCGAATCGTTCGACCGACATTGTCAATGGATTGATGGATGGCGATGACGAAAATTGCACAACACTAGCGGCGAGATCCGATCCGAAACGTATGCTTCGTTTTATCTATTCCGAGATTATGATCGAAAGTCATTCATACCGCTCTCTGTGGTTCGCCGCAACCAATTTGAGAAAGGATGCCCGAGCGAGCTCGAGTTGTCACATTGTTCGTCACAGAAGCAACACATCCTTGACGTGTTGAGACCAGTGGGAATCCAAAAAATCATTGTTTTGTCTCAAACTGAATAAATTTGGGACGGGTGCGAGCAATCCGAAAAAAAAATGGCCAGATATTCTTTAGCAACAATAGGTCGTTATAATCGACGAGCACAATGCGTAGCGCTTCTTTTGATGTGTCCAGTATCGGTGACCCGATGTTTCATATTTTATGGTCTCATGATGACTTCGCGTCTGGGTGCGATTTAAGGCCTGCTGTTGAATAATGCATTAGTAGTTGTAATATGAATCACGCGGGAGTCCAATTCAACTTATGTAACTTTATATCCAAAGCGACTTCACCGTATGGTCGAAGAGGCCATGTTTGCGTGTTTGTTTGTTTAAAGCGATGAATGAAATGCAAATTCGATCTTATTGTTGCTTGCTCGCCACGCTTCCTTCGCGCAACGGAATTATGCGAAAGCGAGGGCTAGGATACGCTAGTTCATCAGCAACAACAGCTTCTGAAACAATTCGAATTGTTTTGCGGATTCTGCCAATATTTATTGAATAAAGAGCTGTTGAAGAGCACTTATGGAAGTAGAGAGGGGAGGATGCTGGATACGACACGACACGTAATTCGTAATTAGTCGTCTTCTAGTGGCACCACCGCGTTCCAGGCCAAAGAGTTGAGTGCTTAACCGCATTAGTGTATTTAACAAGCGTTCGTTCTCTCCCGTCGAAAATATCCCAAAGGGCGTTGCAATAAAATCAGCGGCACAAGAAGCTGGTACACACACACACATGCGCAATAGTGTGCACCTTGATGAGAACGTCGTACAGAGTGTGTGCATGCTTACGATATATGTGTTGTATATGCAGATGAAACAAATAGATGAAATTTCGCAGAGGTGACCGCTTTTCATTTCTATACAAATTTTGAAATAATGGGGATCAGACCTAATGCATCAGCATTTCTTTTTTTCACTTCAGGTATAATTTCCCATACGATATGCGACGGGCAACTTGCCGAATTGAGTTGCGATCCTGGCACTGTCATCTCGGTCGTTCTTGGTAATTACGGGAGATTCTCGAACCAGGTAATTAATTAGATCATCAATTTCCTTAATCCCCAAGTCATATTGCAGGTTTGCATCGTCGACGCTGACAACTTTGTTCCGTCCAATAACAATTGCCAAAATCACAAAACCAAAGAGATATTGGAGAAAAAGTATGTTTTTTTTTTTCAACCAGTCATCGAAGGTGTCAAAATGAGAGGTGTGCAGCTGGCGGCTGACTTAACTAACATATTCAACGAGCGGGTTTGAATAGGCGAAAAGAGTACCTGAATTTGAAATGTGCGCGCTTCTTCTCGTACAATTTGTCTTCCTGCTTCGTCGGGTTTTTATTGTTGAACACACACGTACACATTCAGCGACCCTCCATAAAATAGCCACATATCAATCTAAGAAAGGCGTTCGAAACGTATATTTGAGTTGATAAAGAATGGTCGGTCGGCTGGTTGAATGGCTAGCGAGGTTAGATAACCTTGGAGTCAGATTCGGCACGGAGGATTATATTTTTAGACGCGCAAAACGCAAATTATCTGATTTCACCGATGCCTAATTGACTACGACCTCATCATACACATATGTAGTATTTGTTTAGCTGCGGGTGTCTTAGACATTAGCGCAGTTTGTTTTGAGCGTCGTATGAACATTAATTGGTAAATGATGATGATGAAAATTATGTTCGAGATAATGTTCACTGTGTTGGGATGCCCATATGTCGTACTCTTGGGTCATCACAAACACAATCACACTACTAGTAGACATTTTCGACGCTCGCCATTCATTTCCGTTTCCCTTTCCGTCTCGAAATTGAAGAAGTCACATCGAAATCGTATACTAGACGGCAAGATTATTGAGGAGAGATGAAGCATCGACCAGCAGCTGTATTATCGGCGATTGAAAGAATCGCACATGAAAAAAATAATGCGTCGTTGATAGCATGAAATGATGCGTGCGGACAAGTCGCGGGGGGACGCGAGAAGGAACCTCATCGGTTTCACTGTCAAAACGAAGCGGACGGGAAAAAGGAACACATGCAGGACGGAAGGGACGAATCAACCAACCGGCTACTAATCAATGTTGCCTTGCACATCGAAACACGAACAAAAAAGTGCAGCAACAAATTGACCTTGTCGCGAGTATCATTACATTTTTATTACTATTTTGAATGCTCACAATTAGTAGGCAATTGGACAAAACTTTTGAATTGAAATTCAACCGATTGGCCGCATATTGAATTGTTAATCGGCACATGTGAAGCTACATACATGACCTTTGTTACTTTGCGGTAAAATTGTCCGGAATGCTAATTAGGGTGTCGGTGTCTGCAGTTTCGTTTTCTCAATGCCTCCATTCAACAATTCGGCAGTGTTTTTTGTCACCTTCAAGTGGTGCCTCAAATAAGGCAGATTTCCATTAGTTATCGTCAGTGACGCGTAGAAGTCGTCTTTAGCGAGACGACAAAAAGTGCCGCCGTCTGTCAGTCGTTTTGGGGCCACCAACGAGGGCTCTCCACACATCCATAATCCCGAAGAAGACCCCGTCGATGCCCATAGATAATCCTTTTTTCTTGATGCTTGTCGCCTCCTTTGGTCCGACGACGCGACTAGCTGCCAGCAATGATATAGCGGGTTTTTGAGGTCAGGCGTGCGCAATAGAAGGGCAAAAAACAGGAAGGCGTGTTAATTAAAAAATACGACGAGCAGAATTGATGTGTTGCTTTATGAGATTTTTTCGTTTCGTTTTCTTGCACGGCGGGAAGCACTTGATTAGGTAATCCGTCATTCAATGTCTTCCATTATTTTTCCCCCATCCTCCCCCATCTTTTCTTTGCAAGTTTGTTCATCAGGGGCAAGTGGGGGTGAAACGGGATCAATTTGTGAAGACAATAGGAGTTCGGTAACTTTTACTCGGCGATTAAGATGCATGTGGTTCCCATCCGCGGCATAATTAGAAGTTATCCTTGGGTTCAGTGACCCAAAACAATCGAAACTTGGATCTAGAAAAGAAAACACAGGGGGAAGGCGGCTTGTCTCTTTTTTCTCATTGTCATCTAATACTAATAATTTGGCGCTCCGCCGTCTGAACAATACAAGAAACTGTTGGCAGGGATATGATGAAATTTGAGAACATTCGGATGCAAACACGTTAGTCGGAGCGTAGTAACTTGTTCCACCTGAATGTCCGCTTGCGCGTCTTCAATTGAAACCAGTACGTAGAAGCGAACATCTGCACGAAAAAAAACAAGGCTGCTCGACGTCAATGTGTATATAATCAACAGCGTACAAATTGGTAGATGTGGTCGTCAAAGACGACCCAGCTCGAACCAACGACGACAATTTAACGATTGCGTGTTCTACTCGGATTTCCATGTGCGTTTTTTAATGTCCAATAAATTGGACCTCACACACACACACACAACATGGGTCATTTTCGAAACCTATGATTAGTGCGTTTAGCCAAAAAAAAAGAACACACACGCTCACGCACAGTTCGGTGTCAGCCCAAGCGATACAACGAAATTGATGTTCGTCTGGGGATCGGAACCGCGGCTGCAGCCTGTTTAATGGGAAATGAAGACATACTACTGTCGCCGATGTGAATAGGGGCCCGTGGATAAATAAGTTTTGGAATAGGTAATTTGGCGGGTCTTTGTGTACTGTGTGTACGTCTGTGTGTATACAGACAAGTTGTGTATTGTCACAATTAAAACTAATCGACTTCCCGAACGAACTTATTTCGTCCAAGGGACCATCCGATTTGAAATCTTCGAAGCAACTAGTGTTGATATAATATGCGACAGTTTGATTGGCATGTGCCTTTCGACCTTATGCTGATGATTTGCGATGCACACCGCGTGGTGACAGCTTCCTTTTACGGCTGCCGACTTCGGTGCTCTTCTTCTCCCATGAGACATTTCGCCAAAACTAGGTAGTTTTCGATTCGCTGAGCAATTTTCACTAGCCCAAAATAAAAACAACAACAGTATTGGAAACAGCTGGCAGGAAAACAAATTGGGGTGAGAGGTAGACCTTGAAACGCTGTGCTGTTGATTTTTCACATGAATGAGTTGTGAGACACCTGTTGAAAGGTGCCCAGTGCACCAATTTATTCTAGGATGCCCATAATTAAGTAATATTCGTGTAGAACCAGTGGCAAATGCTAATTCGATTTTACCTAAATTCGAAAGACCTAAAAAACGAAACAGATGTCGCACCAGTGTCATGCGTGGGGTGTATTTAGCATCGGATTAGAAATAGAGATATCGAATTATGTAATAATTAGCGGGTTACTGACAGTGTGCACAATTTATAGATGTAACGGAAAATCGTCGTGTCGATTTATTGTCGATACGTTCCTGTTCGACGATGCTTGTCCAATGATGAGCAAATACCTCGAAGTACAACATGAATGCCACGAAGGTAGTGTGCAATAATAATATGCATACTTGTTGTGGGGTTGTTGCAAAACTATTGTGTGGTGTGACTGATTTTGAGGAATGATTGTCGTGTTTGTGTTTATTGTGAATCTGTTACAGATGCAATGGAAGATCTTCGTGCGATTTAACCGTTTCAAAAGAAACATTCATCGAGGATCCATGCCCGTCGACTAGCAAATATCTTGAATTCAAATATAAATGTGTGATTGGCGGTTTGTTTTTGTTTACTTCTTAATAATAGTTGTAGTGAGTGGTGTTTTATCTAGAGTGTCGTAATGATTTTTCAAGTGTTAAAATTATATTGCTTAAACTTATTTGTTCTGCAGAGACGACAACTTCCTCAAGCACTTCTAGCTCCACAACCACCACTGAAAACAGCGTCGTTATTGAGGATCGAGCGGTATTTCATACACCTGCGACGTTTTAAATCATACATACATTTTATTCTGCAGAGTACCGATGAGATTGGCCGTGAAATTGACTCTAACAAACTTATCAAGAACCCGGGATACTGCCCAGAAGTTGAACGTCGCGGAGTGAAATGGCCAGCTACCAGAAGTGGACATACCGCCATTGCTGATTGTCCAGAAGGATCTTCTGGAAAACAGATTTGGCATTGCCAAGCTATTGGCGAATGGTTCACGGAGTACGCGAACTCATCGGGTTGCGAAAGTGCATGGGTAGCCGTTCGAAGTGGCCAGCTCAATGAAGTGATCGGAAGTGTCGATCCAACTGGAATCCCCGAAGTTCTGCGAAATCTTGCATCCGACACTCGCAGGCCAATGGTTGGCGGAGATTTGCCGAAAGTTTTGCATCTTCTTGAGCGAATTGTTGAAGTTAACGTCGAAGAGCCATGGACCAGGTAATTAATGGTGTTAGCGAGTCATATTAATAAGATAATTTATTTTTAGAAGTATTCAAGCATCGGCTAACAAAATGATCGTGGAGGTGCTGAACACAGTTCTCAAAACCAATAATGTTTGGGCGAGCTTCGACAGCAAAAAACGAAGGGAATATGCAACACGAATTTTGTTCCTTTCCGAAAAAGCTATGATTGCGACTTCATTGTATATGTCCACTGCCGATTCTAATGTGCTTGTTCAACCTCTCGTCACATCCGAAGTCTCGCCTGTCACAAGAGTAACATTTATTTTATCTTCAACCCATAGTCATATATTTTTTTTAGATATCTTCTCAACTCTCGGATTATATACTTTTCCCATCTTCTGCATTATGGGGGAATCAGATGGTCGACAATGTGAACATTCCGCAAGAAGCTCTTGCGAAAATCACTAATGGTATATAATTTGCGATTTGTTTTATTTTTTCATATAGCTTATGTATTTGTTTTCAGATGAAGCTCGAGTTTATTTTGCATCGTTCGCTAACATTGGAACCCAGATGACGCCCCGAGACTTAATAATCCCGTCGATGAATCCCAATGAGGAGGCAATTGTCAGAAAGCGTCGTGTTGTTTCGCGAATCGTCAGTGTCACACTCATTCACAACGGCAAAGCAAGACAAGTTGAAAAGCTAAAGCAGCCGGTAAAACAAACATCAAGCATTAATGTGCTAAACTGAAAACTTTAAGGTTCGCATCAGCTTTTATCATAGAGAATCTTCAATTCGACACATGGACGCACCAACATGCGTTTGGTGGAATTATCATCAGCTTGATTGGTCGCCGCTCGGATGCAGATTGGCTAGCCACAATAACACGATGACCGTTTGCGAATGTGATCATCTCACACACTTTGCCGTTTTAATGGATATTCGTGGCATTGAGGTAATTAAAATCGGACAAAACATAAAGGGATCATCGAGTTTCAGCTTGACGATACCAACGAATCCATTTTGACAATGCTTACTTTTGTTGGTTGCTCGGTTTCGATCATCTGCTTGTTTGTCACCTTGTTTTGCTATCTAATTTTCAGCAAGGGTGGTGGTGACAGGTGAGATTTGAGGACGAACTAAGTGTTGAAATATTTAATTTCAGAGTGTTTATTCACGAAAACCTATGTCTTTGCCTTGCCATCGCGGAGATAACATTCCTCGCTGGAATATCGCGAACTGACAACTCAATGCAATGCAGCCTCATCGCCGCTGCTTTGCTGTACTTGTTTCTCGCTGCACTCACATGGATGCTCCTTGAAGGCTATCACATATATCGAATGTTCACCGAGGTTTTCCCATCAGATCCTCGTAAGCTGATGTATTTCGTGATTGGATACGGATGCCCAGCTGTAATTACTTGCGTCGCCTATTTTTATGATCCAAGCGGTTTTGGAACACCTCAGCATTGCTGGCTGCGAACCGACAATCATTTCATAATCTTCTTCGTTGGACCAGCTTCATTCATGATCTTCATCAATACCTGCATTTTGATAAAAACGCTTTGTATCGTTTATCAACATTCTCGTGGTGGATATGTTCCATGCCGTCACGATGTGGATTCTGGAAGACCTATTCGATCATGGGTGAAGGGATCAATGGCATTGGTGTGTCTCCTCGGAGTTACCTGGAGCATTGGACTTCTTTGGATAGACGATGGAAAGTCAATGGTGATGGCCTACCTGTTCACCATCTGCAATTCCCTTCAAGGATTATTCATATTCCTCTTCCATGTCGTCTTCTCCGATAAGGTAATTGATTTGAATTATGTGCATTGTATTATTGTTATTAATTTCAGATGAAAAAGGATGTCTTTTTGTGGATTCGCCGTCGAGGCTGCGGATCAGAGTCTACACCAACCCCTCAAAAGCGAATCATAATTCCACGTGACGCGATGTCTCCGGGAATGAACAGTTCAACTGGCACAGAATTCTTGGTATGTTGCTTTAACTAATTATTTTCTGTGCTGTCCTGGTTCGTCATTTTGTTTTGTGTCGTATAGAAACAACGAAAACGTGCCGAATACTCGCCGATGGTGGCATCAGCCCGCCAAAATCTGTCAAATCGTAAGATGAAGTGTGCGGAACTTACCTATCACCTCATCCATTTTCTTTTTTAAATTCTAATTTAGCCTAATCTCTAATCGGCTTCTTTCGAGTGTTTAACATATCAGCAACAATCATACAACATATTTCCTTATTTTCAATTTTTCCAGTACCCGTCGAGCGAGAAGTACCTGGTGAGCTTGGATACTACGAGTCGATTGCCATATAGTCAACGAATGCCCCATCCGAGCCATATTCCGCACATGTATGAACCCCAACAAGGTATAGATTTATTATAACGCGAATTTCCTTGAGAAACAACCTTTAATTTTCAGGAACCTATGATTATGCAACAATTTCATATGGCGAAATGCTGCCTGGTCATCGTATAGCAGCACCGCCAGCCTACCAACGATTGGCATTCGCGAGTCCGTCAGACGCTGCTCGCTACGATGCTCAATTGTATTATGCTCATAACAATGGCGGATGGCATCGACCACCACCCGAGTTCTCACCGCCACCACCGCCATCACAACAGCATCAGCAGCAGCGCGGAATACCGTATCCAAGTGGTTCGACTGGTCGTCGGCCACCATCATCCAAAATGAGTGATGATTCGGCATATTCCGATGGAGGGTCTTCTTCAATGCTCACCACCGAAGTCACGCCACAAGGCCAAACAGTGTTGCGCATTGACCTCAACAAGCCTAACATGTATTGTCAGGAGTTGTAGAAAACCAGGTGCTAGGCATGACATATTATCAAAATTGCGGGTTGCACTTTTGTTGTGAATAATAACATTAATAATAATATTAATCATTTCTCTTGATCCCAATTTGTATTTTCTCTTCTCTTTCATCATCAGGAATTCAAATGGTTCTCATTTTTGCTCATTCTCTTAAACCAAAGACAATGCTTTAAGCATGCTTTCACAAAATCCCCCACTGGTCAGTTTTGATAATTTTTGCTTGTAAATTGTTCTGTTTTCATTTCTCGATGTAATAGTTTTAAAAATCCCGAAAAATTCAATTTATCTTCTCATCATTTCCTGTTGTGGTCGTCTGTTACCGGTAGTTCTTTTCGTTTATGTTTTTTTTTTCGATTTCTTCTCCGTTTGTTTTTTTCTGTGCATTTTTATGTTTAATTATTATGGTCCGACGATTTCCGTAAAAAATCGTCGGAAATTTGTTGATTATGTTTATTTCGTAATATCGAAATAAAATAATTTGAATTATTTGATGATTGAATGTTTTTTGGGGTGGCCTCTTGGTTTGATCGACACTTATTGCACGCGTCTTGCCGGCGACGCTATCGTCTTCCACGTATTCCCGAACTCTCAAACATATAAAATGTCACCAAAGAGTCATATTTTCAATAAGATTATTATCGTAACAGGTCTATGAGTATAATTAAACTGCGTCTAAAAAGAACGAATGATAAGGAACGTCAAAAAACGATTGATAAAAATATCGTCTCGATGCACTGTACGAATATTTCAATCAAATTTAAAATCATTGTGAAATTAGTTGTGAATATGAAGAATATGCAAGTGATGACAGCAATGGGAATTCTGATTCTTGAATTTCTTTGAAATCCAAAATGCATATTAATAATAAAAAATTGTATCTCCAATGTGTCGAAATTTTACAATACAAAGTAGATCGATTCAATTTGCACACAATTTACTGATTTCGAATAATTGTTTCAAAAAATATATGTATTGTTGAAAAATGACAAATGTATTCAGGTGTCGTAGGATCCTGCGTTTTGTACGCAATGCTAAGAGACAGTTACCGTAATCCTCGTAGCGATTTACGGGGGACTTTTTTTTTAAATTTCGCATATTCATTTTTTTATTTTTCGCTCAATTTTGGTATTTTCCTTCGAAATTTTGTTTAAAAAAATGTTGAAGAAACCGATTTTAATAATTTATTTAGCAGAATAAGCACTTTTAAAGGATTTTTTTTGGTAAAAACAGCAGAGATTTAAAAGAAATCATTTTTGTCGTTAATAAAATTATTTAATCGTGTTTTGCTTTTTATGTACGCGTTTCTATTATCTTGTTTTTGTATTCTTCATTTTCAAAATAATTTTTAGGGCGTCAAAATTTTCACAATAATTCCCAACGCAACTAGACAAATGGAAAAGTGCATATTCTGAAAAATAAATAATTAAACTCGGTTTCTAAAGGTTTTAAATATAAGATTTCTAAAGAAAATAAAAAAATTCAGCAAAAAAATTGAGAGAAAATAAAAAAAAAACTCCGTAAATCGCTGCGAGGATTACGGTAACTGTCTCGTAGCATTGCGTACAAAACGCAGGATCCTACGACACCTGGATACATTTGTCATTTCTCAACAATATATAGAAATTTTACGTAAATCGACACCGCGAGAGCCAACTCAACAGTAGACCACGTCATCGTTTATAATGGCAAAAAACGAGCGACCTTACGTGGAGTTTGATTCGCAGGTTATCCGTAGTACGGTACTCGAATCCCCACTGTTTTAAATTTAATTTGATTTACCGGTTTGGAAAAAATTCGATTGATCACAAATGCCCAGAGTGCTCGTTATTTGCGGGGTGTAGAATCGAATACAAATAAGATTTATAGCGATCCGAGCACATTTGGCAAAGCTATTCGCAAAAAAGCCGAAATTGAATATACAATTTTTGGCCACGAGCGTACGTGCATTATTTAGATTCGAAAATTATTTCGAAAATGAATTGAATTTCTAACAAACATTGGAATGTTTAAATCGTGCTGTTCCGCGCATACCAATTTCATAAACATTTGTATTCGTTTATCAATGTCAATTGGCAGTGTGCCATTCGAATCTAATCAGTTCATGTCAAAAACCTGTCATTTTAGCCAAAAAAGGGTATAAAACTGATAAAGAGCAACTCGAGGAACAAGCATTCAGGCGGCCTCCGTTATCATTTGCGAAAAAAAAAACGCTCGATCGCAATTTTCGATAGCGTTCAACTGCACTATTCTCCTACTGTCGATGGCTATACTCGGATCGGATCAATCTTCGCCGTTTTGGTAACTGTGCTCTGACGAGATAGGAATAACAAATGTTATTTCATCAGGCCATAGTTATCCAAAACTGCAAGATTACTTTTACGGATAACCACTGTGGGTGAAGTCAATTGAATCGCGTCAGCAAATCCCGTCAAAATGTTACTTGGCTGAAATTGAATATGAAAAAAATGAAAAGAAGATTGATAATTTCATAGCGCTCACCTCTTAAAAAAAATTAGGGTTTGAATTGAATAGAAATCGAATCTTGCGAGGGAAGCTTCTGGTTCGATTGTTTAGAAAATAAAACTACAACACCTTTCAACATTTTTTCAGACGAAAATACTTGCAAAATAATAATGTTCGAAAAATAGTAGCCATAATTAATAGATTTTAATTACTATTAAGTTGATTGAGCTAGACTACGAGTACAATTGTCTTTTCTGAGAAAAAACGCATAGGAAATGTTATTTTATGCCTAAATTACTAATAATTTGATCTCTCGCATTTAAATGCTTTAATTTAAGCCTATGAATTTCAACAGATTCTTGTGATATTTTGTAATTAACATTTTTATTTATGATCAAACATTATTTTTGAAAACAAACTACAGTCGGCGTCCGGCGACTGCTGTACGCGGGTAGATTTACGGGAATGTGTCTTTCGAAATGGTCTCGAAAGGATTAACATGTTATTTCAAATTTTATGGACCGTTTCGATAATGTTTTAATCAAATGACATTGGAAATTCAAGGAAATGCGAAACTCATCAAGAAAAATGAAGCTGTTCACGTGAAAACAGCAAAATAAGCATTCACGCGTGACGAGACCTTTTCAAGGCGCATGCGCGTAAATCTACCCGCGTACAGCAGTCGTACATTTTCACGTTTTCCACATTTTGATTTCAACTTTAAACTTTCAATTCGCGTATTAGTGTCTCTGCGAATGAAAAAATTAGTGGGTCCTATAAATTTCTAAGAAACCCTTCAATTTGCATTATTTTTTCTAAATTGCTCCATTTTAAAAATATTTATAGCACCTTATTAAATTTGGCGTCAAAACTTCATCATCAAAAAGTGTAAGCATGTTTGATGTTGAAAATTGTATTCGCTCGCTTTTTTTTCCATATCAATTCCTCGTTATCAGTTCATCGATTTTTTTTTCATGTCAGTAGCGATTGCCAATTATGCAAAAATGACGGCAATAAATGAAATAGATTGTGAATCGCAAAAAATTTATACATAAAAATTTTCGAACACACCGCGAGTTGAGCGGCGTCGGCACGATTCGAAAAGAACAACGAGAACTAGTATCCTGGAGCGGTTCTTGGCGGAGGGCAGTGGTCGCAGCCGCCTCCGGATCCTGAGCTTCCGGCGTCTCCTGGTGGTCCTGGCTGTCCTGGGTTTCCTGGGGCTCCATCCGGTCCAGCGTCTCCTGGAGGTCCTGGTGGTCCTGGTTGTGCATATCCTCCAGCTCCTGGATTTCCTGGCGGTCCTGGTGGTCCAGCTGGTCCAGGTGGTCCCGGTGGTCCGGCGGTTCCTGGTTGTTCGACAACCTGTCCTGGAGCTCCTGGGTTTCCTGGTGCTCCTGGCTGCCCGTCGTTTCCTGGTGGTCCTGGTGGTCCTGGTGGTCCTGGTGGTCCAGCGCCTCCACCCGATGGGGTATTTCCCGGAGCTCCTGGGTTTCCAGCTGGTCCAGGTCCTCCCGGGTTTCCTGGTGGTCCTGGTGGTCCTGGTGGGCAGTCGAAGCAGAAGTCGCCGGCTGATGGCGTAGCTTGCTGAGCATCCGATCCAGCTTGTCCTGGGTTTCCAGCTTGTCCGTCGGTGCCTGGCTGTCCATCAGGTCCTGGTGGTCCTGGTGGTCCGGCGGCTCCGATTCCGCACGAGCAGCAACCACCACCGCCTCCACCGCCTCCTCCGCCCGTAGCATAACCACCACCACCTCCACCACCACCACCTCCAGCTCCATAAATATCAGCACCATATGCACGAGCCCGGGCAGCTCTCTTGATTCTCAACTCTTTGCCGTTCGACATCTCGAACTAAATATTAAACATGAATAGAACATAGTGGCAAAAAATTGTGAAACTCGTCCAAATTCATCCCAAAGACCGTCAGTTCGGTGTCGGCAAAAGTCGACTTCATTCTGTAGGGAAGATTGCACATGCTGCATATAGCTGTACATCATTGGAGTGGCAACAATAGCGACTAAAGTTGCGATTGTCGCAACAGAGATGCCTAAATGCGCATTTTGATGAGAAAAAAAAACAAACAGGCAAATAAAAGTCCTACCAAAGAAGGCAACCTTTTTGAGATTATCGATCTCGGCGAGTTTGAGTTTTTCGTCTGACATGACGAAACGAATGCCAATGAATCGAGAGACATGAGTTTTTATAGGCGTTCAATGTCTTAAACAAGTCGTTTTGTTATCTGCGTTTTAGTTGAATATGCAAACGCAATGCCAAAATGCTGTCGATTGAAGATCGTGCGAGAAGCGGAGACATCAGCGTCGAAGCGATTCTTTGTTTTGGTGGCAATTTCGCAAATTAACTGTAACCGAATTCGATAAAAACAGATTGAGATCTCCTCTTGTTTGTTGTTGTTGTTGTTATTATTGTTTTATGTGTTTTTTTCTGCTTTTTTGCCCTACTTCCTTCATCGCACTGACCGACCGGTTCCATGGCCACATTCTCATCTCATTTTGCCACCAATTCGAATGAACAAAAGTGCAAATTGATTACGAATCGTTGCAGAGATTCTCCGCCGTCAGGATGGGCTCGAAATACTCGAACTCGACTTTCGTCTGGGAGATGGATCTCACTTTAGAAATTCGATATATTGACACGTTTTTTTCTATTTAAAAGAGTGACGAGACGAGCAGTTTGTAAAGCTTCATTACATTTTTGGTTTCGTTTTTTAATGGTTCGAACTTTAATTTTTATCCCAAACATTCAACTTATATTTATTTTGATTCATTTTCGTGTGTCGATTTTATTCTAAATATTATATTGTAGTTCAGAGCATTTCATTCAATATCTTCTATTTCCATTTTATGAAACATTTTAATTATTTTAGGCGAAACAAATATTTACCACGAGAGAACCGAATTCGCACTGTTTAAATCAAATCTCTAAAAAATGCGATGGTCCACAATTATTTAAAGCGCTCGGTTTTTTTGCGATTGTGTCGTATTGTTGACGTCGCACGACTGTGGAAAATTGGCTGAATACCAAGAAGTTAAAAAAAAAAGTTCGCGGCGTGTGCCTTTAATCTATCCTTATAATTAGGTCTGTAAATGTACACTTTTAGTCTTGCGCCACGTATATTATATATTGGTTCTCGTAGATCTCTTACAAGGGTGGTCATTTTAGGGAATCCATTGGCGATTTTACCCTAAATGTGCTATCGCCTATTATTATCCAAATTAACTGAAAGAAAATTTGTCTGAAAAAAGTGAAAATTTTTAGATACCGAAAGTTTCAGACTTCTAGACGATTGCGCAGGTAATTCGAAAAATACCAGTCGATAGAACATTTTCGCAGATTTAGAGAAAAATCGCCAATTACCTACCTAGTCAAAAAAAATGATAACAATCAGTTTTTCAGAAAACTATGTTGAGGTTTTTTGTGGGTTTTTCTATTATTTATAACAGTGCGTGTCTGTAAATATCGAGATTCGAAAATTTGAAACAAATCAGTGTTTCAAAAATCACGTCAGTTTTCTGTGAAATAATTGCATTTTTCGAGATGCCTATAAGTCGATAAACGAGCCATTCCAATAATCGGATTAGAAATTAATAAAATCAATTTTTTTAATTGTCGAACAATCACAATGAATTGAAACCACACTATTCTTGTAAGTAGTCAAGAATGTTTTTTTTTGGCACATCATCAACCCCCACAACGCGTCGAAATTCGGCACTAATCCGCCGTGTTCGAATCTATTTTCAAATTGTTTCTTTTCGGCTCAAAATCTGCGTTGTTGTCTTTTCACTTGAAATGACTTGTTGCGTAACCTGTTCATCTTCGATATTTACACCCACCCCAGCAAATCCATTCGGAATTGACCAATGAATCAACGATTTGTTTTCATTCGTGCTTCGAAATATCTGCTAAACCTCATTTTTAATCTCATTAAAACTATCAACCATTTCTATGAACACCAATTTTTAAAAATAATTATCTCTCATTTAATCAATAATTCGCAATAATTATCCAATTTTCAGTTTCCATTTTTTTCTGACATTTTCTGAAAAGAATAAAATTTTTCTCCAAATATGTGCATGATAATTATTTGTTTTTTGATGAAATCAATTGTGGTTCAAAAAAATAGTAATAATTGAAACTCGCTCATCAATTAGATTCATTCCAAATGATCGAATTCGAATATTTTATGTGCTGACAAATCTATTTACGCTTTTGAAGACGTCATCAAAGTGCAAAACGTACCATTTTGAGCGACCCACTCAATTTCCTCAATTTTTTCGGTCGGTCACTCATTTCCTTGGAAAAAAACGTAGAAGACGAAGAAGCCAAGTTTTGCACGAAGGCGAATTCTTAAACGGATGTGGCATCTTAGATAGAACGGAAATTCAATGATGATATATCTATATATTCTCGCCATTTTTTTTTCTTCTTTTCCTTTTATGGATGAACAAAATATTGCGCAGCACGAGATTTGTTTTTCATTCCTTCGTTTTCCGTGTAACACATACCGTGGGAAATCACTTTGCACTGCCGGTTTCGACTCATTTTTGCGAGTTTTCATTTTTGCTCAACCATCACGAGATTTTTGTTTGATCTTGTTGCGAGCTGAGCTCGGCGTGGGAAAGAACCAAAACATTTGTTAAACACTTCTGAAAATTCGCGCTTAGTATTTTTTTCCGGAGTTCGAAGATTGCTCTCTCGAAATGCGAACAATTCGAATGAAAAAGACAAACATTTTCAGTCAACCAATGGCCACACCTTAAAAATGGGCGTGCAAAAAATGCTCTCTCGAATTGAGCAAAACCAATGAGAGTTACTTTAATTCTAGATACCGTATCATAAAATGTGTTTTGCTTGTTGAAATAATACTACAATCTTCATTTTTTGCCACTGTTTTTTTTTTTCTTTTAAAAAAATCGAACTTTTTTTTTGATTTTCAGAACATTTTATTTAAGAAATACAATGGTTTGTAGACCGAAGCGAAATGTTTAATTGAATGAGTCTAATTTTTAAAGAAATGCAATTCGAAATGCCCATGGATGTAAAAAAAAATTTCCATTTTTGATTCGTTGCAAAAAATTTGAAGGTCAATGACCGAAAAGTTCGAAATTTTCAAAGTCGAAAAATAAAACATGTTTTCTATTCCAATTAAATTTTTTAAGTTTCCATGTTCTACCGAACGTCGAAAATCGATCCAAATCTATTTTATTCTTTTTTTAGTATCATTTTTTATTTTCTTTTTTAGGTTTTTATTATTTCCTAGCGTTTTTTTTCGAGCAAATCGAATATGCTTCAGTTAATATTATATGTTTTCATGTCCTATGCAATTTCTTTTTTTTTCTCGTTTTTATTACAATTTATGAAAATCGAAACATTTAAAGGCGCAAAGCGAATGATTCTTTTTGCTTTAAAAAATCTAAATTATTTTTAAATTTTCCTCACACCCCGATTTTTTTTTCACTTCACACTACCAAATTTTGGTCAATATCCGTTCTTATATTATTATTTTTATAAATCAAGTTTTCGAAAAAAATATATACAGTGCGCGTCATAATGATACTCCATCCCCCCCCCCCAAACTTCGCAGTTTTGAGAAAACCATATGAATTGGTGACAAGAAAATTTTATTGTTTATTTATTGGTGGCCTATTAGAAATCACTTTGATTTTTTCAATAAATGATTCGAAAATGACAAAATGGGGCCAACTTTTAAGTGAACTGACCGAATTTTAATATTTTCAATGCGATCGGGGCTTGAAATGTTATTTTTTAAAATTTTTTTAGCAAATGAGAAACTTGTAAAAAACGAATGAAACAGACGAATCGATACTCACAATTAAAGACGTCGTTTTACTCGAAGCCTGATTTTTGAAAATAGGCAATAAATTTGGAATACGATAAGAAAAACCATGATAATATGAAATAATAGAATAATTTGATTTTGACGCGCAAGGACATTTAAAAATTCGACAAAAAAAATTCATACAATCCCATGCTTTAAAGATTCGCTCAACTCGACGATGAACGAGGATGAAACCTCAAATGTTAATAAATCAAGATCAAAGTCCAAAAAATTAATAATAATCCAAAAAAATGATAAGTCCGCAAGCACTTTTATTTCGACGAAAATTTCTCATTTCTTAGAATATTTCGAGTTTGGGTGGTAATTTTAAAGGTGCATCAGAATTCCAAAGTCAAAAGTCTCATCGAGTCAGAGCTTATTCATTTTCAAAATTTTATTACTGTGTGTGTGTGTGTGTGTGGCTGTCATCTTTCTCATTTCTCGAAATATTCTTATTCTTATTGTTTATTCATATTTTTGTTTTTCCTCGTGTTTCTTGTTTTCAATTAAAAAAAAAGCGATTGGAGAGAAAAAAAAGAAGAACGAACAAACGTGAGAAGTTGCCTCACTCCCCCGCTTTCGACGAAACCATCAGTATGCTTCAGAATATTTTTCGCTCTTAAAAATTACTGTTTCATCGAAACCAAAAAAAATGAAATATGCGTTATTTAGACAAAAAGAATCGCGGACGGTCTCAAATTTTTGCCGTCAGCAAAAAATGTTTTCAGCATCAAATATTAACATGTTTTATTCATTTTCTCGATATACTTTTCCTTCTTTTTGTCATGTTTTTCCTCCAATTTACACACAAAAATTCAATATTTTTGTGATCGGAACGAGCAATCTGGATACGGATTCCGGATACTCATCAAAATCCATATATTTGTGATTATTTTGATGTTTGATAATGAGCGAATAGTAAAAACATAATTTCGTGGTTCGACAACCCCAAAGAGATTTCCAGAAATCTCAACCAATTCAATGCCTTGAAATGCTTTTGCTCGTCCGTTTTTAATTGCTCCATCCAGCTCGCACCGTACTTCTCCGAATTTCCGGATGTAAAGTTGTTTGCACGCCATGAATTCGGACGTAAAATAAAAACAGATTAAAATTGATGACGAAATTTATTCGATGCTCCTAAAGTTATCCTGAAAAAAAATCTTTAAATTGACACGTACAGACGGCTTAAAATTTTTGGAAGAATTTTATTGAATCAACAAAAAAAATAAGCAAGCTAGATAGAGATTATAAATCGAGGCCTAATTAACAAATTCAATGGTCCATAGGGGCCCTTTTAGATTGGAGTTCATTTTTTCAGTTTTATTCTCACTTTAAGCTGCAAATAATCAAGCGCTAAAATTATTTTGGGAAATTTTTCGAATATGAGATTTTTTGAATACGACATTCGCGGGAAAAGCTGGTCGAGAAATATTTTTAATTTCACCTAATTGGTGTCTGTCGAGATCTTCCCAAAATCCGAACCGGATATTCTCTTCGAAGTATGTTAAAACGGCCAATAATTTACCGAATCAGAATATTTTTCGAACGGTTCAAATAAATTGATCAATACTGTTTTTGTCGAATTTGCACATAATTTGCGAATCTCAATTGTACCCAATTATTGTCGCATTTTGCAATTTGTTTTTACAAATGAAACTAAATCAAAAATTTTTTGGTAATTTCCGCATAACATATTATATCATTTTATCCAAGAATTTGGTGAGATTACTCGCATGTATTGTTCTTCGGATTATTTCTTTTTCGAAATAAAATACTCACAATCCATTCAGTTCGTTTTCAACGCGATTCAGCTTAATTCTTCTTCTGATTTTTGTTTGTACCCAAAAATTTTGAGAAAATGAAAGAAAACGTTTGAAACTGAAACATTTTTTTTGAAACGAAATGAATTTTGAAGAGTTTCTGATTTTCCAAGTGGTTTTTTTTTTGTCGTTGTTCATTATTAGATTTTTTTCGAGAACCTTTTCCTCGTTTCCTTTTTTTTTCAACATTTTTACTTCGAATTTTCACTATACAGGGTGTCATTTAAGTTCCCGCACAAAAGTTTGACGCCATGAAGAGCTTGGCTGTCACACTTTTCGTGCACCAATACAATTTATTTTTGTTAAATAAGGTATATTTTACTTACTTTCCAAGTTTCACCTCATTCGGATGTGTTTCCGAGAAATGGTGAAGGCTAACATCCATCGCGCTTCCATTATCGAACTTCATAAGCAAAATGTGAGCCCGAGAGACATCATTCAACGGGTCGGTGTGCCTTGTAGAACGGTTTATGACACCATAAAACGATTCAAGGAGCTAAATACGACTAGTGACCGTCCCAGGCAAGGAGGACTCGTCTCAGTAACCACTCCTCAGAAGATAAACGCCGTTAAATCGAGGATCATGCGAAACCCCCACAGGAGCATGAGAAAGATGGCATCAGACGTGGGAATGAGCATCTTCACTATGGAACAAATCGTCAAAACGAAGCTTGTACTGACCCCATATCGTGTCCAAAAAGCGGCAATTCTATCAGCCGTCAACAAGCAGAAACGCTTCGAAAAAGCAAAACGACTTCTTGCTCGCACGCGGTCTGGAGAACACCTCGTCACTGTCTTCTCCGACGAGAAGCTGTTCACTGTGGAGGCGGCATTCAACTCACAAAACCATTGAGTACTTGCCCAGACATCCCAGCAAGCTTCTGAGAAAGGAAGAACAATTCATCGAGCCTCACATCCTGCCAGTGTGATGGCTTTCGGTGCCATCTGCTCAACCGGGATGTGCCTCCTGGTTTTCGTGGATCAGGGGGTGAAAATGAACAAAGAAGTCTACGTTGGGGACATTTTGGAGAAGCATTTGATGCCCTGGACCCAAACGCATTTCGGTAGGCAGAAATGGGTCTTTCAACAGAACGGAGCACCCGCCCACACTGCCAAAACTACTCAGGAGTGGTGCCAGACCCATTTTCCCGACTTCATCATGTCATCCGAATGGCCTGATTGCTCCCCAGATCTGAACCCGCTTGACTTTTCCGTGATGGGGTCTTGCAGGGGAAGGTCAACGCAAAACCCCATTCAAGTGAAGAGGCTCTGAAGAAGACATTACTGGCGGAATGGGACAATCTTTTCATCGAATACCTGCGTAGCACAGTCGAATCCTACCCGAAGCGTCTCCGTGAAGTCATAGCTGCGAAAAGAGGCCGAATCAAAAAGAGTTAATAGATAAATATTTGTTATACTATAGATAAAAAATATTTCGAGTCTCGTTTGATTTGGACTTTTAGTTTCAGAAATATACGTCTTCAAAGTTGTGCGGGAACTTAAATGACACCCTGTAGAATAGGAAATAGAAGATGCCCAAAATAGGATAGGATTTATAAGAATTTCACGCGGTCTCGTGTGATCTCCCATGATCTTAATTGGCAATTCAGCTTGATTCGGATATATTTAGATGCTCATTTTCTAGTATTATTAACAGAAAACGTCTTCCGCCTTAACAGCAATTCGCTTCGAGACCCATGTCCCACAAGAGTGACACACGAGGGTATTGCAACCAATGAGCAGCTAAATATCACCATAATTGCGTTAATTATTTGACGAAATATCTTTAGTCTCAAGAGTTTTTAAATTCTCGGTAAAGATTGACGCAGTATGTGAATATGATTCTATATATTCGCAATATGTGTATTCTTCATTGCAAAAATATTTCTTTTTTTTTATTTTATAATGAATTGTGACATCTCGAAATCGTTGAAACAACTGAGGAAAAGCTTCAAAAAAGAAAATTGACGATCTAAATTTTACTGAAATTAGATTGATTGTTTAATTAAACACGCCATTTTCTCTTAAAGAAAATTCTCTGAAAAAAAAAAAGATTCCATTGATTTTAAAATTGTTTGAACTTTGAAATTGAGCCTAAAAAATGAAGCCAATTAGTGATGATAACAACAATTATCGGAATATGTTTGATTAATAAGGATCTCGTTTGATTCTATCGAAGTCATCATCGAATTCACGCTCACGCTCACACAAGCACGTGTTTTTTCACGAGTCTCATGCTCGACCAATTCGTTTCTGCCTTCAACTTGGGGCGTGGCTATTCAAATTGCAACTCGCACCGCCCATCATCTTAGGAATCGAGCAGCAGCAGCAGCGGCAACGGCAGCAGCCCGAGCAGCAGCCATGAGCAGCTTCTCACTTTCTCTCGTCGACTCTTAAATACGTCTTGTTTTTGTTTTTGTTTACATCTTATTTGGTAATTTTTTTCAAGTTTTTCCAGGTGTTATGGACACCCTTTTATGGTACGCGATCGCCGAATTACTATTATCAATTCACATTTCCTTTTCGAATCTTCTCGTTCTGTGGGTCTACGTCAGGTAACAGCGATTTTCGATGATTCGATAAAAAAAAATATTCCCAATATCAATTAATCATAAAAAGATTAACGCAATTAACCAAAATTATTTTTTCTCCTATTTTTAGCAAAAAAAGAAACCTAAGAATATTTTTGGAGATTTTCAAAATTAGTCTACATTTTCTTATGGGTTCTCATTAGAAATGAGCGTAACATCGCGAACACGAGACGGAATTACCGAATAGATAAATCAGAGTGCATAATTTCTTTTTGAACATTTTTTTCGGGTGGATGTCTCGAATTTCGAAGAATGAGCCTTACATCACCGTTTTGCATATTTTACGACTCAATTTTACAACACGAAATACTTTGGCTATTCGTCGAATCAAAAATGATACTGAAAATTGTGTTGGAAGTCACATGGAATTCCCGGAATCTGTAAAAATATTCGAGAATCATCTGAATGTCCCTTTTTTTCGTTGATTTATCAAAACGAAATCATCGGATTAAGCTTGTTGCGCTCAAAATATTAAGAAGAATTTCATCATTTTTTTACGAGACGTGCATTAAAAGGAAATTAGTTGAGTATAATATGGGTGAGAAGAATGCGCAGCCAGACAGACACCAATGAAGAGATGCGTTATTTGATGACCTCCGAATATTATGCCAAAGATCAAACAATTAAAATTACAGATCGAAACACGTGCGAACCGTCACGAATACCTACATATTCTCATTGGCGCTCACTGATTTTCTAGCAGGTTCGAGACTCGTTCTTTATTCATTGTCTCCTTATTAGGCCATATGACGACTCTTGACTTCATCGAGCATCTCATATCCGTTTTTGCTTTTTCGACGACGTCGAGCGACAATAAGAGATCATGTTTTGATTGTCCTTTCATGATTATTGCTTTATTTGAGCGGAAATAACCGCGTGACGCATCTTCAACGTGTAGGTCGATAAGAGGCTCAATTAGACGCTTCTGCGTGGTCGCATTTATAAATATAGCAGTATAGTTATATAAACTTGGAAACCGATTAATTATTCTATACATAATTTGTTGAGCTCACGAACGATTCATTAGACGTGAATTTGGGACCTTCGAAAAAAAATGAAACAGTCCGTAGTGGATACATTAAATTGGCATCGAATTCAAGCGATCTCTAGGTTACGTGACAGCTTTTGGTTCAAAGCATATCCCTTTTTTGAGTTCCTTGTTTTAATTGGAATAAACCAAACCACATTCATTTTTTAACCCAAACAAAAACATTTTGATGGAACCAATTTGTAAGGAATTCTTCGACCAAACAAACTTCAATTTTTTCTTATTTTCTATTTGTTTTTACTTCTTCGTCTTTTTTTTAGCCAACACATACAAAAAAAAGTGTAAGTTATTAAAAACGCGATGAAATGTTTACCAACTAAACCGTTTCCTTTTTTGAAATGCTTCAAAGCAAACAAACATTCCTTCAATTAGAATCCCATTTCTTTTTTTCGCACTATGCACCAAAAATCTCGGTAGGACCCATGTCGTTTTTTTTTTTTGGTATCAAATAGCAAAGTGTACATTATTAATAATTCAGGTTGATTTGCAAAAAAACCTATGAATTAATTATAAATCATAAGGATTTCTTGATTTGAAATTGAAAAAATTGACTGATAAACTGATAAGAATCAAAAGATATAATTGAACCAGCTGATTTTCGATGATTCTTCGTCTATTTTTTGCTCTCATTTTTTTCTCGACGAGACATTTTCAATTTTTTTTCGAAACAAAACCAATAAATGGATAGAATGTTGCAAACGAATGCCTCATTTTGCCCAGCGGGCGAAGAGACCTCAAATTTGAGAAAAGATTGGACTAAAAGTAATTGGAGGGGGCTCGAAAAAACCGACTAGCGACATGTAAAACGTGCCGTCTCACAAAATCGAAAGTCGCTTTTCGATTTTCGCCGGAAATTCACACTCGATGCACTTTTTGGAGTCGTTTGCAAGCGAGAACTTGGTTTGATGTTCTCGATTCGAATTGATAACACATATGTCTGAGTGAGATACCTTTATTTGGTCTTGTCAAGAAATACATTATTCTAAAAAGGAAACAGTCGACTTAATGATGCTTTCAAAACAAATCAACAAAAATGATTTCTACAAAAAATTCTATTTAAGCTTCTCTCAAAATGTGCAAAATTAGATCTTCTCTCTCTCTCTCTCAATCCATTTTGATTCCATCGATATCATTCTGGTAGATCACAATTAAATAATAGAGAATTTCAAACCATGGGATTATTGTCTCGATTCGTCGTCGGCTGTATGTATTTTCAGCTTAACCAGCACAATAAGAACAATTCAAAAACAAAAGGGGGAATCAGAATATTTTCAGGTTCATTGGGCATTCCATTAACAGTTGTCTCAGTGCTAACCAGAAAACCTCGCTCGTTCTACGGATGTCTTTTTGTGCATTTAATCTTGTGCATTTTGTGCACAATTTCAACATTTCATATGCTCGCAATTGCCATTGACAAATATGTGACAATTTGCTGCCGAGATCGATTATTCTCATCGAGGTATGACAAATGAGAAAATGTGTAATAATGAGTAATCGCCAATTGTTTTGTAACAATTTGTGAAGAGCTGTTCGCCCGAATTCCAATCATTGTTCTTTGTTTTGTTCTTCGCTTTCTCTGTCGACGAACCCGCGGAAGACGAAGCGAAGAACAAAAAGTTCATTAAAGGCGCAACGACATGCCCTAGGGGTTCGGATTTGGGACCAAATTGGGCCGAAACGAAACACGAGTCGACAAGTTACAGATTTTCGAATAAAACATAGCATTGTTCGCCAATCAATTCAAGACATAAAATCAAAAAATCGAAAATAATTCATGGAATTGTTTTCAGAAGAAAACGCGCGATATTTCTGCTGACAGTCGCCTGGATATTCGGGCTTTTCGTCGCCATTCTTCCACTTTTCAACGTTTTCGGTTTTGCCGAGTAAGTTTCGATTAAATGGTCAAACCTGCGAAACAAAAATAAAAGAAGAGCCGACCGAATTGACCGACCGGTGAATGGACGCGCGGAAATAATTTCCGGTGCATCGAAGAATTCAATTTTCTTCGCCTCCGTCGCCTTTTTTTTTTCAAACCCATTTTTTGGTTTTGCTTGCTAATGAGATCAAATGTGGCATTGAAGCGCAGACGAGGCCGATTGGGTCCGTCCGCATCGTTGTGTCTAAATTGCAAAATTATGAGGCTAATCACTTCGTTTCGAATTACGAATTGAAATAGCAAAAAGCGTCAAAAGTTATTATCATTTTTGAATTTTTTTTTACAATTTGTGGAATTTTGACGTAATTAACAGATGATTTTTTCTCGAAATTTGCTTTGGAATAATTTGCCGAAAATTGTAAAGATTTATAGACACTTGATGACGCAAAAATTTCTACAATATTAACACAAAGTTATCATTGATCAGTTTTCATCAAAAGCTTCAATTCACGACGCACGTGGTTAAAAGCATTCAACAATTGCTTTAAAATGTTTTCAGAACAAAGGAGAAATTCATAAACGGCGGCGAATTGTGTCAGTTCACCGTCGTCGTCGACTATCGATATCTCGTCTACGTGATATTCTTCGCTACCATCGTTGCACCAACCGTTATTATAGTTTTGCTTTATTCGAGCATCTATAAAAGGATACGGACCGAAGAACAGCAGGTGAAAATGAAAGAGCAATAAATGAATTTTCAATTCGAGACATATCGTAGTACGAATTCAATCACGAAACTGAAATAAATAATCAATTTCGAATCAGTAACTGGTTTATCAAAAATCCAACGAAAATTCTCAAATTGTACATTTTTGTGCATTTCTTCAAAAAAAAAAACACTCGGTCTCAGAAAGAAAGCCTCTCTATCGCGGGGGGTTCGAAAATCGAAGGAAAAAATGAATTTTGGAGCTCGAGCTCCCGCACGATGTCGCGATTTTATCCCTGCGGAATGATTCATTCTTTAAATTGAAATGAATAGGAAAACGAAAACAATATGTAAAAATAGATTCAATTTTGCAAATAATCCAAAAATAAATTTCTCGATTTTAGGTCAAATGTCTTCTTCGTCAATCCGAACGCGAGAAACGAATGCAAGGCCGACGAAAGTTGATTCGAATCCTGATAATCCTTGTAGTTTCTTATGGAATTTGTTGGTGCGAATTTCAGATATTTATTTGAGCATTCGTTTGAGATTGGTTGTTTTCAGGTACCCGTTGTATATAATCAACACGATTGACTACTTTTGGCCGCAATTTTCCATCAATAGTATGACACTTTGGACGGTGATCATGTCGCACATGTCGTGCGCTCTGAATCCACTGATCTACGCCTACGGAATGCCGGGATTCAAGAAGGTACGCGGCGGCCAACACTTTGTTTGCGAATTGAGCATTTGCAGGCACTTCGAGCATTTTTCAACATTCAAACGGATGCAAACAACACGTGCGCGAACTACTCGTGTTATATGCGGTACGTATGTAGAATTAATTAGCGCCACGAATCGAACGAAGAAGAAAAATAATCATTTTGGCACGTAAGAAATTCATTGCAGATCGACGGCGAATCAGAAGCAGAGAAGCATCAGTGTCCGCGGGATTCCATACGATCAGAACTTGTCGGCGGTTCGCAAAATCTCGGCTCCGACACCGACGATGCTCGATCGACAGAGATCGCGAAGACGGCAGACCGTCGATCACATTGATTTGTGATTGGTGTACATTCTAGTACCTCATTATTATTATTATTTATTGTTTTCGTTAATTGTTGATATTTATTGCGAGATTCATCGTTGTATTGCATAAGAATCCCCATTCATCTTTCATTCCCATTACGGTTTTGTCATATAATCCGAAGCTTCTCCCTCGGTTGATCTCAAAACTCACAAAACAAACAAAATACTCTGATTAAATAATACTGGTTTCATTCATTTATCACACAACTACCCATTGTTTTTTTTTTGCCTGCTTTGCCTTCAATGTTTTCAACATTGAAATAAAAGTTGAAACTGACGAATATTCACCTGTCGGCATAAGCCAAGAAAATTTTCAGAAGTTCAAGCCGGTCCAATCGAAATGCCTGCTAAAAATTTGTTATTTCCCAATGTTTTTGAGAATTTTTATCATGATTTTTTGGTTCAGCGACGAGTTTTCGGTAAGAGATTCTTAATAATAATTTCAAATTCAATTTTTTGAAATTTAGAAACAAGTCGATTCAATTCAAGATTTCTTGCCTCAATTTCTATGATTTTATCATTTATTACCATTACGATTATCATGAAAAATAGCTCTAAATTAAGATCAGGGTATTGTTTTGTATAATGGTTATTCAGCAAAACAAATGTCATTCATTTTTTTTTGCATCTGCTTTTTGTCGAAGTCACGCGAGTGCGAAAAATTGGAAAACTGTCTCGACACGACAAAACACACGCTGTGTGCTTCACAACAATGTGGCGAAAAAAATGCGGGCACGTAAATCGACAATTGTATTGCGAGACCCAACTCTACAGTGGACCGGCGCCATCCGCAGTCGCGCGACTTCGACAATCATTGATTGAATTTGAGTTGTCTCAAAAAATATTCAAATCTTCCTTGATTATATTCCATTTACACAATCATATAAAACGCTTTACAGATATCGCAACCTGTTGTTAATTCAAATTGCTCTTGCGGGTTTCTGTCTATTTCTAGTCTCAATTATTGCCCCTTTTATGATATTCCCGTATCCAGCCGCTTTCGTCGTGGGACCCGTTTCGATCGATCCATTGGTATCTCTATATTTATTATTCACTGTTGGTTTCGCAATTTGTCCCATTATCATCACCATTTTATATAATCTAATTTATAATTTCATTTCTTTGAAACAATTAAAAACTGTGATATTCAATATAAGTGCCGAACGATTGCTTCGAATCATCACATTCTTTGGATCAATTTTTGTATTTTGCGCAAATTTCGTCATTGTTTATTTTCTGAGCAACGAAAATGAACAAAAATGGACGGAGGAAATCAGCCAACGAGTCGTAGGCAATTATTGAACATTTTCAATTCGGACGCCTTCATTTTTAGGATAATCGATTGCCAAATTTGTTCAAAATCTATTCGATTTTCGTGTTCGACATTAATTGTTGGGAAATTCTTCTGATTTCCATCGAGCTTCTAATAATGTCGTTTGGTTCGATCATTTTCTATTTCGTTCTAGTTTCAATGTACCCATTCAATTTCGAGAATTCGCCTTTCGACAACGCTTCTCAATTGCAGAAGCTGGAATGAATTCAAAAGCCAACGCAATTCGGTTTCGGTTGCGATTGCTCGAAATCACACAATGATGATGTATATGCTGCTATCTCACGTATTCCATTTTCTCGCCGCATTTTCGCTTCCGGTTGCTATTTTCACATTATCAATGCATACAACGAAACCTTATTTGTAAGTTTGAATTGGCGCCATCCGAATCTAATAGCTTGTTTGAATTCAAGAGGCGATTATACGTTATTCATCATATCAATTCCCATGTATCTCATTGGTGCCTCATTATCGCTTACATATTGCATTATAATAGTGCCATATCGTAACGTATTTCTGAATTTGATCATTATTCTCACATGCACACATCCCAACAATCAATGCTATAATGTGGCAAGACCTTCGCTGCAATTATCGGTAATTGATATGCCAATGAGGCGCGGATCAATTCGCCAAAATCTCAATGCAATATAAGAACAATTATTTGTTTTTATTAATAATTGCCTGAATTCAAATAAAGGCACTTTGTCATAAGAGATTGCACGTTTTACTTCGGGTTTTAAGCGTCGTGTGTCTTCGTTTTGTTTTGTCATATCCATTCGCTTCTTGTTCATGGCTCTCCGTTTTTGACGTCGAATCCTCTTTTTCTTTTCCACCCTGAAATCTCATTTCAGCAATCAAAATGTTCGATTGAGAATCGCAACCTTTGTGATTTCAGCCTGCACTTGATATTGCACTATTCGATATGTTCCGATGATCGCATCGCGAGGCCCTTTCTCGAAATTACCTTCTTCCATCATTCCTTTAGTTATTCCATATGAATTCATTATTCTCCAAACCTAAATACCAATAAATTATTTAAAAAAAAGAAAAGAATCAATCAATTGATAAACCCTATTGTTGATTTCCGTTTTTTCGGCTAGCACGTCTTCTGCAGACGTCGGTTCGGTTTTAATCGACAAATAAGATTTGGTGAATCGACAGTCTCGGAGCCAATAATTCTTCTGAATCAGGAGGGGATTTTTCAGATTTTTTTCCGATATCTTACTTTAACTTCTTCAATATCTGCCCGATTGGCAACATCGACTCGAAGCATCGCGGCAATCAAGTGATTGGCCAACAACGAAACATATTCTGGAATATTGTACGAGCCTTGCATTATAACCTGAATCAATGGTCCGATGGTTTCGAGCATTTTCGGTTTGTTCGTCTACCGTTTTAAGCTCGGCGACAGTTTCACCACGAAATGGCGTGACTCCGACCAACATGAAATACAATAGAACCCCGAGTGCCCAAATATCAACCAAATCACCCGAATAACTTTTGTCTCTTGAAAATAATCATTTCAAAATACATGATTGTTTCAGCTACCTGAATAGTTCTGGAGCAGCGTATGGAGGGCTTCCGCAAAATGTCTCAAGAAATGTTTGTTTCGGTGACATACACGAGAAGCCGAAATCGACTAATTTCACAGTTCCCGGACCACTAAACATTACATTTTCGGCCTTGATATCCCGATGAACCAATGATCTAGAATGCTGAAACCGTCACCATTTCTATGATATGTTTGTACATATTCGAATTCGAATACCATATGAGCAACGGCGGAGACAATTTGTGCAAAAAGCGGCTTTGCTTCGGCTTCCGAGAGTTTCCCCTTTTCGTGAATATAGGCATAAAGCTCGCCACCGGACGCATATTCAATGACAAGATGTACCCGTGTCAACGTCTCGACGCACTCGAACAATTTTATAATATTCGGATGGTTCATTTTCTCCATTGACTGAATCTCCCGTGCTAACAATTTTTGAGCCTTCTGATCCATTTTTGCCTTATCCATTATTTTGACGGCAACTTTTTCTAAGAACATTATTCAATGTTTTTGAAATCTCTCTCTCTCTATACCTTTGGTTAAAACATGAATTCCTAATTTGACTTTCGAAAAATTGCCTGCACCTAATTCTTTACCTAATCGATAAAATCCTATTCGTTTTCCCAGTGCTACCTGAAATTTAAATATGAACTGGAGGAAGTTCAAAAAAGAAGACCTCTTTATGATAGACGGGATCATTCGCAAGTAGATGCAATGTGCGTTCGTACGAGCTCATGTCGGTCATTTCCTTCAGTTGCTTTCCGACAGGCAGTGATTGTGCCGACACTGAACGCGAGAAACCTTCTTCACGAGACTGCAACCATTGATTTCTTTTCCCTTTTTCGAAACCTTCTTTTCTCGTCTTTTCGCAACGAGCTCATACAACGAAATATGATAGTCTTCGTGTAATTCACTCTCATATTAATATCTGATTTTTTGTCGATGTTGTATAAACATTCATTATTGCATTCATTCTTTTTTTGTTTCTCATTCAGGATGTGACGAAATTCGCGTGATTCTCGTAAATTGTTTCGCGAAACAATGAACTTTGTGAACCATCGAAAACGCATTCAAACAGATCGAAAGAATTTCGGAATAAATAAACAAATTAGCCGTAGATTCCTCCGTAGATTATGATTTGAGAAGATACACGTATATTTATCCAAAATGCGTTTTATCGTATATAAGAAACAAAAAAACAAAAATAATCAATATACATTTTTTTTAAATATTCACTTGTATAATTTTAAAACCATTTAAGAAATTAATTAATATGATAACTTACATGACTCGGCCAGCCTTCATCGTTACTCTTCTGAGTTGCAACGAATTTCGCCGGAGCCGGTTGCTGCTCAGTATCTGAAACCTCAGCTTCTTCGTCTTCAGTGCAATCCTCCTGTAGAACGTGTTGTTGGTACATTTGAAATGGAATGAGTTTGAGGTTTTTTTTTTTCTTTGAAAAAAAAGGACAACAAAAACAACGGATGAGCAGATTAGTTGTCGATCGAGCCCACACACCCCTAATCTGGTGCTCAGTCAGGAAATGGCATTCGTCGACGAAAAATGAGTTCATTGTTTATGAGTTTTTGCTCGCTCGAAAAATATGAATTGACTATGTGCAAAAAACTCATATTTCAACTGAGAAGGTTTTTTTTGGTTTGGTTTTCAAAGAATATTTTGTGAAAATAATTGAAAATGAAATAAATGTGACGTTGAATGAGCCTTTCGATTAATAAAAACTCCTAATCAATTGGCACGAAACTAATCAAGATGGGATTAAGATATTGGCTAGAATTGTGCGAAGCCTTTCAAATAAATCGGGCCTTTCATGAGACCAGTTTGGTTTCTTTTTCTGAATTTTCAAAAAGAAATTCAAATCGATGATTCAAACTTGAAACTTGAATGAAATTCATTTGGATGAACCGAGCAATCGTTTCAAAGAAATATTCACAATCTCGAATATTTAAGCGTTTCAAAAAATAAAAATACAAATTATTGATTTTGAAATCTCGTAATTTGTATTTCTTTGCCAATAAAGTGTCTCTCAAATTTTCTATTTTTGCACCATCGGAAATTTCGATTAATGTTTCAACATTTCAGTTATAATCACATTCATCGAAATGTCAAATCATACTTAAAAAGATTATTTTTTTTACTTAAAGAAATGTTCAAAATCAAACCTGAATTGAAGCATATGTTGGTGGTTCACTTCGTATTTTTCGGTCCCTTTCCCTCATGGTTCTCAAACCCTTTTTTGTGTTGCTGAAAATGAGCAGTTTGATGAAAAATATTGAAAATGAATGGGAAATGTTGAAGAAAACGCAAGAGAAATAATCTTTCGGAAATCGGATGAATACTACTGTACAAAATCTCGGATAAATCTTGTTTTGATGATTAGATGAAATCATTGCAGAAATCATTTAGAGGCGGAGTTACGTTTTCTCGAAAAGAAATTAAGTTTGAACGAGTCAAAGGATTAATTGAAGCTTAGTTGAAGAAATACTCTATACTAATGACTCAAAATTTTAACTATCGGATTGATATAATAAATACCAAATTATCTAAAAGTGGATTCAATTTATTATATAATCATTCATGAATATTTTACGGATAACTAAGAAGAATAATGGGTCAAATGGTTAAGCAAAAAATCTCTGAAAATGCGTTGATTGACCTAAAGTGAAATGAATTTGTCATTTTGGAACAACTACATTTTAAATTGTAGTTTTCGCTACATTTTCATAATTAAAAATCATATCGCAATTTTTTGAGTCATTTTTGAATGTGTCTGAAAAATAATTGAGTTGCTTCGTTTTTTTCAATATAAGTTTTACCTTTTTTCGGGAAAAATTCAGCATTTTTGTTAAAATCTTATATAAAATAGAAAATAGAACATTTAAGAATGTCTAATGTGAAATTGGGAAATGTTCGGTTCTGTTCTCCTGTCCAAATATTCTCAAAAGCTGTAATTAGAAAAAAATAATTTCGGTTTTCATTCCAAAAATAGTGATTTTCGTTTAACACGACTATGGATATAATATTTCTTTTATTAATTAGCCCAAGTTTTCCTGAACTCACTAAAGGCTTTTAAACGATAAAAATAGCTTTAAGCAGCACCTAATTATGATTTTGATTGTCCCAACGGAAGAAAGAAGGAAATATCCTGAATGGAGATTGTCAAGGCAATGAGATGAAGCAGAAGCGGGGAAAATATGAATAAGGAGATTAGGGATTCCGAGAAGTGAGGGTGGGGAGGAATATCGGAAATTCGACTGAAAGGATTCAATGCGCTAAAGAAGACGAATAAAAAGATATGCGAGCAAACGAGTAAATGAGTTGTTTTGGCCGTCGGGGGACCGTAAACATACATTAACACTATTATACAAATATGTGCAAATGCATCTAATGTAATCGGTCGTCATGGTGAGATGTTCGCAAATTCTTGCGATGGATTCTTAAGAACAATCCACTAACAAATTGTTTGGTGGGTGTGTGAAGGAGGATCCATTGATTCGGACAGATGAACACATAATTTCGAGAATTTTCTTGTTCCGGATGAAGAAGATTTGGATTAGAAAAGAGAGAAAGAAGAGATTCTCGACTAGTTGAATCAGTGATTATTAGTCGAATTGTTCAACTCAATAGAAAACGGCGTCATTTTTTTTGGCAAAAATAAGGAGATTGAATTTTTTTGAGAATACATACACACTTTGCACTTGTTTTTTTTTTTTGAATCTCAATCGATGATGCTAATTTTACGCTCTCTCGAACAATATTTTTTTTTCAAAATTTAAACAGAATTTTAAGTTAGAACAAAAAATTTTAATCTTGAAATGACAGCAATCGAAATCAATTGTTCATATAAGGTTTCGTCTTTTTTTCTTCGTTGCGATTTTATTTGATTTTATTTGGGCACGACGAATTTTTGACTTCAAATAATTGCTTCAAAATGAACATTTTTTAATCCGATACACATAATTTGAATAACTAGCAAACAAGTGGGAAAATAAAAAATAAAACGATTGAAAACGAATTGAGTTTCGAAGTTTTGATTATTGTACAAGGTCACACAAACTATTTTACAAGTTTTCCTTTTTTTGACACAAATTTCAATCGAAAATGATTTGTTGTATCGTCGTCTTAAATTGAAGTGTTGTCGACTTCCGGAAAAATTTCAAACGTCGTTTTCAGTTTTTCATAGAAATTTTTTTTAAAAGATCTTTGAAACACACAAATTTATATTCGATCAACATATTGGGCAAGACTTTTTTTCAGCACGACCCTTCAAAAAGTTTTAGTCACTAGTAAACATTTTTCAATTTTTCAGATGAATATTCTAGATAATATTCATTGGAACATAGTTCATCTCAGAAATCAATCGGTTTAATTTCAGGAACCAATTTAGTCACGAGAGATGACAGTTGGAATTCCAGTGTTTATCTTATTTACATCATTTTGCGTTTCAGGAGTTTTCATTTTTCTGGCTGTTATCACTAACGACTCTATTGATAAGAATCAATGAATCAGCGAAAAAAGAAACATTTTCGATTTGCGCCAAAAATCATTGAAAAAAAATGTTATTCTCTAAATTACTACACAAAATATGAAGTTATTTAAAAACAATAATAAACATATTTGATGGACCGACGATTTAAGACGGAATCGACAAAATTCGACTCTTAATTATTTCTTAAAAACTTTTTAATCATCCTATAATTGTATAATTGTCCTCACTATTAAAACGCCCGCTATCGCTTTTCTAAACCAATTTTTTCTTCACTATCATGTAGTTTCGCATCACACTTTTTATCGATTCGCGCTTGTTCTTTAAATTACAAGTATGTGTCAATCATGGTTGCAAATAACAAAAAGGTTAAAAAAAAGTGAAAAACAATTTTGTTTTATTATTTACCACATTTCGAAATTTTCCCTTCATTTTCATATCATTCATGCGTTTTTCGTTTCAGATTTATTTTGTGAATGAAATCGTGCATTTTTTTTCAGGAAAATGGCGGAAGGGATATACGAAAGAAACAGGTTTGACATTTCAATTCCAATTTTTTTATTTCTGAAACATTATGGCAAAAATGAAAAAAATATATTCATATACCTGCAATTACAATAATTTCAACTTTCAGAAGACTGAAAGAATGGCCACCTAAAACGGTAGTTCCCGTATAATGTTTGCTTTTTTCAAAAATACTGTTTTTTTAGCAAAAAGAGCGTCATATAAATGATAGGATTCACAATCGAATACTTCTTTTCGAGCCATTTGAACTGCTCGTCGACTCGGATATTTTTCAACGTACCCGCAAACTCAAACAAACCGGCCTTGTGAATCTCGTGTATCCGGAATGTGAGCATTCGAGATTTGCTCATTCTCTCGGGTATGTGGGTTTTCCGATTTAGCAACTCCTCTAATTCTTGTCATAGAGCGTTCGATATAGCATGTCAGATAACTGAGCAGCTCAAAGGACACGGAAATCCGCATAATATCACATCAGCCGATAGAGTTTGTGTGTCTGCGGCGGCGCTTTTGAAAAATATTGGTTTGTTTTGAGGGTAATCCTAATCGAATTCGAACATATTCCGCAATTTTATAGGGCATTTACCATATTCTCAATTGCTCGATAATAAATTCCAAAACGGTGAATATAATTTGCTTAAGGTTTGTGTGTTTTAAACCAAAATTTGTTTTAATTCCAGTGTTCAGTATGTCGAGATGTCAACTCGAATAGTTGATCATCTATTTTTCGAAAATATTAAAATTCGAAAGGGATTCGAGCCTTATTTGGGAACAGACGAAACGACGTATCGAACCAACATCATATTTATTAAAGAGCTGATTGTCAGCAAAGAAATGGTATTGTAATAATAGTAATAATAATGGGATTATTGAGGAAGGTTTACAGCTGAACATTCACTTGCTCGACGATTCACACGATTTGAAAACGAAAGAAGAAGTATGAGGGAGGCAATGAGAAAAAGTCGCATTCAAAAATGAATTAAGATAAATCGAAGTTGTTGGCCGATGAAAGGAAGACCGATTGAAAAATCGTTTTTATACGATATTGTTTCAAACGTTCAAAATGGCAACGATGTCGATAAAATGGACTATCTTCTAAGGGACTCTGCAGCTGCAAACATTCCAATCAACTTGAATATTGTAGTTTCAATAGCTAACTAACTTCGTTAAATATTATTTTAGTCTGGTCTGAAACGTATAATCGAGAACACGAAAGTGGTAATCGATCCAGAGAGTGGCATTCTTCGGATTGGATACGCGCTCAAATGCGTTGCCGATGTTAGTGCGATTGCAGATTCAGCAAGGGAATTGCAGTCAAAAGTTTATCAACACAAAACAGTTCTCGGAATCAATGTATTGTCTGTTCTTCAATTCAAAATTTTGCGACAAATTTGAGACTTTCAGATTTTTTGACGCTCTTACAAAAGCAGCACAACATTTGGAATATAAGGGATCGGACAGAAAATACAAGTTGCATGAGGTGACGGACGATATTGAAGCATTTTCGAAAGTTACCGATAACATTGAGGACGAGGTACTAATCGCTTTGGAAAATTTCTCCAAAAATGGTTTAGATTTTGAACTCTGATCGTCCGGAATTACAAGAATCAAAACAATTAATTGAAAGAATCAAGAGAAGAGATATATACAAAAAGACCAAAGCTTCTCGTAGCATTTCATTGCTGGATATTAATAATTCGGTGATTATTGTGTTTCCCTCTTTAAAATTGCATTACTAATTCAGAGGAACAAACAAAACAATCTCTTCGAGTACTCCGTTCCGGAATTATTAGTACGGGTAAATAAACCATATTTCGGCATTGATTTTCAATTTTAAAGAAAACGATCAAAACAGAAATGCATTCTCATATGCCAATGAGTCTTCGCTCGCAATACACCGTTTTGGTAAGAATTCGCCATCCCCCAATTTCCTTGATTTATTAAAAAAAAAACCGAATTTCGATTTTCACACGTAGTTTTTAACCGGAAGGTTTTCGCGGAACGTGATCTGTCAATTTCATACTCTTCCTTCCAATTTTCAATTTTTTTGTGATTATCAGAATTTGCCAATAATGAAATGACGTAATGTGCTCTATGAACCAGAAATATTAAGTGTTATCTTATCAGTAAAAAAACAGTTTAACGATGTAAATGAAATTGTTGAGGGAATTTAGGTACGCGATTTTGGGGATGATATGCAATATGAATCACATCCGGTTTTTCGGCAATTATTTTTCACTGAAAATGAAACAGAGACTCCAATTGGCGAATATTTAGAAGAAAAATATGTAAACTATTTTCCTATATCACAGCATTATCATTATAGTTAAGGCTAAGTTGAACTATTCTCCATTGGCAACGAAATGCGAATTTTTCGTAATGACGAACAGAAATTTGTCGCCGTCTGATATTTCCACGATTTGCAACGTATTCAATGATACTCTCCGCCAATTGGGTTTCAATGGTTTCACCGAACACGTTAGTTTCATTTTTTTTACCGTTTCCGTCAGAATTTCGGAGTCTTGTTTATTGCAAATATCTTTTCCTTGAAAGGCAATCTAGAAAAGAATCATCTTGTGACTGGCAAACAGATTTTTTTTTCAGAAACGCCCAAACAGAATCATGAGTTGCGAATGCATTAAAAAGGCACGAACTTGATTTCGGTGGCATTCTGATTTGTTTTCAAATAATTCGTTTTTTTAAATCTAATGTGGCATTTATGTAAATACTTATTCAGCATATTTTCATATCCTTGTATTGAATAAACTATTCGCGCCAATTTAGTTCATTTTTGAAAATGTGATGGCTCTGAAGTCCAAATCAGCCTAAAATGTGCCAATTCTTAGTCGAGACATGAATTTTATTCCATTTTTTCGGTAGATCTTGAATGTGGGGGAATGTACGAAAATCGCTGAATGGAGGGGTAGAGTTGAAAAATGATATTTCCGAATGGGGAAGGATCATTTCTGAAAAAAAATTCATTTTGTATTTCTGTAAGCACTACGAAAGTTGTTTTTTTTTTGGAATTTAATTTCGGAAAATTTTCAACTCTTATTAAATACACACTATCGGTCCCCGTCTTTTCTGTTGACGAATCATCATACAGATCGTAGGTGGAGAATTGGTTAATCGAACTTTTTAGAAGTGCGTGACTTCAAAAACCATATGACCAGAAATTTATAAGGATTTTTTTGCAAATTGTTTTTTAATGTCAGGTTCATGTTTGATTAGTCGCAGTTTTCGATGGAGTCTTCTTATCTGAACTTCAATACATTCATTTATCAATAAGAATTCAGTTTCGAATGGCCAAAACCGACCACGACGAGGTGATTCCATCCGAATTGCATATTCCTCTTCCGAACTATCGACCGTAAGTGTTTGATAACAACGAAGGATACCGGTAATAAAGGGTTTTGAATGAAACACAACATTAGTACAACGAAAATATTAAACAATTATTTTTGCGCGATTGTCAAAATTTGGGTAGCAAACAAAAAAATATGAAAGAAAAAAACAAAAAATAGCGCAACTCCACTGAATTCGGCTCCGGAACCAACCCGATCCGATTGATATATCTATGGATATGATAGTGAAATTGTCAGATTTGTTTGGTTCTTTGGGTACTGTCCGAATGATAATTTGTCGTATCCGATTAGTTTTAATTTTTCAATAAAATCGGCTACGAAATTGACCGGTTAAGGTTCGAAATAAGTCGTATTCGATTGTAAAATTATCCTATTCGACTGCTCATTTGTGATTCAATTCGAACGTACTCGTATCTAAACTCTTTTACTCACGCAAAAAAAAATTTAAAAAATTAAAAGCAGTATTTTTGTTGATTGCTGAGTAAGAGGAATTGGGAGGCACGATTTTTTGAATGTAAAATTCTACGTGAATTCGTTGCGGAGAAAATCGACCTCAAAGTCAACAACATTTTCGGCAAATAAAATGCACAGTCCGCAATGATTTCAATTTCGCTTATTTTCTATATTTCTTTTGGTTCGTACTCATCTCTGAGACCTCGAAATTTCGAAAACTGGGCATTAAAAATGTTCAATCACGTGAAAATTATGTATAGTTGATATCCGGAAGCTGCTGTACGCGGGGAAGATTTACGAGCATGCGCCTTGAAAAGGTCTCGCCACGTGTGAACGCCTATTTTGCAGTTTTCAAGTGAACGATTTATTTTTTTTTTTGAGTTTCGCATTTCTTGGAATTTCTAACGTTGTTCAATTTAAAAGTTATCGAACCGACCGCATAAAATGCAAAATAACCATTTAGTCCGCGCAAGACCAAGGAAAAGGAGCATCCCCGTAAATCTACCCGCGTGCAGCAGTCGCCGGACGCCGACTAAACGATTTTTAAAAATAGTCGTCGAATAAAATGCATTAGGTTTAAACACGCGAAAAGCTCATGGAAATTAGTGTTTAAATTTCGGATTTTTATTCTCAAATACCTATTCAGCTCTGCTATGTAATGACACACAATGAATACGTTAACATTCGAAATGAAGCTGAAAATGATACTGCGGACTTTATTTGCTGGAAATACACATGCTTCGTGTTGTTTAGTGCGATGGTCCACAATTATGACATGCGCTCGGTTTTCGTGATTATTTTTTTTCAGTATATGTTCAATGCATCTTTTAAATGAAAGACGGCAAAAATAACCTTAAAAAATGTGATTTAGTTAACAAATAATGAATGTAGATCTACTCAGGCAAATCAAATAAAATATTTCGAGAAACAAATATAGTCGGCGTCCAGCGACTGCTGTACGCGGGTAGATTTACGGGAATGCGTCTAGCGAAATGGTTTTGCAAAGACTAACAGGTTATTTCAATTTTAATGGACCGATTCGATAATTTTTTAATCGAATGACGTTGGAAATTCAAGGAAATGCGAAACTCATTAAGAAAAATGAAGCAATTCACGTGAAAACAGCAAAAAAAGAATTCACGCGTGGCGAGACCTTTTCAAAGCGCGTAAATCTACCCGCGTACAGCAGTCGCCGGACGCCGACTATACTTCAATAATAAACTCTAAAATGTTATGAGAAATTCTAAAGTTTATTGATACTTTCTAAAACTTCTAAATTTAATACATATGTATTATAGGGACGCGTTAGTTTCTCAATGAATCTCAAAGTATTTTATTCGATTTACGTGAGTAATGACGGACGTGAAATATGCCATGGCCGTTAAATTAGCAGCCGCGGGCGAGTGCGGCAGCAGACGCCCGTATGGATGCCTAAGTGGCGCGACCCTGCGATATAATTAATGTCACCAATAATGTGACTCACCATTTAATTCGATAAAATGTTTAAGATTAAAATTATTTATTAATATAAACAATATCTAGACGAAATTGTTTTAAAATGTCAATTTTACCTCAATGAACCGTCAATTAAACTATTTTTAAGAAGATTAATCGTCATTTTTATTTAAGATTAGCCGTCATTTTCTTTATAAAGGGTTTCAACAAGGATACATATAACTAATAATTTCTATAAAATGCGTTTTCAAAACAGTGTTGAGCGTAAGTCAAAGTAATTCTCGTGTGCAAGTGCAAAAGCGTAAAATGGAAGTGGAATTACTTTCATTGTTTCGCTTTTTTTCGAAAACAATAGGCGTCAGAATTGTGAAAAATTATTTTTTTTCTTGTAAAAATTCTTTCAAACCGCTGCATTCTACTTTTAAAATATTCTCTCTAATAAAACACAATGGTTACTACACCAAAGAGAGCACAGCTGCTCTTCTTCGTATTTCTGTGTCTCTCCTAATCTCATACTATTGTATCGCGCACTTCTAGCTTCACCCTATACTTTTAATGGTTCCTTTGATCAAAAAGTGCAAACAAATATTATATTTGTCTACCAATTAATAAGATTTCGCGTGAAACGGATTGACCCATTGATCATAAGTTGCTCAACTGTCTTTCAAAACAAAAATCGTCATTTTAATTAAATTCCCCCAATTAAACTAATTGTTTCTTTAAAATATTTTCGAAAATGTTAGCAAAACTAATAAGGAAGCTCAATTTTTCACCGAAGCCGTAAGATTTTTTCTGTTGTCATAAATATTAAAATTTAATAGTTTTTTAATGTTCACGCCTACGAAATTTGAAGACATAAAAACTTGAAATTTTTCTGATAACAAAGCCATGGTTTTTCTTCGCATCGAAAATGTTATTTTAAATCTGTCACACTGAGATATTATCTCGGAATTCAATCAACTTCACACCTTCCTTTCGTTTTTTTTTAGCGAAACCACTCACAGTCTCGATCACTTTTACATTTTCGTCACATAAAAGTAGCTTCTCGTCTATGTTTTAATTTTCAAATAAATTTCATCGAAATTGACACATTTTTATATTAATAATAATAATAATCACAGTGATATATTTAATAATGCTCGACATTTCGAAAATCTTCGAAGTCAATAAAGTCTTGCATTGCAATATTAAAGCGCAATTTTTTAACGGCGTGACCTAAATTAAGATAAAAGTTTTGTTTCCATGGATGTGGTATTCCATGAAATTCGATTGGATAACTCTCTTCACAATTAAATGAATCTTTGTTTTCTTTTGCACGTCTATATTCTCATAGCATTCCAACATACATATATACTCTGGAAATTCAAAATAAAATCGGATCCGACAATTTTACAAGCTTATCAGTAAAATTTCCAATCGAATAAGGTTGATTTCGGAGCCGAATTGTGTCGGATCCTATGGTTTTGAGTTACCAGAATATATATTATGATATACTTTAAATATATTTAACATTTTTTTAGAATGAGACAGCTGAAAAATTGGCCATCGTTGGAGGTAATTTAGAAATAATTTAATGAGGAAATTGACAGAGGTTTTTAGATAAAGACCCGACAAATCAACGATAAGATCTACGGCCACATTGTTTTACATCATCCGCTCGAGAAGCTTGTCGACTCTCGGGCATTTCAGCGGCTTCATTTGCTCAAACAAACGGGTCTCGTTTATCGGGTTTATCCAGAGTGTGAACACTCAAGATTTGTACATTCACTAGGGTTCGTCTCATAAAGTTATTGGCATGGTTTAATGTGATTTTTTAGAACTTATGAATTAGCTCGACAGTATATGGAACAACTCAGAACACGTCAGGCGGGATGGAACCGAACTAAAAGAAGTGACGAGGATAGCGAAGAAATCGAGAATATTACTTCCGCTGACGTTTTATGCGTTTGCATTGCCGCACTTTTTCACGATATTGGTAAAATTAAATGAAAATTGATGTTACGAATATTTCCTTTTTAGGCCATGGACCATTTTCACATCTCTTCGATGGTGAGTATCGTAAACGACTTGGCAAATCTTGGAAGGTTTCTTTTTCCAGTGAAAAAAAAATACAAATTTGGAAAAATATTATAGCACGAAGACATGTCGACTCGAATTATCGATTACTTCTTCCTGGAAAATCCACGAATAAGAAAGATTTTCGAACCTTATTTGGGCCTCGATGATGCTACATATCGACAAAATATCGTTTTTATCAAGGAGCTTATCAACAGCAAAGATATTGTATTTTTTGTTTCAAATATTTCTTTTTATTTGACGTTTTGTTTCTAGTTGAGTATTCGAAATATCGACGGAATCGAAGATTTAAAACAGAAAGAAAATGTTAGAATAATCCTTTTTTCGCAAAAAATAAAGTTTTTTAGGAAAATCGAAAATCGTGGTCAATGAAAGGAAGACCAATCGAAAAATCGTTTCTGTATGATATCGTCTCGAATGCTCAAAGTGGACACGACGTCGATAAAATGGATTATCTTCTCAGGGACTCAATTGCTTCGAATGTTTCGATTAATCTGAATTTTGTAAGTTTACGGCAACGAGAGTAAAGGATTTAAACCGTTTTGCTTAGAACACAATTCAAAGGTTGATTGGCACACTGAGAATTGTTCGTGATCCAAATACGGGCACTCTTCGAATCGGTTATCCATCGAAATGTACGAATGATATCAAGGCGATCGGAGATGCTAGACAGGAACTTCATTCGAAAGTGTATCAGCACAAGACCGTTCGAGGAATGGAATTAATGTATGTTTGAGTTTACTATCATTACATTAATTATACTTCTGAAAACGTTGATCGTTCATTTCTTAGAATGGTAGACGCCTTGGTCGCCGCGTCTCCTTATTTGGAATATCAAGGATCAGATCGTAAATACAAATTACACGAGGTTTTCGATGATGTCGAAGCTTTCTTGCAAACTAGCGATTTCGTTGAGCAAGAGGTTGACAATTCTCATCAATTGCCTATAAAATTTTGGTTTAGATTTTAAACTCCACTCGTGAAGAATTGAAGCCTGCAAAGGAATTAATTGAGAAACTTTTGACACGAAATATCTACAAAAAGATAAATTCTCGTGAAGTTTCGCCGCTCAAAGCAAAGGTAGAATTTAGTCATTTCCACTATGAAAAGCCGAGAGCATTTTAGAATATCGACATCAATAATGGAAATATTACTTTGCAACAAGCATTGGTAAATTTAAGCCGATTTATAAACACTTTGCAGTAAATTGTTTAGGATCAAATTACAAAAAGAATGCTTTCAAGACATGAAGGACATTCGGAGAAGTTTGTCGTCTTGGTGAGTATATAAATATTTTTAAAAAAGAGAGAGATAAACGAAACTGGTTTTTAAGGCACGAGACCTTGGAAAAGGACTTGATGCTGAAACTCATCCCGTTGTTCGTCAAATTTTCTATGATGATAATGCAGATTGCGGAGATGAGCCACCAGTTGGGCATTATGTTGATGATGAATTCGTAAGAAATTTCTTATTTGTAACTTTTAAAAATATTAATTTATAGGTAGAAACAAATTACCCACAAACCGCTTCTAAATGGGAATTCTTCGTGCTTGTCGATCGAAGTTTGGATAGTCAAACTCAGACAATGATCGGCCACAGTCTTAACGAAGCCATGGCTGAAGTTGGATTTTCAATCACAAGAAAAAGAAGACATGTAGAAAGTGTAATCTATTCTAGATAAGCGGTGATCAACACATTATCTATTTGCAGGGTCGAACCCACCAATCATCCGCCGTTCGCATCCTTTTCACTCAATACGTCAACGAGAGCAATGTTGTTTGTAAATAGAAATTTAATGCAATGCGTTTCGCATTTATGAGTAACTGAATTCAGTACGATATCTAAAGAGTTGGCAAAATTATATTGAAAAACCTGATATCGTACTGAAGTTTGATACGCATAAATAGAAAATTTAAGCATTTAATCTTGAAATCAAATTTCTAAATTTTGGCAATCAACCAAGTTATGTTTACGCAATAATAAACGAGGCCTTATAAATGTGAAACAAAATGTACTGTCATTATTTTCGATATTTTTCACGTGTATAAAAGAGTTTATATAGTTTTGAACAAACTAAATGCGAGATATTTGATCGTTCAAGTTTGCCAATCGATTTGCGAGACTTTCGATGTCATTTGTACTGAAAATTTTAACACATTTCCATCTTAGAGCAAATAAGAAATTACTTCTTTTCAACATTTGCAAATTTGTTTGGCTGGCTCGCATTTTTTCGCAATGCTTGTGTAGTTGCAACACGCTTCTGCTCATTCACTTCGAGTGTTATCTTCGGTATCTGAATCGACATTTGACTCAAACAATTCTGATGATGTTGTAGACGATCGAAGATTCGAAGTTCTGCTTTACTGAGAGGAACATTGTCTTCGACACGAGAAATCAACTGAAATCCGCGATATTTAAGGTCAATCTAGAAATCGTTTTAGAAATACCACGTTGATCTGTTTTCTAACAGATGTTGCTTTATTCTTCAATTCGAACATGGCTAATTTCAAATCTTCCACGTTCTTTGTCTCCTAAAACTTTCGTTGAGTTTTTTTCGCAATTGAAAACTAATCACTTGAACGAGTTGATCGTCAATAGTTTGTTGTGTTTCTCCAAACATTTGGGCGGTAGAATGCAAATTGACGCATCTGAAAAAACCAAAAATCTCAAGAGGATTTCAATTTTATGAAACCTCTCTAAAGCAAGTTGAGCCAGTCTTTTCTGCATTTCAATCTTTTTCTGAACTTGTTCAAAGTAAGCAAGAGCGACGTCGATTGCATCAGGAATGGCGAGATCCTCGCTTATTCTGTGTTCATTCATTTTACTCGATTACTTCTTACAAAATATTTACATGCAGGCGGAAAGTGGTTTGTTTTGGCTCAAAGCTTGCTCAATAGCAGCTTTCGTATTATTCGACTTTGCTTCCAACTCTGATTTTCCCTTCGGCACGTTTCTGTTCTCTTCTGTTTTCGATCCTTCAGCGATAAATCTGTTCAAAATTAACATTTTAAAGAAAATAGGAACACGGCCATACGAGGAAATGGCATAAATGTGAGACAATGTTTCGTTAATTCCCTGAGAAACAATCAGATGCATAACTTCATTCGTCTCGACATACTCCCAATCATCATCTTCATTCTCATCTTCCTGGATCAACAAAGAGATCGAAACTGACTTCAATGTTCTAAATGATCAATTTATCAAATATTATTTAAAAATAAATACTTTGTGTTTTGAATATCAGCATCCGCCATGCTAACCAATTCGTAGACGACAGTTTCTTCAGATGCGCTAAAAGAAAAGAATGAGAATAACTCCATTGGTTATAAAAATATGCCTAGCTGCGTTTGGGTTGAGAAAACCAGAAGTCCACGAAGAAACATCGACACAAAAAAGGCTCTTGGCAGTTGCGATTTCGTATCGGTTACTATACAAATTCATTGCAATCATTTTTTTTAATTTCAGCTTGTTACCAGTATCTGGAATCGTAATTGTTTTCAACAAACATTGCGCATCCAATTTTTGTCGGAATTTTAATTTGATCTTGGAGAAGCAGCCTAGAAATATTTACAACTAAACACCTAAATTTAAATATATATAAACGTACTCAAACCATCCGAATTCATCGGGAATTGCAACCAAATGGGAAATTACATTTCCACTAGAAAGTAAAGCCAAAACACTAGCCACCTATAAAAAATTATCAGAAAAAATGTACAATTTAATATTTAAAAAAAACCTTCTCGTTGGCGGTATTTATAAATTTGATTGAAATTGGGTCATTGGCAAGAGCGTCATCGACATTTCCAATTCGTCCTGTCATTGGAGCAACCCCTTCAGTGAAGCCTGAATTGTTATCGTTTGGCTTTAAACTAATTATATCTTACATGAATAATAAACAATTGATCCATAGAATTCCGCTTCCGAATCGACAGCAATTAATGTAACAGACGAATCGATTGCACGTTTCAAATCAAATGAAACTGAACATCTCGAAATTTTACCAATTTAAACCGTTTTTTGCTACCAAGTGATTTGTGAAGACCGAGAGTGTTATTGAGCTTTGAGTCATTTTCATCGAACAACAATTGCCGGAAATCGACACGCAAAATTGTTGAATCAACGCTGTTGTTCAAATCATAGAACCGGATACAATCATCAGAAAACAATACAGCAATGAAAGAGGAACCATCGATTTTTTCTGGCAAATATCGTACTTGCACCACAGTATAAGTCGATTTTTTAACAAGAAGGCTTTCGTGCAAGGAAAAACAGCTAAACCATATTATTTAAGCATGTTAATTTAACTCTACAATCTACCTGCAAAAATATTCTGAAGACAGCCGATCTGAATTCGTAATCAATAGTTCTGGGTTAATTCGAATAACATATATGGCGTGTGGACCGATGAGAAGAACGTGATGTCCTCCTTTTGATACCAGAATTTCGGTTATGACAGCTTTATTTGAAATTTCCAACGACAGATTGAGTGTCTAAATGAATAATGTTAAGTGATGGAAAAAACGTTTCGACTTGAACTTACAATTTCCTTAGAATATTCGACTGTGTTGTCATGACACAAAAACCCGGTGTAAATTTTCAGAAAATTTTTGTCGTACACAATTATACATTTATCAGTGAAATTGGCAATGATAGCATTTTTGGAAAGGTTGGAAATCAAATTTCCAACGAGCATATTCGTCTATAATTTTTATATAAATTAGAAAAAGACGATTAAAATGTATTCAGCAATTCGAACCACAAAATGTAATGGCCGAACTATTCGTAGGTTGAATATTAGGCCATTAGTGCAACGTTTCAATTTTCCAACTAAATAACGAAAATTTAAATTTTTGAAGAAATAAGTGTTTTGTAAATTAAAGCGCTTAAAAGTTTTTATTTCGAGAAACGTAATAACTGTTGAAATTTCACGCCGTGTAGATTTTCGGACAAATCACCGAGAATTCGAGTAACTTTTTGGCCCATTGCCATCAACCCCCAAATATCAACCCCAATCCCTGATTTTCCACCACCAAAAATTTAACCCCTATTTTTATTTTTCTATCACCCACTAATTTCCACCCTTAGATTTTAGCCTCCATTTTTTTAATTACTGGTCAATGCTCATTGACTCCAATTTTTGACTTGAGTATTTAATTATGTTCTTTTGGCCAATACCATAAATTTTCCTAGAAATTGTCAGTGTCATAGGGGGGAGGGGTCTTAAGGGGTCCGAATTCGAAAGTTTTTAAAATTTAAGAAAATGATGCTAGAACGTAAATCTTTTCACCAAATGTTCTTTTCTGCTCGAATGTCAAAATTTACAGTTTCTAACAGTAATTTTTACCTTAAATTTTTGTATAATAGCAATAATTCACGTTATCAAGAGGAGATTCGTAGAATTTCTGTCTAGCTTTGACTTTTCAGAAACGATGTAGACTATCCTTATGAAAATAATTTTTAGCAAGTAATAAACTATTCACGGAAAAGCAGGTTCAGATAGACTTCGAATTTCGTAAGCGTGAATCTATTCCCACAATTTCCAATATTTCAAGTGTCAAATTGTGCAATTTCATATCAAGCTTCTTTGCAAGCCTGCGCAAATCAAATACATAAAAACAACAGTGGCAGCCAAATAGGCTTAAATTTTTAGTACAATTTAACACGTTTAAGGAATATAAATTTATTTTTGAAAAACAATATTAAATTAGGAAAGAAAGGGAACAAAAAATGGGAAAAATTTACCAAGCATTACAAAAAAAGCCAGCAAATCAAAGAACGGATATCGATGGCGCGGGATTAGCGTCAGACGAAGCCTGAAAGACATATACATAAATAATCATGGAATATTGTTGAAAGTGGAATAAAATTCGAAATATACAGAAAATATTAGTCATTTATTAATTTTCAGTCCTAAATAACCACTAGTTTACAAAAATTATTCACTTAAAATACAACTATAATTAATTTCAATCCAATTTTAAAAGAATATATCGCAAAAAATCGTTAAAAATAGGGAAAAAATGAGTTAATTTTTTAAAAATCCAATTATTAAAAATTCCACAGCTAAGCGAATGTTTCAGTAACGCTGCACCTTTAAGCTGTCGTCCGTATTATTTTTACATTATTTTTTTTTCTTTTCTTTAAAGTTTTTAACGATTTTTTGCGCTATATTCTTTTAAAATTGGATTTAAATTAATTATAGTTGTATTTTAAGTGAATAATTTTGTAAACTAGTGGTTATTTATGACTGAAAATTAATAAATGACTAATATTTTCCCAATTTTTAGGATTGCTTTATTTTTCGTATATTCTGAAATTTTAAAAACTTTCGAATTCGGAATCCTTAAGACTCCTCCCCCATATAATACGGACAATTTCTAGGAAAATTTACGGTATTGGCAATAAGAACATAATTAAATACTCAAGTCAAAAATTTGAGTCAATTAACATTGACCGGTGATAAAAAAATAAAAATTGAGGCTAAAATCTAGGGGTGGAAATTAGTGGGTGGTAGAAAAATAAAAATAGAGGTTAAATTTTGGGGGTGGAAAATCAGGGGTTGGGGTTGAAATTTGGGGGTTGATGGCAATAGGCCAACTTTTTCAAAAATATGAAATTTTAACGGTTTATAAACTTCGGAGAAAAAATTTGTCATATTCGATTCGAAACTCCAGTTTATTTTTGTAATTCTTTATAAAATCTATAATTCTAAAAACTAAAAATATATTTTATCGAAATACTTTATATAAACGTGAACCGCGCCGGTTCGGGGACTTTCTGCAAGAATTCGTATGTGATCGTGTAGCGAAAAATTCTGGTAGCGGCTATTGGGAAACGCACTATTGTCAATATTTATTTTAATTTCAGTGGTTTGAAACCGGCAATATATCAGAGAGAAATCAGTTCTTGTTGAAATTCTAATTTTATTTCAATGTACATCAAATAATCAAACAAGAAAATTTAAATCAAATTTTTTCAAATATGAATCTACAGTCTCCCTTCGGAAGAAGTAAAGTTTCGTAGATTTGAATTATATCCTCGCCTTCATGTCCAATTTTGAAATTCGAAATTAATTTTGTTAAAACGGTTAGTAAATCTTGTTCGGCAAAACGTCGACCAGCACACATTCTAGGTCCAAACCCAAATGGGAGAAATGCAAACGGATGAGTTTCATTTGGTTTCTCCTCTCGGATCCACCTTGATGGCTTGTATTCCATTGGAGAGTCTGCGAAAATTGCAGGATGTCTTCAAGTAAAAAGAAATTAAATATCAAGCTGTACATTGGTACAGACCTCATTATAATGTTCGTATTAATATCTATAGCAGTTCCAGAAGGGATTTCATATCCGCTCAAAACAAGGTCGCGTTGTGAAATCCTCGAAATTTCTGTTCCAATTGGAAAAAGACGAAACGTTTCCTTAAAAACTGTTAGCTGAATATGTAGAGTTTCCGAAATTTTGACCGCCGCTCTGTCAATAAATAAATGATTATTTTTCATTTTTCTAGTTAAATTTTTGTAGTTTTATTTCTCTAGTTTTTTTCTTTTTTTATTTTTTTGACCGGTTTGGAAAAGGAGAAAAGCAATACCTTTATGCAGGCTCGAAGAAACGGCGATTTACTATTACCAGATCGTATTTCCTCGCGAAGCTCTTTTTGAATCTCAGGGTTCTTTGCTAAATTGAACAAGTTATAGATTAACATTGGAGCCGTCTAAAATTATGAAAAATCGGAAATTCAATCCAACATTAAGTTGAGTCACCGTGCTAAGACCATCAGAAAACATCGATAGGAGAATAACTTTGATGTCATTTCTATTAAGCTCTTTTCGATTGATTAAATAACTTGCAAATCGCATTTCATTTCTTAAATTATCCATTTTTATTACTTGTTGAATAAAATAGAAAAAAACTTTGCATTCTCGGAAATGTTCGATGTTAGCGAATCAAGTGCGTTATCCATCAATTTGTCTACTTCGCCATAAAACTTATCCTCCAAAGCCACCATTTTCTTCCAAGAAGGCGTTGAAAATATTCGAAATAAAGGAAGACCCAATCGCATTCTGAAATTCAATTGATTTTGTTTTGTGCAGATTTGTGTTTGGTATTACTTTGCAGACAATTGGAAAATTTCTTTATTTAGCGAAATCAAATCATCTGCCCATTTGGAATTTGTCGAAAAAGCGCCGAGCGATTTTTCGAATAATATTTGACCGGCAGATTCTAGGGACCATCTTTAAATAAAGCACTTGTATATTAATGTTTAAGTTATTCAGAACCTTCCCGCAACTTTTTGCATATCCACAAATCCCTTTTCCGATTGTAATTTTTGTACGTGATCGACCAAGTCGTTGGAAACTTTGTTAGAAAATGGCAAATAACTGAAAAAGGCTGTTTTTTTTTCAATAATATTTACTAATAAATATTTACTTACGTTTGGACCGATTGCGGTCTCATCATAGCTTGTTGAATTGCAGATCTCAACCGATACCATTCACCACCATTTCTAAATATCGTTTCTAATTTTATTGTATTTAATATATATATATTTTTTTTAATTGTACAAATTGCCAAGTCCTGGGTTCATCCCCTTCATTTCTCGATATTTCAGCGTAGTTTCTTGAAGTGGTACAATAAATGGAGTTTTTCCATCGGCACTTAATACCTTCTGCACGTCAACTAAAATTTTAAAAGGCACATGTCTCATTCTATTTGTTTCAAATAAAAGAGTTACCTGGATCAAAAATATGAACAACATATTTTCGACCGAAGCCCAAATTCTCTTTGACGATATTTCCATATTTGGTATACAAACTAAGCAAATGATTCGAGTATTTTTCAATTATCGATGCATCTAAAATCGATAAAACATGAAATATTGTCGAAGAACAACAAATTACCAGTTGCAAGAATAAAAGGCAAATTATCGATGGATCCAATAAACGGAATCTCGCGAGGTCCTGGTATTTCGCTAAACTTTTTGGTCGGAATTGATGATGTCGATTTTCGAAAATGAACAGAAACCGGGCACGCCGCTTCAGCAAGAACAGCCAATGTCGTCCGCATGGTTATTCAACTAACCCCATATTTCTAATCAGTATTGCATCGATTGATAAGATATTAGTGGTTATTGACAAAGTTTCTACGAAGCTCATATAAAAATCATTGATAGATGCGATCTTCATTTATCTGGGAAGAATATATAAAATAGTATAATATAATCGGTGAATAAATATAGAAACAAACAATTTTGCAATGAATTGCATTACAGAAGGAGAGGTAACAGGAATATAACATAAATAGAGATTTAAATCGATTTTATCGAACATTAAAACCAACATTTTTGGGTTGAGTGCGATCCAAAATATTCGTGCTTTTGTCGACCTAATTGAAGAAATAATAATTTGGCAGTACTCGAAACAACTACCGTAAACAATTTAAACACTTTGAGTGTCTCTTCCATATCTCCGGTCAAAACTTCGTCAATTGGAGAAGCAACCAAATCCATAATTTGCTCTGATGAAGCTGAAATATTCGAAATTTATGTCATTTTGACTGATTTTTGAAACCTTGAATTTCATGTGATAGCTTATAATTTGCATTAAATCTAAAAATTTTCAAAAATCCGTCATCGCTCGCGGTTAGCATTTCGTTGTAAGCCCGATTGAAGACAATTCCGCCAACACCGCCCGACTCGCATACAGCAATATCGCGAATCTTCTGACAATTGCGTTTCACGTCCCACAGTTTGACAGTTCCATCGCCAATTCCGCCAGAAGTGGCAAGAACCCCATCACGAAAATTGCAAAATTGCGCTCGTCGCACTTGTCCAATATGCTCATCGATATTATATAAAGCGGTCTGAAAATAAATTAAAAACGTTAAAAATGAAATTATCTGAAAATATTACGGGATTTGTGATAATTTCAGTATCCGATCGAACATGTCTTCCATCCCAGACTTTCGCAGTATGGTCTGCCGATGATGAAGCACACATTGTTTCATCAGTAGACCATTCCAATGAAGTAATATCTCTGCGATGTCCATTTTCGCCTCCCCACGCTCTTAAAAAAACAGATAAAAGAAATTTGAATATTAAGTAAGGAATTACGACACAACATGTTTCCCAATTCTAACGTCATGATTCACAATATCTCCACTTTTGTATCCACACGTCATGATTCCGTTCTTTTTCCAGCTGATTGAACCTTAAATTTTCTTCGTTTCTTTAATATTCCAAATCAGCAAAAAATACCACAACGCTGAGCTCCTCCAACGCGTAGTGTCCTCAGTTCACGAACATAAGACGATGTCTTTGGACGGTTTGGATCATAAATCTAAAAATAACACAAGAATTAAACACCTCAGAAAATGAAAAAGCGATACTCAGTGACTAAACGCAAAAAAAAAGTTTAGGGATATGAATTGCTGTTTCCAATATTTTCTTACGTCTAGCCCTCTATTAATTTTTTTTAATAATAAAACCTTAACGGCTCCACTTTCGTATCCAAGAGACAAGTATTTTCCTTCTTGACTCCACCGTACGGAAGTGATGAGACCTTCGTTAGTCGGAGCATTGTCTTCGAAGAAATTCTGAATATATAATGTAGTTAAAATATTCAAAAGCGAATCTTACTTTGATAACACTAGTTTCGGTGTTCCACAAATATAATTCGTGCGAAAGGGCGACTGCCACCCAATTGTGGCTTCCCCAATCAATATGCCGCGAATATAAATCCTCTGGAAGTTTTTTTTTTTAATTTTAGAACATTTAATAAAAAATTACTCGTAAGACCAGGGGCATCGAGAACTTTTGACGCCGTGGTAGGAACGTGCCGAATTGATCTTTTAACGGAAGATGACGGATTAATAACGCTGTTAGTTGAATAGAGAACCTAAAAATAAGAAGATTTTCCTATCATATAGTTGAAGACCCACCTTGGCTTGGTTGATATAACCGACAGCTGGAGGTGGAGCCAAGTTTTTCCGGTAACAAAGGATTCTATCGCCTTCTTCCGCATCAGTAAGTCTTCCGGCAGACTTTATTCGCATCATTTTACCCAAGCCAGCATTTTCTTTGTCGTTATCGTTGCGGGGGCTATTCGGCGCCGACGAAGATGTATTTAAATTTTCATTCTAGAGAAATACTTATAATGTTAATAATTTTAAAAAAGCATACAGTATTAGTAGTCGTATTCGTGGTAGAAGGAAAATACTTGGAGGTCATTAAATGATTGGCAAGATCCATTTCATCGTCATTCATTCGAACTCCCAAAAATCTATCACCAACCATAGTAGCATTCGGCACTATATTAGTATTTCGAGTTGGGGTCATTTCTCTCTTTCTCATGGACAATCCCTGCTTCAAAACCAAATTTCTTAAAATGAAATCACATTGTTTTATTACCTGTTTAGAGGATAACATTCTCGATGTTGTCCGTCCAGCGCTACCAGGAGTACGCCCTCTATTGTTCATTATAAAATAGATTAGTAGAAATGCTGAAAGCGAATCATTAATTAATGAAAAATAAAATAAATAAAAACGTGTTTGATCCTAGTTAGATTTTTTAACACTGCCGTTCTCGGCAAACGTATCGGTCGAAATTCGGATTTTTCTAGAGTTTGGCGAAACACTCAGGCTACCCTATTTCGCTAAAATTACCAATTTCTTATATTTTTACCGTTTATCCAAAATGTTTTCATTGTTTCGTCAAAGACGAAAAATTTCCTGATTGTTTCACGCGAAAAGTTAGCCGAGTAATTTAAATTTTACTCGAAAATAAAAACCTATTTCAAATATTAATAATTCTTAAAAGAATTTGCTTTTTTGAAGATGCTTGAAGTTCAAAGAATTTACTGGAAAATAAATATTTCACTGCTATAGGGTATCTGGGTACACTAGTTTAAATAATTTGAACAACCGGCGTCCCAATGCCTGCGGTAGAGCGTACTTTCCTTTGCAGCGATTGAACAGTTCAAAATGAATATTTAAAAACAAATGAAAAGTTTGAAGAGATGAGAATAAAAAATTCCAAAATGAAAACTTCTGACAATAGTTTTGAGTGGTTTGCCGTAGTTCCTTTAATAGATTGTAGGCGCCGATCTTCATAACAAAAAAGGTCTTCAAACGATGATTGCGAATTTCTTCAATACTGTATTAAAATGAAATTATTTAAAAAATTTTATTTTTGCTTCTCAATTTCACTATTAATTTTTTATTTAATTGAAATGTCAACCACTCTGCTGCATCGAAAATGGGAGCAATTAAAAAAGAATCAAGAAGAATTTATGCAAGAAGAGCGGTGCCGAGAGATTCGGAGTGAAATTTCTCGCAACTCAATTCTTCGACCAATTTTAAAAAGAACTGGTGCTAAATATTATGAGGGTAAAAATTTACGGAATTCTTATCACTGCATATATTCTTTAGACGAAAACAGGCAAGAAATATCTGGTCACTTCAATAATAATATAAAGGTTAAAAAAAAACATTATAATCTATATTTTTCTATTTAGAAAAGATATAAACGAACTCAAATAGCTGGAATTTTTGCTTATGCTAAGTCTTCAAGGAAACGGTCGGATTTAGAGAGACAAAATATATTCGAATTTGAAAAGAAATGTGATCTTGCTTGTCAATTAATGAATCCAGAGCAGGAACCTACACATATGAAATTAAAAGGTATAAAATATATTCCTATAATTGAATAATTCTCTTCAAAAATTTTTTGTGGGCATAGAAAGAGGAAAAGAAGTATACCTGGATGGATTTCACGGATACGGGAGATCTCCAAATTCTTCAAACTTTGAACAGTTCAGAAGCACTGACAGATTACCCAAAAGAAAATTGTAAATTAAACATTTTCATCATCTGGTCAGCGCCTAAATTGTAGATGGTCAACGCGTCAAACTGCCAAAAGCATGGAAGGATTCATTCCGGAAATTTTTATACGGAAGGAAAATGGAATAACGCTGTCGATGATTGAAAGCGTTGTTCTTGCTTCAGAGATTTTTTCCAAGGTTCATTTTTTAAAATACATTTTCTCATACACCTATTTTCAGCCGGAAGGAAATAACATTAAAGTTATGGATATAATCCAGGATCGCTCGCAATGGCTTCTTTTTGCTGAAGAGTTTAATGACAAAAGGGACTATTTCAATGTCAGTTCTAAATTTAAAAGTGACTCTTTTATTTATTAATTAAAAAATTTAAATTTTCTTTTACCATTTTTGGAAAGTTGAATGATAATTGCGTAGATATGAACTAACAACTAAAATCTCTTAAAACATTAAAAACTTTATTAATCGCGAAATCGCCAATGATCGCAATTTACCATCCCCATCCGCTTGCATAATTCGAACTATATCCACCAGATTTAAAGCTCATATAAGAGCCCCAGGAGCTGCCTTGACTATAACTGTAACCGCCAGGAAATCCCCCATATCCTCCATAGTATGGATAACCGCCTCCAAATCCACCAAATCCATATCGTTTTTCTCGGTGTCTGAAAAAAATTGGATATAATGAGGAGCAAGCGAATATGTTAACCCTTCTGGAGGCCTCCAAGCTAAATTCTTCGGATGTTCAAAGTCTTTTACGTCATTATTCTTTGCTTCTTCGCTTGCCGCCATAACTAACAGAACAGTGAAGAAAATAAATATGGAATGCATGGATGACAACTGTTAACATACAATTTTTAGATGTATTCATTCTGACTTTTATATATAATACTATGAGAAACTATTCGACAATCAGCTGAGCTGGACTTTTGAATTCGATCAACAGTTCGTTTTTTGTTTTCATCAATTTCAGAGCGACAGGTTTTCTGTTGTTAACAGGTCCAAGTTTGTCGAAATACCGACCATTCGAAAACAATCATTTAGTAAGTATCGTGCAAATGGACTTTATTCCAATTTGTAATCAACAGTTGGATCACAAAATGTATTTATGAGTGTGGATTATTTGCCACCGACCCAATTGTGACCCCACCATGTCGGTAGAGCTCCTTTAGCTTCCCAACTATTTCCGAGACCACCGAATAAAGGATAACCGAATCCCCATTGTCGTTTCAAGCGGCTCCTGGAACATAGGTGAAATTTTTTTGTTAAAAAAAACTTACTTACTGAATTTGAGCATCAATTGAAGTAAAAATAATAATGAATAAGAATAATAGCAGAAAACGTTTCATCAACAGTTCACCTAAGAAAGAATTGATAATGTGATATCGAGTAGAAACTGGTTTTTTCGTGCTGAGTATCATTTTTACGGTCATTTTGTTTTTATCGAACCGAGGCTTTGTCCATTGGCGAGTAGGGACAATCCCAAATGATGGAAGGCTGAATCAGTACAAATTTGTGGTAAGGCGGAGGAATTCTATATCACATAAATACATATTTAGTGTTGAAAGCTAAAAGCGACTTATTATAACATATCTGCACTAACCAAAGAGGAAATCGGTTTCTGGGCTAATCGAACAACACTTCCTCTTTCGGCATTCTATTTTTGCATTATTTCAATTCAAACGGCAAATACGGAATAGTGTTTTTATCGACGATTTATTGACCTCTATCGGCTCATCGCCCTAGAAGGCGAGTGTGACCGTGTGTCCAAGAAGACAATGCGCAAACAATTCGTCCTTGTTTGGAGTATTTGTACTATTCGTCGCCGTCGTCACACTTTATCCGTTTCTATGAGCATGACCCATTAGGGCAATATTATTATTATTATTGTTATTATTAATAATAGCGGCGACAGTATTAATGCGGCCATGTTCATTTTTGAATAGATTTTTAACGAAACTCGGCTTCTCCCCTCTGCATCCAATAATAATAATATTCCCCTCGTTGTTTGGTTTCGTAGGGTCTGTCTGTTGGACTTTGCTTGCACATGCAAATTTGCGCAAATTACAAAAAGAAGAAAAGTGGCGGTCAAGAAGCGCAAACAAATACCAGATGAGAAGAGGGGCGGCGCCATCGAGTCGTTGCACATCATTTCGAGAAAAAGAGAAATATTTTTTGAAAGCCGCGAAATATGCGTTTTGAAAATTGGTTTGATTGCCGCTGAGCGCTTCGATCGCGTCAGAATCTAGTCACGACAAGAACACTTCAGGTGTTTGAATTGGCGCCAACATGCCGAATGTCCTGCGGAAGCTGCATATCGCTAAGTTCTACACTTTGCGTTTTCACTTTTCCCGGTTCTATTATGGGTTTATTATGTAAAATTTGAATTCTCTTTTTCTCCCAATTTATTTGAATTTTCAAAAATAAAAGAAACAACACGTCTTATTATTTTTGAGATTTAATGTCCCCAAAATCGCAAATTTGCATAATGCATAATTCGAAAAACGAAAAGCCAGAATTCAAAATAGGCGACAGTGGCGAATGATGATGATGAAGCAAGTCGGTGCCGGATAAGATCTGATGTCTTCTTCGTGCCAATTACACCTGTACCGCACACTTCATCCGTGCATATCTCCGACAATCTCCACATTTTTGCTTCTCGTTTTGATTTTTGGAATTTCGACAATTTTCACCACCACATCAATCGCTATCTGATTTCCATTTGCCTTACTACTTCTCTCATTTTTTTTTTGCATTTCGCCAATTTGCATTCAAATCAATTTCACAACGGTATTCGACCTTTACCAACAATTACATTTCTTGCCCATTTCTCTGATCCTCTCATTTCAACAGCCTATTTCGCATCTTGCGGTTTTATTACCGGCTTTCTTGTGCACATTTATCTTCAAATCGTCGAGGTGCTGCCCACCACTTATTAGAATTCACCGCCCGTCTACAGTATGGCAAACATAGATACGTATAATTATTTCTTGATTTATGCAAAACTTGCCGATATTCACCCAGCCACTTCCGTCATGTTCATTTTGCCCTTATATGTATATTAGGTACATATGTTTGCATGTGTGTGTGTGTGGGGGGGGGTATAATTAGATGGTTTTCGGCCCATAATTTCATTGACAGAAAAGATGAGTGAAAAGCTGGCAAAAGCGCCCGCCGAATTACTGTTGAGGAAACGATTGGTGGCAATTTATAGAATTGGCACGAATTTCGGACATCCTTCAGCTTCTTTTTTTTCTATTTCTCTCACGGAAATTACTGCTTTCTCAAGGAATGCAATTATTTGTCGATTCGTTTTGCAGTACGGTCATATGAATGATTTGATTGAAAATATTCATATTCACGTATTTTGCTAATTTTCCAAAAAATACATAAACGCAGATACTTAAACTTGGTAAATTTCATAACCAAATTTTTGTAAAAGTTGCGTCAATATCATATGATTACCTTATTTGATAATCAATTTCAATATTCTTTCGAAATAAAAATATTTCTAAGCTTTCTTATTTGAACTGATAACAAACCATGGTGAGTTCTAGAAAATGTCAGCTGACACTTTTTCCTATCTGTTTTTTTTCAAACTAATTCTAATAATAATTTTTTGCGGACACAATTGCCGACATAAAGGGAAAAAACAAAAGAATTGAAAGCGCTTATTTTTATGAAATAAAAGGTTCCATTTTTTCATGTTCGGCGCCATGTATTTTGTTTTTTTTTCCCTTTTTTGGCAGTTCTTTTAGGGGTTCACTTCGGGTTACTGATTGTAAGTCAAAGGTTGAATGTTTGCTTCTTAAAACGATTAATGCGTTTGTTCAGTGGTTTGCTGCTCGCGTCTTGCTCGCTTTTCTTCTACCGGTTCATCCGTCAAACATAATTTGCGCGTGGGACGAACAGGTGTTCGCCTATGTTCCAGATGATCGTCCAGCTCAACGCTGGTATTTGATCTACTACGAGTTTCACATTTGCCCTTTAATTCAATTCCTATGACTAACAGAAACCCCCCCCACAAACACACCACTGATTATTGTTTTTTTTTGTGAAAAGCGAGACTGCGAAAAAAAGGAACCGACATAAACCGGTCGAAACGAGCATTCGTTGTTTTATGCTAATCTCTAGCGTTTAATACACGAAGCGACACAGTTTTTTCTCGTTCGCACTGCTTTTCGACTATTTATCACTGTCAGTTCAATTGCTATTCATTTTTCGCTATTTGATGGTCTGATGATAGGGTTCAGCTCGTCATTCAAACGTTTTCCGAATATCAATTATAAACAGGCCCCTAAAAGGCTGCATTAAAGAAATACATTCCAAATCAATGCTTCCAACATTCGGTATACAAAAAATTCTACCGGCTTGCCTAGTTTTTTTTTTGCAAAAATGACTTACAGTCGTTCGCTTTTCGAAATATTCGTCCCAATTTTCGTATATCTCAAATCATTTGATTAATTTCCTAAAAACACAGTTTCAACTGTGCGGGAATTCACATAATTTTATTGAATGAGTCAGTGTAAGAATTCATATGGTAGGAATGTTTCGAAGTGAATCATAATTCCGCTTTTTTTTTCTTCTCGTGCGCGACTGGGAGTGCCGGCTAAATATAGGCGACATTTGCTATTATTGTCAGAAATTTCGACTGTTTCACCTCAAATTTATGTCAAAAACTAAACCAAGTTGGTGAATGACAAAACCTAGACAAATATTTATTAGATTTTCGAAATACCACTTCAATGTTTAATTCTATCGGGATTTTTTAAATCTTTCATATAACGCTGTTTAATTCCAAAAATTCACCAGTTCAGTCAGAAAAAATAGTAAAAAAAAAAGATCACTTGAAATGTTATAAATTATATAGTCATGCATGTCCTTGACTTTTAATTGTTTATTTCCAACAATTATTCTTGAGAAATGACTAAAATGATTAGATCTACATATCTTTCGTTTTAGATTTTTTGAAAATCGTTGAAAAAAAAGCCAATGTCAAATATACAAATTGAAGAAGAGCTTTTTCCAATGGAAAAAAAAATTGGTCAACCTTTATATATGCGAGAAAATGATACATGAATATTCGAATGTTTCGAAGTGTAAATATTCAGTACAAGCAGTCAATCATTTTCTGTGTGTTTATTTTCTTAAATCGTTTACTCAGCTAATTGCATATTTTACACGAAATTAGCACATTGTTGAAACTTGTTCTCGACCGGCAGCCAAAAAGCGTAATGTTAGTGTTTTCGACGAGTGTTTTCACGTGAGACATTGGCCCTTTCCATTTATCCCCTCGTTCTAATGTTGTTTCTCGTCAAACATGTGTTCGAGATAACCGATATTACTCCGTTCTTATATCATCTTGTGGCGTATTTCATCGCATCCGGAATTGTACAACAACAACATCGCCATCATCATTTCCCTCATCATCATTACCATTTCTAGGCTTACAATTATTTCCATTCATTTGGTGTCATTTAATACATATATATAAAGAAGCAATATTGTGGAATGTTTCGATGTGTAATTGGCCGACCAAAATCTATATAATAATATAAATAATAAAAAAAGCAAATCAAAAATATTTCGACGCACGGCGAATTGAGTCATCGTTATAATTCTGCGGAATGAATCGACCCACATATTGATGATAAAATTCCCATTTTTTGTCGTCGCTCTTCTTTCTTTTTGTCCTGTTTTTTTTTCAATCGAGCGACACGGTTTTTAAAAATTGACCGATTTCTTTTGATAAAAACCAACTGCGAGTCGTTCGATTTCATTTGAAAATGTTTCCCCATCAAACAAAAAATTTCACGTGAGTTGAAAGATTTCTAATACTACTGGTTTTGTTTCAGAATGATTGAGAATAAGTGAAAGCTAGTAAGTAGCCCATATTTTTTTCAAAATTACAACGTGATTTCTCATTTTATAAAATTCTGATTATTTTTACTTATTAGAGCAAAAAAATTTTTTTAATTCGTCAGAAAATATGACTTCTCACAATTTTTTCCGTAATTTTCATATTTTATCGCAAATATCAATAGTAGAAATTTGGAAAATGTGGAACTATTTAAGGTATAAATAAATGAAAAATGTCTTCAATTGCAAAATAATTCGAGATCAATTCTATCAAACGCCTTTGACATTTTCCGTTTTTTTTATTATTTCAGAACGTATATTTATAGAGCGAAAACTGCTACATTTGTCGGCGAATGTTCAAATATTTGCGTGATTCCGTGTGATTCACCTAATGTATTCTTGATCGTGACTTTGCCGACCTGCGCGCTTCGTTTTTTTTTTCTACCAATCTTTTGCACACACATAACCTAGATGATAGACCGTTTTTAGTTGTCTTCCAATAATTTACTAACCGAATTCAGGTAAATTTGCCCCAGAAAATATTTATATACTTTGTCTCAATTATGAAATGGGCGTTTTCCTTCTTTCGTAGCGCCCTTTATGTATGCATGTATACCGGTAATTACCGAAGGGGTACTCAGAAGCGAACAGTGAGTATGTCCTTCTAGGTGAAGCCAATAATTCGAAGAAAAGAACGAGTAATTACGGTACGTCCGTAGAGGTCGAGGTAGGCGCGATTTAATTGAAAAACCGCCGAGTTGTGAATACATTTGTAATAGCGAGAAATTGAAAAGGGAATCCCTCAAATTTCGCGTTCTTTTTCAATTATTCACACGAGATTTTCACCACAGATTTCTAATTTTTCGAATTATTCGACATAAAAAAAACATTTAACAAGAATTGAAAAATGATTACAATTTGGCTGAAGAAGATGGATCGTTTCAAAATGATCTATTATATTCTCGGAAAAAAATAATTTTTTTAATTGTATCATTTTTTGATATTTTTCACTGGTTCGTCATTTATAAAAGTGAGATTCAAGTGGAAATTATGTTTTTATTTTTCGAAAATTGCTTTTTCATTTCAAAATATTGTTTTTATGCGTTTTTTTTAAACATAAATATTCCAACTCAAACATTTCTCATGTTTTTAAAACGATCATTATGGAATCTTCTATGAACCCATTCATGCAATGAAAAAAATTTAAAAAAATCAATTTTTTCCATTTGAATTCCCTATGCACGCACGTCGAAAATTACAAAGAATTGACGCAATATATCGTAATTCTCCACTATTTATTTTCAAAGGCGCATGCGAAATGGTGCGCGGGTCACGATGCGAAGTCGGTACTGTAATTTTTTAATGGCTGCTTTTTCGAATTTTTTTATTTTTTGAAGGTTTTAAACGCTTTTTTGTTTGAAAATCCGTAAACATATTTTGTTTAATCAACTAAAATGTGAAGAAAATTAACGTGCATAGGGAATTCAAATGAAAAAAATTGATTTTTTTTAATTTTTTTTTCATTGCATGAATAGGTCCACTACGAAAGTGTGCACTTTTGCTCGTTATACCATATATTTTTTATTCGTTTCAAAAGTCTTCAAATAAATATAAAAAAAATGAAAAATGAAAAACTAGTTTTCGCGTGCATTTTGTCAACGAGTGTACAGAAGGCAAATATCATTTTTAAATGAAAATTTGCTTTCAAAATATCCTCTTTTTGTTTCTATTTTGCATTAAACCCAAAGTAAACAAAGACCAACTGGTACGAAGTCATCTAGACAAAGCATTATGGAGTCGTGTTTCATCATTGTATGGTCCGGTTCTAATATCGATTTCCTGTGTTAAAAACGGTTGTGTATTGGATTAATTACCCTCTACTTTCAATTGATTCTTGCTAGATCTTGACATTTTTTAGGTCACAATTACTGTTCAAGGTGAACACACAAAATAATTCGTATTTTACAATTGATGCAATGCTAAAATCTTGTGTCGGCCCTAAGAAAATTTGGTTAGTTGTTCAGGAAAACTTCAAATTTCCAGTTTTTATCTGCAAATACACAGACCCGCGTACACACACACACACACACACACATACACATACATACAGTAGTTGCTTGGTAGTAGTAGGCATTCTACACACTGTTTGCTCTTTGCGCGAATATACACAGAAACACGGAGAAGGCGAAATCCGCGCACCTCTAACCTCTTTTTGTCTCTCGGAACTTCTTTTATTTTTCCGCCCCTCATCATTCTCAGTTTCACCACCTTCGTTTAATTTGTCAATTGACACTTTTTGATCACTTAATTAGTTGTTTTTATAAAAACTTTCTTTTTGCTTATGTTAAAGAAAATGTGAATTTTCGAAAGAAAAATCACAAACTGTAAAAAATATAGTTTAACCACGCCCAATTCCAAATGGAACTGCGCTTAGCCTATGCGTAACCCTAATAGATGAAATGTCTGAGAGGACATGCTATTTGAAAATCTGGCTTCGTTTCCTTCAAAGGGAAACATCAAATGTGTGGTCAACTCAGGCGATAAATCAGTGCCACAAAACAAGTCTTTAGTTGTATTCAGTTACACATTATGACTATATTTTATCATTTCTACGTAGATTCAGTTTTTCACATTCTTCGTTTACAACATTCTATTCTCTTGTACATACATTTATACAAATAATCTATACAGTTAATAATCTAGTTTTTCCAAAATGTTTTTTGCTTCCAAAAAGAAACTGATAAGAGAGAATTATTTCGAAATTCGAAAAAAAAAAAGAATTTGGTTGGAATCCCATAAAAGGGCGTTATTTCCGTGTAAATTCGTTAGTTGAATTGTAATGATTTGAACCAAGTTTTACAATTTGAAAAACACATCTGTGCGTGTTAATTGTTATTGTTTGAGATGAATGAATGTATTCATTACCGAGACAAAGATATGTTATCGAATTTCAATGACCTCTTATGATTCACAATGTCAATAAGAAAAACGCCTTCGATTCGCATTTTTTTCCAATTTCATTCCAATCCAGGAAACATATTGCCAATCACTAATCACTTTCACTGGTTCCCTTTAAAGATACTTTAATTCATTTGCGGCGTATGTGTTTTTTCTGTATGGTTCATGGCTATGATCCTCTGTTTCTATTTCATGCCTGACGGGGCTGTAACATCGCTCGGGGGCCCCGACATTACACAAAACACGAACAAAAAATAAGGCGATGAAGAAAATGAAGAAGATGAAGCAGAAATGTGGATGGCGAAAGAAAACGAAGTGCTCTGTGGAGAAGAGATGCAATGATGATTTTGATCCGGTCGAGAGCCACCACTGATGAGCACCCGATCCTCTTATCAATTTTTTTCATATCGATTAGTTGACTTTCAACAACTGTTTGAGGTTTTTGAACATTGAAATTTGAAAGAAAACATCGGCTCGATCGCACAAAACCTTCTATACATTGCCCATCGTTACAGTGTATTTGCCAAACCTTCAGACGCATTGAATATTTGTTCACCTCACTTTTGATAAATGTTCATCTCTTTGTCATTTGCTTGTTTCTGCAGTTCATTTTTTGCCGTGTTCCGTTTCACTTGATCGTATATCATCATCGTCAATCACGATATCTAAAAGTTGTGTAAGAACGAAGCTTTTGCCCTTGCTTACTGATTGCGTGACCCGCCGCGCGAGATGTTTGATTATTCTCATTTGACTACTCTCATTTTTCAAACAACATTTTTTCCACTTTTCACATTCGATCTCTGCTTTATGAATTCAGTAATGAAAGCGAATTTTCTCTTTTTTTTTTTTACTTTTCTTCTTCTTGTTTTTTTTGTTGTTGTGTTCGTTTCCATCGCTTTATCTCGTTTTTGTTATTTTCGTATCCAAAATATCGAAAGCCGGAAAATCGATATTAAAACAACTGGTGGTGTGTGATTGTTTGAACTCAGCAGGCAACGGCTGCTGATCATATGTAATGTATGTTTTGTTCATTCTTTCAACTGAAAATCGCATTTCAATTCGCCTTCTAATTGTCGCCATCACATCCAGATGTTCAACTTCTTCTCGCCTTTTCACACTTCGTTTCTTTCCAACTATATTCCAAATTGTTCAGACAACCCGTCGAAAGCGGCACTAGGAGTGCGCGTGCAGAGGCTCGTCGAATCATGTTTTCAGGACACCCCATTCTTGATGTAATTAATTTTTATTACTCTTAATTACTCGAGTATTTGATTTTAGGAAATCAAGAAGGGGTTTAAATTGCGACCGACAAAAACCGTTGATAAATCGAAGCCGATTATCTACGCCGAGGGTGAAGACGAATCAGAAGTTGCTCCGACGAAACGAGCCCCTCCGTCTGGAATTCTTCCACCCGGGCAGGCGCCGGCACCTTCGTTTACTCTTCCGTCCACTTCAACACCAAATGGTGTAGTCTCACCACCGCCGCCACCAGCAAGTTTTGGCTCTGGCGGAATTCCGCCTCCTCCACCACCACCACCAGTGATGGGTGCTGGTGGAATTCCGCCTCCACCGCCTCCAATGGGTGGTGGGCCTCCGCCGCCTCCACCAATGGGAGCAGCACCACCACCGCCACAAGCTGCTAGGCCACGAACTCCGTTGAATCCCACATTAGCAAAACTTGGTGGAAAGTCACCAGCTACAGTGGATCGTGGGGAATTGCTTAAAGGAATTCAAGGCGGATTCAAACTTCGTAAAACGGTTTGGGAAATTAATTGATTATATTTTAATTACTCTTAAATTCTAGGTGACAAATGACAAATCCGGATTAATTGTGGACGAAGAAATGAGAGAAAAAAGTGTGACTTTGATAGAGCCAGCACCAACTTTGTTTGTATTTGTTTCGGGTTTATAGCATTTTTATATCTATTGTAGATTTATTCCGCCTGAGCGTAGTCGAACTCCAATTCGTCCACATTCGTCCCTCGGATTCGAATCAGATGATGATCGTTTCCGAACACCGTCGGCCCGAACCCCTGAACCGCGCGATGATTCACCAGAACCGCTCATTGGTCAACGTCGGCCAATTGTGATGCGATTCAAAGGCGACCCACCACCGCCACCACCGGAGTTTGGATTCGATTCCGAAAAATGCAAGATTACTTCAGAAGATCTTGAGAAAGAAATCAAGAAGGGATCGGTTGCTTCAAAAATGGCAGCGTTGATGGGAAACATGGGATTCTCTCAAGGTATTTTGTAAAAAAAAATTAACAAAATAATTTCTTGGATTCAGATAAAATCGATAAGGTTGGCACAGGTTCGCTTCCAAGAGCAACATTCCGTCCAAGTCCAATGCGAAGCACATTCCTGTCTGAGGTCAATAATAATCGCAATGACGAAGCACCAAAATCGAAGCCCGTTTCGAAATGGGCACCTGTCGACACCAATTACGGATTGAAGACAGCGTCAAGATGTCCGATTTTTAATCTATATAATTAGTGTATCGTATAATTTCAGCAAACGTCCCATTAGATAAACAGGAGAGAGCAACATCAGTCATGCGGGAACGCAGTTCGTCTTGGCTTGATCTGTCACCACGATCGACCGAAAGAGCACGAACACAATCTCCAATTCCGCTGTGTGAACGATTGGAGTTGGACAAAATCAATTTGGATGATTATAATGTTTCAATCATTAAATCGGAACATTATTTATGATATGATATCGTTATAGGATATGGGAGAAATAAATGAGGAAGATTTTGAGGCCGAACAACCCATCGAGAAGAAAACGCCAGTTCGGGATTCAACGACATTTAGCCGCAAGACCAAAAATCTCCCAGATCCAATTAGCGTCAAGTATGTCGACTATTGTGATTGATTTTCATTCGTCATACCATTTAGAACGGATTTCGTGACGACGCCGCGCAAGATGCCGCAAATTCAAGAGACACCGCCAACGCCAGCGCAAAAGAAAACTTATGGGTACGCGAATAACCGCTCGACAAGCATCAACAGGTTCGTTTTAATGGCCAATTGCCTATATATCGGATATATATTATATAATTCAATTCAGGTCAACGAGCCCTGTGCCAGCTGGCGAGCAATCATCACCGATTTCGTCAATGTCATCGGCGCCCTCGCCATCGTCGCTTTCGGCCGGGTCTGTATCACCCGAACAGGTGCCCAAAAAACGAATTGCGAATCCGAACTTTGAAAAGGTAGGGATCGTTTCAGTTTTTGTTATACTCCTAAATTTTAATAATTTGAAACCATACTTCATTCGATTTGCTTTCGAGATATTATGTGGAATTAATTCCCTTACGCTTGCAAATGTCCAACAAAAATGTTAAGCTTTCCAAATTTTTATTCTATTCAATATTTGCACTTGATAACTTTGTACGTACATTTGCACATAGTCACAAACAGATAACAGATAACCATGTTTATTTACAGGCCAAGGAAAAATGGGGAGCTGTTGCCAAAGCAGAAGAGCCTCCGGTTCGAGCATTCGGTCTTCGAGAAAGTAAAACTCCAACGAGAGAGCAAATCTCACCAACTCGCGATAAGACTCCGATGAAGGATGATTTATCGAATATTGCTACGACAACATCCAAGGTTATAACAAAGTCTAAACAAAATGAAAAAGAGAAGAGCCCGCCGTGCTTTGCCGTAGTGACTTCGGCAGAGGCGAAAGGTGCTGCGGCGGTTGCTAAGGCAAAGTCCGGTTCGCCACCATCCGCAAAATCTACCCAATCTACTACTACCACTACCACTACTCCAACTACCACAACAAAAAAGAAGCGCGTTGTGAAAAAGAAGCCATCAGCAAGCACTACCGAATCGCACTCACATTCACCCTCACCCGCTATCACTGCCACCGTTCCATTGTCGAGCACTAAACCAACCCTACAGCACGAAGAGCGACGAAAATCGAGCACACCGCTTGGCGAGGTCAAAAAAGTTTGGGGCCAGCCAGAATCTGGAACAGTCAAAGATCGTGCCAACAAATTCCGAGAACAATTGCAAGCTGACGCCGACAAAGGCAAGAAGCCGTGGCAGGTTTGTGAATGGAGCACTGTGGTCTGGTTTCGAGCAATGCTCGTTTCTCTCCACAATTTCACATTTCCTATGTTGTTCTTTTTTTGTTTTAGCGTTCTGCGATTACGAAAAACTACTGAAACTCTACTCTAGCCCACGGGATCAGCATACTCTTATTTTGATTAAAGGTATCCCCGTGTGAAAAGCATGGGAATGCAGTTTCTTCGGGTGGTCTCTAATTGTCTGTCGGGTGTCTTTCAATCATAACCTAAATTTTCCACAAATGCAATCATGTTTTGTACTTTTGCTGTGTGCATTTTCCTTTATTTTCAGCATCCCTTCATGCCGACACCGACGGCGCGCGAGCAATTATTCGGCTCGTCGACGCTACCCAGAAGACACTCGAATCAACAACCGATACGCTATCAGAGCACACAAACAGTGCGAGTCGTTAATGTGCCAATCAGCGCTCCGTGGTACTCGAGAGACCCACTCGAATCGCGATCGGAGGCGACGAGATTGTCGGCCTCTTCGAAATATTCGCCGACATATAGGGTATTTTTGTAATTCGGTTTCGAAACAACGCCTCATGGTGTTTCTTTCTGACAGCACGCTGGTTTTTCGACTTTTTCAACAGCATGACTTTCAAAGTTTTCGTCTAAATCATGAACTTCTGGAAAAATAATCATTAACTGTTATTAAGAGAAACGCATTTCCGTGAAATATGAGCAATTTTAAGATGGGCAAAATTGTGATAGTTTGAGAAACAACTTCGAAAATACAAAAGAGGTTTCCCAACTTTTGAAATGTTGGACTCAAAAATTGCGTAATATTGAAAAAAAAATTTAAGCAAAAAATATAAGACTCACAAAAAAGAAATGGTTCTCAATAATAGCAACACGTATATGTATAAATATAGAATAATAATTTAGCACAAATTATTATAATGATAAATTTTCAGATATCATTTGACGAATTCACAGTTCCGCATCCAACTCAGATGCGCGATCACATTCGCTTCAATATCGACCTCTCGCACGATTTGCCTCTCTCCATTTCCCATCGTTGAATTATTCTCATTGCTTCGGAAAATCTAGTCATTTCATTTCATTCGCCCATCTATCGACAACGTTATTTTATTAATTATATTACTTTGCATACATTATTATATAGTTATTATTAGATAACAATAAGCCCAAATTTCTTGAAAATTGTAGATTTTCCTTTCTTTTCTGTTTGTAAATATCGCCGGGTTCTCAAAACTTTCTCCAAGTTTTTATTTCCTAATATTAAAGAAATGTGTTGGCTCCTAAACCATTAGGAGCTAAAATGGATTCAAATCCTTCATCGTAGACGGTGCTTTATTAATTGATAACACTTTTGTGCCTTTACTTATGCTTTCAAAGTATATAAGTATATTTTAAATTGCAACTTCAAAAACAATAAAAAGCAATGCATGTTTTTGTTTTCTACTAGTCCTTTTTGCTGTCTACCCATTTTTTTGCTGCCTTCATAGATATTTTCCTTTTATTTGATTTTAGTGCATAAACGATTCTTTCTTTTTTATTGTTCTTCTGTTAGCAGTTCTGTTAGCAGCGGGATACCACTTTTAACGCTCGCAAGGTGCTCTTGGGACGATTCCCGTTGTCAAACTGCGGCAAGATGGTAGGTTTCGTTGACAAGTATAATGGATAGCACTAATAAATTGTGAGAAAATGACGTACGACAACACTTGGAACAACCAAAGTACAATAATATTTGTAATAGAAGAACCACACAAGCGAAGAATATGAAAACGCATTTGAAAAATTGATAATACGCATTTAAATATCAAAAAACGAGCAGCAAATTCAGGTAATTCAAATTTCGATTTATTTAGTGGGAATTCGGGTACCGTATTTCGGATATCCAGCATAAAAAGCGATAAATGCGATTGTCGGGGTCCCGCAACTACTGTACGTACGCGGGTATATACGCAAACGCAATCGCAATGGTCTCGCACGGATTAACTCTTTATTTCATTTGTAATTTCAATGATATTAAGGATTCAAGGAAATCATACTCATCAAGAAAAATTAAACAAATCACGTGAAAACTTCTAAATGACTCCACAAAGCTCACCTGAAACTTCAAAAATCTTAACCTGCGTACAGCAGTCGCCGGACGCCGAATACGTGTTAAAAAGTGGATGAAAAATCGGACTATCGAAATATCTATTTTAACCCATTTTTTGATCATTCCTACTCATCGGGTGAAAAATGCTGTTTACACTGTTTCGCCGCTTTGAGAAAAACAACAAATTTTATATTTTTTACGCTACTGTTTCTCCTGAAATTTGTCTCTGTTTTGCCCCGATGAGTTTGCCGGGCAGTTGATGTATTTCCGAGTACTGTATTTAACAAACTGTGCAATACGTGCACATTTTAATTTACGGGAGAAATATTATTGTTTTTCGAAACAATATTTGAATAATTGAATACGCAAAGTTTTTGTTTTTGTTTTAAAAGTTCTGTTTTTTCTGTAAACGATAAAAATTTGAAAAATTTGGTAAACTGCTGTTTTTTTTTCGTGATTATTAAATAAAATTATTTTTCGCGATGCAAAAAACTTCTCGCTGCTCAAAATATAGGTGTTTATAAATCGCTTAAAATGAATGATATTTTGAATGTTTCTATCATTTCTAAACGTACATGGTATATAAACAATTGTTCAATATAAATATTTAAAAATAAAACAATTGTTTTCGTTGTCACTTTTTTTTCGTAAAGTTTTGAATGAGTTTTATTACTGGACCGCTTTAATTGTTTTTAATGTGAATCATATTTATATCATGAGTAACATGTTTTTACGAAATTATTTCAATAATTTAATTATCCATTGATTTTTGACTAGAGGTATTCGTGGAAGCACATATTTATATTTTAATTATTAACCTGGCAATCCCTGCTGGAGAATTGGCGGATTTTGCCGTTTTTGATGGAAAAAAAAACTTCACCATTTCTCCACCGTGTTAAATCAGCGCTATATTTAGGGTCGCACCCACGAAGTATATTACGCAGCATTTTTTTTAGCGCGTGGACACAGAGACAGGCATGATCATTGATTTCACATTTTCTCTGCTACTCTCTCCTTGTCTGATGAGCTCCAATTGCGCACAGTTATTCTTCTCCATGACGCGCGGGTCCGTCAATATCGAACAGCGTGTATTGTTTTTGGCGCGCTAACACATTCGCTCTCAATGACCCACGCGCGATAATCTTGGCAAGTGTCCCATCTGCCACGCCCATCAACTCCAAATACAGATCAGCAGCTGCGTTCCGTCAGTTGTTGCATCTGTCGTCGCTCGTCGATCGTACGGTTGATTGCGACATCGTCTACTACGCAACGTGATGATTTGCTATTATCCTATGTTTTTCTCGCGTCCCACTCGTAGACGAGCAAATCTATTTAAAATTTGCTTGGCATCAGTAATTACAATGTTCTCGCCTCACTTGTGCTATGACACAAATCTTGTGCATCGCGTCTTTCTTCATATTTTACCTCTTCCATTCTGTCGTCGTCGGCAGCGACGCCGACGGCTGCGATCTCAGCGTATTTGTCAGCGCGTATGTGTGTATGAAAGAGGATAAGAGAGGAGTACTTCTTTTCGTTGGCGTGAGCGTCTAGTTCATTCGGTTTTTCACTCACAAACGCGCTCACGCACACGCTCACACTGCGTCGACAACGGCTGGCCGTCGAAGTAACAGCCATAGAAATTGCAGCGGCGAGAGTTTTCTCTGATCGTGTTGGCTCGATGCCAATCACTCAATTTCTCTCCAAATCGCCACTTTTCAAGCAAAAATCCAATTCAAGTTCTTCTGAAATTGAAATCATACAGATTTTCTGTTTCTGTTGGTCCGTTTTTACTTTAAATTACGGTAATATTAATGTGTTCGCAAAATAGCGCGTAGGAGCGTGAGACGCGGTGTCTCGAAAAGAGGCAGCGATGATGGCAGGGACGCAGAGTAATCCAAAGGCCCCGCCTCCTCGCGCGCCGAAATGGGGAGCTCGGCAACCCGTCCTTTGCTTAGTTCCACCCCAACGTTGGGAGGACTTTAGCCTTAACTTACTAATAACTTTAGATAGAAACTTGGTTCCTTCGAAATTCAATGTTTTTCGACTCTCCCAATAATCCTATCAATTTAGTTTTTCGAAATTTCGCGCGCTTACATGCTTTTCAAACCTCATATTTTAGGCCACATTTTTTTTTTTTGAAAAATTATATACATTTTTTTTAGGAAAATTGAAAGTGCAAAACTTATCAAACTCTTTCAGCACTCGTTCGTTATTCTAATCGTTGATTTGACTATTTCGAAATGTATTTCAAGTTGAAAATTTCAGCGCAAACAACTAACTTGAACAATGTCCGCCGTTGAAGAGAGACAAGCCGAGAAGCGACCACTCGACAAGGGAGACGAAAATGAGGAAGAAGTAGTTGCTGCTAAGGAAGCCCGTGTCGAAAACGGAAAGGCTGAGGTTAGTATTTAATTCCTAATAGAACCTGGAAACTAGAGTAGCCACAAAAACATTAAGTCGTCGCCTTCGCTTTATTTTTGTTCTGGGAGTTCCGCTGGACTACGGTAGCTTGAAAAGTGCGCTCTTTCTTCTCTCGTCAGAGAGGCAGCGTGGGGGTTGCTTGGACGCGTGCCAATTGGCGAAGGGCCAAATTTGCATCACTACTCCCTCACCAGCCAAAAGACATTTTGAAGGCAGTGATAAAATGACTCGCATGTTGTTCAAAACCGAAAACTAAATTTCATGTTTTTCAGGAGGAAGTGAAGGAGAAGACTGTCAAAGGTAAGGCCTACGTCATCGTGAACACAGCCGCTATCACGAATGGAAGAAATCCGTTTTTTGCTGTCCCTTGTTCTTCTAGGCGTTAAAATCTAGTTCCACTCTCTACTCTATTGGCTTGTCACACCTTAGTTTTTTTAATTGTGATTAGAAGTTTTGCTGGCAAAAAGCGCGATGGGAGTCATTCGACCGACCTCGGCGGCGAGAGAGCATACGACTGAACGAGCCGACAGAAACGGCGTCCCTCCGGCCTGGCCTATCTCGCGTTGAACTGACGCCGCACTAGGCGGGTCAGACACGCAGATGCAAGAAACGCCGGCCGCGACGCGACCGCGTCGTTCTGATGTTTGCGTTTTTCGCCGTTTGTTGTGGTGGGGGGACGCGCGTGTGCGAGTGTGTGTGTGTGTGTGTCGGTCGATGTGTGTACATGTATGTGAGTGAGCGAGCGACCGACCGACCGAGGACGGGGTGGTGCTGTTGCCGCTGAAGCGACAACGGCGGCCGACGTTGACCGCTCAGTCAAATACAACAACGCTAGGGATGAAGCGAAGCGATTGTGGTTGTGCTATCGCCGATTGATTTTCACATGTCGCGTAGAGAATCAGACACTTTCATTTTGGTTCTGGATGTTGATGATAATTAGTTATTGAGCATAATCTGATACAGATAAACATACTTAGTTTCTTATTCTTTGTAGACGTTGCTGGAGAAAATGAAGACGAGGAAGATGACGATGACGTTGACGAGGAAGATGTGAATGATGAGGAGTCGAGCGAGGGAGAAGGTGGATCGGACGGTGGAGAAGGAGAAGAAGAAGCTGATTCCGGAGATGATGAGGATGGCGATGATGCCGAAGGAGGAGACGAAAGCGACTAAACAAATGCCCACGTCGAGAGAATATCACGATTTTCGGGGGCTAGATCTCAATTTCTTTACCGTTTTACCCGAATTTCCGTGATTCTTGCGTGAATGCACTAACGTTTTACTCTGTTCTTCCCATATACATATAATCTCAAATATATTCCAAATATCTCCTGGTTTTCCTTTTGAAATTTCTGATCCCGCCACTTCATTCGTGAAGTTTGTTGAACAATAATATATATGTACCTGTTAACCACTTCTATATTTGATATTTATGTTCCACCTATCGTAAACAGTACTTATTTTTCTAAATTATTCAAACAATTGTTGTTTTGGTTGTAACCTCGTTGATTGCGCCAATTGAATAAATTGTGAATTCGATGAAGTAATAAAAATTTCGATGTGGAGATGTGCTTTGAAAATAACGAGAAATATGATATTGGCGAGATCGAATTCGTGAAATTTGAATTGCGATTTGAAAAACGACGTGCAAATTCAAGGTCTTTTCGGAACATCTGTATATATACGGGTTGAAAATTCAAACAAACCATCTTGGGAGATCTGTCGCAGTTCATCGAAAAATTGAATAACTTTCACTTGTGTCGTAATGTTTGAACTTGATACATATCAAGATTTTGTTTTACAACAATCTTTGTCATTTCTACACAATCAGTGGAATTTCTAAAAAATGAAAGATTTGTGAGTCAGTGGAAACGCTTTTTTGATCCGACCACTTTCCACGGAGTTATGTTCAAAAAATGTAAAATTCGCTGTTTTGCACAATCATTTTAACTCTACGTAAACTAAATGAAACCAGGGCTATCTGATGCAGAATTTTGCTCGCTATCCTAGATCGGCACTAAAGTCTTCAGCTTCTTCATGATATCGCCGAAAATTCCGAAAGGGAAAATTTTGCAATCTTTCCTCACTAATTTTGTACCGACAATTAATTTTTATGAATAACTCAGCAAATTATTTTACACGGCGGAAAATAGGTCAAATGCAAAAAAAAGCAATGACAGTGGTCTTGACGCAAAACTAAAAGTGTAGATTTACGGGCTATATTCGATTAACTTCGTTTTTGTTTGATTTTTCCACGCATTGCTAAGCGAAATCCTAACCTTCCGGAAAATTTTTAGAAAAAACAAAATTTTACATTAACGGTTTGAAATTGCAATACAATATTGGAATAATACAATATTTTTCAAATGGTTCTTCCTCTATTTTGTCGAAATGAGACAACTTCGGTGGAATGATGAGTACAAATTACAAATTTGAACTAGGCGATTTGATCTCGCAATAATTCTTCTTTTTTTTTCTCATGGCTGAGTATAACACATATGCAGTACGAGAGTATAAATATATTTAAAAAAAACACACACACAAAATTCGTTATTTCCACACCAAAAATTAAACAGTATTTAAATTGTTAAAAGGTCTCGCAGCTACAAGTATTCGACAATACCTCGATACCCACCAGTTCTGCATATTTTCGCTTTTCAAATTCGAAAAAAGTTTCAGAACGAGTTAATTCTTTGAAATAAAACATTGAAAAAAACGACACTTCAAATTTACTTTGGTAACCAAAAGCAATCGGATCGAGACAAAATTTATCACAACCGATTAGAATTGAAAAATTAAAGCAATACGGATTCGAATAATAACCAATCGAATGCGACAATTTTACAATCTTATCCGTAGAATTACCTATCGGATCGGGCTGATTCCGGAGTCGAATTTTGTCGGCTTCGATTGGTTTTGAGTTACCAGAGTACAAATTTGAATTCTAAAAGTTCAATTGTCCACAATTATTCAAGGTGCTCGTTTTTTAACGATATTTCTACATTTCTTTAGAGATTGAAAGAAAATTTTGACACCAACACTCAAATTCAGAAATCGGACCAATCAGGCGTCAATCTTCCAACTTATCATGAACATTCCGCGATTTTTGACGTTCTACCGTCTTTTGATACTCCATGTGCATTCCGTCTAGTTTTTTTTAATTTTACGTTCAAGACAGATTCGAGCACTACATGCTACATATGGACCGTTAAGAGAGCGCCCAGACTATTCATAACTTACTATGAATCTGAACTCGTTGGTTATTATTTTGAATTATTTTTTTAAACCAAATATTGCGTTAGTTACCTGCTGCTTTACATTTTTCGTACTTCAACTATAAGCATATTAGCAAGAAATAAATAAGTTGTCTTCGTAATAAGAATTGACTTGGTAGAGAACTCTGCAAAATCACGATTAATCGGATTCAAAAAAAATTCGTTTTCAATCGAAATCGAATATAAATTAATCTGTTTCGAATTATTCCAAAATTTCAACCGAATACAATTTCAAAATTAAAAATGATAAACAAATCAATCAATTTCGAAGATTTTTGAATCGAAACGTTTTCAAATGGAATGTAATAAATTTCTCAATCGAATTTCCATTCTTTTTCAATTGAATCAGATTAATTTATATGGTCGTGACTGAGGAAAATTGTCTAACATTGTAAATTTGTAAATGCCAAAAATTATGACAGTAGTCTTGGCATAAAACCTAGTGTGGATTTACGGGCCTGTGTAAAGTATAGGTTAGAAGAGCACACCGCGCACCGAGACCTCTTTTTGAATTTTTCGCAGTCGCGCGACGTCGACAATAATTTTAGATTCAGGAATCATGACAATTCGTTGAAAAAAAAACTCGAAAAAAAACCGTTTTTTTTTTCTCGAGAAATGGACAATAATTTGTTATTGGACTTATGCATGCAAGACAAATATTTAAAAAAAATTACACGCTGTTACAATGCAACATATAAATAATGAAAATGTTATGTTATGTTTGAGATTTTTTGAAAAAAAGCAGTACACAAATTTCATGAATCCGTTTCGATTAATCTATCTTCGTAACATTATTGCATATTCACTATCTCAATGGATAAAGTTTTGTTATGCTCAATAATAAAAATAACCACAGTTAACATGTGGTATTCAGAAACTATTTATAATTTACACATAAATTTCGTCTCTAAAGTTATTTTTTAAATTTCTGTCGTTTTATTTCGGTTTCGAAAGCAAGTGCGCTCCACCGCTGCACAGTGAACGTTAGATACTCAGCCAACGACCAGTTACGCAGCCAAGTCGTTCAATTTTTCTTTTCTTTTTAAATCTTTTGACAAATTTCATGTGAATTACGTTATCAGTTTTGTTAATTTTTTAAAAAGTAGGTTTTCTCAACAATTTTTACTATTTTTGGTTGTAGCACTGGCATTTTTTATTGTTTTGATAAATTATTTTTAGGCCAAATTCTTTTTTTTTTTCGTTTTGTTATTTACTGCACTGCATTTCTTACTCTAGATTGCGTATAGTTTTCCAGGGTAAAGATGGTCCACGTTTCGGGAACTAAAGTCCGCGTTGTTAAGAAGAAAATCACCAAGTTCAAGAGACATGAATCCGACAGGTAGTACTTCTGAGGTTTCTTCTTTTTAGCTTGTAAATGCAGATACCGCCGTGTTGCTCCGAGCTGGCGCAAGCCGAAAGGTATTGATAACCGCGTCCGCAGACGCTTCCGTGGAATGCGTGCTATGCCCACCATCGGTTACGGATCAGACAAGAGAACCAAATTCGTGTTGCCTAACGGATTCAAGAAGGTTCTTATCCACAACACCAAGGTACTTTGCTTTAAAATTACAACCAAAACATTTAAAGAAATATGTTGTCGGGGTCGCGCGACTGCGGAAAACTTGAAAACTTTTTGATTATAATTTCTTAGCTATGCTTTTATACAGGGTTGTTAAATTTTGGGCCCGGCCGGCCGAAAGCCGGCCTGAGGCCGGCTTTTTTCGCTGTCAAATTTTCGGCCCCCGATTCCGTGGTTTACGGCCGCACGGCCGAAGCGGGAATTCAAAAAAAAGCCGAAAGCCGGGCCGGCCAGCCGGCTTCCGGCCCCGGCTTCAATTTACCAACCCTGCTTTTATATATTATTTCAAATGACGGATATCTGGTTGAAAATTCAATTTCACTAAATCAGTGTAGATCTACGAATTTGTAAATATTGGGGGGGGGGGGTGGATCGCGCGTCTGCAGGTAAAAAAATTAATTGAAATTGTAGATTTACGGGCCATAATATAAGGATAGGTTTACCCTAGTCGCGCGACGTCAACAATGTATTTTTAAAGTTAAATATTGTTGGTTTTGGCGCACAACCAAAACAACGATAAATTCGTGTGACTACTTTAGTCGTTTGACCCCGACAGTAATGTTCCTTAAACAACCGGAAGCCCATAGCAATATTGAAATTCTATGAAAAAGGGTTTGAGAGAGGCGAGGACTTCTTCCTTGTTTCATCATTTCCCATAGTTTCTACTTCATAATTTGTCGAGTATTTTAACTTTGAGTGTGTCGGTTAAGAAAAACGTGTGACATCTTGGCGAAACACGGGTTTTCGCGTTTGCCAAAACGACGTAATCTTTTTGCTGAAGCTGAGATTATGCGTTACAATCTATACAACAATGTTTCAGGACCTCGACATGATTCTCATGCAGTCTTTCAAGTACATTGGAGAGATCGCCCACGGAGTCTCCGCCAGAAGCCGTAAGGGTATTGTTGAACGCGCAGCCCAATTGAACATCCGATTGACGAACGGTAACGCCCGTCTTCGCACCGAAGAGTCGGAATAAATGTTTTTTGTTGTTGTTGGGATAAATTGTTTAAAAAAATATCAGAAGTTGTTTATTTCAATTGTTTACGAAATTATGCATTCACACAGCTTCTCTCAATCTTGCCAAACGTTTCTCCAATTGAATCTGATCGTCGTTCTCGTCGTCTTCATCTCGGAGGCCGAATCTGTTTGTTGGAGCTTCAGGGAAATGTAAAGATGTGTTATGAGTTCCATTATTGGTATTGAGGAGATCGTCCAACTCTCGTTCTAATTCTTCGTCGTTTGTTCCATTCATTCCAGCCATCGGCGACGAAATGGCATCTTCGATTTCTTTGTATTCGTCTAATGAGTTGGCAACATCATCCATTGCTTCATGGATCTGAAAAAAGTTCGATTTCGAAAGCATTTTATGGTTAGATGACTTTGTCAGGAGTCAGTCCTTGTCTCGCCAATGTTGCCTTGAATGCAGCAGTACCCGACTGATAAGCTTGAAGAACATCCTTATTATTCTAAAAAAGAATTTTCACTATGATTTGATTGAATTATACCTTGGCAGCTGATATTTGATGAAGCATCGTGAGTAATTTTTGATATTGAACGTCCTTGTCGGCAACATCCTTTTCAGCCCGTTTTCTTTGGCGCAAAAAGTTTTGAGCGCGGCTTTTTTCACCTACTCGAAGAGCTGCCCGACACTGTTGATCGTATCTAAAAAACGAATTTAATCATTAAAATGAATACAAAATCCATACTTTTTGACTTTTTGCTCAAGTTGCTGTATTTCCTTATCCAATTTAGTCATTGCCTTGCGAATATCCACTAAGCTGGCATCGGCTTCTGTAAATTTTACAGGATCTTTACTTCCATGATCCTGTAAATAATTTTTAAAAAGGGGTTTTAAAGATTTTATAGGAGAAACCTTGAATTTAAGGACCTTCTCGCCGTTTTTCGTATGACCCAATGTCAATTCTCCAATATCAGTTAAATGCTCCAATACAATATCAAAGTTTTCCTAAAGCAAAAATTCAACGTTAAAATTGACAATTTGTTAAACCGCTGTTCTGACGATATTAATTGCCCGTTCGTACATTTCGTTGTACGTTACGACTTCTCCTGTGCAATCGACTTCAGTACGCAATTCATCGTTATAAATTCGCAGTAAATCATCTGCTTGCTTCTATAAAATAATGTCTTATTACTCTCAGGTTTTTCTTTATTAAAGAAATTTAAAATTTTTTCTCTAGAATCAAAATTTTGGATTTGTCTTTCTAACTTTTAAACGAAACTCGTCAAATCATGAAGATATTTCCTACTAACACATTTGCGATTTGAACTCATTCCTTCATGATTTTTTAAAATTAAAGTATTTTTTACTTTCACTGTAGGCATGTGCAATAATTTATGGTCCGTTGTTGTAGTTCCAAACATCCATTCTTTCGTCTTCGACATTCCCCATCCGACCCAGCTTGAATGCTTATCTTTCCATTCGCTCATCGTCATAACCTCTCCTTTTCTGAATAATCATAAATTATTTTTTAAATATAGTCGGTGTCTGGCGACTACTGTACGCGCCTTCGCGTAGTCTCACGCGGAATGCCAGATCATTTCGAAAGGCGCACACGTAAATCTACCCGCGTGCAGCAGTCGCGAGACGCCGACTATATTATTTTTGTTACCTTTTCATTTCTTCTATTACAACATCTAAACTTGCAGGAATGCGGTCTCCGCGTCGAAATCTTTTTTTTAATGTGGCTATGTCAAAAATGGCGTCCTTTTCACCGACGCAACTACTAAAGATGGTTTCTCTCCAAAATTTCACTTTTCTATCGTAATCCACGGTATTAACCGATCTTTGCTGAAATTATGTACATTTCTCAAAGGAATATTCAAAAATACCATATATACCTTAATTATTGACATTAAGCCATGCATAGTAACATCGTCCTTCCAGACTTCGGGAAGATAATCGGCAGTAGAATTCATTTCTGCAAAATGTTTTGGTAAAAATCAATAACATTAAACAAAATGTAAAAAAATGAATGTTTAGGTACTGTTATATTGTTTTTAACAAAAAGAAAATTTAAAGAAATGATAGATACAATAATTACAATAGCTTCTATAATCTTAAAATTTTTTTAATTGAATGGAATAATTGTAGTAAATACGATTTTTAACAACATATTTCTTTTGCATGAGTTACCATGCCATGTTGATAAAAAAATATCTAACGGCACATTCATCAAGCATAATAAAACACATATGTAATTCTTACTCGAGATATTCGTATTCTACTTAAAATTGGAATTTAAACAGCATATGAAAACGACTTGATAATTTGAATAATTAATTTTTAAGATTGCAAGGTGTCGTGAGCGTGTTTGCACATATATTCGAATTCTGTGTGTCTTTGCGTCTCGGTGTATCACTGGATGATTTTTTCGTAACAGGAAAAACATCTTCCGTGTGAATTGCTCATCGCGCGTCATATTGATTTAATTGAGTTGAGTCGAATTTTCATTTATTATCAATCAGATACTGCTATCTGACGACATTTGCAATATTGTTAAGCATTAAATTCATGGTTGAAAAAAGTGACGCCGAAAACAGTCGACGGCATATTATTGATTAAACATAACACGTCTAGAATGTATTAATATATAAATAATAGATTTTCACGTTTATTAGTCAATTTATTGATTTATTCGACAAGTTTTAACAACTCATTTCTTCCTTGTTTACTTTTGAAATATTTCTTAGCGAATTTCTTCCAAAGTTTTCTACATGTGTAAATTCCAGACCTGTAGTGATTGCACATTATTTTCCAACATCGCAATCATTCAGAATAACGACGGGTTTGCGCCGGAACGAGGCGATGCTTCGAGTCCTGCAGCTTCAGGAGCAGGTAACGCTATAATATAATTGAGGGGGGAGTGACTTATCATTGCACTACTGCGCCCTTCGTTAGCTCAGTGGAAAAATTTCTATGATTTTTCAGAAATCGATGACATGCCTGCTGGGGCTTCTGCCGCACGTTCTCCCATTGGTGGTACTAGTGAATCCGGTGACGAGGGGCCAAGAAAACGATCAGCAAGTCCCAATTCGTCAAATCTGATTAACTGGGATAACCCAGCTAAGGTACAACGATTTAATTTGATTAATAAATTATTGTCGGGCGACTACAGAAAATAGGTAATAGATAAAAATGACGGTGGTCTTGGCGCAAAATTAGAATTGTAGATTTACGGGCCTACAGGTAGTTTAAAGGCGCACATGCGCACTAAGACTTTAGCTAAATTTTTTGACCTATAGCCAATTTTCCGGTAGTCCCGCGATGTCGACAATATACAACATTTAAATTTTTTAGAAAATGTGTACGGACGGTGTGAATGTTAACGAATGGATTCACGATCAGCAACAAACGGAAACCAATCCAATTAATACTAACGAAATGACTACTGCTTATAAAGAGAATCACGAAATGCTAGAACAAATGGGGTAAATTTGTAATTTTTTTAAATTTTCGTTATTTTTTGCATTTTTTATTCAAATTTATAATAATGTCGTGGTAAAACGTATTAAAATAGGCACTGCGTGCTGCTTATATTCGAGACCCTATAATTACACTTTCGTTCAGTTTTGTTGTGGAAGAAATCGATCTAGCGCTGCGGCTCTCAAGCAATGATGTTGAAAAGGCGATTCAGTATTTGACAAGAGAAATTTCGGGATTAGATTCGAATAAAACTAACACGTCGACAATTGATGCGCGCGCGCTTTTCAACATGAACGGTTGGTCTATTTAGTCTATTTTTAAACGAACTATGGTAGAATTTGAGCAGATATCATTCAAAATCAATATGTTGAAAGCGACGAGGAGGACGTGTCTGATTCAGAGAGCTGTGTTTGGAGAGATGAGGATTGTCGGCGTGTTAAGACGATAGTGGATATGAACAGAAATATTTTCTATCGAAAAAATGGATCCTTTTCAAGATGTCTTACGGTTCGAATAATTAACTTAATACAATCTATTGATAATTATTCTTCATTTAGGTGTGTAAAAATATCTTGACCAGAAAGACCAAAGATTGGAAAGAGTGTCTTGAATTCGTTGAAACTGTCGTCGTGTATGCGATAAACAGACATGTTAATCCACCAGAGGTAAAAATTTCCTTTAGTACAACTAATTAAACGCAATATTTTATTTAGTATCAGAAAGTCTATCTTGGCGAACAGGAAATAATGTTGATCGAAGAGCTCTATCATGCTGTCATTCCTATAATGAGCCTTCGTATGACTTACAATCCAGTTACGATTCGAACAATTCTCTCGATTGAGGAAATGTTCAATCCGCGAAACAAATTCTTTACTTCGTCCGCACCATATTTTGCAAGAAGGTTTGATTACTTTTTCCTGAGGAGGCATTATGTGATGATATCGATTTTAGCGAGCGCGTATATCCAAATACTAATTGGGTTGTTCCGGAATTAGTGGAATCGCCGGATAACAAACTTCTTTTTGCGAGTCTTGCCGACGAATATATTCAAAATATCATTCCGTTATACAACAGACGTTTCTTGGAAGATGAGGATGTTCCCGTTAACGTAATAATTTTATTCTTTGTATGAGAGTTTATTAGACTATATTTCCAGGACATTATGCTGCTTATCCGATCTTTGGCGCCATTTGTTCCAATTTTCGATAGAAGAAATGAGCAACTGAGAACTTGTGTTCGGGCATGGACTAATGTTGCTCTTGGAAGACTGCGAACGATGACCGATAAAGAAATTCGTGACTCGGTATCGAAGAAAAATTTTCTCGTAATAAATAAATAAATAAAATGTTACAGCTAACTCGTCGACACGCTTGCGACATGATAGGTGAATCTATCAATATTTGCGATAAACTGGACTTTGACATTGTCGAAACCACTATGGAGCCCCGAATGGAATTTTTGAAGAAATGCCTCAATTGTCCACAAATGGAGTGCATGATGTTCGCCCTTGAAGAACTTGGAAACATGTCCAATCACATTTACCACTACAGTACAGTAACATTTCGTGATTTGGATTCGATTTCGGAACCGCGTTTTAAGCAATGGCTCATTGATAACAAAGTTCTTCAAATGAGTAAAGAAAATATATTGTGAATTCAGAAAATTCGATTGATTCATTTCAGTTCTCACGGGAAATATGGATTCTGCAGTTTATGTAGAACGAACGCAGCCAATTCTTCATTATATGACTCCTGAGTTAACTGAAGATGATTTGAGTTAGTTGCTCATTTGTGATTTATTTCAAGTTTTGTCTTTTAGAGTTCATATGGTCGCTTCGTAAAGGAAGAATGGGCGTTAGTGTAGAAAATTTCAACAAAATCATGGATCTAATTGTGAAAGGGCTGACCATTGAACAGATGAAATGGGTATTTGATTTATTCCGAAAGGTATTGATTCCAGAAACCAAATTCATTATTCAATATGAATATTTAGAGCTTCAACAATCGTGAGACGAGATTATACGAATCGATCTTCAACTTCTGTTATATTATGGTTGCACGTGATCGGAATGATAGCTGCAAACTGATGGTGGCGCGAACCATCTGGGAACTGATTGAATTCTGTCGTGGTCCGCCTCTGATTGTTCCGTTCAAATGCATCGAGTTTGGAATGAAAAAGCATTGCGACATTTTGAATTCGCTTGATGATAAGGAGAGCCGAGATTTGTTCCTCGTGAAAGCCATTGAAATGCTCAAAGCAGATGCGGTACGCGTTTGAACAGCTTCATCTTCAAAATAATTCAACTTGCAGACATTTTCCGAGACGTACGTAGTATATTTGCATATAATGCTTGATAAATTGAAGAAAATGTACATTCCAAGGCGAATTACAAGTATTTTATCACATCATATTTTAAATAATTAATGCTGATTTTTTGTAGTCGCGGACCGATGTGATGAGGATTTCTTGAAAATCGAACGATTACGCGAGCGTTTGAAAATAGGAAACCTGTTTGAACAGCTTATGGATCGGCTTGAATACGTGCGAAAAGTTGCACATGAGAATTTCGAATCAGCATCATTGAACAGTCTTATGGCATCAAGCCAAGAATCACTATCGAACGCTGTATTTGAATGTAATATTAATCACTTTGGTAAACAGTTAAAATATTTCTTATTCAGCAACTCTTGATGAATTCGATGGAATTTCACAATCAATTTTGACATCGACATTTATCAATGGAATCGATTACGGATTTGTACTCGACGCCACCTTAAAGCTAATGAGATGGTTAATTGAGAGCGAAGTAATTATTCAAGAATTGGCATTGGTATTGTATAAAAATGTTTAGGTGACGGGGCTGACCACAGAATTTCTTGAAAGACTATTCAATATGTTCATCTATAAATCAGATTCGAAATCGGATGAAAAGGCGAAAATATTCAATTTGTTGTCGGAGCTAAAACTTCAAACTGTGCGCCAAGACAGCTCGCGCTCAATTCTCTCGCTCTTCTGCAAAATCGATGTTGCTGCAGTTCAGATAGATGGTAGAACCACAAAATGAATAGTTAGAACACTATAATAATTTTAGGTTTGCGTTGCTTCAAACGATATTTCGAAGACATTGAAATAATGCCAAACGAGGAGGATACACCTCTTATTGAATCGCATATTATGGAGCGAATGAATGAATGCAAATTGTTCCTGTGGAAACTCATTTTACTAAATGATTCAGATGAAGTTGTCGACAAATCAATTGAAGCGTTTTGTGAAAGAGGTAACACTTGGTTTTTAAGCGAGATTATGAATGTGAATTTAGAAATTGTAGCTGTTACATCGCCGTCTAGCATTCGCATGAACACTCGGCACTTCCTATCGGTTTTCGCGTATTATATTGAACAAATCAAAAAGTAAAAATTCCTTAAACGATCGAAAGTTTGACAAATATATTTAGGGAATTATATTCAAGAAGTGGAAAAGAGATTCCTGAAGATACATATCAGAAGAAGGATATTGAAATATGCGAGGAAGAAATTGCGCAGCATGCGATTCCTGTGGAGAAAATGTTAACTGAAACGTTGATGAGAGCTTTGGATCGTCTCATTAGATTCCTATTCACTTTCGTGCAATTGGGAAATGATAAAAACCCAGTAAGTCATCGTATGTTTCATAGAAAATTATCTTTTAATTTTGTAGATGATTCGACAATATCCGAGGCATTCTGCATCGCTATCAGGGCACGTCGTCACTTTTTCACTTGAATTGCGAAGTGATGATATGGAAGACATCGACGTATAGCATTATTTAATTTTTATGCTGATTTTTTGATTTTAAGAATCTTGAATGGAAAAGAGTGGTTTGCGATTCAAATTCGACAATTGGCGAGCTCAAAGTGCGAATTGCTCGTAGATTGATTTACGTACGTTTTATTCGTTTGATTTATTAAAAAAAACTATCCAATATTTAGCACGAAAATTTCGTCGATTTTTCCTTATTGAAAAGGATGGACGATTCGTCGCTTCCAGATTCGAACTGCCGATATGATAATTTAACATTGAAAGAGGTATGTTTGTATATTTAAAGGTTTTCTGTTTAAAGTTGTGAAACATTCTAGTGTCACTTTGCATCGGAATCCGATTCGATATTGGCATCAGAGAAAAGTGTTATTCTAATCAAACCAAGGCGATCTCATGGTCGACGACAAGATTCTCGTCGTGCCACACGCGAGTCCTACCTCCCGTCTTACATTGTTTCGAAGTATAACGTGGGTTTTTTTAAATGTTAAATAGAAAAATTAAATTAATTATTTTTAGTTTTATGATTTAATTCATGAACTTGTGACTATTGGGGACACTCGACTCAGAAGTTCGTGTCGTCGCCTACTTTTGCTTCTTCCGACGCAACCCGCGTTTTTGGAAAAACTGCAACTGGTTTGGAAACGTGCTGAAGAGATAATAATAAATTTAAATAATTTTCAGACGGAAGATGAGAAGGATCAAGACGTCTCACTCGTTGAAAAGTTCAACAATTTCTGCAATGAGAATTTGAATGAACTGATGCCAAATCGAACGCTTTATGCGTTGGAGGCAATCTCATCGATCGTTGCTCCAACTGTTATGACGGTGGCTTCGACCCGTAAAGCCAGTGAACTAATTTCTGCAATGCACGAAACGGATGTGTTCTACAAGTTTGCCACAAAGGTTTTGCAATCACCAAACATCGTTCCGACGACGAGAATTCCTCAAAATGATCGTCATTCGATTTTTGAGCGAATAATTCAAATTTTTAGGTATTATTTTCCATTTACTACGATTAAAACGCATTTTCTTATAGAGCTGTTTACACTGGTCGTAGCTCTCTTACAAAAGCAATATCAAATGAAAAGCTTGTTCGTCGTGAAATGTTCCGAATTGCTGATCAAATGACAGCGAGTCGACAGTCGGCACGACCAATTGATAATGATGTTGGATTTGTGCTCCTCAATTTGCCGTTACAGCCGTCTACAAACGAAATTTACGGAATTCGAGAAATCGAAACTTTAGAATGCTGCTCGGTAGAAGTGTTAAACACGAGAGTGTAATGAAACCACGTTCTCAATTTTTTCAATACTTATATTTAGTCACTCATTCGGAAAGATAAGCAGTTGGTCGGTGTACGAGCTTCAGGAGATGCTGAACACATTGCGCAATTTCATTTGGATCCATGCTGCAACCGATAGCATTGCGTCTGTACCTATCGTGGCTGTTCATGAAGATGAAGCAAATGGCAATAGTGGCAATCGTGAGAAGTCTGCTTCTGAAATAATTCAAGGAGCGAAAATCAATTTGCCAATACCGAAAGGGTATACGGCGGCGATGCCAAGTCAGTTTTTTATTTTGATGTTTGCGTTTAACTTGGAACTATGGCTCAATGAGAATTTAAATATCAAAACACAAATTATAAAAATGTGAAATGATTCCAATATTGTTCACAACAAGAACGTTTATAGCCATAGTTTTAGGAATTTTTGAAATCCACAACAACGTTGTGTAAATCGAAACAAAAAGAAGTTCATCTACAAGTTGGCTTTTTTTGTATTGCTCCATTTCGCATTCATTGGTTAATCGTTCATGAAATCTGAAATATTCTCTAAATATATAGATTCATTAACTAGATTTTAAATCAGGGTGTTACTATTTGTGTATTTTCGTTCGTATCTTTCTCATGTCATCTCATAAAACGAAGCCTCGTTTTTCGGGGCTTTCTGTAAAGACAATTTTGTGTAAGATTTTCAAACAAGTGACTTCAATTATAGCGGAGACAATTCTTTGCTTCCGTTGGTTGATTATCCGCAAAGTGCTATCAATCATACGCCTTTTGGTGAAGCATTGGATTGCAAACTGTGATAATACGGGTCTGCTTTGCCTCTTGGCACATCTGTTTCTTGAGAAGTCGTGGAGACAATTCTACAAGGATATTCTCGTTAATTGTCATAAACAGGTAAATCGATAACTATCGTTAGCTGTTTATTATTGTCGGTTTTCAGTTTCGCGATTACATGCAAAGAGCAATTGTCAAGATTTCCAAGTATAATCCAAATATTCTCCACATGGTTTTGAAGATGCTATTCGAATTGTACTACGAGCTTCCGATGTTCGAAGGCAAAACGGAAGATTTGAGTAAGCTTTATCTATCACAAGATATATTTTATTCGTTTTTTAGCTCCACTTGAAAAAAGGCAACGTCTTCAAAGTGAAAATATCGTTTTCGCTATCCATGATTGTCTTCCAACTGATAAGCCGACCACATTGAAGAAAATTAATGTGCTTGCTATGTGCGATTACGATTGGAGCTCAATCGGATTCGTTCCGATTACGGTATTTCGATATTCTCCTAAAATCAAATCAAATTATTCTTTTGAGATTCTTACCGATGCAATCAGAAGTCTGACTGTCTATCAGCCGAGGTTTAGCGAAGTTCGCAGGGAGTACAATCGTATCGAAGAAACATTCGCTTTCACGAGAATGAAGTTGATAACAGCAGTTATTCCGTTTTGCACACAAGCGCAGATCGAGAATTGTGGTACAACATTTTTAGACACCATCATGAACAAATTTCTGTTCCCGCCACTTCCAGATGTTGAACAAGGGTTAGACTATTGGCGAACTTACTAGAATTGAACAATTTTTTTTAGAATGATCGAGGATATTACTTATCGTTGGGAGAACAATTGCCGAGACATTGCCATTCAGGCTGTGAATTATTTTTGTGAGCGCAGCTTCAAACTTATGAATCAAGTTTTCGACATGATGCATTTGTTCCCAATGTTCCACAAAATGGTTGATTCATCCTACCGGGTAAAATTACTGCTGTTGAACAATTTCGTCTATCCTCATTTTAGCCGTTAATTCGTCCACGTGAATATGATCAAGTTGGATTGAAAAATGATGGCGGAACGTGCTATATGAATGCGACACTCCAGCAACTCGTTCATGTTCCGGGTTTGGCAGCGAAAATTATTTCAATAAAAGGAATCGATCCGACGCTGAAATGGGGAGACAATACAACGTATTTTTGCATTTTGCGATCAAAAATTTTAATACAATTATTTCTATAGAGCGTTATTCACGGAACTCCAGAAAGTGTTTGCACAATTAGTGTTTTCAAAGGCGCAAGCTTGTATCCCATGCGGAATGTGGAAAGAGTTCAGATTCGAACCTGACGTTCCTCTCAATACGAAGCAGCATCACGATGCAATAGATTTCTATAGCATACTTCTTGACAAATGCGATGAGGTCATTAAGGTATTGTTATTAACGCAATCTATTTTGCTATAAATGTTTATTTTTAATAGAAACTGAAACTTCCTCAAATGTTCCAAGAGAAGTTTTATGGAAAATACAGCTACGAGAAAATATGCTATGGATGTTGGCATCGCTACAAGAGTCCGGACGAAGAATTCAATTGCATTTCGTTGGCCCTACATGGCGATAATTTACAAGAAGCCATCGAGAATTTCCTCGATGCCCATGTAATGGAAGGGGAAAACGCATATTATTGTCAAGAATGCAACGAGAAAAAGACGACGCTCAACCGAACCAGCTTCCTTGAATTGCCATCGACTATGACAATTCAATTGAAGAGATTCACATATGATGTGATCAATAACATGATAAAAAAGGATAATCAGTACTTTAAGGTTATCTCGCGAGAAATAAACCAATGTCAATTTACATAGAATTTTTCAGTTCCCCTTTGAAATTGACATGCAACCATATATGACTGCTTCTCGTCACGTGCCTGACGACCAAGTTCAGGCATTGTTCGACGATGTTCTTTATGTTTGCAATGATCCTTCGACTCCGCCACCATCAAATGGGGACTGCGAGCCATTAAAGACAGCAGCTTCGTCGTCGAACCTTCTCGAATCACCACAAAAGAAATTGTTCCGAAGACACCGATCATCTACGCTAAGGTTGTCGCAGTCAGTCGCTGCTGCTTCATCAAACGATCTCGCATCAAAAGACGCGCCGAAACCAATGATCTACGAGTTAGTTGGCGTTCTTGCGCATTCCGGAATCGCCACTGCTGGTCACTATTATTCATTTGTGAAGGAGAGAAGGTTTGCAGTGATGTAGGTTAATTTCATAAATATCGTGATTTTCAGAGAGGAATTCAAAGATTCGTGCTCTTATGGAAATTGGTATCACATAAACGATACGCAGACTCAGCCGATGAACATGGATACTCATGAAGACTTATGGTTTGGTGGACACATGAATCCAGAAATAATGAATGAGGAAAGAATACGTCATTGGAATGCTTATGTGTTATTTTATGAGCTGAAGAATGATGACACTGAAAAAGAAAATGACAAATTGAACGGTTCTGGAGATGGTCCGCGCCCAAAAGTCACATTCCAGTGGTAATTTTATTCATAAGTCGCTTCTTGTAATATTATAAAATTACAGCAGCGATGTTGAAATAAAACATCCAGTTGATGATGAACTGACAAGTGCTCTCAAGTTATTCGACGAAGCGAAAAAGTTGCGGTTGGAAATGTTCCACAGCATGGATCCAAACTTGCAAGAATTCTTAAATGAGGAACATGCTAGATACTTGAAAGAACGTGACTATTATTCCACTGATGTTTATTATCTTTTCGTCATGTCGTGTTACCGTCTGTTGCGAGGTGTGCAAGTCGATTTCACTCTTGAAACGGTTACGAGAGAAGCATTTATGTATCATGCGTTTGTGGTAAGGACATTAACTGATTCTCTTTCTCAATTCTAATAATTTTAGAAATGTTTTTCTTACATTTCGAGAATTTGTTGGCAAATGTTCGACGAGCACCGGCCAAAGGGCTACCCGAGAAGTACTATTGAACTTCTTAAAATATTGATGAATGAGAACCGCCGCAACAAAACTGTGTTGATGGCGAATCTTGTTCGCAATGATATGGAAGTCTTCACTCGTTTGGTGGAAGTCAACGAACACGATGCGCGTCACGCATTTTGGGTTGTTGTTCGTTTTGCATTCCGCCATTGGGTCTTGGAAAATGGTGATCCACCATCGTCTCAAGGCTCGGTTAAGATGGTTGCGAGTCGAGATTCGACCGATGTAGAAGACGATGACGAGGAAGAGGACGAGGATGATGAGGACGATATTGACGACGAAGAAATTGAATCAGATATCGAGGGAGCACTAGAAGTTCCGATTACCAAGTGAGATATCGTTTCGGTTTTTCGTGATTAAACAGATTGTATAGAGCCATTCGTCCAATTATTCGTATCAATCCAATAGTACCGCCTGTAGTTCCTGTGGAACCATATATTGATAAGAGGACAACTGATGATGTGATCTGTGAGGAACTTACGAATGATCAGAGTCTAATGGTACTTATTTCTTCCATTCTTATTAATCAATGATGCAATATTTAGAAAAAGATAATATGCAAAATCGTTCAGCTGCTCTCGTTCCAATGCGATCCGTAAGTTTTTCCCTTCGTCGATTATTTTATTTAATGTATTTTAGAATGGTTCGATTCGAATTTGGAGGTCGTCATTTCACCAGACACTCTGTCGACATAATGCAGATGATCGCACGCGCTAACAGTTTCGGAGCCAATTTCCTTCTTTCTTGCAACGTTCTCGAGTGTGCAACCGATCTGTTCATTGAGGATTGCCAAACGCCATTCGCTCGCTTGCGATTTAGCGAAGCTCGAATGAAGGCGAACGGATTGTGGCCAACACTTCCTTGGCTGTTCTTTGAACTACTCAACGTGTTTCTCGAAAGGGTTCGCGCACCAACGTTAGACGCGCGTCTTGTTCCGCGAAATGCTCTTAATTTACTTATTATCTACTGCTCGGCACGCGAGGAGGCTGAAAATGTTGCGAAGATGCCCGACGACAGGAAATTGTTGCATGCTAGAATAATCGAGTGCTTCTATCAACAGATTGTCGTGAGTTCTCACATGGTTTGTTCTAAAACACCATTTCTTTAGATTCTCATGTGCAGCGAAAGAGAAGAGGATGTTCATGAGTACATTGTTCAATTAGTGCAAACAGTTCTCAAGGTTTGTATTCGTTTTTTTTATTCGTCTTATTTGGTGTATTTACAGGAAATGACAATGAGCGGCGGATGTTTCGGTGAAAACACATGGCCATATTTAATTACATTCTTCTGCGATGTTAGAAACGAAATATTTTAAAAATGATTCATGTTATTTTTTTCAGTTGGCTCAGCGATTGCATTCGTTGGAAAATGTGGACTTGGCTTTGAAGATTCTTGAGGAATTGTTGTATGTTCCAGTTGCTGAAGATGAAACGGTTTCGAATTTTTTCCTTACTTTTGACAATTTTTTGTAATGCTTGCAGATGGTTCATCCTGGATTGTTGCCTCAAATGAGAAAATGGCTTCAATTCCGCGGGTCACATAAAACGAAGAAAATGTTTGAAGCGCTTTTTTATTTGAGGAAGAGCAAGAATGAAGAGTAGAAAACATGTTTAGATTAAATGAATATATGATTGATTTTAGCATCGCTGATACATTCCGTACTAAATTCAAAGAACTATTTGACGCATCTGACGATGAAGATGGAAATGAGCAAGACCGAGCTTCTCTCGAAATGATTCGCTTGGCTGATGATGGCGAACGACGATCGCCCCCAATCATTGGCCCGCAACCATTGAGACGTGCTTCGAACACCACCAATTTGACCGCGTAAGTTGTTTGATGAATTTGAATTCGAGTTTTTTTTAAATTTATTTATTATTTTTCCTAATTGTGACTAATAACTAGATTAATAGAATTTTCCTATATATATTGTCGACGGAAAATTGGCTTAATGCGAAAAAAGAGGTCTCGGTGCGCGGTGTGCGCCTTTAATTTATTCTTATACATAGACCCGTAAATCTACACTTACTTTTGCGCCACGACCACTGCCGTTCGTTGTTTTTTTGCATTTATCCAATTTTCGGCAGTCGCGCGACGTCGACAATATATTTTTTAATGCATAGTGAATATTCAATTTCAGGGAAACTGAGCCGGCCATCGCCACAGCGCGCATAATCGAGACGAGAGCAATTGATTTGAAGAAGCACATTCAATCAGATCGTAACGACTAGCCGATCTTTGACATATTTGATCATTGATCTCACCCTAATCGCATTTTGCTTCTCTTCTTCTCAGCCGATTCCAAAAAATGGAATTTGACGTGTCAGTTTTGATACTCTCCATCTGTTTTCGCCAACCAAATGGTGTTTTTAAGTGACACTGCTCACAACTGGTTGTTTTTTTTGTTTAAATTCGTTTTTAATAAAAGTTGCACTACAATAAAAACTTTTTATTGTAGTGCAACGTTGTTTTATATGTATACATATCAAACGATTTCCTCAAAAAAGTAAATGAATGGCACTATTCCACGTCATGTCTCTGATTTGTTTGCTCTCTGCTCTCTCTCCCTCTCTCTCTCTCTCATCGGCTACTCTTGTCTCTTCGTTTTTCTCTTGGTAAAAATGGTTGTCCGACATGGTTTCCTGATTGCTTAATCATTTCATTAATTTATTTATTTGATTCATCGGATTGCTGTTCGTTTTATCTTGATTCCCAATTTTTGTCTTCTTCGCCGTAAAAATTATTATCTTGCCATTGAACGAATACGTATATATATATATATATATATATATGCATCGTCTGACATTTTTGGTGTGTAGTCAATAACAGTAGAAAAATAGGATTTTAGGCATAGAATCCTGAATGTCTTTTCCTTTAATTTTTTTATCACTTCTCCTTGGTTTCTATTTAGTTATTTTCTATTTTTCGTTCTTGTTTTTTTTTGCTTTTACATTATTTCATTGTTGTATTTTCTATATTTTCTTTCTCTTTATTGTTTTCTTTTCAAGCATTACTTAGCCGTCGCTGTTTCACACCCGCCGCCACCCGATTCCTGAATATAGATGTGTAGCTCGTCCGGTAGTAGCCCATACATATTTAGTTTTGTTCTCTTTTTGTGTTGTGACTCCGCGCGTCCACTTATGCAGCGTTCTAAGCGAGCATTCTTCTCCCGTCTATTTTTTCGTTTTTTTTTAAATTTTTTTTTGGGATGGGCTCGTTTCTGTTTCGCCTCTTGTACTAGACACATCTTCTTTGTTTCTTATTCATTTATTTCCCTAATCATTTTTATTTAATCGAATGTATGTTTTTACAAGTGAATAAACTTTTGTGTTTCTATATTTGTCGATTTTTTTTTAATTTTATGGTTCGTTTTCCAAATGGTTTTTATCCGCGACTCAAACTATATCAATTGAAGAGAGACAAAAATTTTCTAATCATTTAAAAATGTTTAATTAGAAACAGTCCGATTTCGAATTGTTATCCACGATAAGAATCATATGCGGTTTCTTATCGATTGTCGTTGTGCCATTACCCATTATTTATATGTAAGATAGACTTTGTTAGAAAATTAAGCCACAGTCGGCGTTCAAAATGTTAGATATTTTCACGCGTGGTTACAAATTATGTGACGATTTATTCGGATTTTCAAAATCGGATTTTGGAATTCATTTAAAATTTCTTCAAAATTACAAACATCAGAAAGTGAGAAAATTTATACAAATAGAAAGAGAACTCTGAGAACTTAAAACCAACCAATCGGATCCGACAAAATTCGGCTCCGTAATAAACCTTATACATAATTCTACGGATAATACTGTAAAATTGTCGGATACGATTTTTTGTGTACTTTTGGATCCTATTCGAAATGTAAAATTAAAACGAAACGGATTCGAATAATAACTAATCGTATCCGACAGATCACCAATCGGATCAGAAGAAAATCCAGAAAAACCAATTGAATCTGACAATTTTACAAGCTTATCAGTAGAATTTTCAATCGAATAAGGTTGAATACGGAGCCGAATTTTGTCGGATTCGATAGGTTTTGATTTACGAAAGAATGATTAAACGACGAAACGAAAATCGTCTCTCAACCGTTATAATATTGTCAAATCTGAGTATTGACGAACACCAACTATGGTTTCTTTGTATTTGAAAATAAAAACCAATATTTTGAATCAATTTGTTGAAGATGATCGACATTGGGTGGATCTGCGGTGCAGCCGTTCGCGCTGTTTATTGGTTAGTTATGCTTGTTTGCAATTTTATGGGATATTCTCCACTATGGGCTCAGATTGCGATGAAAAATAGAAGAATGGTAATGAATGCAATTTATTCAAAATTTATTGAATGTTTCAGGAAAACGTTCGAATTAAAATTCCTTCACATTTGGCAGTAGTTTTTACTGAAAAACGATTGATACGATTGGCAAGTTTTCCAATTAAATGGAAATTTTGTTTAGAATTTTATTGTTTTAGGATGAAATCATGTTTTTCATCGAATATGCATTGCGGGCTGATATTAGGCACATATCGCTTTATGACCCGTTTGGAGAATTAGTTGAACACGAAAATGAGTTCATATCAATTGCTCGAAATATGGTTTTACAAAAACCGACAAGCCAAATTTAACAATGATTTTGCAGAAAATTGATTTATTTATGGACAACTGTTTAGTGCATGAAGATATCCTCGCAAAAATGTGTTTGAATGTATTGTCTCGGAAAAGCTCGAAAAATGCATTAGTGAATGTGTGCAAAACTGTAAGTAACATTTGAAAAAATAACACAAGAAATTTATACACAAAAAAGTATATATATATATTTCAGCTATGCGAAAGAGACGCCCCAATAACTGTAGAAGATATTACTGATACACTTCACGAGCAAAGAAAGTTGAAAGATCCAGATTTTTTATTGCAGGTTTGTTCCAATTGACGGCGGAAAATTGGCAAAATGCCAAAAGTTTTAAGGAGAGGTCTCGGTGCGCGGTGTGCGCCTTTAACCCATGGTTATGCATAGTCCCGTAAATCGATACTTTTAGTTTTTTTTTCAAGACCATTGTGTCTAGGCATTTAACCAATTTTTCGCAGTAGCACGACTTCGACAATAAATCCTAACAATTTCTTATTGCCAGACGATCGTATTTTTTCGGGGCGGTAATTCAAAATTCGGTTTATCATAGATGATATACTTACTAAATTAGTAGTCAACCAACAGCGACGCTGCAAATTTTCTAATCGAATTTCGCAAAATTCATTACTTGCGGTATTTCGACAATCATGATCGTAAAAATATTGTTGAAAATTAATTTTTTTCGCACCCGAGAATTTAAATTTTATGGATAACCTGCGAACCGAATTCATCGTAAATTAACCACCGGCCGCTCGTTATATGAAATGAGGATTCTTTTGATGTGAATAATCTAAATGCGTTAAAATTTTCAGATTGGAAATGTTCCATCATTGTGTGGTTATCCACCATGGAACCTTCGAATCACGGAATTCATGCAGTCGTCGCAACTTCCGACGTCTAGGCGCGCATTGGATTACTGTATTGAATCATTTAGTCATAGAGACATTCGGGTTGGAAAATAATAAAAAACGGGGCATTTGTTGAAATTTTCATTTTATTTGTTATATCTTTGTTTCGCTTTATTGTGAATTGTTCTCTTCTCTCATATATTGTATTCATGTTTAAACATATTCTCTCAATTTTATGAGACGAATATTTCTTGTTGACTGTGATTATTATGATTGGAATTATTTTGAGCTTTTAAAGTTCTTCGACATGTTAATGTAATGAAGAAAAAGTTTTAAATAAAAAAGAATGAGAAAAATTTAAATGCAGCAAAAAATAGAAAAATAGTATTTGTTTTCATTTTTCGTTTTTTTTGCTACGTTGAAATTTTCTCTTAATTTTCTTCATTTTTCTGTATCGTCGTTTTAGCTAACGTAAGTGGTTCAGTTAGTAGAAAAATCTGTCTAATAAATTTTTTCTTTATTGAAAACTTTTTAAAATGTAAACTCGTCAATCCAGCGGGAATGTATTTTTAACAACTAAGAAGAGGACAAAAAATGGATTTAAAGTGTATGAAAAATGGTTCAGACTATAGAATTATCTATTTTCATCCACTTTTTTTTTAATTTTTGCCCTTTTTCCAGGTGCAGTGATTTCAACATTCTTGACACTTTAAAACGAATAACTAATTCTTTCGAATAAGACGGATTAATGTTATCAGTCGAAATTCTTTTTGTTAGAGGCTCGATCGCATTTAAAATGAAGAGCCAACATAAGAAATAACTTCAAATTTTTTGCAAGTGTAAGAAAGGCGAAATATAAGCATTTCGATTTCAAAAAGAAATTATACTTTGGTGCTTGAAAATGATGACAAATAAACGTGCTTCTTCACAAGCCGTATATACATATATTTTAACCATATTGGTCTCAAGCATCTATGACGAAGTAAAAATTTGATGTCCACGTTTTTATGCTTCCGCACACATTCCCAGAACTACTGAAACAGGTGAATGCACGTGGATTTCACATGTGTTTCTTTTCCAAAAAAAGAAGATTTATCTATATCATAGTTCCATGTCAAAACAAATGATTAAAGACTATTCTCATATACCGGTGTGCTCTTTTTCCATTTATGGGCTTTGCTCGGCACTCATCACTGCAAACAAATCGTTTTGTTTGCGTTCAATTCTCGCACTTTCTCTCTCTCGCAGTTATTTGATTCTCGCTTCTTCTTCTTCTTCTTCTCCCTTTTTTCGTCTTCTCGTATCTCATTTCATTTTTTTCCTATTCGGTGTCACTTTAGATCACCAGACGAGATTTTGATTAAATATATTTCGTCATTTCGTCTACATTTTTTGATGACAAATCATTCGTGTTTGTGCTCGCTGCTTCACTGCAACTGGGAAAATTACAAAAATTGGATTTAAAGTGGATGGAAAATGGTTCAGATTGTAGAAGTATCGTTTTTTCATCCACTTTTTAACATTTTTTTGCTGTTTTCCCAGTTTCAGTGCTTAAACGACAGGAAATGAAAAATCGCTTCCGATAAATCTTTCTGATTGTCCTAATGGTTTTCAACATTCTTATCTGTTTCCTTATTGGTCTGGTCTTCTGTATTGCCTACAAAGCTAGTTCTACTGGAATATTCCCAAAGATAGTTATTAATCCGCGACAATGCTTTGTTTTTTGTTTTGCTAATAATTGTTAACAAGTATTTGTCGTTTTCTTAGATATGGGTTTGCTCACCAAAGGAACACCGCTAACATGGCAGGAAACTGTTCCGTATATTGACTATATTAAGGTTTTTTTTAACTTTCGAATAATTAATACAAATATTATTTAGAAACACGGCATTGCACAGTTCATTAATCTTTATCATCGCCTGAAAACTCGTCATGGTGATCAGCTACGATGGGGTGACGAAATTGAATATACAATTCTGAAATTCGATCATGAGAACAAAAAGGTTCGCCATTTTTGAGAATTTCAATTTACCTCAACGCTTTAGGTTCGCGTTTCTTGTAGAGCTGAGGAACTTTTGAACAGGCTACAAGCCGAAGAACAAGTGAACGCTATTTTAGGAACTGCGAACAAATTCTTATGGAGACCAGAATTCGGAGCTTACATGATTGAAGGAACACCAGGGGTTCCATATGGAGGTAACAATTTTTTTTATTGTCAAATTCATATTTGATACAACAAATCGATTCAGGACTTCTCGCTTGTTTTAATATAGTCGAAGCAAACATGAAGCTTAGAAGAGAAGTTGTCAAGAAACTTCTCAAAAAGGTATTACACTCTATATTCTGAAAGTGATTACAATGATTCAGGATGAGTCATGTTTATCCATTTCCTTCCCTTCTCTTGGTGTCGTTGATTTCACATATCCTCCGATGAAAGCAGACGGATCGAATCCGGAGGCAGCAAACAGCATTTTTTGGCCGGAACAGGCCGTTTTTCTGGGTCATCCTAGGTTTAAAAACCTCACGAAAAATATTAAAGGACGGCGAGGAAGCAAAGTAGCAATCAACGTACCAATTTTCAAAGATAAAAATACTCCAAATCCCTTTGTGGTAATAAAATACAAATTTACCTCAAATATTCCATGATTTAGGAAGATTTCTCAGAATTTGGAGCCGCAGAAGACACGAAAGACGCAAAACCAGACCATATTTACATGGATCATATGGGATTCGGAATGGGTTGTTGCTGTCTTCAAGTCACATTCCAAGCAGTCAATGTTGATGAGGCTCGATGGTTGTATGATCAATTAACTCCTATCACGCCGATATTGTTGGCGTTGTCGGCTGCGACTCCAATATTCCGAGGCAAACTGTCAAACGTTGACTCGCGCTGGGATATTATTAGTGCAAGTGTTGATGATAGGACACCAGAGGAACGCGGTTTGGAGCCACTCAAAAATTCAAAATGGGTTATTGAGAAAAGTGTAAGCTTTTGGTGGGCCAATGGTTTCCTAAAATATAGTTCCAGAGGTACGATTCTACCGATTGCTATATTTATCCATGTTCTGTTGGATACAATGACATTCCTCTTCAGTATGATGATGAAATTTATAAACAGTTGATCGATGGAAACATAGACGAGCCTCTGGCGAAACACATCGCTCACATGTTTATTCGAGATCCTCATCAAGTATTCCGTGAGCGAATCGAGCAGGATGACGAGAAAAGCAGTGAGCATTTTGAGACAATTCAGTCATCAAATTGGATGAATATGCGATTCAAGCCACCACCGCCAGATGCCCCAGAAATCGGCTGGCGAGTCGAGTTCAGACCCACCGAGGTTCAACTTACTGATTTTGAAAATGCCGCTTATTGTTGCTTTGTCGTGTTGCTGACAAGAATGATTATATCATTCCGGCTGACCTACTTGATGCCAATTTCCATGGTGACTGAGAATATGAAACGCGCTCAGCAACGAGATGCCGTTTTGAATCAAAAGTTTCTTTTTCGCAAGGGCCTTGCTGAGTGTAAGGCGGCTCCGGAAAACCTGAAGAATTCGGGAGGAGACTGTGGTGGACCAAGCCAGGATATTGAAGAGATGTCGATTGCTGAAATCATAAATGGAAAAACGAACGGATTTCCGGGCCTTATTCCACTTATTAGACATTTCCTCGACAGCGCTGATGTTGATGTCGACACTAGATGTACAATTTCTCAATATCTTAACTTTATTTCGGTAATGTGTAGTTTATTTGATATGAATAATTGTTGTTTTAAAGAAGCGAGCGAATGGAGAAATTCATACTCTAGCTCATTGGATCCGTGATTTTGTTCAAAATCACGAAGCTTACAAACATGACAGTGATGTGAACGACAAGATTGTATATGACTTGCTCAATAAGGTTTACATTATCTATTCAAACAATCAACTAATGATATAATATTCAGATGGACTCTATTTCGAATGGCCAGGAACACTGCGAGAAGCTACTCGGCTGTTTCCGTTCAAAAACCAACCACTCAATATCCGAAGCTGTTCGAAAAGCCGAAGAGCACATGATTGTCCAGAGCCAGAAGAGGTCCCATTAGTCTAGCCATATTTATTTTTGATTATCCATAACATATTGCATTTAATCCAAGTAAATGAAAGGAATTTATTTGATTTCACAAATCTTATGGGTTGTACTCAATTGGCAAGTTCTTTCTGCGGACCATTCCGTCTCCTTGGAACCATTCACGACGGAACTGTTTGGCAGCACCATCAGGGGTATTCGTCCATTCGACGGTGATACGATCATTGTTGGTGTCCTGCAATCAATTCCATTAGTTGGATCAACGATTCCTGAATCCGTTTTACCTCCTGTCCGAAAGCGAACGCGTCGCAGGAAACAGCGAGAAGGACGGCTTCCTTGGGGTCGAGAACTCCGCATGGCGGGTCAACTCCAAGTCTCTTCATGTTGGTCGTCTTGATTCCGTATCCGATACGACGGGCCGACGAGTTGATCACCTTGATGTGGTAGGTGTGCTTGTCATCATACGGAGCGTTGAAGCGTTGACGTTTGGTTGGGTTTGGATATCTCCTGGTGGGACGGATTGAGCCATTGCAAAAGACCTTGCTGCTCTAAGCGGGCAAGCATCGTTTTTATACCAATTCTTATCTGATAAGATATTATCGTTGACATATCGCGTGAAGTTTAGTTTAATTTATTTAAATAGCATCTATAAATTCGGGGTTAATAAATAAATACATTCTAAAAGCATAAAAATACACTTTCGAAGACAGATGACTTCCGTGGGAGCGGAACGTAGAAATTTGAGCTGCGCAACTTGGTCTCGCAATATCTTGGCTGTACAACAGGCATGTGCATATTACCTCGCAAAGCTTGGTTAATTTCGCGCCATGAATTAGAACTAAAAGTGGCTTTAGTGGAACAATTCATCGAATATCCGTAGTTGCCTGTCTTCGACAATAAGTTAATATTATCATTAAAAAACGAATTCCTTCGTATCAGTTACGGTAAGTTAAATGTGCAGATTTAATGCAAAAAGAATTTGAATCACTGCACCAAAGAAAACCGCTAGTCCGAAAACACCGAAGGGTTTCATTTTTTTTTCCGATGGTAATATTATAAGTTAATAATCCTATTCACACCGAGATCAATTAAAAATGAATGGCGATTGATCATTCATCGTGGAAAGATGTAGCACCAAACTCTTAATATGCGAATGATGGTAGCTCAATCTCGAACACATTTTTCGGCTTCATCGGTCTTCCGATGTCGCGGACTCGAACAGTATCCGCATTCCTTGCCAATAATCGACCGATTGAACGAGACAAGTCGCTCGTTTCATTTCGTTCTTCTGTTGAAGTAACGCGTTCATCAAACGACACATTTCGAATTTCGGAGAGCACAGACTCCGTTAGCGCCTGAAATTGTAACACTTGAGATAAATATTTTTTTTAATTTAGCAAGTACCTTTTCTTTTTTATCTTCTTCGATTGGATCGAAAGGCTGATTAGCGTATGATTTCAATGAATCAATATTGGCCGGGAGGCCGACCGAGTTTAGTTCTTAAAATTTACAGCATTACGAAAACAAATATAAAGAAAACTACTTGTAACATTATTTAATGAGAATATCGTATTCCTTCGACTTCCTTTCTTGCTTGCCGGCGGAGTCCAATCAACAGACATATCCACTGAAATGTCATCAATTCCAGCAGTTCTCGGAGATGATCGGCCGTCGGTCGTATCAACATCTGTGCGCTGTTCGGAATCTCCAGTGTTCTTCGTTTGTGATGTTCCGAAAGGAACAAATAAGCGAGCAACATCTTTACCAGACGCCTAAATGATCTTTTAAATATTGCAGTACAATAAATTGAAAAAAGAACCTTCAATGATTCGGCAATATCATCAATACTAAACAATAATCCTCTATCATTTTCGAGATCTTCAACTTCCACTATTTTGTGCGATAATGCGTTTCCCGACGAAGAATGAACGATTTCAGTTGGGGTTTCGTTGGCGAGTGGGTCTTTTTTCAACAAATTCAATCCAGAAACGCCACGTTGTGCTCGAGCAGAAACAACCTGGAATTTAGCTATAAAATAATTGATTTAAAACCACCATTTTAATACTTGTTGAACATGTTGGCAGAGTGAAGGATTTGCCATTAATTGCGCTGACAAATTTAAATACCTAAATACCATTTTTATGTCAGGTTAAATATTGTTTCAATGATTCATTTCCGCCCACGAATTATGTAAATTTGACATACTTTGCCACCATGTTGTGTATTTCAATTCTTTTCTGATTTCCAAAGTTCAGCGATTTGTCTAATGCCATATTTTGCAGGGCCAGACACAATCGGAAAAGCTCAATTAGCGTCTGAATGCAATTAATTATGGTAATTTTTCATTTCAAATGTAATTACCTCGTCGAATCCGACTTCAATACACAATAAACTCATTGTGCATAAAATTGCGTCAATATGTGTTTGAATGTCACTTTCATCGGCGACTGCAGCAGCCTTATAAAGCATCAGCGAGATATCAGCAATATGTTTTCGCATGAACATTTGGTCAGCTCGCGAGCATTTTTCAACCGTCAGTTGAACATCAGCAACATCCAGTTCGTATCCAAGATGCACCAGATTCGAAACATTGTCGTGTCTAAAGAAGTTGATTGTTTGAAAATCAAAATAATGATCCTGTGCCTGTCCAAAAGTGTATGGAAGATGTGTTGAGTTTCAAGACGAACTTGTGGATCTCGAACTAAAGCCAATAAGAGCAATGTATCGAGGAACGAGTCAGTGAACACAGTTGCTAAATACGCAGTTCGGTATTTTGTAGCCACTTTCAGAAGTGTTCTGACAAGAACGTGCTGGAGAAATTCATCGCCCTGCTTTGCCTTTCGCTCATCCAAGTTTGGAATATTTCCAACAGTGAACATCATCATTTCAACCTTCTGATAATCAGGAAGTGCGTTCGCAAAATCGCCCATTGCATTGATCAAGGCTTCTTGGTACTGCTGCTCAGCTATCGTATCTTTGCATTTTCCACTTCGCTCAAAATCAACAGAAGTTCGAAGATGTTTCAAGAGCGAATTGAAAATCGAAAGAAGAAGAGGACCTAAATTGAAATTTTCATAAATTCACGACACCGTTTATTTACCAATTGATGTTCCCGCAATTGAGACAATACTTGAAAGAACACTCGCAATTCCAATTCTGATCGAAGCATCCGCACTACACATGCTATCCAAGTGATTAATTAATTCCTTGAAAGGTTAAAATGGTTAGAGAAAACATTAACAATAATACCTGGATGACAAAGTAGCTATTCTGACTTTGAATGCTGTAAATAATGGCACGGAAAACATGAATTGCAAATAATGGTGGAGGAGTCCATTGCTTATGCAGGTCCATGTGCCGTAGAACTGGTTCAATTACCGCCCGTAAGGAACCAAACGAGGCTTTTCCCATTAGTTCACGAAGGCAGCGATCTGATAAAACTCGGGGAGTTGCTTCATTTTCTTCGCGATGAGACAATTGCGCAGCATCGGCAAATGATGATGCATCAAATTTGGGAAGATTTGAGGTTGAAAACTCTTTTCCCGTTTCATCTTAATCCAAATAGATTGAAATTAAACGGGCTACTATTTGTAATACCTGGTTCATGAAGATTATAAAGCACAGACGGCACAATTTTATCCATGTGTTGTTGTTCCCAAATATTTGGATGCAAATCGTCCGTCACCGATTTCCATACAACTCCTTAAATAGTGTAGTAAAAAATGTAATCGTTTGCTCAAATATACCTCGAAGTCCTCTTAATCCAGCACATCGAATTTTTCTATAATCATCGCCGTATTGTGTTTGCGAGTTAGCATGACACATTTGCGAAAACTTCGAGATGAAAAAGTCGTATTGCCGATGGTACGATGGTGAACTTTCTTCGATGTTGGAGAATGTGACAAATGAATCAGTAGCGAGTTGCTGAAATTTGTCAATATATCACTTTTTTAACCGATCGAATCATAAATTGTTACTCAATTCTTAATATCACGTTAAACGTGCACTATTTGACAATTACAATTTGAGATTTAACGTTCATTATTATAGATATTTCGTTTGGCGATTAACAAATAATAATAATGGCGGAGAAAAAACAATATATCACAACAGATCCATGCGATAAAGTATTATATTCTTCTTAAAAACGGAATTATTTTGATTTTCAGATAAAATTTCGCGCTGAGCCACAAGAAGAGCAGAAAACTTATCTTAAAATTACCAATAAAAGTGAAATGAAGCAAGCTTTTAAGGTATTATTGGAATTTTTAATACATTATTCAATGTCTTCTTAAAGGTAAAATGCACTAGAAATGATTTGTTCCGCATTAAACCGGCAACAGGAATTTTAGACTACAACCAGACTCAGACGATCACGTTAATTTATAGGTAGTTTAATAATATTAAAATAGCCTGAAACATTATTAATTTTTATCAGAGGGGCTCAAGAAAAAATTCCGACAGAAGAAAGACACCATTTCGGAGTTTATCATATACCCGCCCCCGAAGGTTGCACTTGTGATGGTGCTTGGGCTGAGCATTATGGTCCACCACAAGGCGAGCATAAACTACGAGTATCATTTTAGTACATAAAACTTCAATTTTTATTATTACTTTCTAGGTTGTTTGGAGCGACTAAGGCGCCATATTTATTTTTCGGAATAGAACTAATAAAATATTTTATATTTTACCTCCATTTTGGGATTACCGCTTTCAAGCAACTTCTGCACCATTTTCAAATGATTTTCACTGAATTGAGGCAAACTCGGCGAGCTATGACAAGCTTGAAGCAACTGATCCATGGCTTCCACAGCTATCTAAATTTTTTCTATGCATTTTATTTTTTTTATCAATTCAACTTTGACTTGAACGTATCGTTGCCGACTCAGATCTCTTCCCATTCGCATAACAAGGTATTCGCCGATTCTTTCAAGCTTTTCTGGATGTGATATTGCATAAAATGTCAACTAAACCATTATTTTATAAATTTTTTTAAAATATTAAATTCTACTTTTTGCATATTCGCATGAATAAGACCATCCGTTACCGCTCTTGGATAAATCGAATCCACTAATCGACGATACCTAAATATAATAAAAATAATCAACTATTTATTTAAAACGAACCTTGGTTTACATGGCGCACAGCAACGTAGTCCGTTCATTTCTGCCGATTTTTTGAACTGAAACTATCGATTTGAAATCGAAAAAGGGAAACAACGAGAGTGAATATGACAATAGTGTATTCGTTTGTTTTGCTAATTTTCATTTTATCGGTGGCTTCCTTCTGTTCTTTTTTTTCAAAGAGGATTTATTATACAAAAATATAACTTTTTTTTACGAAGAAGTATGTTTCGGAAACTTTTAAATTGAAAGAACACAAATATAAGACGTCGACGATCTAATTAAACAAAAACATTTCTGAATTGTGGAATCGATGATTCATCCACCGACTCAGCAAATCGTGCCGTAGAAAACAAGGTGAATAGAAGGTTAGAGAGAGAGAGAGAGAGAGTGTGTGTATAGTTTTGGGAGACGAAGAAATTTTTTCACCGCCGTTTAAAACTCGCTGTTCATACGGAAGTATCTAGGAATTTTTTCACAAAATTTCAAGATGGCCTAGAAAATGTGAAGATAAAACTAGTCCCCGTATGTTATTAAAATTAGTCCACGTATTTGGAAAAAGAAATATTGTAGGCGTCAAACGAGAGAACGAAATTTAAAAAGAATATTGGCTATTTGCCAGATGTATCGAGATTCGTGTGCGTCTCTTAGTACTTTGCATTTTAGCGTACGCGCAATTAATGTTTAGCACGCGCGTAAATTTTCAATTTCGTAGGCCTACAGTGATTTTGCCGTAGTGCGGTACCTGAAGTCCAACAGTTTAAATTAAAATATGAATTCCAGCTTCGAAAAAGTGCGATCGTCCAAAATTATGCAAAGCGCTCGTTTTTTTGCGATTGTAATATCTATTTTATTTTCTTTTATAAAACGACTTACCTCTCGACAATTTGTGGCGCAACAGAAGTATCGCCAGTCGAGATACGGAAACGAGCGATCGTCACGACGATAGTCCGACGGTGTGATTGGTCCACTGCATTCGAGCTGCATTTGTGATTAATTTCTTGCAAGTTTTTTCATAATTGACACTATTTTATTCGGTGTATTTTCTAAAAAATCTGACTTCTTTCTTAAAAATATTGGTAAAAATACGAATAAGGTAACGCATAGCTGAAGAAATAAATAGCACAATATGCCAGTTTTTCAAATGCAGTATACAATAACGGCTCTCTTTGAATATTGCCTGCAATTTTTTCCACAACTCCTACATGAATTTTGTTGAAAATCGTTTTTTTTCGTTATTATGAAAGACTGAATAAATCAAAAACTGACAAAAAACGAAACGCGTATAAAATGTGAAGAAATTTTCAAGGATATTAAATTTCACCATGCTATTTCATATTACTACCAATATTTTCGAAAAGTTCTTCGCACGAACCATAAAATATTAATGAAAATAGACAATTTGTTTCTGTTTTTGGCCAAAACGGGAAATCTCGGGAAATTCGCGATTAAATTGGTGAACACTGAAAATTAAAAAAAAAACATTGCGGAAAGAAAAAGAAAAGAAGAGAAATGCAAAAAGATCGAATAGAAGCGAATCTTTCTTTTTTGGTAATGTGCCAAAAAACTTTTCCCTTTTCTTCTACGATTTTGTCTCCAAAGTAAACAGGCGGAGAGTTGAATGTGGCGAAAAGAAAGAAGCTCGTCGAGGTTTCTCTTCTCTTCGCCCAACTGCGCACACACACAACGCAAATCGAGATTATGAGAGAATTTATTTTAATGAAGTCTCACCGAGTAGTCATCGAAATCTTCATAATCATCAGCATCATCATCATCGTCTTTTCGATTTTTTCTTATATTCCTCCATTTTGTGAAAAACGGGCACGTCATTTCTGAAAATTTTAACGATTCCGTGGAATTATTCAAAGTATATAAGCCTTGGTTTTTATTCCTGTAAGCAAATCTAACTCTAATTAAAATATTATCAATTTTTATTATATAAAATATTCCGAATAGCACGATAAAATTATTTCGATTTATTTTAGTTCCCTTTTTTTCAAACAAAATAACTGGACCTTAAATCATTATGATTGTGTGAAATTTCTAAAGCAAGATGTTGAATATCCCTAAAGAAATAATAATAATAATAAAAATTTCTGAATTTTACTAATTTCATTGTTTTTTCTGTAGGTTCTCCTGTAAAAAACGTGCAAATTTCAAACGAGAATAAGTGAATAAAGTTAAAGAAAAACACTTGAAATTCATCAATGATTCCACACGAAATGGGTTCAAAAATAAACTCTCGATGAAAATTTTTCTTTCATTTTTTGATTCATAGAATGAAAAATTCGAAAACAAAAACGGTATTGAGAATTTCGACGTTTCCGTGTTCATTGATGATGTTTCATTAGTCATATTTGTTTCGACGCCATTCTTTTTGCCTCTCGAAGGAACTCATCGTGAATTTATTATTTTTATGAGACACATAAAACCTAACGATAAACGAGAGGAAATATATCAATTATTCGATAAACTTTATCCATGATAAACTCAAATCATACAAAAAGCAACAAAAATCGCCATGGAATTGAAGGAATCGGTGTAATAAAATGTCAAAAACCATTTAATCGTATTATTCAAATTCGGCGCCGCAATGCGCGTTAATCCTTCCAAATTATTTTGGAGTTTTCTCATATTTTGTTAGCGCATTTCTGTTCGGCTCTTTTTCAGTTTCAATTGTTTTCAGTGGTGGTAAAACGACGAAAAGTTTCGAGTTCCATTCGCTCGGTATATCGTGCTCATCAGCGGTGTCTCGAAATGATAAGCCTTTGTCTCTGAAATGAATGATATTTCGATCGATTTCGACAAATTCCGATGAAACCCTTTTTTGAAGAACATCAACTTTTTCACTATCGGATTCGCTTTTCTATGTGCATGATTTTCTTGAGATTTCATTTTTTCTAGTGATTTCTTCTCATTTAATTTCAGTTTTTCTTTCGAATTTTCCAATGATTTGTTTTCTATTGATTTGTTGTCAGTCGATTTTCCTTCTGCCGATATTTTTTGATTTTCAGAATCGATCGTTTTCCGTTTGTCTTTTGATAGAATTGAGTCGGGCTCTTTGCTTTCTTTCAGCTTCTCAATGCCTTCCTGCGCGAATTTCTTTACGTCGGCACCAATCGCGTAAACCGGTCGTTCGCCAGATTTTGCGGCATTCGATAGCCTGCTTCTGATTCCGTTTTTGAGCATGTCTGTCGTCGGATAATCCAGCAAAATTTTCGCCATGCCTTCAAAATGCAAACGAGACATTTAAAATTAGTGAATGCAACTTGCCGTGTTTGTAGCACGCATCGAGAATTTTCCGTTTGACATCTTCGAGACTGGTGACAGGTTGGTCCTCAACAGCAAGAATTGTTTCGCCAATGTTTAGGCAAATATGCGACGAGGTGTCGGGATTCGTGTAGTTCACAATTATCTGAAATCTTCTTTTCAATGGCTACGCGAATAATCGATACCCGATCCTCAGCCTGCTGAATATTCAAGCCCAATTTGAGGAACTTGAACTGGTATAGAATCGCCTGTTCAACAACATGTCCGTCAGTTTGTGTGATACAAGAAGGCAGTGGATTTCGGCCCATTCGCGATTTCAATCGAATGAATCCGATGTCGACTTTGATCGAACTCGAGCCTTTGCTTAATATCCCCGAGACAACTGTATTGAAATCCTTTTCCGGTGTACGCGGAGACCCTTTTTGGTTTCTTGAAATTTTTTTTTCGAATATTACCTCCATGACAACTTATCTTCAAATGTGACCAATGTTCCATTAATAAACATTATGATATCGCCAGTCACAATTAAACCCTGAACACCTACATAGTTCCATGTTTAAAGAAAACTAGTCAACCTTGAAAGGACTATCATAATTGACTTTCGTAACCATTCCGCATCGAAGCGACAATCCCATTTTTTCATCTTTTTTAAATTTTGCAGAAACGACATGCTTCTCGACTAACTCGTTTGGCAACTTTTTTCCTCGAACGAGTACGACAGCACTGATTCGCGCTTGAATCTTAAATGATGAAAATATTATTTGCTGGCCAAAAACTTGAATATGGCCTATTGATAGTCAACATTTTTCCCAGCAAAATAACGAAAAAATATATCACTCTAAAAACAGATTACGGTAGATAATGTGTTTGAGTAATTCGAAATTTTATAGTTTTTTCTTTCGCAATTCATAAAACATAAAAGGATACCATATCATCTAAACCATCAAATAATTTGTCTTCCTTTGGCATTTTTATCGGAATTCATATAATAAAGAAAACCTTAAATAAAGAAATGAGTGGTCTTCGTCGAAATATGGAAACCCGAGCTGTGTGACGTGAAAAATATGTGATCACGAATAGTATAATATGTGAAAAGTCGATGCCGGTGCAACGTTTTGCTTTTTGATTTTTTTTTTACAATTTTTACTATTTAAGTGCACAGTCATTCTCAAGCATATAAAAAATCTATCAATTCTGGAAAATGATCAAAAAATGAGCCACCTTCTTAGGGGCACTATTTTTGTTTTTCAGTGGTTAAGATATTTGAAAACTTGAGCCCCGAGCAAATGGGCAAAGGGTGAGCCACCCCAAAAATGCTCATTTTCCACAAATAACTGATTTGTTTAATGTTGAGCATGGTTTTTGATCAATTTGTGCATTAAAATATTAAAAAAAAAACGTTTTAAAAAATCAGGTTTATGCAAAAAGTTGCACCAGCGTAGACATTTTATATACTATTGTTTGGAATATATTGTCGGCGTCGCGCGACTGCAGAAAATTGGCTAAATGCCACAAAAACATTGGCAGGGACTAAAAAGTGCAGATTAACGGGTCTAAATATAAGGATAGATTAAAGGCGCACCGTGCCGAAATCTCTTTTTAAATTTTCTGGTATTAAGCCAATGTTCCGCAGTCGACTTCGACCATACGTCAAAACACATTTGGCAATGATAAATTAGCGAGAAAATTTCTAGTTGATCAGATTATATTTTGACCAGAAGAACATTTTTTTAATTCTCGTTCGCTGATTAGTTCTTTTAATCTCCATCTATTGTCCATTTATTGTTTTCGCCAAATCAAACGCAACCGTCATTTCCGTATGATTCTCGTATCATACTACATGCCATTCGACCTTTACTGTCGACCCCAAACCTGTTTCTCGCCGGAGGCCTCGAATGCAAATACCGAATAGTGTAAGAAATGAGGAGAATCGTGTTTGGACAATGGAGTGGTCGAGAGTGTGTTTGAGTGGAAGAGGTTTCGACAAAAAGTTACGGTGTGTGCAGTTGGTTGGCATTCGAATACCACTTTCCACCCTCAAAAAACCCAACACTCTTACTTGCCTCTCAAGCAATCCTTCAGTTTTCAGCATAAAATTACAGATGAATTATCTACTGCGAATATTATGCGATTTCCAATCCGCTTCCAACCTTATTCCGATCGTCGTCCTCTTTGTTATTCGATATTTCGTGTGCCAACATTTGACTGAACACCAAGTTGCTGCTGAAACACCGACGAGTTAGAGTTTGCCAGGTTAATAATTTTGCATTTCAATAAAAAATCTCGTTTGATTTTTAAATTCGCATTTTTCCAGATTTTAATATTTGCTTCCTCATTCATTTTATCAATTTTTGCTTGAAATTTTTGTATTCGATTAAAACTTTTTTTGATTTCGGTGAGAATTTGAAAAATGTCGAAGCAGATTTTTTTTAATTTTTGCTTCCTATCGAAATTTTTGATCGTTTTTTTGTTCTATAGTTTAACTTATTAAGTGTCTTATCAATTATTTACAATTTATTTTATGCAATACAGAAAAAAATAAACGAATGCTGAAAAAAAAAGAAAAAAATAATTTTTCTCTTTTTTATCATTGATCCTTTAAATGTTCAATTAAAATTTCGAAACCTAATTGTATGCATAATTGTTGTTTCTGTTTCAGATTTCATCTTTTCATTCATCTGTCCGAACGGTGCTGTGTACATTCTGCCATTTTAAACTGTTTTCGCGATCTCTTTGTTGTGTCTTTTTATTTCAATAAAAACGCCGGCCAACCGGTTACATGAATACAATTTTAAGTTAATTATATCGTGTTAATTGTATGTTGCGTTATGCTGAAACGAAACATCGGAAGAAATTCGAGTGAATCAAACCGAAATAAATAAATCGTTCGACAGAATAATGTGCGTTTTGAAAATGTCGAGCGATTTTCCACTTGTTGCTGATTCGCCGCTCGAAAATTTATTGTAATTTTCGCCTAGTGGCTCGTCGATCGAAATCGCAAAAAAATCGACGGAAATCATTAAAAAATGGCGCGAGCATGCACACAGAAACAGCTGGCCACAAGCTGCTTCATCTTCATCTCAGACTTGTTCAGTGGCACGAAAAGACGGATACTGATTTGCGAAATATATACGCTGCGGTGTATGTTTTCTTGTTCCTCCCATTATTTTATTGCCGGGTGTACTTTGCAAACCAACAATTTCATTTTTCTGTTGATTTGTTCAAGACAAAATAGTTTCTCAATATTGGCTTCAATTTTTTTTTCGCAGACCAAAATGGGCGATTCGAACACTTGGGATATGATAGGCGACAAAAGGAATAAAAGCCGATCGCCCTCATTTGGAAGCAGAATTGAAGCCGAGGTACTTCTTTTTTATAATTCAACAATATTGATTGACTGTTTAGGTGATTGATAGCGCTGCAGAGCTCGAAGCTTTAGGCTTAGGAAAAGCTCAATTGGAAGAGGAAGCAAGAATGCAACGAAGACAAAAGAAGAATCGAAGTAAATCGCCAGCATTGGAGAATATTCGAAAAGCTTCTTTGCACGTTCTGCAGGCATTCATTCATTTGTTCATATTTCGATATTTCAAACTGATTGATTTCAGAAATTTGGCGCAATTCCAAAAAAGAAAGATGAGAGTGTTTTATTGTTTCGAAACATTGATATACCCGATCTCCCTCTTGATGCGCATTGTATACGGTAACATTTTTCGGAATTTTTCAAATTGTCGGTCGTGTTGTTTTTAGGCCAAAAGAATTTTTCGAAGAACCCAAAGTATTTTTCTTTCGCGATATTGGAAGAGAACAAGAGAAAATGCAGGTGAATGAGAAATGGTGAGAAATAATTTCGAAAAGAATCGAGCAAAAAGAAAAAAAACCTGATTCAGCTCGTATTTGTTTCGGGGAAATTCGTATGATCACGAAGATTATGAATTGCCCACTGAGGTTTCGAATTGGCATTCACAAATTCCAATTTCAAATCATTTCCTAGATGTCACGAGTTCCCGAATATGATCATTTTTGTCCAATTCACGGATCTCGACGTCGTCTAGCTCGACATCGACAACTCGTCACAATGCAAAGTTTAATGCATTCGGTAGATCGAGAAGATGAAAATGAGAATCTTGCCTACTTATATGGTCATGATTTAATAGCAAAATTGGTGCGAAAAAAGAAAAGAGAAATGCTAAGTGGGCCTGAAAAAGAGCGAGCAAATAAAGTGATGAGGAAAATAATGGTGAGATGATAGGATCTCGAGCATCGTCAAAAATAATTGGTTTCAGTCAAATCTTTGGATCATATCCGTCGCATTTTTATTCCTTTTCACTGCGTTCAATGGCCTTCAGAATCTTCAAACATCAGTCAATGAAAATTTAGGATCGGATTGTTTAGTGTATCGGATAATGATATCAATAAGTATAATCAACAAAAGGTTTCAGAGTCCTTTACTTATCCCTAGCCATATCATCTCTCTTCATTCCATCATTCATGATTAGTCGAATCGGATGCAAGCTGACATTCATTGTGGCAATATTCATATATATTCTGTACATTATTGTTAATCTTCAGCCAACGTATCAAATTTTTTTTTGTTTTTTTTTCGCAATTTTTTATTTCAGATATTTTTCAATGATTCCAGCTTCAATATTTTGCGGAGTCGCCGCTTCTTGCATATGGGGTGCGAAATGCAATTATATCACTGAGATGGGTATTCGATATGCTAGTTTGAATTTTGAGAGTCAAAGCACTGTGATTGTCAGGTGAACATTTTATTTGAATTTGAGCAGAAATGCGATTGCAGGTTTTTCGGTTATTTTTTTATGGTGGTTCATTGCGGACAGGTGATCGGAAATTTGATATCTTCTTACATTTTAACACTAGCAATGACAAGAAGCTATTTGGAACCCGAAGATGCTATATACGATACGTAAGCCTATGGAGTAGAAAAAGTAGAAGAAGAAGGAAAAATTAAAGATGCGGGTATCAATTCCCAATGAATTCGTCTCAACTCTCACCAATATCAGCAGTCAATCTGCAAAGGCCTCCGCAGAAGGCGTATATGGCAGGTAAAAGAGAGGACATTTCAAAAATAAATTCAAATTTCTGTGATTTTTTAGTGTGTTTGTCCTATTTGGGATGCGCTTTTATTAGTGGAATGATCATTGCAATGTTTCTGAATGCCCTTCAAAAAGATGCCGAAAATCGGTTTCAAAAAAATGATTAAATATGTACAATAATTTCAGTTTTCCAGAAAATATGCACCATCATGCACTTCAGAAATATTGAGTTTGATGCTGAAAAATCTTTTGAATATTCGATGTATTCTTCTCGTCCCATTGACTATTTTCAACGGTCTCGAGCAAGCATTTATCGTCGGAGTATTCACCAAGGTTTGTTCTTTCGAAATAAAAAAATCTAACAATCATGTATTTTAATAAGGCATTTGTCGGATGCGGCCTTGGAATAACAAAAATCGGATTCGTTCTGGCTTCGTTCGGAATTTCTGACGCAATTTGCTCATTAGTTTTTGGTCCATTGGCAAGAATCATTATATCAAAACGGTCGTAATATTAAAATTGAAGATAAAACTATTCGGTCGAATGCCATTATTCGTATTTGGAGCTGTTGTCAATTTACTGATGATTGTCACATTGATGGTGTGTCATTTTTAGAGGTTCTTTTTTTTATATTTCGAATCCCCTTCAGATTTGGCCTTTAAATGCGGCTGATACTCAAATATTCTATGTGGTGGCTGCCATGTGGGGAATGGCGGATGGTGTTTGGAATACTCAAATTAATGGTGTAGGCCCGTTTTTTGCTGAAATCATTTAATTTGTTTGCAGGGTTTTGGGTGGCTCTTGTTGGTCGCCAATCGCTTCAATTTGCCTTCACCAAATACCGATTCTGGGAGTCATTGGGAATTGCAATTGGATTCGCCCTTATTCGTTTTGTCAATGTCGAATTATTCCTTTTGATCACATTCTTCGTTCTTCTCATCGGAATGTGTGGATTCGTGGCGATTGAGAATTTCGACAATTTAATTGTTAGTTTTGCATTTTGAAATTTCATAGAAGTTCCGAGTTTAGGAAGTATTCTCGACTGTCCAATCAGCCTACTGTCCATCGAAGGATCGAGAGGATCGCAAACGCGAAAATCACAAACTCGCAACTACTCTGATGGACGCTTCTCTAATGACGAATATTTCGAATTTGACTAATTTATCACATATCTCCAAAAATGGCGAGCCTTGATTATTTCAATGGAATTAGAATTGTCGAATTGTCAGCAATTGGTGGAATCGCGTGGTGTTCGCTGGCATTCAGCAGAATTCGCTCGACAACATCCAATTTCGTGTCTGTAATAAATGAGTTAAATCGGAATTTTTTCAAATATTTCCGTTTTGAAAAATAACTTTTCATTTGTGATCATCATATGGATTATTCCCCGTACATTAGATATAAGGCGATTCACTCAAATATTTTTGTCGCATAGAAACTTTTGAAAAATGAAACACCATACCTTCTGTGGTAGGCTGCGACGTCGTTGAAGTGGAAATTGTTGTAGTCGTTAAAAGTGGTTGAACACATTTGCATTTTAAACTTGAAATTCGGTTTTCGAACGAATACCGATCCAATGGGAACACTTCCATCCCGTCAAGTCCGAGTGCTCGTTTCGGACCTTTTAAATTCCGAATAGAATTCACTAGAAAATGCTGAATGTGAACTACCTGTTTGATTCTTCCAATCCCAAACTTCAAGCAAACATCCTTTCCTAACAATTATCGTTTTCGGAGCATCGTCCCACTGAAAATAAACATAGAATCGTTTAGATTTAGAGAAATTCAATACAATTGCTCCTAAAACTCCGTTGCCATTTTCTTTGACGAGAAATCTTGAATTGACGTCATCGATGTCGCATTTTTGCGATGAATAGAGAATTGCACAACACGTGGGACAATACGAGTACAAATAGTCTGTCGAACAATCGTTTTCAACGAATCGAATGAGCGAAAAAATGATTGGCACAATGAGCATGACTGATCAGAATTCGCACAACAATGATCGCCATATTTGGTATTATTTAGCGTCGATCGATTCGCTGCGAGACGATTGATAGTGTAATAAAAAAAAGAAAAGAGGCCTACTCGTTGATCAAATTTTTTGTTGGTTTCCTCAAAAAAATGTAAACAAATTTCATTAAAACACCATTTTTTTGTGGCAACAACACACATTTTCTCATAAACCAAATATGTATGATTTCAATCGAAGCAAAAGCATATGTAAAACGCATTTTTATTAAAAGTTATTCAATGAAAGACGTCTTTCACATTTCCATAAATTTTATCGCACACAGAAATGCTTTAAAGTTGATTTAAAAAATTTCGGATTCCTTTTTAAAATTACAAAAATAAACACACACACACAAGAAATTAAAAAAAAATGTTATTAAGAAAATAAATCTAATGCATTTAATCACAAGCGAAACGATCAAATTCGTTTTTTTTTTCATTTTCTCATGCTTCACCGAACACGATGCCACTGATGACCGAAACAATAATCGACGATCTAGTGACTCTTTGGAGAATAATTAAAAATGATAGACAAATAATGCCACGTGGAGAACAGTGTCATGCCAAAATCTCCGTTTTTCGGCAATCTTTTCATGAGGACTTTGCATTTTTCAAAACAATTCTTTCACAAAATTTCATCTGAATGAGGTCGTCTTTGGATCAAAAAATGTCGAATGCCAAGATTGGACGGGATTGCGCATGGGAATTTTTGGATGGGATTGTTTCTCCTTTTCGAAGAATCAAACTTGCTTGTCGAGCTGACGAGAGAAAAAATAATTTGCTGCTCTATCTAGTGGGGCAATTGCTGCTAGGCGCAAGCAAATTTCAAGAAGTCTTGCCATTTTTATATATTGGTTTCGTTTTTATCGATATTCAAATTGAATACAATGTTTATTTGGTGTATTATAATTCGAGTTACCCGTCAAATATTATCTAATAATATGAAGCTCAAATCAAATGCACATCACACCCGCAATTATCACAAATCCGAGCATAGCCGAGCAACATTGTAGAATATTTGAATGATTATTGGCTCGTTCTGGAGCTAACATCTGAAAATTAGAAAATTGATAAAAATATAAAATGTACGAAGCGTAGCTGACCTCAAAAAATGAGATGAAAATGAATGTCCCAAGAGAAATGCTCATCAAAATGGCCGTTGTTAAGCTTTTATCGGTAGTATTCATATTTGAACTCTGAAGAAATCGATTAATTTGAGAACTAGGAAGTGTGCAGGCTGAAAACCTCAATAATGATTCCAATTGAGCCTCCAAGAACATTGCAAAATGCAATGAAAACGACAAGGCTCATAACGATCCACCAACGAATTGGATGATTTCTGAATTATGTTTCAATATAAAAAAAGAAATATGAGATCATTCGCAAAACCTTGTTAATTTCATTCCAATCGAGAACATAACAATCGCTTTGTGAATTGTAATTCCGATAAACAACGACATCGCCGATTTGATATCATTCTGTATCACATTCTCATTTTTCGACAAACTATTCTTTTTTTTAATATTCAATCTATTTCTATTGATAAATAATTTCTTTCGGTTAGCCCATCGAATAAAAAAAATATATTCAACATTTTAACTCAAAACAATTAATTTCATTGTGAAAATCTGCTAGAATGTCTCTAGATTTTCTCGTAGACAACTATGTATAAATTGAAGGCACTCATTTTTACTTTTTGTTTATTTTACTTTTTCTTATTTTCCATTTCATTTTGTCAATTTGATTCGCTGGTTATCTGTGGGGGAAAATTTGCAGTGCCATGCTTCTATGGTCTCACGTGGATCAATTATGTAGTTATTTCGATTTCTACGATTTATTTCGAGAGGTTTTAAATAAATTTTGCCGGGTTTTCATAAAATTTTAAAAAATTCAATGAATCGATTACAATTAAAAAAAACAAGCATTAGGATCAGATTTACGGTAATTTTGGCAGATTTATGATGAGTTTGCGTTATCCGTAAAACTATTTAATTCCCCCTTGTCATTATCAAATTTGAATGACTGGGAAAAACGTGAAAACGGTCTGAAAATACCCAGAGTGCTCATTTCTTTAGAATAACAATACACTGATTTCCATAAATTGAAGATCTCGCTGACAATAATATATAAAAAACGAGCGCCCCTCCATAATATTGGATCATTTAAATTTTTCGAGGCGGTAATACAAATTTCGATTTATTCAGTGGAAATTTGGGTACCGTACTACGGCTAACCTGCGAATCAAACTCATGGTTATAAACGTAGAGCACTAGTTTTTTGTTGCGAATGCAAAAATAAACATTTGTATGTGATGACCCCCTTGTTGGCAAAGAGCTCCGTACCCCGTTTACATCAGTCACCGGATGCCGAAATAAACAAAAATTAATTTAAACCTGTACTCCAAAAGCGAAACATTCAAGAAAAACGTGCAGGACGAACGCAGTGACGAATAGAAGGCTGCGGCTGATTCGAGCTTCTCCTCCATTTATTTCAGCGCTCTGAAAATTGCCAATGTTTTATTTCCAATACATATAAATAGATTTCTCAGGGATATTTAGATGAATAACATACTTCTACAGATATACTCCTTTGTCGACGTTGAAGATTGATCCAACCGTCGCAAAACGATCTCGTTGGGGCATGACAACCGATAGATGCTCTTTTGAGCTAAACATTTCTCATCAATATAAATCTGAGAATCGATTGGAATACTTGACATGAGCGTGTGGAACATCGCAAATCAGCGTGGAGGTTTCTTCAAAAAGATAAACAACAAAAAATGAGATGAGCGCAATAAGTGTAACGAATGGATAGTCGGAATCGAATTCCATATTCGTTTTCGCTTCTTCCCAAGAATCTCTAAAAATAAATGGATTTGGGTTGTTGTCATGAGAGGAAAACACCGACTTACAGAGCATCTGGAAGCATATCCAGAAAACAAACTGATACGAAAACGCCTCCGGCAAAACACGAAAGAAGAGAAATGAGAAGTGACGAGCGACCGGTGAAGAAATGGCTGGTTGGATCGTTGATCAGTCGAAGAAGCTGACATATTAAATATACATATAATTCATGATTTTGTGTCATTTTACCTTTATTGGAAGTAGGCCAAATAGAACGGAGACGGCGGCCATTATTGCCAGTAAAATCGATTTTATTAATAAAACCGTCATGATTTTTTTTCTGAAGAATGCGAAAAATAGTGGTAATCAGGCTGTGCATTGAAGGGCCTATCAAATCATTTTTTTGAACAACCGTGCGTATCACCACTATTCGTTATCAGTTGAGGAAGCCTATGGAAACCAAAATCCAAAATGCCATTTCCTTTGGAATTTCGGCGAAACTTTTTATGGTTGCATTTTATTTTGCAATTTAATGACGTATTTTATTGTTTTTTTTCTTCTCAAAAAAAAAATAAACTAAAAATCAAATTTATATCAATATTTGAACAAACGAAAAACATTCATGCCATTTTTTATTTATAAGTTTTCGTATATTTTCAATTATCCTCTAGAATTGTCGCATATTTTTGAAAAAAAAAAACCAAATTGTTCTACATTGAGTGATTTTTCATAGTAATTCATTGTAAATAAAACAATGATTCGACTGAAAATCAAAATAATTTATTGACCCGAAGTGATAAGAATGAGTGAACAAAAACAGACGCAAAATTATGTTCCGACACTATCATCGCCATTAAAAAATGCGTAATATTTGAGGTATTGGTGGGATTGAAGATTTTCAGCTCTGATCTTTTCAGATTCGCCTTCCGAAACACATGCTTCGTCGCTCTAAAATCACCAATTATATTGAAAATTGAAGGTAGCGATATCGGAAAAAACCTCGCAAATTTTGCAAATTGAGTTTGAAAAATTGCGCAAAATTTTGATGAGTAAAAACTTTTCGAATTTTGAAAAATAAAAGAGCCGCGCAATTTTTGAACTTGTCTGGTTTTCAGCGCAAAACATGTGAGGTTTTGACGAGAATTGCCATTTCGAAATACTTGAAACGCTAATCGAGGGAACAAATCATCGCGACACTTTTTCGGATTTCCTTCCATTTTCACTACTGTCTGATCCATTATTTCTGTGCGCCTAATACGGTAAAAAAATGAAATAGTCGAATTAAAATTTAAAAAAAATCCAAAACCTATACGACGGTACACAAACATAGTCATATGCATCCAGCTTTCTCCATTCTTTTCCTTCAATGCATTCATTTTGTCCAAAACTCTTCCTAAACATTCTAGAAATTAAAAAAAAAATCGATTCTCAAATTACCGCAGATAGAAAAATGCGTCTCGTTTATATTGGCGATCAATGGTTTCTTGGGTAATATCGTTTTGTCCACTGGGAATACAAACCTTCTGGAAATTCGGAGAACAATTCGAGATATTGTAAACTATGAGCGGGTACCTGAACACCACGAAGTTGAAGATCTTCTCGATCGGAGACATCAATCACTTGATCCGATCCATAACATCGTTCCTAATATTCAAATATCGAACTTCTCTTGAAACGAACAATAAACTGACCGGCCTAAAGTTGGTAGTTATTTTGATATCAGCACTGTTCGTCTTCAAATGCGTCCTTTCAACCTAAATCTACTATTTAAGCTTTTCGACACTTTTTTCAATCATCAAATACCTTCACTCGAATATATTGAAAATCTCCATATTCATCGAGTCTTAAAAACTTGACCCATTCTGAATTCACATTTTATATCTTCTTGTCTTCTTTATATTCCGATTACCTGTTCCTACAGTCAATTCGTCATATTCATTATGAACATGTGTGATGAGCGTCGAATAGAATGATGCGCCTTTCTTTTGAACTTTATGAATTACTACGGCTCCCTTGAATGTTCTATTTAAACCAAACAAATATCAAAATCTTATTGAACTTGTCGAATTGCAGCATCGTTTCCAATTGGTGTTCGGTATTCCACTGTATACACATTAGCTGGCTCATCTCGATCGTAGGGTATCATGACGAGAAGCCAACCGCTCGTTAATCTATGGGGAACCGAAAGTGCCGAAATACGAAGAGTATAACTCTGACGGTCATCTCTAAAAAAAAATTCGAAATTTATAGACTTGTCGAAATAATTATAAATCGACTGTACTTTCCGAAATACAGTACCCGATTACTTGGCAACCATCCAAGATAATCGAGATGCGGACCATTCAAACCGGGACCACTTAGACCGTAGGTTGACGGACGCATATGGGCATTTGCAGTTGACATCAAGTCATATTTATCGTCATACTCTCCATATGCCGAATAAGTGAAAATCTGAGGAAATAAATTCTCAAAATTCAATAAAATTTTTATTTTTTGGCAACCTTCTTTTTGCGATCGCTATAAGAGTGGCCAATATTCATGCTATGAATCATTTCATGAGCTAAAACCGAAGTGAATATTAATCGTGGTGTGAGTAAAACGCCTAAATAACAAATGACACGATATAGCGAATATTTCGAGAAATTCACCTGTCTTTTTGCCATAAACCGCCGTTTGTTCAGTATTGATCACGGTTATTTTTTGTCTATGCAACACGTATCCCATTTGCTCCGCATGAGAAATGCACAATTGTTTGGCTTTATCAAACAGCTGAAACTTCTCATAATTAGCAAAATACATCTAATGAATTGATTGCCAACCGCAAATGGTTTGTCTTTTTCCGCTTGAAGACGCGGGTCTCGAAGCGCCATTCGCAGCACTTCGTTGCGAGACCACGGCAACTCGAGCCAATCGGTGACATTCGACCCGCGAACTGTATAAATTCCATTCGAGACCGACGAAAAATAGCTCTCAAGAGTGTCTGGATTATTGCCGTGTGTGATCCATTCTTCAAACCAGCGAACTGTCCGCGGCTCGAATGAATTACCACGAAATTTACACAAAATAACGGACCACGGCTCATTTCCTCTTCTATTTGACAATATATTAATAATAGTACTTTTAATTTTTACCTTGGGATCGAATGAATATACAAAATTGAATAACATAATAGAAATAGTATAATTGAATGAATAGCAAAGCCTCTCATATCATGGTTTAACTACGACTCCTCCTGAAAAATTCAAGATAATTCTGTAGTATTTATAACAATAAATTGGTGAAGACGAGACAGTCAAACTGATTCGATTATTGGCTTCTTGCTGGCAAAAGCGGATTCGTTTCACACTTTCTCGCGAAATGAAAAAGTAAACGGCGAAAACTAGTCGATCGCAGAAGCTGGATGATTATTTACGAGACCAAATGTCATAACAAAGAGACGAATCGACCGAAGATGATTGTGGCGAAAAGGTGGCAAAAGCAGATCATCAGAAATCGCAAGCCGGTGCTTCTATCAACCACTGAACTGATAGCCATTCTCACGAAGCTTGTCAAATTCCGTTAGAAGAACGTAATGGGGGGGATCTGAGTTAGAAGGTTCGAAAGGTCGATGAGGGTTGAATGCGAGGGAAAACAATAATGAAGATATGAGAAGAGGAGAATGATGATTTTGTACGGAGATTACAAAGAACATCAAAGAACTTCTGTGGCATGTCGAATATGCGACAAATAACTAATTCTCGTTTATTTTTCGATAGAATTGAATTAGGAACATTTGCTGAATTCGCTTTCTTTTTTTGAATCAGAATTTCTTTTCTCAAATAAAAGCATAAAGCGAGTGTTTGAACGAAACCGCAATAAATAATATGAATGTTACAAAAGTGGAAGCGGTTTTTGGGATGAAACACGATTAGCGCGCTATCTTTTTGGCTTGCCCGTATCACTTTACCCAATTTGGATAGTGTGTGAAAAGTATAATATGGATACACAGAGATGAAGCTTGTTCCAGTCGAATGGCATCCCAACGAGTCGTCGCTTATACGAGGAATACCCTTCCTTCTTCTTTATCTCATCGCCGCCAATCGTTTTGTTTTTTCGTCGTTGATTGCCAAGGTAATCAAATGAGAATGAACACAGAAAATGTTCAGATAACGATATCGTATTAGGATTCGAATAGTGTTCAATTTCTCACCTTTCTTAAAGATATCAACCAAACTCGAAAATTTCCATAAGTAAATGACAGAAAAAAACTCAAAAAAAAAAACACAAATCTCATTTGAATTTATTTTGCTGTTTGTTTTATTGCAGAAAAGTTGAAAAATTGGTTGACTTGTCCAAATTCCCGTTGATCCCACAATCAGAGCCGCAGGGGCAGTTTCAATGAAACGTCGAGATTGGGAGTTTATTTAATCAGATATGTCATTTCCATATTTTTGATTAATAAATCAAAATTAAAATTCTCAAACGTGATTTCTATGAGGAGAATCATTTAATAATCAAATAAATCCGCCGGCATTACTAAACGATTCATTAGAGCATTATTTTTTGTCAAAGCAGTCGTTTCCAATTCCGGCCAATGTCTGATAGTTGGGATCGTGTGTAGCAGCCATTCCGGGTCCTCCTGGCTTCGGCGCACCAGCACCGCCGCCACCTCCACCACCCGCAGCCTTCTTATCAGCTCCGAAGCAGTCATTTCCAATTCCAGCAAGCGTCTGATAATTAGGATCGTGTGTAGCTAAACTAGATCTAACAGCGTTTCAAATGTTCGCAAATTGCTACCCGCCATTCCAGGACCGCCGGGCTTCGGCGCGTTTGGCGGTGCTCCTCCGCCAGCGCCGCCAGCGCCACCTGCCTTCTTGTCAGCTCCGAAAACATTCGCGTCAACCCCGGCCAACGTCTGATAGTTTGGATCGTGTGTACCAGCAATTGCATTCTGATTAGCAGGAGCTTTTGGTGCTGGAACTGCTGGATTCGACGGTGAAGCCTTGACTTCACCACCGCCGCCAGTACTTCCACCGGCTCCTTTTGCGGAATCCGACGATTCAAGCATCGCGCCTTTCTTTTTCTGCTAATTACATAGACATTGTGTGTGTTTTTTCGTTGCTCCCGATGCTCACTTTTCCGCATATAGCTGTTGAATAAGCAACTAGAGATATTGAAACAACGGTGGTTACGCCGAATTGGAGAGCCGACATCAATGCACTCTCTTCTGCCATTTTACCTTTCTGGGGTTGATACGTGTGTGTTCGTTGAAAATAATAATAAAAAATGATACCAAATGCAAAGGAACACGACCAAATGACGCGATACTAACAACGTTGTAAATAGGTAATGGAATAGCTGCATGATGCACGCAGAAATTTCGCGTGTTTCTTTTCTCTTCTTCCCGTTTCAAATTATTTCTGTTGGAATTTCAGAATTTTTTTCCGACCATTCCCTACCACTTTTAATTAATCCAATGCTCTACAATATTGCTAAAAATGACGAAGAGATGTCAAAATGTAGTGGTGTGGTCCTGCATTTCTGTACGCAGTACACCGCCGCTGTTTTGATGGAAAAAGATATTCTCTACCTAATGACAGTCGAAATAACTCAACTTTGTAACACAAATAGCGAAAACAACATCGTTTATCTCTTAAAAAGAGTAAAATGTTTTGAACATTTTTTTGAGTTTCCTCCATAGTGAGATTCTCAGTAGAGCGCAATTGCTACAGTAGCAAAAATTTTCGAATTCTTGATTTTTTAAAATTGGTTTTTAGATGTTGTTAGCTCGAATTGCTGAAAACTTTTATGAAATTTGCTTTTTTTTTTACAGAATGACAACTGCTGACACAGAACAAAAGCCGAAAGAAAAGAACCCGACTGAATCGACCTCAGAAGAAATAAAAGAACCTCAGTCGAAACGATCCAAAGGTTTGTTAGTGTTTAATTGATCTAAAAACTGAGGTTTTTTAGTTGATACTTCTAAACCAGAAGAGGCTATTCCAAAAAAGGTGCTAAAACATGAAGCTGAATATCTTCGATCTGTCCCTTCTTCTTCTCAATACGAAAAATCATTTATGCACAGAGACAATATTTCTCATGTTATCGCAACGAAGTAATTATTATTTTATGTTAACTCAATAATTTAGATGTTTGAATTTTTTGAATTTAGGACAGATTTTATTGTCACCGCGAGTGTTGATGGACATTTAAAGTTCTGGAAAAAGAAATATGCGGAAGGAATCGAATTTGTAAAACATTTTCGTTGCCACTTAAGCGAATTTTCGCACGTTTGTGCAAATGCCGATGGAACTCTACTGGTTACCGTGTGCGAGAAGGACAAATCTGTCAAAGTGTTCGATGTTGAAAACTTCGATATGATCAACATGATAAAGTTGGACTTTCCGCCAAGAACCGCGCAATGGGTTCATCAGGCAAACGATCCAGTTGCGCATTTAGCAATTGCTGCTGCTGATTCTGGCAAAATTGTTGTAGTTGATGGAAAAGGTTCGGCGAGTCCAATTCATGAACAGACACGACTACATTCTGCTCCTGTTAAAATTATTCAGGTATAATCCATATTGTCGGCTTTGCGCGTCTGAGGAAAATTAGCTAAATGCCAAAAAAAGACTTTCGTCTTGGCGCAAAACCAAAATTGTAGACGTACGGCATAAGCAGGCGCCCGCCGCCCAATTTTTTTGTCATTCAACCAATTTCCGCAGTCGCTATATTATTTTGTTTCATTTTTTAAAATTATAGTATTCACCATCTCTTGACATAATTGTTTCCATTGATGACACTGGAATGATGGAATGTTGGCACGGAGAAAAAGGAGGTTTTGAATTTCCAAAAGATGTTTTAACGTGGGAATACAAATTGGATACGGATCTCTACGAGTTTTTCAAAGTTTAATGGCATTTTATAATTTGGGATATAATTTAATGTTTTTTTTTCTAGGTTAAGACAGTGCCTGTTGCTGCTGAATTTAATCCAAAGGGGAGAAAATTGGCAACGTATGGTGAAGACAAAAAAATTCGCATTTTCGATATTATTACTGGAAAAATTGTGCACGTAATAGATGAAACGACGCAAAAGTATATCAATGAAGCTAAAGAAAACAAGTAACATTTGAAATTTTCGAAAAATTGCAACATCAATATTTATGCAGAAATTATGGGCTACAACATATGGAATGGAGCAGAAGAGTTGCTTTTGAGAAAGAAATTGATAAGGTATTTTATTATACAAAAAATGAACAGTTCTTAGAGTTCTTCTTCAGGATCGTAAAAATTCACTGCGGTTTTTACAAATATGTTGGGATTTTTCGGGCAATTTCCTTATATATCCAACAGTCATTGGGATCAAAGTCTACAACATTGTTACTGAAGAAGTTTCTCGAATCATTGGACGTGACGAAACTGTGCGATTTAGTTGTGTCTCGTTATGCCGGTATGTATATTATTTCATGCCAATAGAATAGCTCGTAGTGTTTCAGAGCAATTCCCGATGTGCGATCCAGACTTCAAGGCGCTGCAATCACAATGGAGACCGCTGCTGCTGATAATCCGACGCTTAATAAGAAAACGGATCCTGATCCTCTTTTAGTATTAAACATGTGAAATGTATTTATTTTTCCGAATTTTTGCAGGTATGCACGGCACTCAAAAAGAATCGCTTTTATCTGTTCACAAACACGGAGCCGTTTAGTGTGGAAGACGAAGAAGGAAATCCGTCATTATCAGGAAGAGATGTATTTAATGAAAGACCAAAGAAGGAAGATCTTCTCACTGCACTTGATGTAATTTTTATTTCATTTGATTTAGGTTATTGATTGTTTGTTATTATTATAGACCGAAGCAAGCGAAAAAGCATTGAATCGTGAAGCGATTATTCATACAACAATGGGCGATATCGCAATCAGATTATTCCCTGATGAATGCCCAAAAACGGTACGAGAAATTAGCAATAAGTATATATTTATTGCAATCGCAAAAAGAAAACGAGTACTCTGTGTAGAATTACAGTGAGTTTGATTCGCAGATTATAAATTGCCATTGTTTAAATTCAAATTGGAATTTCCGCTCGAAAAAATGCGATGGTGCACATCTATTTAGGGCGCTAAATTTTTGCGATGGTAATAAACATATATAGCCGTGTAGAGACGACTTTGAAAAATTTGAATTAGGCGGGCAGATCACATATTCAATTTTAGGTGGAAAACTTCTGCACTCATGCGAGACGTGGATATTATAATAATTTATCGTTCCACAGAGTGATAAAATCTTTCATGATTCAGGTATTCAGTTGTTTTTGAACCCTTTAATAATGTTTGATTTGACAGACTGGTGACCCAACTGGAAAAGGAACCGGCGGTGAATCAATTTGGGGAGAAGATTTTGAGGACGAATTCCACCCACGATTAAGGCATGACAAACCATTTAAAGTTTCGATGGCTAATGCTGGTGGCGGAAATACAAATGGCTCTCAGTTCTTCATCACTGTTTGCCCAGCAGACTGGCTTGACGGGAAGAACACCTTATTCGGAGAGGTTGAATGCCTTCACACAATCTCAATTTTATAATTTTGCGGGTTTACAGGTGACGTCTGGAATGAGTGTCGTTCAAAAAATCAATAATGTTCAAACATATGAGCGAAGCGGAAGGCCTCGAGTAGCAGTGAATGTGGTTTCGATTAGTTTGAAGTGAATTGTCCCATTTATTTTTATTTATTATTCGAAATACTGTTATTTTTTACTTAATTAAATTTTATTTACAAACATGTTTTGAGCAAACTAAATAATTAGAGAGTTACATGATATGGTGCATTTGGATTGTTGTGTCGATTGGGGGTTGCATACGCCAAAAGAACTCTTCAAGTAATATTTTTAAACCCGAATATTTATATAAGAAAACCTTCCTTGTCGTTCCATTTTGCACACATAATCTGAATAGAAATGAATTTTTGAAGCAAAATCGCCAACTCCCGCGATTGTCTCGAAATCAGTACCAAAAGCGTCTTGACATTTTTGCTGAAAATTTTAATTTTTAATCGTTCTCAATTTAAAGAAAAACCTGTAAAAGGTTAGCCATTTGTTGAATATTGCACGACTTCCATTTATTTCGAATCATTTCCTCGACTGTATCTTTCATCACATTTTCTAGATTCTTGTTGCAGCACATGTATCCTAAGATTATACGCAATTTTCAAAACCCTTCCATTGCGTCGTACCAGTTTCTTCCGTATAGCATTGTTTCAATGGATATCTCAATTTGGGTTCGGGATGTTGCGCATAACTTTCAGGCATTTTAGAATATGATGGCTTAAAATAAGCCCCTTCAATATACGATTTGCGTTCTCTTCGTCCTTCAAACAAATCTTTTCGTGATAACTGAATTGAAAGAAAATGGCATATTTAGCAGTGTGCTTTGAATTACAATCCGGTCAAAATCGTCATCCAATGGTCCTGGGCCGAATTTCGAGCTTCTCGCAGCGAATGAGATGTTTCGTTGTGGAATCATGAACGGCTGTCGAATATAAACCAGTTTTCCGAATACGTAAACTCGAGAAAGTGGAGTGTTAATCGGGGCTGCACTATAGACCTCCTGAATAGATTGCGATTGGTTTGAAAAAACGTCTTTAAGACCTGGTTACAGAACATCGCAATGAGTTTGAAATTAATGGTATTATGCAGATTTCTCAAAAAAAAAACCTCGGCCTAATTTTTTTCAGTTTTTCTTTTAAATTATATCGCTAAAAGAATCGTGAAAATTTTGAATAAACGCCTTTAATCATAATAGACTAAAGTAGCAACCGAAATAAAAAAAGCTCTCTTTTTAGAGTTTTTTTTTCGTTGCGAAGCCTGCATAGTATAAATAAAAAGTATTAAAGAGTGGTAACTCAAAACCAATCGGATTCGAAAAAAATCGTCTCCGGAATCAACCTTATCTGATTGATAATTATTCGAATAAGATTGTAAAATTTAGTTGTGGTTGGAACCGATTGGCTATTATTCGAATCCGTTTTTTTTTTTTATTTTTCAATTCGAATCAGCCGAATTACCAATGGAATCCGACAATTTTACAATCTTATTCGTAGTATTACTATAAGGTCGATTCCGGAGCCTATTATTTTTCGGTTGAAAGAGGATTTGGAAAAAAAAATATTGGCGAGGTACAAATAAACCTATTTATCACGTTTCTTTTAAAAACCCTAAATAATTACATTGAATGTGTGTTTTTTTCACAACTCAGCTTTGGAAAAAAAGTATTTTTTCATTTTTATTTCATGAATAATTTTATTACATTTTTGCTAATACTTAAACTAAGAATGAATAGTTACCTTGCTATTATCAATATTTTCATTTTTCTGCAGTGCTGCACATCGAATCGAATAGACTATAAGCAAACAGGAAATCGTTCTCATTTTAACCTGAAAGAAAATAAAAGAAAAAGTTGGAATATGAGCGCCTCGAGGGCGACGGCTTCAGCTAGCCGTAATCCGCGTGTGCGTCGCAACAAAGTGTTGAGGATTAGCGATACGGTAATGTCACTTAAATACATTCAACTACTAGTGACCAGTTGAAGAGAATCAGACGGCGACTATCAAGTTTCGCGGAATGAATTCAATTGCTATGCAAAAATTGCGATGACAAAATGAGATTGCGCCGCCAAATGTGAAAAGGGGTGCAAAAAGTTGGATGGCGATGGCATAAGTGAGAAACGGAACGCCTACAATTAATGAATTGTATTGTTTTAACAAGCCGATCTTGTTTCCTCTTTTGTCGACGAAACCAATTGCCAAAAGGTTACACTCCAAATTAAAAAAAAAAACAGGAAAAACATTCAAACAATTAATTATATATTCAACGACAATTGAATTCTGAAAATCAACTTCCACATCTCAGCACATCGTCAGAACCTTCTTCATCTTCTTCACGAGACCCTAGTTTTTAAATCTCGTCGAACGATAAATTTGCAACATTAATAAGTATTCCGGTTCGGCATCGCTCATATTTTAGTGGTGTGAAACATTTTTTTAATTTATTCCATAAAAAATTCTCGGCTGTAATAACAAAGATTAAAACAAAGATTTGAAATTGTACACTTTATTGACCGTATTAGAATGGATAAAATACAATGAAAAGAGACCGGCAAAAATGATCACAATTCGAAGAAAATGCGAATCACAGAACTAATTTCAGAGAGGGAGAACGAGACAAAAGAATGCGATCATCGCTCTTGCTGCAACGCTGCCAAGTACTTTGAAAACCAAGGAAGAGAGAAACACTGTCGAGCAGTGGTGCGGAGCTCCGGCGAAAACGTCATTATGTTGTCGACAGTGACCTGAGCATCATGCTCGATTCGAACAGACGTAGGCCAACGGTATTGGCGATTTCTTAAAAAAAATAATGTGCTGAAACTAGCTAAAGTAGCAATGTGCCAACTTTTGTTTTTCAATTATAACGTCATTAGTGGTGTCTTCGGCGAACGGCATTCGATTTGTGAGCATAACGAATAAAACAATTCCAAATGACCTTCGAATATGGCATTGTAAGAAATGTGATCGAATGACAAATTACCACATATCCGCCTTATATGGACAATAGGCGATTCCAGACAAAACCTCGGGAGCAGAATATGATTTCGAGCCGCAAAATGTTGTTGACGTCGGCTCATTGGCCATCTGAAACTCGACGATGTCTAGAAATTCAAACAAAATAATTGAAAACCATTCTGGAAAACCCGAAATCGGCGAGTTTTACCGTGTGCGGACTGAATATAATCACATTCTCGAGTTTGACATCCCGATGCCCGATTTTTCTCTTCAAATCATGTTGTTAAGATCCAATGCAGAGAATGCAGGGAAATAAAAAAAAATAAAATTGAAAAAAAAATCATTTTTCTGTTTTGTTTTCTCTGTATTGACAATTTTATTAGAAATTATTACCTCATGCAAATAATTGAGCGCAAATAAGAGCTGTGTTCCCCAACAAACTGCTGTTGAATTTGGTGTTGGGCCATGATTTTGCACATACGAAAGCTGAACTTTTAGTGTAATATTTGCAAGTTTCGATTATTGTTACAAGATTTCCCATACTTCCGAACTCGCTGACAAGCATCACTCGATTGTCGTATTCATACAATCCATACAGTTCAACGATGTTATAATGCTTGACACTTTGCCATATGGCGATCTGAAATGAGACTTCTGAAAACGTTTCTCAAAGAATTTCATGCTTTGTATTCTTATGGGCGCATTAATTTAAGTAAATATTTTTGAAACAAACGAAAATCCTTTTTTTTTTAAATTGATCTGTTACATCTATAGATTCGGACCAGTCAATGAGGGGACCAACATTAATTCTATGCTTCCTATGGAATAGGTCATATATATTCTCTAAATGTCATATTCTAATATGATTTTATGCGGAGATAGTGGAAAGGGGGGGGTCTGTTTGAGTTATGATTAGGAACCATGAAGACCAGTGTGTGTTTTCGCGATATCCCCGGCAATCCTCGATTTATGTTTCCAGGCGGTCTCGAAAATTTCGAGTTTTTATATTACTCCCACACCAATCGCAACCCTTCTTATGACAAACCTCTCGTGGCAAAAATTTCTTCAAAAAATCGCCGGGAACCTTATTCTTATCAATTATTTTGATTGCGACCTGAAACAATTGATGAAAGTAACATTTTAACTTTAATATACCAATCTATTGGTTCTCATTATATTCGCAGTGATCACTTTGCTGTAACGACCAGAGCCGATTTTCGTGCCCACCGTTATATCGATTCCTTTTTGAAGAAATAAGCGAGAGATTATTGTTTTCTTTTAAAAAAAAGTTGTTATGATAATCAAAAAATGCCAACTTACAAATGAATGTTTTCGTGGTTCTTCGTTATTCCGATCAACGTTAAACGGAGGTGATTGATATGATTGGCCATGGTTTGCCGTAGCAATCGACGATGGCGACGAGCTCTACAATATTCGCAGGCAATTTCGATAATATCACATTCTATTTATTTTTTGTGTCATTATTTCCCAATTATGTAATTCTAATCTAATTTCTAGTAAATATTTAAATGGCGTTTGCGTGACCTAATTGGCATAAATTCATAAAACGAAATCATTTTTTAAAATGAATTTATTCTCGAAATACAAAAATTGTAAAATATTGCATTTAATGTGTATTTTTTTTCTTATATGCCTGTATTACAAAATGTGTAATTTTTTATAATTTTTTATTGCCTGAATAGATTCAATATACATATTATTCTTTGTTTTCCAATGTCAAACTTTGGATCAATTGATTAGGACATATTGGTACATATAGTGTAAAGATATTCTCTCTTCCATATTAATTTTTTACATTTTCCTATTTTCTAGTATTCTGCAAAATCTGCCTACCTGAGCATCTCCTTTCGCGTGTGTTTGATCGCACAAATTTTCGCGTCGAGAACCACTTCTACTGTACGGATGAGCATTTGACATGTAAGCATACGTGTTTGAATGCCTCCGATTTTCGTCGTGAGACCCGAAAGGACGAACATTCCTTAAAATGCGTGCGGGCGCTGAAAGTCAATTGATGGAAACCGGTGGTGAATCAGCGGACGGCATAAATCGGTGCGATTGTGAGACGGCGGCGAAAATTGAAAACTGTCAAACCTTTGGATGATGAGCTATTAATATCCGCATTGTCACCGCCACTGATATACATATCGAAAATTTTATTCCGAAACTAATGAACTTGAGCTCTCAAAGAATTCACTTGTTGCACTTCTCAACTTCGAACTGTTCGCTGAATTCTGATCGAGCTGCCGATGCTCAAACTCGCTATCAGCTATGTACACGTCTTCCACGTTTTTTAGATTTTATCATTCAAAACGAAGCTAATTTTCCAATTAGCGTGACATTCCTATTATTAAAACTTCAGTAAAATAATTCATTTTTTCGTAATGTTTATAAATCATAGAAATGAGTATGTTGAAAAATAAAACGCTGATAAAGCGCGGCAAAAGAACTATGCTCTCTATATGGAAGCAGTACCAGATTCTCAGTGGCTGTGATGGAATACGGATGGGGCCAATGTGCGACGAAAATGCTTTGATGTAAAATCGATGGAAGACTCATGAGAATAAGGTGTTTAGATTATTCTACATATTCTGCTGTTTATCTGTGAAAACAAAATCGCCCAGTCTGTCAGATGTTTTTAAAAATTTCCTATTTTTGAAACTACAAATGTTAAAATATAGTTTTTTTTAATCATCTTGTCATTATTTAATAATGAGTATATGAATTTATTCACTATTTTAGCATTCACTTACAGATAAATTATTTTTTTTTATTGAGTCATTTGGAAACGTTGTGAAAAAATTCTGAGTTTTTGATATTTCCCTATGTGACTAAATTTATTTTATTTAAATACTTTCGGTTTTCTACTCCATTGTGAATTACGAATTGTAATGCTATGAGTACTTATTTACTGCGGTATTACGGTATGCATGTTGGTGCGCATTGACCGCAATCGCATGTGCAGAATGGCGTAAGGTGTAATGTAGAGCGTTTTCAAAAAATATTTTGTGCGCGTTTTTCGAAAGTGTCGTATTTTATCGATTTACATTTTTTTAACGATTTTCCTCTGCTAATTCATTTGAACGATATGTTAAATCATGAGAGATATTATGCAATTCTTCATATTGATTCCAATGAATATTTATAATCAATTTGATTTTAGTTTTAAAAAATTGTTTATGAAATTTTGGATGTAAATTCTAAAATATTCGTTGTGTTCGAGAATTAACTCAATCTGTGACTATTTGGTTTTTATTTACTTGTGATCATCTTATTATATTTATAATTTTTCGAATATATTTATTGCTTTTTAGTAGAGATGTCTTCTTCCATTCAACCAGTTAATCCAAAGCCTTTTCTCAACAGCCTCACCGGCAAGTTTGTTGTCTGCAAACTAAAATGGGGAATGGAATACAGAGGTTTTTAGAAATTATCAGCTTAACATGATCTTCAAAATCTGGTTTAGGTGTTCTTGTTTCCGTTGACTCGTACATGAATCTTCAACTCGCACAAGCTGACGAGTACATTGATGGAAATAACACCGGAAACCTTGGGGAAATTCTTATTCGGTATATCCTTTCATAAAATTCATTTTACTTGTACTTTTGCATTTTACTTTTGCAATTCAGATGCAATAACGTGTTGTACATTGGGGGAATCGAGGAAAAGAACGAATCTAGTGCATGATCTCAGTTTTAAGGCGCATATCCGGTTGTGCGCAATCTGGCACTTTTCTTTCCATCTCAATTGATAATTTATTGTTGTATTCATTTATGACATGTTTTCGTATCATTGTTGAATCTTGCGGATTTATATTCCTTCATCAAATAAAATTTGCCGAATATTTATAAAACGACAAATGTTCTTGTAGTTAACATCACTAATTATATTTGGAAGGGGTTGATTTATCTGCATTTTTAAATTAATACACAATGTATTATCGTCGTCAAATGACCTAACGGTGGCGGGAAATTCAACCGCAAAATTAGTGTTGATCTACGAAATTGTGAATTTACGCTCGGCCTAAAAATTATCTGCGCGAATGTTAAAATGCAGAGTACAGAGACATGCGCATGTTTCTTTGCCTCGAGACAACTGGCAAATAACCAACATTTTTTAAGTCTTCGGTCTAGCGTTTGATGCCGACGATAGATTTTATTAATCGTGCCGAAACATTTGCATTTCATTGATAATACAAAAGAAGGCAGAATATTTCCGATTTATATTTTAAAACATTGAGAATATCTCTTTCAGAAACATGTACAGAACAACTCCATTCACGCGTCGAAATATGTATTCGAATGGAACTTTATGGATTGTATACTGAATATTTTTTTTCAAATGATAAATAATGTTTATAGGATAAAGATTCGTATCGGATAAAAGACGATATTATAAGATTGCTGAGAGAAAAAGAGAAAGAAATTGAAAGTGAGAGGTTGAAAAGTATTTGTACCTTTCAAAAAAAATATTTAAAAAAATTTAGGTTTGATCTCAAGAGTAGACATTTTGATAACGTGTTTGAAATGAACGAAGGAACTATTCCTTTTAAAATGGACATGAGAAGTCTTTTTCCACAATTGGCGGCCGATAAGATTCTTCCGGAGTTCGAGGCTGCTTGTGAAATGCGTGGATCAAGGTTTTTTGAAGAGAAGAAAATCAGCATTGCAAAGTGTGAATCCGAAGCGAATGATTATCAAGCTGCTCCTGAACCAGTTCGAATTCCTGGATCACGAACACAAAGACATATCAAGCCAATCCCATATGCAGAAAATCCTGTTATCGAGCGCCAGGTAGCTCCATACAATAACGCGGCTGGAATGACTTCGAACCAAGTGGATCATTCTCTTCGTCGTGCTTATATGAAACATTCGATATCAAGGAACCAGTGGTCCGTGCGTAATCAGTTTTAGCATGTACAATGCTTAAAAAATAATACTTGTAAATTTTGGCATTATCGTCGTATTTTTGATTGAAACGGGAAACTGACTGCAAATGAAATTGATTTTTAAGAAAACGAGTAAAACCAGTATCCTTCACATATTTTATTTTTTCTCTTGAAAACTTCATAAATTGTTTGTAAGTTCCCTGTTTTGCATTTTCTTTAAACAGTCGCAATTATCTGTTTAATACATTCACGAACAGACAAAGGTTCCATTTTTGATACAATTCATTTCAGTAACCCGATGATGGAACGCGTGGCGAACGAAGTTGCAAGAGCGGTAAATAACTTGAGAAGATAACGGAATAATCAAATTTTTAAGCTAGCCAATTCGAATTTTGATTTTTCACATACTACCAATCTACGTGTGGATTTTCAAGGATTTAACCAGATGCCGAGAGCAGGAGTTAACAGAAATAATTTTTTTGCGCCAGCTCATGTAGGTTTTTAAATCTTTTTATTGACAGCATTTCTCCTCATCTAACCTCTTCTTGAAAAACACTTTCAGTTATATTTATTTTTTTATCATATCGCGAAGAGAAATTACTACAATTAGAAATTACAGACCACTTCACGACGGAGGTCCGAAGTTTCCAAATACAGACATTTAAATAATACCCAGCTAGAAGTTCATGGGTTAAATAAGAAGAAGCTCAGCCGAATATCAAATAATTATCAGGATTATAAATACTTGGTAAATATTTATAGAAATTTCGCAATTATGTTAGTTTTGTATTAGGATATCATCAAACAAGTTCGTGAAATGAAAAACGCAATGTTGTACGATGGTGAAGATGATTCTTCTATGTAATGTTTCATCTGTTATATTTCCTTTAGTTAATTTCTTTGTAGACAAAGTTTGTTTATCTGTAATTGAATGTTAGATAAGGAATTCTGAAAATCCAAAGAAATTAAAAAAAGTATTTCAGATCTGTAATTGAAGGAAATTGGAAGAATTTAGCTTCGAACTCTACAGTTAAATTTTTCGATTCTGACGAGGGTTGGAAAATAATATCAGCAAACGTGAATGAACGTGAAATTGAAGTACGCGAATGCATCAAAGATGTATTGTCGTTTGTTGATGCACTCGAATCTTGTGCTGAAAGGAGTCGTCTTGACAAACTGATCCGCCAAAAAATCATTGAATTATACCAAACAACTGATCCCTCTAATTTTTCAACAGGTTTGATTTCGCATTATTTTTTTAAACATTACTGCATTGAAAAAATCGTAATTTTTACATTTTTTAAAAATTAAAGTGTTCAGAAGATGAACTTTCTAATTTAATTCTATTTTCAATATTCTTCGTTTTTCAGGCTCATTTTCCATAATAGAGAATATCTCTTATTCTGAAGTTCCTGAGTTAATGGTCCGACCTATTACTAACAATCAACCACATTTGCTGCGACCCGCTGTCATCGGTAACACATTCGAATCGTTTTATTTCTCGTTTTATTTTTTTAAAAATAATTTATAGATGGCATTGCGATTCAATCGACTGCTCAATTAACATCAGCGACAAACTTTCGAAAATACATGACTACTGCTGATGTACCATTTGTCAGCAAATTGGCATGATTATTGAGCTGAATGCAATATCGAAATGTAAAATTTTCAGAATCTCAATATGAAACCAATTTTTGAAGTTATTATGAACTTCCTATTTCGTGGTCATAAAGTTTACGTGTATTATCCGAAATATTACGAAAAATACATCACCGAAGGGAAAATTTCGAAGGTAAATGATAAACTGCAATATCGAATTTTTTTTGAAAATTTTGTTCAGGTTGACGATCCATATGTGTTTAAGACATTTATTGACGCTGGACTTGTTAAGTTTTGTGAAATTGAAAGAGACAGTGGGAAATGCTGGTTCAATCACATGAAGGGCGTTGCTGACGACGTAAACACTTTCAGAACACTTTTTTTACTTTGTATGATTTAGATTGGAGCCGTATTTGTATCTTCTCTACATTATGAAAAAGTCGAAATCAGAAAAGCGTATAAATTCGAAAAAGCATCAGAAAGAATTGTGGCTCCGACGTTCCAAAAAAGTTTATTCGCGAAAAATTCATACACAATGGTGAAACATTTCCAATTTATAAATGTTAATCATGTTTTATTGAAGATTTTGGAACCGTCAATCCGATTCAAAGTTACGCAAAACAGATTTGTTACAATTCCTGCAGAAAAGGTGATTTTTTATTTCCAAGAATTTTAGAACAAGAATACGTTCAGGTATTACGATATTCTCCTGGCGAGATCGAATTGCGACAACAACTAAAACATCAACTTTATCTAGAAGAGCAAGTGAAACAGGTATTATTTCTGGTTTAATCAAACAATTAAATTTTTTTATTTCAGATTTGCATGATTTCTCAGCTCTATCCGTTATCGGTTATGCAAAAGATATGTGTGAAAGAGATACTTGGACTGTTAAAACTGTCAAATTCGTCTGTCGAAACGCCTAAAATGGACTCCGAGACTTATAAAAGTTTATTGAGTCACTAAAAAACTTCTTCGTTAAAAATCCAAAAAAAAAAACGGCGTGCACTTCATCGGGTTACAATGATTTTCAGATCTAAATACTAATTTAATAACATTTTTTCATTTTTGAAATGTTGTTTTCTTGTTTTATGTGAATAAACAAGTTTGTAAAATAACTATTCTGTATGTAGTATTTATTTTTGTATTTCGTTATTTCCGATTTTTATATATTTGATACATTTTATTTTCTGTTATTCGAATAAATTCCAGGTTTCCGTATGACTGAAATAGATAGTCCGTCTAGTTGTACATATTGCTACCGACTCGAATGCACTGTTCAGATTGTTCCAACATCGAATACCTATAACAAAGCAACGATAAATTCAAAGAATGCCACTGTTACAGTAGGAAGAACCAGCCAACGGTCAGGAGTTCGATGATTATTGATCTAACTTGTTGTTTTCGTCGTATCATATTACCAGATTCAAACAACTGATTCGAATTTAAAAAAATATATATATAATGTCTTAAGGCGATGAGACTCACATCAAGATTACAGTAGAAGTTTCTCTTAAAAAATAATCTAAAATGACATTCCTTAGCGATCACATATAAACAAAGTTGACGGCGTACCGTGCCCACGTTCAGTCGTGTTGGTATGACGATGTGATTGTTTTTAATAATCTATCATATTCGTGATAGTTCAAGGTATATTTGATAGAATTTAATAATGGAATAATTCAGGGATATCACTCTTCAAGTTGAATTAAGCGGAGCTCGGAATGGTCAACCTGCAGTTTCAAATTATGCACTTTCTGATGCGATTATTCATCAACAGAATATTGCAAAGGGGAAAGGAAGTATCGAAATCCCATCTAGGTTTTTTAAATTTGCTCTTCCTGAATTCATATATGCTGATTCAGAAAGATGATTGTACAGTTATCAAACTGTGCGCCACGCAAATTAAACGTATTTTTGAAATCTCTTCAAGCGAAACTCGATATTATGAAAGCTGAATGTAGCACTTCGATCATGGTAGTTGAAAAGTAATCGAATCTTCTTGGGTTTAAATTATTGCGGAAGGAAATGTTTCAGGAATACTGTCTTAAAAGGGTTGTCGAGTGTTTTCAATGCTCTAAGTCCGTTGAGCGTTGGAGAAATTCGAAAGATTCGCAAGTACCAAACATTCAAAATAAAATTCTAGAGAAAACTGTCGCTTACAGAATAAGAGGAATTGCGACGGGTGAATCACCACTGGCGAAGACGGCTGGATCGTCGACAACACCACATCGTGAGAAAGCAAAAAACCATTCATTAAACAAAACGTAACATAAAAAACACATGGTAAATAATAAAAAAGGTTTTCTTTAAAGAAACAGTGCGACAACTCCTATATCATCTGCAAGGGAACGAAGGATAATGTCGAGTTCCATTGGATTAAAACGAATGCGAACATTTGCCGGATTTGAGGATGACAAGGATCAGCCGGTTTGATTTTTTAGATCGTCAAAACATTGGTAAATTTTTTAAAAGATTTCTTTTCAACCATTGAAGCCGATTGCGGAAGAAGGAGAAACCCGAGGGCAACGAATCGAACTAACCGAAGAGCAGAAAAACGTAGTGCGTTGCGTAGTCAAAAATAAGCAAAATGTATTCTTTACCGGATCTGCGGGAACAGGAAAATCTGTGGTTTTGAAAAGGATAATTGAAATGCTGCCAGCATCGACGACTTATATAACAGCAGCAACAGGTTTAGGCTGGAGTTTGTTCACATGAAATTCATCGAAATGTATTTTTTAGGTGTAGCCGCATGTCAAATCGGCGGAGTAACACTTCACTCTTTCGCTGGAATCGGAATCGGAAAAGGAAGCGCCGAACAATGTTATAATATGGCGATCTCTCAAAAACATGTTGTAAAGCAATGGAAACAATGTTGCCACTTAATAATTGATGAAATATCGATGATTGATAAGGACTATTTTACAAAAATTGAATATGTTGGTTTTAACTCAAATGTTAATTTCGAATTAAACTCGCTTTTATAGGTGGCTCGGCATATTCGGAATAGTGATGAACCGTTTGGTGGGATACAACTTATTATAACGGGAGACTTTTTCCAGCTTCCGCCGGTTTCCAAAGATGAGCCGCAGTTTTGCTTTGAGGTTTTTGAGCCGACTTCCGCCGACATTCATTTTTTGTTTCTTTTTTTTGAAGAGTGAAACATGGAATAGATCAATGATGAAAACGATTGTTCTAAATGAAGTCAAACGACAAGACGATTTAGTTTTCGTAAATATTTTGAATAAAATTCGCAAAGGAATGTAAGTTTTTTAGCCTTTCATTTTTTTTGATTTCATAATAAATTTGGTTTCAGATGTGACAGTAAAACTGCTGAAAAGTTGTCGGAAACTTCGAAATCGGATTTTGGTAGTATTGTTCCTACGAGACTTTGTTCTCACACAGCAGATGCTAATCAAATAAATGTACATTGTTTGGAAAAAAATCGAAGAAGAAGAAAAACGGTTTCTTGCTCATGACGACGGGTACATTCCAGATGCCATTCAAGCGATGGTGCCGAAAACGATTTCACTCAAAAAGGGATGCCAGGTAGTTATTTTTTAAAACGACTTGTTCAACAAAAAATCTATTTAAGGTTATGCTGCTAAAAAATATTGATCTCAGCCGGGGACTATCGAATGGATCTCGTGGTTGTGTTACTGGATTTTCCTTAAACGGCAATCCAATGGTCCACTTTGTTTCGATTAACCGTGTAATTGAGGTAATTAACTTTTTAAATTTGCAATTTATATTTGAACAACGTTGGCAAACTAACAGATTCGCCGATGTCCATTTTCGGTTCGTCTTCCAGGTTCAGACACTTCTGTTATAAGAACTCAAATTCCTTTACAATTGGCTTGGGCAATTTCGATTCATAAATCGCAAGGTCTTACTTTAGATTGTGTCGAAATGAATCTGTCCAGGTAATTCACAACTTTAACGACTTTAATTTTTTGTTTGTTTTCAGAGTATTCGCTGACGGACAGGCATATGTTGCGCTGTCAAGGGCGAGATCACTTAATTCTATAAAAGTTCTCGGCTTTGACGCTTCTTGTGTTCGAGCAAATCAGAAAGTTTTAAGATTCTACTCAGATCTTGACGAAAATTGTGAAAATTATGAGAATGATTTTACAATTGCCAAGAAAAGAAGCCGAATGAGCTTGTAAATATTTCATCGTTTTCTTTTTTAAACTTATGCTGTAATTTTTATTTTATAAATTTTATAATTTATTCAAATTCTTATTTCCAAAAATATGTCAAATGTCATTTAATACCAATAAATGAATAAAAATAAGACGATTCATTTTAATTTGCTGTTCAGATAATGAGCATAAAAAAGGGAGAATCCGAATATATCTGCATCAATTGCCAAAGTCCTTCTGAATCGCTTTTTATTGAATATTCTTCAGAAGTTATTCGACTCACTGAATGTGTAAGATTTTCGATGATTAGAAAAAATCGAAAATGTTTGATTGTTTTTGACCATATTTATATATATTGGTTGAAATGAATATTTTATTTTCAGGAAAAATGTGGAAAAGTCGTCGATAAATACATTGAATGTGACATGGTCTTGCTATCGGTCGACCTCATTTTACAATATATTGAAGCATATCGACATTTTCTCTGTAATTTACAAATTCAGGTAATAATAGTTATTTCATTTTACGCCAGCTTTTCTTTCCACTGTTTCTTAAACATTATTCTCTTGCAGAAGTCTTATCGACTCTTCGTCATTTTTCTTCTTAGTCATGCTTACGAGACGTGGGTCTATGAGCGATCAAAACAGAACATGGAAAAGATTTACGATCTCGAGCTGATGTAATTGTTCAACTAGAGTTTATATGTTATATATTGATTTCGCTTAGTTTTTAGATTTTACAAGAGCGTGTTATCTTCGGTTTGTGAGCTCTCCGTCTTCGTTGCATCGATTATCGCTTTTGACATTGTCAAACGGCGGGGCTTCCCATCTACTGAAAGAATAAAATCGCTCGGCTTCGCAACATTATTCGGATTTTATGGTTTGTTGCACTACTGTCCTTGATTAATGATGTTTGATTTTTCAGGATGCGTGGCTGTCGTTCTCTCCATTATTTTTCGATTATCTGATCAGCCTGCCTATCAAATCGTAGTTCGCCTGTTTATTTTGATTTCCCATCTTCAAGTACAACGAGGTATCCAACAAAAATGATTATCTTTATATTTTTTTTTCATTTCAGTGATGTTTCCAAACGTCAGTATTGTGGAGAACACCATAGTTATCATTATATCAAAACTGTTTTCAGTGACTGCTGGTTACAGGGTGCTATAGAGTTTTAAGCTGGATCCTAAGAATATCTCATAATATGTAAATTATTCTGCTATTTTGATCTGTTCGGCATCTATTTTTCATTTTTTCGTTGAATAAATAATTTTTTACGGGAAAATTTCACCGTGAAAAAGAAAAAAAGAAAAAAAAACAAAACAAAATCGATTTCTGACTTTTGAGGTACGTTGGGATAAGGTACGAGCCTATCCCCGACACGCTTGCGGTCACCTTAGAAGTTTTCGTAAATAAAAATATGTTTTTTTTTAAATTTAACATCACAGAAGACGTTGGTTCACTCCAGAATGTAGTCAAGGGATTTTCTCAAGGGTTTGGAATATTTTCTAATTTTGCACACGAAATTTCCTAGGAAATTTCCATTTTCGGCAAAAGTTTTAAGAAGTCCAAAATTGGTGGTCCCAAGTTTCAAATGTAAATAAATATTTTTTCGATGATCAATGGATTTTTCGCTCACTACAACTTTTAGCGCCGTCGGCTTGGCGTCAAAGGACGTTTTTTTTTACTTTTGCAGAAAACTGTATAACACAGTTGTGGCAAAAAAACTTTCAGAATCATCATTTTCAGAAATCATTCCGCTGGAAAATAACCTGTAAAAATTTTGTATAAAAAAACATATATCCGCGTGCCAATTGTAACTACAAGGTTTTACAGCGTTCGATTCTCTCATTTATTTTAAAATCTTGAGTTGGTCTCGCAGGTTGTCCAGAGTACGGTAGCCGAATTCCCAATGTTTAAATTTGAATTTGAATTACCGCCTCGAAATTGTGCGATGGTCCACAATTATGCAAAGCGGTAGTTTTTTGCAATGGTAGTAATAATTAGAAGGAAAAGCTGGCTTCGAGCTAAAATATTGTATCTGAGGGCGAGAGCTTGAACTTGTCGGTCAGATCTTGACGCTTTCTCAGCCGAGCCGCAAGCTTCTCTCGACGCGGCATTTTTGCAAATGAACATATTTCGTATAATACACAACCGGTGGAAATTGGATGAATGCCAAAAAATTTAAGAGTGGTGTCGATATTTTACACAGTCGCGCTTCACCAATAGTACAAAAAAAATGATCAAAAATGCGACGTAAAAATAATAATAAAAACTCAGACGTGTCACTAAAATGGGCCACTTCAATTTTTTCTGTTATTCGAAACAACGTTTGATTGTGACAAAAAATGGAACGAGCTTATGTAAGGAAGTTCGCAGATGCGGTGAATTGAATAGTATGTTTAGAGCCCAAGCAGAGATCAAATGAGAAGATGCATTGACGCTACTGAGAATGCGATCGAACTCATTCAACACGGCGATTTGACGCGCCGAAAAGTCGCCATCGAGTTGCGAGATTTGCAATTGACTATGCATGAAGATTTTGAAAGAGTAATTTTTTATTTATTAAAAAACGAACAGGCAATTAAAGCTGAAAGATGAAATGACCGAATTTGAAAGTCAAGTTCACAAGGAAAGGATTGAAAGTGCGAAATGGATGAATGAAAAACTATCTGCGGCTCGAAATGCTGCCAATCAGGCTGTAAATTTCAGTTTTAAATTAATCATCATTTTCATTCTTGTTTTCTAGATTAAATCCACGATCCTGCTCAAAGATATTCAGATTCTAGAAAAAAAAGTTGATATTTTGAAGGTAGGAAAGAGGCTTTATTTTTTGAAACCCGTATTTTGAGGAATCCGTCATAAATGTTAATAAAGCCTACTATAATTATCAAAAAAATGTGGATGTAAAGGATTTGATGGATCAAGTTCGTGAAATGGTTTATCGAACTGAAAAAAAAGAGAAGGAATTAGCCAGTCAATTCGACGGTGAAACTGGCATTAGAAAAGTGTCGTCAAATGAAAGAAAATTAAAATAAAAATGTTGCGTTCAGACTGAGAACATTCTTCGTGGAGCCGTCGAAGGTCTTCTTGGTCTTCGCTCGACCAACCCTGCTTTAATTGAAGAAGCACGACAAATCGCTTATGAATTAAGAGTATTTCGTGATGCTGCAATGAACAACGTTTTTTTATTTTTTTTTAAATTCTTTCCAAAATTAACTTTTTTAGAACTTAATGGCAATGATTGGAAAATCGGAATCATGCAAGAGCTCGTCTTCAATGGATTCCTCTGATGGCCGCGAGACGGCATTTACTGGTTTTTCGTCAATTTCCGAACGCAAGGCTACACCAGACGCAACATCATCAACCGGTTGGGCTGACCAAAATTCAAGTATGAGATTAAGAATTCCAGCGAGCACTTCCACGGCATCAACAACGACTAGCTCGATAGTGACGATTTAAAGATATCGAAATGCACCCCATAGAGTCAATACTTTTGCGCAAATAATAAATCATTCGTTATTTTATTTTTGATTCCGTGAAAAGTGACGTCTCACATATTACAGAATTAATAATTGAAGGTACTTCCTTGCTGATGACGGCTCATGCAACGCATGATAAATAAACGCTATTAAGATGGAGGGCATTCAAGATAATACTCCCTTTGTGCAGTTTTTGTTGCATATTCTGAATTCTAGCGGGCGGTCGTCTGATAATATTTAATTGTTTCTTAACCAATGGACTAAAGTACCACAATATATAGAAGTAATAGACGGTTCATGATGTAGAGGTAGAGAAATCAAAAAAAGAACCCATGCGGAACAAAAAGTCCGTCAAGAAAAGCTGAATTGATTTAAAATTTAGAGTAAAACTAACGAGCTGGAGCATTTGAGACGTCCGTTGAAAAATGGTTGTTGGGATGTCGGCGGAGAGAGCTTGAGTAAGTATGTTCATATGTGTTTTGGGTTAGTGAATCGATATCGGAACCCGACTCATGGTATAGAAAGAAAAGAATGAGCTTGGTTCCAAGGTCTGCGGGACTCATTACCCATGTGGGCAAGTGCTCCGCTCGCTCTCCATAATAATATGGTGAGGGGGACCGGAAACTCGAATAGCTTCCGATTTGTAAAGCAAAAACCCGTCGGAATCTCTGAGAGAGAGTTCTGGTCGACCTCCTCAGGGATATAAAGGGTGTAGAAATATAGGGTGCAATGTACATACAGTACCGTGCAGTAATATATACAATTTCACTTTTTTTATCATAACTTTCTGAAAAGTTGACCAATCAATCTGAAATTTTTTTACAAAACGGATAGTGTGTTCCCAAACATAATTTATTCATTTTGGGGTACTATAGACGCAATTTTTGTGTTTTGGACCTTTTTTTGCGTATTTTCAAAAATGCGATTTTTTTTTAATTTTTAAGTTTTTTCGATTTTTTTTTTAGATTTTCAATGTTAACATCAGTTTTTTTTTATTTTTTAGCATGGGACGATCAAAATGATCAAAAAACATTCTATCAGACGTATTAAAGCAATCAAGGATGACCGAGCACAAGGTCTTTTCATCCAATGTCTATCACACCAGTTGAACTCATCAACTTGGACCATTTGTGGATGTTTGAAACCTCGATCGGATTCCAAACCACTTGGAAATCCTTCCAAAACATCCCCGGCAATCAATCGAACAATTGTAAGAATCAGCAAGAGCAACCCGCGTCTATTCGCTTCCGAGATTAATCGGCAACTGAATCAGTTCTATGATGTCAATGTAGATTTTTCCGAAAAACCATGAAATTTTTTCACGAAAAGTCACATACAGATCATTGTTAATACTGTCAAGCGCCGTCTACGTGGTTCTGGATTAATTGGACGTCGGTCTGTCAAAAAATCTCTCCTTTCGGAGAAGAAACGCCGCGCCCGTTTGAAGTGGGATAAGGAGCTTTTGAATTGGACTTTTCAACAATGGTCAAAGGTTGTAAGGAGTGATGAATCGAAGTATATGTTGATCGGAACTGATGATATTACCTTTATTTGGCGCCCGGGTGGCAAAAGATTCGATCCAAAGCATCAATAACCAACAGTGAAACATGGAAGAGGAAGCGTGATGGTTTGGGGATGTTTTACTGCTTCTGGAGCTGGCCTACTTCATCGAATCGAAGGAAATATGGATCGATTAATGTATAAGGACTTTCTCGAGAACCATATGCTTCCGTTTGTAAAGTCTTTGCTCGGTGTGGATACTTATTTCAGCAGAATAATGATCCTAAACTTTTCTCTCGCTACATCAAAGAGTGGTTCTAGCAGCGTCGAGTGGCCGTCATGGTCTGACCAAGCCACTCACCTGTCTTGAACCCCATTGAACATTTGCAGGATGATCTTGGTAGACGTCTTGGTGGTCAAACTGTACAAAATGTGTCGAAATGATCGAGCAGCTGAGGAGATCATGGATGGATATTCCAATTTCAACCCTCCCGAAGTTGACGAGGCCATGGGTCTCCGATATCAAACTGTGATCGATGCAAATGACATGTCAACAAGATATTGAGTTGTTTTAAGCATCCTGACAGATAATTGTGGTTTTCCATTTTATTTCAAGTCGTACCGGTATCAAAATTATTTAAGTCGGTTTTTCGCTATTATGGATTTTCTGATTTTTTGAGAATAAAATTTTTTCTAATGTGTTATACACCTTCTAATTTTGTTACATAATCACTCTATCGATGCTTAAAGTTGTCCAAAAATTTCAGATCGATTGGTCAACTTTTCGGAATGTTATGATAAAAAAAGTGAAATTGTATATCTTACTGCACGGTACTGTATTTATGAGTGTGTCTACTGTACGGTATTTTGTTACAGTTCAATTCGAAAAATGAAAATTGTGTAATTCGGAAATCTCCTCGAATTATCAAGAAGTATTGAAAACAACTTTGAATCAAGTTTTTATCGCTGAAATCCGATTTCGAGCTTTTTCTTAAATTGTTTTTTAAAAGTTTTAATTTAAAATTGATGATAGAAGTTCTTATTTGATATATATATATAGAAGTTCTGCCTGATGCTTCTCACTCTAAGAATGAATTGTATTTAGAAATCTCCCACTCTCTGGGAATTTCCCGGGGAAAATAATTCGTTAAAAAAAATTGAAAGTAAAAATCGTCTGACGTGAGATAGGACGTTCCTATAAGATCTGCCAAATTAAGAAAATTGTTCCATTTTCTATAAAATACTCAATCTTAGAAATGTCCTGCGAAAAGGATGATCTGATATTCAATATCGGTGATTCGTATGTCGATTTGAATCAATTAATTTGTTTGTGATGCTCAATGCTCAGAGTTGCTGGTTACAAGATAGTCGAAAAAATCGACGAAGGAGGTTTCGGTCAGGTATTTAAAGTAGTTAAAGGCGAGAAAATATACGCGATGAAAATCGAATCGAATATGCAAGAAGGTGGTTCAGCAATTAAGCTAGAAGTATAAAATGTTTCCTTCTAATTATTGAAATCGTGCGTTATCAGATTGATGTTTTAATGGAACTGAAAGCAAAAAAAATCAGCAATTTTCCTATGGTTTATCAGGCGGGAAAAAAGACCAAATATCATTTTCTCGTGATGGAATTGTTAGGCGAAAATCTAAAAAGCCTCCGATTCAAAAGCTCGAATCCTGATTCACTAACTCCGAGTACTTGGTCAAGAATAGGAATTCAATGCCTCTATGTGTAGGTGTTTTGTTTTATTTGCTTCGTCAATCTGTCAATTTCAGAATTAAGCTTCTACATGATTGCGGTTTTGTTCACAGAGACATCAAAGTAGAATTGAATTAAATTTCCATTATCTTTCTATTCAGCCTTCAAACTTTGCGATGGGTCTTGGGAACGACGACGTTCTGAAGGGTCGAATTGTATATCTGTTCGATTTTGGACTTGCAAGAAGGTTTCTCAATATTTTTTTGGGGGTTATTATAAGAATTTAATTAAAGATTTGTTCTCAAGTATAAACCACAAGAGAATGGTTCGAATCGCCAAAGAAAAGGCTTCAAAGATGTTTCTGTTTGTGTGGGAATCGATGAAAAAGAGCCAAAAAAGGAAAAAGGCAGTTTGATGGAAAGGAAGAAAACGAAAGAAGCCGACGGAAAAGGGTCCAAAATCGCGCCATCGTCTAAACGAAAAATCATCAACGCTTCACCAGATGCTTCGAAATATGAAGATGGAACCGTACTGTCAACTACAATTTCTGGAGAAAAGCAAAAAAAAACCATTTCAGAAAAGCGTTCTTGGAGCTGACAGTAATATTAATGCACAAATTTATCGTTTTCGAATTGCGCGACCTCATACAGATTTCCGCGGCACCCAGCAGTATGCTTCGCCAAACGCCCACGCCCAAATTGAATTGGTGAATTGCGGAAGGAATTCAACACAAATTTGCTGACACATGATGGTTTAAGGGCCGAGCCGATGATGTTTGGTCTCTGATGTACATGCTCGCTGAAATGACCAATCCTCTTCCTTGGGCTTTGCGCGAAAATGAGGAACTGCCGATTGATGATTTGAAAAATCAAACACCGCTCAATGTTTTGTTCAAAGACGGCACGGATTTCACGATGAAAATCATCTGAAGAGATTCATTTCAGATACGTTTTCGAAGATTCAGGACAACTTGAATAATTGTAATTACTATATGGCTCCGGATTACGAGTATTTCGCCAAAAATAGTGCAATGAAACTGATCGCAATTTCTCAGAATGATATACCAAACACTCAAAAGTATTTTGGAGAAGTCTGGTGGAGGATGGATGGACCCTTATGATTGGGAAACGGAAACTTTACCGAGTTATACAAAGTGGAAAGAAGAAAAAAACAAACAAAAAATCATTTATAAATGGGAAGATAACACTGATTTCTTCAAGGTATTTGATTTAAGAAGAATTTATGTCTGATCTAGACGGACTTTGGACTTCAGACGGATCCTTGGGAGTATTTACCTCGACCAATGAAGAGAGTTAGATCAAATGAATTAATTGATAAAGAGAAGGAGAAAGCCAAAGAGAAGGAAAAGGAAAAGATCGATAAACCGTCAAAGGAAGGACAGAAGAAAGGATCGAAGGACGACGTCAAGGAGGGCATGAAGAAGGGATCGAAAGATGAGGTTAAGGAAAATAATAAAGAAGCATACAGAAAAGGATCGAAGGACGATCTTAGAGAGAAGGAAAAAGAAGGAGAAAAGAAGGAGGATGAGAGGAAAGAGGAAAGGAAGGAGGAAGAAGAAAGGAAAGACGAGAATAAGGACGAGAAGAAACAGATTCCGATGCGTTGGAAAATTAATCAGACGAGAAAGCTTTCGAGGGAACAAATCACAGCGGTGAGAATAATTCGCAACAAAATAATGAGCGTCTGATTTAGGATGACGTCGCCGACGATTATGTGTACTGTCCTCCACCTCCTCGTCGATCAGGCATTTCATCGAGATCAAGTCCAAGTCCAGTCAGTGTTATGAACATGAGTGCCGAGATTGTCAATCTGTCGATCCAACAGAATATCGGTATATTTAAATATGTATATTCACGAGCCACTGATCATATTTTAGACGAAGTGATTGAACAGGGTTCGAAAGCAAATGGTACAACCCCAGTTCTACTAAGAAAAGCATCGACAAAGAAGAAGAAGAAATCGGGACGATCGGAAAGAAAAGGAGGTTTTACTCGAATGATTAAGGCAATCGTGAAAAAGAAGTAGATGCATATTTTATTTTTCTTCTTATCAGTTTTATAAAATATTCGCTAATCCGTTTCCGTCGTTTTCGTTAACCAATCGTTCTATGGGTTTTCGAACATCCGCAAAATTGCCATAAAGCTTAAAAAGAGGGTGGGGCTGATACAATGAGTCTTCAGACGATTAAAAATATATCGTCAAATGTTGAAGTTGATATTACGAATATGGGTAGAAAGTGCGTGCATTATGGAAAATTTTTCAAAAGTCTGAACCTTTGAAACCAGAAAATTCATATGGATAAGGGCAATATGACAACGAAGATGGTCCCAAAACGGGAGTTCTTTATTTTACAAATAGATCAAAATGAAAAAAAATGAAATACGCGAATTTCTTGCAAATTCTCTGTAAATTTCTCAGTTTAAATAAATTTATTTATTCATTAAAACATTCGCGTAAATTCAAATATTAAGGAAAAAAACGAAATCACAGGTATTGCCAAAATATGTAAAACTCTTGATCGCTACTTATAATTCTAAAATACTAGAAGAAAAAAAAAATAAGAAAATAAATGAATTGTGAAGAAAAGGGAAATACATGTGTGTAGGAGTAGTTGGTTGAAAATCGGTTGCTCGAATTCATGTAACACGCCGTTTTCGAGACCGTCTTACTTGACCATTCGCAGTTAGAATTTCTTTGATTGTTGTTGAATCTTTAATTGAAATTGGAGAAAATATGGAAGTAGTTGATTTTATTTCATTCTTTGGCTCCTCCTGAAATTTAAAATATTACAAATTTAAATTTAAAAAAATAATTCGGGAGAACAGGAATGATTTTTGCTAGGTTTTGAATTAATTATTATAATACGTTTTTTTTTTGCAGGAAACAAGCTCAGATAAATAATTAGTTCTTATGAATAAAATGCAAACATTTGTTTTCATTTTTGTAGTCTCATAAAATAAATCATGGCCAAATACCTTGCTCTTGCTCGGCTCGCTAACATGCCCATCGACGAGCACATTTTGACTTTGCACCTTTTGAAGTCTCTCCTTTATAATTTGAATAGTTTGCTCGAGATTTATCGACTTCTTATTATATTCGGCACATTGGTCGCGCAACACCATCGGCGATATTCTCACTTTCTTCTCACTAATAAATGCGGCTTCATTCGTTTGATCTGGTTTGATCTGCTCGTCAACAGTTGCAGCAGTGACAGCTATTGTGCGGAGCATTCCAGAAAAATAATTCGATTGCTCCATGTTTTTGAAACGGCGTTTGAAGAGCGCGAAAATAATGAGCTGCCGGATGGAGCAAGATTAGCAAGTAGTCGGCAAAGTGTTTTGGTTTGCGTGTATGTATGTGTGTATATGTGTGTGTGTGCTCGTGTATAATTTCGATGGGAAGAAATAGGTGCGCCTCTCACCCGACTGAGACACAAAAACCCGTCGAGTTGCCATGGTACCGAAAATCTCATTTTTTGTCATGTGTCAGTGTTTGGCGGCAGCTCTCCAGCTTCTGATTATAATTTCCAGCGTGTCACAATGCACTTTTCATTGTTGATAGAGAAACAAAGTTTGCTACTTTGGAAAATGTTCGAAATGGTGATTCACACGAAGCAAGTCGACGAGAGTTGAGGAGAGTTTCAAAAAATGCACATATCACAAGAAAAAATCGACCAAACATTCATTCGCATTTGAAAACACAAAAACGAATTGCGGGTGATTGCAAGGATTGCAATATTATTAAAAAAAAAGAATATTGATAAAAATCTTAAACTAATAATTTCTAGTTGGCAAAATTAAGGTCCTTTATCTTATGTTGAACATTACTACCCCGAAAGGCTCTCCGCCACGCGAAACCACGAAGCCGAAGAGACACATTGTGCCTATAACGGACCTATATGCCCAAATATGCCCAATGTTTCACGATGGGCTCCGCCGCATTTTACCCATGTTCTACACAATTTTTAAGCATGTTAAAAAAAGGGGGGGGGCTTTGGTGTTTTCTGCATCAAACAATCTAATTGTACTAGCGAGGGAGATGTCGGAGCCGTGACACATCACGCGAGATAAAATCTTATCAAGATTTGGGGCGATATAAAACCCACGTCCAGCTATCAGTTCGTATCCAAATAAATATATGTTGGCTCGTTCCAAAGAAAACAACAACTGGAATCAGGATCAATGCACCCTGGACGTCAAGGCAAACTTCTCTTGGCAGAACAAGCGAAGTAGAACCAGGGCATTGTTCGGGAAATCACAAAAGATGGTCGACTAGGCACTCCCCCAATCGGAACTGCTCCCGCAACCACCCAACAATCGACTCGATGTTCCCCTTCGCCCCGGATGAAGGAACCACATTCGAAATCTGGTATTCACGGTTCGGGGACGTTCTGCAACTGAATGGATTGACATTGAAGCTCGAAGAGATCATCACCCAGCTCAAGACTTTGGACACTCGCAATCCGTCATCCGATATAGATTCTAAATCGTGCAATCATAATTCAAACCCAGATTTTCGACAGTTATGGATCGTTCGCACCCGGGCTTCTCAAAAAAGGAATGAACTCGGATAGTTCATTCCTTTTTTTAAGAGAGCCCATCGCTCGTCTACGTCGCTCAACAACGATGACGAAGCGGGTAATACGGCATTAAATCAATCCACCCCGAACCACCTGATTCGAACTGGCGAAGACGACGATCTGATAACTCAAAACCAATCGGATCCGATTGGTTATTCTACGGATAAGATTGGTTATTTGTCGAATCCGATTCGAATTGAAAGGATTCGAAGAAAATCTAATCAGATCCGACAATTTTCCAATATTGTCCGTAGAATTATTAATCGGATAAGGTTAATTCCGGAACTGATTTTGTTGTATCCGATTGGTTTTGAATTGCCAGAGTGAGCCGTGAAGCATCACGCGAAACGAAATCTTAGCAAGATTAAGAGCAATATAAAACCCCGTTTTTAACGCTCAATTATCAGTTTGTTGCCTCCGTTTTTACATATTTTATGCGACTTAAATTGTTTTAAAAAACTTTTAAAAACTGTCGGTAATTTGAAGATTTTTTAAAGACGTTTTTACGCTCTGCCCTCTACCGAGAGGTTATCTGTCATCGACAAATGATACTAATATACCATCATTTTCTGGGAACTAATCGTAAGCGCTTAGTTTTCACTTTCCTTGGGCCTTCTTGATGTTACTGTTTATTTTCTTGATTTTTGCGACGCTCTCCTCATTGAAATCTAAAAATAAACGTGTCATAAAGTTTTTCACTACAAAATGATTTTAAAATCTCAAAATCAACGCCCTGATCATTCTCTAGAACTGAAAAAAATCGAAAAAAAAAACACTTGCCAGCCGTTTGACCGTGAAAATTCACAAGATGTGATTGAACGTTATGTCTTAAAGTGAATGATATCTCACAAATATCGCAAACGAACTGAAAATTCCATTTTGCTAAACAAACAAAAAAAGCATACTTGTTTAACTGAAGGGTCAACAGGCCTTCCACGATGCCTTTCAAGTCGTCCAACGCTTATAAGTGCCTGCATGCTGCTTTTATTATTAAAATATTTTTTAATTTAATTATTCTACATTTTTGTGAATTTTTGCGTATCCTTTCCGCTTGATATCGCGTATTTCGGTGTCTCTGCGCTTTTCTTCATCAGTCTTTTCAATTTTTATTTCTTTTTTGATTACGGGCATCGGATCTTCTTGTGAACATGAAATCAATTTTTCAGCACTCTCATTTCTCAATTTTTCCACAATTGGCCCAGAATTGAATTGAAAATTTGGATTAATTGTATCGCGTGAAATTATGTGTGGCAATGTATAATTTCCGTTACAAACTGAAAACACAATTTTAAAAATATAACTATCAAGAAAAAAATGGAAATTACTTCGAATATTCGCTTGGACGTTGATTAATGATCGTTCATCGATAATTCGAAACACATCGCTGTCAGAAAACGTTCCTACCGAGGTATTTTCTCGAAATATCATCATATGCTTGTGCACTTCACAACCATGAGGGTCTTTACCTTTAAAATGCGAATATTTGAGAAATACGCTTCAGCAAACCTTCAACACACCAGAAACACAGCTCTTTTCCCACAAATATCATTTGAGAAGCACAAAAAAATTATCACACCAAAAGTTTGGAATTTAAGAAATAAGAATTCCACGTGTTACGTACACCGAGGGCTTCACGTTAAATTATTTATTTAAAAAAATAAATTTTAAAAACCCATAAAAACGTAAAAATGTAATATGTTGTCGAGTATCTAAGGAAATCACAGTTAAGGTAAAACAATCCAATTAAACATTTTAGTAAATTTATTTATACATCAATGATCCATGCATAAATTGTTAATGGATTTCTGAAGGTGAGCAACTAATTGCTGCGCTATCGAGGCAAATGCATTAATTAACAGATCCGATGAAGAATACGGAGGAATTTTGGTTGAATTCCATGATTCGTAAGATGTATTATATATCTAAATTTTCAAACATTCATATTAATTTTTTAAAATTGTCTTACTTTCATGGCGGCATCGGAAACAGTTAATGCGAATTCATCTTCAGCATAATACTCCGGTTTATTCCTCTGATATATCACTATTAAGAATCACTTTAAATGCTCACAAACCTTCAAATAATCGACAATTGTATCTGAAACTTCAAGAAATTGTCCCATTGCTTCACATTCGAATTTCGAGTTTCTCAAAAAAAGTTTGGTAGTTGAAAAATACCTAAAATAAAAATGTATCCAAATCAACTGAAAAAGGGAGTACTTGTTTGCAATTTGAATCAGAAATGGCTGTAGCACAATTAGAGCAGAGTCTTCAGTCGATTTTTTTGCATTTTTCACCAATTCGAGTTTCTTTTTACATATCTCCGAAGCCTTTTCAGCTCCAAATACTAGGGGTTTGAATTCTTCTTCTAAAAAAATATATTACATAATAGTCGGTATAGATAATTACCATAATTGGAAGGAATTCCTCTGGCAATTACTAGTGCACCAACTTTACTGAATCCTTCGTTTGCTGCACTCACGACATCTGCGTCATTGTGAAAAATTGAAAGTTCAATCTAAGAATTTCAAAATTCGTGTTGGTTTCTAGAATAAATGACGAACAACGCCATGCTCGGCAAGAAATGGCTTCATTCCAGGATCGAGTGTTGTCATGACAGTTTCCATTCCAGCCTTCGCTTTTTCGGCAACATCGTTCAACAGTTTGCTTTCTGCGACTGTCTTCGTCAACCAGCTCATTAAACCACCACTCATATCAACCTATTTATTTATTATTAAACATTCAATAGTGTAATATTAATTACCCGATCATTAAAAACTCCCTGTTTGGCATTGTCTTTGGTTGGAGCCTTCACTTTCTCAACTTGTTTTGAAATTTCAACGACAGCAGGGGAAGTAATCTAAAAGTAGAAAAATAATTGTTTTTTTTTAATTGTTGTCGGCGTTGCAAGAAAATTGTGACCGACGTCGACAATATACAAATATTTTTAAAACTTTTATTTTCTTGCCTGCTTTTCCTCAACAATTGGAGTTATTGGAATATCAGTAGTGGTCGCAGGAGCCAAAGTGTCGGTTTTCAAACTTGTCGGCTTCTCGAACGGTTTCATTTCGCTTTTATTAACATTTTTCGGTGTTTCAATGGATTTTTCATCATTTTTTGGGACGTTTGGAGATGAATCGATCACCTAAAATTTAAGATACACTTTAATTTCAAACAACAGGAACATACCGGTGGTTTTGGAGGAATTGGTGACACAGGTTTCGGCGCGAACGGGTTGCCAATAGGCGGGACAAATGGCGCAGTTGGTGGATTTTTCAGAAGAGCAGCGACGTGAGGTTGAAGTACAGGCGGCCGAGGCGGAACAAATTTGAATGGTTTTGATGAAGTTTCAGCTGGAGCATCTAAATTAATTTTCGATTATTAAAATACTATTTCGCCATTTAAAATTTGATTTTTTTATAATTAAAATAAAATAAACAGAAAATTAAAGAATTCAATTTGTTTCATTCAAACTCTTACTTGTCATTTCTTCATCCGCCATTTCACCTAAACGTTCATTTACTTTCATATTTTATTCGAATACGTAAATGGTCAAATATATACTATCATTGAAGCAACAATTAACAAAAGGCAGAATTCGTGAATATTATATATTTTATTAGACAGAAAGCAACTAAAAAGCAGTTAATGAATGAATTTCGTTATTCAACAAATAGTATTTGGTTTAATTGGCAATAATTTGGGCACATTCGTCTGTTCCATTATGGAAAAAACTTGACTTAAAATACTCAGTTAGTTTGGTAAGAACCGGCGATTCAATCACAACGAATCAAAACTATGATGCCGTAAAACATAAATCTATGTGAAAGCGTATGCAAAAAAACGAAGAAATATTTTTGGGCAGGGGAAAGAAAAAAACGATTATTATGTGAAAACATTGTTCGGAATTAGCCCCTCTTTTGTGGTGATCCCTGGAGCCAATGTCGATTTTCGCAAAAAGTTCAGCGGGAAATCAACCAGAGTTCCTAAAAAAAAAGAATAATATTTTAAGAAATTATAATTTATCTGAATTAAAAAAAACCTCTCAAGTCTCGAACTCGTTCTTCAGCCTGCTGTGGCGCATATTCCGACATTGGCATATGCGAAGTCCATCTCTCAAATTCTTCGAATGTTTCAACATTATCGGTCGGGTACGCGCGGAACACCTGTTAAATGAGGAGCAATTCAACTAATTGTATTATGTTGTTAAAATAACAGTCTTAAATAAAAAGGGAATATATTAAACAATGATGACAGTTTTCTTAATTCAAAAATTTACAATTACGGTAAAGTGATGAAATTCTAAAAAATTGTTCATCATTTTGATTTTAGAGTTTTATAGCTGTTTTTTGTCAAGATTGAAGTGATTCTAAATGTTTACATTTGAACCGATAAAAATGCAATTTCTTAATCGTAACGTTTTTCATAATTTTTCTTTTACCTCTTCGTAAATATCGGCATTGCGTTTTGCGGTTGATTGCCAAACATCGACAAAGAATGAGTCAGCGACTGGATCGTCGCACGAAACGTCATATTCGAATACAGCCTTTCGCCGAGAATCGGACAACAATCCAAGATGCTCCTTCATGCATTGTAATCGTAAACTCTTCGCAAATCTTCCAGCTTCATATGGTTTTCCATCCATCATCGAACTTTCCTTCACAATATCCGTGTAAACACAACATACTTCCGAATCACGGTTTCCAACCTAAAACAATATTGTAATCCTCGGTTCTTAATTCTTCGATTTTATGATTAAAATTTTTTCCATTCTGTTGTGAGGTCGATTTTGAACTCGAAAATGGGCGTGTCATGACTAATATCGTACCTCACTATCAATTTCACATTTTCGTATGTGATTAAGCTAGTGTGACTAAAGGTAAATAAAAGCAAAACTTCGCATTGATAACAACTCATTCTTCGTGCATTAGTTTGCCAGAATTTTATCATTTTCATTGATTGATTATTATTTTTAACAGAAAATGGCCGACTCAGATGTAATCCTCGAAATTATTCTGTGCATTTTCCTGCCTGTGAGTTAATGCATTCTAATATTTTTAGCTATAATATGGTCGCAGGAATTATATTAAAATTTTTGAAATTTCAGCCTTTGGCTATTTGGTGGCACACAAAACAATGCGGAGTTCCGGTGCTCATCGACTTGATTCTTTGTCTGCTCTTCTACATTCCCGCCATTATCTATGCAGTCTATGTGTGCTTCATGCAAAACTAATTCACCTGCGATCGATCGTTGATATTCGCGGATCCAATAATAACTGTTTCGTCGTCAACAATCAGCAGTTTGCAATGAATATAAATCAATTCGGTGACCTAAATTCTTACATTTTTGCATTTTTCAATAAATGAATGAATTTTTACCAATTTTTGTCCGAGTCGATCATAAGTTCTTAATGAGCCAATGTGAAGATATTTGAAAGGATCAGGAATGACAAGTTTAAGTCTTTCAATCAACGAATTAGGCCCTTGACTTAAAGACAAATAGGTCCAATGAAGGACTGCCTGAAGTGATGATCCGCCAGCTGCACCAACATCTCCTTCGAATCCAGGCAATAGTGGAATCATAATATAAACGCGATAGTTCTCCTTTTCTCTGTAATATTTAGTAAAATTCATGAAAATTGAATCTAAGGTTACTTGTAAGCTCGAATAATTCGGTCATGAATTACTTTACAAATTTCATTGGTAACATCGTTGTTCTCAATCAATGACACAAAGAATTGATTTTCGATGTAGATATAATGCTGAAAAAAAGAATCAATCAATCGATATTGACCGTTTAGTGTTAATTTTATCTCTTCTTAGCAATATTTTTGTTGTTAAAAAAAACGGAAGAATTCATATCATTTATCGAGAGAACTCACTTTTGAATTTGCTATCAATGACAAATAGGCCATTTGAATGGAATCTTCCGTTTGTTGGAGTAGTCCAGACCACTTTGATAATGAACGAATAACCTGAATGGCAAGCGATAGAATAAGAACAGCTGGGAAACAGTTTTGGCAAACCTGAACATCAACCTGCTCACTGACAGCACTTGATTTGAAAACGCGAGGAACTTTTATATTCTCGTAGCTTTTTGGAAGAAGGAATGGATAATTTGGATCGTCCTAAAAAAAACGCAATATATTATTCTAAATGAAGTCAATCACTTTTAGCTTTTCAGTTTTTGTCGAATTCCAACGCTGAATGAAATGTCTTGCAATATCACGTGCTGGTGATCCAAAAGTAACCGAATGAATATCATGCCACGGCATTCTTGGAGTAGTTCCACGATCAATGAAATCTGAATGTTTTTTTGAGCAATAGTTAAATGAAATCAAATACCGTGGAATGGCATATCAACTTCGACAAAGTCTTTGGCAATATAATTGACATAATCCTTTCCATACCATAACTTGACACCGCCATCGATCTAGAATTTGGTCAAAATTTTTTTTTTAAATGCGGGCATATTTCAGAATTTTTACTTCATCTTTTCCATCAGCATCACTACTCATTTCGCGAAGTCTCAACCAATCAAGTTCATATCCAATTGTCGCCTGAATATAAATAAATTAATATAAGAAAAACGGTTTTAGAGAATTTTTGCTCAATGGCCAAAGTCAAATAAAGTTTTTAAAAATAAATTGAAAACTTACGTCGTCATTTTCGAGCATTTGCTTCCACTTTCTTTTGGCTCTGTTACTCTTCCAGTTCTGAACAACTGTCGACAATTTCTTCTTTCTTCCGTTGGGAGGAGTTTGAGCTCGTTGTTTTTCCTAAAACAAACCAACATAGTGTTATTCAAACCCACGTATTTTTTCTGCATTACCTTCTTTACAGCTCCACTGTCTACATATTCTTTATACTTTTTCTTTGCTTCCGATAGATCGATTCCACTTTTCGCTGCCTTTTCGACCATCGACGTCGCCGGTCCGGCTTTGTCGAGTATTTCCAATGGAACCTTTTTCCTTTGTCGTTCGGCTGATGAGGCAGATCGCCGAATATGCTTATTCGCACCACCTGTGCTCATAAATTTGATTTTGGCGGTCTCGACCGCTGACATTTTCGAATGTATTGTGGTTTTATTGTTTTCTGTTGATGTTGATTCAGTCATTGTCTCCGTCTTCTCAACTTTCCAGGTTTTGACGGGATCTGCCGGACTCGAATGACGAACTGGATCACCCGTCTTCGGAATTTCTGCATTTACGAAATATTCGCAATATGTACTTTCGTGGGATAATGATTACCTCGTCTCAAAACTCTCACAGCCACTTGTCCAGTTTCTTTATCGGTATAAACAGTTTCTTCAACCAATCCATTCTCTTCAGCTGTTTGAACTTTGTCTCGTTCAGCAACTGAACACCAGTTATGGTATTTAGATATATTTAACTCAATAATTTTACCTTCATCGACTTCATCAATTGTCGGCTCTCTTGGAACTATTTTTTCATTTTCTTCGAGTCCCAATGGCGACAATGTCAATGGTGCGCTTATCAAAGATCGAAGTCCACTAGCCATATTGGTATTAACTGCATGACGAGCGGAAAATTGAACGGATCCCATATCAGTAAGAAGATGACGATTATCGTCCCAACGTCCAAAACACAAATCGACACCGCCTACGAATGAAATCAGCTGATCAATTACTAAAAGCTTTTCATGGTGAGCCCAAAATACAGTTCCAGTTCCTGGATAATGATCAGGATGGCGCATCACCTAAATTTGAAAAAAAAAACTCAAGATTCCAATCATATAGATTACCTTGATGTTTTCATGAAGTGCTTGAAGTGTTCGTTTTGTATAAGCGCTATTTAGTCCTAATGCGATTTCAACTTCTTTGTATAGCAAAACAAAAATCTAAGACAAAAGGAAACCGTTAAAAACGTAAAATTTATCCGTTTTAATGTACCCTGACACCCTGCGACGCTTTCCGCTTTAAAATTTGATCAAGTCTCCAATAATCTCCTTCCAACGCTGGTCGCTTCATAAAAATCTGAGTATTCCGACATGACTATATGACAAAAATGTCGAATGAAATACCTCAGGACTCAGCCACCAATCAGTAATGAAAATTTCTTCTCGAGCCAGTTCCATCATGTCGGCAGCGTATTCCATATATGATTTGGCGTCAACAAACCTATAATAGATTTCGATGCCTATTGCCAACCAAATAATAAGATATTTTACCATTTCGCGTAGGAATTTTCTCGAACAGGAAATGTTGAGCTAAATCGATGAGGCTGCAACCAAACATTGCCGATGCCTTGCATTGATATCTCTATTATTTGTTTCCAATTCGAAGTGTCTTGCTTTCTTCGACATTTCAGATGAAGCTCGCTGAAAACAATAAACGCGAAATATTAAAAATACGTGAAAAAAGTGTCGACGAACTGTTGCATATTCGTGATAATGAGGCCAGTAGGAATTCCTTCTGTTTCAGTTCCTCCTGCCGCTACTTTGAACTCCTTATCCATAAGAAGAACCATTCGAATTTGCTCAGTCCGAGGATCCATATAAGCAACAAAAGAGTCGCGGACCATCAACCAACGTTTGCTCCAAGGCAGAAAATACCGAACACAACATTGTTTGCAACCGAGAAACACCCGAGAACCTCCTGGTCTCTTCTTAACGAATCCTTCTGAATGCTTGCCACCTAGTTCATTGACAAACGAATATCGCGATACTTCAAGGAACTCCGCCTGAAAAAGATAAAAAATAACAGATATAGAACAAACAATTCGCTACCGTTTCGTGGTGATTTCGATTAATCGGAATGTGCAATACCATTTGAAGCCAATTCTCGAGCTGTTCTCTTCGCTGATCCAAATTTGTCACCAACGAATCTGGCATCATCGGAAATCGTGGAAGAGTGTGCCGATCGCGCTTTCTCTGTCGGCGGCTTCTTTTAGCCGAACCTTCAGATCCTTTCGAATCATCGAGAATTCCGGCTGAAATTTGAATGATTTATGCTGTTATTTTACGCTTTAACTATAGGCCATCACACGGAATTTGCTATTTTCTGGCCGGTTTTAATCGTCGAAAACTGTCCGATTACATGACAACAAATGCGCTCTATTATTGTTTTCGATTTGAAAATATGTTTTAATCTGGTTTTCTTTTTGATAATTTGATACACAACATGAACTTTCTGAAAAGAAAACTGAATGCGTTTTAGTTTTTCAATATCTACAGTACCGCTCAAAAGGTTGGAAACTTTTGGTTTTTTGGGCATAACTTTTTTGAAACCAAACTTTTTTCCATGAACTTTTTTTCCGATTGTTTCTTACGCAATTGCCGATATAATAAGCTATTAAACATAATTCGTGCTTACCAAATAAGTATTTTAGGCAATTTTTTCAGAAATCCGTAAAAACACATTTTTTTGGATATGCAATTTAAGTCAGTTTTTTTAACCGTAAAGATAGTTTATTAACACAAAATCATTGGAAACTAAAATTATAAGGTTATTACTTGGTTGCAAAGCCTTGGGAGTCAATAACTGCCTGGCACTTGCTAGGCATGGAGTCGATCAAGTTGTCGATGACCCAGTGTGGAATCTTTTTCCATTCTTCTTCCAATTGTCGGAACTTTTCGTTCGAATTTGTGGCGGTTCTGTTTGCCACTCTTCTCTCCAACTCTTCCCACAAGTGCTCGATGGGATTCAAGTCCGGGCATTGACTTGGCCAGTCCATAACCTTGATGTGCTGACTTGCAAACCAATCCTCAATTGATGAATATTTGAGAAAAAAAGCGAATTTTCTTAATTTCACAAATTTGAAGGTGTGCTTTGGGTCGTTGTCCTGTTGGCAAACACAACCACGACCCATTGCCTTAAAATGCGGCGACATCTGCTCCTCCAGGATCTCCTTATAGACGAAGCGATCCATGATTGTTTTCACATGGTGAAGGGGGTCACTGCCTTTTCCGGAAAAGGCACCCCCAATCATGCAATTGCCTCCCCCGTGCTTTTCGGTAGGAGTTTGATACTTGGGATTGTATCGAGAACCTACAGGACGGCGGACCGATTGAATTCCGTCACTTCCAAAGAGCTTTCATCCGACCAAAGAACACCATTCCAGTCAAATCGTGTCCAATTCAGATGTTGCTTATCCCACTCGTCCTGCCGTCGTCTATTCTTCTCCGAAATGAACGGTTTCTTCACTGGTCTTCTTCCGAACCATCCTGCCACTGATAAACTGCGTTTGATTGTTGATCCCGAAACAGGCGATGGAGAATTCGCAAAAACTTCGTGCTGGATCGCCGGTGCCGTCATTCGCGGGTTGAATTTGGAGGCTCGTACAATGCTTCTATCAGTCGCACGATCTGTCACGCGTGAAGGACCAATATGGTACTTCTTTGGGATCCCTTCTTGAGTTTCCCATCTTTTCAAACATTTGAAAATGCAAGATTTTGTGACATCAAACTGGGCGACCAAAATCTGCAGGGTTGCTCGTGTTTGACGCCCTGCGTAAATTGTCCGTTGTTGTTCAACAGTCAAGTTCCGCTTTTTTTCGATAGTGGACATGTCTAAAATTACAAAAATAATAACAGCATGCAAAAAGAAGCAGAGAAAAATAGTAAAAAAACTTTTGAAAAAAAAAGTCGAAAAAAAGTGATTTTTGAAAAAAAAAATGAAAAAGTCCACAAAAACTTCACACATAATTGCCTATGATAAGACTACCGTACCAATAATCTTCTGATTATATTTATCAATATATCTGAAAGTTTCACCTCGATCCATACGTTTTCGATCAAGTTATGCCCGAAAAACCAAAAGTTTCCAACCTTTTGAGCGGTACTGTATCTACTTTAAACGTCTAATTTTCAAAAAAAAAATTACATTGAACAGCCTTTTGAATGCTTGCATCTACTTTCACAGCTTCTTCTTCGTTCGCACCGCCATTTTGCTCCGGAGTTATCGGAGAATCCATGCTAGCCAAAGGAGCGCCGCGTGGTACCTCGAACTCATTAGTGTCGCGTTTAAGAACACTCATCTGAAATATCCCAATAGTTTTTTTTTAAACAGAATTCTCACATGTGGATGCTTTTTTCTTCGTGAGTCCGAATACGGGCATTCAGGCTTATGATCCGGTATAATATCGATGCCAATATTCTCCAAATAGGTATCAAAACGCTCTTGTGTCCTATAATTAGGAAAAAACAGTTTTTTATCAATATTTGTAGAATAGCACATTGCATTCCAAAATAAAAAAATAAACACATGCTAGATATAAACAATCCACTAATCACAATGATAACAACATCGAATCGCTTACTCATCAGACACTTTTCCGCGAAATCTAGAAAACTGTCGGTTTTTGAATACACCACTAGGCTCAAATGGATATTTTACCGATGATTAAACATATAATAAAGGGCTAACCAAAATAATTAGAACATAATCAAAATGGAAAACAAAAATTCAAATAATGGATCAAAAATAGAATATAATGAAAACTTTAACTAAAAATTAAAATTAAAAAGGTTTTTTTTTCTTAATTTAACTAAGCTCGGAAATTCATGTTAGTTCAGATGGTTTCAGAGTGGATCGAAGTACTAACAAAGAAAGAAAAAACTAACCTTTTGATTGGAGCCATGATATGTTCATGAGCTCTATGTGCCATTAAGCGATTATTGAGGACTGTAAAATCTCTGAAGTTTCGAACCACAGTCCAGCGAAATTTTCCGTGTTCCAATTCGATTGTGTATCTTCAATTTCTAATTGTATCATTTGATGAGGTTATTTTTTTTTTACAGTAAACTGTTGATAAGATGGATCCCACGATCCGTATTTCTTTCAACTTTCACAATTTTCGCATTAACTGGTACTCCTGGAATCCAATAACCTCTTCGTCGAGCTTGCTGTTGTGTATCATAAACAGCCGTATATGGTATAACCCCTATAAATAAGAAAATATACAAGAATGACATTGGAAAATACCAATTTTTCCAGGAGTTCCAGGTAAAGAGTGCTGTAGGGCAGCTGCAACGCAATCGCAGTATTGAATTTCGTCGTCATCCGAACTTTCATCGCTGTCGCAGCCATAATCTAATGACTGTGGAGAAGCAATCTTAACAACATTTTTTTACAAGATGGAGATTTTTATAAAAATAACCTCATCAATTCGAACACTTTTACTATCACGACGAATTGGGAGATCCGGAATTGGACTCGACCGACCTAAAGCATCGCGGAAACGAATTACAGTGTCATTTTGAGACGATGATGATGGACGCGTTGGAGGTATAATACCGGGAATTCCTTGGTCGCGCATGATTGAAGGATCGACTAAACCGAATATTTAATGAATACTATTTGAATTTGATTTTATTTATATTTTTTTCCTATCTAAACTCTAACATCATGTCCAGATTCCGTTCAAAAATGAAAACGAAAATGTTATTTTTTGATAACTTTTGAGTAATTTCCATAATTATCAAAAGACAATATTCGCACCTACGACTCCAATCGTCGCATCCTCAGGTTCCGGATGTCCACTGGAAGTTGTGCGCGGTCGTGTAGACGAAATTGAACCTTCGCAGTCGCTGTTCATCTCTCAGTTTCGATTACCCAATTGATTCTGAACGAAAAATCAGTTGGAAAACTTGTAGAAGCACAAGCAGTTACGAAAATTCGCTGATTTAGTTACACACAGCAGTTTTACAAAAAAAGAATCGCAATACTTTTTTTTGCGTGTGTTAGTCATTTATTTACACAACTCTGGAACAGAAACGACAAGAGAAAAAGAGAAATATCTGCGTGAAAAATGATAAGTGTCTGCGAAATAGATGATAGAACAGAAATGAAACCTTCGTGATGAAAACTTGATTCGGCAAAACCGAAAATTAAGAGAAAAAAAGTGAAAGATCAATAAAAAAATAGTATATTTTCACATTTGTATATTTCTTTTTGCATATTTTCTAGTTTGTATCTTCCAAAAATTAACTCGAGCCATTTTGTGACCCTTTGTACAACTCTCAAAGGAAATACCCTCATATTTCGCGCACTCTTTTCGGTTTTGGCACTCAAATTCTCTTCATCGTGGCCGTCTCCCTCCACCTCTTTCGTCTGCGGCTCGACTATGCACCCCGACTATTTTGAAGACAAATCTATTGATTGCGTTCTCTCTTGTGGTTTCAGTGTTACACAATGATCCTGGTTTACTAAAAAATTTCAACGGGATAATGAAAAAATATCCCGTTGAAATTTTAAAAACCACGAATCGCAATACATGTACGAAAAATGAGAGTGAGAAAAATATTTAACTACAATAATCTACTTGAATATCGACGTATTATAAAAGAAATAAACAAATTATGTAATAGTGATTAATTTTAGTTTAAATGATGTAGTTAATAAATTTTATTGATTTTATTAATTGCATAAATAAAGTAAATATAATACCGTTGAAAAAATATATATTTATATTCGAAGTCATTAAATATTGAAATAATTCGGTTTAAATCGCAACTACCGTAAGCGTTTAAAGGCGCACATTCATTTTTTTATTGAATATTTTGTAACGAATTGTACTGTACAAATTTTTAAATATCAAAGTAACAAACAAGAATGAGAAAAAGAAAATCGGCAGCATTGGCCGCAACCGATAACAAATGTGTTTTTTGTCTTGCTGTCGCATGCTCCGAAACCCAAAATAAAAAAAAAGAAAGAGAGCAATAAATAAAATCTATGAAAAATAATTAAGAACATGTGTTGCAGTTTAATCGATTCAAATTTGATCATCTGCTTGTCAAACTGACAAATTATTGTCCCAATTCATGAGTATTTCGATTTTGATTCTAAACCAATGTAGAAATAGACAGATTACTTTTATAACAATGAAAACGTTGCAAACACATTGATCGGTTCCGTTTTCCATTTTCAAAATAAGTTAAGTTCTGTGCAGCTCGAGAATGAAATTCTACAGAGATAATTGATTAGCTTAAATGAATGAGCGCTTCAAAAGTGGAGAAGTAATGAGCTGTAGACTCCATAGGCAATTGGAAATATTATTTTTTAGAGAAGTTTTCGGTGCAAAATCTTCGAAGTCTTATTTAAGGACGGCGGAATTGGAAAATTTGACATTTTTGATTTTTAAATTTGATTTTTAAAATGTATTTTGCTTAGAAAATCGCATTGTTATTATTTGTGCAGGTGCAATTAAGTATGAACTATATTTGTATAGTATAGAAATTGCCGTTGAATTGCGTTTCGCTCAAAATAATATCGGAAATTCGAATCAAAACTTTAACGACAAACGTGTCATTATGACGAACTTGTTGTTTTCATTTCTGTATTTTGTATGATCACCAATAATCAAGCAATGAATCAAAAGCTCCCTACGGCAAATACACCTTTAAAGTAACGAGTTTCAAAAGGATAAAGATTAAGCAAAAAAAAATTGCAGAAAAGAATTACATCGAATAGAAGATATCGCATATTCGGATCAAGACACAACACCCGATATTTCGGTTAGAGATTCGCGAGAAGCGAGCGATTCCGCGTTCATTGTTCTTCTTCGTGTAGCCGATGCGGTACACCAACGATTTTTCACCTCGCTTCCAATAATTGCGTTCAGATGACCGACAAGACAATTTTCACAGTTTCTCATGATATTAAATTATTGAAAAACGACCAAAAGATTATATGTGCGCCTCATTTGTATTGCATTCAGGCGGCATGTGGAATAAGCAAAATATTAAACATTGAAAAACAATGTATAATAGAATCATTGTTACAAGAATGCAAAAATGAAAAGGTATTTTTTTAATGCAAATGACTGCCGCTTGTTCGACGTAGTTTCAAATTTCTATTTATCCAACTTCAATTTTCGAACTTTTAGATGCCAGTGCTGAGTCCAACTGAGATCAAAAATTTGAAATTCAAAATAGCTCAATCTAAAACGGCATTTACAAATGATAAAAATGAAACTCACGAAGATACTATTAAACGACTTCGACCATTTGTAGAAGAGTAGGTTTTGTATTAAACAAACCTCTTTTGAAATCAGTGAAATTTGAAAAAAAAAGAAGAAAAATAGAGCGTTCAATGATTCAGTTTCTTTTTTGAAACCAACGGATAAACTCATTAAACTAACAGCGTTGTGGGAAGAAAGGATATTAGTACATATACGCCGATGGCCTTGATTTTACTGAGACCTTTCATTCTTCTTGGCTATGAGGACATTTATAATATCGAATGAAAAAAACTTTGATCATAAATAAAATCGAAAAATTATAGAGTAATGCACAGCAATAATGATATAGTTACGGTACTGATTTGTACACCGATGATTTGTGATGCCGTTCATGAAATTCTGACGAAACAAAAAAGAAAACATCCAGCAAAGTTGGCGAATATGGATGTTCTGGCCAAAAAAGTTGCAATTTCACTTTTTTTTTTAAAAGAAATTGATGATTTTAGATCCGAGGATATGAAAAAGTCAACAAATAGTAGTCGCTTTTTTCTTAGATTTAGTCAATAAACATTAAAATTCTTATTATTAATAAATATTAAATCTAAAATAAAATAAGCGAGATTTTTAATTAATGAGTTTTTTGACTTGAACTCCATTTTGATTGGTGTCATCATTTTGTGAAGCAATCGCAACATCGGACTCAGTTCCGCGGACAATCTTGGCGATTCCTTCAAGTTTGTTGGCAAGAGCAATTCTGAGATTCTGAAGGGATCTTCTCTTTCGGCCTCCACCACATCCGCAGCATCCTGAGAGAGTATTTTAGAAGTAGGGAACACAAGATAGACGATTACCACAGCATCCACATCCACATCCACAGCATCCGCAGCCGCCGCCTCCTCCGCCACAGCAACAGCAACATGGTCTACAGCAAGTGCAGCATCTGGTGCAACAGCAAGTTCTACAGCATGTACAGCATCGTCGACAGCAGCAACAGCATCTGTCACCACTAATGATCACATATTCCGTAATCGAATCGTCTACCTGGGTCTACAGCAACAGCATCCACAGCCACAACCACAGCAGCCACATCCTCCACCTTGTCGTTTTACTCGCGATTCTCCCAGTGTATCAATCGCAGTCTCTCCAGAAGCTGATGGCACAACTGCGAGTTCTGTGCTCGACACTGGCAATACAGCGCCTATTACCCCCTTCACGGAACAATCAATTAGCCGGTTTTAGTAAAAAGTAAATGTACATCTACCTCTTTAGTATATGCATGGAAAGTAATAAGTAAAATGATAGCTAAGATGAAATGATTCATAATCAGCCAAGCTTATGATAAACGGTTAGCCATGTTTAAATACTATGGCACATAAATCCCATTTTGACATGTCCGGAATACGCCAATATTTGCCTAGCCATGTTCATCAATCTGATCTCAAATCACGTCGGTCAGCGTGATACGTCAGTAACCAAACATTGAAAAAATAACAAAGCATTTAAAATACGCGGTATGAATAAATAGATGGATAGTTATGTTTTTTAATGAAAATATTTCACCAAAACTCAACTTATAATCTTATTGGTTATGATTTTTTTAAAGATCATAAAAAATGATGTTTAAACATTCAAAATTTCTCGTTGTAGTTAAGTCTTTGAGAAAATTAAAAATGCATTTAGTTTTTGAAATTTCAAAAATTCCTATTTTTATGATATTACGCAACATTATGATAGGCGCAAAATTGGCGGAGATGAAAAAAATGGCTATGTGTGACGTAGAGAGCACGAGTATATAAGCTGTGCAAGCGCGACAGATCGCAACAGTCATGCTTCGACTTGCATTTGCAACAGTCCTCGTCTTAACATTCTCGGCCTATTGGGGACAAGTGCAAGGCGCTGTGTTGCCAGTGTCGAGCACAGAACTCGCAGTTGTGCCATCAGCTTCTGGAGAGACTGCGATTGATACACTGGGAGAATCGCGAGTGAAACGACAAGGTGGAGGATGTGGCTGCTGTGGTTGTGGCTGTGGATGCTGTTGCTGTAGACCCAGGTAGACGATTCGATTACGGAATATGTGATCATTAGTGGTGACAGGTGCTGTTGCTGTTGTCGACGATGCTGTACATGCTGTAGAACTTGCTGTTGCACCAGATGCTGCACTTGCTGTAGACCATGTTGCTGTTGCTGTGGCGGAGGAGGCGGCGGCTGCGGATGCTGTGGATGTGGATGTGGATGCTGTGGTAATCGTCTATCTTGTGTTCCCTACTTCTAAAATTCTCTCTCAGGATGCTGCGGATGTGGCGGAGGCCGAAAGAGAAGATCTCTTCAGAATCTCAGAATCGATGCCGCCAACAAGGCTCTCGGAATCAACAGAAAACCATCAGCTGCTGCCAACTGCAAATTCTAATCAACCAGTTCAACCTGTCTTCTAATTTAATTATTTCAATATTTCATAAATTATTTCGTTCAGTAATTTTGAATCTGACAAATCAAAATCAGCATGCGTTTATGATTGTTTTAAATTGAAAAAAAATGTATTTGTGGAAAACACAGAATACTTATGTATTGTCGGAATCAAACGACTTGACGAAATTTAAAAAATTATTGGCTATGTGCCAATGCGTCTCGAGGCTATTGCGTACATTGCATTATAGCGTACGCGCATTTAATATTCAGTCAACGATTAATTTAAATCTACACTGATTTCGCGAGTTTGAATGCCCCGTCTCCCTTCAGTCGTTTGACGCCGACAATATATTGATATCTAACTATTATTATGAAGATTATGAAATCAAAGAAACAGCATGATTATGACCGATTAAGGGCTCTTCAAAAAAATTCATATTCGTAAAAAGATCTTACACAATATCACAGCAAAATTATTCAAGCTCCGCATTCCTAGTGTATACATTAACGTGCTCCCGAAGTCTTCAATTTATTCATCACTTTTTTATCAATCATAAACGCATGCTGATTTTGATTTGTCAGATTCAAAATTACTGAACGAAATAATTTATGAAATATTGAAATAATTAAATTAGAAGACAGGTTGAACTGGTTGATTAGAATTTGCAGTTGGCAGCAGCTGATGGTTTTCTGTTGATTCCGAGAGCCTTGTTGGCAGCATCGATTCTGAGATTCTGAAGAGATCTTCTCTTTCGGCCTCCGCCACATCCGCAGCATCCTGAGAGAGTATTTTAGAAGTAGGGAACACAAGATAGACGATTACCACAGCATCCACATCCACATCCACAGCATCCGCAGCCGCCGCCTCCTCCGCCACAGCAACAGCAACATGGTCTACAGCAAGTGCAGCATCTGGTGCAACAGCAAGTTCTACAGCATGTACAGCATCGTCGACAACAGCAACAGCACCTGTCACCACTAATGATCACATATTCCGTAATCGAATCGTCTACCTGGGTCTACAGCAACAGCATCCACAGCCACAACCACAGCAGCCACATCCCCCACCTTGTCGTTTCACTCGCGACTCTCCCAGTGTATCAATCGAAGTCTCTCCAGAAGCTAATGGTACAACTGCGAGTTCTGTGCTCGACACCGGCAATACAGCGCCTTGTGCCTATACGACTTATGTTTCTCTACTCTAAATGTAAATCTTCTTACCTGGTAGATGATGCATAAGCATATCACAACAAAAGTACAACTGAGGAGAAAACTGTTCATAGCGCTGCGAATTTTTGAAAACCAGCAGGTTTTATAAGCAAGAAATTTGTGGGTTGCTCGAAAAAACTTTGTCAGTCGGAATGTTTCGACTGTCAAACTATCGCGCGCCAACTGATCACGTAATAAGCGAAACAATCCAAACAACATGCGCCGAAAGAGTCTGCCGATCAACGAATAATGATGAAAAAATGGTATTTCCGTAAGAAATGAGCACGAGTATATAAGCTGGAGAATTACGTTTTCACATTAAGATAAAATGTTTCGACTTGCATTTGCAACAGTCCTCGTCTTAACACTCTCGACATATTGGGGACAAGTGCAAGGCGCTGTGCTGCCAGTGTCGAGCACAGAACTCGCAGTTGTGCCATCAGCTTCTGGAGAGACTGCGATTGATACACTGGGAGAATCGCGAGTGAAACGACAAGGTGGAGGATGTGGCTGCTGTGGTTGTGGCTGTGGATGCTGTTGCTGTAGACCCAGGTAGACGATTCGATTACGGAATATGTGATCATTAGTGGTGACAGGTGCTGTTGCTGTTGTCGACGATGCTGTACATGCTGTAGAACTTGCTGTTGCACCAGATGCTGCACTTGCTGTAGACCATGTTACTGTTGCTGTGGCGGAGGAGGCGGCGGCTGCGGATGCTGTGGATGTGGATGTGGATGTGGATGTGGATGTGGATGCTGTGGTAATCGTCTATCTTGTGTTCCCTACTTCTATAATTCTCTCTCAGGATGCTGCGGATGTGGCGGAGGCCGAAAGAGAAGATCCCTTCAGAATCTCAGAATCGATGCTGCCAACAAGGCTCTCGGAATCAACAGAAAACCATCAGCTGCTGCCAACTGCAAATTCTAATCAACCTGTTCAACCTGTCTCCTAATTTAATTATTTCAATATTTCATAAATCATTCATAAAAACAAACTTTTGAGTCAATCAAAATCGAATAAAAGAAATAATGCGTGACATCGACATGTCATCGAAAATAATAGATAATTGAGGATGCAAACTCAGTATTCTATTTAAAATACCAGGGAAACGATCATCTGAAATAGTTTCCTTCTCGTCCTAATTCGTTTTGGAGCAATTGCCGGTGAGCTAAGAATTGTGAATTATCCTCGATCTAATCAATCGAATTAGAAACTGAAAAATGGCCGATGACAATGTTTCATTCACGGATGCCGCTGAAACTGGAGCTGGAGGCGGAGCTAAGGGAGGCGGAAACTCGGCGATGCTCGATTTGATGGGGGCTTTGAATAAAGGAGAAGCTGCCTCGACTAAAGGAAAAAAGGGAAAGAAGGCGAAGAAAGGAAAGGGCGGAGGCGGCGGAAAAAAGAAGAGAAAGGCGGATCGTTTCGAATCGCAGAACTTTTTGTTCCGTATTGAAGGAACCATTTTTTTCGCTTCAATCAGTATATTTTTATGTGAATTTTATTTTTTGAAATATTGGTTTTTAGTTGTCGGTTGTGTTATACTTCTTACTTTCCTGATCGCTGGCTTCGTGTTTTCGATAACTACCGGTGGTGTTCTCGTCTACTACGTGCAACCGTGGTTCTCATAAATTCATTTGAAATATCAATAAATGGTTTTTTGGGTTTTTTTTTTCAAAAATGCGGAAAACTTGTCGAAAATTTAAAATTTTCTTTTTAGTTTTAGGTTTCCAGAGGCAATTTAAATAGAAAATGAAGAATAAATATGATTCGAATTAGACAAATACTACAGTCGAATAAAAGAGAAAAAAACCGAAATTTCGAATCGGGTACGAAAAATGAAAATATTTTGTTTCGAATAATAGCCAATCGGGTACGAACTAACACAAATCGGATACGATAAATTATTTTATGTTTTCGAGGCTGCGCGACTGCAAAGGTGGTCCTTCCGACTCGTGCTGTGATCAGAGCCGCACAGAATTTAAATTTTCTAAAAATGGAAGACGGAAGGCGGAACAGGAAAATGCCACGGAAGACTGAATTCCGTGCAGCTCTGACTGTGATAATCACCTTCAGATATGATTGCAGTTCGTTGAAAACGATAAACGTGATTATATGCGTACCGAATATCCCCTGAGACCGGCGGATCTCGCAGCGGTCTATTCGGGCATTTCCAATTCTTTAAAATATTCTGTGTATTGTAATATTCATAAGACTGGTTTAAATTTAAGAAAAAAATAGCTCCGCGCAAAATGCCGCAAGGCGATGAGCTGAGCGAGTGTTTTTACTAAGAGTACTGTAGAATTTCATACTTTTCTCATACTCTCATAAATCAGCATTGGATAATTATTTATTAAACAATAAATTGGGATGACGAAAATCTGAATCGTTTTGCGAAACGGAATTGTAGCTTAACACAGGCGAAACAAAAAAACTTTAATAAAGGAATCGCAAAAAGATGACCACTGGGATTTTCTTTCCAGCAACCGGATGCCCCGGAAAGCCGTGCGGAGACTTTCCGCAATTTAATATGAGAGATGGTTGAAAGTCTGTACAAGCTCTGCTGAGACTCGTCAAAGTCCGCACGAACCTCATACGACTTTCCCGAGCACAGTACCGTCATTTTCCAATTCTTGAATTAATTGAGAAAAAAGTCGAAAACAATCAAGTCTAATGCTGTCTAAAAATTAAGTGCGATTATATTCCCAAACAATTCCGAAAGTTCTTATATTTGTTGGAAAATTGCATTTCTCATTATATAATCTTTGTAAAAAATACTACATCTTTTTATATTTTTTCATCATTAACAGGTTATTTGATCACAATCAATTTGCCATCGATTTTTTATTATATGAATAAGTATGTACATAATGGAACGTTAAAGGAGTCAAGTAGTTCATTATTTATCGTATGTTTGACATCTTAAAATGTGATTTTACCACATTTTGAATTGGAGTTTTGTCTGTCTAACTAAAAAAAGTTGATTTGCAATCTGTCAAAATGCTCGAAGATTAACACGTATATTCAAATAATCGCCGCAAGATATCATGTTTATTTATGAGTGTTTCGTATGATGTCCGACGATTAAAAAAAGTGGTCGGCAATTGAGCACGAGTATATAAGCTGGGCAAGCGCGACAGATCGCAACAGTCATGCTTCGACTTGCATTTGCAACAGTCCTCGTCTTAACACTCTCGGCCTATTGGGGACAAGTGCAAGGCGCTGTGCTGCCAGTGTTGAGCACAGAACTCGCAGTTGTGCCATCAGCTTCTGGAGAGACTGCGATTGATACACTGGGAGAATCGCGAGTGAAACGACAAGGTGGAGGATGTGGCTGCTGTGGTTGTGGCTGTGGATGCTGTTGCTGTAGACCCAGGTAGGCGATTCGAATCGAACAGCTGATCATTAGTGGTGACAGGTGCTGTTGCTGTTGTCGACGATGCTGTACATGCTGTAGAACTTGCTGTTGCACCAGATGCTGCACTTGCTGTAGACCATGTTGCTGTTGCTGTGGCGGAGGAGGCGGCGGCTGCGGATGCTGTGGATGTGGATGTGGATGTGGATGTGGATGCTGTGGTGGAGGTCGAAAGAGAAGATCTCTTCAGAATCTCAGAATCGATGCCGCCAACAAGGCTCTCGGAATCAACAGAAAACCATCAGCTGCTGCCAACTGCAAGTGCTAATCAGCCGGTTCAACCTGTCTCCTAATTTAATTATTTCAATATTTCATAAATTATTGTTTTCATCCAATAATTTTTGTTTCAAAAATAGTAGCAATCAAAAAAGAAATATTTTCTGTACTTGAAGATCTTGAGTCAACAATTTTAACAAGTATGTCAATCTCGAGTCAACGGGCACACATCGTTTGTAGTTTTCACGAAGGTTTCGAATGAAGTTGTCAGCGAGTATTTCGGCAATGACAAAACAAATGGTCGAAGAACTTGATTAAAACGACAACTTTGCCGCCATCGCCTTCTTCTTCTCTTCTTTGTTCTCATCTTCTTTTCAGTGTCTACTTTTTCCATTTTTTTTATCGTGTCTCATCGATTTCCTCACACTGTTTCGATACAATTAATTATAATCGTCTCACATTCGAAACAGTTTTCTCGAATAAATTGTTGAGAAACAAAAATGATTGGAATCGATTTATTCGAATCCAATTTTCCTTGATGGCTTATTTTTTAATACGCACTCTATGAATATTATTTCTTTTTTGCGTTAATCATTTAAAAAGTTATTTTTTTGAGTTCAATCGAAACTTCGGACGATAAACTAAGCATCGTCGAAAAAAAATGATAAGGAAGATAAGCAATTGAGATTGGTGAGCATTTTTCTTTTTTTTCTTTCTTCTTCCACATTTCGCGTCGTATTTTTTCAAAAAGTACCACACCCAAGTTATCACCGCATTCCAGTGGCGTATCAAAAATCTGAATAATATAAATACCAAATGCGGTTCGTTGACTTTACTCGTTTGTCGATTTTCAAAAATGCTCAAAACCGCTAATTTCGGCTCGCAACTTTATAGAGAACCGCGTTTCTATAAGAAGAATACATTCAAAAATGAAAAGGTTTGGAAATTATTGTCAAATTTTTTTCATTTTTTGTTGAAATCAGTTCGTTGAAAAAAAATGAGAATTTGCAGAAAATAATGTCATCTTCTACTAGTCGATTAGATGGTCGATTTTGGCTTGAAGGAACTCCATATTTGTCCGAAGTGAATATTGGAACGGGTGCCTACGGTGTAGTGTGTAAAGCTTTAGATACGGTAAAGCAGTCTAATATGAGATGAGAATTATTGCGAAACATCGTTTTAAGCGTGTTAAAAAAGAAGTAGCCATCAAGAAAATACCTCGAGCTTTTACTGATGTTATTCTAGCGAAACGGTTGGTAAATTTTGGAAAAATTCACTTAAAAAGTGAAGAATTTTTAAGATCATTACGAGAAATTCGAATTCTTCGGGAGCTTCTGCATGAGAATATCATTGCAGTTTTAGACATGTTTACAGTCGAAGGCGTTCAGGTTGGTTTCATTTCATTTTCGACTGTTTCCAAATTAGCGTTTCCTTCTAGGGAAAGGATATTTATATTGTCATGGATTTAATGGAAACCGATTTGCACCAGATTCTTCATAGTCGACAAACACTCCTTGAGCAACACTTTCAATATTTTATGTATCAACTTTTACGTGGTTTAAAGGTACTTTATCATTTCTTATATTTTTTTTGAATGCATTTTACCAGCGATATAAGTGCAACAGAAATATTGTTTGTAAAGTGTGCAGACAATAATAACTAATTTTGGAAAACAAAAACTAAAAATGTATGATTAAAACTAGTTATTTTCTCGATCTGCATACTTGGTTATATAATCGGCGTCTGGTCGAGTGCTCTGTGCACGTGTAGATTTACGAGCGTGCGTCTTTCGCTGTCCCCTCTAACTGATTCTCTTGCATTCCATTGTTGCTGTATGTAACGTATTGTGAGCAAAATTGTGAGCAAACTCAATTCTATCGCGAAGTTAAATTTTAAAAAAAGGTTAAAGGGTCATAATACGTAATTTCAGATTGATATTATCAGTTGGATTATGTGGTGACTCATTCTGTTAGCCGTTTTTTTCAGAAACAGGCTATAATGTTGTAATAAGCATTTTTTATTTTAAGGAACCAATAATTATTTGCAGTCCAAATTTTGGCATTGAATAATCATTGTTATAGAAACGTAAGGGAAAGAATTTGCGAAAGAAATATTTCCCGATCTAAAAATATGGGAAAAAATAATTGTTTTCCTAAGAATACGACGAGAAGCTCATTTGCCAATACAGTGCGTTGCAGAATTATAAGGCCACCCCCAAATTTGAGCGCCGCGCAATGATTTCGATACTTTGAGACCAACCAGTGTTAAAATCGTGTTCAGCATGAAAAATAACCTATATGTACCAATTTTTATGTTAGTATCTTCAAAAGTAACCGCGCTGTGGTCCAAAACCGTTTTTTCGAGCGGTGCAGAATTATAAAGCCACCCCCATGAAACGAACTTTTTTTTTGAAACTTTGGCGGGACCAGTGTGCATAAAAATTGTTGTGTGCCTTTGAGAACCTACAGTGGTCCTTATTTTTCACATTTTGAATCATTTTGAAATGCCACGTGGTCGCTGTCTTAGTGCTTCTGAGCAATATCAGATTGTCGCATTCAAAACAGCAGGATGGTCGAACCGTCGGGTTGCGAAGAATTTAAACGGTCCGAAAACATTCGTAGACATCTTTGTGAAGGATCCAACTCGTGTCAACATGTCGCAAAATTCAGGCGGCAGAGGAAAACTGGACTATCGCGCTAATCGAGCATTGATTCGAGCAGCTTCGAGCAGTATGAAGTCTACAAATAGCATCAAGAAGAAGCTAAACTTCGACAAAAGCAAGTGGACAGTTTGGGGAACCATCAAGAATAATCCCAACATCGCTAGAGAAAAAATGAAGCCGGCCCCGCGACTCACAGAGGATTATAAAATTCGACGCCTTGAGTTCGCATTCAAAAACATGAATACGGATTGGAACAAGGTGTTCACATTCGAGAATATTGTGAATAATAACCATTCAAACTTCAACAGGTTGTTTTTTTTTTCCGATGAAAAAAAAAATTAATTTGGATGGCCCAGACGGCTATAACAGTTTCTGGCCCGAGTTATGAAAGAATCGCCTCCTGCTTTCAAAACTCAATTTTAGAGGAGGAAGCGTGATAGTATGGGGAGCTTTTTCGGCGGCCTGGTTTCTGGAAATTGCTTTTCTGACGAGTAAGGTGGACTCTTCGGACTATCAGAATGTTCTTGAGAGCCATCTTCTTCCATTACGACGTCATTATTGTCGTTTTTCAACAGGACAATGCGGTCATTCATGTGAGTCGGTCTACTTTGGACTGGCTTCAGTCTCACAGTGTGGACGTTCTCGACTGGCCAGCATGTTCTCCTTTTTGGAGTCCCATGTAGAACGTCTGTGGAGAGTTAGTACGGCGTCTCTATGGCCAAGGAAGGAATTTCGGGGAGTTGGAGAGCTCAAAACCGAAATCGGAGTCGAGTGAAAGACGTTAGATCAGCAATTCAAATCTAGATCGACCCACCTTCTCAAATCTATGCCAGACCGTGTTTCTGACATAATTACCTCGAATGGAGGTGCCACTAAACATTAAACTGTCGTTATCTTTGAGTTTATAACGTATTTCATGGGTGTGGCTTTATAATTCTGCACCGCTCGAAAAACGGTTCTGGACCACTGCGCGGTTACTTTTGAAGATACTAACATAAAAATTGGTACATATAGGTTATTTTTCATGCTGAACACGATTTTAACACTGGTTGGTCTCAAAGTATCGAAATCATTGCGCGGCGCTCAAATTTGGGGGTGGCCTTATAATTCTGCAACGCACTGTAGAATCCGATGTTATTGAAATAAAATGCCAAAAGAATTAACCAAACTTTATCCGAGATTTTAAAAATTATTTTTCGTTATTCAATATTTTATTATTTGTCCCCAAAATACCTCTAAATATCTGCAATATGTCCAAGTGTTTAAATCAAAATTGGAATTACCAAAACTGCAAACAGCCTCAGTTCATATAAACCATAATCCACACTATCCTTCAGAGTGGTGCATGGAAACTCTCCTCCTCGGCTGCGCGTCGAACCCGCGGTCCTCGCGTCTCGCGCGCATACACTAACCAATACACCATGGCAGCTCCTCCTTGCTGCGGACATATACTCGCTTATATGACATTTGTCGGCGACAATGAGAGAGGAAAAGAGATAGAGCGAGTGTAACCCGGCAAAATTTCTCTCGGGGACGGGGAGGTGGTCAACCTCGGCCCCCGACATTAACATGAGTCGTCGAGACTCCCGAATCGGGAGCCTTTTTTGAATGGCCAACGTAAAAAACCGGGTGAGGTAGAATATAGCTGTTTACGAAAAAAATCGTCCGCCTATGCAGTCAAATTTGGTGAGCTCCATATGGCACCACAAGTTGATTTCGGCTCCTCCAGAATATAATAAGCATCATCATCGTCATATATTATTGAAATCCAATGAAAAGAACTCGAAAAAAAAAACATATACCACTTTTAAAATTTCTTATAATATTCTAGAATTTATTACAGAATTTATTTGACTCTCAAAATATTTTATTTAATTTGCCTGAGAGAGACTGATTTCTCCCGATTTATAAGCTTCCCACTCGTGTTGAGCCCATCGCATAAATAGGTGGTGAGAGTGAAACGACAATGAAGACCAGACATTGTTTGCTTTTGGTCCTTCCCGTTGATTAAAGATATGCCTAATTCCGATGGAGTAACATCGATATTATTGGCCACATAATTCGCTTACTGTAGGGATAACGAGATTTTCCCGCGTATTTTGACAAGGAATAATCAATCCAACGTATTAAACACACTTATTATCAGGGTTGTTAAATTTTGGGCCCGGCTTTTTTCGCTGTCAAATTTTCGGCCCGCGATTCGGCCCCCGACTCCGTTGTTTACGGCCGCACGGCCGAAGCGGGAATTCAAAAAAAAGCCGAAAGCCGGCCGAAAGCCGGGCCGGCCGGCCGGCTTTCGGCCCCGGCTTCAATTTACCAACCCTGCTTATTATTACAGTATCTTCATTCTGCTGGAATTGTCCACCGTGATCTGAAGCCATCGAATATTCTTTTGAACGGAGACTGCCTCTTGCGAATCGGTGATTTTGGAATGGCACGATCATGCGCTTCTCAAAACACCCTTTGCGATGATTCGAATGTCAGCGGACACATGACGGTATAACACACGGATTCAAGAATACCTCAATTAGTTCCATTTCAGCAATATGTATCCACAAGATGGTATCGAGCCCCTGAAATATTATTTTCAATGCTAGAATATGATACGAAGTTGGACACAAATAATTTTCAACATTTTTCGAATATTTAAGGGTCGATTTATGGTCAGCTGGATGCATTTTTGGCGAAATGTTGTTGCGAAGACAATTATTTCCGGGGAAATTCGACGAGTGCTCGCAAGTCAAATTGATTATTTATTATTTGGGAACACCGGATAACGAGGTGAAAACTTTGTGAACAAAATGGAAAAAAATAAACGAGCACCCTGGGTATTTGCGGACCATTTTCACGGTTTTGACGCGGTATTTCAAATTTTAATTTAAACAGCGGAAATTCGAGTACCGTACTACAAATAACCTGCGAATCAAAACCACAGACTTTTATAAATAAATTACAATAGTGGTGCTCGTTTTTTTTTGCATTTTTAATATAGTCGGCATCTGTACTCGGGTAGATTTACGAGTGAATGGGTCTCGCCACGTGTGAAGATTACTTTTAACTTTTTACGTGAACTGTTTAATTTTTCTGATTAGTAATTTATTTCCTTATTTACTTAATATCACTGAGACTAAAAATCAACGAAATGATATCTAAAATGACAAATAACGAGTTATTCCGTGCGAGACCAGTTATTCCGTGCTAGACGAAGATGCATTTACGTAAATATACCCATGTTCAACAGTCGCCGGATGTCGACTATATCATATGAATAAAAAAAATTGAAGGTAATGGAACGGGTGAGCCGAAAGAAGATAAAAGAATGGATTCTTAGCTGTGACGTTAAAGATCCTCTTCCATTTTCGTCGATCTTCCCAAAAGCCAGTGATAGTGCACGTGATTTCATTTCCCATGTAAGTTTTTAGAATTATATCACCAAAAAGAATAACTGTAGACCATCGTATATTTTCGGGCGGTAATTCAAATTTCGACTTAAACACTCGTAATTCGCGAAACATAATACGAATAACCTGTGAAATTCAGTTTTCCTTTATATTTTATGAATTACATTAACGAGTATGCTGTTTTATAGCGATTGAATGGAATCATAAATTAATATTTCCTTTAAAACTACCAATGCTACACATTGCTATACTTTGTTTTTAGAAAATCAACACAAAAAAAAATGAAATTTGATAAAGTTTGAGATGTTATAGAATCATTGTCGATTGGAATTTCAGATGTTGCAAATGTCTCCATGGAAGCGAGCATCTGCGGCCGACATTTTGAAACATCCATTCCTTGCCCAATATCATAATGATTCTTATGAGCCATTATGTCTGCCAAGGTTTGAGTTAAACAACGAATTGATTTTGAAGGAAAATTAGATATTTAGAGTTCAAGTGAGCGTAAACTCAATAGAACAATACAGTGGTGCACAAGTGGTCGCCGGTCTCGACGAAGAGGCGAAAATCTTCGAAATGCGTCGCGGAACCGCCTATCAGACGAGGTTAGCGGAGCGCGACGTCTCCTCAACAGCTTTGAGTAAACTAGCACCGCCAATCGTTGGTTAACTACTAACATTTGTCATTGAATTCGATCACTCACGACTTTGCTTTGACACACTCGCTTTATATGTGCAATTGCTTTTGAATAAACATGTTCATGTTTTGATGAATGTTTGCAGAAAAGAATGCCCCCCAGATTTAGATGAGAACTCTGAATTGAGTTATGTTGTTGATAGAGAAGGCCAGCATGGCCCTCGACAAGATCCGACCGATTATCTTGGAGTGATGAAGAGTTTGTCGGATGGAGCAAATTTCAGAAAACATGCATTTTTAGATGACTGTATGGATGCAAAAGTTGAGAGTGATGATGGTTCCTCGACTCCGACAAGTCTTTCTTCGGCAGAAACAATCGATACTATTCGAGAAGTTCACACAAACAAACGGTGAGATTCTAAATAATGTGCAAAACGAAAAATATGAAATGTCATATAAAATTGGAAGGAAATAATTTCAGAAATTCGGAAAGTAGGGAGAGCGCGACGGGAGTTGAAAACGATTCTTCCAATAACGACGAATCAGTTTTCAAAAATGGAATCGAATGGCCTTTGGAGGAAGCAAGCACCTCCAGTGCGCCACCGATTCTCCACAAGTGAGCTCATTCAAGGACCACATATAATCGAATTTTTTGTAAATGCTCAAACTCAAACAATTGCAGAGTATCAAATGGCTCGAAACCATCGAAGAATCTTTTCGAAAAACGGCTAGTCGATCGAATTCGTGAAGAATACAGCGATCGACGTCGAATGCCCAAAATTCGGTACAAACGAGCCAATGTAAAAATTGTTATCTGAACGGCTTCTGATTGAAACGATTGTAGAGTGATGCTGCTTCTAGCGAAGATCAACAAAAAATGGCACGAGCAAAACTGCGGAAATCGCGACAAGAGCTCCGAAAATGTAGCAACGACGAGCATCGTCGGAAGCCCGATTGATATTATAGAACTAATAATAATCTAATAATAATAGATCTAATTATTTTATTATGTACAAATCTATTTTTTCTGTTAAGATGTAAAATGAACTTTTCTATACTCGTCGACATCTCTCAAAGTGATTGGGGTAACTGAGAGTGCTGGGTCTGAAGATTTAAACAATTTTTCAGCTTCGTCTAAAATCAATAATTTAAAAAATTAATACAAAATTTCTCACCGCAAACAGTTTTTAAATTATCTCCTTGTGCAATATCATACTGATAACCAGCAGCCATTATTAAAGGAACTACGGGAATGATCACGTCCTACAAGAATATACGCATTAATTAGGTTTTAAATGTCTTGCACAATGTTGAAATGTTAATGTTTATCCGACGTTTCGATCTTTAGATCATCATCAGGGAAGGTCAATTTACCTACAAGATAATAAGTAATAGATTGGTCAAAAAAGGAATAAAAGAGTTAAGTTGTAAGTATCAATCAGAAAACAAACAAACCATAAGAACAAATCAAGAAACAAAACAATGTCCAATACGTAACACAAAAATATGTTAGGAGCGTTAATGTGAGGATGTAAGTAGATCAAAAAATTTTAGAGAACTAGAGGATAGGTTTAGAAAAGTTTTTTTAGCTATGACTAAGAGAAATCCCCTCGAATTCCCAAATCCGAGACCAAATCTATAAGTTCTTCTTTAGTATTAAGTTCAGGATTCTTGGTTTTAATATAAATTCCTTCCAGTATTCTTCGACGAGTTGTGTTCCTCTCAATATCTAGTATTTTAATAGAAAGTTGTAAGGGCTCCCCGTTATGAATTTCAAATGAGTGTTTAGACCAAACCGTGTTTTTGTATGATTTTAGATTTGGTTTCAACGCAGCTCTAGCATGTTCGTTGAAACGAGAAGCTAAAGGCCTTCCTGTTTCACCGACGTAACTCTTTCCACAACCACATTTGATTTCATAAATGACTCCTTTAATGGTACAAGTACCAACTCCCAGCTCCGGACAAACCCTGCAACCTCTACCCTCACATCGAACATCAAAAATACGATTTTTGACAAGGATGTCCCTAAGTGATTTACCTTTAAGTTCTACTACAGTGACATCCAAGTCAACTTGTCTAAGTGATGTTTTAATTATTTGAGTAGTGGTATCGGAGATAAACGGAACCGGAAGTACATTTTTTATGATTTTTTCTGGATATGGGAGGTTATGCCTTTTAGGTCTAGATCTATTTGTAATGTTATAACCATTAGAGGCCAAAACTTCTTTAGCCAAATTTTTTGAAAAAGTTTTATATTCCGGAGAAGAAAGTTTTTCAGCAGTTTTTATGGTAGAAATGACCGTATTTCGTTTTTGTTGATAGGGATGGTTGGAATCAAACCGGATGAGAATGTTTTTGTTAGAAGGTTTTCTATACCATCTGGTGACGAAAATATTGTTCTTATATGAAATCTCACAGTTAAGGAAAGCCAGCCACCCATTATTAGGAGATTCTCTAGTCAAACATATATGTTCGGCTTGAGAATTCAAACTATGGAAGACCCTATCCAAAACATCTTGAGACTCCGCAATAACAATATAATCATCAATATATCTCTTAAATAGAATGGTGGGAAAGTTTTTGCTAGGATTTTCAATTTTGTCCATATATATGACGGCAAGTACTGGAGCTAATCTACTACCCATTGCTAGGCCACGATTTTGAGCGTAGTACTTTCCATCGAATTGGAAAAAATTGAAACCGAGGCAAGTTTTTAGAAGTAATTTAAGATCACGAAAAGAAACTCCATACCATTCTATTTCAGAGGAATGTTTCTCCAATTTATCGATTACTGCATTGAAGGCTGATGTGTTGTCTATATTTGTATATAGGGATTCCACATCAAAACTTTCAAAGTAAAGATCACCGGTGTGGTTAACTCCATTGATAGCATTAAGGAGTTCAGCGGTGTTTTTGAAATGACAACCGACAAATTGGAGAAGTTGAGAGATTATGGTACAAATAACCCAAGAAGGCCGGTCCGTGGGTCCACCCGCACCAGAAATGATTGGACGAATTTTTGCCGAATAAGGGGTTACCTGCTGCTCCCTTTCCACGAATTTGTGAGTTTTGAAAAGAGCATAAAAAGTATTTGTGGATGGGTGACAATCAGTCAGGCGACTGACAATCTTCTCATTCCAAGAATCAAAAATAAAATCTAGATCATTTTTTAAGGTTTTACAGTCGTCGAAGAATACTGGAAGGAATTTATATTAAAACCAAGAATCCTGAACTTAATACTAAAGAAGAACTTATAGATTTGGTCTCGGATTTGGGAATTCGAGGGGATTTCTCTTAGTCATAGCTAAAAAAACTTTCCTAAACCTATCCTCTAGTTCTCTAAAATTTTTTGATCTACTTACATCCTCACATTAACGCTCCTAACATATTTTTGTGTTACGTATTGGACATTGTTTTGTTTCTTGATTTGTTCTTATGGTTTGTTTGTTTTCTGATTGATACTTACAACTTAACTCTTTTATTCCTTTTTTGACCAATCTATTACTTATTATCTTGTAGGTAAATTGACCTTCCCTGATGATGATCTAAAGATCGAAACGTCGGATAAACATTAACATTTCAACATTGTGCAAGACATTTAAAATAAAGGGTCATATCAAGAAGATCTCTTCTACTTATCAATAATCCACACGATGCACACAAAACAAGTCGCTCCACAACTCACAAAACGCATTAATTAGGATTTAATTAGAATAAAGATCGTGTACCTTGCGTTTATAAATGGACCCTGCTGCTAATAACACAATAGTAGTAGTTGCTGCTCCAAGAATGTACCATCCTAATCGATCTTGCTGTTCGGCACGCTGAATGATGGGAGATCATTTTTGTTTTTTCATTGAATATTCATATCCATATCTACGTATGTTTATAGAGAATAGAGCATTTTGCATCCGAAAGGTTTTTTACACATATGGAAACACAATTCGAAATGTTGAAAATTGAATTACCTCTAAAGCCTTAGACTGAGCAAGCCGGGTGTTTTCAGCCATAATTTTAAATTCCATCTGAAAAAAAAGTTGAATTTTGCGAATAGATAAGCTCTGACCTGTTCGTCATAGTATTTTCGTAGAACATCAGCATCAGCTTGTTTTCCTTGAGATTGGCCCATCTAAGATTCTCTTATACATTGGAACCAATAAAAACAGATAGGTATGGCATTTACCAGAATTGTAATAACCAAATATAGTTTTATTAAAATTTCAATTTTTATGAACCCGTAAAATAGCACTTTAAAAAATGAATCTAACCTACAAAAAAACTAATAATTGCTATATGAATGATTTCAAATTTCATCGTCAACAAGATTCTTAAGCTGTTTCGCTCGTCGTCGAATATCAGAAATCGATGGTGGAAGAGGAACAAGGTTTCCGGCATTTTGCTCGAGAATATCGTTGACTTGGTCTGAAAAATAATCGTTTAAAAAACTAATTTAACTTAACTTAGTTCATTAACGAATTGCAAGACAATATGTTGAACGAGAAAGAATAAAAATATGAAAAAAAAAAAAGAAAAAATCTTTTTGTAACAGGGCATTTTTGTATTTTATATTTTTACTAATTAAAGAAAAAATAAACAAACCATTAATTCGTTGTAATTGATCACCGTAACAATAATGAGTCTTGTACCCAAGAAAAGCTGCCACTGGAAACATAGGAACCACGTGGAAAAGATTTCTGAGAAAAGAAAGATCGAACGTTTTCGTTTTTTTTTTTTAATAATTACTTGTGGTAAATGCTGGAAATTGCAGATACTAAAATAAGAAGTCCTCCACCGCAAGCTTCCCAATTAAGTTTTTCTCGTTGCTCGGCAATATGATAGGCTATTCTCCGCTTTTCTTGAAGTTGCGCAAACGCAATTTCTCGCTCCATCTATTAAAAAATATTAAAAAATTAAAACGAAATATTGAATTTTTCAACATAAAATTTACCCGAATTTTTTCCAAATTTTCTATCGTTTGATTCACATTTATGGACGGCTGAGAAGAAAAATAGGCACCCATATTGTTCTGAAAATAATAGTGGCCTAGAAAAAAATACACTAACGCAGCCACGGCCATCATATGTGATAAGCAAAATTTCCAAAATAAATACTCAACAAATCGTACTGTACGGCGTTAATAGAGATTTCTGCGAAACGCGGAATATTGAAAATTATTCACCAATAGACGGAATACTGAAAGAACTAAATAGTCTATTGAATTAAGCGTAGCAATTTCAAATAAATATTTTTGATTTTAAAATTATTCACAATATCCATTCATTTTGCAATAAAATTTTAATTTTACTGGTTTTACGAACTCTTTTTTACGAATGCTTCTGGAAAATGTGCTAGAATTTAAAACTAGATATCACTGTAATCTGACAAATTACGGGAGCGAAGCGTAAAAATTTATACAAATCTACAGCATACATCAAAGATGAACCTACAGTATACATCAAAGGCGCATTCGATTATTCTATATATATATATATATATTGCAAATCAATATTTGGCCTGAATTTTTTGAATTTCCGACAGCTGCCAACCTTATATATGATCGAAGACCGTCGGAATTATAAATGGTTTAAGCAGAATACAGATTTATTTTTGTTGTGAAAATAACACATTTTGTATGCGCCTTTAAAGTGTACTGTAGTTTTGCAAGTCGATTCTCAGTCAATGTGTAAATTACTGACGAAAATTCAAATTTTGCCCCCTCCCCCCCGGGCTATTTCTAACTTTCTTGGAAGAAAATAGCAAAAAAAAAAATACAAACACACAACGAAGTCGTATATTTCATGTGTGGCGTACGTAACAGGTTTATCCTACTCGGAAAAGACTTCCAACATGGACTTACATACACAAACTAGTACTACAATTGGTTATCATCTCCGCCTACAGTAATACACCAATCTCAAAAGTGCACCAAAATGTAATGTTTTTTCATCATTCCGAATGTTGAGGAGCGAGCGGGTGTTTGTCTCCGTCACCGCTTTTGCTGCTGCTGCTATATGAACGAACATCTGTTGTAAACTCGACGACGCAACGTGGCCTGTCTTAGTTTTGTCCTCCAAGGGTCAGGCTCAGTGTAAACTATGGGATGGGTCCGGCATCAGAAACTGTGAGCCATCTCACGTATACTTCCCATTTGCATACCACTCCGGTTTTAATACAGCCGTCCGCGCGAAACTTTCTCAGTTCGTCACTCCGTGTCATATATAATTAGCATCGTCCTCACATTCGAAGCCCTCATCTTTTTGTTTCGAGACGCAAACCAACGCGAAATGTATTAATATTTATGTTTCATTTTGAATGATTCACAAGATTGTCGAATTTGGGTATCGTGGCTTCGCAAAACGTGTATTCCTGGTCCCACCAAAAAACATTCTAGAATGTGCGGTCTCTCAAGTTCTCATACTATTTCACCACCTATCGTGATGCTCCTTACAAAAGAGCGGCAAATTGACCTTCAATAACGTTGTTTTCAATCATTAAACTATTCGAAGTTTATATTTCAATTTAAAAAGAAATGAGAATATCCATAAAAAAAAGTAATTCCGTTTAATAATGCCGTTTCCACTTATACCACAAAGAATACTGCAATTATTCTATTTAAAAGCACAATACGACCTTCATTCCCGATCCATTTAACAATCAATCCAATACGACATTTTGTTAGAAAATATTGAGAAATTGGGCAATAATAATGAAAAATATCCCTCTCATAAATGTGTGAAAAAGTTTGTTACCCCAGCGTTTCCCGCGATAAAACAAAATGTTGAGGAAACAAATAATAATAATAATAATCAATTGTTAAAAGTAATAAACCACACTCTTCAATCAGATCTTCAAACATTAATTCTCAACATTCTACTCTATTATCTTCGAGATTTCCCGTTTTCAATACACAACCCCTCCTTTTTTAGAATGGGCATACCTACCAAATTGCTGGCACTTATACTCGTATTTGTTCAATTAACGCGAGTATCGACATCCAATAGTCAAATCGAGTTCATAGTGGTCACAATTGCCACTGAAGAAACGGATGGTTTGAAACGATTGCTCGAATCTGCCAAGGCATTCGACATTGACGTCGAGGTATTGGCATTAGGACAACAATGGAACGGCGGAGATACCAGAGTAGAAGCAGTAAGTATCGTTGTATTTATTTATAATTGATGTGTTTATTTTGAAGGGAGGAGGACAAAAGATTCGAATTCTCTCCGAATGGATAGAACAACACAAAGACAAGAAAAACACGATGATCCTATTCGTTGATGCCTACGACGTGGTATTCAATGCCAGAATTGAGGCAATCATCGCGAAGTACATCGAACACTTTTCGGACAAACGCGTCGTTTTCGGTGCCGAACCGTTCTGTTGGCCCGATGAGACGTTGGCAGCCGAATACCCACTCGTTGAATTCGGAAAACGCTTTTTAAATTCTGGATTATTTATGGGATTCGCTCCAGAACTCTACCAGATTTTGAAGCATAAAGAAGTCAAGGATAAGGATGACGATCAACTTTATTACACATTGATCTATCTCGACGAAAAATTAAGAGTTCGTTTTATCAATTGTCAATTTTAGAACAATTAGTACAATTACAGAAAGATCTTTCAATTGGGCTCGACTCAATGTCGAGAATTTTCCAAAATCTTCACGGAGTTGTTGATGATGTGGAATTGCAATTTAAAGACGATGGAAAAGCAATTGCTTATAATGCTGCTTATAACACGAATCCACTAATCATTCATGGGAATGGTTTGAGTAAACTTCAATTGAACTATCTTGGTAACTACCTCGGAAACAAGTGGAATTCTAAAGAAGGATGTATTCCTTGTGGAGAGAAAACACATCTCGATTTTGATGTATGTTTCTCAAAGAAAATAAACTTAAATCATCAATTACTTTTTAGAAGCTTAAATCTGACGATGAGCATCCTTTAATTGGTGTCAACTTATTCATCGCAAAACCAATTCCATTTGTCGAAGAAATGCTCACAGCTCTCGCAGAAATTGATTACCCAAAGAAGAGAATTGCTCTGTTTATTTATAACAACCAGAAATTTTCTATTAAAAATGTGGGAATGAAAACAAAATTAAATTTTATATCTAACCAAATTTAGATCATGACATTTTTGGAAATGTACGGAAAACAATTCTACACAAAGAAGGTTATCAACGGAGTTACTGAAATCGGAGAAAGGGAGGCAAGAAATGATGCATTGTAAGCACGAAATTTTAGATTTACAAAACGATTTTGAATTCTAGAAAATGGGTTAAAACACACAATGTCGACTATGTGATTAACTTTGATGGCGATTCGTTTGTTACTGAAAAGAAACTCTTCAAAGATCTTATCGAATACTCCGCCAATCAGGACATGTTTGTTTAATTGTTCTGTTGGAAACCAAAATTCTGGAATTTTTAGCGGAATCGTGGCTCCAATGATTGGCCAATATGGAAAATTATTCACTAACTTCTGGGGAGCTGTTGCACAAAATGGATACTATGCGAGAAGTGAGGATTACATGGCAATTGTGAAAGGAAACCGAATTGGTTTCTGGAATGTAAGAAAAAAAAGACAAAGATTTAATTCATTCTAAAAAATCCTTGCAGGTTCCATTCATCACGTCTATAGTTCTTATTAACAAGCACAAACTGAATGCCATGACGACTCCGTTCTCTTACAACAACAAAATTGATCCTGATATGTCATTCTGTCAATGGGCTCGTGATAATGTAGAGAATTAAAACTTTAAATAAAAAAAATCTAATTTGATTCATTTAAGGGTCATTTCATGTTCGTCGACAATCAAAAGTTCTATGGGTTTCTTATTGTCAGCGACGAGTTCGCCGAAACTGTTACACACGGAAAATGGCATCCTGAAATGTGGCAAATCTTTGAAAATCGAGGACTATGGGAGAAACGATATGTTCATCCAGATTACTACAAAATCATCGCAGAAGGGGCCGTTGTCGACCAAGCGTGTCCAGATGTATACGACTACCCGTTGATGTCGGAAAGATTCTGTGAAGAAATGATCGAAGAAATGGAAGGATACGGAAAATGGAGCGATGGAAGCAATCGTGATGAAAGGCTTGCTGGAGGTTATGAGAATGTTCCTACCCGCGACATTCATATGAATCAAATTGGTTATGAGCGTCAGTGGCTTTATTTCCTTGATGAATTTGTTCGTCCCGTACAAGAGAAAGTCTTCATTGGATATCATCATGCAGTAACTCGAAATGTACGTACATTCAACTAAAAGTCTATTGATTTCAGCCAGTTGAAGCTAATATGATGTTTGTTGTGCGCTATAGGCCAGATGAACAACCATCTTTGCGTCCACATCACGATGCGAGCACATTCAGGTAAAAATTAATGCTACATAAAGAAAGTATTGCTTTATCAGAAAAATATGAAAGAAAAAGACAATCCCACTTACTAGCTTTACCTAAAATCACATTATTTCAGCATTGATATCGCTCTAAACAAAAAAGGAAGAGACTATGAAGGCGGCGGAGTTCGTTATGTTAGATATAATTGTACAGTCGAGGCGGATCAAGTCGGTATGTTAGAATTATGAGAAAAATGTTAATAGAAATGAAATGTATTTTCGAACGGATTAAGGACTAAATTTACGAAATTCCGCAGTTTTATGGCCGAGTAAAAGTTAGGCCGTATTAAATTTTTCTATAGAAGATCTACACCAGTAAGTAGGTCGCGAAAAGCCTTAAATTTGACAGTTTTTTGATGCGCTAATATAGCAAGATAATTATATTTTAAAGCAAAAGCGAATTTTTTCATTGAACGATTTATTTAATTTAAGGCTACGCCATGATGTTCCCCGGAAGACTTACTCACCTACACGAAGGTTTGCCAACAACGAAGGGCACTCGCTATATTCTTGTCTCATTTATTAATCCCTAATTTCGTTAAATTCTTTTTGGTTCTATTCATTTTGTTGCTATTTATTGGTGGTTTCTCTATAAGTGCTTTAATTTATTGCTGTGCTTTCCCTACGGGATGTTACCTTCATTCATGTTTAGTATCATAAACTTTGTATGTACCTCTGAAATTATTTATTTTTTTTGGTTCTCGTCCCGTTATTTTCTAGATGTAAAAATAAATAACCAAGCAAATATTTGAAGATGCATGTAAGGAAGTTAGGAGGTTGTTGTCACATTGTCAAACGAGCTTTTTCATGTCACACTGACGCGGATGTCATCGTAATCGGTATTATAAAGAAGGCGGAGCTTAAATAAATACAAATTTAGGAGGTGGTCATGCAGGATGTGAAAGTGCTGCGGCTTCTGCTAGGAGTGGAGCGAAAACTATGCTAATAACGCATGATATGACAAAAATTGGCGAAATGAGCTGCAATCCAAGTTTCGGAGGAATTGGCAAGGGCCATTTAATTCGTGAAATTGATGCGTTAGATGGTTTATGCGCAAAAGTTTGCGATCAATCAGCAATTACATATCAAGGTGATTATTTTAATTTTTTGACGAACAATTATATTTTAAGCATTGAATAGAGCTCAGGGACCCGCCGTTTTAGGTCTGCGGGCACAAATTGATCGAAAATTATACCGAAGTAATATGCAAAAGGTGAATTGCATTTAAAATATAACAAATAAAATTCAATATAGGCTATGAACACATGTAAGAATCTCGATATTGTCGAGGGAGAAGTTGTCGAATTAACAGTTAAAGAATTGAAAGGAAATCTGGAAATCGTTGGTGTGAAAATGGGAGATGGAAAAACTATATCGTATGTTTGTCAATTTTAATGAAAATTATTGAAAAATGAAATAATTTTTAGAACAAAATGCGTCATAATTACTACTGGAACATTTTTGAGAGGAGAAATTTATCAAGGTCTTAAAACATGGCCAGCCGGACGAATTGGAGAAAAAGTAACGTTGTTACTAAAATAATCGTTTGTTATCAATTCATTTTAGAGCTCAAATGAACTTTCAAAAAGCTTTTTATCCCTTGGATTTAGTCTCGGAAGGCTTCGAACAGGAACTCCGCCGAGACTTGTAATGGAAACTATAGACTTTTCCAAGTTTCAAGCTCTTCCACCTGATTCGAAACCTATTCCATTTTCATTTCTAACAAAGAGCATTTGGTTGCCAGTGGAGAAACAGGTAAGCGACAGACCATTCTCAAAATGATTTTGTGACTGCTTTAAGCTTCCAACCTACCTCGGATATACAAATGATGAACTTTGTCGAATTGGACTTGCTAACATGAAAGAAAATTTGCAAGTAGCAAGTGAAACAGTCAGCCCTCGATACTGCCCGTCTCTTGAATTGAAGCTCATTCGATTTCCCAAACTTCATCACAGGGTGAGTGTGCACATTTTCGAAACAATTATCCAACACAATTTCAGCTATTTCTTGAACATGAGGGCCTCGATTCTAATCATATTTATCCCCAAGGAATGTCGATGACATTTCATCCTGATGTGCAAAAGCGAATGTTGCGAACAATTCCGGGTTTAGAAAACGTATTAGCTAGAAAAGAGTACGACAATTAACTTTAAGTGTTTAGGTAGAGTTCTTTCAGCCTGGATATGGCGTACAGTACGATTATGTCGATCCTAGACAGTTGAATAAAACTCTCGAAACGAAAAAGGTAAGGGGAATGTTCCTTGCGGGACAAATTAATGGAACAACCGGGTACGAGGAAGCTGCAGCTCAAGGTATTGGGGAACATCATCAATCACGAATTCGAATTTACTTTCAGGTGTGATAGCTGGAATTAATGCGGCCGCTCGTTCACAAAATGAAAACGGAATGACAATTTGCAGAACTCAAGGATATATTGGTAATCATCATTAATTTATGTCGAAATTCATACATTTATTTCCAGGAGTTTTAATAGATGATTTAACGAGTCTTGGTACTAATGAGCCGTATAGAATGTTGACATCACGAGCAGAGTGCCGTCTTCATTTGCGGTATTTGTTCTGTTGATCAATTATGAAATATTTCCATTTTTAGACCCGACAATGCGGATATGCGTTTAACCGAAATGGGACGGCGATTTAATGCAGTTGGTAATGAACGGTAGTTTTTATTATTCAAAAGCAACAGTTTTGAAACTAGCGGAATATTTAGATGGCAACAATTTTGCAATGTTAAAAGGGATCTCGAAATTATGAGAGAAGAAGCTCGAAATATTTCGATGAGTTTGGCAAAATGGAAGAGAATTCTTCCAAAATTGAAAACGAAAAATGATGCGAAAGGTATTTTGTGTTCTATGTATTATTAAATCGAGTTAAATCGTTTCAGTTTTGTCTGCTTTTGAAATGATTCATCGATTTGATTTGACATTTGAAGATTTTAATTCGGTCATAGAACAAAAATTTTCTGATAATCAATCTGAAACATTCGAAAGGCTTAAAATCGAAGGAATGTATCGATTGGAAAATGAGCGAATGAGAGCGAAGGTAAAGAAAAATCCCAAATTTTCAATAATCAATGTTTTTAGGCAAATGAAATTGAAAAGGAATCGGCCACCCAAATCCCTGATGATATTGATTATTCAGAAATGAAGGGATTGAATTTAGAAAGTATTGAAAAATTAGAACGAGCTAGACCACGAAACTTAGCAGCCGCAACGAGGTACGCTACATCTCATAATTGTCTTTAATTCTAAATTTTTTTAAAGAATTTCTGGAATTACTCCAGAGGCGATTGTTGTTCTTCTTCGACATTTGAAATCTCCAAAGATGGCTAGAATAGGATAATCAAGTTAGACAGATTAGTTTAGAACTTAAATTTTATTGTTAAACTAATAATGTACATTGTTTATAAACTATTGTTTTCCTTGTTTCAAGTTTTCGAAAACTTCGGACAACATTTTGTTGCACATCGCCGCATATGGATTCAATGCGACCAACTGCATTCGGGCGAAAGACGAACCAAGGTCTGCAGCTTTTTGAAAGTCTTCCTAAATTTACACACATATTAACTGGTGCTATTCAATTAATTACTAACCCGGGCTTTCTCATTTTCATCCTGCAACCTGTAGATACTAGCACGTTGTACATAAGCTTGGCAGGCTATTTTGCTCTTGGCTGGACTCAACCGGAGAGCTTCGTTCAAATCATTCATGGCTTCTGAAAGAAGTAGATGATAAACATCCAATAACTATTGCTGTGGACGAACGAATTTGAGAAATTCGAATTGTGCGGGCTGCCATTTAATTGGTCCCGCAAAAAAATCGAAAAAATCTCAAATTAGTCCGTCGTCGACTATAATAATTATGCATTTTTATGTACTTATTACCATTTGGTTTTTTCTGCATTCTGTAAGCTTGAGCTCGATTATTGTAAGCAGAAGGATTGATTTCACATTTCTCAATTGCTCTGAAAGTTTATATAGAGTTCAAGAAAGTATAGGAGCAAAGCACTTTGTAAATATTTCAATTGCTTCATCGATTTTTCCGCCTTCAGCCAAAATCACACCTTGTTGTTCCAATTTTACACTTTCGACGTATCCTTCGTGGTCAATTTTTACTTAAAATAGTTCAAAATTAACAATTGCAATTTATTAAATGACTACTTTCTTCGTATTGGATATCGTTGTTGGTTACTTGCGTTGTTGGCATCAACGGATTCAAGATCTGATTGAGAACAGCGCGATCATGTTCAGTTGTCATTATTTCTGAAAAAAAGTTTTTTATAAGTATTGAATAAGTGAAGAAAAAACAACAATCGCGTATCAAATGATGACATACAAATGAGATGAAAGGTAACTGTTTTTCATTGAAAAATATAAGAGACATTAGACACGTGTACACTTCCTATCAAATATCGTCGATGGCGCAATGGACCATTTTTATGATGGTCTTTACGATATCCGAGATCAACAATCATTCGGCTAAAACACGCGAAGTTTACATTCTAATTCTTCTGAAGAATTCAACTTCCAATAGTCTTTATTTTTAGACATAAAGATAATTCTTTTGTTTTAATTAATTTGAAGCATAATAATAGACAATAATTTTCACATGATACTTAATTCTTCTTGAAAAAGTTTCTTTAATAGTAGTTTTAAAGTTTTGAAACGTTATATTTCCACAAATCTCGTTGTTCCTTTTTCAATGACATCATTTTTTTATAACAACACCTTCATTCTTTAAAATATCATAGCATTTCTCAAAATTGTCTCATTCAAATAGCATGACGTGACAAATCTCATATAGTAGATTGGATTTTCGCCGTTTGATCTTACGTATATCAAGTATTTTTTCTCACAATTACGTCTGAATTTCGTTCAATTTCTTATAAATTATTCAATTCATAATAGGCTTATTCATCAAGTACGAAGGGTTTCACTTGAAAATATTTGCTTCGTCATTTGCGAATCTATTCTTTGGAAATATTTTTTGAAAAAAAAATAATCACCACATTTTAAACGATATTTATTCTGCAGTTGTTTGAATAACTGGTTATGGGATAATCAGAAGCGTATTCATTTAGTTGACATTCTACATAAGCTACGCACATATCTCAAAACTGTTTGTCAACAAAATATAAAATTTTTTCGATGAAATATTAGGAAATATTGTTTTTTTTTGGTATTGGGGGTGAGAAGGATTATATAAAAACAGCATTTAGAATTGAATCGGAATAGATTGAGACGAAAACTGCAGAGAAAGAGCGTCTGGGTCCGATATTCGGCGGCATAGCGTTGGGCAATTAAGCAAGTTGAATTCCAGTGATGTCGACGTCTCCTCCGATTTGAAGTCCGTTGATCTCATCCGGAGAAAGTCGGTGCGCGTATGAAGCGAAACGCTCGCCATTCACGAAGATCTAAGAGAATAATGGTGTTGAATGATTCGTCGTTATAAACTGGTCTTACAGCGAAAGCATACTCCTCGTTCTTGATTTCAAGATCGAAAACTGTGGCCTTCTCGAATGGCAACTTTCCTTCTCTTTCTTCATTTCCCCAAACATTGCTGATAAGCGAATTGCGAACGACTTGCTGAAAGAGAATCGAGATTAAGCACTTGAAACGAAACGTCAGAAAACAAACCTTCTCGTCGAAACGAGAGTTGAAGTGGAGAGCAATATCTCCATTCTTCTTCAACAAATTGATGTAGAATCTCTTGGCCTTCTTCTCCGGAATTCCGAAGATGGTCAAAGCCTTTCCTGGAGCCAAACCCTCGTTGGCCAATCCGCTCTCATACGGAATTGGCTGTAATTCAATGTTTGTTCATTTCAAATCATGCATTTATCAGCTCTTACGTAGTATTTTCCTCCCCAATGGATGTAGTTCACCATAACGTCACCATCAATGGTGAAATGGGTGATGGAAGAGAGTGGCACACGGTGCTCGTACTCCTTGACCTCCTTTTGGTCGACGAAGATTTGGAACTTGCTGTCGTGAGCGCGGATTCTGATGTCGATGTCATCGCCCTTCTTGTAAGGGTTCGACTTTCTCTCTTCTTTTCCCCACTCACCCTTGGTGAAGGTGTTGAAGACGAGCTGAAAATATCTTTCGTGTTTACATTAAAAATGCGATGAGACGTTCGTTTTTTTATAAACATCCGATTTAGATTATCTAGTCATCATTACTATTTTTCGTAACATTATGAGATTAGCGATTTAGAAAAAAAAGAAAAACTTTAAAACTCGGACCTTTCCCTCATCGAAACGGACGGAAATGTGAAGTGGGACGTCATTTCCGGAGAAGTCAGCGGTGTGGCTGTGAAGGTTGACAGTGAACCTGAAATCGATGCCGTTTCCAACATTTTCGTTTGTTTTCGATGTTTTACCGGATCGAATCCTCTCCGGTTTTTCCCTTGACAATCAAAGTCTGTCCTGGCTCGAATGGCTCGACGAGTTTGCTGCGGTATGGGACCGGCTGAAACGAGTGTTATCAATTCCCTCATTCCTTCCAAATCTCATTATCAATGCTCGACCTTGACAACAAACAAGATTTCTTTTTCGCCTTCAGTTTTCTACGATCGCGGCAATTTGCCAACAAAACGCACTTCTTAGACACTGATCAAAAACCGGAAGTGTTGTTTGGATGGAGGAGAGAAGGAATTTGACCGTCGCAAAATTGATATTTTTGATTGATGATATTCGCCATACGGAAGAGATCAATAATTTTCAAAAGGAGACGCCGCGCATTGTTTTTTTTTTGTGCTCGAATGCGAGAATTCCGAATGAGCTCTGTGATCCGTCTAATCCGCTCTCAACTACGTGAGAAACTCTTGTTTCCCATGCAACAAAATTGACTTACGTAGGCAGATTCGAGCGACATTTCGGCGATCGTTTTCGGCGGTTGAGCTGGAGTCGATTCCTGAACAAAACTGATTGTACACAATGAATTGTCATCTTTTAAAGCCTCATAATTAAAGGGACCCATTAGAAAACACATTTGTCATTTTATTGGTTTTTTTTTTGTCCTCTTCACTATCTTTCTCGTCATTTATTTTTCCAAAGTTTCTCGCGAGAAATAATGGAACGACTGACGAAAAATTTCGAAATTGGACGACTCGAAATTGAATTAAACAGAAGGAAGGAACATGGAAAATTGGATATTCGCAGGTGGGATTAACCGGGCCAAGAGTCAGGCGAAAATTGAAACCCGGTCCGAGTGTTTTGCCGTCGCTGATGTTGTTGTTATTGTCGGTTTTATGGAAAACCCATTCTCGAAATCCAAATAATCAAAAGAATTTGAGGTTTTTTTTTCTGTTGTGAGTCATGAAAACAAGAGAGGCGAAAAAAAAAAAAACAATGAGAGCGACGAAATCGACGACGATTTGTGTGTTTGAAAACGAGACGAGGCGTTGAAAATTGATGAAAAAACAACAATTTTCGATATCAAATCGAATGGGGCGTGCTGCGATCGCGCAAAAAATCTCGCTTCATAAAACCGAATCACCGACGATTGGGTGTTGTGCGAAGAAGAAGAACGAACGAATCAAAAAAAAGAAGATAGACAGAGAAAGAAGATAATGAAAAGAGACGAATCGAATTGATCAAAACCAATCAAATTGAAAGTAAACATCACGTCTTCATTCGCAAACCCTCAATCGCTTCTTCGAACACTTGCCAACAAAAAAGAAATACATATCGAGATGACTCATTTGGAATGACTCATTGATAATTATTGAGTTAAATTGGATCGTGAAGCAGTAGATTAAAATATTTTGTTTTTGAACACGAAATTCTCAATAGCACATTGAAACGCTTTTTTGGGAAAGAAGAGAGTTATCATCATTCAGCTTCCGTGTTATTTTGCATAGGAGATTATCTCAAAAAAAAAGAAGAAGAAAACGACAAACCTACTACCAAAAATCGAAAATGTTTAGCAATTTTCGAAGAATTCATGATATCAACCTGATTCTTATTTATAGCATCGCAGATGTTCAATCAATTATTTCAGCCATCGCGGCGAAGTCGAGCAGAGTTTGAATGTAGACTTTCAGCAAATTCCAATTGGAAACTGCTGAAAGTCTGCACAAACTCTGGCTGACTTTATTTCGCCGAGATATCAATCCCTCGAATCGCAAAATTCAAATAAGAAAAAATTCCTTATAGTGTTCCTTTTTGCCGAAGAATTGCATGTTGAAATTTTTGAGAAGACTCTAGTCGCTATGAAACCACAAACGTCAGAAGAGATATCATATTTTTTTGCGAATTTCGAATGTGATTTATGTATTTTTTAATGATACGAACCCTCTTCATTTTCATTTTTTATTCTTTCTCACTTTTTTTTTCGTAAATAATTTTTTTTAGCGATGCGATCTCTCATGGAATTATGTTGTTTATGCTACACACTATTTATATAATAATTTTTGCAGAAAAAAAAACAATTCTAGGCGACTGTGTGACTGCGAAAAAATCGAGTTATTTCTATGATTCATTCTTACATATTAATTATATATTATACGTGCGCATAATACATTCCGCGTACACTGAATTTCGAGAGAAAAATTCAACAAAATTTCTGGAAATGTTATAAATCAATTTTGAAATTAAATTATTTTTAAAATAAATCTTAGAATGACGTAGAATCGAGAAACCGGAAGTTTGTCGGGCAGAATTGAACATCAAAGTGCATATTCGCTCAAAAGCACACGGACCTTTTAAAGGACACACAAAAAATGTTGCGAAACAAAAATTATGACATTTTAGATGCCGTAAATATAAGTTTGCTTATTTATCAAATTTCTAATTTGAAAACTACTATCATTGGCTAGCCATAATCTCACTGATCTACAGCAATGTACCGCAATACTGAAAAATTAGAGAATTAATTAATTAAGAGTTTTTCTTATTCGATTAAGAAAAGCTTTGAAAAATTGGAGACACATTCTCGCATGTTTTCCCAACAAAAAGCTGCCCACTAGACAGATTCCTTTTTTGACAAAAATCCCGCCGTGCTGAGATCATGGCAATTCGAAGCACATTTGATGTTTCAACTTTTATTATTTGAAGGCTGCCATAAAAATTTACAACGTTACACACGATCCTGTTTACCAAATTTTGTGTCTCAATTTTTGCTAAATCGTGGCCAGATTACGGTATTCCATAAATTAGCTCTCTTATTTTCTCGCGAACGTTCTTCTCCATCACACTTTCGAGATATTTTCTAAACGCAGCCAATAAAAAATTGCAAATTGGGGTTCGACTGGTTTCGCATCGTTAAACACCCCCCCCCCTTTTTTGCTAACCTTTCAATTTTTTCTTTTTTTTCCATTGTGGGGAATTTCAAACATTGTTTTAATTCGAATTGTGTGAAAAAAAAAACGTGCGCAATGGGATTATGCGATTTGGTGAATCATTTACACTTCTGTCGAAAAAAAATCGTATATTCAGTAGCTTTCAAGCAAACCTACTTGATGTTTGATATTTTTCGTGGAAAAATGAATGAAACGACGAACAAATGTTCACTTTCGCAACTTCACATTTTAAAACAAAAAGACATTAAAAAAAAAAGAAGAAAATGTGTTCGTGGCGTTGGAGTTTTTCGATACTAACAAGATTGCCCAAACGCGATAAGAAGATAGCTTAACTATACACTAGATTATATTTAATCTTGAATACCGTATAGCTGATTAGAAAGAAGCTAAATTTGAATTAAGAGAGAGAGTGAGAAACCTAATGGACTCGAACATTTCGCCCTGAAACTAACCTGTTGTGGTGCAGCTTCGACATGTGAGACTTCCACTTTCTCGACAACGTCTTCCACAATGATGGGCGTCTCCGAATGTTTGTCTTCGGATGGTGTTGCCTCGGCTTGTGGATGTTCGATTTTCTCGAATGACTCTTCTGTTGTCGCGTCAGTAGGTGCTTGCGAATCGACGTGCTCGAATGATTCATTCTCCGGAACTTGCTTGATTGTCACTTGAGGTGGCTCCGCAGAATTTTCCGCATGATCAAGAACCAGATCAACCTTCTGTGAGACTTCTTCATGAATATCTTGTCCAAGTGAAACGACTGATTCATGAGCTTGCTCAGCGCTGTTAGTAACTGTTTCCGACGCATCATGAGCGGCATCTGAAGCCTGCTCTTGAGCTACCTCGACCTTCTCAATAACGTCTTCTACCAAGTTTGAAGCTTCATTGTGTGCTTCAGACACAACATCAGTAGCGGCGTCTTGAGCATCATGTGCAACTTCGACCGCCTGATCATGGGCGGCATCGGCACTTTCTGTCACCTGACTGACAGCATCCGAAATCGCGTCATTAGCATCGTGCGCAACAGCAGAAGCGTCATTATGAACTTCTTCGATTTTCTCAGCAGCAGCGTCTTTTGCATCATGAGCTGTATCGACAACTCCTTCGCAGGCATGCTCAATGTTTTCGGCAGTATTATGAGCAACATCAGAAGCCGCATCGTTGACGTCGTGTGCAGCTTCAACGACTCCATCCTTGATATTTCCTGCGACTTCACTTGCCTTCTCGCCCGCTTCTTGAGCCTTCTCACCAATGCTGTCAATGGCGTTTGAAACAGCGTCTTTGGTTTCGTGCGCAGCATCACTGACTGCTTCTTGAGCATCATGAGATTTCTCTGCCGCGCCATCAATAATCTGGTGTCCGAGTTCAGCAGCGGCATCATGAACATCGTTCGCTTTTTCGACAGCGCTATCGGCCGCATGAGCAACCGATTCCTTGGCATCATGAGCAGAATCAGAAACTGCATTGGTAGCATCGTGAGCAAGATCAGCCACAGCGTCATGAATGTCGTGAGCCTTGTCTGAGGCGTTCTCAGCAGCTCCAGTCACAGCATCGGTTGCAAAATCTTGAGCAACCTCAATCTTCTGCGCAACTTCCTCAATCGTTGTAGAAGCTCCATCAGCGGCTGCCTGTTTTGCATCTTTGGCTTTATCGACAACATCTTCTCCGACTCCAGTTATTGCGTCCTTGGCATCATGCGCAAGAGAAGCGGTTTGGTCTTTTGCATCATGAGCAACTTCCGCAGTTCCGTCGGCAACATCCGATGTGTTGCCAACGACGGCGTCGGTCGCATCCTTCGCCGCTTCCACAATCGCGTATTTGGCATCGCCCGCTTTTTCTTGGACAACGCCGACGACGTCAGCAATTTTGTCGCCCGCAGCAACAGCGCCATCAACAACCGCGTCTTTCACATCACTAGCAACCTCACCAACCTTGTCGAACACGTCGGAAATTGGAGCACTTGCATTGTGGACAGTCTCCGAGATATCGTTGGATTGTTCAGCAGCATTCGAATCCTTATCGGACTTGAATGGGTTGAGGCTTTTCGCAGAGTTGAGAGCCGACGAGAAGAACGATGAATCAGCCATTATCGGTATAATAGAATGCGAACACTTCGGGGAGTGTCTATGTCGGAATGAGGGGTCTGAAAGTGCAAAGGGGGCAGCAGCAGCAGCAGCAGCAGTAGTAGGAGGCAATAGCACACACTCTCGCTCGCATGCAACCAGAAGGAGGAGCAAAGTAACACGAAAAAAATGGCAAAAAGTGGGCGGGGCGACTGGTTGTGGCGCGAGAGCCCGCGGAACGGCGAAACGCCGACAATGCCAGATAACACACAAACAGAGACTACAGGTGTATTGACAACCCAAGTAGGAATGCTGCAGCTTCTTCTTCTTCTTCTTCTTCGTTCTCGTTCCATCGCTGTCGTCGTCGTCGCATTTTTCATAGTGCTCGAATGTTGCGATTCCTTCCGAACCAAAAAAAAATTCGAAAAGCGAGCGACAAAAAAAAACGGCTGCTTGCAGCGAGACACTTGCGAACGCAAATCCGGCAGCAGGAAGAAGGGCAAACGCGACTCGTTAAAAGGAGCCGCTAGGGGCATGGATCACTTGAAGATCCAATGAATGCGTTCGAGTTCATCGGGATTTGCAGGGAAATCAATTGGCGAAAATTTCGAATTTCCAGACAGATCAAAGTTCGATTCTTGTTTTTGCCGACATTCGTATAATCTGCATTTTTCACCCTCTTCTCTCATACAACAACAATTGTACTAAATAAAGTAGTGCGCGACAATTGCAGCTGTTTGTTTGAAATCAAGAAGAAAATTCGCTGTCTGCCCCCCATCCCTCTCTCTTTTTTTCTTAATTGGATTGTCCCACAAAAATCTAATTCAACAGCGATTTTACCTTGAGCTTAAGTGTCTCTCAGACACAATATTTTCGGATTACATTGTTTACCAGTCCGATGACATCGGGCATCGATATTTTTAGACATTGTCTAAAAAAAAGAGACTTGTTTCGAAATCACATGATGGGTCTGACAAATTAACCGCACACATATTTCGAATATTTGCTACAATGGAACTTTTGTTCGTAATCTCAAAAAAAAGTGTGTGGGGCCGCGGAATTTCATGTGCGCAACATCATTTTAATCAAACCGTGGGATTGTTTGACTTCGTCGGCGGCGCCACCCGACGACTTATTACGTTTTTTGGGGATTTCAATGTCCTGTAAATAAACGTTTACATGTCAATTAAGCGGTATCGTGTGCGTTTGTTTCAAGTAGTCATGTATATTTACCAATCAGTTTTGCTGGCGAATGTTTATCGACTGCTCAATTTTAATCATCTTCTCAACACCATTCGAAAAAAAAAATTCTGTTTGGCGTCGGTCGGTCATAGGACAACGTGAAAACAGACATGTGGCGCCCAAAGAAAGTGGATGTTTATGAGGCTCATGAAATCCCGAGTGACAAGCGGGATTTTCAAAAGACAAATGAAATGAAGCGTTCGGAAGCGAATTATGAGCCGTTTGTTCACTCGAAAAAAATGCCGCGTATTCGTTTTTTTTTGCAAAAAATTGGGAAGAGAATTAAAAAGGATTTTCGCATCGAAATACATGAGACCCACCGTCGAACTATTGTCCATCTTTTTGCGTTTCATACTTGATAAGGAGCGCACAAATTTGCGATAGCTCATTTAAATAATGCTTTAATAATAGAACAATTTTGTGTCAATATCGGGTTGGTGAAAGGGGGGAGATTCACGAGATTTGACACGTTTCGTTTCAATTTCCTCTCGTCTCAATTTTTTGTTGCAAATCTTTGCGCAAACAGTAACATCGAACTCGAGTTAGATATGTGATCGAACTGTCACATGAGCCAAGCCATCAGGGGGAGAGGGGGGGGTCCGAAATTTTAGTGTTTTCAATGCTCGCCGAACATTCGCAAACGATAAATTTTTTGGAGAAACAAAGATTTATTATGGGTGATTTAAAAAGTTTTGTCGACAAATTGCAGGAAGAGATTCGGCCGAAAATTCGGCAAACATCTTTCGAATACTACAGGGAAGAACTTTAATTTGTTTTTTAATTTGAATAAACATAATCTGCATTTTTGATGTACAGTATAATTAAAACACTCAATTTTCCGGTAAGACCATAGCCGTACTTTTTTGCAATTAGTCAATTTTCAGTAGTCGCGCGATGTAGACGATAAATATAATAAGTTTCCTGTCTAGAATACAATGAAGTGTGCAAACACCGAGACATGCAACTACAGATTTCACCACTATTTTCTCTACATTTTTTTTTTAATGTGTCAATAATATTTGAAAGGAAGAAAACCCAGTCATTATAGTTAATCATGTGGTAATTAAAAACTTAAATTTGACTTGACCTCAGACTAGTAGACTATACGCATAGTATTAAACGCCGGTTAATAATTGCCGAGTTCTCACATCATTTTTTTTTCGCAATTTTGCCAAATGCCCATAATTGGCATTCAAACTAATTGTAATTTTTTACGATTTTTAAATATGTGATCTTCGTTATGAATTTTTGATTCCTTAAGCGTTTCAAAAATCAAATATCGATGTTTATTTACCCATTAAAACGCATGATTATTATTTACTATAAAGTGTTCTATTATATTTGCGCGCGTTATTGCGCATTGTCTCTTTCAAAACCGTTGCTCCAAATTTTTTCCTGCTCGCGTGTCATTCATGTACATCGTCAGATATCTGTTTGCTCAGCTTAGGGAAGGCATTGAGGAGCGCGGGTTTCGTCGGCACAAAAAAAAAACCGAACGCTCAATTTAATTACTCATCATCATCAATTCGTTCGCGTTTCGAGCAAAACCAATTTTTTGTGTCTTCGTGGTTTTTTTTTCGAAAATGAGTAGGAGGATAACGAGGAGAAGAAGAATGAGAAGGGGGAGGAGGAGGAGGAGGCGGTGGTTTTCGATTTCAGCATCAAAGTTTTGCAAACCAGAAAATATTGTCATCGAGGGATCATGTGAAACGATATCAAATTAGGAGCGACGGAATGTTTGATGATTATTTTAATAAATGAATCAGTTGACGTTGATTCATGGTGAAACGATGATAGAATGTTGCCAAGTTCGAATCAAGGTTAACAGATTGTAAAAAGAATGTTTTGAAACATACAAAAAATCATTAACGTCTTAGGGATTTAGAATACAACCAATGATCGTCATTTATATTCAAAACCAGTAAAAATGCATTTTTTGGAATAACTTTAATTTTAATTGAAAATGAGAACTAACAAATTTCTGTAATAATTTTTTGAACGCTGTCTATTTTCTATTCGAACTCCAGTTTACAGTTGTTGTCGCCGTCGTTCAAATTCTGTTCGCATCAAAAGTCAACCGATTTTCCATCATTTGTATAATACCACCAATTTTCGCATCAAACTTCTCGCGCACTATATGAATTTAATTGCCTCATTGTTTTCATAGATTTTTGCAGAAAATTTCCAATTAACCGAAACCTTTGGCACCGCAAAAAAACAGCAGCATCGTTGTTTGCAATCGAGCTGGAATTTAATGAAATTGGCTTCGAAACAAAAAATAAATTGGGAACTCGAAAAAAAAACGAAAGAATTCATTGAATTTCATTAGTTTTTTGTTGGTCCTGTGTGCTTAATTTCGACCAAATTTGTTTGAAGAAACATCTAGGGATGGTTCCTTTGGTTTTTGATAAATTGCTACGAATGAATTTCGTAGGACATCCCGTTCGATTACACGGAGGTTCTTCGAACACTAGCGCGACTACATAAATTGAATTCGTATTGTATTTTGAACGAGTTTCACAAACATATTTTTACAACAAACAGAAATGGGTTCAAACAAAGAGATCTAGACAATTGTCGTCAATCAAATCAAGTGATAAGTGTTTCTGAAAAAAAAAATGGGATTCAAACCGAAGAATGCTTTATCAAAACGATGACCGAATCGAGAAGAAGCGAAATGCGAAAAGTCGCGGACGACGAAATTGTTTTGCGGGAGGCTCTCGCACGCGATTTCGGCAAATTTGCGTGGAACAAAAAGAGCAAGATCACGGCACGGACACAACAAATTCGATTTATCTTCTTCGTCGTTTTCTTATTTCGAAGAAGGGTCAGACAGGAAAATCGAGATTGATCGCGAAAATAAGTCCGAGACAATCAAACAATTTGTATTTTTAAATTAAACTAGTGGAAGTGTTTCATAACAAATCCACTATATAGAGAATTTTGAAAAAAATGTCATGGCTTTTGAAATTGTCAATTTTATTTTTTTTATTTTTGAAAAATTCGATCATTTCTTCTCTCGCTTTTGTTCTGATATATCAATGTTTGAAATGTAGAAGTAGTAGTTAAAAGAGAAGTATGAAACATCAACAATGATCAAAGTGAAATGAGATGAGATGAATGACACGTTGATTGTGATTTTGGTGGTTGCGATGTTTCGGAGCATTACTACATCTCGAAGCGAGGTCCGATAAAATGCGAAGAGACGCCGGGCATCAACAAAACGACGAAGCGAAATGAATTGTTGGTACAAGATGTCCGTTCGACGGCACAACAGCCCAATCAATCGATCAATCGAATGAATGAGTCAGTGCGAAGGCGAAATGAGACACCGATTGAAACGCAATCCAAAACGAAACTATCGGATTATCGCCAATTGACAGCTGCGGAAACGCGGAGCAACGCATTCAGACGGCAGAAAACGAAGCGAAAAGGAGAAAGATGAATAAGATAACATGACAATTGAATCAGGCACCCGCAAACATATTTATGACCGCATATGTTGCTCACTAAATCTGCTCGGCGATCATCCGAATTTAAAAGCAAAAAATTTCAAACTCAACAATATTTCAAAATCAATATGCATAGTTTAAATTATCCAAGGATAGTATGCAGATTTTGGAAAAAAATACTCAAAAATCCGATAAGAAAACTCCTTTAAAACCGTGTGGACTGCTGCAAAAATTAATATAAACCTGCTTTTTTTTCCAAAAATCTTCATAGAATCATAAAATTTTGAAAAATCTCGAAGACAGACAACGGCCTTTAGAGGCCCATTGCCA